CATCGTCAAGTATTAGACCAGACCTTTCCACAGCGTCATCCATTATTATAAACCCAGCCTGAGGATTGACAAATACCGGGTTGATCAAATTGTGGGCCCAGTTTCTCCTTGAGCTGCTCCACCTGCTCTGGGAGATCCTTTAGAGGGATATCTAAAGAGCACAGAAATAAAGAGCATTCAATACATGAAATGCTAAACCTGTGTGCACAAATGAGATGTATAAGTGTGCTACTTACTCAGGGATGAAGGCAGGCTGCAAATGTCAAATTGAACCTTTTCACGAACATCAAGTAGAAGGTGCGGTGCACCCTCATCGCGAATCTTTTTGTACGACTATTTGAAGTAAAAACGCAGAATTGCTTTAGAGGATGGATTGAGCTGTACACAGCATGCCCACCTCGTAGTATTTGTCACTCAAAAACGTACATCGCAAGTCAAGCGCTCTTTAAACGGGATGAGAAAAAGGTCCGGAGTTGTGTCCGTAGCGCTGCTTCCGCAAAAGCGCACATAATCGATCAGCTTTCTGATTGTGGGAGCTTCGCCGCATACAATGCAGTCGGCTTTTCTGTTCCTGAGTTTGATGGTTCTGAACATTGTTGACGAATTGGCTGAAAATAAAGTCATAGTCGGTGCGTCTTGGGCTAGAAATAAAAAAAGAACGATGTGTAAATGGAAAAAATTGGCCTGTATTCCAAATGACTAGGTGAATTCTTGAGCCATGCGCGTGCCGTTCCCAATTCAGGGCTTGCCTTTTATTCCTGTAGCAATCTTGATCGCTTCTAACGCCTGTAAACACCCAATAATTCCGGGAACTTTTTGTCGCAAATAAAGCAGAGTCAACAATCCATTCTAGCAGAGCACGCGTCAAAGTCGACATAGTTGCCTTCGATCTGAAAAAGTGTACTTGCCTACTCCCAAAACACCTCCGTCCGAGCAGTTAGTTACAGTTGCGGACGGTGGCGGCTTAGGGAATAAACACCGGTAGCATGGCCCGCCATGGTAGTTGTATATAGTCAGCTGCCCGTCGAATCGCAGGGCCGATCCGGACACCAATGGTTTCTTATTGAGGACGCATGCATCATTGAGGAGATACCGGGTTGCAACGTTGTCTGTTGCATCGATTACAATATCATATGCGTCGATGATTGGCTGCGCATTGGAGCTGTCAAGAACAAGATTGTGGACGATGACTTGACAGTGCGGATTAAGACTATCGCATGGTAGGGATAAATACGAAGATATTAGTCTTTTGATTATGAGCAAACGCCTTGATGTTCGAATTGGGGATGATCTCGTCACCCTTGCGGTCCATCAAGAGCTTACAGTTGAATTGAGAGCGCTGCAGACTGCGCCTTGGACATCCCCTGACGCGCTTCGTTATGAATGATCTGGCGGTGGAGATTAGAAATGTCGACAGTATCGTGATCGACTATACCCAGGCGACCGACACCAGAACCTCCCAAATAAAGTGCACAGGAGGACCCAAGACCGCCTGCGCCTACAACGAGCATGGAGCAGTTTCTGAGACCCATTTGACCTACGAAGAGATCGCGGCAAGGTGATGAGCAGTAGACGTTAGCTGCGATATCGAGCCAGTTGTCCTCATCAGAATCTGATAATTAATCGCGCCAAGGAGAACATACCTTGGATGCCAAAGTCCGGCAGGATCAACTGGCGCCCGTATCTCGCAATCTCGGGATTCGTTAATTTGGCGACCTTTTGCAGAGGGTTATCAAGCTCCGTAGCAGACCACGATGAAGTTAATGATTGGTAGGATGCCGCCTGCTCCAAGCGCAGCGCCTTGATCTGTTGCTCCAACGCCTCTTTTTCCTTCTCCAGTCGCCGGACGCTGGCTTCAAGTGCTTCGTTACTGGTTGGTAAGGTAGCCTCCGACATCGAATGAGACATGTCGTTGCTCATGATTGCCCTGAATGTTGAATGACAAACGGAGAGTATGAAGCGGTAGTAAGAAAAAAAAGAAGAAAAGAAAAAGTGGGGCTCCCGAGAGAAGCGGAGTACAAGTGAGGTCACAGCCACTCACTCTGAGTTTAAGATCGCTTTCAATGTAGGTGGGTTTCAAATATTTATAATGTGCATTCTGCTACCGTCTGTGAGGACGCTCGCGGTCTCGGTATCGATCGCGCTCGCGGTCATCGGTCCTACTTCGAATATCTGGGCTGGCCGAGCGAGACTTTGACCGCTTCGATCTCCGAGACTGCTGGTACGAGTCCGGAGACCGATCTCTCCTACCACTGCTAGAGCTGTCGTGTCTCCTGCCAGAGTCCCGCTCTCGACGGTGCCCCCGTTCCGATGATCCAGACTGATGCCGGTCGTCTCGGCTACCTCGATTCTTATTCGACCGATGTGAGCCATGACCATCATCAAATACATAGTCGTATCGTTGTCCGGGTCTGCCAGAGTCGTTGCTGTCCCTGTAACGCGATCGTTGTTCCAGGTTCAAATCTTCAGCCCCAACATTGCCACCGCCGCTGCGCTTCACTCCTGTCCTTTTGACCATCCAGTCCTTATGCAACTTGCTCACGCTCTGCGAGAAATCCACGTGAATGCGGCGGTCATCAATCAACACTTTGTCCATCTTAAAGTAGGCCTCAGAGCACTCCTCCTCCTTCTCGAATTCAATAAAGGCGTAGCAGAGAGAGTCGCCAGTCTTCTTGTCCCGAATCACTTCGCAGCTCAGAATGACGCCAAACCTGGAGAATATCAGCTCCAGATCCTCGGAACGGGTTGCCGGGTTCAGTTGCGCAACAAATAGAACGTTCTCGGGTGGCTTGATCTCTGCAAAGGGTAGATCGCCAACCATCTCTAGCGTCAATGCGCGAGCTTGTGCCTCCTTCTGCCTCCGTATTCTCTCTTCCTCCTCGGGTGGTAGTAGCGACTCGATTTCCTCGTCGTCTCCGATTCGCACAGTATCCAGCATCGCCTGCGTAGGCAAGGGTGACTCGTCTGGAATAACGAGGCCGTCTGGATCTGGAAAAGGATCGTCTAGCACGATGGTGTGTTTGATACGAATATCCTTGTACGGTCGGAAGGTGGCGTCAGTGTATGCGCCATTGATCTTTTCCATAACATCCATGCCCTCGGCCACCTTGCCGAAGATGGTGTAGCGGCCGTCAAGATAATCCAGGTTGTCTGCCATCGTGATGAAAAACTGGGAACCAATGACGCCTGCACCACTGCTTGAACCGAGAACGCCATTTATGTCCTGATTCGCTCCGGTACTCGCTCCTGCGATGGCCATTGACACGGTTCCTCTCTCTTTGTGTTTAAGCTTTGGATGAATCTCGGCTGGAAGGTACTTCCTGTGGGGTTCCATAGAGGTCTTGTCCAGCAGTCCGTAGATAGATTCACCACCTTGACCGGTTGCCGTGGGGTCGCCTGTCTGAATCATGAAATCGCGCTGGACGTTATGGAAGCAGCAGAAGTTGTAGTATTTGACCTTGCACAGCTTGAGAAAGTTGAGGCAGGTTGCCGGTGCCTCTTTAGTGTAGAGGTCGATGACTACATCTCCAACAGATGTCTCTAGAAGCACGCTCATATTTGTCAATCTAGGATTCAAGCTGAGATGCGTCCGTCTCCTTAATTTCCCTTGCAATGCAGTCGTAGGCTGGTGCTTCCTTTGGCGCGTAGTAGGATGTCGATGATGGCGTGTGGATGATCAATGCTGCGCTGAAGGCCAATAGATCGAATGTGGCTTATGGAAGGAGGAGCAGGCAGCAACACCTTTCATACAAAGCACTGGTTCAAATGCCCACTTCATATCCTGATTAGGACCACAAACTCGATCAGCAGAAGCACACTAGGAACAATGTCTCGCCATTCCAAAAACAACACGGCCCGTGGTCATTTCACCTATGCTGAGAAGCAGATGCTTGATTATGGCACCAAAAAGGTACAGGACGGCAGGCGGTATGTCGTCTCTGTAGTGAACGCGCAATGGGATTGTCAGTGACATAGCACGCATATCGATCTTTAGTGGATATTGACGAACATTTTATTCATCCTTCTGGCATTCGCTAGCAACGACTGGGCCGAGATTCTATGCGGGACTATGATGCCTGCTACTTGTGTCTACAGACAGCAAGAGACCCTGTATGCTGCTCGGAGGGCCATATCTCTTGCAGGGAATGTGTCATCGAGAACATTATTGCACAAAGACAGGAGATCGACAGACAGGCAAAGCTGAGTGCACTTCAGCAGTCCCAGGAGCAACAAGAGCAGCTTATGAAGGAGGAGCTGGCGCAACAGATCATCCTCAACGAATTCCAGAAGAGCCAGATGGGCGTCCTGTCAAAGACAAATTTCGTGCGTGGAAAACTCACTGCAGATGTACCTGTGCCCAATTCGCCGGCCACATCCACGTTGGATGGTACTACTCAAAGTACGCACTGTCCTCCGCTCCACCTGCCATATGTCACTTGCGATTATGGATTGTGTAGTTAACGAATGCCCTGAGTTTCATGCCTCTGTTGGCACGTGTTTTATTTTCTACGCAGACGGAAAGAAGCGAACCTTTGAACTGGATATTACTGAGCTGGAAAGGGCATCGAAGCAAGAGCGACTGGATGTGGCAAAGGCGATCGAAGAGGAGGTATGGAGATCAAGCTCTATGCACCACAGTGATGGAAACGCAAACTGCGCTTGTTTATTGGAAATGTGTCCCAACAGCATTGCTTCTTTCCCTCTCTTTCGTATAGGCGAAGTCGAAGAAACCCGCGCTGCCAAGTTTCTGGGTGGTATGTAAGGATGGCGTACAAGACGCGTCATCCATCATTTTTCAGTAATTGTAATAATACAGGAGTGTACAGCATCTAACACTGCACCCATGAATACTGTAGCCCTCCTTAACACCCTCGACCAAAAAATCAGAGTTTAAGGCGACCAAGGTTCATCCTCTTTGTACGGCCACTGACAATGAACATAAACTAAGGTACTGTTTACTATTGTTTACTATCGTTTACTATAAGCTTCCCGTCCATGAATGTCGCAGCGCATTATCTTATGTCCTGTAGTTATTGTGCTGATTCTTAGCCTCGTTTTGATTACCTCCGCAATAGCGTGAAGCAGCTGATCGGCGTCAAGTTCGAAACAGCATTTGAGGATTACGATGAGTCCGAGGCGAAGTCTGCAAAGGCCTCGTCTATCTGTCCGATCTGTCGCAAAGGCTTCACGAACACGACAAAGCTCTGCATCCTGAAAGCCTGCGGACATGTGTACTGTGAAAGCTGCTGCAAGCAATTCGTGAAGAAGGAAGGCCGATGTCAGACATGTGGCCAAAAAGCTAAAGAAAAGGACGTTGTTTCCATGAGAGGCGAGGGTTCAGGATTTTCTGGCGGAGGCGCAAAGGAAGCAAAGAAGTTTGATGTTGCCTTTCAGTAAGCAAAGAAATAAAGTTTCTACTTTTTTTTTGTCGTACACGAGGTGTCCTTCACAAGAGTGGTAACAAGCGTGTCTTGTGTCTACGCTTGTCAATTTAAAAGACGACAAAGACTTTCATTCCATCTCTCATTAGACGTTTTTACGAAGCGCTATCATGAGGAATGCGACCGCATAACCCATTTTTTCTGTTGGGGTCGCATTGAAACTCTACTGGTTTCAGATCTTTATCTCTCCACAAACCCGATTTGCCGATTCATCAACCTTCCTTCTTCCTTTATCCCAGAAAAAAAAAAAAAAAAACTTCACTTGAAGCCATGATCCTTCTGGATTAAGTTTTAACATGCATACTCAATTTCGCACTGTCAAAAGTTCATACTACCTCAATCTTTCCTTTCCTGAGTTAATGAGACCTATGAAGACGGAGGCATTAGCTAACGGCTCTTGATCGAACTTTCTCTTATTTTGATTACCATGGCAACACCGTCAATTTAAAACTCATCTGCTTTACCCAATACCCAAGTTTTGATTCATATAGGTCATCTTGGCAACCCGCATCCATATTTGAGGCAAAAGGACACTTCCAAATTATGGTAACACATTCAAATGTCGCCAAAAATTTATTGCAAGGGATGTATTACAATGCACTTGGAGTATAGAGAAATATTATGTACAATTTGAGAAGAGAGGGAATCTTCGAGCCACGTCCACATCGGTAACTACAATTACCGAAACCTGCTCCCCGTCTGCATCTGCATGCGAATGCGGTTTGCAAAGAACTGAGGAGCGATCCGCAGTTACATGCGTACTAGCATCACGCCACGGCATGTCGCCCAAAAGGGGAATCCGCAGGCCGCTGAGATTAGCAGATAGATCAGCAGCTGTTAGCGTTATACACACACCGAAAACAGAAAAAAAGAAGAGTGTCAGTTATTGTAATGTGCACGAGGTGAGATGGAGGATAGATGGAGGAGCTCTAGTTTTGCAATAAGACTTACAATGACGACAAAGACTAAAATGACCATCAACTTGACGTTCTTCCACCACATGGTTCTCTAATGGGCCATTCGGAATACAATAGTATCAGTAACTGTGTGTGTTGTGGATGGATTAACGTCATTTCAAAGCGGACGACGATCATAGCCTTATTCACCTTGAGCGCTGTGCTCCTCCTCTTGAAAGCGAATGCCTGTTGGTTCAGATTGTCCGTTTTATCGACCAGTAGCTCGATGCGCTCGCCTCGTTCCAATACACGTTCTAGGGATACGACAACAGTGTTGTTTGAATATTTAGTTCACATTGTAGCGCACCAATGAGTTCACGCTCTAGTGCATATACCAGACGTCGAGGTAGGATTGAGGACTTTAGTCATACCGATGTTTTGAACCATGACATCCTTAACTTGCTCGATCTCACCCTGAACCTGCTTAATCCTGTCAGCATTCGGGTTTGTCGAAAAATACTCCTATGCAATCGGGACAAATTGATGTGGAATACATTAGATTTTCGTTATAGGGGTCATATTTTTAGTGTCGAGAAAAAGGGTTGCACCTGCTTACCATCTGCTTGGCTATGGTCTTTGAGAATTCATTCATAGCATACGGCACCACAGATTCGAGTGCGCGTTCGCGGCCGTACTGCGCCAAGAACTTTTCCTTGATGTCCTGCAGGAACGCGAAGGGGATTCGCCGGCCAAAAGAGTCGTCGGCCATACACATGTAAGTCAGTCCATCCTCACAGATATAATGGAACAGATATCTAACAGCACGATACATCCACATGAAATAAATGAAGGTATTGAGATCAGTCCAACTCATTTCAGGTCTGCAACAACACAACAGTGTCTGTTGATCTGCTCGCACAAAAAAGTAATGTCATCGAGAGCGACAGCAGCTGCAGTTGTGACACGAAAAAAACATATTCTTACCGGTCATAAACGTAGGTCAGCTTGGAGTTGTTGGGAGGGATCTTTTCCAAGATGGCTTCAGTCACTAGATATCCGTTCATTCACGACATGAAAAGAACTCGAGTCAGTACTCCTGATATAGGCAGATCTTGGCATGAGCGCAGAGCGACAGTCCTGCAAGTTTAAAGTGTGAAGTTTGGTGCAGACGTTACCGGTGGTGAAGTTGCCAGACGAGTTTGTGTATTCGGTGAGGATAACGCTTCCTCTGGCGACAAGGGCATAGATGATGGACATGATGCTGATCTGGCTTTCGGTTGATGCTGTGATGGGGGTTGTCGTTGCTCAGAATGGGTTGGAAAAGAAAGGAATCAACACTAGTGCCATACGGCAAATATGCAGTTGTATGCTGTATTCGGGAAGAAGGCCTGCATCGCTTCCCGTGCTCTAATTGACCCTACATGATATGGAAAAATCCATTTACTCGAATACACCCATCAAGCTACATGTGTAAAGAGATGGAGACAGATGTTATTGCTAGCAGAGGGTGCGGCAAGGAAATGATAAAAAGCGCAATGTCCACAAAGAGGAAAGAGGACACCACACTGTAACAAAGGAATGGTTGTCCGCCGGTGGTGCATACTCTCCATCATTCTCTTAAGCACGGAGGCAACGCATTGTGGTTGCCTGATTGCCCATCTCCCACAACTCTTGGAACACTGTACAATTTATTAATATAAAATACACATCCTCAATACGGCAGCACCTGTGTAACTGGAACAAAGAACCTATTCTCACAACAATGACCTCCGTTGAACTTCATGTCTTCCGGCCCTTGCCTTCCTGTCATCGCCGGGATAAAGAGATCGCGGATCATCGACGTTACGATCGATCTGGCGCTTTTCGTCATTGGGTTTGACTGGACTAGACTGGACTAGACCACATTACGATTCTCCAGGGACCCTTGCTTTACAAGCAACGATCTTGACCTTCTCTGCCGTCACAGAGTCGTGGTCGAAGCGGAATGTCGGGTTGGACAGCACAAAGGTCCACACATCGTCCAGAGATCGATAATTGTCCAGATGCGCCTTTTGTTGTTCAGATGCACGATGCGATGCATACGCATACAAGTAAACGAAGAACAAAGATATCCTGTGAGTCGCTTGATGCTACAATAACTCTAATCTGTCATGGTCCGAAGCATTGCGGTATATACCTTGAAGCTGACTCGGTTCCGGACGCGGGTGCTCAAAGCATCGGCAATACTCATATCAAACTATGAAAAGAAACAAAGAAAATTGGGGGGGGGGGGGAGGGAATCGCAATTGAAGCCGTTGGTTAGGACTAGATAAAAGCGCTACCGGAGGGCCAGTGGAAAGGTAAGAAGAGCACTCTAACCTGTGCGAGCACACGCATAGCCAGCTGTGGGTTGATGTGGCCAGACTGAATCAGCTCGTCCAGGGAGTCGATGAGGGCAAGACCGATACTAGGAAGCAGTTAAGGTAGGTTAAGTGAGGCCGAAGCAGATTATCAGGAAGAGTGGACAAGGCACGATGAGGCTGTATATTTGTGCATCTGCGGTTCTTATACGGGTGCATGTGTGTACATGTGTATGTGTGTATGTGGGTGGATGGCATGAACATCTAGGGCACAACTGGGGGGGGGGGGGGGGAGGTTTCCTCAAGTCCTCGTTGCTGTTGCCTTCATCAGGGCTCGCTCCTGCGTGTTTCCTATCCTTTGTGGTTTGTTGTACCTGCTCTTCCTGTAGTGCTCATAGTACTGCGACATGGCAACTCGATGTAAAAAAAAAGACAAGTATAATAAAATAGAAAGAGAAAGTGAGATGTGGAGTTGCAGGATGGCGAAAGTCCAGTGATTTTGATTCTGCTGATGTCACCGGAGGAGGGCCGCCCGCATCTGCTGCCATGCAATTGGGCGAGTTCTTCCTCCAGAGCATGCAGAAAAATTTCACAGTTTGGTAAAATAATTTTATTGTGTGTCGTATGTTCACCAGAGTCAGTGCCATGCCATATATATTACTATGTACGTTCTTTTAGATACATAGGCGCATATGTATCTGGAATGATGGGCCATTTGTAATCTGCAGTTGTGAGAAGGCGGGTGAATAGAAAAGGAAAGAGAGAGGAAAAGAGAGAGAGGGAAAAAGCGTCTACAGTCTAGAAACCTATGGCGCCATTATTTTCTCGTCGGCCCACTCCTGACGCGAAATACATTATCTTGCAGCAGTTTTTCGCCGCCCCAGTCTAGGTGGTTTATGAGGACAGTGATCAATCACTGTTAGATACGGATGAAATAATCGATAATCAGTGAGAACACCGCAATTTCTATAGCATAATGCATGAACATACAAACATTTTGGACGTAGATTTCGGGGCCATAAAAGAAACGTCATTCCGCACATCCTTGACCCCACTCCTTTCCTCATTCACTCCCTTAGCAGCCCTCAAGCACTGTCGCATATTCTTAACGTGAGTCTTGAATGCTTCTGCAAATGGATACATGTACCAAATTTGATCCTCATTAACTGTCTACTTTGACTTGGCCTTTATCGTACCAGATGGGAGTCACTGGGCTACCCAAAGCTATAAAGACACCAAAGGAACGCTAGCTTATGGTCTGCAGAGCAAGAAAGTTCATGTCGATGTCTTAAGTCTGTACTTCGGATTCTTGCAAACAAGGACCTTCAAAGCGACGTGTAACAGAGTCGCCAAGGAAGCGAGAGCTGAGGCAACGGCTACGACAACTACCAGCGCATCAGCGGCTTCCATTCTAACAGAAACGACGACCTTTCTCGCAGTGCCCACAGCCCCCGTAGTCTCCACAGCCTCAGCAGCGCAAGACGCGCCTTCTGCTGCAGACGCCAGCACTAGCAGGAGAAGCGGCATCAAGAAGCGCGCCCTGAGTTTCTCCGAGGCTCCATCCAAGCGAGGAAAGGCACGCCCTAGTTATGCGAGCGAGGTACAGGCTGCCGGCGCGCAACATCCTGCACTGTTCATTGGCCCTAACAGATGATTGACACCAGACCGACCTGGAGTAACAGAGCAGGTAATTAAATGCGCCAATGGTTTCGTATCAGCATACGCAGCATAGCAACCAAGTGCTGACACATGTTCTGTTGTCTCATCCCTCGATCCTGCCTCATCTCTAGTCATAGAATTACGGCCACATAGCGCATGATCTCAACAAAATCATGTCAAAGCACTTTAGCAAATCGACAACAGTTTTACACTTTGACGGAAAGGCCTCGATACAAAAGTCTCAAGAGCGACAAGATCGGGCCATACCCCTCAGCAACCGGATCAAGGCTCTGGAGGTGCGAGTTGACAACGCCATAGGAAAAAACAGCGGCTCTTTGGGCCCCCTGTACAAGCAATGTCGAAACTCGTACAAGACATCCAAGGCAGCGCTGGCAGACATAAGAAATGTGCTGGAGACCTTGGAGTGGCACATCTGCGAATGTCCCTTCCAAGCAGACACGCACATTGCTGAGTTGTGTCAAGCTGATAACAACAAAGACGACCTCGCAATCATTACCGCCGACAGTGATATGAAGGTATATCAAGGTGTTAGAGAAATCACTATACCCGTCGGAAAGTACCGAGAGCTTACCACGTACAAGAAGGCTGACCTGCTCGAGTCTCTAGACCTTGCATGTGACCGTGAGCTGTTGCTGGCATCAATCATTACTAAGAATGACTACTCCAAGGCACTCCCGTGGCACGGCTTCCAAAGAAATATCAAGATCGTCCGAGAGATGAGGACCGAGACCAGAGTAGGCGATGGATCGACCATGGACGCGCCAGGATCCAAGACAACTGAGGCTGAGGTTATCAAGGAGCTGATCCAGAAGTATTTACAACGGGCGAGAGGGGGACAAAACAAGAGTGTGGACGACTACACCCACGCCATTTCGGCTTTCGTTCAAGTGCGTGAAGACTATCTTGACTCCGCTACGCCATCGTGCACGATCCACGAGAAAATACGGGGCATACTCCAGAAGCTCGAGAAGTGCAAGCTGCAAAGGAGAAATATGACTCGAGCCTCGCGGACAAATCCTCCAGCCGACACACTCGCCAGCGACACTTCTGCAGGCTTGGCGTTTCCTTCCCCTGTCCAACACAGCCTGCAGACGCCTGGACAGCAGACGGTTCTTCAGGCCCGACGCCGTCGCCGCAGACACGAGAAAGGGAACGCCCAGCAACGGAGAAAGCGACGCCCCAAAGGCAAAGTAAGACGTAAGAAAGTCCGGGAGGCAAAATGGAGACGAAGCAGGTATGATTATCGTATGACTTTGTTAGCGAGTTCAAATTCATTACGACCTTTTACAGCTTTGTCGCTTTGGTACAATCATCTTATTGATATTTTTTTTTAATTTTTGGGATTGTCACTTAGGTACAAGAGCAGGAACGGAGATGCCAACCCTCGTTATTCCCCTCATGTTGTCATGGACGTCAGCCAGTCATGCTCGGTCGACAAGATCACATTAGAAAAGATGTCCATCGAGGAACCGCGCCTGCGGAAGAAGAAGGACGGAAGCATGGATGATAATCCTAAGGCCAGGAGTGAAATCAAGGCGAAACCCAAGAAGGACGAGGAAAATGATAAAACGGAGAGGCGAGCCGGAGCTAACCTGACTAAGCGCCTGTTCGGAGAGGCTTTCAAGACTGCCACAATGACTGCAGGGTCGATCACAGGATGCCTGCATCGCGCCACGAAGCTGAACGTAGTCCAGACCAAGATCGTCGCGGAACGCATCAGCGAGACGGCCCGCATCATGAGCCAAACTCGTATCCTCGTGTTTAAAGCGCTCGAACTTTTTCTCTACAAGGAGGTCAGCACTGCCACCATATCCAATTCAGATCAAGCGCGTTCGGCACCAGACCAGAACTTGGGCACTGATGTCAATCAAGCGAGTGCTCCGAAAGTCCAGCACAAGGAGGAAAAGAACGCGGACCCACTTGATCTCATTCTGCACAAGGCACATGGAGAAACTATCATCAGAAGTCTGATCTCTTTGATTCTGAATGGTCCAGTAGCACCCCGCGGGAGACTACCTAAAGACTCGGCGGCAATTCAGGCGAAAACAATTGCGCGCTCGATTTATGACGATTTCCTGAGCGTTCTTTCAGATTGCGTACCGACAAAGGACTGCCCTGAGCGTCATCCAGGCGGAACTGGCGGTGGAGGTCCGGACCGCGGTTCGGGAACATTCCCAGAGACTGCCCAAGTTCATTGTGAACAAGGTAACATTTCCACTGTCCAGAACAAGATCTATCTCGCGTCGATTTGCTTTTCCACTGTGAACTTACGTTTATTTTTTGTTTCTATTAGCTGAAGCGTGCTCGTTTCTTCACGATGATATACCTCCAGTTGAGGATGACGAGAGCTCCGACGGCGATAAACAGAAAGACAAGGTGTCATTTAAGAAGGGGCACATCCAAACTTGGTGGAGGTACTTTCTCCGTATGCCGTCGGACTTGCGTCCTATTTTCTGTCCAGTGTCGAAGTTGGGAGACTCTTTCATCTTGTGCTCTGAGGCTGCCATTCTTTCACTTCTTTGGGGCAATCCAAATTCAAAGACGCACCCTACACGGCATATCATGGAAACTCAAGTCTGCTCTTCCGAGACGGCCCACGAACTTGCATCAGAGAAATATGGGGAGCTTTTCCGACAATTGTTTATCGGAGACAAGGTCGAGATCAAGGCGGATCCCCTCAAGAACCAGACTTCATATGGCAAGAAAACAACGACCATGAACCGATTGCTGAAGGACCATCCAAACACATACGGCCAAGCTGCACTCGATGGGTACATGAAGAGAGTCTTTTCAAATCACAAGGCTAGGAAACAAGCAGCTGCCGAAGGCACGGAGCCCCCCGTGCCCCCCGATCTCCCAAGCAATGACAGCGTTAAGGAGTACTATGCCATCAGCAATATGATGAGAACAGACGGAGTCCAGCTCCACCTAATGGCATTTGACATCCAACGACGTTGGCAGTCATCCAAATTTAAGGCGCGGATCCCGGAGATTACATCGCGATTTCCTAATAAAGGGTCTCTCGCAAAGGCTTTCGATCAAGACCTCCAGAATGTTGTGGGGGTGGGGGTGGACCCCGGTGAAGTAATTTCAGCATCATTTTGTGCGCTGGACCCCCGAAAACCGAACCAGGTCACGAACCTGCCTATCAGACGCTCCGCTCTCTACAGTCCCAACTTGTCATTCAGAGCCACGCTGGAGGCCAAAAAACGCGAACGGGCCACTGTCACAATCAAAGACGATGCAGGATTGAGTAGGCACATATGCGAGACGCCTAGCATATTGGAATTGGAAGCCTCGCTACCGTTGTCGTCGTTCGTAAGCATGGGAGAACACCGGCATGGCCTCCGACAGTTCAGCTATGTCCTACAACCACTTTGCGATTTTTACGGATCCCGTTCGATGAAAAAAAAAGCTGTGGGAGCTCAAAAAGACGAACCGGGCAGAGAAGGATCATGCCGTGCATGGGGCATTGCGAACTGTGGACCCACAAAGCGGGATGCATACTGGGCCAACGAGACCGGCGATGTTTGTATACGGGCCAGGAAAGTTCAACACCCATACCAAGCTGGCATCGCTACACGAGAGCTTCAAGGGGTATTTTTTTCACAAGGTATGTTGTTTTAAAGATATTCGCTATATTCGTTGCGATTTGCTTGTTTTCAGCCTAGTATCGATACTGATGCCATGTTTCCGCATGCCATTGCACTACATAGGCAAACAGCCTCGGGTACACCGCCGTTTGTTCGGATGAGTATCTCACGTCATCGAAATGCCCAAGCTGTGTACGACAAAACAAGGACCGAAGAATGGCAAAGCCAGCGAATCGGGCGTTCGTCTGCCTTGAGGATGGGTGCCAGAGATGGCTAGACAGAGACTGCGTGGGCGCTCAGAATTTGGCTAATATTGGCCTCGAATGGATCAGTAGCCTGTCTCGCCCAGAGCCCCTTCGCCGACCCCAGCAAGAATAACTGTACTGGCCGTATCAGTTAAAATTTATCCTACAGTCCTTTTTGTGAAATAGCCGATCTTTCATAGTAAAAGTTGGGCTATTTCGACTAAATTGAAATACATACACGAGGCTATTCATTTTTTGTGATGGCTGAAATACGTTATTTCCCTGCAATCTTTACGCTCATGACTACATCAAAACGCGTGTCATTCTCACTCTCACTTTGCTTGGAGATGAGAACGCGAGCTACCGAAAAACAGCACGGTACTTGATTCGTAAATCTTACTAGAAATAAACTCATCATGTGACCTCTTAAATCCTTGCAAAAAAATGAATAGCCTCGTGTATATATTTCATTTCAGTCGAAATAGCCCAACTTTTACTATGCAAGTTCGGCTATTTCACAAAAAGGACTGTAGGTGGCTGTCTCTCTTTCCAGTTGAGTGCGTTTATCCCTCAATCTCACTCAAACCAACATTCATCCAACTCATCTGGCACCTAAAATATATCACACCTTTAATTCACATAAGGTTTATCATCGCACACTAAAATGAGACCAGCCTTTCCATCTAACGATGGACGGTCTCTCGGGGACTCCGGAGAAAGAAAGAGGCCATGACTCTTCCTTTTGATCGCATCGGTTATTCTCCCCTTTTTGATTCATTCTTCTCTTGACTCATTAACCACGCTCTCCCTCAGCGCTATCTCTCAAGAGCTTGACTATACCACTTTGATCCTCACCAATACTCACACTCACACCTGCACTCGCACTTGCATTCGGCTGTTGGAACCCCGCAGGAAAGGAAGGAAAAAAGTAAAGTCTGCTCGCGTGAGTGACCTTGTTCTCCTCTTGATCTGTTCATTCACCCCATCGCACTCCACTTCATTCCAACCCGCCTGTACATTTTAGTGAGGCGAACAAAGGTTTTTGCGGGAAGTTCTCATCCAGAACTCGCTGGTCTGGTTACTGCTCGACTGGGAGTTGAACCAGCAAAGTCCACCCTTTCGCAGTTCAAGAACAGGGAAACCTCAGTTGAGATTGGTACATATCCTCCTACTCAGCTGCCTTGACGATTGTCATAACGTGTGTGCAATGTGCTTTCCTCCTTGGCTAATTGTTTATGTATCTTTGTACGTAGGTGTGTCGGTCCGCAACGAGGATGTGTTTATTATCCAGTCTGGATCGCCAAAGATCAATGACTCCCTTATGGAGCTGCTGATCATGATTAATGCCTGCAAGGGTTCTTCCGCTCAACGCATCACGGCTGTTATCCCTTACTTTCCCTACTCGAAACAGAGCAAGAAGAAGAAGCATCGTGGTGCCATCGCAGCCAAATGTATGTATATCGAAAGGACAGTCAAAAAAGACAAAGCATGGCTGACACCATGACTAACGAACGAATCGTGCTCGTACTTTATTCTTGTTATCGAGCAATTGATGTGTTACGTGGTATATAGTGGTTGCAAATATTCTCTCAATTTCAGGAGTGGACCATATCATCACAATGGATCTACATGCTTCCCAAATGCAGGGGTTCTTCAACCGTCCGGTCGATAATCTCTATGCGGAGCCGACAATTGCACAATGGATTCAGGATAATGTGGATGATTGGGAGAACGGCGTTGTCGTCAGCAAAAATGCCGGGGGTGCCAAAAGGTAAGCAAAAAAAACAAAGAAAAACGTTACTGTGTGCGATGGTATCCTATATACTCTCTTGAACTAACATACGATTTGTCTCGTCGATCGATGACAGGGTGACTTCGCTTGCAGATCGATTGAATATCGACTTTGCGTTGATCCACAAGGACAGGAACAGACAGGGACATGCGTATGCTCCAGACCATTCGCTGTCGAAGCCCGAGGAGATCTACAATCGACTCGAGGATGAGGACGATGACTATGACGATGATATGGTTGATGCGGAGACCGGTCATGAGGTCCTACGCATCAGTGCCGTTGCGGACGAGACCTCGCAGATGACGCTTGTTGGTGATGTCCAGGACAAAGTGTGCTTCATAGTGGTATGTTTTATGAGTCGTATTCCGTTATATATCTTAGTTCCTTTGAGTTTTAATGATACTTATGAATATTCTTTTGATTTTTATCTTTTTAGGATGATATGATTGATGGGTGCCACTCGTTCTTGGAGGCAGCGGATATGCTGGTGGGACATGGCGCGAAGCAGGTGTACATCATTGCGACCCATGGGATTCTCAGTGGCAACTCGCTACGACAGATCGAGGAGTGTGCGAATGTGCACCGGGTCGTGGTCACCAATACTTATCCAATCCCGCAGGAGAAACGTGCACTCAGCTCCAAGTTAAAGATACTCGACATCAGCGCGACGCTCGCAGAGGCCATCCGCCGCACTCACAATGGCGAGTCCATCTCGTATCTCTTTACTCAGGTTCCCAAAAACCTGTAAGCAAAAGGCCGTCAATAAAGAACTGCGGTCATGACGAACGTGTTATAATCGGTATCAGTATTCGTATCAGTGCTGCCGTCACTTTCACTGTCATCCGTGTATATGTTTTATTTTATTTATTTTTATTTTTGTGATTCAGATTCTTTTATTTGACCTCTGCAAACGCACTAACACGCTCTCAACACACCTCCCATACACTCAACACATACCCACACACCTATTTAGCCCAGAAGGTATTCGCCATGTGCATCGTCTGCTTGAAGACCGCATAGCATGATCATGGAGGATCCAGCCCATCCACTCCTCCATTTCTTGTCTTTTAACTGTTCCACTTGTGCCTGATTCAAATAGAAGAGAATATCTACTCAACTCCTGAAAGCTCAGGAGCAAACCTCACTCGGATCCGCAATGGCCTCAGGCACTCCAAAGGACCCACGGTTGCGCTCAAAGACCAGCGTCGCGCCCTCACCACCGCTGTCTTTGTCATCTTCAACATCGACCACCACAAGAGCACACTCAGGCCCGACACCCTCCCCCTCCTCCTCCGCATACGCCGTATCTCACCTAGCCAGCACACCCCCAACTTCAGCAACATCACCCGCAAGCAGCAGCTCTCATAACACTCAGGCCTCGAGCAACTATCGTCCAAGGGACGATCGACGACCACGAGACGACCACCGAACTCGAGATGACCGGCGACCTCGAGAAGACGAGCGTAACCGCGAGGAGTATTCACACAGAAGACATAGTTCGTCCTACGGTTATGAATCCAGCACCAGCACTGGGGGTATCTCTTCCTCAAGATACGAGGCATCTGCATCTACAGGATCAGAGAGACCCACCTCTTCATACAGACGTGAGCCTCCTCCGGATCCGCGCCGTGAGAAGGACCCCCGATACCGCGACCCTCCAGTATTGACATCAATATCTGCGTCAACCCAAAGCGCCTACCACCGCGGCAGGAGCCCGACTCGCTATGCAGGCCATAGGCCCAACGCCCGAGATACAACTTCGGAGATTTCGTCATCTACAACTGAGGAACAGGCACCATCTCCAGGAACGAGATACAGGAATCCGTTTGCGAGATCACTGACAGCGAATGCACTTGCGCCTGGAATTGCAACGACATCTGCCACAGTACCGGCATCACCAGTGACAACAAAGTATCCATCAGCACTGAGCACAGTACCACCATCAGCAATGAAGCCGACGGCTCCTGTCGAAGTGCAGACGTCAAGAAGATCGATGTCATCCGCCGCCTCTGGCCTGTCTGCTGTACCCAACGGAGCTGTTAAGTATACTGCCCATGAAGAGCGAAGGCGGGACCCTAGTCGACACCGAAGCAAGAGCAGGGTAAGAAGTAAGAGCAGAGAGAGAGAACAGGACCGAGACCGAGAACGAGACCGAGAACGAGAGAAGGAACGTGGGCGAGGCAGGAGTCGTTCGAGGGCGCCGAGCAAGGACCGCGGCCGATCCAAGAGCAGAGCTCGCAGCAAGAGCCGTGCCAGGAGTCGAAGCAGGCCTGTGAGACAAGTCATCAGTATGGGCGATTACTCCAACAAGCGACACAGGTCCAGATCTAGGCATCGTTACGCTGACAGCGACAGCGACAACATTACGGCCAGCGATAGCTACAGTGGCTCCAGCGGAAGTGACAGTGACGATGACCGATACAGTTCGAGACCGCATGGACATCGACACAGAAAGAAACGACGTTACGCCTACAGCTCGTCGGAGAGTAGCAGGAGTGACCTTGACACCTCTGAGGAGAGTGACGATAGCGCACTGAATAGCGACGTTCCATTGGCACAGCACCGATCCAATCTACGGCCCTCCTCTCACGCTGTCCCTGATTCTGATCCATCGACTCGACTCAACGGCCCTCTGAAGGATATCATGACCAAGGTAAGTTGAGGATGCATGGATCTTATCTAAGAACACCACGTACATAGTGTCATTGGCTCCAGCATCTTTTTGTGGCTCTGTCCTTTGCTGAATTTTTTTATATTCTTTAGATGAACAACCTGACAGAAAAATGCACAAGGCGTGCAGACAAGCTGAGCAAGACGGTCAAGAAGCTGAAGGTCACCCAACGGAGATACAACGTCGAGATGAAGGAGTTGGAGAAGGAAATCGGGATGCAAAGGTCGTCAGCACCCGGTCCAGAGGCCCCGCAGATCATGTATGCAGGCGCCATACCGGTACCCGGCGCGCCTCGATCTCGCACCAACTCGGTTCAATCAGAGGTTATTGCATCAGGTTTTCAAGCCAGCGGACGAGCTTTAAGCGGAGTGCCAGTGCCCCCGTCTCTCAGACCTGTACCTCTGAACACTCAGCACAAGTCGGACAACGACCTGCAAGTGGCATCAAGCAGTACGGGGAACAGCAGTAATAGCGGCATGGTGACAATCCGGGTACCGCAAATCCCCGACCCGGCAGTGCACATGGCGTTCCCTCATCCCCGTGCAGTTGGATACAAGCGAGTTTTCGAAAGGAGCACATATGATCTTCCGGTTGCGAACAGGCCAACAATCGCTGTTCTTTCGATTCTGAAAAAGAATGTCGTTGAGCGAGCCTTTGGGACCAAAAGGCCCAAACCCATGGCCCTCAATCCATTTTCCCATCAAACCCAGTTCGACGGCATTGCAGCGACATGCTCTCTGGACGGGTAAGTTAGGGCCGCCTTTAGGATAGCTTTCTTGGGGTATAGGCTTTGTGCAAGAATGAGTGATTGATTTCTAACACACTGCGATTGTTCTCTGGGATGTTGCGACGAAATAGTAATATCCACTTTTGGGATATCAATACGCAGCGGTTGCTGTTGGCGGTGCCAGCGGGTGTGAACCGAGTGATCCCATATGCGGAAGCCCTCACTTGGGTGTCTGAGAATACAATCGTAGCAGTTAGCCACCTGAAAAAGGGATCCGCATGGCCACATCCGCCCTTGGAGGCTGCAGCAACCACGGAGCCGACGCTACTGTCACTTCCCGAAACTCAGACGAACCTCATCAAGATTTATTTTAATAAGGAGGGGAAGCTGAACTGTAGAGTCTTCAGTATTACGTCCGCACCGCACTCGAAACTGATCGGCAATGTTACGGCGGTCATGCGGGAAAATCATTCCCTTTCGTATATCACATCGGGCGAAGATAGGAAGTTGGTAAAATACGGTGAAATGCCATATGGAATAGGCCACTAATGCTGACGCGTTTTATGAACTCTAATTCATGTTCCGCGCCCCTTCTTCTTACTGTTGATGGATATAGTATCATTGGATGTTTAAGCCAGCGCCGGCAGAAGAGGAGGCTGCATTTGAGCCAGAAGGCTTGAATATGATCCACCAGCTCCACTCCAACATCGTCATGAGTACTGTGTATTCTTATTATTCGAAGGCTCTTTACTCAGGAGGACAGGACGGCAAGTACATCAGTTTCGACATCGAGCATAGCAGGAAGATCAGGGAGTTGAAGCTCGGACCAGTATCTTATATCCTGCAGAACCCTGTCGACCCAAGGATCAACGCTGTCGTGTAAATTAGCTGTGATTTTCTGGCATCGCATTGTGGAAGATATTATGAAATCTTCACATACTCATGGAGCTGTCTTTGATCTTTGCATAACAATAGGTTGTTAGCCAAATCACAGCAGTACCATCTTGTGGATGAGCGCACGAACCAGTCAGTCTTAACGATGAGCTGCGACCAGGGTAGCGCCAAGACCTCGAAACTCTCCGCTCCCTCATGGCATCCCGAAGGTGGCCTGTTATGTTCCGGTAGCAATGAAGACGGCCAGATCAATATTTGGGATGTGCGCTGGAATTGGATACGATACGACTATACGCGACGACCCGGATCAGGAGTCGTCACTGGAGACGTTGACTTTGATACCGTCGTTACGTCTGGACACCGGGCCCCAAGACATCCGATCTTTAACCGACTGCCACGGAGAAGCTATGCTCGGGACACGACAGCCGGACCGAGTCAGGTCTTGGATTTTGGGGGAAAAAGAGTTGTCCAGGCTTGCTTCCATCCCACCAAGAATACGATGATGGTCTTGAAGGCTGACAGCAGCCTCACCTTTGCGTAAGTCTGGACGTCTTTTATTGTTATTGTTGTTATTGTTACTGGGGTCGCGTCCAGGAAGTGCACTGATAGTCTCAACCTAATAACTAACTAACGGTTCATATTTCATCATCACGTTTATAGGGAGTACACTATGCGGAGCGACCCAATCACGGCTTGAACATCTTGAACGTCTTGAACATACACACGGGCTATTGCAGTATTCAACGACGAAAAGATTTTTTTTTTTTTTGTATTTGACAGGGCCATGAACAAATGTACTATGGTATTTTCTCGATGAGAACCCCTTTTAGCCGATTGAATGGGCTTCCTCAATTGAAGTTCAGTCGCACTTCATCCATGTAAACGGACCATCGACTGGGAAATTTAGTCGGTCGAACTTTACATCTCGTTAATAAAACAACTAAAACTCACCCGCACCATACTAGGGGTGTGCTACTAGAACATTTTATTATGCTACTGTACCAATCGCTTCGTGGCGCGATTATTATGGAATACTATTGTACAAGTGATCAAAGAAATGAAAGAGGAGATGCAGAAGATAAGAAAAATACAAGGGCAGATAAAAAAAAACGAGCGAGCCGTTCAAGCAAAGCCAATCACAAAGGCGGTGATGCAGATGGCAAGGACAAAGGAGCCAATGGACCAAATGAGATTAATTCTCTTCCAACGCAGATCCAGTTCGTATCGCAGCACCTTGCGGTTGTGTTCCATCCGCAGCTCAAACAAGGAAGAAGCATGGTCTTCTGCAGACCAAGGACCATGTCTGTCAAACTCACGGAAAGACGGCATTGGGATGTGGATTGTGCTGATGTTGTTGTTGCCCCCCAGTACCAAGGTTGAGCCTTCACGATCAGTTTCCTGAGAAATTCGGACAATTTGAAGCGTGGCTACTGTAGCCGACTCATCCTTAGAAGTCGTCTTGATGGATGCGATCCTTGCGCCCGCAGCCTTCAACTGCCGCTGCAGCCATTGAACCATCGGGTGCTCCCGCAGGTCGCTCGTCTGTGCCTCGACATCGTCGTCGCTGCCGGCATGAGCACGCTCCGAGGCCGTGAGGTTGTCGGGATGCTCAATGCTCGGGTATATGCTTCCTATCCACCACAAGATCGGGCAAAGATGTCCCAACAAGAAAAAGAAAGGTCCAGGCACGATTCCCTCCTGGTCACGAAAGATCCAGTACCGGTCGCCCTTCTCACGACGAATTGGCGGCAAAGGTTTGGTCTCCAAGGGAGAGACATGGAGGGGCCATGGGTCGAAACTCGTGCGGTTAGTCCGGATCCGACCTGTAATTTCCTCCAGCACGATCTCAAGGTCACGACTCGTATTTGTGCTCGAAATTCCTGAGGGCTTTCCTGCGAGGTCTGGGTTGTCTTCTCTACCAGGGACAAGTTCGCGGACATAGGGCGCCGGTTTTTGCTGGACGCGGATGACGACGGATGTGTTGAGACTAGTCAGCGGGCTAGTGCTGCTCGGCATCAGACCTCGCGGGTAGATCGGCGTTGTTGTCGACGTGATAATAGATGCATGGGAAGAGATATGGCGAGTGTCGACGTCTGACGTTGACGGGAAGATGGTGACCGACACCTCCTCCGCGGAAACCCCTGCAGCACTATTGTGGTCTTCGTCCTTGAGCTTGTCCTTGTGGTTGGACTCGCTGTAGATAGTGAAATTATTGGCCGGATGATTACGATAACAAAAAGGGGTATTATTATGTGAAGCATGCTGATTATGAAAGCGGCCGCGAGAGCTGTTCCCATGAGAAAGGCTCATATCCTGTTGTTGTCCTCTGTTGGTGGTCGAGACCCTGAAGCCCAGAGCCGAAGTGCAGGGCGAGGCGCGATTGGAGGGCGACAGGGCTTCCATATCCTCGTGAGGATGATGGGTATGTGCAGTCGAGCAGCGGGAAATGGTCGCTGAAGAGGGGATGTAGTGAAGCGACGCCGAGGGAGAGGGCAGTGGAGGTGCATGGCCATCCTGGGCCGAGGACAGCATCAGCGCAGGTCCAAACGTTGGCGTCTTGAAGGGTGTTGGGGCCACCAGTGGCGCCCTGTGTCCTACAGGAGCACGCTCCCTCGAAGGAGGCGGAGGCAGCGACCCAGGGAAATAGTGCGCAATTAGACTGCGGGGACTCTTTGGGGGTAATGGGGGCAGTGGCGGCGACGGCGGTGTCGGTGGAAGTGAGGTCGTCGACTGCTCCAGCTGTTTTTGTTGGCCGGTTGTAGCTGTGGAACTCGGAGCTGAGGCCTGGGCGATCAGGTCGTCGGCGCCAGCCGCCCTCGCGTGCGATTGCTGGCATGCCTCAAAGGTTTTAGGAACGAGTTTCTTACTGGACGACGTTGTCTCAGCGAGGCTGCGATTGTGCCTGTGGCCTGTGCTCCGATTGGAATCAGGTACAGGAGCAGGAACAGGATAAGACTCTATCCGTCCATCACTATTGACGGTCCCACGTCTAGACTTTTGCTGACGAGGTTTTGAGCGCGACCTTGAACGGTGTCTCTTTCCTTCTGCTGACGATGTTGTTGTTGCTGCCGGTGTTGTTGTTGGGGACTGAGGCTGGTATTTAAGCAGGCTGGCAGTGAGTTGATACTCGAAACTAGAGGGTGAGATGGTGAAAATAGGCCGGTCAGCCTCTTTAGGAGCGAAGGCGCGTCCTTTTGTTGTTGGGGCTGGAGCAGAGACAGAGGCAGAGGCAGAGGCAGACCTTAGACGGGTCTTTTTAGTGATGGGAACAATGTTCCCGATTGGCGAGGCAAGTGTGCGAAAAGTTGTGGTGGCTGTTATTGCGGAAGGAGGTATAGTAACAGAGGCTAAGGTTGAGGACATGTTCGTAGCTGGAGTGAAGGGTGTGAAGGGCGAGGAAGGCGAAGTGGGAGTGATTGGGGTGGCGAGGGCGACGAGGGTAGGAGCGGTTGAAGACGAAGAGGTGTTATTATTGTTGGCATCGTCGTTGTTGCCAATGGTGTTGGACGACAACGGCTCGTGGAAGAGCGAAGACGCGGCAGAGGAGGGGTTAGTGGAGGGCGGAGTGATGGTAGAGAGGAAGGAGGATCTATTCCCGAGGAGGTCCTGGACAGCCTGCTGGCGCCTGGCCTCGAGATATAGCTGCCCGTCACGGTCTCTGTCCATGAGATGACGCTCCATGCTCGTCCGTGGTTCTATGTCCATGGCCGCACCCATATTCACGCTCTCACACTCTCTCGTTCAACGCAACGCACACTATTTCTTTCTTCTTGATGTAAGATTGATGTAGATATGTAAGGGGGTTGTTGTTGTTTGCCGAGGATGCTGCTGAATGGTGCAGGGAGGGAAGGGATGATATGCTGTATGCCCAATTGAAAGAAGGATGGGTATGTTGAGGGTGAAGTGCGAGCGAAGAAGGAAGCGCTTATGGTATGGCTGTGTTCATTACAACCGAAGAACGAGGATGAGAATCGGAAGGTGAAAGGTGATGAGCGATGAGTGATGAGAAAAGAAAGAGAGCGAGGGAGGTGGTATTGTTTTATTAGTGGCAATCGTGGCGGGAAGAGAAAGGAGGGAAGGAGGCGGGGGGAGGGGAAAGCAGAGGGGAGGAAAAAAAGGACCTGTGCCTGTGCTTGAATAAGAACGAAAAAGCACCGTAGACCATCCGAAGCAGACCATTCATTCTCTAATCCAATCCAATCCAGATGGGTCCCATGGTAAGTAAAGTGAACTAAAGTAAAGCACAAAGCAAAGCATGAAATGCTATGCGTGCAACCAGCCAATGCAGCCATTACAACCAAACACGCACACCTTTCGATTTTCCTTAGTAACCAAGTGTTCTTCCTTCTAAGCTCTCTCTTAGACTGAACGCCTTTCCTCCTCCAGCCCTGGCCCTCACCCTCTTATTCTCTGGTGAAAACTAGTCTTCATCCGACCCCCAGTGTTTCGAGTTAGACAGCAAGAACACCACCTCTCCCCTGGACTACTTTTTGTTGAGGAATTTGTAGTCTATGTATCTTTGTGTCTATGTGTGTGAATTGAGAGCTATACGCTCATCTACACTCAGAAGTAATCAACTCTCCTTACATTCAATCACACAAAAAATGGATATGTAGATGGAGAGAGGATTGTCTTTTTTGTGATGCAATGTCCCAGAGTGTGCTCAGTCCTAGTCTACTTGGGGAGGAACCGAGAGCTTCAACGGATGGGCTTTGCCTCACAAAACAAAAAAATCGTCGTCGTTTTTAAAATAAAATAAGAAAATTCCCCACATCCTTCACACTTTACCTCCTGGATTACACACTCGTAGTAGAGCTATACCTCCGCAACACAAAGATGCATGATCGAAAACAGACCAAACTCCAGGCACCATCAACTAAACTCATGGGCCATTTTTAATGAATAATCACAGCCATTCACAAATGAACGCTTTGAGCCATGTTCTGCCAGAACTGATGACAGAGACGGCATGCAATCTGCACATGCAAAACAATAGCAATATCTGATGGTACTATCATCATGGCTCCCACACACAACACCTATTAAAAAAATACAAATTCTCATCCATTGATAGTCTACTGCCAATTGCTCGGGAGCCCGGATGGAAAAACTCATTTAATTATAACTGATGGCAAGAGCGGATGGCGACTTGTAGATCAGGAGCTGAGCGAACAGCAAGCGACCGAGCGAGTGAACTCACAAAGTGAATAAGGACAGACCAGCTCCGTATACTTTGCGTTATGTTGCTCGACACGAACAAAATAAATTTATTTACGTCCGTGGCAACCTTCCCGCCAGGGCGGAATTTGAAGAGCCTGTTCATTATCCTCAAACAGCGCCTTCAGCTGGCGGGAATATGGACCCTTAAGCTTGCTTTCAAATTCCCCTGCCCTAGGCGGGTATGCCGAGGGTCTCAGATCGAGGGCGTCATATATATATATTACATGCCAGAGAAAATCGTTATTGCCAACATTGGAATACTATTATGACACGCCAGTTTATTGCATTAGTGTGCTAGCGTGTCTACAAGGCGGGTGTTGCTCGTGTCTCAAGACGTGCTCGCATCTTTTCGATCTCTCGTTCAAGGCTATCACCAAAGAAGAAAAAAGCCTGTCAATCTCAGTATTTGGCATAGAAAAAAAAAAGAAAAAAAAATAGAAGCAATAAACGGACGCGTAAGAAAGACATAGAGTACGTACCGGACAGCTTTCTCTTTATTCTCCAGCGAGTCCCTATCGGCCTTGCGCTTCGCAATCGTCAGATTGTTCTCCGACATCACCTGCAATGACAAGAAAAAGCATTATTAGCAAACCAAGTGGAGTATAACAAACGAATCACGATACTGCGGATGACACTTACAAGCTCTTCCACGCGTTGCCGCAGCGCTTTGATCTTTTGCTCCATCTTGGCTGCATCGTCATCTTGACGCGTCTTCAGCTTGTCTCTCTCCAGTAGCTGATGCTGCAGGTCCCGGACCATTCTCTCGGATCGACGCTGTACCCTCAAGGCCTCCTGTCTATTCCTGATCTCCGCGTCGAGCTGTGCTGTCTTCTCGTCCAGCTTCTGTTGGAAATGGCTAACAGACCGTGGTCCGTTGGTCTGATTGGCTGCCTCAAGATCTGCAATCCGGAGACCCAGCTCCGACACATGCTTCTCCAGTGCCACCTATAAAAACAAGAGTAAAAAAGCGCAGTAGGGTAAATCACGTTAGCTTTCTTCAAACAAAAGGGAAATAAAAGGCCGAACAACGCGACGTGAAACGAACCTTGGCGCGCATATTTTCTTCGTTGGAGGCTCTCTCCTTGGCCAGCTCGCTCTCTGCCTCAACAACAGCCAGTTCTGCTTTCCGCAGCTTCTCGTTGCAGACCGTCACCAGATATTGCTGCTCCTCTAAGCGCTCGCGAAGATCACCAGCCTCTTGATCCAGCGCCATTTTAATCCTCTCTGCGGTTTGCTTGTTCTGCGTCACAGTATGGAACTGCTCGCCTACATCATCCAGACGTTGCTCCAGTCCACGCTTGATCTTCTCCAGAGCCGACCTCGCAGCCTGTGCCTCGTCCAGTGCTGCCCTGTACTCGCGTACCTGTGAAAGCAAGTTGACAATCTGGACCTGCTGGTCGTCCTGCGTCGCAAGCGCATCCTGGTAATTCTGAGACAGGTCATTAAACTTCGTCTCCAGTCGCTCCTTGTCCTTCTTCCAGGACTGGTTGTTCCTCAGCTCTTGTTCGAATCGGTTGGTCACCTCCTCCAGATCCGCAGACAGCAGCCTGTTGGTCTCACGCATCTTTTGGATGTTGGCCCTTTCAAGCTCAATCTCTGTCACCAGCTGGCGAAGCTCCTTCTGATACTTGCGTTTGATCGTCTCCAAGACCTGCTCGCTCTCCTCCATCTCTTTGCGATGCTTCTCACGCTCAGACGTCAGCTCCTCATCCAGGCGACGGCGTGCCATGCTCAAGTCGGCGTTCGTGATCAGATCCTCCTCGACGCTGTCCTCCAGCTCTCGCATCTGCTGTTGGTATGTCGCCGCCCTTTCTTCAGCCACCTTACGTTCCGCAATGGCTTCCTGGAGCGACTCCTCCAAGTCCTTGAGCTGCATTCGAACAAAGCCCTCCGTCTTCTCAGCCTTCAACCGACCCAGTTCTGCAGCCTCCAGTTTTGTCAGGGTGCTATCCGCCTTGGCCTTGTAAATCTGAAGTGACTCCTGCAGTTCACTCATCTTGGCAGCTTCAGCCTCGGATTTAATCTGGAGGTCTTGGAGCTCGGCTGCCAGACGTCGCTTGAAGGCAGCCTCCTCATTCTTGGCCAGGATCTCGGCCTCGAGCTGTGCCTTGAGGTCGTCCAGGTCCACCTGCAGCGACTTGCGTTGTTTCTCCAGGTTTTGAATCTCGCCTAGCTTATCCTCCAACTCCAACTGAGCGAGCCTCTGCGCTGCAACTGCAGCCTTACGCGACTCTTCCAGTCCCTGGAGTTGATCCTCCATCTCCCCCCTGATCTTGCTTGTCAGGTACTCCATCTCCGAAGAGTTACCCTTCTTGGCCGCAGCCATCATCTCTCTCGTATCGGCTTCCTCGTCCACCAATTCCTGCAAGCGCTGGATCTCTCGTTCCTGCTTGCGAATCTTTTCAACCAGATTGGCTTTCGAGTCATCTCCACCATCAAGCTCCTGACGAAGACTCTCAATTTCAGCAGTCATTTGCTTGTTAGCCCTATCCAGGGTCTCTTTCTCGTCCAGGATTGCCTCGAGTTCGCTCTGAATAGCATTCGACTTGCGCTCGTGTCTCGACGACAACTCTTCAAAGTTCTTGCGGAGCCTCTCCTCAGCCTCAAGTCGAGTCTGGTACTCACGAAGGGTCGTCTCTAGCTTCTTCTTGGTCCTCTCCATGTCCGTCTTGGATTTGGTCGACGTGTCACGGTTCAAACTGAGGTCATCAATCAGCTCCTTCTGTTTCTTGTTCGTCTTGGTGAGTTCATTAATGGTCGCCACATGCTCAGTCACTTGCTGGCCCAGCTCATCGATCTCGATCAGAAGGATCTTCTTCGTTTCCTGGTACTGCTCCTCCTTGGCTTCCATGTCTGCGGCTAATGCCCTGCGAGAATCGGCCAGCTGCTCCTCAAATCGGCGCTTGAGCTCCTCGGCTGCATAGCGTAGGCTCTTCTCTTCTTCGTACTTGGTCTCAAGTTCCTGGATCTGGGCCTCCATCTTGCGCTTCAGTTTCTCGACCTCATGTGCGCTCTTTCCGCTGGTACCGAACTCGTTGATCAGCGATCCCAGCTCCTTCTCCAGCTCTGCCTTGGATCGGGAGAGACTGGTGATCTGCTGGTTCTTGGACTCGAGATCCAGGTTAAGACTGTCGAGGTTGGTTTGCAGCTTTCTGGCCGTGGACTCTGCCAACTCTCGATGATGGCGCTCGACCTGGGTTTGCTCCTTGACCTGGGAAAGCTGGATCTCTGTGGCCTTGGCTACCTTCTCGGCGGCTCGGGTCGCAGCATGATCACGGTCAAGTTCGATTCGCAGGTCCTCGACCTCGGAGGTTAGACGAGCCTTGCTCTTCTCGATATTACTGTTGGTCAACATGAGCTCGTCATTGCGGGCCTGCAACTCTGCCACAGTCTTCTCTAGGCGTCGCTTGGCCTCCTCGAGCTCAGTAGCGCGTTCCAGTGTCTCGCTCTGGTACTTGAACTTGAACTCATCGAGCTCGGCAGCCTGAGTCGAGGTCTTGCGCGCAAACTCTGCCTTACACAGTTCATCATCCTCACGCTGACGACGCAGGTCCTCCAACTCCATCTCGAGCTCCCGTCGACCGCTCTCAGCCTGCTTCCGGCGCTGGGCCTCCTCCTCAAGTTCCTCTCTGAGAATGTCAATCTGCTTCTGATTCGAGGCTTTGTCTCGCTCGAGACGAGCCAGACGCTCGTTCGTGTCGTCGTTTCTCGAGTTGGCTGTGCTCAGCTGACGTAAGTAACTCTCCTTGGTGAGGCGCTCCTGGTCCAGTGCACTCTCCAGTTCGGCTTCACGGCTCCTAGAGGTCTGCAACTCATTGTTGGTCTGCTTGAGTGACCTTTGGTAGGTCTCTACGACTTGCATGTTGCGCTCGACTTGACTCTGGATTTCCGCAAGCTGCTTCTCATAAGAGTTCTTGATCGTTACAGCGGCTGTATGTTCCTGAGACAACTCGTCCAGTTCTAGACGGTACTGTTCGCCTTGGGCAGCCAACTTCTTGCGGCCTTCCTCCAGTTCAGACTGCAGCGAATCAATCTCCTCTTTGAGCCTGAGCATCTCGGTCTCGCGCATACGTTGAAGTTCTGTGTGCTTGGTTTCTTCGTCGCCCTTAGCTTCCAGAGTCCGCTTGGTCTCCTCGAGCTGCTCCTCCAGTCTGGCCTTGACCTTCTCCATTCGATTGAACTCGTGCCTTTCAGCCTCGAGCTCCTCCTCGTTCTGCTGAAGCTTGAGAAGTAGATCTCGACGTAACTTCTCCCCGCCAGTCTTTTCACGATCCAATTCCGCTTCCAGGGCAGTGAGGCGATTGGATTTGTCCTGGATTTGCTTTTCTTGGTTGGTGCAGGTCCTTCCAAGTTCGAGGGCTTGCTCCTTGACCTGTTTCAGTTCAGCCTCTGCTGTCATGTGCTTGTTCTTGAACGCCAGCTTCTCGCTCTCGACGGTCTCGATCTTGCTTTCCAGTTCTTCGATTGTATTCTTGAGTCGTATGCGCACGCGCTCCAGCTCGAGATCCTTCTCGTCCACCTCTTTGTGAAGCTCCTCCAAGCGGACTTCGAGAGCATGTTTCTCGGCTTCCAGCTTGCGGACAGCGACAGAGTCCGTATCGCGGGCTGTTTGGACATGTCTGAGTTCAATCTCCTTGGACGATCGCTCCTTCTCCAATCTCTCGATCGCTTCGACTTGTTCCACGACCTTTTCCTCAAGGTGGCGTGCTTGAAGCGTGGCCTCGGCCTTGGCCATTGTCAGTTCTTCGAGCTGGGATTCTGTCTGCGCCAGCTCCTGCTCGATTTCGCGAACACGATCCTCCAGTTGCGAAGCTCTGGCTTGCGTACGGATGAGAATCTGCTCGTTATCGATCGACAGATTGCGTTCTGTCTCCAGTAGCTCCTCGAGTCTCGCCTTTTCGGCTTCATAAGCTCGACTGGCCTCCTCGAGTTTCAATCTCGCCTGTGTTTCCTGCTCCTGCTTCTCTCCCAAGATGCGAACCTTCTCCTGATTCTCGCGCAGCTCCTCAGCGACTCGGGTGACGTTCAGAAGGGGCTTGATGCGGACGTACATCTTCCACCAAGACCATTCTCGAAGTTGGACGTACACACGGGCGTTACGCTGAATAATCTTTATGGCTTTAGCGCGGTCAATCTTTTGGTTCAGGTGACGACGAGCAAGATATCCTCGGCAAACAGCCTGGCACTTGGTAAAGATCTGAGAGAGCTTTTGATCTCGAATATCCTCCAGTTCCGCCAGCTTTGTTTAAACAGACAAGTAGTTATATCCAAGTTAATAATCAAGAGTTATCTCACGAACGACCAAATGCTCCGAGATCAATATAAACAAAAAAAAAAAAAAACCTACTACTCCAGAGCGGAAAAAGACTTTGCTGGTTCCGACTCGATATTGGGACTTGTCCATCTGAAGCGCTTCCAAGAGTGTTTGGGCTGCGACGCGACCATCCATGTATCCGCTGGGAATCACGCCTGGTGGGGATAGGATCTCATAGCGCTGTTTGAACTCTGCAAACAAAATCCTATTGGGGAATCCAGCCCGACAAATACGAATGCCCTCGAGAACACCGTTACAGCGCAGCTGGTCAAGAACCAAGGGCACGTTGATCTTTCCAGCCTTCTTTTCCTCATTGGGCAAGATACAGCGCACGAAGTGTGGTCTGGTCTCATATAGATGATCCATCAGAGACCGCAGCTGCTCCTTGTGTCTCTGGGCGACGGTGCGGAAGGCTCCTTTCTTGGCTCTGTTCCTGACAGTAAAGTCCTCTTCTTCGACCAAATAGTCCGAGAACAGCGAGGCCAGGTATTTTTCACTGGAGTGGGCCAAAAGTCTGGTGATGTTCTCGTTCAAGGGGTCCTTGTTCTTGTCCAACCATCCTTCGGTCCTGTATTCAACCTTTCCAGCATAGTGATGCAGGATGAAGCCTTCTTGAAACCGAGGTGCTTCATACTTGTCGGACTTGCCCTTCCAAAGAGTGGTCAGCTTGGTTAAGAAGGATTTGTCCGTTCCCTTTGGCACGACACACTCTTCGTCTAGGCAGGACAAGATTCCGATGGGCTAAGAATTTTAAAGGATAGTGAGTTTCTTGTTAATGTGCATCCTATTTTGATCTTTTTATTATTATGTCATAAAAAAAAAAAAAAAAAAAAAAGACTTACGTTGGAGTCTTCGATTAGTTGAATTGTAGGTTGCAGGTCCTGACCAAAATCGACATATTGCCACTCAATATTCTCGCGTTTGTACTCATCCTGTTCAAGGATGAACATGTGGTGGTTGAAGAATTGCTGCAGTTTCTCGTTGGTGTAGTTGATACAGAGCTGCTCAAAGCTGTTGACCTGTTTCATTAGAGGGGTCGAGCGTCAGCAACTAGGCCTAAACATACAACTCGTACCATCTTCATTTGCCACATCGCCTTACCTCAAAGATTTCAAATCCAGCTATATCGAGCACGCCAATGAAGGTCGTGAACTTCTTGCCGGGGGTATCGATCGCGTGGTTGATCCGTGCGATAATTGAGTCGAACATGCGTTCGTAAAGCGCTGTAGAGAGGGCCTCGACAGAGTTGAGGACTTGTTGATCTGTCCTTGCTTGAACCACCCATTCGCGACCGGCCTTAACCTTGGGCTTCAGGAGTCCCTTTACAAAATCGGAGAGTGGGATTCCCAAGACGTGACAAACCTTTTCTGCTACGGAGGTATCCTTGATCTGTGCCTGGTCGGACCGATCCTGGGTCACAGAGATATTGCCGAGGTGCAGGATGGCAGCAATGACACGAAACAGATTATGTTGCTCTTGTTTCGTGAAGCCCATCACATCCATAGATTCCTAAACATAGCGGCCGGTGCAATATTCAGAGTCATGTTAGGGAATTTAAATAGCCGCAGAAAAAAAAAAGTTTCCAATGAGAATTACGACACTCAGTGACCATACCAAGAGTAATTTAAAGTCCTCGCCATCATCAACGCCAGCAATGATATGGTTCGAGTTCTTGACGTAGCCATAGTCATTTAAGGTGCCGTCGAGCAGGAGCGATTCTAAATGACCATGGGGGGAGCAGATTTAGATTTGTACGAGTAAGCGTGCGAATTCATCAGTTAATGACAGTGCGGCAAGAACCCGGCGGCAACATACTCTTGGTATCGGCAGGGGCTCCTGCCATTAGCTGGTAGAAGATATGGTAGTTTCGCTCCTGGGGCGTCTGGTAGGTGACACGCGACTTTTCAAAGAGATAGCGCTCGATGTTGCCGCCTGCGATATGGCCGGCCGACGTGAACTCGATCCGAATGAACTTTCCCTGTGTTGATATAATGCAGTGATTGGGTCAAATTCTTATTCCTGGCACTGCAAATGTGATTCAGGGGCTCCTTTGATTTCCAAAGGACTTACGAAACGCGACGAGTTGTTGTTGCGGATGGTTTGCGCATTTCCGAAGGACTCCAGGATGGGATTCGCCTGCAGGATCTGTTGCTCCAGTCTGCCGATCTTGTTGTTCTTGTCTGAGGCGATGGATGCGAGGTACTGGATGACCTTCTTTGTGTTCTCTGTCTTGCCTGCGCCAGATTCACCCCTTGGAATGATATCAGCCGTATAAAATACAAGTGCCCCTTTAGTCAGATGGACACAGACAGATCATGCGCACTGCAGCAACCATGTCGTATGACAATAGCAACAGCAACAGCAACAGCAACAGGAACTAACAAGCAAACGACCCGTCTACAAATAAAGGAAATAGCCCTGCGTCCTTACGTGATAAGAATTGACTGGTTGTCACGGTCTTGAAGCATATCATGGTAGGCAGAGTCTGTCACCGCAAAGATATGGGGCGCCATTTCGTGCCTCTTCTTGTGTTTGTATGCGGCAACGACTTCATCGGTGTAGATTCCCAGTTTGCGGTATGGATTGACTGCTACCAAGAACAGCCCGGAGTATGTCTATTACATCAATTGTTGTCAAAAATTGCAACAGAACGGTTCTTGTCTTCATTTCTCAGCATCACAGTAGAGATGACCATTGACTTACATAAATGAGATTGGAATGGTACCGCAGACGCAGGTTATGAACCACGGAGGCCTCGTTCAGGTAGGTGAGGTCGGCCATGTCCTCAACCTTGTCGAACTTTGGCGGGTTCATCTTGCCTGTGAGATTGATGTTAACGGTTTTGACCTGCAGGCCGTAAAATAAGTAATTGGGGAACATTTTGGTTAACAACTTTCGCACGATATTGCCAATGCCTTCCACTGCAAACATGCGCCGATGAATAATATACGCACCAGTCCATTATTCAGGTGCACCTGGACCTGGTCGCCTTCCTCCTTGGCGATCCATCCGGCAATGTATCCCTCCTCCTTGTCCTCGACCCAGACCCACTTCTTCTCGTTGAATGCCGCCTGAGCGACCGCGTCGACGACCACGCCGCGATAAGTGACAGGGGACCGTGGAGCAAATAGGTCCTCCATAAGGGTTTACTGCCAGTGCTAATTGGTATGCTCAATAGTCTTGATGAGATCCGTGCCCGCAGGTCTGTCTGTCCGTCTGTGTGCCTGTCTGTCTGTCCGTCTGATTGCTCGTTCGTTCGGTCGTTCGTTATCCTCGTTGCTTTGATGGGCGAAGGGAGGTAGTAATGGTGTGAGGTAGTCTTTTGTTTCGATTTGATGGACTTTGAATTATGTTCCTGTATTTTTCCACAGCCAACAGCAGCTGTGGGAAATAGGGGACCAAGAAAAGAAGGGTGAGAGGGTAGGGGTGGTATGAAGAGAAGGAGAAGAGAGAGGGAAAGAAAGCGCGATAGACACAAAAGGACTAAAGTAGGCGGAGTGGAATATCAGGAGAGAAAAAAAAAAAAAAGAAAAAAAAGGACGGAAACAGACGGTGCTCAAGGCCGCAGTGTCCCGTCAGGTGGAACGTGGAATCGAATGACAGTGGTGTTGCCAAAGGTATTGTTGCCAGCAATTCAATTGAGCGCATGGGCTGCCACAAAAGGAGGGGTGCAGAAAGTGAGCGAAATAGGGGCGGAAAATGGAGGTGGTGGTGTCCCCCCACCTCCGATGTTGTCATCCATCGCCTTCATATTACATTACAACACATCTGCACAGTAGAGCCTCATCAGGAACCGCCCGGTAGGTTACCCCTGAAAAAACTAAAAATCGGCCCTGAGGCTGGAGGAAATGACCATGCTCGTCATCGAGAACAGACGAGGGCGGATGTCAGAAGCTTAATTCCGCTCCCCTTCAGAAACTCAGCTGGTCTGCAGCTGGCTACTGGAATGGAGGTCTGTGTAAACCAAGACATGTCCCGAATAAACCGAGCCAATTTGCTGTCCCGTCCAGATGTTCTCCTGTAGCTGTGCGAATAGGCGTTCGACTACAATAATCCGTATCGATTTGCCACTAATCCTGCACCTTACGTCAAAGTGGGCCTCCTCGTCTCCGGCAAGGACGAGTTGATCAGGACTTCCACCACCGCCAATCATCCTTCGCCTTGAACCTGCCATGCTGTCGCTAATCAGGGCGACTTCAAGACACACACCGTCGCTCCAACGGCTGTGTTCTATTCATCCGATTAATGCCTCCGCCCTCAACAGGCGAATGCTCGTCTGCAAAGGTCCCAGGGACTCCCGATCACGAGCACTGCATCACACCCCAAGGGCTGCTTCCTCCGCTGAGGGATCCTCTCCCGACTCGTCGGCTTCGTCCTCGCCTTCGCCCTCTGGAGAATCATCCGCCCCAGCTAAGGACACACCCTCCAGTACACCGGATTCGAACAGCAAAAGCAGCAACAGCAACAGCAACAACGACCGCAACAGTAGTACCATCGAGACACCTTCGGTTAGCACCTCCCGTCAGAGCACATCGACTTCATCCTCCACGAAACGGAGAGCTAAAAGTAGTAGAGGCGCTAACAAGACCACCGACAAGACCCATCTTACCACTGATCCAGTATCCAGAGTCTATGTACCATCGATTCCGCAGTCATTCCTGGAAACAAACTACTACCCAGTCTCGTCCAACACTCACGACATTGCTGCGATCCCCTACCACATACACAAAAGTGTCCTGGATGAGGTCTTGAACACAGTGGCGTCCTGCCTTCTCGTGCCCGATGGACCGCAGGCACATATTCAGAGGATGCCAGCTCGGCACAACAACATCCTTATCAGTTCGCCATCCCAAGGATCTTCGCGTATGCTGGAGACGATCACAATGGCCACAGCAAAGAAAATCGGCGCCGATCTGATTGTCATCGATATGCAGGATCTCATGGAACTCACAACAGAGATTTTTAACAGCAAGGGCACTGGTAAGCGATTGCTTACTGTCGTTTCAAGGCAAAAGGAAATGGGTCATGGCGACGTCCCCATTTTTTACAAATGATAACCATGTATCGCCTAATTTAATAGGTAATCCATGGCCTGTTGACCACTTGTCCCGGGGATTCAATCCATTTGTCTCAGCGCCAGTTCCACTAGAGTACATGGAGGATATGATTGACGAATCGGATGATGATTTCGACGACGACACGGACGATGGTGACGACGACGACAACGATCGGGATCGTGCCGCTGTCATGGTCGACTCCCGTTTCTTTACACCAAAGCGAGACGGACGGAATGGTTTCGCCTCAGCATCATCCAGTCTCTCACTCAAGGAAAAATTCGAGAGATTCTGGACAGCACTCTTACTAGCAGAACCAATGCCCTCGACTTCATCGACAGGATCATCACACCTGCCCGCACGAGAAAAGTCTCTACCTAAAGTTCTTTATCTCAAGGATATCGCGAATGTAATCCTCACACCATTTGGAGCCATGCTACTCCCTTCCCTCACAAGTGCTGTGCTCACTCTTCGCAAAGCCGGGCATAACGTTATGTTCGTCGCAGGACATTCGCCTTCGCTGCACTCGGTGCGGAGCCAATACGAGGACGAAACTATGGACGAAAATAAAGGCAGCGCGGGAACAACCAATATGGATACCGAGGCCTCCTCCAACACACCATTGACCACCATTTTACAGAAATTGCGCTCTCCGCATGATCAAGACCACCCGTTGAACAATTTGGCATATGGCCACATATCGCTGGCCTCATTGACATACGACTCTTTTCCAGGAGCGACCCAAAGCCTTCATCATATCTCTATCCCGCCCTTCCTGCCACCCTCTGGCGCACTATCAGCAGGAGTGTCAAACCCTGTAGATCAGGAAATGCAGTCGCGTTACGCTCAGGAAAACGCGCAGTTGTTGAGGCAGGACAAGGCGGACAGAATCAGACAGATCAACTGCAGGAACTTGCACGCAGTATTACATTTCAGAGGCGGTCACCTTGCGGACTCTGATTCTCCGTCAAGTATTTTCGGGTCACTCAAAGGAGTTGATTCTGAGGTCTGGGGCTATGGGAGGGTGTTTCGTATCATTTCAAATGCATTAGGATCGCTGTATCTGGACGAGAAGGAACAGCGGGGATCCGTGGCGAGACGGGGCGTCATCTCGAACAGCCATGTCGAGAACGCCTTGGAGACCTACAGCCAGAATGTGAAGCTTCGCAAGCTCATCTCCTCGGATCTTAACGCAAAGACAAAGCCGCTAAAGCCTCAATTCCGTATTGAGGAATGTGATCGGTATGAGCGTAAACTGCTTGGCAGCATTGTCGACCCAGGTATGTTACTATCTTCTTATTCGCGCCTGTCTAATTTGCCAGTGTCCTGACACTATACAATACTTACACACCTCAATGACTCTTTATCTTACCAGACAAGATTAAGACCACATTCAAAAACACCATTATTCCGTCAGAGACAATTCAAACCCTGCAGACAATGATCACGCTACCTCTAGTTCGGCCACAATTCTTCTCGTATGGTCTCCTTCGGGATGAATTTATCTCTGGATTGCTACTTTTTGGCCCCCCCGGAACCGGAAAGACATTGTTAGCCAAGGCAGTTGCCAAAGAATCTGGAGCCAAAATGTTGGAAATCAAAGCCTCAGACATCTTTGACATGTATGTGGGCGAAGGCGAGAAAAATGTGTCTGCTGTCTTCAGTCTTGCTCGGAAGCTTTCGCCATGTGTCATATTTCTGGACGAGGTGGATTCGATCTTCCGCGCCCGTGGATCCAGCGGCGGTGGAGGCGCTGGTGGCGGAGGAGGCAACTCGAGTCAACGCGAGATCCTGAACCAGTTCATGGTTGAGTGGGACGGACTGAGGTCGAGCGGACAGAATCAAGGCATTGTGGTGATGGCGTCAACGAACCGGCCATTCGAGCTCGATGATGCGGTGCTTAGGAGATTGCCACGGCGGATTCTAGTTGACTTGCCTTCGGAGGAAGCGCGAGAACAGATCCTGCGGGTCTATTTAGGGCAAGAGCAACTCGAAGAAGGGGTCGACATTAAGGAACTTGCCAAAAAGACCGCGTTTTTTTCGGGCAGCGATCTCAAGAACCTGTGCGTGTCTGCAGCATTGGCATCTGTGCGCGAAAATGTGCAGAACGAGCTGAGAGATCTCCATTCTGTGGAGAAACCCTTGACCGAAGAAAACGCTGTGCCCAAGGACAGCAAGGACAAGATGTTGGATTTAACGCCGCTGCTGGATCAATATAAACGGGAAACTCTCTCGTCCTCTCCTACCTTTTCGTCTACAATATCGGCTATAAGTTCCGCGGCTGCGACCGAAGTACCGTCGCCGTACGCGCGGGCTATTAAGCAGGAGCATCTTGACCAAGCGCTGAAGCAGATTACACCGTCGTGTTCCGAGAACATGAACAGCCTGACGGAGCTGAGAAAGTGGGATGGCCTGTACGGTGATGGCGGGAAAGGTAGACGCAAGGCAGTCAATGGAATCGGATTTGAAGTTGAACCTTCATCGACGGGTGGTAGGGCTAAAACATAGACCAAGGCACATAGACCTCCTTCAACTTTTTTTTCACAATATCGTATCCAGAATAGCCCCATCCCTCACTCCTCAAGATGATCGCGGCTCGACGGTTGGAAGCGGAGTCAGCCAGTCTGGCCCTGGCTTGTTTGTTATGTCAATGGATTGCAATAGATCCTTTACTGCACAATGATGGGTTCTTTTATTTCAGCATCAAGAACTAGTTAGTAGACCTGATGGCCTGCGCGGTTTGGGGGACCTCGGCCATCGTTATAGTTTTGCACATACGATAATATTCCATGCTGCATGCTCGGCCTGACCGCACTAAACGCGTCGTTGGAATGACGCTCAAACTTTAAATGTTTCACTTACAACGGACGCTACGACGCGTCTGGGACAAGATCTTTACTCCAGCGAGGATTCTTGGGAATGTAGCTCTCTTGTGCCCCACATGTTGGTCCTACCTCCTAGATACTTCATCCCGACCACGGTGTCCCTGAAATAGTTCTGTCCGGTGCCAGCCCATTTACTCCAGGCCCTCCAAACGGTTGCATGCCCTACTGGTCCTATCACGATGGGCACACGTCCTTTTGCAGGGGCCATCTTCATACAGTCTTTTGCACATTTCAATAATGTAGCTTTAAGTAAATAGATGCCCCGGATGGGCTACCCCCGAAAAAGGAGGCTGAGTGTATGATAGCGCACGTTATTCATATCGTCATCATCACTCGTCACCCCTATTTTTTATTTTCGTCGGTGGTCATTTGTTTGGGCAGCAGAAGCAGAAAGTGAGCAAGGCGGCACAAAGGCATGGGGCGTTATTATATCTCCTTTCCTTCATCTGTTCGTGCGTGCTTGTGTCATCGTCGTTGTGATTCCCATTCAATCGCTCTATTGCATTCCCATTCCCATTCTTATTCCAACACAGCAAAACGACCGATATGCTTTCGGGAAGGTCCGCCACAGAGAAGGAGCGACGAGCAGCCAAGACTCAGTCGCTCTATATCACCACACCTTCCTCCTTCAACAACAACAGCAACAACAACAGCAACAGCAGCAGTGGCGACACCAACAGCACCCACTCCTCCTTCCTTCCACACACTAACAACAACAATCAATTGGGATACCCAGGACAGCAGCAATTGACGTTCTCCAACTTCAACAACAATACCAGTAGCACACCAAAATCGCCCAGGAAGTCACGGCCCTTCTCAATGTTATTCCACCATCCGCAAGAGGAACTGGCCAAGCAGCAGCAACAACAACAGGATGGACACCCAGCAGAGTACTACCAGCAAGAGCTATATCAACAGCAGCAGACCTTGAACGAGTCTGACGAGGATGCATTTGCTGACGGATATTCCCTGGCCTCAACCGCTATCGATTTTGTGGAGAGCGACCTCAAGGAAGCTGATTCGGACACCCGCATGCTCATTGCACACCTGACTGATCTCGATGTATGTCCTTGTTGCACCGCGTGGTGATTGTGATTGTCACCCTTGTATCTGTTTCCCTCCGTGAATCAGGAGCGTGATCTGAGCTAATACTGGCGCCCTATTTGGTTTTTTAATGCTGTCCAACATCATAGTCCGGTCTGCCTATTTTGCTGGAGCGGGTCAAACAGAATCTTCATTCCTGCAAGGTGAGTGGTAACCGCATAGTCCTCTCCTCAGCTCTTGTGTCATGTTCCTTTTAGTTGTTGACCACAGCCAACATGTCTGTATTATTTTTAGGATCTGGTATCATTTCTGAAGAAACGATCAGTTATGGAGGCAGAGTACGGGACCAACGTCCTCAAGCTGGCCTCTGGAGTGCGCGACACCTATCGTCAGCAGGCCGAGGGAGCCAGCACTCAGGCACACTCTAAACAGGGGTCATACGGAGACTGTTGGTTGCACATTCTGGAGATGCACGAACGCTTAGGAAACAATCGTCTCGAGTTCTCAAGAGATCTGCAGGTCATCTCTGAGGAGCTATCAGCGATATACAAAGAAACGGACCGGAGTCGCAAGCAGGTATGGATAACAAGGAACTGAGTTGCAATGATATGTTATTGTAATGTGTCTTGTTTAGCAAAATGGGCACTAATTGGCTTTCTCTTCCCGCGTTGCCTTATCGGTTAGTTTAAGGAAGCAGGAGCAAAGCAGGAAAGAGTCGTTCAGGAGCATGAGCAGAATCTGGAGAAGGTAAAAAAAAAAAAAAAAAAGAGCAACACCATCGATACAACCCAGCTTGACACATATCCCTGTATTTTACGACCTCTATAGGCGAAACAAAAGTACGATACGTTCACGGAAGAGTGGGAGCGTGCAATTCTTCAAAAGGCGGCCGATCCAGGGACTCCCAAGAAGACAACCATGACGAAGGGCATGAACATCTTTAGACAGCCAAAGTCTCTGGGTCAGGTAAAAACCGGCGTAAAATCTGTATTCGTTGCGTTGCTTGAAAAGACCACACTTTGGTATGAAGCCTGACCTTTATCGTATTTGTAGTTGCATCGACAGGAGGAAGAAGCGAAAGTAAAAGCGACAGCTGCCCATGAACAATACAAGTTACAGCTTGCCAAGACAAATGACACACGACAGCACTACTTTGCTCATGCCCTACCAAGTATCTTGAAGGTAAGAAGGTGTCACAATGAGGTATAGGAAATGTTCTTTTGTATTGCACGGATGCTAATTATTGTTTTTGTGTCTACTATCTTCATGTAGAATTTGAAAGATACGATTGACGAGTCAGATTTGTCCTTACAATACTACCTAATGCGCTATGGCTACATGTACGAGGACTATATGATGAAGGATGCAATCATCCTGAACCCCATTAATGGCAGTGGTAAGAAGCGGTCCCTGGATAAGCATACCTTACAAGAGGCATATGAAACAGTGTCGTTCTAAACTTTACCTACTGGCGCTTAAAAGATATAGGATTGCGTGGTCGCATCGAGTTGGTCAATAAGGACACGGACTTGCAGGTCTTTATTCAGGCCTACTCAGCAAAAGCAACCCCTATTGACAAGTCGGCAGCCCCATATAAGGAATATCAAATGGTAATGGTAGCCGAGAATGTATCTACAATTCACTCTTGCGGCCAAAAAAAAAAAAAAAAAAAAAAAAAAAAAAAAAAAAAAGAAAAAGAAAAAAAAGGTATACACTCACACAGGTTGTTGTCTTTGGTATAATAGTCGGCACAAGCACAGTCGATAATCAATCCAAGGCCCATCTTTGGATGCGATCTCGCGGAACAGTTGATTAGAGACGAAGCAGACCTGCCCGAGATTGTTGTCAAGTGTACAGAAGCAATAGAGCGATTCGGTAAGCGACTACGGATACGAAGCGGAGCACACTGAACCTTTTAGTCTTGCAGAGTTACATCCAGCGCTAACACATCAGTCTGTCGCCTGCTTTATCTCTATAGGCATGGACACGAAAGGAATCTATCGCGTATCTGGAATAACATCGGCCACCAACAAGCTGCGATCTGCATTTGACCGAGGTACGGCCCTTATTGCAACGAAAAAATTGCCAAGCAGGATGTATATAATTCTCTATATATGGTCTAATGTGAGCTGTACTCCTGATGCTATAGATTGTTCCGCTGTAGACCTGAGCAGTGAGGAAAATTGCGGCGATATCAACAGTGTTGCCAGTGTGTTGAAATCGTGGTTCCGTGAGCTGCCTGAACCCTTGTTGACGCGGAAGCTGTACCCCGAGTTTATCAAGGCGGCTAGCATTGAGGACCCGGGGTTGCAACTGATGAACTTGCACCAGGTCACGAATCAGCTTCCTGACCCTAACTATGCAACGCTCAAGTTCTTAATGTGCCATTTGAATCGGTAAAGTGTCATGCTACCTATTATTGACAAAAAAGTTGCTTAATTCTGATCTGATATGATGTTTTAACAAATATTTTGACATCTCAATAGCGTGCAAGCCAACCAGTCAGTAAATATGATGGGATCTTCGAATCTGGGACTCATTTTTGGACCTACACTGACTAGCACCAGCGGTGCCGGAGATGCAGTCAACGACCTCGCGGATATGGGCTTGCAGTGCAGGGTGATTGAGACGCTCTTAACTAACTATGGGGCAATTTTCGATTTCGATGAGGAGGATGAGGAGCAGGAGGGTATGGACCAGTTTACGGAAGGGTTCCCAGAGTCAAATCCACATGACATGCAGCAATACAACAATTATGAGGATCATGGATACATTGACGAGCACGATGAACACCTGCATGGGCATCCACACTCACAGCAATATCATCAAGTGCACCAGATGCAGCCTCTACAATTTGACGAATATGGCATCCCAATCAACGGCCAGAGTACATATGACTATGGTTATGTTGGTGATCGAATGGTACCAGTAGCAGAGGAAGCTGAGGACATTGAGGGTAACGAGGCAATTGTGCCCCGGGAACATTTTGGATATGGAGCTGGCTCCAGTGCGTTTGAGCACGACAGGTCGTCGCTCCATTTGCAATCAGCACAACCATGAGATGTCGTTGGGGACAGATAGCATTCCCTCCTCCCTCCCAACGTCTTTGAATAAAAAGGATCTCTGCAAATGGGACGCGTTTGTGGCTTTGTCACTAAGCTGGCGAGAAGAGCAGGCAACCGTGATGTGTACAGCGCGCTATTTGCAACGCTTCATCCGCACCGAGAACAAGGCTGCAGGAATCAGCAAGAATCAACAGCAACTTTTGTAAGAATGACATCGCGACCCATGGGAGTAGGAGGACTTGCGACGGGTGGCACAGCACCCATCATGCCCGGCAGTGTAGTCGGTGCAGGATCAGTAGCGCCAGCACCGGTCATAACAGCGGGAGGAGCCTCAGCAGCTGGTGGACCAGGCATTGGGGCCAAGAGCTCCAGCCTAAGCGCTCTTCAAGAGATTGAGGAGGCCTACAACAAGCGACTTGATATGGACGTGGCACAGCTGATGGAGTCCTTTGGCGACATTGTCAAGGTCGCTTCCGTAAGGAACCAGTTTCCCTTTCTCACATGGATCGTAGTCTATCGACAAAGAGACCTGACCTTACTCTTTCTTCAAATTGGACGCACTAGATCACATACAACGAGTCGTCGGTCTCGAAGGACAAGTACAAGCTGGCGCAGGAGTCATACCAGATCCAGGGACGAGCCACCAACATTGTGTCTTCCGCAGAGTCATTGCTGGCCATGGTCACGGAGCTGAAGCAGACACTTCTTTTGAATGATGCCAACACACTTTCAGAGCTGTCCACGCGGCGGCAAAATGAGCTTTCGACACAAAAAACAGCGGTGAAGCAGCGGGTGCTGGGGCTCAAAGAGGAGGTCGACAGGACGATATGGGAGCTGGAGCAGGCCTGCTATGGCACACCACAACATACTGTACTATAAACGTAATTTTTTTTATTCTTTTCAATTACTTTTCACAAAGACATGGTATCCATGGTATGGTGCACTTATTCGCAAGAAAAAAAAAACGGTAAAAGATGCGCCACCATTGTCGACAAATGAGAGTAAGAGGCCGTCGGCTATCGTTTGCTATCTGTTTTGCAGCTCTTATCGTCAATCTTGTTGTGTGAAAAACGGTGAATGTGCACAGCAAAGTTTAATCGAGCATTTGGCCATTGAGGATCATGTTCCCCATAGGAGTGCTCGGTCGCGAGTTCTTATCCTGTTGCGATGGCTCCAAAGCTTCGACTGAACGGAGATGGGGATGCTGTTCAAATGGGTGTCCGGTGTTGCTCTCGGGAGCATTCGAAAGAGGGCCACTGCCAAAGTGTCGGGCTGGAGGGCCGGATTCGTTTGTATCCATGGGATGCTGAGCAGCAGCAGCAGCACCAGCCCCAGATCGACCGCTGGTTGAGAATTTGCGGAAGAGCTCTCCAATACCACTACTAATGCCGGTACTGCTGGTTGAATTTGAATGGTCTGATGAATGATGATCAGAGCGCGAGACTGGGGGCGAGCTCCCGAAGAGGCTCGATCTGCGGCGTCGTTCTTCAGTTGGCTAATTGCGTTAAAATATGCAAGAATTCATGTCAGCTGGTATTTTTTGTTTGCATGCATGCGGTCGTCACTCAGAATCTTTTCCCGCCTGTTTTTATTTCCTATAGAGTTCCACTTACGTGATGTGCATTGACCACATTCAATGGGTTAGTGAAACTGGCAGAGAAGCGTCTGTTGAGCTGAGAAGGGATGTTATTGGAGAGGTTCGTCGGGGGAGTGGTGCCGGAGCCCGGTCCAGAGGAAGAAGCCGAGGCCACGGTGGAGGAAGGCGAGCCCATTGGGTTGTTGAAGACATAGCTTGTGCCAGAGAAGGCGATAGGGGAGGTCGCCATGCCCAGGGAGGTTGACATGGATCGCTGCCTGGGAATAGAGATCGCGGCGGGTGTGGTGGGGGGGCTGTTGATACCCAAGGAGGACGTAGACTTTGATCGTTGGTGAGACATGTTTGCACTTGGAGGAGGAGGAAGGGATTTTTTCTGCGATATGTAATACGGTATGGTATGGTACGATGAAAGTGCAGCAAGAGAACGAGAGGTAGAAAAAGATGAAGAGGAAGAGGGAGTGGAGGAGGAAGAGAGGATGGCGACAAAGAAAAAGAAGGCAAGAGGAGAGGTGAGGTTCTAGGGCATCATGTGACGGGGATGGCCAATTGGAGGTGTTTGTTCCCAAACCCTGGAGAGCCCTGGAAACCGACCGGGGAGACGCGAGTGTTTGGACACTAACTGCGAATACTAGCTGATCCAGCACCGAACTACAGCGGGTGTACTAGCGTGGTTGTGTGTGTGGAAGAGAGAGAGAAAGAGAGAGAGAGAGAGAGAGAGAAAGAGAGACCAGTGCACGTACAAACATATGCATATGATAGATATTAGTTAACGCACAAATCTACCGTACGTGAAAGAGTGCGCTCATTATCATAATTGATATTGTAAGAATTGCCGCTGGCGTCGCGAGGGGTTTCGTTCGCTCGTTGGAACACGCGGTATACGCGGTATGTGACATACTACTAACTACTGCTGCACATGTACTACTGTGCAACTATGCACGTCACTTTGCACCGCACATCGCATCACATCACTCATCAACTCCATCCCTTTCCTTTCCTTCCTTCCTTCTTCCTCTCTCTCACTCTCTCACTCTCACTCACTCACTCTCTATCTCACTCACTCACTCACTCTCTCTCTCTCTTTCTCTCAATCCCTCCTCCTCCCCAATTCTTCTCATTCTTTTTCCTTCACTCCACCAAACCTTAGCTCATCTTTCACTGATCGGCACTATCCTTTTCTTCAAGAGCGTGTACTCAATCATAACCCGGCAACACGACTCTCTCGTTTCGTCTGCCTCTTTCCCCAACAATGTCCACTCGTGAATGGTGGGCGATCAAGCTCAGGTATCATTCTCTTCCTTCTTCGCTCCTCTCATGTCTCATTCCTCGCCGCTGCACCAGATCGCGCTTGGTCACCACACCTTTCATACTCATCAGGAAAATAACCAGAAAGCAATCCAACCGCTGGACTACAGGAAAAGCCTGCAAGTTAAAAAACCTTGATGACGACGCGACGACACGGCAACGCGATGACACGCACGCATCCGGGACAAGAGGACCGGGACCAGCGGTTCGAGGGCGCATCGCAGACTATTTATCGTTTGAGGCGTGTGAATTCTCCAGGCTGATCTTTTGGGGCTAAAAGAAGAAAGTTACATAGCATTGAACATACATCATACCGATAACAGCAGCCGACTCGCAACCAGCCTTGAAAATTTTGCAGGAGGATCGTCTTCATCTTCAGCAGCAATGGCTCTATGACTACGCCCTTCTTCTTGCGGATAACATCAATTGGAGCGACATCAAGTTCATCACAATGCTCAATTGCTCAGCGTCCATTCAAGAGATAGCTTTGATGCTTTGATGCAAAAACAGCCACAGAACCTGGACAGAATGCCAGAAACCCCATGTCTCTGTCCATTCCTCTCTTCGTCTTATTCCGTTCTTTCAATCTTTTCATTTTTTTTATCGCTGTCTTGTCTTGGCAAGCAAGCTAGCGAAAAAAAAAAATGCTGAGCCTGCCACCTTTGCGTTCATGCAATCTAACATCATCTTTCTCTATGATTTCTTATATGCGATTGTGGATCGTAGAGAATCGGATCAATTGAAACACACCATTGCAGGAGCAGGCGCTGGACTGGTCACCTCAGTGGTGACCTGCCCGCTGGATGTCGTCAAGACGCGATTGCAGAACCAGGGCGTGATCAGTCCAGCCAGAAAGTCATACAAGGGAACAGCAGGCAAGTCTTCAAGGAATGAATTCTCAAAATAATCCTGCTCAGCCGTTTAACCTTAATAATTCTTAATGTACTTTCGTGCGGCTGTAGGAACCCTGACCAGGATCTGGACAGAGGAGGGCATCCGAGGTCTATACAGAGGACTAGGGCCTACGATATTTGGATATTTGCCAACTTGGGCTATCTACTTTACGGCATATGACTACTTTAAGGATTTAGTCGCACGGCAGACTGGTAAGGACTTCGTGCTGCACTCTCTAAGCGGTTGAAAAGAAGGATGTCGCAGAACACCATGCAATGAAGGACATTTATATGGGCATATCAAGTCTAATTTGACCGTTTCCTTATCGCAGGGCACCACGAATCCAATCTTTTTGTATATATTGTTGCCGCAATGTCGGCCGGAGCCACAAGCACTACAATTACGAACCCACTCTGGGTGATCAAGACGCGTTTCATGGTGCGTGCAACGACGACAATTGGGATCTTTGCATCGCTCTCAGCAGCTTCATATCGCATTATACTCGCTAACATTTACGCAACTTTCTCATCTGCAATCTTCAATTTGATAGACCCAGAGTGATCATACCCCATATCGTTACAACAACACGCTCCATGCATTTACAACTATCTACAAGCATGAAGGACTTCGCGGATTCTACAAGGGACTCGGATCGTCTTTAATGGGCATCTCGCACGTGGCACTGCAGTTTCCACTCTATGAAAAACTTAGGCAATGGCTGAGTAAGTATCGAGTTATACAATCACAGTCAGTTAGAGACATGGTCGATACAGGATGCTTAATCAAAACAGCTAGACAGTTTGCTGACGTGCTATGAACGTTCACGAATGCCTTCCTATAGAGGCACAGGATTCCGATCAAGTGAGCAGCACCAATATTCTCATCGCCTCCTCGACCTCCAAAATGGCAGCTAGTATCGCTACTTACCCGCACGAGGTACTGCAGAAAATGGCATATGTTATCAATCGAGGAGCCAGGAATGTTGATATTCAGTGCTAATAGTCTGCTATTGTGGCACGCGAATGCGTTATTGAACCTAGGTCATTAGAACACGGCTTCAGAATCAATCGACCTACCCACCAAAGTACCACGGCATCATCCATGCATGCAAAGTCATCTACCGGGAGGAAGGTATTCGAGCCTTTTACAAGGGCATGCCGACAAACCTGCTCAGGACAGTCCCTGCGAGTGCGCTGACTATCTTAACATATGAGCTGCTCGTTAGCCGTCTGAACGACATTGCAAAGCCGGCGTAGACTTCAATCAAGGAAAGACAAATGGCTGTTTATTCGTCTCGCGAACGCTTTTATGCCCCATGTCCCCGCCCGCCCTATCCTATTCTCCTATTCTCCTATTTCTCCCATTCCAACCAACCAAATAAAAAACATTTGCCACCAATTTTATCTTTTGACGGGTGAAACAGTCTTTCATTTCATAAACAACCGACTTGAACACCAAAAACGCGACTCGGCCCCACTGAACTGAACACTCCTTTCCTTTAGACTCCCTTGCTTTGGCCGTCACCAAAACTCCTCCTTGTTATCGCTCTTCCCCTTCAACTCCTTCTCTGATTCTCTTCGCTCATGTATGGCGAAGAGGCATCAAAACTGGCGCGCGAAACCAAGCGGACAATAGATCACTTTCCACCCTATAATGACCCCCTCGTCCGCTCCATCACGCGCGAGATTCGGCACCTGCACGAAACCTGCCAAGCCCTCATTCGTGAATACGGTCTTCAAAAGCACCAGGTCGAATCCGAAGTTGAACGACGATGGCACGAACAGCATAGCTCCTTTGCGTCAGCATCAACACTCGCAGCAACAGGAACACAGGAGCAAGCAGGAGACACAGACACCAATCACACGACCCTCGCCATGCTTGAGGACCCATCGCCGTCCAGTTCCACAGCCGTTCACTTGACTACATCATCACATGCCTCCATGATGGGTCTTCAGGCACAGAAACAACAGGCGCTGCAATCGCTGACAGAGATATTCTGGACAAAGTATCTCGTCCATATGACGCCACTCCAGCGCAACAAGCGGATCTTAATGGCCTATCATTACCAGCGGATCGAAAAGATCAAGGAGCTCGCCTGGGCCTTCAACACTTTATCAGAGTCCTCTCGGCGGTTACTCTCTCCAGACGAAATTGTCTTCTTTAACGAATACGAAAGACAATGTAGAAACAAGTATTCGAGTCAGGGCACATTTGGAGAGATCGATCTGGGCCTCGGTATGATCTCGCCACCCAAGGAGGTCTTTATTACGGTCAGGGTCATAAAGGACTGCGGAGATATCGTTACCGAGAGCGGGGCCACGCTGAGTCTGAAGAAGAACTCGGAACACTTTGTGAAGCGGGGCGACGTAGAGCGGCTGATTACCCAAGGCTATCTTTTACACGTTGCTTGAAAGAGTTGGTGCATCGCGAATCAGATCAGTCCCCAATAAAAATGCTGTATAACAAACAGCTGATGAACATTGACTGCAGTTGAAGCTGTTTTTCTCCTGAGCACTGTTGGATGTCTTTCTCGAACGCTTTTTTCGGCATCAGAATAACATACAAAGGGGAATCCAGTGCTGTCTTTGTTGAAGATTTATATGAATGATATTGGATCGATGTTGTGCTCAAATCTTATGCTTCGATCCTCGGTCGCTTTCCTATCGGTTGGTCTTCAATCATCTCTTCCCGATCGTCCTCATCCTGCTCCATTTTGGGCGACTCTGAGCCTTCGATCTGTAATCAAGGAGGATTTTAGAGCCGAGTCAACAACCGTTTCTTATTCTCGCCATAAGAATAAAGTAGACTAAATTCGCTCTCTAACTTTCGTGCGCCAATTACCTCTATCTTTGTCTTTCCTGATTTCCGTAACATGCCAATCTGGCGTTGTACGTTCTTCAGCTCCAACTCTAATCGGATCTTTTCTGACCGCTTCGCCTCCAGAACTTTTCAAAGAATACAGAGATAAAAAAAAAAGAAAAAAGAAAAAAAGAGGTGTGTTAGGGCATGACTGATGTTTGGTTCCTTCCCATACTATCTCCTTGACGATGCGAAATGCACTAACGGCCAAATAGAGTCATCAAACGTACGTAGTTGTGGGTCTTCCGGTAAAGGCAGCTCGATGACGCTCCATTCTTCCTCTGGGAGTTCGTATTGTTCCTTGTTCTCTGCCACCCTGCGACGAATCTCTTCTCTCGAAAGCTTCGCTCCTGTGTTGACGATACATCCGTTCTTGCGTCGAATATGGTCTCCCTGGATCAAAGAATTCTTCTGGCCGATCACTCTTGGGTCAATATGCAATCCCGCAAATTCTAATGGACGCCGGGCAGTAGTAACATAGCCGAATCAGAACAATCGAGTCGATTGCATTGTGGCGCATAGACGGTATAGATAGAGAAATATGAAGCGAAGCTGAGCAAAACAAACCTACCTGCAGTACTTTGCTGGCCTAGCATGCGTTGTGTCTGCAAGTTCATCTGGGCATTCGTTTTTCCAACCAAACAGTTCGACTCGATGATCTTTGACCAATTGCCGACCCCAAACTTCATCAGTGCCTTGCGTAGAATTTCAGCTTCCTTCATGCTCCAGCCTAATGTAGTCAGTAGAAGAGGCAAACTGGATATTCAGCAGCTTGAACTATCGACAATGCTAAAGGCGCAGGGCACTCCTGCAGGTTGTGACGACGGAGGCGATGCGTACCTGGGGCGACCGTGTAGTTCCAGAGTGAGGCCGAGTCGTTCGAGCGCAGGATATTACGCGCTCCAGCGGTCATGGAGCGGGGTGTAGATGAGGACATGTCTGGAGTATGCAAAGGATTAAGGATGGAGGGATAAGGATGGGGGATGAGGTTCGAGGGATGAGGAGCAAGCGAGGACAAAAAGTCAACACGCGATGCCAAAACAAACAAACAGATTAAGGTTTGACGCGTTCTCCAATTGAGGAAGTCACAAAAACGCGGTCATTTTGTGCAACGACTCCTATTTTTTATAGCTGCTGAAACACGAAGCATAAAGACACGCTGGATGGTAACGCAGGACGAGACTTCTTGATGCGGATGAGTAAACTGAAGCCCGTTGCTGGGATCCACATATGGCGACCTGTGAAAAAAAGAATTGTTATTCATTCCTTTATAGAATAAGCACATAAGTTATTTGAATGGTTGTGCGCGCAATCCTTGAACACCATGCTTATGTGCGCCTGATGGCCACCACCAGGACTACGTTCGACTTCAAGTATTTGTCTCTGTTGAAGCTCGGAATTTGAGATAATGCATAGTATTGTTTAGCTACGTCGCACACGAGACAATGGTTTAAACGCCTTCCAGAGGGGAATATGTGCGTTGCACGAGGGCTGCCCTATCCTGAATTTTGCGCCTGATCCGTCCATCATCATCAAAAGCAACCTTTATACCGACACAGAGGAAGGAAAGAGGCAGCAGGTTGCCGTTGCTCGTTCAATTCTCCAGACCATCAACAAACAGGAAACGTATGCTTTGTTGTGTTGTCTTCAAGTTGTACTAGGCATATTCCAGAGTCCGACGCGTTCGGATTAACTTGTCTATGCTCCAAGTGATACTTTGTGTAAATATTGGAAGCTGAAAGGAAATAACAAAAAAAAAATAAAAAAAAAATAAAAAAAGGCTTTCACAGCTTCGGTACTCACCCGATGTCGTATGCCTCTGTGATATGGAACGCTTTGGTTCGCATCTGAGTGCATCCGTATCAGCTTTATCATTTTAAAGCGATTGGATCGCAATGCGGTTCTCACTGTCGCAGTCGCTTTCTTCTTTTAAAAGCCCTGCGCGGATCTGCAAACAAATAGATATACAACCGTGGACACGCCGTTGAAAGTATCATCCGTCTTGACGGCTGGTTCGGCATGGCACTCGGACTCCATATCAACCGCAGCAGATGCTTATATATCCAGGAGTCTGACCGGAGGAAGGAAAAGCATCGAACCAACGTAACACGTCACTTGAAGCTCAGCCGTCTCGATTCGCTTCTACACAATGAATGAGGCATCCGGCCGTTGAAATCTTGATGCATTCTATGTGCAAAATCGAATGAGTTCTGTGTATTAATGTGTGGGTGGGGGTTTCTTTTTCGTTTTTCTGTGCTTACAAGCGCCTTATGACCACAGAGGCAAAAAGAAGCCTCGATTGATATGTGCCAGGAAGGGGACTGGGCCCCGTACCTAAATTATGTAAGGTCGCTGGATCTCATGAAAATGGAGTTTTTCTGTTCTACAAACGTTCACTCCAGTACATGCCCAGTTGGACGGGACATTACAGCGCATGCGACACTCACATTGCCTTCGATGGCGTAGTAGTTCTGTAGCCGTAGCAGGAACGAAGCAAGGCACGAGAGCAGCATCCTGCCTTTGTTTTTCCTTGCGGATGTATCAAGTTGGTGGCAGCGCTGATAATGCCATCGTCGGTAGTCTATCCTCGTGGAGACCCATTTGTGGCGTCCAGCGAAACGCCATGTGGAAGATCGTGCCCGCATTTGGAAAGAAATTCGCTGCTCAGGGGTGCTGCTGTCCGATTCGCTGTCCTCAATAGCACTCTCTTCCCACCACGCATCCGCGTCTCCCACAAAGGGGCCTTCTCCCCAACATCACGCCTTTGTTCCCATCCCCCATCGCCCATCCAAGGAATCCAATCTCATTCCCTCTTCGCCCTCGGCTCAACTGCCCCTGCCTTCTCTTCCGAGCCCTTATCGCCTCACACTGCCAGTAAGACGCATTATGCGCATCTGTCTCTTCCTCTCCAGTGCCATTGCCCTTGTGGCCCTGGCTACAACCTTCCCCTCCACTGCTGCTGGCACCGCTGTTGCCTCTTACGCGTACCCTAACGATGAGCATGACATCACCGGCTTCTTTACCCTTGTCGACCGCCTCATAATGGCCGATGGCACCCGCCGCTGCACTATCCTCGACCGGGGTGAAACTCAGGCCTTCAGGAACCTGTATCCCGTCGATAGACGCGGCGAAAGGGCCCAGGTGATCAGCCGCAAGTCGCATAACGAGGATCACCACCATGGGCCATCCTTTGCGGATCAAGAGAATGGCGAGGACGCATCAAGGGACCTTTTGGAACTCAACACCAATGCCCAAAAGGACTGGGCCGAGATCGAGCAAGGGTTTCTGAAAAGCGTGTGCGACCATCAGACTGAGGACGGTTCTGCCGACGCACTGGTGGATCTGACGAACTTTTCACGTCTCCCACAGGCGCAGGGCCAGCAGGTCTTCAAGGGGTCCGCTAATGGCCTGCAAGAAGATGACGAAGTGGTACTGCAGAACACCTTGTAAACTCAACTGCAACAAAATGCACGGATCCAATTCAATTAGGTATTAACTTTTCGTATTATCTGCCTCTTTTGCTAATTTAGCGTAAACTGATCGACAGCGGTCCTGACAAGAACCGCGTTACTATCGTCTTTATGGGCGATGGATACACCCTGGACGAACGCGACAGGTTCTTTAGCGACATGCAACGTCTTGTCGATGGTGAGTGACCTCTTTTTCGCCTCCATCATCTTCAATTATCGCTCTTCAACTGACCACCGACCCTCATGCCTTTATATAGATATGTTCGTTGGAGATACCTTCAAGTCCTTCCTGCCCCTATTTAATGTCTATGCTCTTTTTAGGCCATCCAGAGAAAGCGGCATTGGCGTCAATGGCAAGTGGAAAGATACCAGCTTCCGTCTCTACAGGGACGGCACGGAACTTCGCGGCATCTATGTCGCGGATCCTCGCGCTGCCCGACAGGCTTGCCGTGCTGTTGGAAAATATGCCTGCGATTTCCCCAGTTTGATTGGCAATGACCCGTACTGTAAGTGGTTCGGGGAATGTGCGACGCGCTCATTATTATTTTTTTAAGTATGCTGGTCACTCAAATGGCTCTGCAACTCGTTCCAATGTGCGTAGACGGAGGTCTCGGGGGAGAGTTTGTCATTTCTACCAGCTCAAACAAATCAGGCACCGTTGTTTTGCGCCATGAGCTTGGCCATAGTCTCATCAACGTCGGCGAAGAATATGACGGCGGATACGTGTACTCGGGCGTCAATGCTGAGCGCTGGAGTATTCAAAACATCAAGTGGAAGCATTGGCTCACCGACGCAATTCCCCGCGAGGAAAAGAATGTTCTACGCGCTCAGGATTACGCCTGGTATGACCTGAAAAAGGGCCCCTACAAAGTCAAGTTCAACTCGGACGGGCAATGGAAGCGCTGGAGTCTCAAGATCTCTCACTCAGGAGTCGACACGGATGACTCCTTTGAGGTTTATCTGGATGGCAAGCGGCTCAACTGGACCACACCCGGCGGCTATGACCGCGATTTTTCGGAATGGGCAGGCGAGGAGGGCTTCAGTGCTGGTCCTCACGAGATCGAATTCCGCCAGGGCGCCAAGTATGACAACGAGCCTTTAGATCCTTCTAGACCTATCCGTCAGCTCTGCTCTGTTACAATGCACGAGTTCATGGGCGAGGACCTGTACCGCTTCGACAATAGCGTCATCTCTGCCTATCCCACTTACGATATTAATGGCCGCAAGACATGGAGGAGCAACCATGAGCACTGCTTGATGCGCAACATGGCTTCGACTCAGTTCTGTTCCGTCTGCAAGGAAGGACTCTGGCATCGTCTTCTGGGCAAAGCCAGTTTGCTGGACGGGATCAACGTGGATTGTCAGCGTGACGATGATGAGAAGGAGATTTCTTCCTTTGCAATCGAGGCCAAGGTAATTCCCCTGGGCCAGTTCCGTGATAATCTCTCCCAACGTATTGACGGTGAGGCATACACTGCTCGCTGGCTCAAGAACGGAGAGCACCAGCCAGAGTTCGACGACGAGTTCAGGATCGAGGTGCCCGGATCAGAGGAAGGTATCTGGGAAATCAAGATAGATTTCAAGACCCCAGAAGCCCGCAAGGATCCACGCGGGTTGTTGAAGGCCAGCAAAGTGTTTGTTGTTGCCAAAAGACTGTGTACACAGTGAGCATGGCCTCTTGTTTTGCGCCCCTTTATTCGTGCATCGTTCAAATAAAGGCAGCTATTTATTTCTTCGGGCTCTCCTGCGTGCTACCATCTTTCGGTCCATCTTTTTATGCTTCAAGAAAGTCGAATGCCCAAAAAAAAAAAAAAAAGACACTCCCCTTCGTTTTTCTTCCACTCCACAAATTCAACCTTTCGCGCAAAATCATCTGGTTCCTTTGCTCCCCTCTTTTCTTGCCCTCCAGCATGCATTTCAAAGCACTCTTCTTCGCTCTCGTTGCTATCGCAGCCAGGGTATCCGCTCAGACTATCGAAAACAATGCATGCTCCCAATGTGCGTTTGCCGCCATTCCAAACGAACCGACCTGTGCTGCGTTGACTCCTGTGGATATGCAACAGCTCCAAGCGGTCTTTGCTAACAATTCAGTCAATGGGAGCGCTCTTGTGGCTGCCGCCCAGAACAATGCGATCAAGACCTGCCTCTGCCACTGGTCCACTGACACATTCGGGCCCAAGGGTGCAGCCGCCTCGTGCACGGCCACACAGGGGTCGGCGCCTGTAGCCTGCGATGCCACTCAGGTTGCCGAAGCTACGGCCAAGATAGCGCCTTTCAGCGTGATGCTTCAATGTAATTCTAACAACTCGACCACTCCCAACCCCACCACATCTGCAGGCACTCCCACGAGCACTGGAAGCAGCCCAAATACAGCGAATGCAGCATCCCTGCTGCAGTTGAACATGCCCTATATTGTGTCTATGGCCGCCCTCGGCCTTGCTACCGTCGCTAGCTTCTAAAGAACAGAATAGGAAGGTGCAAAGTTGTGTAACCACGTAATAAAATGTTCGCCAATAGCTTTAGGCAGATTCTTTGACAGCTTCAACACACCATTGCCTGTTTTCAAGCATGCCCTGTAATGGTAGGGCGACATATACCTGCATGCGCTGCCTTAGATCGTGTTTGGAGTTCTTCATTACCTACAATTGAAAATATTTGAGCTTTGAAAAATGAACGCTGATCGTGTCTTTGAAGGGAAATAACAGCATGAAGCCATGCCAGCATGATTGCCGCAGGCGTGATCTGTTGTTTCATTTTTCAGCTATTCTTAAATGCTGCACATTCAGGTATCATCGGCGCGCTACTGAGCAGCCCCTGTACGATTTTTCTATGTACTGCACCTGAGGCTGGTCGTGCCTGCCTCTGTCTTAAAAAAAAAAAGTGCGCCACCAATTTTCATTCCTGGAACTGAGCTCTTTCCTTTTCTGGGTCGGCTCTACACTTCCGAGGGAGATGTGTTCAGGGTTTTTTATGATCGGGGCGGCGCCTTACAAATGACAAAATGACAGGGAGATCGACCTTCCCATTCGTTCTTCTTCCTTTCCGCCTCACACCTCCTTTGCAAACACCTCGCCCCACACACCACCTTCTCCTGCATCCTGCATACACTTCACAGCAAAGCAGATTCTCACGATGTCATCCACTGCCCCCGCTGCCACCACTCCCTCCTCGACCCCGATCGGGAAGGACGGCAAACCTCTCAAGCCATGCTGCGCATGTCCCGAGACCAAGAAGGCCCGCGACCACTGCGTCTTCACCAACGGCGAGGAGAACTGTCTTGAGCTCATCAAGGCCCATCAGCAGTGTCTCCGTGATCTCGGCTTCAAGATCTAACCCAAGACAGCAGTAGTGCCGTGCCTAGCACCCCCAACACCCACCGGGCAACACAAAGCAGCAGCAGCGACAGAGACGGCAACCCTTCAGTTGCGTCTCCAGACATCCATGCCGACATTCTCTTGTGCCCGGTCCATCCAATCTTTGTCCTCTCTCTTTATAGACCTGCCTACGTTATCGTTTTTCCCCTGCATTATTAAACTCTTACTTTTGTTGTTGTATGTTTTCCGACCGGACCAAAAGCAAGGCGGTTCATTGCGGACCATGTTTGTTCTTACGACCCGATTTGTTCATATCCATTTGACGATGTTTGATGCTTGCATGTCTTGATTATGTCCCCTTAAAATGCTATACAAACGGCAGTCGTCGTAAATGTTGTTACGGATCGTATGGATCCATCGATTGGAACGGGATTCTGTTCTATGCAGTACATTGCAGCGTTGAATACCCCTCCCCCCTCTGGATTGTTGTTCAAAAAGCAACACTACTCAAACGTATGCGCTCTTTTCTTCACACATCACGCCATTTGGCACACCTAATCCGCCATGGCATAAAAGTTCCATTTTAGTGATGTTTCCCTTTGACAGGCAATACTCTTTTTCCTTGAAATGATCTTTTTTTTTTTTTTTTTTTTTTTTTTTGGTAGGGTTCACGGCAAAGGAACCAGGTATCTGATTTAATAGCGCAGGTCCTGGGGTCTCTGATCAGGATACGTGCCAACGATCTTGACATCGAGACAGAACTTGTGCAGCTCCTCAATCACCGTTGTCATAACCTCGCTGTCTCCATGGACGCCAGCACACTCAACGAAGAACACATAATGCCATGGCTTGATCAGCGACGGGCGAGAATCGATCTTGGTCAGGTTGATATTATGATCCTTGAAGACTTTCAGTCCATCACAGAGCGCTCCCGGAAGGCGATGATCGACAGTGAACATCAAAAGAGTCTTGTCGCTCACAGTAGGTGCATCCCAGGCATCCGAGATGATAAAGAATCGCGTTGTGTTATCTATAAGACCCGATTCAAGTTTGCGGTGCGGCAACAGAGAAATTCAAGGGGTTAACCGTCCGAACTGGTCCCAAACGACCGAGTTAATGTCTGTGCATTGCCTCATACCTTGCTGGTCTTCAATATCCGCATGAAGGATATCCAGCCCATAGATCTCTGCACATACTTGGTTGCAGATCGCGGCCGCGAACTTTTCCTTTGATGCAAGCTGAGCGGCTTCCGAAGTCGAGGCACAGGGGACCAGCTCGATTCCCTTGAGGTGGCTGTTCAGGAAGGTCTGGCACTGAGCCAGCGCCTAAAAGTGGATAAGAGATAGTTTGAACACATATTTTTTTTTTTAGTACCACTGTCGTGGGAACAAAGCCATCAATGGAATGCCATAATAGTAGATGACCATACCACTGGGTGAGAAAAGACGCGACGGATGGCCTCTGTTGTGGTCTTGGAGAGTAGGTAGTGGTGGACTGGAAGATAGGTCTCGGCTCTGATCTTGACCTTTGACTTTATGAACTTATCTAACGTTGGGACCACAGATCCTGCGATCGAGTTTTCAAAGGGCACAACACCGTACTGGCAGCGACCGCGCTCGACGGCCTCAAAGACATCAGCAATTGTTCCTTGGGACGCATACTGGACACTGTCTCCAAACCTCTTCATGCTTGCCTATGAGAAAGAAGAACGAGTGATACCAGCAGATAAGCTTGTTGAACTTGAAATGGGGATACAGGGGGGTCATTTCTACAACGACGGGTTTGACACCTACATCGTGCGTGAAACTGCCGACAGGGCCTAGATAGGCCACCATGACATCCTTCTGGAGGGCAATTGAGGCGGACATGATCTCGCGGTAGATGGCGCAGAGGCTCTCGTCGGCCATTGGACCCGGGTTGAGCCTGGCAACCTTCTCGAAGACCTGTTTCTCTCGTCCGGGAATGTAGACATGGGTGTTGTCCTCGTCGAGGGGGTCTGCGGTCTGTCTCTTTGCGGATCCGATATCGAGGCTGACCTGGGCACGCTCGTTGAGGAGGGCAATGAGTTTATGGTCGAGCGAGTCGATTTGCTGGCGGAGGGTGGCGAGATTCAGCGACATTGCTGAGGGAGTGAGAGAGAGAGTGAGAGTGAGGGAGAGAGAGAGAGAGAGTGGGGGTGCGCAGTTGAATGAGGGAGGAGGGGGGGAGGGATGAGAGGGATGGAGACACAATTTATTCCTGGTCGTCCAAGGCGGATCCGATAAGTGAGAGTGAGTCAACTGTAACTTTTTTCTTTTTTCTTTTTTTTTTTGGCGGCGCAAACAGATCGGGGGCGCGTGGGCCAGGCACCGAAAGCCCAGGGGTGCTCTTTGGGGGAGGGGAGAGGGGGGGAGCAGTAGCGCATTCTGCATTCTGCATTCTGCACACACGTCGTCTTCTGTGCGGCATCGGGGGGGTGTCAGCTGCTGTATACGCTGGACACACACACACACGCGGACATGTCGCTTACTTCCTCGCCGCCTTTCCTCCTTTCCTCCCTCCTTTCCTTACTCCCATCCTCCTGTCCCCCCACACACCCACACACACTCCGACCGAGCAGTCATCCAATCGCACTTGTTTGTGTTTTGCTGCTCCAGTCCCTCTTTCTTCTCTCTCTCTCTCTCTCTCTCTCCCCGCTCCACTCCTCACCTCGGCTGATGCTATGGATGGTCTGCAGCCGCAATGTATAAGCTGGATCCAGGTAATTGCGGCACTCTCGTCCATATCGGGCATGGAGCCAACACTGCAGTCGTGTGAAGGGGCCCCTAACGTTCCCCTGTTCTCCTTTAGACGCTGCTTGGCGAATGTGTAACCACTCGGCAGCAGGCTTGGAGTCTTGTCTTGGGTAGGTGTGCGATCCTCCGCTCTCTCGCCTCCTGGGCGAAGCACAAATGCTCTCTTCCTCACCTCGGGGAGGCCCTTCCGTCGACAGTCTCCTCTGCTTGCGCTTATTACTCAACTCCCATTCGCACATTGTGTTTTGTCTCGCTAGGATACGTATCCATATTCTGCTGGCTCAATGCACAGATTCCGTAAGTGCAGCATCCTGTTCCATGACCATCAGGGAAAAAACAGTCTGCAGAGGTGTCGCTGACCTTCCATTCTCCTCGTTCTTACCCACAGTCAGATCATCGAAAATTTCAAGCTGAGCTCTGCAGGTCAGTGGCGACTATCCGTGGGCGCTATTTACTCAGGATGAGATTAATCTTCAGTCAGTGAGAGTTGTCGAGCATGCGGCCTAATACGCAGCACCCTGTCTTTTCACCGCCAAATAGCATCACTTTCGCTGCCCTTTTTGGTTAATTGGCTTCTCGGTAAGCCTTCGCTTGATGATTGTTCGGCTTTAGCATTGGCAACAAAAACCTCGGCTAATTGAAGTCTGCATCGTATCGTATCGCTTTTTTTTTTTTTCTTTTCTAGGGGATTTCAGCAATCTCATCGGATGCATCCTCACCCGTCAGCTTCCCTTTCAGGTGCAATTCTTTGATTGTCCTTCTCTTCTCTAGTCTCACCTGTTAACGGTTGTAACTATGAACTTACAAACAGTTGACATTACTATCACTACGCAAACATCCTAGATGTATCTGGCTGTGTACTTTTGCATCGCAGACGTGATTCTCTTTGGACAATGGATCTATTATTCGCGACGAGAGTATCGCATACGGTCCTTCCCTGATATTGTGGTCGCGAATGCACCAGAGACTGCAGAAGCAGACCATTCTATCCATCACCACCATCATCATCACCACCACCGTCGATCAGAGTCCCATCCAACCCACCTTAGTCGGAATATCGCAACAGAATCGATTGCTACTTTACCACATGATGATCTGTCAGAGGCTGGAGCCGGTGCTGTTATTCCGATAAATGATAATGAACAAGGGGAAGCGCTCTCGCCACTTCTGCAGAGACCACGTACTCGCCGCTTGGCTACCACGTCGGACATAGCTCATCGAAGGAGGTAGGACTTGCTGCCCAGGGTTTTTATTGAATGAGGCATAGCTGATCGGTTTGGTACATTTCTTGGCCATTACAGGGTGAAGTTCTTAATTGACGTCGTCCTGCCCTTTTTTTTATTATTATTTTTTTTTCCTCCGGGCAGTACGTCGATGGTCCTGTTCGGATTAATATTGTTGACCATGAGACAAACAATGCCAGCACTGCAGGAACAGACACCCTATGCACTGCTCGATCGCGGTCATGCGCGCTCTGGCACATCCATGGTGATCGGTCGTGTGTTTGCCAGAGGCCTCGACGGAGACCAAGGACTTGGAACCGATTCTGCCCCACCTGCGGATCAAAATATAATTCAACTGGGGCGTATCTTTGCATGGGTTTGTACAGTCTTTTACCTATCCAGTCGTATGCCTCAACTCTGGAAAAATGTAGGTGTATTTGGGATGTACTTTTCTTGCATCTTCTCTTACCAGCTCTTTATTATATTACTAAAGTTCGCTCCGCAATGGTCCCTCTGCTACGTTTAAAGTTCCAAAGGAAATCTGTCCAAGGCTTGTCAATCCTGATGTTCTTTTGGGCAGCTATGGGTAACCTGACCTATACACTCTCAATCCTCAACTCAGCCGACGCTGCCAACCCAGAGACTCGACAGAAATTCCTCCGCGAGGCCGTGCCTTACGTCCTTGGGTCTTCAGGGACGCTGATGTTCGATCTCTCCATCTTTTTTCAATGGCTCTACTATACGGGCAAGCTTTACGTGCTTGGTATTGGTCCAAAATCGCATGCTCGTCGTCGACATAGACATCATCATTCTCGACAGCACAGTAGCCGCTCTCAATCTAGAGTCGAAAGCATGATTCTATCGCCCTCTGGAAGCCATTCTGGGTTGTACAGCGTCCTGGTAGACGAAGAGGACCCGGGGCCTATGACGGATCGGCATCTAACTGCTCAGATACCTTCACATGAGGGACATGCAATTGATGATCGTGCACCCTCCCAGCCAACCAACTAAATATTCCAATAAACAACACTGGCGTGTAGCGTGGTGTCAAGATTGCTATTTCGATCCGATACAGAGCTATTGCTGGTTCTGTTGTAGAGAACAGAGTGATATGACAAATGCTTTATTGTTTGATGATGATGAACAACGCTATGAAAATTACGATTTCATATCGTAAATGAGGGGTCCTGACGGACAGACATGAAGGGAAGGGAGAATGCAAGGATGTCGAAGAGAACAAGTGACTGTTGGCGGCAACAAAAAAAGAACGGAGGAAATCAAAGTGAGGCGGATGGGAGTAATGCACGACTCTGCGCCTTCAGGCCGCCTAGATCAAGTCCATCACGTCGAACAGCATGCTGACGCTCTCTCCATTGTGTATCCTGCGGATAGCCTCTGCAAAGATCGGTGCAACGTTAAAGACCTTCATTTTAGGGCATTGCGCCAGATGCTCCTCCTGAGGAATACTATTGCTGACAATGACCTGGTCGATGCACGAGTTCTGAATCCTGGCAATGGCGTCTCCAGACATGATAGCATGCGTGATGATGGCATAGATCTTTTGAGCTCCGTTAATCTGCAGAACCTTGGCAGCCTTGGTGATTGTAAATGAGGTGTCTGCAATATCGTCGACCAAAATGCAGGATTTCCCCTTGACATCTCCAACGAGCATCATGTCGGGTTTGTGGGGAGCCTGAATCTGACGACGCTCCTTATGAATTAGCGCAAACTCCATGCCGAGCTTGTCGGCAATCACAGTTGCGCGTTTGGCTCCTCCGGCATCGGGCGAGACCACGACAGCATCCTCCCAGTTGGGGATACGCTCCCTGATATATTTAACCATCAAGGGCTGCCCATACAGGTTGTCGACAGGAATGTCAAAGAAGCCCTGGAATTGAGGATCATGCAAGTCCATGGTAATAATGTGGTCCGCACCTATTTAATGTTAAAGAACAACAAGACATGTCGGCAATGCGAACCTTATAAGCGGTCATCCATGGCGACCATAGCTGCTCCTTCCTTACCAGCAGTGACGAGTAAATTGGCAATAAGTGTCCCTGAACGGGCAACCCAGTGTTTGTATCCGGCCTTTTGAGGGTTCACTTGGTCACTGATGACACAGGTCTGAGAAGGTGTTGCTGATCTGGATCCCGATCCAGCTCCATTGATCGTGGGAATACTGAGATGCGAGGGATGGGCGGTGGACTGAGCGCGGATACCGCGGGGAGCGAGAACGCGGGTCTTGCTAGCGTCGTTGACCTCAGACCTCAAGGCTGAAAGAGTAGGGATCACCCCGCTTCCACTTCCGTTGGCGGTCGATCCATTGCCAGCGGAAGGGGAAAGTGTCGGGGAGGTTGCAGCCGATTCGATGTCCGAGTTGGACTCGTTGGTAGAGTCAAACATCTTATCAAAAGGATTCTTGCGATCGACACGATCCAGGCTAGGGGTTTGCAGAGGTGTGCCCGCAGGGGTGACTGGCAAGGAGAAGGGGGTATTCGATCCGGTGTAACCGAAAAAGACGTTCTGAGGAACACGCGACAAGGGCATGCCGTTCTTTTTGTAGGGTGCATCCGGCTGACGCGCATAGGGGAAACAGGGGATAACGGCGGTGATGCGGCGAGCACTAGCGGTCTTGCAGGCAGCTACCAGTAGTCCAACAAGTGATTAGATGATCAAAGAAAGACGAGAGTAGATAAATGAGGGTGTTAGACAAACTATTATCGTCGGCTGAACGCGAAGGAGCAAGTCATTCGCAACGCCGCAATGGCAGACAGGCAAGCTGAGAAATAGGGCTCCCTTGCGAACCAGACTGCCATTGATTTGAACACAGAGAGACACACAAGCACGGGTACGCACCGAGCATGATCAGCAGCTCCATGAGGTTATCATTGACGGCGCCACATCCAGACTGGATGATAAAGACGTCCTTGTTGCGGACACTGTCGCCAATCTCAACATTAGTCTCCTTGTTGGCGAATTTCGAGAGCTTGACCTGGCCGGGCGAGACGCCGAGACGGGCACAGATCTGGTCGACGAGTGCAGGATGGGAGCTCCCTATCGGAAGAAACAAACAAATGGTCAGCGCCACCAATTGAAATATATGGATCGTGAGGAAAAAAAAAAAGGTAGCGGGCACAGCACGGAGAATAGAAGATTGGCCCGGTATCCACATAGACAAGGAAGGAAGGAGGAGGGAAGAGGGCAGGAAAAAAGGGTATGTTCGATTGATATGGAGGGTGTGCGCCGTGGATAAGACGAATCAATTTTCATTTCATTTTGAGTCATAAGCATAATCGGTCCGGTGAACGAATTCGGTGGGGGTGTTGGTCCCATTCCATACCGCTGAATACGACGATGTTTCGCATGCTTGTGGGATGTGTGGAATCAAGCGGGGTGGAGGGAAGATGAAGAGTGAAGAGTGGAGAGTGGAGAGTGGGGAGTAGAGAGTGGGGAGACGGATCTGAAGGAGAAGACAGGCGGGGTTGACGGGGTAAAATCCGAATATCCCTTAGACCGTCTCAACTGGAGGGAGAGACAGCCACCTAGGATAAATTTTAACTGATACGGCCAGTACATGTACAGTTATTCGGCGGAGGGGCTCTGGGCGAGACAGGCTACTGATCCATTCGAGGCCAATATTAGCCAAATTCTGAGCGCCCACGCAGTCCCTGTCTAGCCATCTCTGGCACCCATCCTCAAGGCAGACGAACGCCCGATTCGCTGGCTTTGCCATTCTTCGGTCCTTGTTTTGTCGTACACAGCTTGGGCATTTCGATGACGTGAGATACTCATCCGAACAAACGGCGATGTACCCGAGGCTGTTTGCCTATGTAGTGCAATGGCATGCGGAAACATGGCATCAGTATCGATACTAGGCTGAAAACAAGCAAATCGCAACGAATATAGCGAATATCTTTAAAACAACATACCTTGTGAAAAAAATACCCCTTGAAGCTCTCGTGTAGCGATGCCAGCTTGGTATGGGTGTTGAACTTTCCTGGCCCGTATACAAACATCGCCGGTCTCGTTGGCCCAGTATGCATCCCGCTTTGTGGGTCCACAGTTCGCAATGCCCCATGCACGGCATGATCCTTCTCTGCCCGGTTCGTCTTTTTGAGCTCCCACAGCTTTTTTTTTCATCGAACGGGATCCGTAAAAATCGCAAAGTGGTTGTAGGACATAGCTGAACTGTCGGAGGCCATGCCGGTGTTCTCCCATGCTTACGAACGACGACAACGGTAGCGAGGCTTCCAATTCCAATATGCTAGGCGTCTCGCATATGTGCCTACTCAATCCTGCATCGTCTTTGATTGTGACAGTGGCCCGTTCGCGTTTTTTGGCCTCCAGCGTGGCTCTGAATGACAAGTTGGGACTGTAGAGAGCGGAGCGTCTGATAGGCAGGTTCGTGACCTGGTTCGGTTTTCGGGGGTCCAGCGCACAAAATGATGCTGAAATTACTTCACCGGGGTCCACCCCCACCCCCACAACATTCTGGAGGTCTTGATCGAAAGCCTTTGCGAGAGACCCTTTATTAGGAAATCGCGATGTAATCTCCGGGATCCGCGCCTTAAATTTGGATGACTGCCAACGTCGTTGGATGTCAAATGCCATTAGGTGGAGCTGGACTCCGTCTGTTCTCATCATATTGCTGATGGCATAGTACTCCTTAACGCTGTCATTGCTTGGGAGATCGGGGGGCACGGGGGGCTCCGTGCCTTCGGCAGCTGCTTGTTTCCTAGCCTTGTGATTTGAAAAGACCCTCTTCATGTACCCATCGAGTGCAGCTTGGCCGTATGTGTTTGGATGGTCCTTCAGCAATCGGTTCATGGTCGTTGTTTTCTTGCCATATGAAGTCTGGTTCTTGAGGGGATCCGCCTTGATCTCGACCTTGTCTCCGATAAACAATTGTCGGAAAAGCTCCCCATATTTCTCTGATGCAAGTTCGTGGGCCGTCTCGGAAGAGCAGACTTGAGTTTCCATGATATGCCGTGTAGGGTGCGTCTTTGAATTTGGATTGCCCCAAAGAAGTGAAAGAATGGCAGCCTCAGAGCACAAGATGAAAGAGTCTCCCAACTTCGACACTGGACAGAAAATAGGACGCAAGTCCGACGGCATACGGAGAAAGTACCTCCACCAAGTTTGGATGTGCCCCTTCTTAAATGACACCTTGTCTTTCTGTTTATCGCCGTCGGAGCTCTCGTCATCCTCAACTGGAGGTATATCATCGTGAAGAAACGAGCACGCTTCAGCTAATAGAAACAAAAAATAAACGTAAGTTCACAGTGGAAAAGCAAATCGACGCGAGATAGATCTTGTTCTGGACAGTGGAAATGTTACCTTGTTCACAATGAACTTGGGCAGTCTCTGGGAATGTTCCCGAACCGCGGTCCGGACCTCCACCGCCAGTTCCGCCTGGATGACGCTCAGGGCAGTCCTTTGTCGGTACGCAATCTGAAAGAACGCTCAGGAAATCGTCATAAATCGAGCGCGCAATTGTTTTCGCCTGAATTGCCGCCGAGTCTTTAGGTAGTCTCCCGCGGGGTGCTACTGGACCATTCAGAATCAAAGAGATCAGACTTCTGATGATAGTTTCTCCATGTGCCTTGTGCAGAATGAGATCAAGTGGGTCCGCGTTCTTTTCCTCCTTGTGCTGGACTTTCGGAGCACTCGCTTGATTGACATCAGTGCCCAAGTTCTGGTCTGGTGCCGGACGCGCTTGATCTGAATTGGATATGGTGGCAGTGCTGACCTCCTTGTAGAGAAAAAGTTCGAGCGCTTTAAACACGAGGATACGAGTTTGGCTCATGATGCGGGCCGTCTCGCTGATGCGTTCCGCGACGATCTTGGTCTGGACTACGTTCAGCTTCGTGGCGCGATGCAGGCATCCTGTGATCGACCCTGCAGTCATTGTGGCAGTCTTGAAAGCCTCTCCGAACAGGCGCTTAGTCAGGTTAGCTCCGGCTCGCCTCTCCGTTTTATCATTTTCCTCGTCCTTCTTGGGTTTCGCCTTGATTTCACTCCTGGCCTTAGGATTATCATCCATGCTTCCGTCCTTCTTCTTCCGCAGGCGCGGTTCCTCGATGGACATCTTTTCCAATGTGATCTTGTCGGCCGGGCATGACTGGCTGACGTCCATGACAACATGAGGGGAATAACGAGGGTTGGCATCTCCGTTCCTGCTCTTGTACCTAAGTGACAATCCCAAAAATTAAAAAAAAATATCAATAAGATGATTGTACCAAAGCGACAAAGCTGTAAAAGGTCGTAATGAATTTGAACTCGCTAACAAAGTCATACGACAATCATACCTGCTTCGTCTCCATTTTGCCTCCCGGACTTTCTTACGTCTTACTTTGCCTTTGGGGCGTCGCTTTCTCCGTTGCTGGGCGTTCCCTTTCTCGTGTCTGCGGCGACGGCGTTGGGTTTGAAGAATTATCTGCTGTCCAGGCGTCTGCAGGCTGTGCTGGACAGGGGAAGAAAACGCCAAGCCTGCAGAAGTGTCGATGGTGAGTGTATCGGCTGGAGGATTTGTCCGCGAGGCTCGAGTCATATTTCTCCTTTGCAGCTTGCACTTCGCGAGCTTCTGGAGTACGCCCAGTATTCTCTCATGGGTCGTGCACGATGGCGTAGCGGAGTTAAGATAGTCTTCACGCACTTGAACGAAAGCCGAAATGGCGTGAGTGTAGTCGTCCACACCCTTTTTTTGTCCTCCTCTCGCCCGTTGCAAATACTCTTGGATCAGCTCCTTGATAACCTCAGCCTCAGTCGTCTTGGATCCTGGCGCGTCCATGGTCGATCCATCGCCTGCTCCGGTCTCGGTTCTCATCTCTCGGATGATCTTGGTGTTTCTTTGGAAGCCGTGCCACGGGAGTGCCTTGGAGTAGTCATTCTTAGTAACGATTGATACTAGCAACAGCTCACGGTCGCATGCGAGGTCCAGAGACTCGAGCAGGTCAGCCTTCTTGTACGTGGTAAGCTCTCGGTACTTTCCGACGGGTATAGTGATTTCTCTAACACCTTGATATACCTTCATATCACTGTCGGCGGTAATGATTGCGAGGTCGTCTTTGTTGTTATCAGCTTGACACAACTCAGCAATGTGCGTGTCTGCTTGGAAGGGACATTCGCAGATGTGCCACTCCAAGGTCTCCAGCACATTTCTTATGTCTGCCAGCGCTGCCTTGGATGTCTTGTACGAGTTTCGACATTGCTTGTACAGGGGGTCCAAAGAGCCGCTGTTTTTTCCTATGGCGTTGTCAACTCGCACTTCCAGAGCCTTGATCCGGTTGCTGAGGGATATGGCCCGATCTTGTCGCTCTTGAGACTTTTGTATCGAGGCCTTTCCGTCAAAGTGTAAAACTGTTGTCGATTTGCTAAAGTGCTTTGACATGATTTTGTTGAGATCATGCGCTATGTGACCGTAGTTCTGTGACTAGAGATGAGGCGGGGTCGAGGGACGAAGCAACAGAACATGTGTCAGCACTTGGTTGCTATGCTGCGTGTGCTGATACGAAACCATTGGCACATTTAATTACCTGCTCTGTTGTTCCAGGTCGGTCTGGTGTCAATCGTCCATTAGGGCCAATGGACAATGCAGGATGTTGCACTCCGGCAGCCTGTACCTCGCTCGCATAACTAGGGCGTGCCTTTCCTCGCTTGGATGGAGCCTCGGAGAAACTCAGGGCGCGCTTCTTGATGCCGCTTCTCCTGCTAGTGCTGGCGTCTGCAGCAGAAGGCGCGTCTTGCGCTGCTGAGGCTGTGGAGACTACGGGGGCTGTGGGCACTGCGAGAAAGGTCGTCGTTTCTGTTAGAATGGAAGCCGCTGATGCGCTGGTAGTTGTCGTAGCCGTTGCCTCAGCTCTCGCTTCCTTGGCGACTCTGTTACACGTCGCTTTGAAGGTCCTTGTTTGCAAGAATCCGAAGTACAGACTTAAGACATCGACATGAACTTTCTTGCTCTGCAGACCATAAGCTAGCGTTCCTTTGGTGTCTTTATAGCTTTGGGTAGCCCAGTGACTCCCATCTGGTACGATAAAGGCCAAGTCAAAGTAGACAGCTAATGAGGATCAAATTTGGTGCATGTATCCATTCGCAGAAGCATTCAAGACTCACGTTGAGAATATGCGACAGTGCTTGAGGGCTGATAAGGGAGTGGATGAGGGAAGGAGTGGGGTCAAGGATGTGAGGAATGATTTTTCTTTTAAGACTCCAAAATCTGCGTCCAAAATGTTCGTATGTTCATGCACTATGTTATGGAAATTGCAGTGTTCACATTGATTATCGGTTATTTCATTCGTATCTAACAGTGATTGATCACTGTTCTCATAAACCACCTAGACTGGGGCAGCGAAAAACTGCAGTTGCTGCAAGATAATGTATTTCGTGTCAGGAGGATAATGGTCGTCTCTGTTCGCAATTACGCGTCACAAGCTAGTCTACGCATCTATCTTGCATCTATCTTGGGCTGAAGCGTGCGGGGGATGCTTTCATTTATTCTCAACCCTCTCTTTCCCAATACTCATTACTCTTCATCCTCTTCCACCTGCATCTCATACTATGTCAGACAGAAAACTGCCCATCGACAAGAGTGAGCGCATCCTCAACGAGCTGCTCAAGATTCCCGTCAATACCATCTGCTGCGACTGTGGAGCTGCCAGTACGTGTCCCAAAGAAACAACACCTTTACGACCTACTCTCCATTGTAACCATGCTATCGACAGTCGAAAAATGTAGTATCAATGCGTTTTTCCTCTTTCTCCAATTGTAGATCCAAAATGGGCCTCATACTCGCTTGGATGCTTCCTGTGTGTGCGCTGCTGCAGTGTGCACCGCAAGATGGGCACCCACATCTCAAAGGTCAAATCCGTCACTCTCGACTCGTGGACACAGGACGATATCGATGTAAAGCAAACATCGACCGCCCTTTTCACATCAACCTGTACATCTACCGTAGAGAACTGAGGACCAGGAACCTCTTTGACTGACAAAGACATCTGTGTGTTCTATTCGTGGCTCTTTAGACAATGAAAAACTGGGGCAATGGCAAGGTCAATGCCATGTATATGCCCCACCCAGAGCGACATCCACCGCCAACAAGCATGGAAGGAAGGTACATGTCAAGAAACCGCTTGAACTGCTGGAAATGCTATTTTACCGGTACCTTTACTCTAATCACAACCTCATATCCCTCGTCACTTTTTTAGTGCTATGGAACAATATATCCGGTCCAAGTACGAACGAAAAGAGTTCATGGAGGGTGGAGGAGGCAACAAGCATCAGGTGAGGCCACTTTCTCATGTTACTATGGCTATGGTCATGATGGAACTTCAGACACTAATCAGTCTAATCAAACTGTCGCTTCCTTCGCGGCTGCAGCCCTCGTCAAGGTCAGCATACGGTAACACATTCTCCGGAGGAAGAGGCAGCAGCTATAATAACGACATTATCAACACTCAATCCTATACTACCCAAATGTCCGCCCTGCGTGCCATGGGCTTCACCGATAACGCTAAGAACCTACAGGTTCTCCAGTCCACGGATGGAGACGTGCCCAACGCGGTCGAAATCCTTTGTCGTATTGGCTCTGGACCTGTTACCTCTTCTGCCAATCTTTCCGTCTCAAACTCTTCACGCAACAACCATTCGCCGTCAAGAAATTTGCCTCGGCGCAGCCCATCCAGCAATAGCACCAGTGCTGGCGGCAACGATCCAAAGGAGACGATTCTCTGGAACATGGGCTTTCATGATACGGCTCTGAATAAGGAGGCACTCCGACGCGCGGGAGGCAACCCCGATGTCGCTGCTGGGATCTTGATTGATGAGCGGGATAAGTTGGCTCGGGCAGTGAGAGATAAATCGTCGTCTTCGCTGTTACCTGCGCGTCTGGATCCTCCGGGTAGCAACAAGGTGCAGAAGAACGAGAGTAATCTTTTGTTGGATCTCTCTGACGATAACAGCAATAGCCAGCAGCAACAACAAAATCAGCAGCAGCAGATGTTTCAACAGCAAATGCAGATGCAAAATGCCTTTGGAAATTCGAGCCAGCAGTGGTCTAACCAGAATTCCATGGATCAGTTCGGTAAGCTCCTCCCTGTGTCTCCTATATTTGCACCGAGAACCATCCTATGCAGCTTACCAACAATATCTCACACTTGCGATACAGGTCAAAATCACAACCAACTTCAATCGATCCTGGAAAAGAACGCGAGCATTCTAGCGCTCTACAATTCAGAGAACAACAACAATAATATGAATAACATGAATGGGATGCACAATATGAATAACATGGGCAATATGTTTGGAAATAACACCATGAACAACGCATTTGGCCTCCAGCAGCAACAGCAAACAGGAAACTTTGGCGATATGAACTCATGGGCCTTGAGCAACAACAACAACAACAACAACAACAACAACAACAACAATTTGGCCATGAACTCTGCGTTCGGATTACAGGGCAATATGGTCACTGGCAGTAACGCCGGCAACAACCTCTTTGGCAACCCCAATAACAACAACAATGCCACGAGTATGGGCATGAGCAACACCCCGTCGAGTCTCTTCGGTCTTTCGAATCAAGGATCGGGCAACAATTTCAACAGCGGCAATGCTTTTGGTACGCTAGGCAGCACAAATTCAGGCTTATCTGGAAACAACATGTTCGGTACGATGAACGCTAACAGCAACACGACAGGTATGGGCGTCTTGGAATCAACATCGCCCATGACACCATTCAGTACCATATCGAACAATAACAACATGAATACGAACAACAATGCGTTCATGAACGGGACCAGCCAAGGCATGAGTCCGATGGGAAACATGGGAACCGGCATGGGCTTGAATAGTACGAATAGTATGAACACTATGAGCAGCATGAATAGTATGGGTGGTATGAACGGGACAAACAACAACTTCAACTCGGCCTTCGGACTGAACCAGAACAACAATAGCAACTTTAGTAACTTCAATAACAACAGCAATCCATGGGGGAGCAACAATAACAACAGCAACAACAACGGAAACCTCTTCTAGATACGCTCGACAAGCGTAAAAAACATAAAATAAAATAGCCAGCCGGCTACTTCTGACTAGCATTTTGAGATAAACTGTCTATTATGGAAAGATATCGTATCGTCTATGGTTCATGACAGGCATCTCTGTGCGGATGCGCTCTAACATGGAAAGGTCTACAGGCGCGACTGCAATCCCTTCCTCTTCGCCATCGCACTCTGCAACTACTTGGCCCCATGGGTCTACAATCTGTGGCAAAGAGAGTGTTACGAAAACAAAAAAAAACAAAAAAAAAAAAAACGGGTATATGAGCGGCGTTGCCAATTCCCATATTCCATTACAGTCTACATTCGCGCGATGGACCTACCATGGCATGTCCATAACTAAACCTCTTCTCAGAGTGCTGTCCGACTTGGGCAGCCGCAACAACATACGACTGAGTCTCGATTGCCCTACTCCTTAGAAGAACCTCCCAGTGCGCCTCCCCCGTCTTGATCGTAAACGCTGAAGGATACGTCAAAATCTCGGCACCCTGTCTCCTGAGCGCCAATGCTAGTTCCGGAAACCGGAGATCATAGCAGATACCAAGACCGACTTTTCCAACAGGTGTCCTTACTGGGCGGACGAGTTTATTGCCGGCAACGGTATTCTTGCTCTCCATCAAACGTGGACCATGTGCGATATCGACGTCGAAGAGATGGATCTTGTGATAGGATTCGACGATGGATCCTTGGTCGCTAATGAGCACATGAGTGTTGTAGAGTCGGCCCAAGTGTGGACTCTATAAGCGATTGAAAGTTTGTCCTTTTGTCCCTTGAGTGTTCTACGGGGCATGGGATGCAATTATTTCCAGGCGTAGATTAAAACGAACCTGCTCATGGATACCCACGGAACACCAGATTCCGAGCTGTTCGGCTTCTGCGCATAATCCTTCAAGAAATGGTCCTGAAAGATGGAGCGGGTGTGAGAGCGCCCATGCTTCGTCACTTGGGTTCCCGATGAAATCGGACGCCTCTGGGAAGAATATCATCTGCAATGGTGCGCGAATAGTAACGTCAGTATACTCGTTTCTGGGCGCTTCGGATGTATGTCACGGAGACATATGCCGTACCTGAGTGGCCTGCTTGGAAGCTTGACCCATAAGACGGACGCAGGTCGCAAGGTTTGCAGCGACGGACTGCCCACCACGGAATTGGGCCACTGCGATCTTGATTTGCTGCATCGTCCTGAATGTGAATGAGTTGAATCGGAAGAAGTGATGTAGGTGCGCTCTGGTACGCCGCGCGCATAACTTGTTTTATTCGCACAGAAATTAATGAGATGCAGGTACATCTGAGTCTATGCGTTCCTCCTTCGCTTAGACTGACGACGACCACCAGACCCTCCTGCTCCTATCGATACCGATGCGGTTAAAGGCGGATCAGCCGAATTTTCCAGCTTGACCTCCTCCAAGCCGTGTCGGACAGCTTGCGAGTCCTGCTCCTCCTCTGAGGGTTCCACTAGTCGGGTATCCACCACTTCCTGCTTGACCTTAACAACATGGCGTTCAGCACCATCGCTCGTCGCCACTGTCGTCCCAATGGTCTCCTTCTTCACATGGGCTAGCCCTGCGCTCGAGCCCTCTTTGACTCTCCCCTCGATGGTCCGGAGATCCGCCGCAAAGAGTACAGAATGCGCCCATCCAGAATAATCGCCAAAGAGGTCGACAAAGTGCTTCCCTACAGCCTTGTAGATCGTCGGCGAAATCGTTTTGGGGACTTTACCCTCGAACCGGAACTGATAATCTCGTACAGCAATCTGCCAGACGTGTGTGTCTACAGGGATACTATTGTGCTTGTCCAGTGACATCAGGCACTAAAGCCAAGAACACACCCCAGTCAGTCATAGATTGCAAGAAAGGACTAGGCATTTTCAAAAGCAACGAATCTTACGACACAATCGGCAACTTTGGGTCCAACGCCTTGAAGAGCAAGCAAAGCGCTGTGGGCTTTTTCGTACGGCAGATTCCTCAAACCCATAAGCCATTTCTCGCCATTGCCCATAGCACTGATCATCTTGGCCGTGTTAGCAATGTACTTTGCACGATATCCAAATCCCAGACTGCGCAATATCTCTTCCACGCCGTCCTGCGCCAGGGCGTCTATTGTTGGGAACCCAAAAAATGTCCTGGGCGATTCGTTCGGCTCTTCGGGCGGGACTGTTATGGGGGATCCGTATTCTTGACACAGTTTCGTCGCCTAGACGTAATATACACACAGTATTCAGATATCATTAGAACCACAGTATTTCAATTCGCCGAGTAAAATAAAGCCGATGAGACTTGCTGTGTCAGTACCATTTGGCTGATCCTGCTGATGTTGTTGTTTGAGCTGCAGATGAAGCAGATGAGGTTCTCGACCGGGTCTTGGCGTAAAATCCTCACGCCTGGAAAATGAGGTGCCTTGGCTTTGAAGTTCGTATCGGCCTTGGACCACTTGTTATAAAGCTCTGTCAACGGCACATCCAGCTGAAAGTAGTCTCTTAGAAACTCTTTATCGTCTCTCATATTTTGCTCGAAATCCTGGTCCTGGTCATGTTCCTGCTGCGCTCCTTGATTGTGGTCAACTTTGACTTTTGAAGAGACCGACGGCCTAAAGGTCCTATATTTGAATCCATCTTCTGTTTCTTGTATGATCCATAGCCGGCGATCAAGGACACAGGACCACGTGGGGAGGGAAATTTGACCCGAGGCAAGTTCCTGGTGCTGACGATGCCAACGAAAGGACTGACCGCATTTGAGCGTCGTCGAAAGGTCCAACTCTGACCGGGGTATATTCATGATCGTCCATGGCGTGCCTGTGACATCCGTTGATGCAGTTCGTTCCAAAGCTCTCAGTGCTTTTCCTGCTGAACTCTTTGCCACCTTCTTGGACGACACCACTGTAACACTGCGGGCTGTTACTCCAAACTCCTGTGCCAGCGAGAGGGCTCTCTTCCGAGTAGTCTTTGGGAACGCAGTCATCATATCAATCCAAGTCTAGCTCGAGAAGTAAGCCGAAGATATAGTTGAAAAGTCGGTCGAGGTAGGCGGGTAGGGTGATAAAAAAAAAAGAGAAAGAGAAAAGAAAAAGAAAAAGAAAGGAAAAACTGTTTTGCGAGTGGCTTCAGCAAAAAGCAGGTCAGTCTAACAAAAAGATGTCGCGTCAACAGCAGGATTTGAACCTGCGCGGGAGAACCCATGAGATTTCTAGTCTCACGCCTTAACCGCTCGGCCATGTTGACTTTAACTATAGATGCCTATAGATTATTATATACTCAAGAAAATATTTCTATAATTGCAAGCATTCTCTATATGCATACATTTTTTTTTAACTGCCTCGTACGTACTCTGGACACTGGGCAGCACTACACAAAATTGTCCAGGATCGGTCTGGGTCCGTGGAGGTGAGGTGGGTCCGTGGGCACAGCACCAACACTGGCAACAATCTTGCAGACACTGTGGCGACAGCCGCCGTCCGAGTCGAGTCAATGCCCTGGTCGGTTGATTTAAGCGAGCAGCAAGACATCCGCTTTTTTGCACATTGCCACGATCATCTTGTGGAACATGATCTGCGGCAGCTACTCAAGCAGCAGACGACAATCAGGCGTCATCAGGCCTGGACAACCCAACGTCGTGTCAAGAGAGCGATACCAGATCTTGCCGACGTGGAGTGGCGGTCCACCCTTGCCCATGTCCACGACAAGCGCTCTGTGCACACGTTCTTCAGCAGTGCTGCTGATACGTCCCAGAGGACACATCATATTAAGAAGCTGCATGGTATGCTGCCTACCCTGAATACCATGAAGGCTCGCCACCCGAGTCTATATCCTGACCGTGTCTGCTGCGTCTGCGATGTTCAGGACGAAGACAACCATCACCTGTGGACGTGCAGTGCTACTAGAGATGTCCACAAGGAGATCTGGCGCGAAGGGCTACAGCAGATTGATAAGTGGGGACGAGCTGCAACGACCGCATACAACAAGAACAGCAAGAAGCAGCAAGAGCGTGATAGGATCCGCGCTGGAGCCGCCGCTGCTGCACCGAAACCCATTCGATGGGTTTGTCCTAACAACGAGACCCACATCCGAGGTCTATCCTGTATCGCCGGGACCCGATCAATGCTCAAAGGCGACGAGTATCATGACCGCTCTCCGGATCTGACCTGGAGCATCAGCGATTTATGCCGTGGCATCACACCCGTAAGCCTTATCAAGGAGTGGGGCAGTCTATTTACCTCGCCATCGTCGATTGCGCGCCAGGTCATTCACAAGTTCGTCGGCTTTATTGAGGAGAAAGCTACGGAGCTGATCTGGAAACCACGCTGCAAGGCCACCATTGCTCGAGAGCGAGAATGGGGGATCACAGCCAAGATGAAACGAACTCCATACAAGGGACCGAGAGGGGACTGGAGTGATGGGTATGGATATATTAGCGACGATGACCAATGTCCGTGTGGTGCATTACTCGCTGACCATGTAAACGGGAGCTGCCCTGGCCCCGTGCTTGACCCAGACGCAGCGGATCGGACGCTGCTGGATTGCCTGCAAGGGAGGAGGCGGTTGACAACTATGGAGGGGATGGGGAAGATACCCTTCTTGTAACAAGGTGTTTTCAGCTTTTAACACACTGATGAGGTGTGGCAATTGTTGCGCAGGCCCTAGGGGCAGGCCCGGGGAATGTGACCTGTCTTTTGGCGACTGTGGATCGGTTCCGCTTTGGTGGTGAGGACAGCGATAGTAGATCTTTGCTAGTTAGTCTGATAGATTCGCAGAGTCAATTGACTCGAGAGACAAGTTGTTATAAAAAAAAAAAAAAATTTAACTGCCCTAAAAAAAAAGAAAAAAAAAATGGACATCGTGGCAACGACAGGGGACGGCGGAAAGACGAGGAACATATCACGTTGCGGAAGGAGAGGCACCGGAGAGTGATGCGGATTGGGAGGTCAAGGACTTGTACCGAGGATTGGTGCCAACGAGATTCATTGAGACCTAGAAACAGCTATCTACCACCACCAGTGCTCATGGGGATCTATGTTAATAAAAAAAAAAGACTGCCGGGATTGGAGCTGCGAGTGACCAGCAGCGGTGCGGCAAAAGCCGCTTATTAGAATATTGAGCACCCTTTACTATGCCTCTAGCAATAGGGTTCCCTAGTCTAGAGTCCCTCACTAATAAATCCCACATATCCTCGCGGGTTCTAGTTATCAAAAAAAAAAAAAAAAAAAAAAAAAAGACTGCCTGCAAGGGATGGGATGGGAAAGATACCCTTCTTGTAACAAGGTGTTTTCAGCTTTTAACACACTGATGAGGTGTGGCAATTGTCGCATAGCCCCAAGGGGCAGACCCGGGGAATGTGACCTGTCTTTTGGTGGCTATGAATCGGCTTTACATTGGTAGAAAGGACGACTGTAGTAGATCATTGCTGGTTAGGTCTGATAGATTTGTAGAATTAATTGCATACTTCTTCCCTTATGTGCACGTTCACCTTATCTCCCTTTGGACTGCGCCCAATACGAGTATTCTGGCTTCTCTCCATCGCTCTCCGGCGCTACCTTTCCATCATTCCCATCTTTCCCACCTTCACACTCACCATCTCGGCAATGATTAGTAAGCGCGGCGCCATACCGGATCATGCTTCTGTATATCAAATATCATGAATACTGAATCGGTTTCGAAGACTCAGAGAAAAGATATAGTACCATTTGTGATTGGCCAATTAGTTTATTTCCTTTACCCGTTCCCATTTACCCTCTCGCTCCGTTACATCACTCATCTACCGTATCTCACACTTACTTTGCTCGACCCCCCTCCCCCATTTCTATCTTGCCCTGTTCTCGTTTATGCGTAACATGGTCTTTTATGCGAAATTTCTGTTATAAGCCTTCTCTTGAAATGCTTGATGGACTAGGATCGTATTTTATTATTTTTTTGCCCTTTCTGATCGGAATGGCCGCTCTGGTACCGCGCCGGATCCTGCAGAGTTGAGTAGAACCCTAATCGAGTAGGGAATGAGTTCGATTGAGTATCTCTTTCTGGTTATACAGCAGTTTTTCTAATGCTACGTGAGAAAATGTGGTTAAATGTTGGTGCGGAGAATCCAATCTATCTTGTAGCGGTTGTGATATATACTTCTTATTCCCGTTTTTCAAAAAGAGATGGCGGATTGCTTCGAGACTGTCATCGTCACTCGAGTAAGAAGATAGCCTGCCACAGGGAAAATAAATAAAATAGAGATAAAAAGATAAAATAACATGGCATGCTCTTTCTGTAATTATTTCGCTTGTAGCATTTGTCGCATCCTGGAATTAAAAAAATCATTGCTTGTGATGGTTCCGGAGACTCACCCGACCCTAAAAATGCTGTGTTAGTATCAGATACCCTTGTTGAATCTGTATTTACATATGTGCCATTCCAAATTGACCAGGCACGCCTTCATTCTTTTTTTTTTTTGACCAGCTGGGTGAAATAGTATCGCTGTACGATTTCTACTGTGCAGGTGAAATTAGACTCGAATGGGAACATATTTCGTGCTCGCCGCAACTGTATACGAATAGAAAATGGAGGTAAAGAAACAGGAGTTAAGGGAGGAAGAACAACGTTTTTTTTTCTGCATCTAGAACTCTAAATATCTAGTTGGGCGAAGCAGTTACCAAAAAAAGCAACCTCGAAAGACTGAATCATTGGCATTTCTTATGTGGTCTTGACTTGACGGGATCCTAGTGTCTACCTATTGCAATGACATCGAATGATAGAAACGGAAAGACGAAGGGGAAATAGAGTGCAGATGCGGAAGTCCGCAATGCTATGTGGGCCCCGTATCAAGATAAAGTCTTAATTTATTGCTTGATGCCCCATAGCTGCTGTCGAAAGCATTATATAAAAAAATTATATATGTATAGTAGGATTATAAAAAATCGATGAGATAGAGCCTTGCTTTAGGCTACTTTTGCATGCCCCATAGCTGCTGCGAGGGCTGGGCTTCTATCTGTTGTACCTGAAAAAAGGATGCATATAAAATTTGATGCAGCGAGTATACATGTAGTTCTACCTCGCATATATAGCTGCATACCCTATAGACGTGTATTGAATATGGGAACCTGGACAACGGCAGCAGCAATGGGATATATTTTGTCAGATGCGTCATCAAGTCCCTAACTGAGCGAAGAAAAAGAGGGTTTACGATACGCGCGAAAAGAGCGACGAGGATACGTCTTGGGTTCATTAGCAAGCCTTGTAGGGTAGGCTGTACTCGGATATGCAATATGTCTAGGCGGATGGCACGTCTTCATGTTTAAATAGACTTGTACATAAAAGGCCTGTTTCATGAAAATATGACAGTACTTTGTTCGCCAAACACTAGGCGATAGAGCTATAGACTATGTTGAGGTTATATGAATATGGTCTAGTGAGATGCAGAATGCGGTTCTGCCAGTACTTAAAGATGTCCGCAGAACCCATTTGGCCTCGGATAAATGCTTTGTCAGTAACAACAACAACACCAGCACCCCCCTCTCCTGACTACACCAGAGAGTCGAATCGAAGGTGCTATAGAGATGCACGTTAATACGTGTAGTTGGCAATCACGCTCTCCATTGCTAATATATAGTATGACACATACTTTTTTTATCCCGAAGGTAAAGCTTGGCGACTGGTCTACATAAAGGCGGGTGGACAAGGCAGAACACCGGGCCAGGTCGACAGCACTACAAACACAATGACACAATGAACGCAAAAAAAAAGTCTGTCAGTGTTTGTGTTTGTCGGTACTACGGGTATTTTTTTAGACAGAACGCCTAATGCTCTGTTGTAACTGTGGGAGATCTAGGCAGCACAACGTACAAACACCAACCACACAACAGTATAGGGACAAGGCAAGGGGCGAGGAGGAGTGGGAAAAAGGAAAAGCAAGCGCTACACAGAGAACACGCCGTTGTACAGATAGATGATCGACGGAAATAAACAGGGCGAACAGAAGAAAAGAGATGCCGTCAATCGATTGGTTCCTCTCCCTCTGAACACGTTTTCTGTGCAACCCAAGACGGACGAGGCGCATCCGTCAATGGGCGCATGTTTCCAATAGACTACTTCTTCTTCTCTTTGCTCTAAGCTTCAGCTTTGGGCTTTGGGCTTTGTTTTTTGGGCTGTGGGCTTTGGAGGTTCTGTGCAGGGGCGTAACCTTGGGACGTATTCTTGCATAGACTTCACATTCACTCACACACCAAAAAGAAGAGGAAGAGAAGAGGCCGATTAATTATACAACAAGTGCCAAACACCCACGCCGGACTACTTGCACTGTTAACTGCATGGTAAAGTTTTATATGGTGAGATACATGTAGACGCCCGTCTTGTCATCCAGCCATTTTCAATCGAGAAAAAACCATTCCGGTAGAATTGATGAACCATCGCTCGAGTCGCAGTTGAAAGGCTACGATAGCCACATCTAAACCCCTGTTGTATAGATACATTTCTCAACCCTTGCGCAATACACTTGGGTAATGGAATGCAACAGAAGCAGGGTCCGTAGCATCCCATTCGGCGCTTCCTTTACCTTTCTGCGTGTCTGCCCCACTTTTCTGTCGGTTACCCAATTGGTACATGTAAATGGTTTTCATGGAATAGTAGGTACGCAATGCTTCCAGGCATAGCCAGAAAATCGGATAAAGGCATACAGACAATTCATAGACATACAAGAGGGAGGGAGGTAGCTGCGGACAAGACGGTTTTCCGGGCCTATTTGTCGATCGGGATCGGCGTACATTTATTATTACATCTTTACACCTTTGGGTTGTCATGTTGCATGTCGAATGTTTTTATTTTTTGGTGGTACAATACTCGCTTCGCCATCCTCAAGTCGATTTTCAGAGGGTTGAGGGTTGCCCGCCAGTATTGCCTGTTGCTGAGGCAAACATTTTCATTTTCGTTGGGCCTTTTGGCCGACGACGACAAATGACCTGGACTCTTTCCAGGGATGTTTGTGCACAGGTCATTTATGCACATCATGCAACGCGACGTAAACGAAAGGATCTTCCTTTTCATCTCTCTTGATCAGAAAAAAAGAAAAGAAAAGCCCGCATGGGCTGTGGAGAGAGGTGGGTGCGGATGAGAGACAGTAAAAAGATTAATCTAGTGCAGGTACACAAGGGTTTAGTTCTGCGATGCGATGTGATTCATTTGCAGCAATTGGGATGTTGTAGACTATGTACCGCAAGAATCTTGAATGCCTTTGTGTGCGGGTGGATATCTTACTTCATGCATGTAGATAGTCTAACTGGGAAAGCAGGAGGTGCGTGCACTCTGTGGGGGAGAAGAGGAAGTGGAGGGGGGGGGGGGGGGGGGAAGTCTCGTTTTTCATCTGCCTGCGCCTTACTATTACGTGATGTATAGACTAGAGTTCATCTAAAGAGGTCGATCTCTGCCGTAGTCGAAGGGCTATCGAGGTGGTGTAGGGTTGGTCTCAACTGATCTGCAGATCAAACTCAACCAAGGTCATACATACACAATACAATATAGTTGGTTTTTATTTTTTAGATGTTGGGTGTTGGTGTTGGTGTCCGGAACAGTAAAGTTTTGACCGATGATGCTTGCTTGCTGCTGCTCTTGCTGCTCGCTTGCCTTGTTGTTGATGTTGTTTGCATCTCTAGTTTGTGGTCTGTTCCTAGACTAACCATGGATCGATTAAACTGGGCGGGATACTTGCCCCAGCTTTTGCTCGTAATAATAAACCATGTTCATGTGTTTCTTAGGGTACAAACCAAATAGAATAAATTGTCGATCGCTCGTCATCTCGCGGCCTAGAGCGTGTAGAATGCGTGCAACTGCGTGCTGGTGGACGCAAATGCGGTCTAGCCCTCCCTTGGAAGGAAAAATAATAATAATGAAGGTCGCTTGAGGCATGCAATTAGTCTATCTAAACGTATATGCTCTCTCTTTTTTTTTTTTCTCTGTGAGTTTTTGGCCTCCATCTGTATGTATTCTTTTGGGGACCTGTTCGGCCGAGGTGGGAAAATAAAAAATAAAGTGCTAAGGCGAGGGTCTAGGACCATCCTCATGTTCAGTGAGAGCGAGTTGTTGGCATGACCAGCCCACGGCTCATGATAAACGCCCACTGTTTTTGGTATTGCTCTCATGTCGATGGCCTCGACTTGATCCTTTGCCCTCCTCCCCTATAAATCCATTAACGACACATGGTTGCAGCCGCTGTAGACAACAAACAATAATAACCCATGCTGCACGCAATTGAGACCAAAATATACGCCGTTTACAACGCACAAAATAAGCATTTGGATAACAGGCAAAGTAACATCGAGATGGCGATTTATTCGGTTGCACACAACAACAAATATATATAGGCTTTTTGGTACAATGGGCAGCGTTAAAAAAGAGGTTGCCTCGTGGGAGAGAATAAAAGATAATACAAGTGTACAGAGGATGGCTATGTCTGTGGGAAGCAGTAAATAATGGATAGTTTTCTTAGAGTCTTACAAATCCGTTATGATATGAGTGAGAGCGTGGGCTAGGATACCCATCTTTGTGTCGTAAACCTTGGAGCAGCCCTCTTCGAAGCATGGATAAGGCGGCCTGGTCTTAAGCGTATTATGCATCCATACATGTGCATCCAATGCCTCGGCGTTTGGCAGCATACACGGGCAGTCGTCGAACGGACATTTCTTCTAATATCAAATGAGAATAAAACGCGTATACGCAGTTAGCTAAAGATAAAACAAACAAAAAAACGCCCTCCAGTACTTCATCCTCTTAGGCCACAAGCGTCATCCCTTAAAGTCAGGGTCGCTTCGCTTAATAAAGAAAGGGCGCCATTAAAGATGTTTGAACGACATTGCGGAATTTTTTTGGGGAGGACTTCAGTCGTACCTGTTGAACAAGACAATCGTGCTTGTACGCGCTGCGCTGACACTCAAATTGTTGTTGACATTTCTTGTACGGACACGAGAATCGATAGTCAAGACCTAGATCCTTATGGATCCTCGTCTGATGATCGGTAAGTTGCTTGCTTCCCGAGTAGACTTTGCCACAGTCCCCAACCAGACACATCCATTCGAAGCCCAGTGATTGTTCTTCATGCAGCTGCTTGTGCCGCTGAAGCGTCAGGGGGTTGGCCAGAACTGCCTTGCAATCCGCAAAATCACAGCGGAACTCCATTCCAATTAGACCTTTCTCGTGGTCCAGAACGTGGCGGCGTACATAGTCCGTGCTACCGAACGTGGCTTTGCAGCCCTCGATTGGACACGGTAACCGCTCGCCGGACTTGACCTGCTTGCACCGCAGCTCATGAGCACGTAGACATCGATTCGTACCAAAAACCTTGCCACAGCCTTCGACAGGGCAAAGCAGCTTGATGCCAGCATCCCTCTCCGAATGGATCTGGAGGTGGTCCTTGAGACTCTTGGGCGTGGCCAGAATCTTATCACACTCTGGCCAGGTACAAGGGTACTTTACACCAACCAGACCACGCTGGTGTTTCAGCCGATGCCTGGACAAATTCTCGGTCGAGCCGTAGGCAGCATCACAACCGGGTTCGGGGCACTTGTGAAGCATTCCCGCCAACTTTTGTTTGCACAACCGAACATGAGCTGTCTGGCTCTGCTTGGTCCGCAGACTGACGCGACAGCCAGGCATGGTGCACGGATAACGCTCCCCCTGGGCTGTTTCCTTGTGGTCACGAATGTGGCGTCGAAGTCCCTGGTGAGTGGAATATGACTTTTTACAATCGCCAATTGAGCAGGTAAATTGCAGGGGTTGCGGATCGAGTCCGGATGACGAAGGGATTGCTACAGACTGAGAGGATTGAGGGGTTATGGGCAGCGAGGACATTGATCTCGATCTGGATCGAGATCCATCCGAGTACGCGGTATCGGAAGGCGAGGGAGAACGAGATGGAGAGGGCAAGACGTGTGCGACTGTCGGTGTTGCCTCTTCTCTCTTTGCTTCTTTGTGTTCAGTGACATTGTACGAGGATGATTCAGACGAAATATCACCACCTGTTGTTGGTTCACTGTCTGGGTTCGTTCGAGATTTCTTGGGGGGCCGCTCGATGACCGTAGATTGTGATTTGGGAGAGGGTGAGGAGTAGTGGGAGATGGATGTTGAGGGGGAGGATGTGTAGGAAGGAGCAGGGGATGAAGACGAAAAGGAAGAGCCATTCGGGGTATCGATCTGGTGGGACCGCTCATGTCCATGGAGCCGCTCCATAGAAGCATGTGGAGGCAGGACATGCTGATGGTATCGAGGGTGGTCTTGGTGGTCGTCATAGCGGTGTCGTAGGTGAGGATGGGGGTGATCGGGTGAGTGCTGAGGGTGGTTACGCTCGTGAGATGGCTGGCTGCGAGAGGGGTAGAACGAAGGTGAGGGGTAGGGCTCTTCGACATCCATGTCCATGTTCTCGCGATGGTCGCGCTGGTCGCGCTGGTGCTGGTGGTTGTGCTTCTGGTGGTGCTGGTGTTCGTAGTGGTGCTGGTGCTGGTGTTGAGTGGGTTGATAGGGAAGTGATTGAGGTCTTTCCGAGGAGGGATGTGAAGTGTGTGAGGAGTGTGAGGGATGGGACGAGGCTGTAGGCGAAGAAGTGGGAGAAGTGGAGGAGGAAGAGGAGGGTTGCTGAGGACGATGGGTGGAAGAGGAGTTGCTGTTGCGTGTAAGGTAGTAGGAGGTGTGCTGTCCAGTGTGAGTGTGAGAGAAGGACATGGCAGCCATGGCGCCCTTTGGGATCGATGTCATTTTGCTATCGATAATCTGAAAAGGGCGTAGTGCGATTGAAAGTTGAAGTTGAGGGCCGAAGCTGGAATTGCTGTTGCTTTGTGAAAGAGGAAAGGAAGAAAGAGGGGAAAGGGAGGTGTGAACCGGTGTCCTGATAATCTCCGCTTTTTTCTTCGGCTGTCTTGTCTGGAACACGAGCAAGGTTGGTGGAGTGTGGAGGCAAAGAGGCAACCAATGAGGGACACTGATATTGGTGCTACAGAAATAAATAACGAAGCAAGTAGAACCGATGTCCCGAGTGTAATAAAAAGAATAAGAAGAATAAGAAGAAAGACAGGAAGAAGTAAAAAGGTACTCCTGAGGACGAGGGTGAGGAATGAGTAAAGTTGAAGGAAATAAAAAAAAAAAAGGGAGTGGAAGAGAAAGCGAGAGAAGGAAATAAAAAGAGGGGAGGCGGGAGGGTCAAGCGATTCTTTTTTGTTTTTAGTTCAAGGAAGGACGACTTTTCGTTTATCTCCATTCAATTTAATTTGTTCATTCAATAAGAAGAATGAAAATATGAAAAAAGGGTTGCTGCAAAGGGAATAAAAAAGGGAGAACCTTTGAGGAGGGCGGGATTAAAAGTGAGGGCCACTACGAATGATGATGTTCACTGGTGTTAACTACATGTATATGATAGCTACAGATTTCATGTCTCTGCCTATTGTATTGTGTCCTACAGTTTTTTTTTTTTTTTTTTTTTTTTTTTTTTTTACAAAGCAAAATGCGAAAGCAAAAAACAATTGGAGTGGAGGTATATTGCATAACCCATCTTCAAGATAAGCGAAGCAAAGCAAGGGAGCACGCAATGGCAAAGTAAAGTAAGGGAGTAAGCAGTGGCAAAACAAAGCAAGGGAACATGTAGCACCAGCATATTACACGTCAACGTAGCAGGTACACTCACGGACGACCCGAACGTGGGTATCTTTCGTCTTCATCCGATCTGCTTGACATCGCATCGGACATTCTACAGGGGATTGAAGTCGGAACCGAATCACGCAAGCAATTGTAATCGGATAAAAAAAAATTCGAGAACATCTTTTTCGTAGACAGTAAAGCAGAGTACAAGTAAAGCAAGGTAAAGCAAGGTAAAGCAAAATAAAGCAAAATAAAGTAAAGTAAAGTAGAGTAAAGTAAAGTAAGTAAAGTAGTATGAACAAAGTACTCTGCAGGTACGAGGGCGAGCAGGACAAGGAAAATTCAGATGTCTCCGGCCTTCTTTGGTTCGTCGGTTGGTCTCGCCCTGCGGACAAAAATCAGAAATGAAGGAAAAGAAATATAGAAAACGCGAGCAAGCAAGGGTCTTGCTCTTGGTCACACACAAATGTTGTCTTGAAACTACAGACGAAAGGTGTGATTCATACATTCTGCTCTCTTGTCCTTTATCCCGATTCAATTTATTATTCAAGGGCCAAGTCTAGTCCCTTTTGCCCTCTGTCCTTTCCTTATATTGAAGCAAACAAGGTTCAAGTCTATTCAATTCCATCCCCTTGTATTTTATTCTCCTTCCACTGCTCTCCACCACCCCACCTCACTTACTCCATCCAACTGAATCATCTCTTCAACTGGTAAGGTCTCCTCATGCTTACACCCTACAGGCACCTTGGTCTACAACAATGTGATTCTCGCCCGCTATCCCTCGCCCTCGCTTCCCTGTCCATCACGCGATGTGAGAGGGGTGTTCATCTCGCAATCTCTCACGCCCACAGACCAAACCATCCGCAGCAGCAACGTCAAGTAGACTAGTCTACCATGCGCACGTATTTTTCTTTCTCTCTCTTTCTTTGCACTCTCCCGTTTTCGCAAAGGAACAATGATGTTCAGGGGAGTCAGAATTATTAATGTATGCAAAAAGAGGGTGCCGGATAAAAACTAGGGAAACTAGGGTGCGTTCTCTTTCCTTTTTCCTGTATGGGGCGTAATTTTTTTTTTTTTTTTTTTTTGTGATCTCGCATTTGTGTTGCCATAACATGCTTTTGCCAATGGTCGCACCTTTTCTTTCTAGTGCAGGTTTTCCCAGAGCAGAAAAAGGGCAAAAAAATAAACGGGGTGGCAAACGAGGGTGCGGAACACAAACCGATCCTCACCTTCGGGCCGTGTTATGGTAAATGTACAACTGATATGAACCGTAACTGTGTACTCCACAAAGCGAAGACAGAGGACGAGTTGACTATGGGCTTCTAAGCCGAGCGCGCAGCGAAGCATAAGTAGTCTACATTTCATCCCGCACCATCATCGACGCAATAGAAGCATCATATCCAAGTCTAAATGTTTGCTCGCTATCTTGCAATCATATGTTGCTCCATGTTTTATTATGGGGGAGAGAGTGAGAGCAGCCTTGCTTTGAGTTTGCGCCATCGAGGTTCAGCCAGCCCTTTCACTAACCATCGGGCGGGCGGGGCTCCACGTGGTTCAGGAAAACCTTAGATTGGATTTGACTCGTTATTGTAAAGATTCAGAACTGTTTGCATCCCGCAACCTTTCGTCATTGTTCTTGTGGATGCCCGAGTTCCAGGCAAACCATGAGATTATTTGGGTACTTATGAACTACATCTTACGCATCCCACCCCATCTCCAGTGGTCTCTCTCATGATAGCCGGATTTTAGATGTCCGCACGAGAATTCACCATCGGGCGTTCAACGCCCACGCCTGCCCGCCCGCGTGAGCAAATCGTTCATGCAGGCACGGCATGGCACAAATTAAAATAACTCTTATCCCCAAAGCTCCTTCTTAACAAACGCGTGCTCTGCCCAACGGAGTTTTTAAAAAGCCTGTATATCTGCGGTCATTAAGACGAGCCCAAGAACCAAGAGTCTCCGTTTACTTTTACCTAGTTCTTTTTCAAAGGACTTGGCGAAAAAGATGCCGTTCTCTTGGCGTGTGCCCACAACGTGACACCCTTCAACGATAACAACAACAGAGATGTTTCCAAAGATACCAACCAGCGTATTCTATTATGGTTCTACACAGCGTGTGGGATGTCGAAGGTGCGCATGTCTATGTTGCAAAAAGAACATGCATCGATCTCCTTCTAGGACTAGTCTGTTTCCGACTTCTGCAGGCCATGGTACCACAAAAAAAAAATATATATACGCATAGACTACAGCCTACAACCCATTCGCCCACCTCCTTTTCTCTCCCGCGGGAAATAAACCAGAGAAGCATGCGTGAACATGACGCAACCGCGGAGACAGATTCAGAATGCAAATGAGAGCGTCGTTCACTAAAGTCCACATGCGTTTCATGCGCTGTCCGAGCTAGATTAGACTATAGTGCATTTTCCTTTGCTTGCCGCCAGGATTATTGTAACATGTTGCGCCTATATCTTTGGGGAGTGATTCGATTTGTTGGATGACAAAGCAAAGGCTTGTTGATGTCATCGTCTCTCTTTGCCGCTCGCAGCTTCTCCTGTAGATGTACTCTTATCTTTTAAATCGTGGGTTATTTATTTTTTGCATGACAAGTGGGAAAAGAGAGTCGGGTAATCCGAGGGTCGCTGTAAACACGGGTTGTGTTCTTGCGAAACACCAGCAATGCAATACAGCCATGTGCATTATAATGGTCTTGTATCCGTCCATCGTGGATGCCTGCAGAATAGCATGCCCAATCAGCACAGCACCCGTTTCTGAATGTCGCTTGGGGCTTAGCAATTGAAGGTCCGGAACTGACTTGCAATATTCACCTCTTTTTAGGACCGAGCATGCTATAATCCGCGCTCGCAATGCCGACGGGAGCCATATATGCTGGCGGGGGAACATCCTGTCCGCCCACCTCCTGTCCCTGTCCTTGTTGTTGTTGCTGTTGCTGTAACAGCTGCAGTTGCTGCAGCTGTCTCTGCAGGTCCTCGGTCCTGCGGGCCGCTTCCTGCTGTGTTTGATGCTGCCTCATCAACGCACCCGTGGCAATCTCCTCCAAGAGCCGCTGTCGCGCTTGACTCTTCGACATGTGGGTCTCGAGTCGTTCGGCTGTATATTCGACCCATTCTTTAATCTCCGCGTCCTCCTTCGCAACCGAAGATGAGGCTGTAGATGTGGTGGATGGTGCAGACGAGGAGGAATTGCTTCGGTTAATGGTATCCCCACCATTGCCGCTACCCCCCATGGTGTGGTTCGGCGACTGGTAATAGTGGCCTTGAAGTTCGAGGTTCCGAGACTGGATATCGAGGATGACATTCTTGACGAGATCCATGACGAGTTTGATATGGACCTCTGCAGCCTCGTGCTTGATCTGTTGGAGTTCGTCCTTGGCTTCACGATCAACCTTGTCCTTCTTATCCTTGATCTTGGCCTTCTCGTGCTCTGCAACCTTTTCAGCTTCCTTGCGGAGGGTAGAGCATTTCTTCTCGGCCTCATGGACCTTGGACTTGTAGTCTTGTTCGATAGCTTTGATGGTTGCCTTAACGGCTTGTTGTTGTTCCTTAGCCGATTGTGATGAGCTCATGTTTTATCTTGTTCTTGTTCTTGTTCTTGTTCTTTTTTTTTTTTTTTTTTTGCTGATAGAAAAAAAAAGGATACAATGGAGTGAAGATAGAAGAGTCTATGTCACTGAGCATGGCAGATGGCAAGTTTATATGCAGACCTGTGAATGGTATATGGTTTTGGCATCTTTAACAGTCATTGATTGATGTCGGCTGTTTGGTCTTGGCCTTGGCGAAGCATCTTTTGTGTAATGCCAAGGCCTTTGCTTCTGCTCTTTTCAGGGGCGACCAGGAGGGCTAATTACGCTTTGTCGTGGGCTGTAGCTTTCTTGGTCTTCCCTCGCCACCATTTCCCGCCCTTGTCGTATGAGGAATGCATTTTTGAGTCGTCAATAAACAAAACAAAAAGCTGCACCGCCACTTGTCCAAAAGGGCCATTGGAAAGATACCTATCTTTCCAATTTCACAAACATCCTGGATACTGCATATCGTTCTGTTGTACTCAAAGACCTCGATCAAACAAAATACGAAGAATGCCCCGCTTTATTATAATAACAAGCAAGACCTCATCCTCCTCACACCTCGACTCTGACATCGCGTTCTGGCCCTACTTCTTGAGCGCACTGCTAACCTGCAAGTTGACAGTCCTGTTGAGAATCAGCCTCTTCACTGTGTCCTTGAGAGACATCTCCGGCTTGGCCTTGAAGTCGCCCAAGTCTGACTCCTTATCCACACAAAAGTATCCGATACGCGTCAACTGGAAGCGCATCGCTTCGTAGTCTGTCTTAGTCTCGCTCGACTTGGCCCAGCGGTCCATAATGTCCCAGAGTCCAGTCTCCACAAGAGCACCCTTCTCGACCGTCAGACTGCTTGTGTTAACGTCGCTCAAGTATCCGCCTGGGACCTCGCGCTTGTCATGAGGGTTGCTATGGTTGAACAAACGCTCGAACAGACGGACCTCATCCAATCGAACGGGCGATCCGTGCTTGGGACTCTCAGCCACCCACTGAATGTATGTCTTGGGGCGCTTGAAGCCAGGTGCATCCTCGTAGCGAGCAACGAGCTCAATCACCTTTCCAGACTCGTCCTTGATGACCTTGGTGCAAGTGATTGGGCAGGGGACATTGAGCAAACCAACGGTTTTGCCGGGAGCCAAGCGGAAGAAATCCTTGTCGTCCACTTCCCTGAAATCAGAGCCGTCGATCCAGACCTCGCGCGTGAACGGAATGGTGTGCTCGCCCATCGATGGATCTCTCGGCTTGTTCTGGACCGTCAACATCTGCTCATAGCCCTCAGGCAAGTTCTCGATAACGACCTTGATGGGGTGGAAGACACCCATCAGACGAGGGGCGGTCTCGTTAAGGTAGTCGCGGATAAATGCATCCAATTTGGTGGCCTCGATTACAGTATCAGACTTGGTGACTCCCAAGGTATGCACAAAGTTGTTGATGGCTTGTGGCGGGACTCCGCGACGACGGATGGCAGGAAGTGTGTACAGTCTAGGATCATCCCAGTCAAAGACGAGACCCTTCCTGACCAGTTCTGCGATCTTGCGCTTCGACAAGATAGTGTTGGTGACATTCAAACGACCATATTCCCACTGAACTGGCTTGTACACTTCAAGGGCATCACATAGCCAGTAATACGAGTAACGGGACTGAGTGAACTCAACAGTGCAGAGCGAGTGGGTGATGTTCTCGAAAGAGTCGACGAGGCAGTGTGTATAGTCGTAGGTGGGGTAAATGACCCACTCGCTGCCAGTGCGATGGTGAGGGGTCTTTAAAACTCTATAGGCGACCAAGTCCCAGAACTGAGGGTTGCCGTTCTCTAAATCCATCTTCATACGCAAAATGGCCTGACCCTCCTCGAACTCGCCGTTCTTCATCTTTTCAAACAAGTCCAAGGACTCCTGAATAGGTCTATCACGGTGAACGCAAGCTGTACGGGGTCCGCGTTCAGGGCCGCCACGATGCATCTGGATCTCCTCTCCAGTACACTATCAATTGATGGATAGATCTCATTAGCAGACCATATTTACACATCTCCTGCAGTTACTGAAGTAAACAAAGAGATCCTGCATCCTGCACTTACGTGGCAGACATATGCCTTGTCCTTCTTGATCAGTTCGATTGCAAGTTCGTACAGACGCTGAAAGTGCGTGGACGAGTAGGTGATCTCGCTTGGGGTAAATCCGAGCCACTTGACAATCTCCAGAATCGAGACAAAGTATCTCTCCTCCTCAGCCTCGGGGTTAGTGTCGTCATAGCGAAGGTTGCAGATACCATTATGGGCCCTGGCGAGACCAAAGTTGACGTTGATGGCCTTCGCGTGTCCAATGTGCAAGAAACCGTTAGGCTCCGGTGGGAATCGAGTGATGTATTTGCCGCCGGTGGCCTTCAGATGCGCCTCCATCAACTCGGGCTTGATCTGGGGGTTTCCGCCGGGTTTGTGCAGCTTGGCGAGTTCTCCCTCGAAGAACATGTCGGGCACCTTGAGGACCGAGACTGTCTCCTCAATCTCCTTCTCTTCCTTGATTTCAGGCTTGGTTTCCTTTTTCTATCAGTATGAAGGGGATAGGACGAAACAGTAGATAAGGCGTGCGTGTTAGAGAAAGTATGTATGCATATCTGTTTCTTTTTCTGTCAAATGCAGGGTCGGGTGCAAACAAAAGATGTCCTCGTGGACGGTGATTCAGAGTTGCGCATTGGGCTCACGGGCACATTGTTTTTTCTTTTGTGATTACCACTGGCATACCTTCTTGATAGCAATGTCGCGTTCATCCTTGGGACCGAGAATCTCGAGCATCTTTGCGTCAACAGCCTCCTTTACATCTCCACCATTAGCCCACCTCAAGCTTATGATATTCTTCGCTCCTGCAAAGAATGGGCCAAAGAACTTATAGCGGTCCTTGATCAGCCTGTCTCTAACAGTCTCAGTGTATTCGTCGACGGCCTTATTGACATCATCTTTGGTCACAACGACACCTAAGAAAAGAAAGAGAACATGAGGGAATAGATGATATTAGTTCATGTTAGTCGCCGACTAGGACGTGTCACGATAGGATAGTTCGCTCCAAGTGATGCACATACCAACGCCGCACTCCTTGTCGAAGGCAGCTTCGTCGATATCCTTTTTGTCGTTTACAAATTTAATGGCGGCTAAGCACATAAGATAGACAAAAGAAGAAATGAAAATTGGTGAGTAAGAATGTATACATCCGTCCCGGCCACGAGACTGATCAGCATAGCATATGCATGAGGATAGATAAGGTGCTCGAACTTTGTCCACGTACCGGAAACCTGATCAGCGGTCGTGAGCTTTCTAATGAGGCCGCGAAGAATAGGACCAGATCAGATCAAGTTCACGAACACATAACAACAGTAAAAAAGGAAACGACTGATCAGCACTACCACCAAGTAAACATTGTGCATGCCGTAGTCAACAACACAGCGACAAAAAGGAAAAAGGACAACAAAGGCACGTACGAGTCGCGAATGGCTTTTGCGATGTAGTCGAGATGGGATGCTGCTCCAGGGGTGATGGTCGAAGCAAGGTGGTAGAGAAGGGCACCCGTGGACTTCTCGCTAGGCTTGTCCTGGAAGCCTGCCGAGTGGATGGCCTTCTCGAGGTTGGGAGCAAGGGTCTTGTTCTTGGCGGTCTCCTTGGCCTTCTGCTCGGTTAGACCGATGTTCTGGAAGAGAAGCACCAGACTGTCGGACATTGGAGTATTGTTGAAAGTGGTGGCGATGGTGGTGGTAATGGTGGTGGTAATTGGGGGTATGGTGGTGATGGAAGGAAGAGGAGTAGGTTGGGTCTTCAATAACAGAGGCCTGCAAAGCGTGTTTTTATTTGCAGAGGGACTGCTTGCGAAACATCCATTTCCACACAAAAGCTTGCAAACACATACCCCGGACTGAGCAAAAAGAAGAGTGGCATTTTATTGTATATCGAGTCCGTTGTTACATGTCTATCGGACAACTTGCTGATATTGCTGCTGCTGCTGCTGATAGTAGGGCTGCATTACTACCGGTTGCTGCTGTTGCTGCTGCTGCGGCTGCTGTTGCTGCGGCTGCTGTGTAAGGTACTTACCGCGCCAATTAATGAACTTCTTCACAGTGAATTGGCGGATGTTCGTAATCTGAGTCTCCAGGACGAGTTTGCGAAGCAACGGCAGCTCATTCATTGCAGGTGTGAACAAGATCTGGTCGTTACTGTCGTCCGACACGGGTTTAGGGGCAGCATTGGACACCGCAAATGGGGGTCCACCTGCCTGGCCGGACTCTGCCATGCTGATCAAGCGGTCGTAGTCGATCCTGAAGGTGTAGATCGACACTCCCTGCTCCTTTAGCGTCTTCAAGACATGGACCTTGAGATCGATGACCTCCTGTTCCGATTGAGTGTCAACTTTACAGATGACGGGTACAACGTTCGCCTTTTCAGAGATCAGTCGCATAAATTCCACGTCGATGGGCTTGAGGCGATGGACGATGAGGTAGAAGCAGACGTCGATGAACTTGTGTGCGCCCACGCCTAAGAACGAGAGCAAAAAAAAAAAAAAGAGAACAAGAAGGTCAGGATCCAAGATCCAAGAAGGACTTGGCTAAGGCATTTTATCAGTTCATACCTGTGACCAAGGATCGCATGAGTTCGTTGTTCGACACCTCTGTAAAAGGCGAGATCCGTTTGTTCTTATCCTCGAATGTTTGGCCGATGTAGTTCATGAAGTGATCAAAGTTGGTCTGAGCATCGACAACGCTGCCATAGCCCGGTGTATCTAGGAAGATCAGCAAAAAACGAAGTTAGACAAGCGATAAACGACCGAAAGGGTAGATAGTCTTTCATTCCCGATTGAGACGTTGCCAACTTACCAACAAAGACCAAGTTACGTGCAGGCACTTCATCGTCAGCCTCCATGTTGTCCCAGGGGATCTCCATCATGGTGCTTGAGAATTTTTCTACAAGGGCATCGGTGCGCGTGTAGCCGTCGTCCGAGGGGTTCAATGGCTCCCAGTCGTGAGAGAGAACCTCAGGCAGCGTCTCTGTGAACTGACGTGCGAACGAGGTCTTTCCAACACCGCTATCACCCACGACTGCCAGGCGCAGGTAGCCGATGTTCTGGCCCGCGAAGGGGTTCACTGGAGAGCCGAGAGAAAAATTGTCCAGAATGCTGGAGGTGTTAGTGTATCTGGTTTCCATTTCTTGAGTGAGAAATGTGGAGAAAAGATGAATAAAGGGAGGAAACGAGGAGTGCTGGTATTGATATTAACGTTGACAAGGGTAGGGGGCAAGGGCTGAGGAGGGCGCATCCATGTCCGTCTTTAATTGCACTGCCACTCTTATTTGCTTGTGTTGTTTACTACTTACTCAGCATGTTATTATCGTGGGCCATGAAGAAGTGTTTCCGAGCAAGTAGGAAAGACGCAAGCAGCGGTGGGGAGGGCAGGGAGACGAGTTATGGATATGAAGAAGTGGATGAGTAGGGAGTGGAGGAGAGGGATGGGTGGATGAGGATGGGGAGCGATGGCGGAAAGGGAGAGGAAAAGGAGAGGGAAAAGGACGAGTACTGTTCATGTCGTACACACAGATGGGGTGCTCCAATTGCTCACTTTGCCCACACTTCGCCCTCTCTCTGCGAGAGGACTATCCACAGGAATAATGTTTGTTTGAGAGAGCAAGCTGGCCCAAGAAGCACAACCGGCCTCCTCTGTTTGATACCCATGATGGACCACATGCTGAGCCTGCTTTGGGGGCCAGGCTGGTTGCGGGTACCGGACACACGGAGAACGCGCCAGGCTAGGCACAGCCCCTCCGCCCTTCAATTGGTGGCAAACTCCAGTAGTGTGGGGGGTTGCATGTGGCTTATCAGCACGAGGGAGAGAGTTCGTGTTCAGTGCAAGAGCCGTGGCCCTACAGGGCCATCCATCGATCCTTTCCCTCGATTCAACAACCCGTAGACAACAACGATGCCGCGCGAAATCATCACCATCCAGGCAGGGCAGTGCGGCAACCAGAGTACGTGGAACCAGTCTGCTCTCATTTTCAATACTATTCATACAATTACGATCATACTAACGTTGCTTCAACTGGGCTTAAAGTCGGACAGGAGTTCTGGGGACAATTGTGTGCGGAACATGGTATCAGTCGGGATGGCACCCTTGAGGACTTTGCTACTGAGACAGGGGACAGGAAGGATGTTTTTTTTTATCAGGCAAGTATTCAGGCTTGACCTCTGCCTATTATTATTGCAATTAAAGGAAAAACACAAAGCGCGCGTCTGTTTCTCTTCGTTCTCAGGACTGACATGATTATTCGATATGCTATTTGATTCATAGGCAGATGACGAGCACTACATTCCACGCGCCATCCTCATAGACCTCGAACCTAGGGTATGATTTACACGATAACCGGAGACAGTTACATAAGACAACACCGCGCTGACAATACCATTGGTTGTAATTGGTAGGTCATCAATACCATCACAACATCAGCATACGCCAACCTATATAACCCCGAGAACATCTTTCTTTCCAAGGATGGGGGCGGAGCAGGAAACAACTGGTCGCTCGGATACGGCGCCGGGGAGCGCGAGGCAGAGGAAATTCTGGAAAAGCTTGACAGAGAAGCTGACGGAAGTGATTCGCTTGAGGGGTTCATGCTTTTGCACTCGATCGCAGGTGGAACAGGATCAGGGCTAGGCTCGTTTCTCCTGGAGCGGCTGAACGACCGATATCCCAAAAAGCTGATCCAAACGTACTCAGTTTTCCCCAACAACGAGGAAATGTCGGATGTTGTGGTCCAGCCTTACAACAGTATGCTAAGTTTGAAGCGGTTGACGCAGAATGCGGACTGTGTCGTTGTGCTGGACAATGCCGCTCTAACACGGATTGCTTGTGACCGTTTGCATATCGCCAACCCGACCTTTGCGCAAACCAACCAGCTGGTATGTTTGTCTTTTCTACCTCGTCTTCTGTATATTTTGTTAATGTGCTTCGAGCGCAGCTAATATTTTAATGCATATGCTCAAAATGTGTAGGTCTCAACGGTCATGTCGGCAAGCACGACAACGCTGCGATACCCAGGATATATGAACAACGACCTCGTTGGCATGATTGCATCCTTGATTCCAACACCCAAATGCCACTTCCTTCAGACATCATATACACCCTTCACCAGCGACGGGATTGACCAAACGAAATCCGTACGGAAAACAACTGTGTTGGATGTCATGCGACGCCTTTTGCAACCCAAGAATAGGATGGTCTCAACAACACCCTCGAAAAAGAGCTGTTATGTGTCCATCCTAAACATTATCCAAGGAGAGGCGGACCCTACCGATGTGAGTCAAACTCCTACAATAGATCTGCAGTGTCTGTTGTGCATACATTCTAACATGAATCCCTTGAATAATTGTATTGAATCCATAGGTCCATAAGTCATTACTGCGTATCAGAGAGAGACGACTGGCATCGTTTATTCCTTGGGGCCCAGCAAGTATTCAAGTTGCACTTACTAAGAAATCACCCTACGTACAGACCCCCCATCGAGTGAGCGGCCTCATGCTAGCCAACCACACTAGCATTGCATCTGTAAGTGAAGCGTTGTCGGGGACTGAGCATCAGGAGTATGTCGAATAGTGCTACTGTATTGAAATTTTTCATCTTCATACGTAATAGCTATTCCAACGGACATGCGACCAGTTTGACAAGCTGAGAAAACGCAACGCATTCTTGGAGCCATACCGTCAAGGATCGTTGTTTCAGGATGGACTGGAGGAGTTTGATGAGTCCAGGGAGGTGGTCCAGGATCTGATCAACGAGTATGAGGCATGCGAGAACCCGGATTATGTCAATTACGGACAGTGAGAAAGTAATAAAGCATTCGTGCAAGTTATCAATCCCTTGTAAAAGAAGGACTATCGATGGTTCTGCATAGTTTATTATAATGCATCGAAGGGCCCACAGAGAGAGTCGCGTGGCAAAGCAAAAAAAAAAAAAAAAAAAGGTTTAGGGTGTAAACGTTCTTACAGTGGGAGGTTTAGTGTATTATTTGCATTGCGAACCAACCATTGTTGCCGCGCTATTTCCTTCTCCGCACCTGTGCCCATTGCCTTCTTTCTTGTCCCCGCAATCGCATCAGCATCCTGTCGATTCATTCCTTCATTCCCTGCCCATCCCTGCATAGCGACCTTCTGAACCATTCCCACTTCCTTTCACCATCCCAAGCAGACCCGCTCACTGAGCCTCTTTATCGCGTCGTGGTTGATATATACCCCAAGAAAACGACAAACGAAAGAAATGTCCTCGTATCTTCCTTGGTATCTATCGTACTCGTTAGCAGCAGCAGCGGTCGCGATCCTAAGCGGAGGAGCACTTCTATACCATTTCCAATGCGAGATCATCTACCCTGCCAACTTTCCTGAAGGTTCCAGGACACAGGTATTCGGCCAAATATGCATGTACATTGGACTAGACTCTTGTTGCCGCCAATTTTCTCTTTATTTTTTATTTGTAAATGTTGATTGAGGATCGATGTTGTTGATTGGAATATAGGTCGCGAAGCCGTCGCAGTATGACATGCCGTTCGAAGATTTGACTTTGGTGACGCCGGACAAGGTCAAGGTCCGCGCTTATCTGATCAAGCAACCTGACGATCTCGTTGCGCGCAGACGACCCACGATTCTCTATCTTCACGTACGTGAGGTGGATGCACCGATCTTTGATTTATTTGGTGTAAAATAAGGGTTCGTTCTGAGGCCTTGGACTAATGAGATTCTTTTCGTTATTCTCCTGGCTGATAGGCCAACGCAGGAAACATGGGGCATCGACTTTCAATTGCGGATGTGTTTTATAGGCAATTTGGATGCAATATCTTCATGTTATCTTATCGCGGGTGAGTACACCTTCTTTCACTCGCAATCTTTGTCTGTTCTTTTTTGAGCAGTTATATTGACCTGGATATTTTCATATATCGTGCTCATAGATATGGGCTGAGTGAGGGCAGTCCATCAGAGAAAGGCCTCAGGATTGATGCTCAGGTAAAGAGAGAAACCGACTATGTCCTTGAGCAAACACTCAAATTGTGCTATGGAAATAGGCCGTTCATACATGATGCGCCATCTTTTTTTTTTTATTTTGTATCCCGTGCTGGCTATTTAGACGGCGCTGGACTACATCAAGAGGCATCCAGTACTCTCGGAAACAAAGCTGATTGCGTATGGACAGTCGATTGGAGGTGCCGTTTCAATCGACATCGTGGCCAGGAATGAAGATGACTTCTCAGGATTGATCATTGAAAATACCTTTTTGAGCCTGGTACGAAACGGCATCTTTCAAGCATGAAATTCTGCCAATTCCTTCTCTAATGCTGACACTCATGCTTTTATTTTGTTATCTCGATACTTTCAATAACTGGATGGGCTATCCTTTAGCCAAAAGTGATTCCTCACGTCCTGCCAATGATCAGTAAAGTCTCATTTCTCTGCCATCAGATCTGGAACTCGGAGCAAATGGTTAAGCAGATCACAAGGCTGCCGGTCCTATTTCTTTCAGGGCAGAAGGACGAGCTTATCCCCCCCGGGCATATGCAGGAGCTCCGTCGACTCTTAGATACCACTGGAGAAGTCGTCTGGCGCGAATTTCCACAAGGGACCCATAACGACACCTGCTTGAAACCTGGATATTTTGAAGCCATCAAATCCTTTCTGGACTGCATCATGGGGGAAAAGTAGATATCTCTGCAGGATCTGTGCACCCACGACAGCAGATAGAATCAAGTTTACGTGGGCGCAGCAGCATTGTCTTTTCCCTTCATAAAAAATGAAGTATCTTTAATTTTATTGAAATGATTTACAACGTACGCCATCCGCCTATGTCGTACGATTGTTCAATCTTGCGAGCAACATGGATCGGGATGCCATGGGTCAACCAAAGCCGCCGGAGATCATCATATCGCAGTGGATTTAAGAACTGGGGTCTTCCGCGTCGAAGACCCAGATCGGCCTCTCCGTGCTCGTCCAGGAAAGGCGCTGGGTGAAAACATCCGTTCCTGACATGCAGCAAAAGGATCACACACTTTTTGATGAGCAGATAGATGCCAACAGGTCCAGTACAGCTATTGTATGTAGTAAAACAAAAGTCATTTCTAGATCAGTATACATGCGGGCCAAATTGATTATCAAGTAAATAGCATACTCCATGTTATCCAGACTTACGTCAGAGCATGCGTGTTACATTCACCGCGACCCTCGCTGTCCAGACCCTCCAAGCAGCAGAAGCTTTGGCTGCACACAATAGTCCCGCAGCAAAGACAGAGCGCTGGATCATGTGGTACAGTGTTACACTTGGGACAAATATACTTGATGCTCTGCTCGAATAGCGCATCCAGCCGTCTGGGCAACCCAACGAGTTCATAAATCGCAGGGTGATTTAAGCCGATCGAAAGTCGCATGAACTGAGCATGCGCTGCCGCTGATGGGTACGATGACGGTGAAGAGAACTCTTGATTGGAACTCTGCGCAAAGGTTGGCCCGTTTCCCCTTGAGACGCTCGAGCTTTCGCCTGCATCCGATCCAGGGAAGGAGCCTGGTCCTGAATATTTTGCCACATCTTCGCACCACGCGCTGAGAAGGTTCTTCAGCAGGTCGTCCTCGATCCACTTTGTGCACAGTGGTAGCAGTTCTGGCAGATGCAGCAGGGCAGCCAGCCTTGCGTACTCGTCGTCTAGAGGTTCGGCCGTCGACATGGCAGGCTGTGTCTCCGGGAATAGGACTCCATAGCGAGCATCAAACAACAGTGCGCTTTTCCTTAGGAATGGCAGCACATAGGTCTTGAGCAGCTTGAAGAACAGGCGATCCGGCATCTTGTTCGTGAACTGGTTAAGCTGTGCTTCAGACATGCCCAGACTCCTCATCACATACACCACAAATGACTCCCATGCGGATGAGTCCTCTGGACTCAAAGGCTGAAGAGTGTGCTCGGTGTAGGCCATGATTCGAGCCTCTCCTGCCAGCAGCGGCTCAATATCGGTGGCCGCAAAGGCCGCAACGGTCTTGACAATCTCCACCATAAGGAGTATCTCAAGGAGATGACCAGGCTCAACATTTCTAGGGAGAGAGTGCAGCGCCAGCTCGGTCAAGATAAAGAATGGATCATCCAATAACAGCGGCTCATTCCGCACTAACAGTGGAACCATTGTTGAATGTAATCCTGGATGCCCCTGCAGAATCTTTGCGAGCCGCTCCGAGCTCATCTGTGACATCCGGAAATGGTTCTCAGGCCGGTTGACCATTAGGGAAGTATACGAGAGGATGGTGTCGGCCATCATACGGAGAAGCGTGAGTGTTTGTTGCTGAATGCCCGCAATCAGAGTCGACGTGCCATTTGCTGCATTGACGCCGCGCTGAGTAATCTCAACGCAGGAAATCGTATAGGCGAATGCCTCCCACATCACATCCACTTCGGCCACCTGGCTGAACATATGATTCTCCATGCTTTCTTCCTCCGTTCGGTAAAGATCCCTGAAGTTCATCTGGAAGACCTCAGCTAGTCGCAGGTACATGATCTTCACCAAGTCGGGCTCAGTGGCATCCTGAACTTGACTCATCTGCGCCGCCATAGACGAAGCCGGTCCATACATTCCTTGGAGGTTCTGGTATCCAGGAGGCTCCGTAAAGACTCCCACACCGTTTGTGCCTCGAATGAATGGTCCCCCGAGATTCGGCCCCCGGATCAAGCCTTGGACAATACCAATCACACTCTGAGTACGGCTGTTCCTCCGTCCACTGCTCATGCCTTGGGTTTCGCCGGATCGCGAGAATCGAGCAGGCTCAGATTCAATCTTCATCAACGACTCCTTCATGTCCTTAGCGAGCTGGACTAGTGTGTCCACTGCATCCTTCTTGAGCCAGTCTCGAGAGGAGCTGCTACTGTTAGAAACAAGTACGCCGGGATAAGTCTGTTTCTTGCCTTTCCAAATGATGGGCAGCAGCAGATTGCCAAGCGACTTGCACAATGGACACATGTATTCACGCTGAGATGGATCCTCAGGGTGGTTCCGGTTGTGCTGTGCCTCATGACGCTGCTGCAACGAGCGGACATAGGTCTCAAAGCATTTGATGTGCATAAGATGCCCACAGCTCGACGTATAAAGGCCTCCCCTGTGAGATGTTGTTGGAAATCCTCTGGCGACCTTCTGGGGCTTGTATGGATGGCTTCCCACTCCAGGTGCCTTGTCCTGCTTTGGGCTGGATTGTGAGGAGTCGGGATCAGAGTTGGCATTCTTTTCAAAGCTGCTGTTGTGTTTCTCAAAGTTGGAGGCGATGCCAAAGGGACGAATGGATGTCGCTGAAACATCCAAGCTGAGTGGTGATACGACCGCCTCCAGTAAAAACTGTGGATCCTCCATGGGCGTTTGTCGAAGGACATGGGATCGCTGAACATACGCCAGCATGCCGTACTCGCTCGACTGTGTCATTTCCTCCTGGCAGACGATGCAGGTGCCAGTGGGATAGTGCCAGGTGGTTTCTGCAATTTTTTGAGCCCCAAGTTCAATGTTCTCCTCCTCGTCGTTCATTGACTTTACGTCCTCATCCTCATCAGAATCGTAGAGATCCTCGTTTAGTGACATGAAGCTCTGCTGCGCTTGAGCGAACTGTGCCATGATCCTCGCCTGACGCTCTTGGTTCGCCTTTTTCTTACGCTCCGCCTCTTCCATTTCACTTGTGCCCGATTCTTCGCTCTCGGATGGGCTCTTGGACGCCTTCCACTGGCCAACGATGGCCTTGGCCTCTGTGGAGCCAAGCTCCTCAAACTTGTTAAGCACGAAGTTTAGCTTGGGCTGGATGCTCTTGTAGGCGGGATCATCTGCGCGCTGAATGAGGATGGAGAGCAGCGACAGGCGGATTCTCTCGTTTCCGTTCACAATGACTGGAAACTTCTCAAATGTTGCGTGTTGCATAAATCCTGCCATGCCGAGGCCGGAAGAAGCGATGGCTAGGTCCTCAGCCAGGCTTCGTGCCGCGTCATTGTTAGGATCAAGAATGGCAATCTGCATCAGATACGCCGCTTGGTCGATGATTGTATCGGACTTGATCTTGGGCTCCGCCTTAACATTCCAGAAGGTGTAAAAGAGGATCTGAGTCATGACTTTGGTATGCATCATGTTGCCAAGGTTCTGGAATGGACCGCGCTCAACCTTGGACAGCTTGGGCAGGATTTGTGGTGACTTGATCTTGTTGTTGCTCTTCTTGACAATGCGACTCTTGAGAATCTCCTCGGCCTCCTCGCTATTGTTCCTCGAGAAATGAATAAAATACGGGTCGACTTCATCAAAGAACTGATCCTTAAGTTCGTACAGTCCATAATCGGTGATTCCATCCGGCGCGCGATAGGATGCGAGCTCTTTAAGAGTGTCATCAAATTTGACGTGCTCGGCCAATCGTTCAGGAATACGCTTGGTCAGTTCCGAATAAGCGATCGGCTTCAAACAAAGGCCGTGAACAATCTCTCGCCTGATCTCCTGCTCGACCGTGAATCCTGCAGCGTTGACCCGGTCGGAGACGCAGACGATCAGCAGGGTCAAAAGTTCCTCGGCCATAAAGACGATTTGCAACAAGTCGTACGTGTTGTGCTCCCTCTGTCCCGAGAACCATTCCAAGAGCTCGAATCTGTCCAGAGCCGTAACAAGGAAATGCTCAGGCTCAAACAGGACCATGGCGATCTGAAGCAGGAAAATGTCTGAGTCGTAAGTGTTTTCGCGCAACGAAACTTCGCGGTAGTACTGAGCCTGTGTACGAATGACAAATCCGTTTCGCACCCAAACGTTCGCCTTGATCTGCGCCATCAAGACGCATACTATCGGTAGGGATAGAAATGCATATGTTTTTAGTACCAGAGTTACATTGAAGGGGGTATTGTCCGTTACAGAGTATCGAACATGCGGTAGAGAAGGAGTTGTTTACCTCGCAATGGATAATCAAAGATCTCCTGCAGTTTAAACATCCGCTTCTCCTCAGAATCACCCTCGTTCCCGACAAACTGGAGCATCATCTGGCGGAAGGATTCAAATCCAACGGTTTGCAGCTCCTTTGAGTCCAAATAGTTGACATTCTCTAGTAGATCCGCCAAAAACCAGTGCAGAGGATGGTGGAATGCGACAGGTTGAGCTGAGACCTTGTACTCAATCACCTCGAAAGTCGATGGAGGCGTTGTAGGCATGGCGATTGTATGCACCTGAGTCCGGCAAGCAGAGGCTGAGGTTGAGGGACCTGGAGCCGATGCTGATGCTGCGGACACCGCTCCTGCATGATGTGGCTGGAATGTGCCAGGCATGCTTCCTGCTTCCATGATGACTGAGTCCTGGATATAGTGCGTCTGCGCGGTCTGCTGTGGTGGCTGTGCGTCCTCGTTCACAGCCATCTCCTCTTCATGCTTGTCGCACCACTCGTAAATCTTCTTGACTGTTCGTGCAAGCACCTGCGTCAAGACCATGGGACTCGATGTGAAGCAATCCGAGAACTGTCGGCAGCATTTATAGAGCTGCAGCGTTACATTGAATGCATTCACCCAGGTGTTGGCTTCAAATTCGATATGGTCGATTGAGTAGCGCGTGTTGGGATGCATTCCTTGGAACATGTTGAGGCATTCGATCATCTGGGTCTGATATGCAGGACGGTTGGCGACAATCTGTTTGACGGCATCGTTGGCCAGAATGTACCGGAAATCGTGGAAGATGTGAAAGTAGCGACGGTTCTCAAAGGGCGGCAGATTACAGTTGATCGGTCCACCGTTGTAGTTGGGTCCTTGGAAGAAGGAAATGAGGATTTGACAAAGGATGTAGATGAAATTGTGTTCGCGCGCCAACATCTCTGCGATCGTCGGGACGGTGAAGAGCTGCACAGAGAACAAAATGATTGACAGCTCAGGCTCACGATCCACAACAAGGAACGCTCTGGCGATTTTTAGATAGTTGAACGCAAATCGTACAGCTATGCAAAAAAAATAAAAAAAAATAAATTAAAATCAGATCACAAGCATTGATCAGATTTGGCGTTGAAAGGATGGACCTACCCATGAACTTTTTGTACTTTGGGCTAAGCACTAGGGTTCCAATGTACACCTCGCGTAAACTCGCTCGTGGCAGCTTCCAGAACTTGAGGTCCAGCAACAGCAGCCAGTCGATCCTCAGCTTGCGATGGGGCGGACCAGCTCTGGCGCTCTTGGCGAATGGGTCGGAGGAGTGGACATCTGCATTGCTTGTGTCCAATGTTTCCAGCATTAACGTGTCCTCATCATGCCCAGCAGGAACCATCACCGAGTCGCTACCGCGGCCGAATCCAGCATGCGATCGACCAACAGTATCGCCCGCTGGTTCATCATGATGTGAGCTAGAGAGATCCATGTCCCCGTCGACATCCAGTTCCTGCGCCATGCTCGGTCGCGTCTCATCCTCTGGATTGATGCCGACAATGTCAATAAAGTCATCCTCCATTTCTACAACAGTGTCCTGTTGGTGCATTGTGTTGTTCTTGTTCAGTTTCCGACGCCATTCACTGCACAACTCTTCGCAAATGATTTCACGGATCGTCAACGACTGTTTTTGTGAGACAGCTCCTCCTTTGACGTATGCGAGGGACTTAAGGAACGAAATACAGACATCGCACAGCTGTTCCTTGAACGTTTCTCTTGCAGATCGGATGCTAACGACCAGTCCAATATCGGCCAGACTACTGGCAATCTCCATGAGCCTTGGTATATCGCTGGACCTCTCTACAATCGCACGTCCCTGGAGGAATAGGAAGAATATGTCAGTCGCATTTAAGACATTGATCTGGATTTGTCCTTAAGAATACTGCAAAATACCCCTTCCTGTCATACCTGAGTATCAACTGTCTCTGCAATTTTTCTCGCGTAGTTGGATGACATATTGGTTGTTTCCGAGACTCGATTGATGACGGTCGTGAAGGAGTGGTCCTCATCGTTCCAGAGGATGCATACGAATTCCATGCTGTCCAAATCGGTTGTTTCTCCTGCAATGTTGCCTGCATCGACGGCATCGCGCTGGATCTGCTCCGTGCTGACACGGGTGCCGTTCATGTTCTCGGGGGAGGTGGTCATGGTGTCGATAATAAAGTCGAGGACAGTGGCAATGGTTTTGCGAATCGAGGCCACGACTTCGGGTGGATAGTCCAGGTTCTTGGGGTCGTTTTCGTTGGGAGGAATGTTTTTCGCAGAGTGATAGATGCAATCTAGATCAACCTTCCATGCCTCCGAGTCTCCGCAGTCGCAGCAGCCTCCGCCACCAGCATTGACGGAGAACGAAGTGTCGTGGCCCTCGTGGTTTGTGCCGTGGAAGCACCGCAGACAAAAGACGCAGGTCTCGTCTAACGCACATGTTCTTTATCAAACATTAATGTATGGAAACAGAGAAAAAATAGAGCCATGGTTAAAGAGTCCATCCATACGCGTAATGTAATTATCGTGAGCCATCGAGTCCAATGCTCAGACCCAAAGGGTCACCGAGACAGGTGAATATCGAGTATTGGCAAAGAGCAAAGTTGCAAGCCTGCTTAGTTTTGTTTGTTTACCTGCAACGAAACACGCCTTCACCCATCTTGAAAGTGTGCCCACAGGCCTGTCCTCTAGCCGAAGGTGAGTACTCGTCATCGCCGTTGTCAGTCAAGACTGTGACGCCGTTCTGTCTTGCCTCGACAAAGTGTGGGAAGTAGTTGTGGAGGTACTCGTCGTTGTTGTCCCAGAGCGACGCATAGAGCTCCGAGGTGATTTCGCGCTGGGCTTCGTCCTTGAGGTCGTAGTTGAACCTGCGGGGTGCATCCCGCAGGTAGGCGCGCAGCGGAGAGTCCATGTACAGTAGACACCCTCTTTTCCTCTCTATTTGTCAGCGACTCGATTGTCTATGAGTGTGTCCGTGTGCAGTGAAGGTCTAAAAAAAGAAAATGTCGACAGGGCGTTGCTGAATGGAAGGAGGAAGGAAGGAAGGAAGGAAGGAAGAGAGGGGAAACAGAAAAGAAGAGAACTGGAAGCGGACGTGAAATGAGACGAAAGGAAGAGGATGAGAAGGATGCCCTGTTTGCGTGTGAATGTGTCTGAGAGGGAGTTCGACAAAAAGACAGCGCTTGGCCGTGGAGACAGCAGACGCAGCGGACGTATGTTGCGAAATGCACGAGACTAAGCCACCTGCGGGAGTATCTCCTTGGCGGGGAACACTAAAGGTCCGTAGACCTTAGTGCGCATTGTAACACGCACGCCAAAATAGGAGCACTAATTTCTTGATTCCACGATTTGCCGCGCACTCCTAACCCCCGGCCGATCTTTTTACGCGTAGATCTGTCTTTACAAAGGTTCCCAAAAGCCCACAATCCAATCCTTCGACTACGATGACGATTCACATAAGCATGGGGTGATCTCCGTCTTCATTGAATGCAAGCTATCATGTTCCCAGATCTGGTTCGTTCGATAGACCTACATACTAACGCGTGGCCCAATGCGTCCCTGTGTTGTTGTAGATGTGATTGATTGATTCCTCGCTCACAAAAATGATACCGAGAAGTAGCTGCAAACGTGCGCGAAAAAACATTAAGCAAACGTGTTACTAACTCAACTCTTAGCATGGTACCCCCAGGCATCATAGTCGAGTCCCCAGATACGCCCTTCAAGTCCTATAACACCTCCCTCGATCCAGGGGAGCGTCATCCCCCTTCTTGGTCCAGTCATCTTCGCCGCACCAAAAAGCCGTGCAATGATCGCGACAACAACAAACAGATAGCGATGCTCTCGCCCTCACTTCCCCAGTGCCCGCCGTGGACAGAGTTCGTCCCCCTTTCTTCCTTCCCACCCTTCCCTCTCGACTACTTCCGTATTATAACTCCTTTGTCTCAGCGCTTCCACTCCGCTGGCTGTAACGATACATAACGGTCTCCGACACAGAAAACCAGCACTTTCGATGGTTTCAACCCTGTTCATCCTTGGGCTCGCGGCCCGAGTCCAAAATCCTCAAAGCTTTAACTAATATTGACAAGACTGGAGAGTCGGTCCTCATATGGGAAGATATCGAGAAGCTCTACGACAACGTCCTGTACGCTGCGAATGACCGGCAGCTGTACTGTCCGAGAAAGATGAGAACCATAAGTAGTAAGTGGTTCAGAAACAAACAAGAAGCAATTACCCAGTTCGCCTATGGCCATATGGATACAATGATAATGAAGCCTCGCACTCTTCTTATATCGTTTACCACAGCACTCATTTGGTGAACATCCCGGGGAGGCAGTCCCATCGTAGATTCTCAGAATCGTAGACCTAGGCGGTCAGGACCTTGCTCAGTCGCACGCCGAAATCAGTGGCATTCCTGCTCGCTTCAACAGGCTAGCTAACGAGTGGATCATTCTATGGAGCGATATCCGACTTGTATTTAAGGATGCGCATCACATCATGGTCTGTATTGAGGTTGTGTTATGTACACGAGATGCCAAAATGAAATAGTAAGTTCAAGAAGGAATGGAAAAAAAGCGCAGATCGGCAAAAATGTGTACCATCTGTTCACGGCTTTGCTACTAGTCTTAATCCAAGAGAATTAAGTATCGCCCAGGTGTTGAATTTTACGCGACCTTGAAGAACGCAGAGCAAGGGACATCATTGGTGCCAAGAAGCTCGCATCATCCGGCTACAAGTTTCGTGCAAACCACCAATTCTACTTGTGCCATGGAATCAAGCGTGCTGGATCAACCATAACCGCCCGGACCAGCATTAGTATCCATGGAGCCGTCCCAGCTGGTCCCGACAATGTACCAAACATGAAGAGCCCTCTACGGCTGCAGTCAGTCCCCTGCTTGCTGCCCAGGAGCAGATCGACTTTCGTATCTCTGATCCCTTGTCCGCAAGCATAGTCCGTAGGACGCCTCTGAAGCCGTGTCCATTCGCTACTCCTAGCAGGTATGGGGTCGGCTGCTGCAAGTTAGCGACCACCAGGAGGACCTCTCAAAGCTAGCGACACAGGGTTTAACATAAAGCTACGAGCCTCACGAGTACCCGATACTTCGGCTTTTTGTGGTTCTACCCAAACGAAAAGCATTGGGGATAAAATCACCAGCCCGATCATGGATCAGTTCCGATTGTGCTTCTTGCGAGAGTGCGGTTGCCACATACACCTTGCGAAGCATGAGGAATACAACATGGAGCGGCCTATGGAATTCTTCTACGAATACGGACCCTACGTCGCAAATGTACTGAAGATAATTAAGTACGTTTTTATGGCAGCCCCGGTCGCCGATCACGTTGAGCATATTCAGAAGATCCTCGAGAAAAAGGGACAGGGAATGGCAACATTGGTGGACAACGCAATCACAGCGATAGAACAGTCAGCGGGCGCCTCGCATGGTGGGGTTGATACCAACACCGGCATCGCCAGTCTTGGGAAGCTGGAGCCCTTGCAAGGCCACTATTTAAGGCAGCTGAAGTCATACTTAGGGGTCCATGACAATAGCAGCGCTCTTAATAACCTCGAGTGGATCGTCGTAGAGGGACACGTCAAATGGGATTGTTCTGACCATAGGTTCAACTATTCAGAGTTGCTACAGTAGAGGCTAAGGGACGTCGTAGGGTTCAGCGGCGGCGGTTCATTCATGGTGCATGGAAGAGTCATGATCACTATTTCATCTCAGGCCATTGTGAAGCAGTTTTATGAGGCGATGATCCAAACGAGAGGTATCCAGGGACTGGAAACCGCCATGGCATGAAGCGTGACTTTATACGACCTACGATCTTTCGTAGCTATGGTTAACCGAATGAGTATCATTCGTTTGACCTTGGACGGAAGTCTCTTCAAGGAACCCCTGCATGATGTCTACAACAATGGCTGCGGATTTGATCCTATTGTGAAGCTCATAGCTAATGGGCGGACCAAGCGGCTGATACTCAAGAAAATGGGGGAGTTTTGGTTGCTCATCAGAGATCAAGGTCCCTCTGCTCGAAGCACTCATCATCGACTCTGCACTCTCCTCAGAGAAGAAAAGCGCTAAATCGGAATTCAGGATTTTCCTCAAGTATTGCACCTCGGTCAACAAATTGAACCTGAGATCCGACGATCGATATCTCTTGCTGAACTTCATAAAGGCCAAGATCGGCCTTTTCCTGCGGCTCAAGAAGATGACATTGAATTGCAAGGAACGTACCATAGCCATCGGCTCTTCCAAAGGCAAGGTCGTCTCCGCCAAGATGATAATTACCCGCCTTGAAGTTCTCTCGCCCGACAACAGGAAGTTCCTTGATCATCGCAACTTTACCAGGCCATATATTATACATACCCCAGGGAAGTCAAGGAAAAGTGAGCTGGTGAATATTATACGCCAGAGCTCAAGTCTTTCGGATATCCACAGTGGATGCCATCCCAAGCAAGTAGACACCATCATTGACTTGATTACATCGACAAGACACACCGTTATCCAAAGGGCGGACCAAGCGCATCGCTCGGGCTGGAGGTATTCGAAGACAAGGGCTTCAAGCACTTGGACATTGTCAACATAAAGACCAATTTTCCTGATTGTTCTGGTGCACCTACCATACCGACCGATATCGCGATGCGAGCAGTTCTTCCTGTGGTCAGGCCTAGCTATCTCTGGAAAGCGCCTAATAAATACGGGCTATTCCATCAAACAAATGGAGACGAACGGAGCGTTCAGCGACGATCTTGTCGGCCTGTTGAAAACGAAGATGGGGGCAAGAGACCACGATTCACGTCCCTGATGCTGCTTCGAGCATCACTGACACTTGAAGGCCTTCAGCGCATGCGCTGGGTCATCGGCCATTCAAGGTGTTAAGCAACAGGACCTCAGCTGGACCTTGGATTTTATTTCAATTTGCAGTGATATTTTCTAAATAAGCAAAGGGCAGGGTGCCCTGGCTGTCCGCAGCATCTCGATTGACTCAGGAATGTCTGAGACACTTATAACGTACTCTTCAAGGCGCTTCTTCCCTGTACTCAATATATTCGGATCAACCTGTTCAAACACGTCAGAGCTTACACAACGTTGCATCGGATGGGTAGCTGATATGATCTCGGCATTGCACCAGGAGCATGCAACTCGGCTCATTACATCAAGGATTCTAAAAGAGATCCAAATCCATCATAACACCCTCCACCAGAAGATTGGGCGCTTATGATCAACTCTATCGACTTTTCTACTCTAGAAACATTGAGCTTCAAAGGAGCCAACGTTCCCTGGAGGTAACCCTAGATACTAGTCGACAAAGTTCCAGGCAACAAGAACTCAGTCGCACCATTGAAGACGTTACGCCTTGAGGGCATGAAACTAGCCGAGTCCACCAATCCAAAGGCACTCTGGTCGCTGCTAGCGACCCTGGAGGGAAAGGTGCCCGATGTGAGCATCGAAGGATTGTGATGCTTGCCTACAAGCAGAAACTAGATAAATATAGATCGCTTTTAGTAAAGTAACGAGACGAGGATTATGCAGCCTATACTGTTTTGTATTCAGCGCCAGCTCAAACCTCACAGTATAATGGGATATTTGATAAATCTGGGGATCCAAGTCAAGAAGAGCCCAGGCGGGGTAAGTTAGGGTGAAGGGCATCTTGCGGGTTTGCCTTCGCCACCTTCTTCTAGTGCTCCACAAGTGCTTGCATGAGAGCATGATCGCGCTTCTTGCCCTCTCTCTCGCCATGCGTTCACAGCTACTGTGTCTACAGTCCTTTCTCCCTTCATTCGCAATTTCTTTCTCTTTTGTTCTCCCGCCGCTTCTCAAACACTCTCCACTCCAGTTTTATATCCGACTTCATATCATCTACTGTACTACTCTCCCTTTCCCCACTCTGCTGAGTACGCTGTGGGAAATGTACGCTCGACCACCACGATTGTCCTTCAGGAATAGATGGAGGCCAATAAGTGATGTGCTGAAGGATGCCAAGGCACTCAGGGTATTTCGGGCACCACATCCATATCTGGATTATAATACCAGATGTGTTAGATTATCTAATAAAAAAAGAGCATTCCATTCCATTATTCGTTCGCGTACGGCTGCAAAGAAAAGGCACGCTCGTAGTTGCAATGTAACATCGGGGGTACCATGGTTTGCAGTCTACCTACGATGTACCCTGTATATTTTTTACTTTTTTCAAGTAAGACTGATTGATGGCAAGCCAATCCACTTCTCTTCTGCATGTATCGCTCCGAACCATATACCCTACTCTTGAGGCCCCTTCAATTGCTCGTTTTACCAAAGACTATTTGCGCAACCCTGCAATAAAGACCTTTTACCCTTTCTTCTAATTCAAAAAAAAAGAAAAGAAAAAAAGCATTGTCACATCGTGGCGTGTCCGACGCGCCATCTTTTTTTCGATCGTTCTGATAACCTTAAATGTGTCAAAATTAAGACGCGTCAGGACACGTGCTGCACAGCCCCACAACATCCGTGAGCGTATAGTCTACATCCACTAATGCTCCAATACCATGGAGCAGGTAGCAAAATAGCTCTGGGGTATAAAGATGTAGTTTCGGTACTTTTCTGCAGAATGTGTATAGAAAAAAGGGGCTGTGCTACCATTGTAGGCGAGGCGCGATAACAATAGCCGCGGCTCTTTTGCTCTCTCTCCTCTTCCATGATGCCGATTCTCGTTCTCGAGGAATTGAGGAAGTGTCAAGTTCACGTAGCAGACTATTAATAATCCTGGAGCACACAAAGCCATGTAGGCGCATAGAAGGCGTAATGTATACTTGAAACGAAGAACTGCGGGAAACGTGTATATAGTGTTGAAAAATCTTTTTGTTAAGCCTGCGTTTCAGTGTGCCTTGGGTGTGTAAATGGATGGAATATTTTAGTGTGTCTGTCGGTAGGATGTGCGCGAGAGAGCCATCATCCTCCCGATCCCATCACTCCACCTGCCATCACTTTTGACATCCATCCTTCCCCTCGCTGGCCATCGACACTTCCTTTGTTGTCGTCGTTCCATCGATTGAGTCCTTCTTTCCGCCCCTGGGAGTCGATCTCGCACTCTTGCTTCGCTGTCGTGCCTAGTCTTTCACCCACGCGACTGGGCCCTGCTTCACACTCTCGCTCTTTCGGACTACAAAGCAATGTATCACCACTTCAACGGCTTCACCATTAGAATCAGCAACCCTAACAGCAGTATCTCCGCGGTCTTCTCTCTCGCTTTCCTTTCCCCCTGAGATATATCCTATTTCCTTTCCAAATTCACAACAGTCGCTGTTCCGCCACGACCACTTTCAACAGCAGCACCGCCCCTACTGCTTAACTACCACGACCAGGGACAGGGGAACAAGCGATTTGCAGCAGTACATCTCAGCGTCTCGACCTTTTATTAGGCAGCAATTGAGCGGGAAAGGATGTTTCTGGACTGGATAGCCCAGCTGGGGCTGCTCGAACATGATCCAGGTATGCCGCTTGATACTCTTCTCGCCTTGGCATCCACTCTCGTTGTGCCTGACAAAACTGCCAAAAATAACCAACAGCTTCTTTTACCATCAGTTTCCAATGTCCTGGCGCGTTTCCCGCTGTCCGTCAAGAAGACGCTCATCACTGAGGTGACCTCGACACTACTCGTCACCTCGGACCTGTCCCTCCTGTCTTCAATGGCACACATGAACTGGGCCATGGAAGTCCTGGGTCAGGGATTTGCTCTTCCGCTGGAGGAGCTATCAATTGCACAGGAAACGACCCAGTTGTATTCTCAATGGCTCTTTGAACCACAGATGCGACCACTCGCCTTTCGACAGGCTGCCGGGACTGCAGATGAACAGCTGTTATATCAGGTCAGTAACTTCTTTATCCAGAATATTTTGGGCACCGATGTTCATTTCAGCCTCTGCCTAACGCCTCTTTCGATGGATACAAGTAGACGATATTCCATCATTACTCGCTTCTGTTCCAGATCCGGTCCACATCGCCACCTGCGCCTGGCATCAACCACCTGCACCACCATAGCCATCATAATCACCATCACCGCCATCCTACGACACCACTCGCGAGTGCACAGTCAACCTCATACAGCCACCAAGCATCGCACTCGACGGCAGCACCACAGGTTCCCGTTGGAGTACTGATACAACGGCACATCGAGCTATGCAAAAAAGTGCTCACTGTCCTGACGATGGCAGGACGTCAACTGGGAAATTTATTCTCCGAAGGAACATGGGAGGTGCTCCTCAAAGTGGTCTTGGGCATCACGGACAGTCTGCTTCGAGAGCAGCCCAGTAAGTCAGCAACATCGCCAGCATCCTTGATACCGGAGAAGTCTAAGATGAGCGACGATCTTTGTGAGCACCTGCTCAGAGTCCTGTTCGAGCTCTGGCTCCGGTCCAATATCCGGCAGGTCCACATGTGGGATATCCTGAAGCAGTGCTTCAATGGCTGGACATACCGGATACCAGTCTTGCATCAATGGGCAGCTACCTCCCTTGGACTTTGTCAACGGGTTGTCAGACTGCTTTACGGACCAGGACAAGGCACGGATGTTGTCAACCTGGCTGTTGGTGGTTATAATATCGGGCTAGATCTGCAGGCGGATTTCACTCTCTATGCATGGCACCGTGTTATTTACCTGCTTAGGTGCCCCGCAAAGCTCACGCCAGCCAACTGTTTGGCAGCCGTCAATGGGATTGGCAGGATGGTGGAGACATTTCTCATCGTCGGAAGTAGCAACAACCAGACGACTATACCCGGATCTCCACCCTTGCCCTCAACCCCGACCGATATCTTTTCATCATCCCCACTCTCATATTCGAACCACCCCAACTCCTCCAACGCCAATCACAAGTCGACCAATTCATCCTCATTTCCTAGCAAACCAACCTCGCCGGATGGTAACACGATCATGCACATGTTTGGTGCCTGGCTCTTTGAAGTGTCTGCACTCCCGACCCCAGAGCCGACTTCAGCCGCTTACTCGTCGCATTGGCACACATTCGACCCTTATTACCCCACCGACAGCTATCATGAAGCCCAAGCCTCTGCGTTCGGAGTTCTGTGCAGAATCTTCAGCAAACCGCAGCCCTCCGCTCGACCTTTTCTTCGTATCTACACTGAGCGGTTCTACGAGGCTCTGTCGATTGGTTTGCGCAGTGAGACCTCGTTACCGACCATCCTGGCTCACTCTGCTGAACTATTCACAAGTGAACTAGAGGGGGTGCGGATGATGGTGCCTGACTTTGTAATCGGTATTCGGATGGCGATGGGCGGCCAGATTCGGGTAGCAAATGGTTATATGAGTCAGGAGAAGCAGAAGCAAGTCTTTGAAGATCTACATTTAGCGGCGTTGAAGGTCGCGGGTTGCATCATGTGTCTGCCCAATCACTTTGAGAAAGTCGAGTTGAAGGAAGGCTGGAACTTGGGGCTGTCAAAGTCAGCCAACATGGCGTTAGATGGCAAAGGTGGCCGAGAGGACAAGGAAATTCTAGCTCAGCTGGTACGTCTTGGATGGCTATTTAACAGTATGAGGTTCATTATGATGGTATATACTCATGCTGACATCTGTATCTACATCGACTTTTATTAAATAGATTCGAGTTCTGTATACCACGGACACCCCGGCAGAGGGGTCGATACCGGCTTCAGAGCGTTTTACGACGCTTAAATACTACATTTTGGAGATGCTTTTGAACTGTCTAGAGACCGAGACCTCGTCGTTCAATTTGCGGTACTTACTGCACCTCATCGAGGTCTATGTGCACGAGGATGTTGCATTCTGTCCAGGACTCGTCGGCGTGGTCGTGAAGACGATCCAGGAGAAGGTAACGCTGAAGCAGTTTTCAAAAAAAAGAAAAAGAAAAAGAAAAAGAACTGAGAGCAGCATGTCTGATTTAATGGCATAATCGATTTCGTTCTAGATTGTGACTATTCAAGTTCCTGTGGATGTGGCTCTGTGTGCCTTTGATGTGCTTATTGGATGCGCTAAGTTGTACGAATATGTGCGACGGGACAGCAAGGTATGAAGCCATCGTATTTGTCAAAGCTGGACATGGTCTATCAGTCAAGGCATAGCTAACAGCTAGATTATATTGTAAATATAATAGAGCTGCGCCCGCGAACTCGTATTGGCACTATGCAGATATGTGGACGCCCTTCTAGCGAACCACGCAGTCTTAACATCAACACACCCGCTGGTTGTACGGGCATACGAGTGCATGCTGCACTGGATTCTCGCCGGCCAATGGATCGTGGGCGACCAGGATTGTCATCTAGCCGTGATCAGCTCCATCAGCAGCGGACTTCACATTGCTGAGAGGGTCGAAGAACAGGAAGCCTCGATCGTGCCTCCGAAACCTCCACAGGAGAAGCGACGTTGGGGTGGTGGTGCAGCAGGCAACGCCATGATATCGGCTGTCGGTGCACCCTTGTCGCTAGGCAAGCCATCGAGCAACAGTGCCGTGAAACTATTCCAGGTCAACAACAAGCATCCCGGGCCGATCAAGATTTTGAATCAAGAGTCGAGACGGGATAAGGAAAATCGCAAGAACCGATCGGCGAGCTCTTCGATTTCGGGACATGTCAAAGCTTCACGTCTGGATCTGACGGCGATCCAGCATGCGGCTGAAATGGCTATGATCCAGTTTTCGAATCAGCTCGCTAACTTCCCAATCTGGACCGATGATATCGGACCGAGCAGGATGTCGACTTTGTGGAACGATATCAAAATGAACAGGACAAGCCTTATCAGTCCCAGGGGTCTTTTTGGGTTCGAACCCCTTGAACACCAGCAGCAGCGGCAGCATCATCCCCCTAACTCCCCGGTGGCCGATATCACGGGTCCTGCGCGGTACTTTCTGCTAGATAGACGGATTATCCTGGGCTGTTGTGAGTTGTCGAGCATACCTAGCTCGGATAGCGACGCACAGAGTTTTGTGGATGAACGTGGTCCTTTTGTCGTGGTGACTATGAGGGATTCTAGCGGCAAGAACTCTTGGAAGGTGCGCCCAAGTCATTTTGAGAGAAATTACGCCAATGCGGAACCCAAAACGTTTGCTCAAAACGGTAATCGAGTAGCGGTACAGGAGGCTGATGAGCATACAAACAACAGGACCGTGCCGGGTTTAGAGGAAGACGGATATGTAGCCGACCCAATTGCTAGGCCTAGAGTCCTGACAGTCGAAGCTGCAGATGAGAGCAGTATCGGTCTCAGGCGATATGTGCGACCTGCGAAGTGCACAGCAGAAGAAAGTTCTTCAGAATCCCCGCTTGCGGATGAGAAGAGCAGTACACCACAGATGCTTGCCTTTGAGCCAGGCGAGACTGAGTTCGATCGACCCTCCCAGCAACTCGTGCAGGCGTCTGGGTAAGATACGTTGTATTCAGCAGATTTCAGCAAATGCAATAATACCAACGGAGTGAAAGCCACGGTGCGACAGATTCTAATCGGTTGTATACTCATCTCTTTCTTTTGTGTCATTTACTTATAGATCTAACGTGCTTCGGATTTTGATGGCACAGATGGGATATCTTTCACTTGAAAGCAGATCACGAATCATGCCCTTGCGTCTTTCAGAGCGTTTGCTGGCCGAGCTGCAGTTCCTAGATGACCTCAAAGAGTACGTCAATTGCTGTCTTTTTCTCTTTCCCACTTGCAGCGGTGAACCAGGCTGCCAGTTACTTGCTGCATGTCATTTATTCTATCGACTTCTGCAACTTCTTTAGGAGAGACTGCCTGGGGGTGAGCGTGTTCTTTGCCCAATCAGGAGATGTAGGCTACGACGAGCTGATCCACGGCTCGCCAACTGGAATCTCCAAAGATTTTACCCGGTTCTTGGATTGCCTTGGATGGCCCATCCAGGTCGAGACTCATTCTGGATATCTTGGCCGCCTGAACAAAGATCTATGCCATACCACTCCATACTTTGCGGATCGCAACAGCGAGGTCATCTTCCACGTTCCTTATCTGATGCGACCCTCCAGCCCAGATGTGACGCCGATGCACGACCATCGCCTCGTGGACCAATTCCGTTCAGTGACCGTACAGGACTATGTTGCGATCGTCTGGGTCGAAGAGCGGGAGCGGATGCTGAACTTGATACCACTGATTGACCAGAGCGCCATGATCTTCATACTGATTCATCCGTTGGAGGCAGATTCTGCAGGGGGACTGTTTTGGATCAGGATTGTGATTCATGCTGCACACACGACGGCGGGATCGGTGCGATTGGCGGCGAATCCATTGATAATTGGACCGTTGGCGGATGGAATGCTGGTATCGAGACATTCGCTTGGAAGTCTTGTGAGAAATACAGCCATCTCTGCGGACAAGGCGTGTCGAGTGATGACGGATTCGTACACGGAGCCAAGCGCTGTGCGGGCGAGGTATATCCAGGAGGTGTTGCAGATGCACCAGCCGGACGAGCCAGAGAGTATCTCGGAGTTCTACAGGACGATGTTTGCGGCATGATCAGCTCATACTATTTCTTTTTAATCCTTTGTCTTTTCTCTCTTTTCCTTTCCTTTTTGCCAAAAAGCAACCTGTACACCATCACACCAGTTCCCCTTTCAATGATACTATTCAGCCATATACCAAATAGCAGCTACCCTATAATCATAATTGCGCACTTGGATCAACTGCTCAGAAATAAAGCGGAGCAGAGAAAATACCCATCGTTGTTTTTCTTTATTGGGAAGCTTACTTGATACCCGGCTCGTGTCACTGCCACCGCTGCTTTCATCACCGCCGCTGCTGTGTTTTTCTGCTTTTATGAATGCTAGCTGCTGGGTCAGTTCATCCCGAGAGGGAAACACATGTATGAAACCGGAAGAAGATCGCCCCACCATGTGGCAATTGTCGATACCTCCCCATGCCAATGAGAATTCCTTTCTACCGCTCCCTCTCGAGGTAAAAAAAAAAGCTGGGTCAATTTTGTTGTGATAAAGCAGGACTCATAGACAGGGGGGCAATCCGTTTCTTCAGATCGCTTATACTCGGATGTGTAAATCTGTACTAGGAGTCCGCCGTGCCTAGAAAGAACTAAAATTTGGGCGAAGTATCTACAGATCTCATAAACTTAGTCAATCCGCACAATAGGTCGCTCGTTGTCATCATTGGGTTTGGTCGTAACCGTTGATCGATGATCCTCAGAGGAAAATGAGGGAAAGGCAGCATTTTACTAATGAGAATACTGAAGAGACATGTAAAACAGATATGGATAAGTAGCTTACCTTTGTCATTTTGAAAGTGATGCCACTCATCAGACAGTTTGTGTCTTTAGGAAGGAAGACAGCGGAAAAAGTCTTTTTGCCTCCCTCCTCCTCCCCCCCCCCCCCCTCCCCAACAACAACAAGTTAGTAGCAATAGCAGTTAATGATAACGAAAGAAGACAAAGTAAGAAAGAAAGAAAGTAAGAAAAGACAAAAGAAAAGAAATAAAAACAAGAGCGAAGGAGGGAAACAAAGCGTAAAGAAGGACAGAGGGAAAGAAGGGTAGAAAGAAAGAACGAGCGGTAGAGGGACCCAGACCTGGCTCCGGAAGTTTACAGGGATGAAGGCAGGGAGGAGCACAGTGCCGAGGAACCTTTAGAGATAGGGATGAGAGGATTGGTAGCGCTCACTAAGACTGACACCAGTTGGCACCAGTCTCGCTATGCTGTGCAATGTCCATCGCCTAGTATACAAGGAGCGCTTTGGCCACCGCAGAACGATATTCGCAGCATACCTCATCCGTTCGCTCGTTGTGCAGATGAATACGTCCACACCGCATAACTGCCCCGCAGACCAACGAAATTTCACTCACGAGGCGCGCTGCAAAGCATCGGGAGCATAAGCTACCGTCGGACTCAGCTGAGAGACATTGTATTAAACAGCATATAAGGTCTAGTACGGTGATAAGCATCAAACTCATGTCTGTATGCTGTGGACGACAGTCATGGCTCTAATAGTGCTCATGCTAGTCAGTCTTACTGCCTTTGCTTCTTCTAGGCATGAATGGTGTCATCGCCATCGTGTCGCTAAGACCTCGGGCCAGGAATATGAACATCCCAAGGAGTCTCCCAAAAAACAGCCTCATGTTCTTCCTATCCGTTTGGTCAGGACTGCAGGCATTGGCGTCGGCAATAGGATAAAGGGTCATGCACGATGAGGTGGTGGCAAGATACGGCAGAACCCCCGGCAATACGGGGTTGTCGCTATGACCAACTGTTCTGAACAGGTATCTCCCAAGGTTCCTGCGCATCGTCCATGGAAAAACTAAAAGAGGCCCCACAGCGTGGTGAAGTGCTTGAACCCCAAGTGCTCATCGTTTTCAGTGCAGCTATACAATCAAATCACGGAAAGCACATTCTGCATTTGTATTGTGATATTCAGTGTTTCCACACTCTTGTCCCCAGACTACGCTCCCATCGCGTCGTTCTCTCGGCAATTTCAGTCTACCACAATCAAAACCAGCAGCACAGCACAGGACTCTACAGAATACACGCCCTCGATATGGATGTCAGACGACGCAGACACAAGGGCGGGGCCCTTCCGGACAAGACGGGCATGGGGAGCAGGGGCCGCCTGGATATTCGATTTAGTCATTTATTTTAGTGGAAACCTGCTTATTATAGGTTCATTGTTCTATGGTACATGCGGGGAAACGAGATTAAGAGAGAAAGGATACAGGGGATAGAATAGGGCGGTTGTGGTGTGCGGCCAAAATTATTATGGCCATCATCAACATCGTCATCATTATTATTTTCCGCCGGCTTTTGGGGGTGTTAAGTTCGGACGACAGAGGTATTGATCGCATAGAGAGCAAACAATCGCCTCTACCGAGTTCTCCAAAGATCATCCGTGATAGGCGGCTTCTGAGCATAGAGGACCTTCATAACCAGCTCGGCCTTCTCTGCGACGCACTCCATCTTCATCAGCTCGATCGTCTCCTCAAAGATGCCCTCCTCCAGACGGTTCATCTCGATGATTTCCTCTCTAAGCGACTCAACCATCTCTAGATAAGATCTCATCGCGACCTGGCCTCTCGGTCCTGCCCAATCTCCGATAGGGATACCATAATCAAAGCACTCGACATTGATCAATCCGGCGCCCAAGATCGTCGGCATCAGGGCCTCGACCATCTGTATCGGGTTCAATCCAGAGCTCAGGGCTGCCTGTTCGACCCACCGGTTGACCTTTAGTGACTCGACGCCCGCACGGAGGACCAAGCCATTGGACTCTGCGAGCTGAATCCATCCACCTGGACGGGTGAGCCTTCGGAGTTCTGCAAAATGAGGTGTCCATTCTTGGATCTGGGTCCTGAAGGCTCCGAGACGTTGGTGAACGAGGTCGAATTCGCCTTCCTGGTCACGGACGTCGCGCATCCGAAACTTGCAGTTCTCGGGGATGCGGAGAGGGAGGTGGGCGATGTCGAGAAGTGGGTCAAGGGCGTATACAATCGTCCTTGGGTACTTCAGCGCCATGTCCTGAGTGAAGAGCAAGAGATGGTTAGTGATTATAGTCAAGCCATGAGTTGCTCATGTTCGCCTAGAGCAACAGCAGCAGCGAATAAAGAGCAATAGATAAGTCTTGAGGTCGTACCATAGCCCACTCGCCAGAGCTGCAGTTAATATCGATCACCTTGCGGAATGGCTTCCCTACGGGCGCCATCAGATCCAGTTCATATGTGACCCTGTCCAGATAGAATGGGCTGTTCTCACACACGATAATATTAAAACGCAAGAAGAAAAAGAATGTTCGGTATTGGGTACAACCTTCTCAAATACACAATGTAATCATTCCTGCAAGCAAATACCTGTTTTTGCCAAACATACCTTTCGGGGTGATCTAACTCATCTGCATAGACAGGGATGATCCAGCCTGGGGTTTCGGGGTCTGGGTTGAACGTCAATGCCTCCGCGATCTGGTCCAACCATCTGTAAATACGTTCTCGCTTCTCCGTCTCTCGTGGGTTGGTCGGGAACTGTTTTGCCAGACGAGCAAAGACCTGGTCCACTGTCGGTGGACGCTGTAAAGAACTGCCACTGTCGATCAGCGGACCTGCATTTGCGAGAGCGTCTGCCGGCTTTCCAAAGTTGGCACCAGCAGGTGGTCGCTGGTCTCTTTCGGAGGGGTATGTAGTTGTTAGACGAGGTTGTGCTTGATACTGCTGCTGCTGCTGCTGCTGCTGCTTGAGTTGTGCCTGTTGCTGTTGTTGTTGTTGCTGCAGTTGATAATGATATTGATCCGGTTGTGCATAGGGATAACTAGATTCATTATGGTGGTAATGTGGGTTACTGTTGCTTTTAGAGTTCGCTGTATTGCCATAGGGAGCCGTGCCATTAGGGCCTTGGTATGAGTTGAGCATGCTGTTTCGATTATTGTTGTTGTTAATGACTGTAGGGTCGAGAGGATGGGACGAAGTCGATGCCTGTCGCTGATGATGATCGCCATAGTCTGCCAAGTGTTGCTGCTGAAGTTGTTGCTGGTATTGCTGTTGCTGTTGGAGTCGTATGATCTGTTGGTGCTGTGCAGTTCCGTTAGGGACCCTACCATCACCAAGGTTCATGGCAGCGACAGAGGAGACCACGCCACCAAGACTGCCTCCAGGAGCATTTTCAGTTGCGTTTTCGTCCTCCAAAAAAGGGACCGTTGAGGGTGGGACCGGGGCTTGCATCGGGCGCTGTTGCTGCTGTTGCTGCTGCTGTTGAGTGTGATTAGGATGAAAGGTCGAAGTCCTTCCATGAGACTGATGTGGAGAAGCAGACGAAGGTCTGGGGTCTGCACCTTGATACAAGGGCTGCGGCTGTTGGTGGTGCATTGACATCATCATCTCCTGACTCGACGGCGTGTTGTGAATCGTATTGGTGTTGCTGTAGCCGTGTGCTGCAGCCTCTTCTCCCGCACCGATGCCCAAGACCATCGTCGCCCTCGATCCCAATCCTGAAGTTCGTAGGCTGGTCTCATGGCTGTGGATATGGCCATTGGTTCCAGCCGTGGCTGGGTTAGGGGCTGCACCATGTTTGACCTTTGAGCTGTATTGGAAATGCAGGCTTGAGTCCGAGGTCTTTTCCTGTTGGTCCAATCGTCCTGGGCTCGACATATTTGGATGGTTCCAGGGCAAACTGCCTACTACTCCAGGCAATCCAGTTCCAGATCCTGGCCCACCTCCACCAACGGGGGTCTCTGGACGGTCAATGGGCGAGGACGACGAAGCCATGAAGCCGTGGATAGAGTAGTGTCCACTGTCGTTCGGCAGCGGTTGTTGTTGGTTGGCGTGGCTCTGTTTGCTGGATCGGCCTGAGCCAGGGAGCTTTGAGTGTTTGCCCCGAGACTTTGTCCCTGCTGGGCGGGACTTTGAGTTGCCCATGATCAGGCACTACTTTGAGTGATGATAGGTGGAGTTGAAGAAGGTATGATCCTGGTTAATTGAACGGACGAAGCGATCAAGAATAGGGGAGAGAAGGAAGCGGACGAAGAAGGTATGGTTATGAGGGTCAAGGAGGAGGGAGGAAATGATGAGGTGATGATCAGCTGGATATGTAGGGACCGGGGCGGGATGGAGAGAAGGAGAGGGTCTTGGGTGGTGTGAGGATGGGGGCTAGGGGTGTGAGGGATGGATGCAACCTTATCGGTCTGAGTTTCGGTTCAGGAGCGAGGGGAAAGTGTGAACAGGTTATGCGTAGTTATGCGGCAATCGAATGCTACAAATGAAGAAGAGGAAGACAGGACAGGAGCACGAAGGGGAAGAGGGCAAGACGATGATAAAGCGATGTAGAGAGGGAAGATGGGGCGGTGATACAGAACGAGGTGGAGTGCAGAGAGTAGCGGTGCGCAAGTGGGTGTGTGTCTGGAAGAAGGGTTGTCTGCTGGTTGCGTGCTTACGAGATGAGGAGGACGATGATGTCGAGGAGGGGGAGGGGAGGAGGGGAGGAGGAGAGGAGGCGAAAGAGTGATGGAGCGATGGAGGGAGGGAAAGGGAGTGGGGGCCCCTTTTGTTGCTATGGAGAGATGTGTATGGGGGATGAGAGATGATGTGTGTGGAGTAAGAGGCGGTTATAGTTGTGGTTGCAGCGGAAGGGGGATGGGTGATGGGGGATGGATGGGAGAGGGGATGAGGGAAGGGATGCAGGTCTGATGAGTGAACCACACTTTCTGTAATTTATCCCCCCCTCCCTTCTCCTCTGCCCCTCGGGTGACTGAATATTGGACTCGTACTTGATATTAATGCTGCTACTCCTTGTGCTGCTGCTGCTGCTGCTGAAGATGAGGATGATGCGAATATCCTATATGGCTCTTGTCAAAAATGAGAGCAGACATCTTTTTTAATGTGCTAGATGTTGATACAGGAGATAATGTTGAATTAAACGCCTGTGTATATTCAGGTACCAGGGCCGATGTCTGTCTTGTGTAACAAGGAGATGGTGGTGATGGTGATGGTGATGGTGATGGTGATGGTAATGGCACCCAGAAGTTTATCTCGCACAACCATGCAACGTTAAAGAACGCGCCCGATTGAAGAACAGGGCACCAATGAGAGAGCTTCCCTATGCACTGGGCCACATCACACAGGACAAACCCGCAAATCCCATATTTACCCCGTCTCTTCATACCCCACACGATCACATTCCCAATGCCACCAAGTTGAATACTACGACAATGTCATTCACAAACTCATCTTTTTTTAATAAATTGCAAAGTTCGCAAAATGAAGAAAGCTATAGTACAATAATGGGCGATCTAGTTTTCACACACACTCTCTTTCTCTCAAATAGTTTTTGTCCGTAAGCAAGCAAAGAAAATAGTAGTAATAGTAGCAAAAGAATCGCTTCGTCTTTCACCACTCGAAATCGCCGTTCGCCCTGTGGAACAAATAGTCACGGCCATTGATCAGCATAATACCGTCCTTCAGAACACACTTCCACTTGCTCTTCGTCCTCGACACCTTGTCGTACTGGCACAGTACAATGTTATCGGACTCATCATCCATATCCCCATCGCTGTCATCCAGGTCCGATCCCAATCCTGTATCATCGTCCTCATCATGATCGCCATCCACCTGTCCAATCGTAAACCCCTCCAGTCCATCTCTCTTGGCCTTGCGTGCAGCCCGCTCAGAGAGCGTCAGTGTAAAGGTCATCTCCCCAGGGGCTTGTCCCGTCAATTGCTCTGTTTCCCTGGCCTCCATGAATCGTTTTTCCACATATGCATCCAGCTCTGTAGTGCTCATGAATTCAAGCTCGGCCACATCCGCTGCTCCATCTGTCTGAGGAATGTTGGTGGAATTCGTCGTGCCGTTTCTACCACCCCCTGGGAGCGAGATGTTCTTGCCGCCAGATGTAGATCGAGGCGGGACATGCGGCTGAGGACGGCCTACATTGCTGTTGTCTCCAGGCAGGGTTGTCGAGGCAACGTTCGCGAGGTTGGCTGCTGGCGTTTGCTCAACTCGATAGTTAAATGACTAAAGGATAAACGCGCAGACTAGTCAGCTTCTGCGGTCTCAGCCTGACACACCAAGGCTTTTTTTTTTTTTTTTTTCTTTATAAAAAATAAAAAAAATAAAAAAAAAAACACACAATGCAACTTACACCGGGAGGAGGAGGTGGGGCGGTATAGCTGGCCAAACCTGGGGCGACAGCTGGGACAGAGGCAGAGGCAGATGCAGCTGCTGACTGATCATACTCATCAAATTCGTATGGCTCCGCAGGAGCAGTAGATTCCGAAGGCTGGAAGGCCACGACCTTGGACTGGGCAATCTTAGTCTCCCAAGACTGTTCGGATCGAACGGACGGACGACCAAACGATATGATCGTGGATATTTGTTAGCAAGAGTAGAGATATTGGTTACTGTTAGACAAAAAACGGACCACATGGGAGCACAGACTGTTCGCAATAATGTGTTTCTGGTCAGGAACAAGGGCTGCCAATTGCATTGCCGCCATGGACACATACCCTTTGAAGTTCGTGCATAATGGTCTCATCCACACCCATATCCTCAAAATCACGTCGGACATTAGTTATAACGTCGTCGATGACGAACCTATACACAGCAGTCTACAAGGCCGCGACCAAGTTCCGAACAGAGATAAAATCAAAATGAGATCCAACAGTGCTTCATCACATCCGATTTTCAGGACAAGCGACAAAAATCAATATGAAGATAGCAAGTGCCCAAGAGCACGTACCACAGCGTTGTTTGCCATGGTGGACGAGAGTGGAGAGTGGACACACTGTGTCACAGTAGAGTGTGTAGTTTGGCTCGAGGGGTTGATGGTAATAGACGAAGAGCTGCGTGTGTAGATGAGATGAGAACAAAGATAAAGCTGAGAGGACAATGAAGAAACGGAGCAGATGGAAGATGAAAAAGCGAACGAATGCAAAAAATCTTCAAAGGTGGTCTTTTATACACGTCATGACACGTACGCGAAATCTATTTGTACGTGTATTTATTCGTCTCTGAAAGCGCGGTGCCTGGATCCATTTATGAAGGCATACTACGTTCGGATATTCATTCGTGCAGCCCCAACCCCATTCTGACGATTGTGCCTGATGGTGTCAAAGTAGGGATGCATCAGAGCTAAAAGTTATAGAAAGAGAGACGTTCAATGTAAAAGTGCTCTTGGTTAGCATAGTGGACAAAAGGTCTGCTTGCGTTGCAGTCAAGAACACTGATCCCCGCTAATACCTCGTTTGGCGGAAATTCTCCTTGCAGGATCGTACTCGATCATCTGGTCCAGCAGGTCCACTCCCTCGGGGCATAGTGTTGGTAAGGACTTTTCTAACGCTTGTCTGTGCCACTGCGGGAATGTTGGTTTCCAGTCTTTTAACGAAGTGATCCCTGGCCACATATCCTCGGTGGGTGTTCCTCGAAGTCGAAATATCCTAAACAATTCATCAATTTCAGAGTCGCCTATCGATATATAATCTTGAATTGTTAACTATGGCAAAATAAATGTTTTCATTATTGCGTGCACCATGGCATGTACTGGTTCCAGAACTGTTACCGTACCTGGAAAGAGCGGCTTTTTTAATACCATTTCTGCAAAGATGCAGCCAATACTCCAAATATCCACTGCTGTTGAATAGTGCCGACAACCCATCAGAATCTCAGGAGCCCTATACCAAAGCGTTACGACCTCATGCGTATAGGGTCTCAGAGGTATTCCGAATGCGCGCGCAAGACCAAAATCTGCTAATTTGAGGTTCCTCGTCTCGTCAATCAAGAGATTTTGAGGTTTGAGGTCGCGGTGGAGGATGCGTCTGGCGTGACAGTATTCAACGCCCCTGATCAACTGGTGCAGATACTCCTATCAAGTTGAAAATAAGGTGCGTCCCTGAATGTTGGTATTTTGAAAACAGGCCATCGCTGGTCCTGCTGCAAGCTGTGATTTACCTTGACTTGATCAAGAGGGAGTCCGGAGATGCTTGTCATTGGCAAGGTATCCATGTACTTCTTGAGATCGAGATCCACGAACTCGAATACCAGATAAAGCCGGTTTTCATCGTGAATGATATCCAGCAATCTGAATAGTATTTGTGTATTGTGGAGCATAGGAATGTACAAGCAAACGATGTATAAGTGGCCACAGAGAGAAACAGGGCAGGTCTGGCCCACTCCTTAAAAAATAGGAGGCGATACGTGTCATGCAAAAAAATAACAATAAGCAATAAACATACTGAACGACATGCTCGTGCCTTAGTTCCTTCAGCAGCGATATCTCCCTAATGGCAGTACTGGGTACACCTAGATGGAAGCGAAGAGGATAGGGATTATGAGATAGCTAAGTATGAGCGAGGGATTCTGTTCTGTTAAGGCACCAGCGGGAGTAGTGCTTAAGCGACAGGGTCTTTGTGCCGCGGCCTGCAAATTGACTGTGGGCAGCTTATTCCGTTTTCTCGAGACTCTTTACCTTCATCCTCATTTTCGAGGCGAATTTTTTTCATGGCAACTAACCGTCCTGTCGCCTTCTCACTTATTGAAAGTTTCGAAAAGATATGCATTCCAAACAATTATACGGAAAAGAGAGGCAGAGTACGAGCCAAGAAGATCAAATAGATCAACAGCAGGTAAGTAGTGGAAACTAGTGGTATCATTGCGTGGGCATCGTATTGAAGGTAGCGGTTTCTCACGTTGCTCTGTATACAACACCGTAGGTGCCTTCGCCAATTTTTTCTAGCTTTTGATATGCGTCTGACATGAATATATGAAGGGAATGGGTGAGATAAATAGCGGAATGAGAGTGGACGGGAGGTATGGAAGACGGATGGGGGTACAGCTGGAAGAGAAGAGGTAATGAGATGAAAAATAAGCAAAAGGAAGCTGACGAACTTTATTTCTTATCCAATTCAGAACACGTCCTTTTTTGCAGGCACGCGTCCTAGTCTATATTTTTGGCAGTCATCGGATCGCCGCTTCAAGAAAAGCAAACACTTTGTACCATGACTATGCGGCTGCTTGATCTGTTCGCTCCGACTCAAGTTTTTTTCGGGGACTTTAATGCTGTCCTTGGCGGTAATAGGAGCCATCTAGACTGACTATCCTGTATTCTCCAGGCAGTTTGTTTGAGATATCTTCTATCTCGTCATGGCTTATGAAGAAGCTCCATTTGACCGACATATGACATTAGGAAAATATGTTTCCATCCATGTTAGCTTGTCAACTCGTGAATATCCATATCCTTGATAATCCACGAACATCGATATCTCCGACAGTACCCTGAAGAATAGCAAAAAACACCTTCACGCCGTACTCGTAAACATTTCGCTCGGTTGACTTTCGAACCCAAATCGCAGGATGAATTAAATCGACTCTTGGATTTGCTGTACTAATTAATGCCTGCGATTTTCCGAAGTATTATTCAAGGTTGTTTCCTGTGAATCTTGTTGAGGGACCGTCCGCTTTTGGCAGTAAGCCTATGACCAATATCCTGTAGACTGTTTTCCTGGTCAGACTCAGTTTCTGGAGTTGGCGTTCTGGGATGCTTGCGTCCCAGTTCTGTATCAGAGAATTTGTCGCGTCACAGATAGAAATAGATGACGCGAAAAAATCGAGTACCATTTTTCTATAACTTACGTGCCAGGTCATCCTCGACTTCTTTCTTCACAATGGTTATCGCCAGCTTCGATACATCCCGATGGCTCTGGCGGACGTTCAATACCAGAAGGTGTTTGCGGTGCGAGAAGCGATGTGCTGAACAAGTATAGTCAACAAGAAGACTTGAAGCTTAATCAGTGTAGTTATATCGCAACTGCATAGTGGTTTAATACTTTTCGAGCAATGCCTGTATCCTCCCGGAGTGTGTGGCGCTGACGGCTTCGATTAAAAAGGTATCCCTTCCTCCGTGTTTGGTCCTGTAGAGTCACGGATAACGCGTATTAAATGACTTTCTGAGGTCCAATCCTAATCATAGAGGCGGCGCGTGATGAAAATGAAAGAACGGCATAGCGGCATCGCATAGCCCCACGTTAGCAAAGAAAAAATACATTACCTTCCTTTCTTTTCTGCGGTAAGCACGAATAGGTTGCTATGTTATAATGCTTCTTACGCGAGTTACAGTAACCGAATGTCCGAATATCGTGTGTCATTTGGTTTATGTGCAGTATTTGAATAAGCGCCCTAATATTGGCTTTATTTTTGTGGAATTATTGTTGTGATCCATGTATATCCGCCTAAAGCAGCTTATAGAGCGGGCCCAGTAGTCAACAGACGAGTCGAGTTCTCATTCTGATCAGCCATGTGCATGGTGAGTCTACCATTTCATAGCCATTGAGTTCACACACCGCATCTACAATAGTCGAAATATGGAGTAGTTAGGCAATTGCTGACCCAAGATGATATAAATGGTAGCGCAAGTCATCTATCGCCGAAGGATTAACTAACAGCCAAGTTTATGGATTCTCTAGCAGTATAAAAACAGGAGAATGCAAGAGTATTGTAGAGGGCCTTGTGGAGTTGGTAAATTGTGTTCATCCTGATTTTCCTACATACTAGAAGACAACGCAGATATTGATTCCGAATAAAAAAGGCTGAACCATGAGAAACGTGTCCAAAAGGAAAGAATACTGAACATACCAGACACCCTTCTCTCCATCTTCTTCACCAGGAAAAGGTTGAAGTCGAGGATAACTCGTCCTACACAGCACTTTGCCTTTCCGACTCTACTCCCGCGGTCAACTGGGTTCGAGAAGGAGGACAATGATCCATACACCTCGGGCATTGGCTGACCGAAGGTATCTATCACGGCTGGGCAAGACGCACTGGACCGAGCCAAGCATACAGCGCACACGGCCATCTTAACAGAGTAGGAAGATGTGAATGAGACAAAGGATTACTTTTTTGCGAGTGGAGGACGTCGCGTCATTGGTATTTAAGTTTTATATTTGATATTCCATTTGTGATAAAAAATTGACTTTAATAAGCTTATATCTACTGCCTTGGCTTCGCCACGCGAGAAGGGACGGGACATGAGATTCCCATCCAGCCAATGACACCATAGAGAACATCAATCCTTACCAGGAATATTTTGACGCGCGATCGTTTAAACAGTTCGACGCCTGTGATTTTTTCGAGTTTTACAAATACCAGACCTGGAAGCGGAGGCTTGCCTCAGAGGAATGGGACAAGAAGGTTCTTTCTCTTGTCGAGGCAATCAACCCAAAGCACGGAAGAAGGCTGCGGGCCGTTTTCGCAGCCACTGCTGACGTTCGAAATGACTTTTGGGTCAGAAAGAAGCAATCCGAGGAACAGGTATGCTGTTTTAGGCTGCGATATATCAAACAATAGGGTAAAGGTGCAATTTGAAATATCGGTGTTTTTCGTCGTGTAGGCCCAGCACAAGAACGCACTGCTATTGGACGTCCGCCAGAGCCATCGGGATATATCAAAGCTGGCGATAGCCATTGTGAAGAAAGAAGTCGAGGATGACCTGGCACGTAAGTTATAGATTTCTGTCCGTGACGCGACAAATTCTCTGATACAGAACTAGGACGCAAGCATCCCAGAACGCCAACTCCAGAAACTGAGTCTGACCAGGAAAACAGTCTACAGGATATTGGTCATAGGCTTGCAGCAAAAAGCAGACGGCCTCTCGGTGAGGTCCTTAACGCTCCAACATTCAAGTTCGAGGCTATGGTCGGTTCAGAAGACCTTGGTACCCTCTTCACGTTGTATTACCAAGACTGCAAGAGAGTCAGGGGGTTTCACCCAAATCTGGTCGCAGATATCGTGTAAGAATACATGTATTTGAGGATAGGTGGAATGGAATGTTCACCACAGTTATTTACCGCCGCTTTAGTGCTATGACTGGCGTACTCTGCCTCACACACGTAAGCGAAATGCAAGCTTCAGTGCTTGGATCGATAGTCCACCAGCTGAAGAAGATTTTGAGGGTACCGCCAAGGAATATCAAGGCCGAGCGCGCCATCGTGCGTGGGTGGTGGGAGGTCTGTATTCTGGATTACAAATCGTATGGTCTTTGTTTTTATTCCGTCCACGTATATTCAACGGTCCCTTCATGTGAAATGGTAATAGACCTGGAAGGACAAGTGCGAGGACGAACAAAGTCAAGACGACGGGTGCGATGGTGATGACGAGAAAGAGGATGATGACCCCCGCGAGCTGGCCAAGAGGGCCATTATCAAGTCGACATACAAGGGACTCCTGTTAAAATCTCCACAGAAGATGTATTGGACGCTGTTTTCAAACTTCAGCACTATGCCAGTGTCCCAGTTCTCTGAAGTAAATGGAATGGCCTCGTTCCTATGTCCATTTCTGACGCCTCTCTTGCAGAAACCTGACATCGTAACGTTCTCATGGTACGTATCTCTACTTGTCTCATCTTGTTTTTGCTGACGAATGAAGCTAATTGAGAATCAACTACTTTATTATAGCGCAAACACCATAACGAAGGCCTCACAGTCCCTGCAGTCTTTGCAGAGCGCCATGCCATCCCGCTCACAGTCTACTCAGAACAAAGACGATGGCATGAAACGGCCTGATATCAGTGGCACATTTCACAAGCACGGCCTTGAGATATACTTTGGGGAGATCTCAGGCGTCGACGAGCACAGCAAATCCAAGATTGCAATCGATCTGATTCGTCTTGCGATTTGGGTTCGAAAATCAGCCGAGCGAATTCTACACCTATATGGCGTGAAGGTCTCCCTGCTAGGCCTTCAAGTGATCGGTCAGAAGATTACATTTTACAAGTTCACCTGGGTCGGGAGTATCCTCCTAATGTCATCCATTGTGCAAATGGAATTTCCAACCAGCCTAGAAAAAATGGAGGCCATTCCAAACAAAGTGCGCGTTTGGGCCGAAGTACAGGAGATGCTGACGGAGACCTGCAAGACCCTCAAGAAAGCTAAGAAGCTAGACAACCCAGGATCTGCGCGCCCTCGTGCCATTCCTTCAAACGTCGTTCGATTTCCGTATTTGCTAATTAATCCCAGCTTCAAGTTCGTTCACCATGTCCCACTATTCAAGTACAATATTACCGACCTTTGGACTCAAATTTTGCAGTATTTTGCTCAAAAAACCGGGTCTTTCTGAATTGAATAGCGTGTTTTCTTTGAAGGATGAGATAATCGCGAATCTCGATCTGCTTATTCATTCTGAAACTCGTCGGCCATTTTCTCTGCCAATCCACCTTACTGGAAGAAGCAGAAGAATAGAAGCGCACGGGAGACCTTTACCATGTCGATAGACCAGGTCATGCAGAAGTCCTCTATCTCTCAGATCCCTAGCGCCATATGCCCTAGCGCCATAGGGAGCCGGTGTCCTGGGACCTTAAGCAGTGATCTACATGCACAAATAAATGACTCTGCATCATTTTATCTTCCCTGCAAATTGCTGGCCAGCCCAGCTAAACTAACTAGCCAATTATAATGCAATAAAAGATTGGTGGCAAAAAAATGTACGACAGGGGTCCATCCGAGGGAACTAGAATGCTTCAGTAACCAGCACAGAAACAACAACGCTCCACTTATAAAACCTGCCTCTTCCAGATCGAACGCTATAGCTGCTTTTGCTGAATGGGTAGATCAAACATCTCTCGAGGAATAGTGAATTCGATTTCGACCTCGCGATTACTTGGAACTATGAATCTTTGGGTGTCCTAGTGCAAAAATAGCGAACACTCTACTAAAGAAGCCCGGCCTTTTTGGCTCGAATGGTATAATTACTTTCAGTAAGTGAACCCCCAAAAAAAGTGGCAAGACCAAATTCCACTCCAGGCACCTGACGATTTAGTGCCAATGCAATGGCACTCCATACAGAAAACCGGCGCCGCCTCAGATTCGAGATACGGTTGTCTCTGCCGACCTGTCTTTTGAGGGATTTCGAAGCCATTCTTTGATACTAGGCTACAGTCATAGTCTGGAGTACCGGTGGGTACCAATAAATGCTCTGCCAAGTTTTTGGATGAGAGATGATAACTATAATTTTGTGTCTCGAACTGTCGAGTGTGGCCACAGCGAAAAGGGACAGAGCGCAATGGTTGGTCGTGGAGCACGCCCCCAATTTTTGGTGTGATGTCAGCGTTCCTTTGGATGTGCCTAGGACGCACTCGTCCTCCAAAAAAACGAGCACACATACGCACACCGCAAACCACTGTCTTTATTGATCATCAACCCTTTCCCTCACCACGACCTGCTCTTGATCTGTTGGTCTCTTCCACTTCCCATTTCTTATCTTGATCCACTCTATCGTCAACACTTTCGTGCTCATCCTTTCTTTCTTTTTTTTTTTTTCTTTTAATAATCGTGGACTTGTGATCTGCTTGTCCCCTCTTTTGTGTCTTCTCTTTTTTAACTATGGGCGAGGTCAGTCAAGTGCATTCCAATTCATGAGAAACAACGTGCGGACAGGGTTATTCAGGCATAATTAATAAAGATTAACTTTTTATTTTTTTTTTATTTTTTTTTTAATAACAATAGTTTGAGGAGCTCAAGAAGGTCGGCACGAAACTGAGTCGCGCAGCAGAGTCAGAACTTCAAAAGAAAAAGCAGCAACTGGAATATGACGAGCGACAACGAAGGAAACAGGAGGAGGCTCAGCGCCGGCGCAAAGAGGCCGAGACCCAAAAGCTGCTACGGCAAGAGCTGGAGCGCAAGAAGATGGAGGAAGAGCAACGAAAACGGGATGCGGCAGCCCAACTGAAGGCCAAGGAGCGCGCGAGGGAGCGTGAACGTGAGTTGGAGCGGGAAAAGGAACTGCAAGAAAAGGCAAAGAAGAGGGCCAATGCGAACGCGCCCACATATTCGAGATCCAGGGCAACCTATTCAGGATCATCATCTACGTCCTACGAATCGTCAAAGGCACGTAAGGTCGTATAGATCGACATCAGAATATCGGCTGGATAAACTCGAATGCTCGTTGCCAGCTAACACAGGTATTGGTATTGACCTCGTCTTTAGCCTGCTACCAAGAAGTTGGACTACTCTTTCGAATACCTGCAAAAAGTAGCACAGTCCAATGGATCAGATCGCTCAGGATCGAAGGCGTCTAATAGTTTGATGGACCGCGGTCATGGCGAGAGGAACATGGATAGGGTTGCCAGCCGTCAAGCCGCTGCAGAGAAACTCAAAGTGAACCGCGGCATTAGCCCAGAGAGACTACTCACCGCTGCACAGTCGTTCACTGGAACCAAGATCCTCAAGAAACGTAAGCCCACCACGCTATTACGCTTTTGTTCATACCAATTTTGTCACACAAGGACCTAACTTTTTCTGCGCGCTCTTTTTCGCAACCAGCTCCAGTAAAACGGACTGCAACTCCAAAGAGCCCCTTCCCGATGTTCAAGAACCCAGGCGGCGGTGTCAATCATGTACGAGATGCCGGACTAAAAGCCATTCGCGACGGGCCCATGCCTCTGAACACGAAAAAGAGAGATCTCCGATCAATCGAGGAGGTCAGCGCTGGATTACGGGAGAAGGATGCACGCCGTGAGGAACGTATAAGGAAAATCAAGGCGATTGAAGAGGAGCGGGAACGGCAGCGGCAACATCGTGAAAATGCGATTCAATCCGCCAAATACTCTAGAGCATACATAGGCGGTGATACAAACGAAGCAGAGCGAGTGTTCAAGGAGGTCACTGGTGGCTCTGCGTCATCGCGTCGTGGAAGGTCCCCGAGCCGCAGTCGCAGTCCTAGTCCTAGGCGGAGAAGCAGGAGTCCTGTTCGAAGGAAACGAAGTCTTAGTCCTGGTACGAGCAAGAAGCGGAGCTATAGTCCTGAGGCTAGGCGGAGAAGTATTAGCCCGAGACGTAGGAGAAGCATTAGTCCAAAACGACGAAGGAGCGCTAGTCCGCCTGTTAAGCGGAAAATGAGTCGGGACATGGGCGACAGAGACCGAGATCGGGATACAGAGCGTATTCGAGAACGGGATCGGGATATGGATCGGGAAAGAGGATCAGACAGTACCAAAGCGAGCAAGAGTAAGATCAATAATGGGTCCGCAAAACGACGGTACTCTCGCTCGCCCTCACCACGACCATCCAGAAAGCGCACGAGATCTCCGCGCGGCAACAGCCGTGGCCGTGGACCATTCGATGAAGACATGTCAGTATCGAGTGTGATCGGGGCATTGTTTGGCACGCGTTATCGAGCAAAGGCAGAGGATGAAGATCTTTCCGATGACATGGAAGCGCGGCCGGATGAGGTGTTCCGTGAGGAAGCAAGAAGGTATATTGTGCTTTCAATGGTTCCGACTGCGACTCTGTCATGTTGTGTGGTGAACTGACGCCCTCCGATATATCCCTTTCCTCTCTCTTGATATATATAGCGCACGTATTGCCCGCAAAGAGGACGAGTTGGAAGCAGAGCTGGAGCGCGCACAGATGGAGCGTGCGCGCAAGCGCAAGCTAGAGCGCGAGCGGGAGCGAAATCGATCCTGAACAACCAATGTAGCGGAGAACAGACCACAGACTTTCTGACTGGAAATAAAGTTGCTCATGTGATCTACGGCCCGTCGTTCAAGTGAGAATGAAACAAAAAAAACAAAAACGGTTGGTTGGTCCCTGGGATTGGATGTGTGCTGCTCTTTCAATTCCCCAGCTTTATTTGCTCTGTGTGCAAATACCACCCCCGGGTCCTGTCTCTTCTATTTCGCCACTCTTTTGTCTCCCTGTCAAGCACCCCCTCATTCTCCTTCTGATCCCCCTCAGCTCTCACCGATCGATCTCGACCGGACCGTAGACTGCGCTCCTTGATATCAATGGGTTCCCAGGGAGCCGCCAATGTCTTGTCTCACTTTACACAGCAACACCAGTCTGAAGCCCACGCCCTGAAGGTATCCAACACAACCACAGCAACACTTGTAGCAGCAGCCCCAGCAACAAAACCAGCGACTGCGCCTCCGAAACGAGTGCCTCAGCAACTTCACGAAGCCCTGGGCCCATCCCCACCCTTCTCCTCCTCCTCTGCTCACATGAAACCCGGTCCCCATCCCCAACAATCCTCCCCTGCCGCGGGGTCCCAACGGATGCCCGATCAGCCTATACCCCGCCCCAAAAAGTACATGGGCCACTATGATATTGCGGACAGAACCTTCCAGTTGCTCTCTAGGTAATTACGCAACGCAGATCAAGAATAAAGGCGATCCTGAAAAGCATTCTAATATCTTATCGTCTTAAAGAGAACGGTATTTACTAAGCAGGGGGGGTTTTTTTTGCTATTGAACAACCTAGGCACCGAGCAGCAGCGTGTATCCTTTTTTGGTCCTTGACAATCCTGCTTGATATTCTCCTCCAACTGCCCATCGAATGGTTTTTTTTATTCTATTTCATCCTTGCCTTGATCTTCCGCATCTTCTTCATTGGAGGCCATATCGTTCTGATCTCGATCGGTGCAATGTGTGTCTCAAATGCCGTCGTTTATTACACGGTTCCCTTCAGCTTCACGTCGCCCTTTGCAACAGGAGTAGCGTTTGGGCTGATGGTCAGTCTGATACACGGTCTGAACCTCAAGGGTGTCATCCTTGCCATGACCATGTATATGCTGAAGCCATACATCGAGAAGCAGAACCTGATTGCCGCCCTAAATCCGCCAACTGTTCCCTCGATCGTATTCTTGGCACCTCTGGCATCCTTCTGCTCTGCATTCGGCGTCTTATGGCTTTTGTATGATCTCTTCGGATACCTTCACGCATCAACGGATGACCTGCGGGACTTTTTTGGTATTACTCTGCCAGCACCATCAATAGTCACCCTCAAGGATGTGAAGGACAGGAGTGTCACGCTCAACTGGCAGTGCTCCTCCCAGGCGACGATCTCAAAGCACTTGATTGAAATCGACGGGCTCATCATCGGCGAGAGTGGGAAGCAGGAAACAAGTGTTGTCATTCAAGGTCTTTATCCCGACAATATTTACCGGATACGACTCTGGGCAATCACGACCCGCAACTGGAAAACACCAAGCGACTATATCGTCGTTAGGACACTGGCATCTGTCCCTGTAGAACTTGAACTCAGCTCAGGTATATCTTCGTCTCGATTTAATTCGCACCTCAAGACAATGGAATGGAAACGCACAAAAGTACCGTCGACATTGTCTAATTCGGCTTTTGCGTCTTAACTATTGTTCATAACAGCTGAGAACATTCGAAGGGAGAGTGAGCTCATCAAAAAGTTAATCAAGGAAAGCGAGGACATGCATCAACTGAATAAAGAGCCAGAGCAGGACAACTTAGCGCCTGAGAGTCAGCCAGTCAAAGCGGGAAAATCGGACTCAGGATCTTCACATGGCTCAGCTTCCACAGGATCTGGATCTCCGCCATCCAGCAGCGCTATTGTCGCCGCTGTGGAAACTGCGGCCTCTGTAGATGCGAGAGTCCCTAGCCCGTCCATCAGCATTACGGAAGAGCAGATTTCGTCATTGAAGGTTGAGTTGGAGGGCAAAGAGGCATCTCATGCTCTACTAATTCAGCAACTTGTCGACCACGAGCAACAATATCGGCAACAAGAGGATAGCCTCAAGAGCGAAATTGCATCCCTTCGAGAGCAACAGAAACAAGAGGAGGAGCCGCGACAGCTCGCAAAGACCAAATTGAAGGAGCTGCAGGAAAGTCTGAGAGAGGCGGAGACCCACAAAAGCAAGATGGAGAAGGAGCATCGAATGGAGGTTGACAGGCGACAGAGGATGACAGAGCAACTAGAGGCAAAGCAGAGAAAGCTTGAGTCCCTGGAGCAAACATTGCGGCAAAATGAGGATAAGCTGCAACAGGAAATGAAGTCCCACCACCAACAGGTACAGGAGCTGGCGGCTAGTCTAAAGATGCGTTCGGAGGAAGTCAAGGCCGGAGAGTTGTCATTGAAGGCTCTCCAGGATTCACAAAAAACGCTCCGCATGACTATCGAGAGCAAGGAACTCGAACTTCAGACGCTGCAAGCGACTATCCATTCGCCCAAGGGTCATGTTGCCTGGGAGCAGAAAGTCAAGGGTCTGGATCAAGTCTGTACACAACTGACGAAGCAGCTTGAACAGTACAAAGAGGAAAACCAACAATTACAGGAACGACTTGCGGAGGCCACCAAAAACGTCGCCAAAGTGCGATCTACCCGCGAGGTCCGCAAAGCTCAGAATGAGGCCAGAAAGATGGGCCGTCTCACCGCTTCCGAGGCTTACACTGCGCCAGCGCTTGGGGATCATCAGAGCTTGGATTATGGGTCGAGTTGGGTTAGCGCTGGCTGGAATCAGAGTCCAGGCACCAAGATTTTAAGCGGACTCTTTCAGGACGACTCGCGTCTGGGAGATGTGAGGCCAACTCCCGTGCGCAAAATAACAGGCCCTCCCCCTGGGCTCTCGCCGAAGATGGGCACACCGGAAGCAATTAAAGCGAATGGCACCAGTACACAGGGCTATGGACGTGAACGTAAGAATTCAGGTTCCCAAAGCACATTGCTTGCGCCCGGATCTCCATCACGATCGAGCGCTCAACTCAGTGGCCACCCAAAGCCCCAACGACAAAACTCGGGATTACGGCCACGATCTTCATCAATTATGTCTTCGGAGAGTCCGTTTATCGGTGAACCGTCCGGCCTAAACGTCAGCAGATATAGTGACATGATCGAGTCGCCAATCATGGAATCGAGAGATGATGGAGATCGACTTCAAGGCCTCAGGTCCCGAGCTTCATCCATATCGTCATTGACAGGATTTCAGTCCCCTCTGTTTGAGCCTTCGTTCGTGTTCTCCACACATGTTCAACCTCAACTAGATCCAAACGGCACGAATCAGATCTTCCAGCAACCAATACAGAATCGTCAACCAACGCACGGCCGACAGCAGTCATCTCAGGGCCACAATTTGAGTCCACGGGCTCGATTCCAAGGCGCGGGACAACTTCATTCGCCTCCAGTTATGCATATGCAGTCGCATTGGGGCGGGTCGAATGCGAAAAGGACCAAAGCTGGACCCGTCTCTGTGGCTGAAGGAGGTCGGCCTTCAATGGCCGAATTCGATGCGCGAACCTCTCCAAGCATTGGATCGGGCCAGCCATACAATTATCACCGTTTTTTCGGGTCGTCATCCTCAACAGATCTACCTTCGGATATGTTCTCCAGCACGGGCTCTCCAGGCGATCACCAATGGAACGAGCAAAATGTCATAGAGTCCATGTTTGAATCCCCGGAAACGCTTGATCTCAGGCACCATCTCCGTACTGTTGGAAGCCATTCTTCCTTAGGCTCTCAGTCCAAGATTCTCCCTTCCCATCTCCGTTCAATTTCGACCCCAGGAACGTCATCGCCGCTCTCGTCGCCTACCGCCGGGACGCTACCATCTTTTCAACCATCGCCACCTCTATGGGATATCAAACCTATTGCTCGGCCTGGCACGTTGGGCCGGATGAATGGCCAAGCGGAAGGCAGCTCGAGCTCCCTCAACATTTCTGACCCGTCATCGCCAACGTCGCCTCACTCCTCGTCGTTTAGCCAGACAGGATCAGGATTTGGTCGCAAGACATTGTTTAAGGATAGTGCCGAGAGGGGTCTTTGGGGTGGATCTGGAGTTTCATCCATGGACACAGGGTCGTCGTTGCCCGTGGATGCCCTTGTTTTTGCGGATCATTACTTCAGTAATCGTGGCCACCGTGGATTTGACGCGCCTTCGCCCCTTTCCTCCACTTCCTTTGCCTCGCCGACCACCACGCAGACTAGGTTCGACACTGCCACTGGCAGCGCCTCGAGGATTGGTATGGGTAGAGGACAAGATGAAAAGATGTCTCAGACTATGAGCTCGACTGGCAACGAATCCGATATTTTTGGATATGGCCTCAAATTGAACCCGTTCGGATGGACCATTCCGAATGAAGGCGATAACAGCCAGGATAAGTGACCCAAAGAGGGCAAGTAATTCTCTCCGTATAGCGCATTTGGGTCACCGTGATTGCTTATCAGTCAGAGCTTTAAGTACTCTCCTTGGCTCGTTCAAAGGCGATGTTTTTCTTTCTCTCTTTCTTTCCTTTTCCTTTTTTTTTTTTTTTTTTTTCTTCGCTATTAGCCCAATGCTTCATTGTATTGCGATCGTTGTCTAAATATTGAAATGAAGAGTAACAAAGAGCTATGGCGGTCGTGATCGAAAGTACTCGGCCAAAATAATGTCCAGAGATTTGTATGTTTATTGTGCATGAAATGATGAAAAGTCAACTCCCTGCAGAGACTCTTGAGCTTTATTTCAAGTGGAAACTAGTCCTAGTTAGGCGCTTTGTTTTTGTGTTCTGCTTCGACTCTGCGTCCTTCAGTTTGGCGGCGCGTCCGACAAGGGAGGCAATCATCTCGTTGTAGCGTTCCGAATCCATGATCATCTGCTCTCGCTGGTCCAGCCAGTACGTGAGTTCATCAGAAGCATGCCGGGTAAGCTCGGTCAACTGAGCGATGATATCCTTCATCTCATCGCCTGAGTAGCCGCCCAAGTTTTCTACAACGAGACGAGAACATGGCAAAAGTTAGGGCTAGGACTCATCATGACAGATATAAGACGTGACAAATGCGTCCAAGGAGCTCTTTTGCAGGTACCTTTCGTGAACTGGCAAAAGGCGTGGGTGGCCTCTATGTCCAAGGGCTTACGCTCCGGAATGGATTCTGTGCTGATAATCATTGGGGATGATATCTTTGATTTCGCGGAGGATGGACTTGTCAGAGAATTGGGTATAGACGTTGGGGCCGCCATAGTCTGCATGATCATGGGATAACGAGATTGAGTGTTAGGATAGTGGACACTGTTTTCACAGTATTCTTCATGATCTCGATCCAGAGTAGACTGTTTTTTTTCCCTATATTACCTGCTGCTCCTTTGCGACGGCCAATCCTAATGAGGCGTAATACTCTTTCCGCAAATTGGAGTACTTCCACTGAAATTGGGGCGCAGCTGAAGCGGCCGATCTCGTTGGGGAGTTGTTGTCGCCGCCGCCCTGGAAGGACTGTTCGCAAAGCGAGGTCCATAGATCCTGATCCGAAAGAACGGAGGCGGCGTCGATGTTGTCAAGATCTGGATTCAGGAGCTGAGGTGAAGATGTATCGTCTGCGAGATCATCGTCGATAGGGTATAGAGCAGAGAGTTTCTCAAGTACGTAAGTTTCGACCTGGCGAGAGTTGACGGCATTGAAATCCGGCGCTGTCTAGTAGTGGTCGCCGGTAAGTGTCAGCTTTCGTAATGCGGCGCGAATCAAACCACCATTGATAGAGACACTTACCTCAATGGGCGCCTCCTCAGTTGACGCTGGTGCTGGTACTTCTGAAGCGGCGGGCTCAGGGGCAGCTCCGAATGCGTCGTTGTCGGCCGCGCCCTCAAAGTCCCCAAAATCGCCCGAGTCCTGAAAGGCATCGCCGCCTGCAAAGTCGTTAAAGTCCCCAAAATCATCATCCCCGTTGCCGTCGCCAGCCGACTGTACCTCGCCAAAATCACCGAATCCATCGTTGTCGTCGCCGAAACCGCCGCCACCGGTGTGAGCATTTGTGTTGCCAAAGCCGTCAGCTGTCCCAAAGTCGCCAAAGTCGCCAAAGTCGCTGTTGTCGTTGTCGTTGTCGTTGTCGTTGTCGCTGCCCTTGGTGTCATTAGCTGCTCCGAGGTCTCCAAAGCCGTCATCATCGGCAGTTGAGACCAGAGGGTCATGCTTCTCGTCCGCCAAGACGGAATGGTTGATTGAGTCGTCCTGGTGGCGATCCTGTAATTCGTCAGACATGATGATTGATGAAGTTCAAGGTGACGAAGATGGTGTCACGAAGTTGGCGATGCTGGCACCGCAGTGACGTGCTTCTGATGCTTTTGAGCACTTGGTTCTTTTCTGGTGGCCAGTTTGATCTGGAATCACCTCTCTCAACCCCATGGACAACCAGGACCGATCCGACCTCAGTCTCTACAGCCGACTGCCAGAGAACATTCAGAGGAGTGCCGGATTGGAGAATGATGTAAATTATTGCAGCTTTATTTACAGCGTTTGTTGGTCGTTCGCTTTTGCAAGGAATTCACCATTATTACGGTCCTTTCCCTATAGTCTCTGACACAGTCCACAGGAGAATCGTCATCGGCGGCGTTCGTTCCCAAATATGTCGAGAACTCTGTCGTAGGAGGATTCGAGACCGAACAGGTGTACAACACAAAGGTCAGGAATAAGGTCTTTTTGCTCGACAATCCTGCCAAGGAAAAGCAGAAGCGACGCAGGAGAACCAATAAGTCGAAGGCGCTGACTGCCAAGGAGAAAAGGGCCATGGACGTATACAACATCCCAGTCGAGTCTCGAAAGTACGTTTCATTCATCGCTTTGTTTCATTCGCATGCTGGATGTTGTCTTCTGATAGGGCAGCGATATCTTTATGGATTCCCAATAGATACGAGCTGTTTCTCCCGCTACATGAGCTCTGGAAGGGATACATCGAAGAACTATTTGGCGCGACGAACCCAGTAGGATTCACTCAGAAATTACTCAAGGCGGATTTCCATGGAGCCATCATTACAGGTATATCTTTCGGCTTTGTTTTCAATTCATAATCGGCATCGATATCGCAAAAGAGCCATGCTAACGTGAGGCTTTCTGGGATCCGGTGTGGACAATGGGTTGGTAGTGACGCGGTCGAAATGTCCATCCTATGTTGGGGCTAGCGGGATTGTTGCTCAGGAGACCGAAAACGTCTTCAAGATCATCACACCTAACAATGCTCTGTTAGGTAAATGCAACTCCTTGCCGCATTTCCTGTCGTTGTTCTGTTTGAACCACTGTCTCTGACCTAAAGCTCCCACTGGTACATATAGTGATTCCGAAGACGAATAATGTGTTCAAGATTCATATCCGCGATTCGATCTTTACATTGCATGGAAATCAGTTTCGCTACCGGGCCTCGCAGAGGAGCTCCAAAAAGTTCAAATCAAAACCGACTATTGATCTGTAATCATGCACCTCTGCCGGTACTCTCGCATTTTCTTGTAACATAGCATCCACAGCAAAATAAAATAAAAAATAAAATAAAATAAAATCCCATTCACACAAGGACCATAGGTGTGTAAGAGGTTGATTTTATTCCGCATCACCTTGCGAAGCTGACAGATGCGTTGCCTGCTGAATAGATACTACTATAGTGCGACAACTCTACACCATATCCACATCGCCTTGATGAAGCACATGCGAAACATCTTCAGGGTGCACATGTCCGAGCTGATTCTGGAGCGCACGCATTTTGTTTGCGGCCTTAACTGCCTGTACCGCATTACGGAATTTACTCCGGGCGTTCATACGGGCCACCATATTCGGCAACAAGTCATGTTGCTCCACGCCATCCATGTCTGTAGATCCGATAGGATCCTGTCCATGCGGGTACTGGTTCTCTGCTGGCTGCTGCTGATGGCTAAGGGATGGTTCTGTCTGCGAGAGTTGGGCTAACCAGGGGTGTTCGAGTGCTTCTTTGGCAGTCATGCGACGGCTAGGGTCCACAGTTAGCAATCCATTCACAAAGGACCGCGCTATTTCGGAAAGAAAGATGAAAAGACACGAATGCATTTTGGGTCAGATAACCGATCTCAATTTGAGGGAAAAAAAAAGCTTTGTTTCCTAGGACTGTTGTCCTCTGGTCAGCGAAAGGTAATGTTTTCTATTTATCGTACCTGTGTCTGAAACGCCTTGCCAGAACTCAATGGGTTCGAATTGATACTGAGCGTTTAGGATAGCATGCATCTCGTCCATACTGCTCTGACAGTCAAAGGGCGTGTAACCGCAGAGTAAGAAGTAGGTGATCACACCCAGGGCCCACATGTCGACAGGTTTCCCATGCCCAGATTTTTTGAATATCTCTGGTGCCTGCCACGAAGGAAAAAAAAGGGGGGGGGAGGAGGAGAAGGGAGGAGAGGGCAATAATGGTGAGTCGAGCCAAGTTGGTATATGGAGAAACGACTCTCGAAAACGCAACAGAAGGAAGGAAATGTTCATTACCATGTATCCAGGTGTTCCACAAGTTGTGGTGAGGAGATGAAATTTCTCGTGGTCAATGATCCTTGATAGACCAAAGTCTGCAATCATCAGCTCACTATCCTCGGCCTTCGTCTTGAAGAGAAGGTTTTCTGGCTATTTTAGATGTGACATAATGAGAACATGCGATATGGCGATAACGAATATCCTGCTGTAAAGATCCTACGATCCCCCTATTTGCGGTCACTACCTTCAAGTCTACATGGAGTATATCAAAGCAAAAGAGAAAGATTGAGCAACCAAGTCCGTTCATATCACGAAAACGGAATAACAAGTGTCGGATTGTTACCTCGATGAACAATTCCCTGATCATGTAGATATGCGACCGCGCTGCAGATCGTCTGGACAATATTGGCAGCATCCCGTTCATAATAGTTGCCCTTACTGCAAATCCTGTCAAATAGCTCGCCTCCCTCGGCCAACTCGGTTACCAGATACACTAAATCGACCACCAGGAGCAACAATAAGCAATATCGACAGGACGGTCAGTATGTTTATGTGGATGGTCTTTCGTCTTTATCCATCCTGCCCCTCCTCCGCTTCTTCCTCCCTATTCTCCTCTTCCTCAACTTTAGTAGAAACGCCCTGGCCGCGCCAACTCCGTGCTTTTGTGTTCACTTACGGTTATTGAGCGTTTCGAAAGAATCGGCCAGGGTTAGGATGTTGGCGTGGCCGACGGAGATACGGCGGAGAACTGCAATCTCGTTCCGAATCATGTGCTCCTTTCCCTCCATGAGTTTCTTGCTAATGACTTTGACGGCATATTTCCTTCCTGTCTCAATCTGTTCATCCGAAGTCGCACCAAATTCAAAGAGGAGAAATCTGGTCAGGGATGAAGGTTACGAAACAATTTGCTGATTATTGTCACAGTCGTTGTATCCCTGAACGCCCAATTGACCCTCGTTTTTTTTTGTCCTGAACGGATGCGCTGTGGTGGAGAGAACTTACGCTGACGGCCTCTACAAGAAAGTGATAATATTCAAGAAGGAAAAAGATGCCTTGTTAGCTATTATGCCCCTCCGAAAGTCAAGACGGAGCAATTGAGCGGTATTGGTGCCTTCGTTCAGCCCAAGAGACCTACCCTTCACAACAGCATAGGTTCCCTCGCCGAGGATACGGCCGGTTTTGTATTTACAGGGGACGATCGTTGGAGCAGCTGTGACAGACATGGTTTATTGAGCGCGTGGATAATTAAATGTAGCTGATTTGTTCTGTTCCTGTTTCTGTAGCGGGGCTGTCGCGTGGGTGTGATGAATACGTCCTGGAGTCGTACGTTTGCTAGCTGGCTGACAAATTGTGCGCGTGGTTCCTGGCGGCCGACAGCAGTATGGAGGAGGCGATGTCGATGTCAAGAGGTGAATGAGGTTGAAGAGATGACATCTGTTCCTCGTTTTTATAAATCCAGGGTTCTATTTTTGGCGTCTGTGAAGCCCGTCCAACCTTCTTTGAAGCTTCGCCTGTGAATCCGTTTTAGGCTTTGCTTTGCTCCTGTTGGACTACAGTTCATTCTGGGGCCATGTGCACACACACACACACACACATATATACATATGTATATATATACAACTGCGGCAACCTATTTGTGGCATCCACAGTGCAAACCATTCCTATCTTTGATGACATCCACAGCAAAGAAAAAAAAACTTTCGATATATATATATATATATATATATTTACGTACTGCAAGTTGAATAATAGCTAATCTACAAAAAAGAACAAAACGTCGATGTTTGTCTACAGTTCGTGGCTCTCCTCCGTAGTCTTTGCCGCCATATAAGCTCCCTGGCGGTTAGGATCCAACGCGCGACAAAGGATCGCCAGCCCGCCAACAAAGCTCAACAGCGCACAGATCTGGAAGATCTGGCTCACGGGCAGACTATCGACGTGCAAGAGGATCGCGCACACCGCAAAGTTCATCGGCACGCGCAAGAACGCCATCACGCCCGTCCGGTTCTGCTCTGGGATCGCCTGGGCCTTCAAGGTACCGATCGAGGGGAAGTACATGCCCGTTGTGAACTCGAACAGCAGGAATGAAAAGATGGTATAGGCACTATTGTTGGTGTTGACCACGATGAAGCAGAAGGACGCGCCGGCGACTAAGAGAGCAAGCGACAGAAGGTTCTCGGTGAGGACATTCTTGTTGGACAGGTACTTGAAGGCTAGAGATCCGAGCATGCTGCAGAACATCATGACCGAGAAGAGATAGCCCAGAGGGAAGGGTGCGACCGAGCCGGTCGAGTTCTTGATCGAGCTCTCCAATGCAGGTGTGTACAGAAGCACAAAAGTGTACATGCAGCACTCAAACACTGTCTGCGCGAGTCCTAATGACAAGATGTTGATATCTAGCCAGCAAGCAAGAACGTCGACAGACGATTAAATTGCCAGTTTTCTTTAACATGCTTTCATGTTCAGATGCGGGCGCAAAGCGGTCATAAAACACGGTCCTTCCCTACCGCTCTTGAGGACAACAAGACCTTCAAGCATGCTCTTGAACACAGACCCAGTGGTGTTGGTTTTGCTCTCTCCAAAGTTCTCCTCCCACGAGCTCGAAATCAAGAGCGCAGCTAAAAGCAAAGTGCCTGCACTGACCACAAAGGGGGCAGCAAGGGAGCCGGACCACTCGACCGCGATGTTGGCAACAATTCCAGCAAGAATGGCGACCAATCCGTTTAGGAAGATGGCGGTGCTGAAAGTTGCGCCAATCAGAGCTGGGGCGAAGCCTATATAAAAATAATTGAGCAATAGAGACATTTAGGTACACTCGTTTCGGGCGAAGACGAGAACAATCTTAATAAAAAGTTTCCTTCGATTGGTGCAACCTACCCTTGCGCTGATGCTGGGAAATGTACCAGGCCTCAAAGACGCAGTAAAGCAACGCTGTGCTCAATCCGCTCAGCAGATGACTGAGGATCAGGTACTGGTAGTTCTGGGAGAGGCGAATCAAGCTGGCGGTTGAGGATGTGCAGCAGAACAACAGAGCCATGCGCTTGCGACCCCTACACAGACGGACACGGGAGATGTGTGCAACAACGACAACGACAACAACAACAACAACAACAAAATAGAATTCAAGGAATCGATTAATGATTGTGGAGAAGATGGCAAAAAGACGACCAATGTTCTTGCAGCAATCGATTGGCACAGACATCCTGATAATCATGCAAGATCCAGCTCTTACCAGACATCGGCCGTGTTAGCAATGACCGTTCCAAAGACAGCACTGCTCACAAAGCCCACGATGAAGAGGACAGCAATGTCGTACATCTCGAAGCCATGGCTCTGATACAGCACGTAGAGGTAAGGGCCCTGCAACCAGTCGCTCACTAGGAAAAGGATGAGGGAGGTTAGCAGTAGTTGAATCAGCGATTGAACAGCGATTGAACAGCAATTGAGGCATTGAGGCGACGAACTAGACCAAACAGAAGCAATAAGGCGACGCAGATAAAGTGTTTGTTTGATCCTTACTCATCACTGTCAGGTACACTGCCAGGTAGTTATTCCTGAACTTTGAGAACGATTCGTTCGCTGTCGTAATCATCTTGGCGAAGTCCTAATGGGAGACGCAACTTGATGGTGGAGTGAGGAGAAAGAATGAGGAAGAGGAGGAGGTCGCGACCAGAGTGGATGGATGAGAAGGAGGAATGAGAGAGCGAGAAGAAATAGGAAGGGGCAGGCAGCTCCGGGCCCACAGTCCGTTTTTGAAATGGATATTCCAGGCGCCTGCCTAAACCCCAAAAAGGAGGCTGCCCCTTTGATAGATAGTAAACATTCTTCTTTCCTCAGGAATGTGTCTTCCGCTGTATGCCACAGCGAGCGCATTCAATCGACTTGACACTTGATTCCCGGACTCGGACGTGTAGGCAACCATTCCTCTCACGGTGGAGTGTTTATTCGTTCTATAAGTATATCCTCCTACTTCCTGAATCGTTTCCAAATGTTCATAACCGGAGACACCATCCGCATTGCTGTCCACGGTGTCATCCACGCACACAGCGCCAACCTCAGCGGCATCAATGTCTATCTCAAGCGAAAAGGGATACGATAGCAACCGTTAGCACTGCGAATAAATACATTTAGAAAAACATAGCTCATTCAATATCCTCGCATTACCTTCACGACCGCATAGCTCGTCGCCACATTCAACATCATCCTGGCGCCCTCAGACCCTTCGAGATCCCATCCATAGTACTTTGCGATTCTTTGTACAAATTTATTCCCCTCTTCCATCGCCTGCTCCGGGAACGGGATCTTCACGCCCGTCTCCACAAGGGCGAAATACACAATCGGCAACGGTACTACTGCTGTGATCTCGTGTAGGATCCCGAACGCAATAAGATGGCTTGCGGGCTTGCTCTTGAACTGCTCAGCATATTGCCGGAACTTGCTCAGCTTTTTTGAAGCGGCCGCGACGGATTCTGTGGCTGATGAGGCTGAAGAAGGGGCTGGGGTGGTCGAGTAAAGTCGTCGACTGCGGGATTTGAAAGGCGATACTGTGAACAGGACCTCTGAGGAGGATAGGGTGGTACTGTTGTAGAAGACTTGGCGTGGTCTGCAGCTCGTAGCCCTGGAAAGGACCGGTTGTCTACCTTGGGGTAGCAGCAGCGAAGCAACTTTCAGGCGAAAAAGTGTTGTCATCGTGCCTTTAAATGATCGGATCAGGATGGGCGATGAGGAAGGAAGGGACAAAGACGAATGGGACTTGAATCGGTATATTCCTTGCAGTGAGCACTTTTAAGGCGCGCTGAAATCGCGTACCTAGCGCTGTTTACGGACAAAAGCACACTAGCCATTTTCGACGTGCATTTCAATTCTTTCTGGCTGTTGCTGCCATGGTATGATGTAGATATATGGATAGATAGGTAGATAGGTAGATAGATATATAGATATTATAGAGGAACTATGCTAAGTAGGATGCAGATTGGTCTTGCAAAACAAAATGGAGCAAGGAAAAAATGAATTGCCTCAATGCGAACGAAGTTTCGTCCGCACTGGAGCGGTGTGTGCTTGGTTATGCAGTTGAATCAAAAAAATGAGAAAAATACAAGGAGGATGGGTCCTGGATGAACGCTTGGTGGGATGGATATGGTATCTACGAGAGAACGAAGAATGCTCTCGTCTATTTCGGTGTGTATCTTTGTCGCTTGCCCAGATGCCTGTTGTTCAGTCTTTCTTCCTATAAATTAACGTAGATCCATTTGTCAGCAAAGGCTTCTTTCAAAGGGAGTACGAAACACTGAAGAGAACCCGAGCTCATTTTCGCACATACCTCAAACACCAAGATCTAGAACTGGCATGCCAACTCCGTTGAAGGCAGGTATGCCCGACGTCTGTGAGACCACAGTGATGGGTCTTGTCCTGCAAAGTGAACATTGGATTCCAGCGATCGAAGAGAAAGAGTATCGACAAGAGGAGGAGAGGAGGAGAGGAGAAGAGGGGAGAGAGGGAGGGGGAGAATACAGAGGGCATGGGTTTGTTTGCGTCAGAATAGTGGTTACTCTCGCGACTTGCGTTTCCTCAGCTTCCGTCTATATGAATCCTGATTTTGCCAAGAGACGTGACATCTTTTCCTCATCCGATTCCCTTTGGTTTGCGGCACAAAGTATCAATAGAGTTGAAGAAAGATAAAAAAAAAATAAAAAAAAGAATAAAATAAAAAAGAAAAAAAGAAAAAAAAAAGAAAAAAACAGCAACGATGGAACGATGGAACGAGTAATGCGTTAGAATAGTGACGAACGCGTTTCTTCTCGTGCTTAAGTCTCTCCTTATACCGCTCTTTCTTCTTTTCCTCAGATCAACAAGATAAAACAAAATAGAAGAGAAAAGAAAAGAGAGACGAAAAAAGAGCACTGGAATAGGATAGCAAGGGAGCAATAACAAGCGCTTATTTCCCAGTCATCCAAGTCCTGCATCCACGTCCAAGTCCATGTCCAGCGGTAGGCCCAAAATGATTTTCCAGCGTCCATCGTTCGTCGAGTAAAGATAAATGCTCGCGTTCCTGGCTCTGTCGTCTTCCTGATGTGTGTCCATCCCAAACAATACCCTTCTCCGCGAAACAAACACCTCACTCACCTAGGTTCCAGCGCCAAACTCATGTCATAGAGCTCTGCAACCGACTTTGCATTATCCATTCCGCGGCGAATGAAGGCCTGGATCTCCGGGACCATCGTTAGGCAGTAAGGGACGGCCTGGTACCCCTGAATTTCCCGAATGACCTCTGCTGTGCTGACACGCTTGTAAAAATTAATGTGGTTATCCGTCTTGCGGAGAAAATCCGGATTGCCGTCCTGGATCATGACCAAATCAGTCAGATACAGACCCACGAAGGGCACGCATGGCGGGTTCACAGAGTGCAGTTCGGTGCGGTAATCGGCCCAGTTCTTGGCAGAACTTGTAAGTGCTTGCAGTGTCCCAAGAGAGTTCATTGTCTTGGAAGGAACCAGCTCCCAGGTGCGCTTCAGCCGATGAATGGGTGACTGGGAAAGCGCAGCCGTCGTCGCAGAGAGCAAGTCAAAGTTGTTGAGCTGGCGCAGTTTCTAAGAGGGATACAAAAGATACGAATATCAGCATCCAGATTACAGAACCAGCCTTCACCAGCTAAATGAGAGATAAAGGAGCACTTACTTCAGCAAGAACGACAAGGTACTTGATGACGCCTGCTCGCTTCTTGGGATCCTTCTCGCTCAGGACGACCTCATTGATCCAGTTGGAGAAAAGATTGCTGGTCTCGATCATTTTCTTGATATTCACAGCCTTGCCTGCCAGCTCAGGATCATCACTCGTCCACGCCTTGGCCAGACACTCGATCGGCTTGATTTTATTGTAGTATGTTGCCTCCATGATCGTCAACTGACGCGCAAGCTCCAGCGGATCCAGATCCATGAACCTAATGCGCTTTAGATTGCGAGGCGTGATGGGTTGAGGTGCCTGTGTTGTAAGGTTGAGTACCATCCTGCGGAAGGCCCCGTCTGATGTCTCTCGCTTTTCTACCAACTTGATAAGCTGTAGAGCAGCAAAATTCATGGTGTCACGCACCAGAGTGGATCCCGAAAACTCCTTGATCTTTGGCAAAATCTGTCGGTCCTCTGCTTCGTCCTCAAGGTAATAGTTCTCCAGCCATGACTTGATGATGTTGAAGACGCGTAGGCGAATGGGCGTCAGCTTCCTCTCCTGCCATTGCTCCGTCTCTGGAACGTCCAGACCCGGTGGCGGCGTAACGGTGAAGCGACGGAACAGCAGTGTAAATAGTTGTTCCGTGGTGGCAAACGAGCGATAGGTTAGCAAAAAGGTTGCAACAAAGTTCGAGTCCAGTCCGTCATGGAGTGTCAAGCGCTCCACCAGTGCAGGCAACGTTCCTCCTCGAACGTGGCCCTCCATGTTGAACGAGATGTCGGCTGGTGAATAATCATGCCCGAGAAACCATGGCTGTTCCGCCTGCTTATTGGGCTTCGGTGCAGGCGCATCGTCGCCCAGCATTTTCTTCAACTTTTCACCCCGGGCATCCTGCTTTTGTGGGGTCGCACTAACGCCGGGAGTCAGTGGTACTGGAAGCGAAGGCGACTGTGGACGATCGTAAGGGAGAGTGGATGGAAACGGGTAGCCGTTCGGTTGCGAACGACCTGTGTATTCTGTTCCTGGCGTTGTTGGAGCGGAGATGTTTGAGGCAGACGAGGTGCTCGAGAAGGTGGAGAGCTGTGAGTTGGAGCGATTCCGTGAGTTTTTGGCGGCCTCGCCATCCAGATCCGAGTCCTGCTCCTGAAAGTACATATCGATTTCAGTTTGTCGGTGTAGGACATAAGTATGTTGCGAGACCAGTGTAGAGTTGGAGTCGGCTTTGCCATTGAATCGAGCTGCCCTCTCTGCGTGTTCCCTTTCCATGGAAAGGGTGCGGGCGAATCCTACGAGGTCCTGCGTCGATTTTTCAGCCGTTGATGTCGCCTCAAGCGCCATCTCCAGAACCGTTGTTTGAACCATCGGGTCTGTGGCCAGCTGGATGGCCATGACAAGCGCTGCGACATTGTTGTAGAGAATCTGCTTGGAACTGCGGACGCTGATGAAAATGTGGTCCTCTATCGTAGGGTGTTCGTTCAAGGTCTGGGTATAAAACTCTCCGACGAGGTTCAACAATGAGCCGAGCTGAGAGATAGTTTGGTGGCACTGGTTCACGAGCTGCGACGACTGGGCAGAGTTCAATATGGAGGAGCCCAGGGAAAGACGAGACGAAGGCACAGGCTGTGCAGGATCAAGTGATGAGTCGATGGCCTTTCTCAGTTGCAATGCAAGTACTCCCAAGGCCTTGCTTGAACTCTTGGCATAGTAGTCGAGTTGGTTGACAAGTCCTACGGCGGAGTTGGATGATCTGTATGGATTCTGGTCGCCGGCTTCGCTCGAGATGCGTGACGCATTCGATACCGCGCGGCTCAATCGCTTCGTGGGTTTGCACTCGTACGGACTCTCGGGATCGAGGATGAGCTTGGCATCAACCTCGTGAACGGTGACGCCGGCACTTTGGGCCGTAAAAATGAACTGGTGGACAGCCTGGGCCACATCGTTTGCATCCGCCAGCATCTTCGTAACAGCACCTTCTGCGGGCCAGAAACTAGACGCCATTTTGGCGGAGAGCACCAGCTTCGAGACCGCAGCCATGATTTGCCGATGATGCAACTTCAGTCCCCTATGCATGCGTACCGGTGCAGAGTCCTTGTCGACTGTTCCAGAAGCGTAGAGCATTACCCTGATGGCTTCAACGACCTGAGTTGCCTGAATCTGATAGTATGCCCTATAACCTTTCTCCGCCGAGTGGAGCAAATTCTGGAGGGCCCCTGTGGTGTGATCTGCAAGGGACTCCCACGTGGGCTCCGGGTCAAATGGATTGGAGACGCTTGGAAGAGGAGGCAGGACCGGTGTGGACGCAGCATCATGGGAGGGTGTTGTCCACCCTGAGGGCTTGCGAAGGCCCGTGAGGGCTGCGTCAGGTTCTTGTGATTCAGGCGAGCCCGCTCGAGTCTATGGTTAGGGAGGTTAGTTAGGTACAGGGCAATCTGATGTCAGCAACCTTGATCGTGCGTATAGTCCGAGGAGGACGTTTCTGTACATGTCCCGCATACAGACGGGACGTGAGGAAGCGATGGTACCCGACGGCATACAAACGGCAAAGACATTATTAATGCTTATTACAGCTCCTATCCCTTCCCTTCCTTCCTTGGCCCGCTTATGGATGAGATTATGAGCTCGCAGGCTCAAAAAAAAAAAAGGTGATACAGATAGAGATCGGTGTAGCAAGCAGGCGTGCATGGAGTGCAGAACCCATTAATTATACGATTGGCACCAGTCTGGGCGGGTTGGCATGCATGCATGGTAGATATTGACCCCAAATAAAGCTTTTTTGAAAAAAAATAAAATAGAATAAAGTAAAAGAAATAATAACCTATACATGCATGCAGCCGTAAATAAGGACAGGACCACTATAGAGACACAGCAGCACGCACACATGGCAACCATCCATCGCGACCACAGGCCCAACAATGCGGATTCCGGAGCACAAGCACAAAGAAGGGGAAGAGAAATATGTCCATGGGAAGGAGTCGGCAAGTTGGTCCCCGCCATGCCCGTCATCTTCGCTGTGTTTGTCACCCGTTCAACATACACGCTCAAAAAAGATCTTTTTTTTTCCCAAGCCAAAGGCCGAGGTTATTGTATCTTAAGACCCATACTGCTCTGCTCTGCTCTGCTCTGCTCTCCATCCGGTTGTTCTACGCCGTGCCCAGCCCATCAATACCATATCCATATCAAACACATCCGTCTGTTCAGCAATACCCCTAGAGTAGAGCACTTGAAGAGAAGCGAAAAACAAAAACAAAAAAACCTTCTATTTTTTGAGAGCTTTGTAGAACAACAACAAGACACAACAAAGGCCAGAGAAAAAGACACAGAGATAGGGCTCATACGATCTTCACTCTGGCATGGGTCCCGCACCCAGTTCAAGTCCGACTATGCAAGTCTTCCCGTATTGCTATCCCTGTCGGTTCCTTGACTTGCTCACTCCTCTCACACCACACTTGTGAATCGGTCGCAGTACAAGGAATGGCTGCGTAAGGCTCGCATAAAATACTTTTTCGTTTTAAAAATTACATACCGGAATTGCGGACGTTTGCCAGGAGCTAGGTCGCGTCGAACCGCTTTGACTTTCTGTGTCAGTGGGTTCATGACCAAGTCCAGCATTCGCTCCGGCGGAAGACGCACTGCTCAACATCTTGAAGGCGATGTCATTCGTCGGATTGTTGTAGTCGAGATCTAAAGGCGTCCATCGAACATTAGACCGGATATAATCGCATTAGCAACAAATTCTCTATGCGCTCCACAATCTGTTGCATGATTATAACAACGTACACGAACCATTGCTGTGTCTGGTATTGTTACGATCGATTGCATCCTCCTGCTCCTCGATTGCGATCTCTCTGGATCGGAGGGACGGTGCTGGAATGGACCATGACGAGTCGCCTGTGCGGGTATTGAAGTAAAAGACCTGACCATCGGCTGTGGTCTTGGGTAGCCAGAGATCGTCGCTCGCCTACGGAATATCCAGATAAAACAAATGTAGAAATAAAAATGAGCGATGACAAAGGAACGTGTTCAATATCTTTGGCATTGTGCGACAAAAAAAAAAAGAAAAGAAAAAAGTGATGGAGGGTGCAACATCGAACGAATATCGTGTCGTATGATCAAAAACACCAAGTATGGTATATGGTATTGAAGATCGAAAGGCAAGGCAAGGCAAGGCAGGACAAGGCGAGGCAAGGGGGAGGATGTGATCAGGGATAGAAAGACGATCAGAGCTGGAGACGTAAGGGAATGAACGCAATATAAAAAAAGGTAGAGACGTACAGCTTCATCCTCGCTGGCATCCTCGCTGGCAGAATCGATGTCGTCGTGGGTGATCAGCTCGACGTAGTTGGAGGGGAACCATCCTCGTTCTTCTCTGCAGTAGCCATACCACCAGCCGGACTCGAGCTGGGTGAGGACCTGGATCAGCTCATCCTTCTGGAATGAGAGCGAGGTGTTGTCTTCAGAGTGGAAGGGATAGAGAGCACGAACGACGAGGCATGAGTCCGAGCCTTGGTCCTCTTCGTCGTCGTCCTCCTGCTCTGGTTGTGGTCCTGCTTCGGGGTTGAAGTGTTGGTGCTGCTGTAGTTGGTCGTGGTGGTGGGGTTGAAGGACTTCTGACGATGCTATCCTGTCCTGGTCAGCTGGGTGTGTCGAGTGCTGGTGTGTCTGGTTCTCCTGTTGGTGCTGCTGTTGTGGCTCTGACTGGGGCTGCAGTGGTGTTGGTTGGTCCATGGGGATATTAAAAAATAAAAAGGGCCAAAGAAAGGGCCAGGGGAGGGGGACAGGGGGAGGGGGGTGACGAGCGGGGGAGGGGGGTGACGAGCGGGGGAGGGGGAGGACGAGCGGGGGAGGGGGAGGACGGCGGAGGGGGTGTAAGCGGGAGGGAGAGAGAGAAAGGGACAGTGTGGGATGGAGTGCGAGATAGAGTGAGAGAAGAGGGCCGTTGAGATAATAATTCTTATCGGGAGAGAGATATCACTTATTACTGGTCTGTGTGTCTGATATCTCTTTAGCTGTGTGTTGTAGATAAAATGGGCCAAGGGAACAGCGCGCAACAGTCCAGAGGATGCGAATCAGATGAGGGACGGTTCGGAATGGGGGGATGGAGGGGATGGAGGGGATGGAGGAGGGGTGGAGACAAGACGAGACAAGGCAAAGACAGGACAGGACAAGGAAAAAGACGAAAAAAAAGAGCGCACTCCAGAAGAGGGTTTCATTTGAGGGCGCTGTAGGGCTGATGCGGTGTTGTGTGTGTCCACCGCACATTGAACACATAGACACTGTGCACACACAGCACATTTATGATTTCACGGGTCAACCAACATGTGTCCACATCCTCCCTTTGGCCAACACACTCAACTCTAATAAATAGACGCAGCATGTGTCTGTCCATCTATTAAGGCTGCTGCTGATGCTGCTGATGCTGCTGATGCTGCTGCAGTGTACGGGAGTGCTGTAAACGGATGGAGGTGCCCACGGTGTCCATCCTCGGTAGTCCTATACAGCCCATACAGCCCCAGTGCCAGTCCTGCTGCCTTCTTGTGCTTGGCCCACATGGGAAAATGTCCTAGGAAATGAATGTCCTAGGAGCCTATATACATATATATATATATCCGAACTCCTTAGCTTACTATACCAGCATCCTATGCTGATCTGTCCTTATCGTCCGTCCCTGGTCCCCAGTCTCCAAATACCAGGCGCACGTCCACTACCCCTCCTCCTCTCTTCTTCCTTGACCCTGCAGATCCCGTACAACTACCGTGGTCATGGTCACTCGTGAATACGATACACTATCGCAGTCGACGGCGCTCCTCTTCCCCCCTCTCCGTCCTTAATGCTGACCCTCCTTGTTCCCTTCCTTCCATCTATCTTCCTTCATCTCTTTCGTCTCCCTCCATAGCCATCGACCTGATCCTTCTTCGCCGTCGTCTGCATTCATCCTAGCTGCACGGTTTTTTCGGGACAAACAAGGCCTGCCATACATTTCAGGCTGACCGATCCAGGCACTTCTCCAAGCTTCAAGACAATTGCTTCTATCTTCTCTTCTCCTTCTTCTTTTCCTTCCAGGCCTCTCTTTTCTGTTTATCCCCTGTATCGTACTTCTGTATATCACAGCTGCATTTCCGCTGCATAGCACTCGTTTATTGCCCCCCTAATTGTATTAGGGACCGTCCAACAGCCTTGACCCATTTGCTGCTGCATTAGTATTCACACTAACAGCAGCAGGAGCAGCAGCAAGAGCAAGAGCAGCAACAGCAGTGGGTGCATTAGCGGGTACAGGAGCAGGAGAAGGAGCAGGCGCGATAGCAATCAAAACGACGGCAGGAACAGAAATCTGCCTAGACAACATGCAAGAACCCCTTCAATCTGTGTCAGCCCAAACCACACGCTCCTTCGCAAGCTATATCTGCACTCTGACAAAAACGAGGCGTTCGTCGCAGATGCTCAATCAGACCTCCAGGACAAGTGAGGGCACGTCAGCCTCGGTATCACCACCGAAGCTATTAAAGACAGAGGCAATTCCAACAATTGCAGCACCGACAACGATATCCGGACCCAATGTCGATCTAGGCGCCGCCGTCGCGGTCTCCAAAGATGAGCAAAGCCCAGGAAGGAAAGACGACAGGGATATGGTTCTGCATGCACACGATCTGCAGCTCGGTTTCACATCCAGTCCTACTCCGCTATCCCGGTCTCATCGCGGGTCCGTCTCCTCGCCATGTATCCCCACACCTTCCTTAATTAGTAACTCAGGACTGACGGTTACTCATCCGGCACCATCATCACCGGCACCGCGGCGTACCCTACGATCGAAAAGGTCGGCCAGGGCATTTTTCAGCCGGGCGGCCGGCTTTGGACAACAAGGCAAGACCAGCGATAATTTTCCTGGAGGTGCGCTTTTGAGCGATCCCCACCCATTAAACCCTTTTGAAATCACTATGGCTGCAGCGATTCCTGTCAAGAACAGCATAGCCTCATATCTGGCTAATGAGATCCTTTCGCTCATCTTTCGGCACCTCATGGACCGCAAGAGTATCGTCAACTGCAGTCTGGTTTCGGCACATTGGCACGGTCCTGCGAGAGTTGAGCTAGCCCGGATTACCCAGGATATGCCCTTCAACGGGCAGGGCCTTGTTCATGCTATCAGGTAAAAATAATGCAGACAGCCAAATCAGGAGGGTTGTCCTCGGACCACCCACCGTAGAGGTCCATGTTTTATATGCAGCATGCAGCATGCAGCAATCTTTTTACGCAATAGGCGTAACTCTCGTAAGGGTCAATTGCTTGGTTGCAGAAACCATGTCCATACGCGCTGTCGCTGCCACACAAACTGCATTGAGCTCAGACCAAGATGCACCGTGCCACACAGATACTTTTTGATCGATCTCCTTGTAAATGCTTTCCTACCGAAAAAAAATGCTAATTGTATACTCACTAATCTTCATAGGACGCGGTTCGAGACGGACATGTTCCCGTTCATGTCCATGTCGCTGTTTGATAAGCTGATCTGCAACCTCTCAGAATTATATTATTACTCCAATCCAGAGACCAAGGAGGTCTTTGCACCGGCCTATGCGCCCGATATGCTGTACCATCTCTTCTGGACCTTCCTGTTCATCGATCAAGAGTTCCGTAATCCTAGATCACGGCCTAAAGTCTCCTGTAGTTACTTCGTACGGTTGCTCCAGAGTGAAGGAGGGGGATACCCGCAAGAGTACTTTGACAAAAAAGTGTTGAAGGTGATGATGCTTAAGAATGGTGACTTTCCACCTTGTTCGCGTTCAACAAACAACGGTATAGAATACTCAGTTTTACTTTATGGGTTGCTGTTGCTGTTGTTGTTGTTTTTTGCTAGAATATATACAATGATATCCGTTCGAGACCTTTGCTTCCCGCGCCTCATCTAATCAGAGCTGTGCAGGAAACAGACAGCTCTCACACCAACCAGCCTGCACCCGCCGCAGGGTGGAGGGGCTCCAGCTCAAAGCCCACATTGGATCAGCGTCAGTCCCCGTTCTTGAAGCTGGATGAATCGCTCAGGCGTGTTCGACGGTGGTGGAAGAAAGCGCGCGACGAAGGCGAGCCCTCTCTGGGTTTGTCAGGAGCAGCAACCGTGCAGGACGGTAATGCAGGACAGGGCTATAATTCACTACCCACAAGTCAGCCCATTCCCTTGGACTCCAAGGACTCTGCCAACCCAAGGACGAGTGGCATCAGCCCCCAGCATCATACTTTAGCCCCCAGGGACACTTCGACCCTACAACCTGTGCCGCTGCTATCAACTCCTTCATCATCCACACCCACTCCACAGAACACATCCTGCCAGATAACCCATTTGAGCTCAGTTATCTTCCTCCAGGGAACAGCTTCACAGAATCGCGCCTCATTACGCTCACAGCTCGGGACGGAATCCGAGTTATCGATCCACAAAGACCAGCATGTGCCGAGTCCAATCATGAACCGAGGCTTCACAACTGTGATGCATGGGTGGCATCCCGAGGGCGATGGACTCGACAACGTGATTCGGTTTCCGAAACCGACAAGGTCGAGCACCCTGGGAAGTCAGCATCATATTCTGCAATGCTCTGAGCTCATGCGGGAGATGGATCTGGACTCATGATTGGTGCCTCTTCAAATCTTATGCATACAATTAAAAAGCCCCCATCTACAATATCCAATGTTCTCGAACCAGGAAGTGGTGCATCGGTAATAAGAGCTGTGCCCCGTTGTGATCAAAGGAGATTGGATTTGGGCGCAACACCTAAAAATACGCTGCTTACTCAACGCCACTAATTTTGAAAAAGAAAGGGCTCGGCTCAGGAGAGCCCATCTCGGATAATAGAAAACATAGTTGGAGCGCGCACGCGTTGGGGGATCGACGTGTTTGTTCAAGGGATTAGATGGTCTAGCGAAGGATTCCGTGAGCTGTGTTTATAACGGAGAATAATAACGGGTAGAGACTATAAGGCAGTATATGTATACAGGTAGGAAGATAACCGCTAAGGCCAGACGAGCACTCAGCAAACAAGGGACTCCAACATATCCGATCCGTCCGCAATGAAATACGTCTCGACATCACCTTGCCCTCTCTCGAAATCAAACGCCATAACCAACAGCGGCGCAGGGCTCTCGAACCTCGTATCCTTATCCTCAAAGACCTGTACGACCGATAGATTGCTCAGCGCAATATCAATCTCACTCCATGTTGTCAGGCCCCGGATCCCGTTCAGGAACGCGCCAAAGAACTGGTTCACAAACTCAAAGTTGTACACAAACTTGTTCTCAATCACCGCTGCCTGCCTCAGCTCCTTGGCTTCTAGAACCTTGCTCCCAAACGAATAGATTGAAGTCGTGCACTCGATCAGCCGTCGCTCCGTCGAATCAAACAACGACGTGTTCCCAAACACTCCATTCAGATTGAGGTTCAGATCCAACTTGATCTTGAAGAACAAGAATGTGCACATGGTCTTTTGGTAAAGCTCACACAGCGTCGGGAACTTTTCCTGCGGCATCTGATGGACATTGATGCTACCAAACGACCGCTGTCCCAGATCGCTCGACCGTGCTAACGAGTGCATCTGTGAGATCCCAGGACTCAGGTCCGAGATGTACTCTGTAAAGAGTCCAAATACGCTCGGCCAGAACGGGTACGTGATCTCGGCTGTCAAGTCACTGATACCCGTGTCCTCGCGTGTAAAAAGGTTACTACAGAGGCTTGTGCTAGGAGCAGTAATCTCAGAGGAACCATCTTCCGACCCAGACGACGTCGATGTCGCAGTTGTTGAGCTGCTCTTCCAGTTCACGTCCGCAGACAGGGACACGGCCGAGTCGGGCGTCAACTCTGAGTGCTCACAGATCGGGCGGCTTGTTACGTCGCAAGTCAGTTGATTGGAAAAGTGGTTTGATAAGGCCGTTTCGGACATGATGGACGACATACTTTGCGTATGCCGGTGTTTCTTGGTCGGCGGGCGTCCTTGGGACGGCGTGAGCTGGTGAAGTTGGAATGCAAAGGATGAGATTGAGGCGATTGAGTTGCGTCGCTGACTCAAGGGACCGTGGTCCATGGGAAATACCGGTGATGTAGGCGAGGCCTCTAGGCTCTCAAAGGGGGAGAAGCAGCCAGTCGAGATATCGATCGTCAATTCATCTTCTCCATCTCCGCTATCCATCAGCAGCTTCATGACTGACGGGGGAAAAAAGAAAGAATGTGTATGATTAGATTAACAGTGGAATAAGATAGAGGATAAGAGATATGGTATTCAACGTACAGGCTGCATCACTCTTCCGGGTGTTCTTGAGGACTTGAATATGGGAAGAGACCTGCTTGCGCGTCCGGATCTTGTTAGTGCGCTTGAAAATATAGTCCGCAATGAGCTCGTTTCGTCCACATGGCTTTCCATCGACCAGGACCTTGCGACGACCCAGCTTGGGGATCAGTTCAAGAGCTGTGATGCGCGCATGAAAAAAAAAAAAAAAAAAAAAAAAAAAACCACACCACCGGAATTAATTTTCGGACATTGGGACCAGTGTGTGAAGCATTCAAGACGTGATTGCGTAAAGGATAAAGGTGTGTATGTACCTTCATAAAAGACCTTCTCAACATCCGCAGGCCATACTTCTTCACGATCGTGTTTAGTCAGTTTGTCTTTGGTCAATCTGCGCTTAAAAATCGACTGCGTTCGTTGTGGGCCAGCGGTATTGCTGAGCACATTGGTCGCACAGTGGATAGATGAAACTCGAGGATGTTGCTGCTGTAACTGCAGCAATTCAGCGTTTTGTGGACACGGTTGCTGTTGCCGCTGTGCTTGGGGGATCTGTTGGAACAATTGCTGTTGCTGTTGAAGTTGGGGTTGTTCACCTGGCGGTAGGAGAGAGGGACTAATTGTCGCAAGGTTGTTCAAAATGGTTGGCATGTGCATAGTGACCAGGCCAGCGGAGGGGATATGTCCGTGTTGAATCTGAGAGGTTTGTTGCTTCAGAAATCGCTCGAGGCTAGATCTGCGGAGATCAAGCGAACCAGACTTGTGGTGTTGGTGGTGTGGATGATGGTGGTGTCGGATTAAGGGAGAGGCGAAAGGAGGAGGGGTGTGATGCTGGTGTGTCACTAATGGGGGCTGCTGTGCCTGACGGCTCACACTATGGCGCTTAGTGATCCCTGGTGCTTTGGACGAGATCTTTTTCTCTGTCGCTGGCTGTGGTTTGTGGGAAGCAACTCTTATTGACGCAGCTTCCTGCGTGATCTCTTCGTTAATATCTGTCATCTCCAAGCCCTGAGTAGCAGACGACGCCGGAAGCGGGGTCGACGCTGACAGTAGCGCCGCTGCAAAGTCCATAGGATTCTGACAGTCTGGTTCTGGCTTGATCGGTTCTTGTTGAAATACTGACTTTGATAAAGAGGCAGGGGTTTCTGCGTCTTTGGTTGGGCTGAGTGTATTGGCAGGACTAAGAAGGGCCCTGATTAGCTGCTGGTCGAAAGGGTCCTGGCCGCAACTCATAAGATCCATTGACGAGGGCATTATTTGTGAGGGGGAAGGTGTGTTCAATAGATCTTTGTCGGAGCTGACAATTCCCAGGGGAGACCCGCTTAGCTGCGAGGGTGCCGGAGTCATTATGGAGATGTTAAATGGGTGCTGGTCAAAAGGATGGACTGCAACGCTGTCGATCTCTCCATAGATTGCCGCAAACATGTCGCTAGACATTGAATAGGTCTGTGAGTGTTTGTTGAAAGTATAAAAGAAAAAGAAAAGAAAAGAGAGCAGGGTGGAGAGTGAAGCGAAAGGATGAGCAGGAGAGGATGCTTGATCAAGGAGACAGCTGGGGCAGAAAGGTAAGGTAAGGAGAAAAGAAGGTGAGGAAGGAAAGAAGCGGGTTCCTCGCCTCGTTCACAATCTATAAAAGACGCGGTAAACGGCGTAATGCAAGAGACGCGACGTAAGCTAGATACAAAAGAGCCGAGTGGATGATTGCCCTGCCTGTTTGTGATTCTATCCGCCAACCTGTCCAGATTAAATGAGGGGTGTGAGGGCGTAGAAGGGTAGGAGCAGGAGCAGATGAACAGGAAGACAAAGAAGAGGGGATAGGTGGAAAAGAACCCGCTTTTGAATGAGTGGTTGAGCCGCACAGTACAGGCCGGATAAGAAAAGCACTCCCTCTCTCCCTCCTGGGATTTGTCTAGCGTGCTGCTGCTTCTGCTGCTGTTCAGCTCTTCTAAAAAATAGATATAAGTAATAGCATGTCATCTATCCTCCTTCTTACTGGTATAATATTGACGCCTGGATGTTATTATGAAAAGGGGCGAACCGATCGATTATAGGGAGTATGTGTGTAGCGAAAAGGCCCGAACCAGGGCTTTGAAGCCATATGCAGCGGATGACGAGCAGAGGATCTTTCCTCCCCCTCCTCTTCCAGGTGACGACAACGATGATGCTTGCGAGAGGACTTTGAGGAGGATCAGGGTGCTGATGATGAGGAGTGTGTGGTCTGTTTTATCCAAGCGGAAAAGCTGGACCCGCCCACCTGCAAGGGCCAACAAAAAGGGAGAACACCACCACTGCCACCCACCATCTACCACCCACCATTTGCACCTTCCCTACACATATGGTTGCTTACTATTATGAAGCATAAAGCGTACCAAGTAGGTTTAAAAAAAAAAAAAGAGGGGGATGCAGCAGGAGAGAGAAGGGTTGTGGGCCAGGAGACAACGCCTATTACAAGTAGCATTAGCGCTTTATTCCGCTTTTTGCAGTGGTGCACATAATGAAGGGAACAGCATAAAAATGGCCAAAGGGGTGAAAAGAAGCAGCAGAGTCAGAGTGCAAGGGAGAGAGGGATGGTATACGCTCGCCTATTCGCTTCCTTATTCATTTCTCCTTATTCACTCGTCCATTGCTCCTTCTACATTATCTGGCTACGTTGTGGCGCCTCACCTCGAGGTCAGCTTTCTATCCTCACTTTGAAACACGCGCGTACATCCAGCTATACAGATGCCTCATAAGAATAAGGGTGTGTTTGCACTGTATCACCGAGGTAGTCGTACGAAGGTAAATTGCGGTGCCCCGATCTGCTTACTACCACAGCCATTGAGAGCGTTCTTTTTGGAAAGAAGTAATGGCCCTGCGTAAAACGCGCCTATTTTACTGCCCAGGAGGGGATTGAAGAAGATGGGCTGTAAGACGAAGAAAGACGGGTGATTAGCCACGCTTACAGTGCACAATCGCCAATAAACCCACAGAACCTTTGTTCCGCAACCCACGTTCACGTTCTCTCTCTCACTCCCTCGCCACATCGGAGGAAGGGAACAGCATCTTCAACAGCTGTTGTTTTTATTCTAAATCCGATAGTAACGGGGGATAGCGCAAGGCTAGGGAGGCAGGTGTAGGTTAGAGAGGGTACGGATAACAAGGAGAGTCTAGTCGTAATGCTCCAAAACTTTCTTTTAGGAAAGAAAAAAGAAGAAAAGAAGGGAGTGTGTGAAGGAAAGCAAGGCTCTAAGACCACTCCTTTTCTACGTGGATGGTGGTGTGGTTCAAATCCTTTACCATCTCGTATATGCTTCGATCTCGGAATGCATTGGAATTCTCGCGAAAAATAAAGAAAGGGAGAGAGCATCCATTTTTCTTTGTCCCCCTCCGAGATGGAGTATGGTCTGTCAGTTCGTGCATCGGCCCATGCGCTGACAATATACTGTACGTTCTTGAACGTCTAAAAAAAAAAAAAAAAAAAAACTGCCATCCTTGTCCATTGCGACAATTCATATTTCAATCCGCCCGTCGCTCTTGAGATGTAAGACGTATCATTCATTTAGGATATGTTCTTTTTTCTTTTACCAACCAGAAATGAAGCGCGTCTTGTTCCTAAAGCCAACGGTCCGCATGAAATGTAAAGGTATTGTGCTACTCTTGATTGACATCGAAACTGAATACCACCCTCGATCTTGTCTTATTGCACCCTCTGCCGTTGATGACTCGTTGTTGGTATGTCCTCGAGGAGGAGGGGGGATCCTAGGCCCTTATTCCAACCCTAAAGAATGCCAAAGAAATGGAGGGGTAGAAACGGTGCCATGAAAGAAGAGATGCTGTAATGCCATTTATTTGCGTGATAAAAAAAATAATTTGCAATTTCGTAATAGATGTATGGGCGTTCTGTAATGCGTCAGAGAGGAATGACACGAAAAATTCATTCGAGCCCTATCTTCCCTTCACTTCTCCTCATTAAAACCCATCCGCATTCAGCGCTGGGAAAATATTGATGGCCTACTCCTCATCGACTGCATCCTCGACCATTGGTCTGCGCTTAGTGATTTTTTCTGCCGTCTCCTCGCTGATGACCTGTGTCTGGACCACCTCCTGAGCCTCTTCGCCAGTGATTTGTTGGTTTTCACCCTTGGCCTGCCTTGGTTCCTCAGATTCATGCCAGCCCCATAGAGGGATGAACGAGTCCACAAAGCCAACGTCCTCGAACAGGTTGGGGAAGATCCAGATGCCAGGCTTGAGTACCGCCCAGGTAATCATGAACAAGATCAATCGCACAATCGCCATGGCGAAGAACAGACCCAACAGAATTAACACACCGATAGACAGATACCAGACACCAAGGCGCAGAGGTACTGGCCAAAGTGGGAACATGACTCCGGCAAGAACGATCAGCAGCAAGCCTCCTGCCATTAAATGTGTCCGAAGCTGGGAGCCCTCGTACCGCCAGACAAAGACACTGTCCTCACTAAAGGACTGGTATTGGACCAACTGCAGCATGTTCCTGGGCATATCAGGGTCGGAGGGGCGCTCGACTTTGAGGAAGAACTGGTGTGGGATCATAGATCCAAGAAGTTGTGCTGCCGATTCCCTTGTCAACTCGCCCAATTCCTTGCCTACTGCGGTTTGACGGAACTCTGACTTGAGCAGGGCGTTGACAGCACCCTTTCCTGTGGGGGAAAAAGAGATTGAGAGATAAAAGGTGCATGGGTGTTAGAACTCCAAAGGTGATCCGGGCAACCGAAACATGAAGAAAGATATGGGATGAATAAAACGCAGCTCTCTGTGAGATGTATATACCTCTGAAATAGGTCACTCGCGACTCGTTGAAAACGCCATCCCTCTTCTTAAGACCAGACTGTGGGCTAAGGAGGTAGTCGGCGACCTGGCAGAGGTTCTTTGGGCGCTCGGGGGGTCCGTTGGCTTCCATGGTGTACGATGGTGATGTTGCTCCGATTGATGAGTTGCTGTGCTGAGTGTTGCGATCCTGTGTATAGTCTCCGCTGCAAGAGTGTCTATGTCGGTGTCGGTGTCGGTGTCGGTGTCGGGAGGAGAGGGGTGGATGAGAATGAAGATGAGGATGGAGAGATGATGAAGAGCAGCGCGTGCTTGTTGCCTCCCCCTTGTGCGGCGATCAGGATCTCCCCAGGAGCCTGCAGTTAGAGGGAGCCAATCAGAGTGCGCCATTCCATCTCCCTTTTTTGGACGCACTCTTATGGTGTCATGGTGTCTGAAACAAATCGCGCGAATGGTGGATAGAAACCTTTTCTACATTAGCATGGTTAGCATAGTTACTCTATGAGACGTTTATTTGTCGCCTAGTAGACCTCACGCGAAAACGACTTCGAGGGCCGGAATGCAGCTTCAAATCCACCGCGCTCTTTGCTGCGGCCGTCGCGGTGGCCTCGGCGATTGGCGCCGTTTCCACTGTTCCTCTGTCCCCGGTATCCGTCGCTTCCCTCGTCCTTCCCGAGTTCGCGCCAACTCGACCCTGGCTCCTCTTCTTTGGTCGAGCTTACCGAAGGAGGGCGCTGCACTCTCCTATTCCTGCTAGCCTCCTTATCCTCCGTCTCCCTTTTTGCCTTCTCTTCATCGTACCTGGCCAGGGTTTGAACAAGGCGTGTGTGAAGATCCCTGGCAGTCTGCAGCTCCTTCTCGAGCTCTTCCTCGCCTAATTGCCATCGCTCGTCTCGATCTGTGCTTGACGTTGTCGCCTTGTTCGAATTGGTTGCCTTCAGTGCGCCAGTGTAGATCTTGACTGCCAATTCCGCCACATCTGCATTCGCCCGAGGATACCGAGTATTCCGTACAACATTGGTCCAGCGCGTCTCCTGAAGGATCTGTACTGCCTCAGGAATGTGCTTAGTCTTGACAGCGCACTTCAAAGTCGAAGCTAACGTCCAGGCATCCTGGTGATCAACAAGAGGATTCACTGGCCGGCGATAATTTGTGTCTATGCTCTTATTCTGTCTAATCTGATTCCTCATTTCCGTGTACATCTCTAGCGTCTTGTCCCAGCTCCTGATCTTAAGTGCTGCGTCGAGGCCTTGCTTGAAGGTTGCTGGGGTGTGCTGAAGGCCGAATATGTTGATTTCGTCCCACTTTTGTATTGCCTTTTTGTATTCCTTCGTACTGATATGGAGATGCATCAATGAGGCCAGAAGCTGAGAATCGGGTCTGAAGTCAGGGTAGTTCGTGCGGATGAGCTCCATGATGTCTTCTGCCTTGCGATACTCCTTGAGTTTCGCGCTGATGGAAACAAGTAGTTCAACTGTCCTAGGCTGAATGGTGTCCCCTCTCAAGATAGTTCCAAGGCCGAGTGCTTTTCCAGGCGAGATGGTACGGTCCGTAGCAGATGTCCGATCCGATCCCGCCGATCCAGATGATGTGAGACTCAGACCATACAATGATTCCACAAGGCGATACCCTCTCTTGATAAACGACGAGCTCCTGGCTTGTCTGCAGGCCAACAGGACGGCGTCCACCAAAGCCTGGTCTATCTCGATTTCATCCGGACGTCTTGTCTTGGCTTCCAAACAATCCTCCCAGATCTTCCATGCCATCTCAAAGCCCTTGTCGCCACCCATGCGCGCAAACGAATTGATGAGGATGCTGAATGTAACGACATCAGGAGCGCTGGGTCCTGATTTGGGCATACCTTCATAGACTTCCTGCAGAGATTCATAATCCGGTTTGTATGCGCAGACCTTGAGTAGCGCATTGGTATGGGTTGCCGTCGGAAGTGTGTCTTCGCTGTCCTGCATCTGTTGATAGAGGGCTTTTGCTCTAGAGACACTGTTAGGAGACGACGTGTTGATGGCAAGCGCATTGAGCAGAATGGTATATGTCCGATCGCTAGGCTCAAACCCTCTCTTCTTCATCTACAGGAGACAAAGAATAATAAAAATGAGTGCTCTGAATCTTTGATCCTGTTATTGAACATCTCTCTCACTGGTTTCACTACACTTACATCGCTCAGAAGCTGCCAAGACTGATTGGTTTTCCCCAGCTTAGAAGACTCTTGGATAAGGTGATTCCATACGATTTCATTCTGGCGGCTCTTTGGGGCCTCGAGGACGAGGGTGATGGCATCATCCAACTTGCCATTCTTTGCGAACTTTACGACCTTTTCCGAAAGCAGATACGGATCCTTGGGTATGGTGATCTTTTTACTGAGAGACTTCTTTTCGAGAGAGTATGATGCTGGCGAGCTGGTTGAGAAGGCATTCGTGGCCCATGTTCTGTTCCTGAAAGGCAGCGTGGACGAAAGTGGCCTGCAATGTCCTGAACCAAGGATTGTCCTCGATAGGCTGCTCCGAGCAGATAGCCCAGGGATCCTGAGTAGAGTCGACATGGATTGTAACGAAAGTGTGCTAGTGTTCCTCTTGCGTCCTCTTCTGTGCTTGCTTCTTGTTTCCTTGAATAGTAGATCGTTGTATCGAGGAGGTGAGGATCGGTGCGGTATTTTTTTGGGGGGGGGGGATGTTTACGCTGCAGGACAATGAGCAGTGTGACTGCAGGAATTTGTTCATTCAGTTGCCATATACGAACTGGGGTGCTGTGACATCAGTTGTGTAAATTGGGCGTTTGTGCCGTTGCGTCGGATCCATTCGCTATCTTCGGCCCAGTTCGCTTCCTTCCCGTCGAACCCTCCTTCACCTCCCTACCCTCGCCCCCTTATCTCTCACTCTCTTCCCTGACAGGACCCCTCCGATCGCTCAGGGATCGTCTTCCTGTCGCATCACTGCTCATTCCTTGCTCATGATCCTTCAGGGCCCATGCGCACGCGCCAGTCGCGCGCCGCTGCGGAAGCTGGTCTCGGCCCTGGCGTCCACGTCCACGGCCCCAATCAGGAACGCCACCGTATCAATGGTGCGTGAGATCCATTGCCGCCAATCTTCGTCGCTACTAAGCGCACCAGTCGCCGGTGAACTTAGCAACCTTTCCCTATTTCAATCGGCCTCGATCCGCTTCCATCGCATGCAGCAGGTACATCTTGTTTCACCTGGTTTTGTCGCCGTGCTCTTGGATCATACTTCAGGCAATTAGCAGTGAAAGCAGTATCTGAATGCGGTGTGACCAATATGATAGACCGGGCGACCATCTGCGTGCGGGAACTCCCTTGTCAGCAACCATACACAAAGACGATCGTTCACTCGACCCTCTGCACCACGGCTTCGTAATAACCAAGAACCTACACCTCCCAATGCTGGTAAAGGTGGCGTTGAATCAGGACCAAATGTGGGAATGGGGACTGTTGGAATCAACTCTTCTAAAAACCTGCTTGCACAAGGACAGCAGTTAGCGACATCGAGCGTTTCGGCGACTGCAGCAAAGGCCGCAGAGAAGTCCAATGCGGAACAGAACCGTTTGGACTGGAAGATTTTCAAGGACTTGTCGAGTTACATTTGGCCAAAGGATGACCGTGGAGTTAAGATCCGAGTTGTGACCGCGCTGGGATTGCTGGTTATGGGCAAGATCTTGAACGTCCAGGTGCCATTCTTTTTCAAGGAAATCATTGATAACCTGAATGTGGAATTTCCTGTCGAATCCACAGTCCTCAGCGTTGTTGGCGCCGTTATTCTTGGTTGTAAGTAGCGTTGTGTCATGGACGGATTGTTGCAATTGCTTGATGAGGTCCTAACCTTTGTTTTTTCTCGCAATTGTTGCAATAATCAGATGGGTTGGCTCGCGCTGGATCCTCAATCTTTGGCGAACTCCGTAATGCTGTCTTTGCTGCTGTGGCCCAGAAGGCTATCCGACGAGTATCTGCTAACGTCTTTGAACACCTGCACCGCCTCGATATGTCTTTCCATTTGACAAAGCAAACCGGAGGTCTCAGTCGCGCCATTGACCGAGGAACCAAGTATGTGCATCGTGATCAAATCCATCTCCTGTTATGCACTTTGCTTATCATTAAATACTAACGTACAGCTACTATCACCTATATATATCGCACTGCGGATGTAACCGCATTACAGAGGCATCAGCTTCCTGCTTTCATCAATGGTCTTTCATCTGCTGCCAACTGCGCTCGAGATCACTATGGTCTGCAGTATTCTGACATACCAATTCGGCCCATCCTATGCTGCTGTCACGGCTGCCACGATGGCAGCTTATGCCTGGTTTACCGTTCAAACTACTGCTTGGAGAACAAAGTTCAGGAAGCAGGCCAATGCTGCTGATAACCAGGCTGCTACTATCGCTGTGGATTCCCTGATCAACTTTGAATCTGTCAAGGTACTGCAAGGGAAAATTAATTATACAGATGTTAATTTCTTTATTGCCGGCCTGAAGACGATCTTTACTCATACGAAGTTACCGATTGTTTGTGCATAACAGTACTTCAACAATGAAAAGTTCGAGCTGAAACAGTATGACGAGGCGCTCGCCAAGTACGAAAAGTCGTCCCTGAAGATCGCGTCCAGTCTTGCTGCCCTGAACGCTGGTCAGAACATCATCTTCTCGACCAGCTTGACTGCCATGATGTATCTCGCCGCCCAAGGAGTCCTCGCTGGAACGATGACTGTCGGAGATGTGGTGATGATCAACCAACTTGTCTTCCAATTGTCCTTGCCACTTAACTTTTTGGGGTCTGTTTACCGCGAGCTCCGCCAGGCTCTGATCGACATGGAGACCATGTTCAATCTTCAGAGCGTTAATGTCAAGGTCCAAGAGAAGCCTAATGCACCAGCACTTCAGTTGGCCGCCAAGGGTGGTGAGCTGCGGTTCGAGAACATTGTCTTTGGCTACCATCCAGATCGACCTATCTTGAAGGACATCAGTTTTGTGGTACCCGCAGGAAAGAAGGTCGCCATTGTGGGTCCTTCTGGATGCGGAAAATCGACGCTCCTCCGTCTCCTCTTCCGATTCTATGACCCCCAGAATGGAGGCGTTTACATCGACAACCAAAACATTCGCGATGTGACATTGGACAGCTTGCGGTCGCAGATCGGTGTCGTTCCTCAGGAGACGGCTCTGTTCAACACGACGATCAAGCGTAATATCCAGTACGGCCGTGTCACTGCATCGGACGAGGAGGTGTTCCAGGCGGCCAAGCGGGCCAAGATTCACGACGCGATTATGAAGCTACCAGATCAATACGAGACCAAGGTCGGAGAGCGCGGCTTGATGCTCTCGGGAGGAGAGAAGCAGCGCGTGGCGTTATCGAGAGCTATCCTGAAGAACACACCCATCTGGTTCTTCGACGAGGCGACTTCAGCACTGGATACCCATACGGAACAAAGTTTGCTGGCCAACATTCGCTCGGTGTTGCATGATAAGGGCGGCACTAGCATGTTTGTCGCGCATCGACTGAGGACCATCGCTGACGCAGGTAACATATCGCTCTGTACTGCAGTCTACCGTTTACGCCGGCCACTGCTCATTAATGATATTAACATGAGTATTTGCTTCTCTTCGTGGATTGACTAGATGAAATCATTGTGCTGAAGGAAGGTCAGATCGCGGAGCGCGGTCGTCACGAAGAGCTGCTTAAGAAGGGTGGAGTCTACCGCCAAATGTGGGATAACCAGGAGGGCGAAGCCATTTTCTAAGGCCTCTTTCTTCTCCTTCTCCTTCTTATTATGGTTTCTCTTTCTCTTTCTTTTTCTTTTTTTCTTATGTTTGCAATGGATAAAAGTATTATATTCAAGACGATAGATTAGACGATGCGCTTTAATGGTGTTTATTTTTTGTCATTTCAGCTGCGCCCAAGTGCTCGTTTGAATCGAGGAAGTTGTCTTTCCAAACAGATATGTTTTGTTACATGTAGTGTACAGATGGGTGATAGGTATGCCGTGGGGTTGTAACCAAAAACTGTTTGTAAACGCTCACAAAAGTCGCAAAGGTGTCGGGTTCCGGTGCAGAATCGACCTTGGCGGGACTTGATGTCGTGCTTCCGGTTGGCAGTAAACGGGAGATATTATTCATCACCAGTATAGAGTGCCATGGGCTGGTTATTGTACTTGGACACGAGACCATGGTCCAGAGTGAAGACACTGACTGCACCAGTGTCTGCGCCCACGACCAGATGCTCAAAGGATCTTGACGAAACCATACGAGCGATTGGACCCATATTTGCATCGAACGACCAAATCTCCGCATCCTCAGTCGCTCTTCGAATATCCCACAGCTTGACCGCACCGTCGCCTCCACCCGTCATCAGCATGAGTTGCGTCGGACCCAGATAGCTTGTAGGCCACCATAGTGCAGAAGTAATGCCCGCATTCGAGTCGTCATCTTCTCCACGGAAATGATGGAACCTATGCAGCGGCGGTTCCCTGAGGAAGCGACGGTCGAAGACTGCGACCTCATTATGGAGCGAGCAGCTGATGATGTACCGCTCACAGGGGCTGAATTCGACCAGGTTCACGTCATCATGGTTTGAGAAGGCTTGCTGGACTACCTTGGCTCGTTCAACATCAAAAACTCGCACGATGCCGTCGCCCTGCTCGTCATCTGCGATGGTTCTGCCAGAAGTACCGCACACAAGATGTTTTCCTATCAAAAGTTCAAGCGTCCGGTGTCAGTTGCATTGTCTGGGTGTTGGTCCTTGCGCTTTGTCATCGGCGCCCGCGTTCATTTACCTGTTGACGAAAAGGACAAACAAGAGACACTCCTTGACGTCGGAGCAGAGGCGACATGCCGGAAACCCAAATCCCCAATTGCCACTCTTGTTAGCGAATTTGCGTCATAAAATGCCACCTAACGTTTCAAGGAAGCCATCAAATAAGTAATTAGAGTTTTTTTGTGAAACCACCCTTTTCTCCATATTTGCGTTAGTTGTGCGTGTTACCTGTCCCTGCATGCCATCGTTGTTGAGGCCGTTATTTAATCCCTCCAGTCCTGCCGCCAGACAGTCCCAAAAGTGACCATAGCCGAAACTGATACTAGAAATACCTCTCCTTCCGCCAGGTACGACCAACGGTCGATTTCTCACTGCCACTTGACCCGTCTCATCCAATGCAGCGATATCGATAGAACTATTGCGAGGACAAACACAAATAAGAAGGCGTTAGTAAATATATCGATGTTCTGCGTCTGTCTAGCTACTTGTAGAACATACCCATCTGAGGAGCAGGTGGCGAAAACGTCTTGATGGTAAACAGAGTCCTCCATGATCGCCACTCGATTGATCTTGAATTGACAGTCGCCTTTTTTTATAAATGAGATGAAGAGAGAAAAAAAACATGAATATGAGTGCCTGTCATCCGGGTATAAAGTAGTGCATTAGGAAATCCTTTCGTCCCAGTCAACTTACTGAACGTGCTGGTATGCGCTCCTGTTTCTGCATTCCAGATCTAGCATGAGACACAAAAAAAGCCATCGTGAGCAAGGGCGTGAACACTTATATCTCTCCAAATAATTCATTCCGCAAAGGCTCGAAACTTGGAAGCACTCTTCTCGATCCATATACCATTGTTCGGCGGTCATCTGCCCCGGAAATGAAGAAATCTTTTGAGTATGAGAGCTTGATGTCGTTGACTGTATATGTGAGCTCTGCATATCGCAAGTGCAAAAGAGGTCATTATGTGAGTCAGTTTCACTATCGATTCCACAGTCGGAAGACGCGTCAATCAATCATCATGTCTACACACGGACGTACGCTGTTCTGGATCTTCACCCTGCCGCCAGTGTCCATGCAGACGCTTTGTGATGCCCCTCTCGAGGTCGCAATGAAGAAGGTTGCCCTGACGGTTGTAGATGTCCTGAGTTGTGACATTGGCGACCGCCAGCTTGAATCTAACGAGACAGACAGACAGACAGAGAGAGAGAGAGAGAGAGAGAGAGAGAAAGGGAATAAATACCATTGTCCTGACCGAATATATAAAGTAGCTCTCCACAGCTCATGCCACATACTTACGTTGATTCCTTGAACGCCATATCTACTACACTCCCGCTGGCGTAGTTAAACGTCGTGGCGCAGTCGTACTGCCCCGTTCTCTTTAAAAGCAGCATGTCCTACAGACATGAAGATACTATTAGTTTGCCTGGAATATGACCAAAAACGTTTGTTAATCCGTTCATAACCATCGGCTCCACACTTACTTTGATGACATGTTGTTGCTTTACTCTCCGTTCCTGCATCCTCAACAGACTGACCATCGATGTCTTACTGTGCAGCGTAGTGAGATCGGGCTCACTGCGGCGTGGTGCTTTGCTGAACTGCCCGATCGCATATTCAAAGGCTTCGAGGTAAGCTTGCCCAGACTTTTTGTAGCCCGTGAAACGAAAAACCTCACTGACATAGAAGAAAACATTGAGCAACACATCGACCGCTCTCATACTTTTGAAGAGTATGTGGATGATAGCATGCGAGAAGCGGTATGGAGCCTACCTTGCAACGGCGTTCCAGTCAACCGGTCTCAACATCCTCGTGTATTCTTCGACCTGCGAAAAAACCACCTCCATTTCTTCCTGCGTGAATCCCCATGGCACCTTCACTCGTGGCCTGACGAGGTTACTTGAGAGGTTAGCATGTTGTTTCTTTTGAGCGGCCATCTCGAGCTGATACCTCTATAGCGATTTTGTCGTCGTATCAGCATCAGTATGTCCGATTCAATGTTAATTGCGCCTTTGATCTGCTTGCTTGCTCAGATAGGCAACTTCTTACCAAGGCACGATCCATTGATGAGCGGTAGGATTTATTCATCAAGTCTATGTAATCGACTTCCGGTGGGGCCTTCCACTTTCTGTTTGAGGCGATCTATGCGTATCGAAACAAGAAAAATGAGTACCCGAAACGATGCTTTCTAAATGTTATCCTGACTAGCAAAAGCCAACATGTGCCAACATACCTCCAGTTCGCCGCCAAGCAACGCGTCGGCCTCGTAGTCAAAATCCTCGTCAAATTCTTCCGATTCTGTGTCATCGATCCCATGCTGTTGAAGTCCAGGTACATCACTCTCTATGGATTCAGCGTCGTCACTGGTTTCCGGCAAGATGGCTCGTTCCTTTTTAACGCTGTGAGCGGCTTTCAGCAGAAACTTGAATATATGCGTCTCTTCTGCTCTGTATACTGGCGAACGAAGACGTCCTGCTTCTGCCTCTACGTCGAGCCTTGGTGAGTGCGAATGATGCCCGTTCTCCCCTGAGGGACTTGACATGCGCGAGAATCGTCCGTCTTCTGGCTCCATTTTTGGTGAATGAGATGGCTCAGCCGTACGGTTTAGTGGTGCTTCGTGCAAATGGGATGCCGATGTGGTATCTAGTCCTTCCTCTACTGCCTCCGACTTTGGGGTCGAAAGTGTGGATTCAGCATTGGTTCTTGGCAAATTACTCAGTGCTGAAGTGACGACCCCTCTGACCTTATCCATCGTGCCCTGAAAGGTCATTGCTGTGCTGATAACTTCCTTGACCTTTTCCATAGTCCTGTCATCCCCGTCCGAGAGATCGATGCAGTTGGTGCCGTAGTCGTCAGGGATATCTTCGTCCGAGGAAATCGAGATGACATCTGAGGCGGTATCACGGGCGGTGTCGCCAAAGGTGGCTTCAGGCCAGATCTTGGTCTTGTTCTGTGCTCTGTTCAAGTCCAAGTCTGATTCCGATTCCGAGTCTGATATGATGACATAGGTCTCTGGAGCTGAGTGTGCTGAGGATGCTGGGGCTCGGGTCTTGTGCTTCATCCTGGTCTCTGTGTCTCCCTTGGCGTCCAAACGAGATGGCCTGCTGGTTCAAGTTCCTCGATGAGTTGCACAGGATGAGTAAAAGCAAAAATCCCAATGGCGCGTCGATCGGTCCGGTGTTGCTGGAGTTCAGAGCGATGTTGTGAAAAGGAAGGTTGCCAGCTCTTGTTGGTTAATTGGTTCAATTGGGATAGTTGGGCAGTCACTGATCAAGGTTTTTCAAGAACTGGTGGCACTTCATTCACATAAGCAGGACGAATTTATTGGCTATATGATATGTACATGTACATGGCGTGCATATGATGAGTCTAGTCCAAGTTGAGGTTGGAAGGGTAGGTGGGTCCGACCTGCTGGATGACCTCGTGAGCGAGGTAGTGACCCTTGGCGACAGCAGTGGCAATGTCAGCGCCCTGGACCAGCTTGGCAACGAAACCACCGCAGAAGGCATCTCCAGCACCGTTGCAGTCGACAATCTCGTTCTCGGGGATGGCGATGATAGGGTACTCCTGAACAGTGCCATCGGCCTTGACGACGATGGTGTTGTTGACACCCTGGGTGAAGACGACGAGGCGCTCGCGCTGGGTGTTGACCTTGGGAAGTTTGGCAATATAGGTGGCAATGGCCTTAATGTCCTTGGGGTCGGGCAAGTTATGAGCCAGAGCATAGGCCTCAGCCTCACCCTCGTTACCAAAGACAACGTCCATATAAGGAAGGACCTCATCCAGGACCTTGGTGAAGAACTGGGGGATGAAGGGCGCAGAGAAGTTCATGGTGAAGATCTTGTTCTCGGCGGCAGCGTGCTTGGCAATCTCGAGAATACCCTCGGGGGTGACAGTGAGGAAGAAGCCTTCGACGTAGTAGACGCGGGCGCCCTTGACCAAGTTCCAAACGCGGTCGCTACGGACATGGTCAACAGTCAGCTTCTCGGCAGCAGACAGCTTGGTGACGAGGGAGCGGTCGTGGCCCGAGATCAGGGCAGCGCAGGTGCCAGTAGGGAGATCACCGGGGATGGTCACGTACTCGGTGGTGAGACCATCAACGGTAGCAGCAGCAACGAGCTGGTCGCGGAAAACGTCCTGGGCAGTGGCCCCGACATAGACGACCGACTTTGGGGGCAAGAGACGCTGGGCACCGCGAGCGGTGTTCTGACTGGCGCCGCCAGCGACGTAGACGACATCCTTGAAATCGATAATCTCCTCATAGCTTTGTTAATGGATATGTACAGATCGAAGGGTCATTCCGTGTTAGTGGATCATTGTAGAGTGCCCTTTTTATCGCTCTTGCTGCTCTGCTAATGATTCTCGACCCCATTGCGTCGTTCGTTGTCCTTGATAGTCCCTGATCCTTCTGATGCTCCCGGTTCCCCAATTGTGCTGGCATGTTATTTACAGAAGTGTGTTTTGAGGGAATGGTTATGTCCTGCAGTTCGGATCTGCTCTGCTTGGCACTGCTCTGCTTTGCTCTGCTCTGCTCTGCACTGCTCTGCTCTGCTCTACTCTGTTCTGTTGTGCAGTGATCTGCTCTGATTCGTCCAGTGCTGCAGCAGCAGATTAGGAGATTTCCAGCAAAGAAGAGGACATCACTTACAGCGAGAGATGGGACTCGTCGGCGAGAATAGCATCGTTTGACTTGAGGTTGTACCTGTATACGAGGAGCGGGTAAAGGGAGTTAGTTTTCTGCTTTGGAGACGTGTTGTGGTTCGGACACGCTTGTTCGCGTTACCTGGCGAGGAGGGCCTCGTCAGCCTTGACCTGGATGTCGAGCAGGGGGTTGCCCATGCAGAAGAGGGGGTAGGAGTGCGTCATGACTGGCTGGTGCTGCTGCCGAAAGAAGAACGGGATGGGGTGGAGGAAAGAGAGGGAGAAGGGAGGTGGGTGAGGGTGTGTGTGAGAACAATCAATTCGATGGGGCTGAAAACGAAAACAGACCTTTCGCATATGACAGCCTACATGGCCTGTACACATACACAGCTGGGGGACCTCTCTCCCGGTGCGGTGACGTGGGGGAGTGGGGGAGATGTCCCCACCTCGGGAAAAAGAGAGCGCGAGATAACCTTTCCTATCTCTCTGCTCACTGTCTTCTTTCCTCGCTCTCCTCGCTCCTCGCTCTCCTCGCTCTCCTCGCTCTCCTCTCTTGTGTCTCGTTTCTCTCTCTCTCCCTCTTTCCCTTCTCCCCCGTCAGAACCATCTCGATGTCGTGAGATCTACAAATCGCATAGACTGCATGCTACAGCCCGCAGTGGGAGACCACAAGTCCTGATGGAATCCGTCCGTTGCTACTGATGGTCTTCTCTCTATCTAGATCATGCCGGAAAAACGTATATTTTCGATGGTGCAAGAGAAAGCGAGGGCGCTATATCATCGGATACAACAAACGCGTAGACAACAGCGCGTAGTCTACTTGATAGCTTGATTGTATGATTGTTTTTAGAAATCTGTTTCAGGTACATTATTCTCCAAGAGAGCACACATGTGCCGTTGTGTTGCAATTGGACAAAAGGAGTAAGCAAAGGCGAGCCAAATGCTTTCGCCACGAATGACGGCGCCAAGAGTGAAAAACCAGCCAGCCCGCACAGAGTTATATGAAATGCAGCACACATAATCGAATGGAATGCTTAAAGAAACATTAAAGTACGACAGCAGTTGTACTTCAGAGACGGACCAGCAGAGAAAGAGGCATATACAGGAAAGAGTCTGCGGCCTGAAGTGAAAGAGAGTAGAGCGTTCACTTTGCCGTCCTCTTCAGAAGGGGACAATTGAGAGAAGGCCCCTCCTGCGAGGGCCTGGGTGGCCCTTTAATCGCCCTTCTGGTTATTTTTTTCTTTTTCGTTCGCTTTGAAGCAATGGTCGAGAGCAGGCAGAGGAAATAAAAGAAGGTTTTCACCAAGAAGACGATTGTTTTGATGCCATTGGTGTCGAGTTGGTGGATTGGTGGATTGGTGTGTAAATATCCCTTGTAAGGGCTATTTACACAAGGTTTTTCATTGAACATTTGCCCAAGGTTGGGTTAAAAAAAAAAAGGCAAAGGGGGGGACAACATGACAAAGATGCCTTAGGACTTTCGTCCTTCTTTTCTCCATCCTATGCCCCCCCCCCCCCCCAAACTGCTCTCTTATTTATTTCGGTAAGTGCCGTTTTTTTCAAGCGGATTGAGTCTCCTCACTTTTTGGGTGTGCTGAGCCGTACTCCTACATCCGCCCAGCGTCCCTGGGTCTCCATCATCTCTTCTTCATCTCCATCCCCCCTCCGCCTTTCTCATCCTTCTCTCTCTCTCTCTCTCCCTCTCCGCGTCTCCATCCGCTTACCTCCCGCTCATATCCTACACAATCTCCACATTCTACGTTTTATCACACCCCCCACACATCGCACAGGGGAACATTTTACTACCGTATCGACCAACAGCTGCTGTCCTTCCCCCACAAACAACCACGCTCACGTCTCCCTCCGTCCTCCCTCACAAGACGCCGTTGTCTAAACGCGCCATAGATTCACGCTAGAATTCGTTCGGACATTTCTCACTCACTTGACGATAACCTTAGCACACACAGCGCTCATACTCTTTCAAGAACACTGGTACAGAGCCATTAGCAGCCATTGACACCTATTGACAACCGCTGAAGACCATTAATACGGCGCAAGAGCAACAATGGTTTCGGAGAGTCTCGACATACAGGTCCTCGTGAGGGCGCTGTACGACTTTGACTCGGAGGACGCGACCAATTTGACGTTCAAGAAGGATGATGTGATTCAAGTCCTGGCTCAGCTGGAGTCGGGTTGGTGGGCTGGCTACTGCCAAGGTCGGCAAGGCTGGTTCCCCTCGAATTATGTGGAGGTCTTGGGCGAAGACGACCTTGACAGCCAGGACGAAGATGACGAGGAGTATGCAGAGGGAGACGATCTCGATGTAAGTATCTTCCCATGCCCTGTCTCTGGACTTTATTAATTGAGTGCGTAGAGCTAGCTGCCGTCTAGCATAGCCCGGAGAATCAGCTCTGCTGAGAGGCTATTTCGACAAGTCTAGGCCAAAGCAGAGGACAGTTGATACAGGAGAGTGCACAATGCAGGGAGGGTTCACAATACTGCAGGCAGCTTCAGGGGTCTACGCCCAAAGGCTATGCGTTCTGCGACGCAATTGCTGGGCCATATTTCAGCACAGGACCATGAAAAAATCAACCGATGTCCAAGGGCAGAAGCGACGGCTAAAATCTTACCGTAAGATATGCGTAGAGTTGACCAATACCTTTTTGATTGTTTCTGAATATCCTCTGATAGAGCGCCGATGATCTCTGGCTACCTCAAACAACGCCTGATGGGCAGGTCTTTTATTATAACCAAAGGACACAGGAATCAAGTTGGACCATTCCAGAGTCGGAGGATCAGGCAAGCATGGGGACAGCAGCCACTGGTGACCAAGAGGGATCAGGCAAGTACAATTTGGCATCTTGGGGATTCGACAGTTCATGATACAGGAGTCAGTAACACTGGCCCTTAGCATGCTTCCAGAAGACACACATCATGGGCAGGGGCTTCAGAACGGCATAAAGAAAACGATAACTGCGAAGTCCTCACGACCCCGACTTTATTCTCGCTAGCTGGTGATGTTGAGATGCCATATGCGTGTATCACGACTCGTTCGAAAAAAGCATTTGGATATCCCTTTTGTCTTCGCTGCAATATTTGTTTCTGCCGATTTATGCAAAGAGCTGTAGGAGAGACTTTTAAGGTGCAATGTACTTATTGTACTCTTTTCTTTTTTCTTTTCTCCGCCCTTGCCCCCTTTTTGATATAGGCAAGGCAGGATGGTCGGTGCGCGAGTCGACTTCAAACGGGAATGGCTGGTACAATTCAGAAGCCGAGGACGAGGATCAGGACGCAGGCCAGGAAATACAGGAGGGCCAAGATGAAGACGATGATGGCCGTCTCTCTGTATCATCCAGTAACCATCACAACGCCAATAACCTGAAGGTATGTTCTAGGGTCGGGAAAAAAAAAAACCCCCCCTCCTCCTCGCGCTGCTTCTTGTTGGCCATGGCATTTCCATCGGTGCCCTTGCCGCGCGCAGCCTGTCGACCAGCGCTCTCGCGGCTTGTCTGCCACGCAACCTTATCGGTCTCACTCACCTGATCATCTCGCGCTGTCGAGGATCTTTTTTTTGTGTGCTCTGTACGCGGATCTGTATCCAGCCAATCAGAGCACCGTTGCCGCATTTGAAACATATAAACAACGCCCTAATATGCCCCGGCTCCCTTGATCAATAGGACGCGTCCGAAGCACAGACCCTGGCGGCTGTCAGGAAACCATCGGGACTCGCCCCAACGCCACAGGAGTCCGTCGAGGGACTGCCTCCACTGCCGCTTTTGCCCAACCCTTTCGATCCTGAGCCCACCTGGACCTCGCTCGCCGAACACACTGCCGCCGCGGTCCAGAACTTGGTCTCCTCAGCCGAAAACGGCTACAAGCCCTACTATCTCATCCAATCCTCAATCGTCGTCGAGGCTATCCGCGTCATGCTCTACGCCTCAGGAACTGTCGACAAAGATGCTGCAATCATGCGTCAGCACCGTGGTCTCAAAATGCACCATCGCCAGATCATGGCCGCCCTTTCAAAGCTCGTGCTCTCGGCAAAAATGGCATCTGGTGTCTGGCCTGCATCTGACGCCGTGGCCAAACTGCTGGCTGATGCTCGCGAAGTCGGCATTGCGGCTCAGAACTATGTGACGACGGCAATGGCAGCCAACATCACAGTTCACCAGGTGGATGCGCGGCTTGTCACTGACGTCAAGAGCCCGCTCAAGGAGAAGGCCGAGTCTCTGTCGCTAAACAGGGCGCTTTCGAACGGGTCCGGAAAAGGCGACCCCAGTTCCAACGACCGCAAGGTATTTGGATCGCAGATGAGCACCCAAAGCATTCTTAGTCAGTTGGATTACTACTCCAAGAGCGCTTCCAAGGCTGTATCTGTCCTGGCGATGCAAATTGAAAAGTTGATCGAGAGTCCATCGCTTTCTCTCCGCAGCAGCGGCATTATCGGTATCTCGGCTACGAACCCAGTCATGAACTCGTCCCAGTCCGCGCAGCTGGTGACCCAGGCCCGGCAAACAGTCTCCCAGCTAGGCTCACTTCTAACCTTGGTCACAGACTTTAGTTCCTCTACCCTTGCTGAGCAACCCCGTATCCCAGAGAAGTTATTTATGGATGTCAAGAACTCTAAACAAGCTCTGCATAGGAGCACCGCCTCATTGGTCATAGCCATTCAGTCTGCAACTGATCTCTTGGCTGTTGGTCAAACTCTGGAACTGGCCCTCGCCACAACCCTGTCAACAGACCAAGCAGCACAGAGTCTCGCGCAAGCAACGCGTGTCTTGATCCAAGAGAAAGAGATAGCTGAGGCAAACGTGCCCCTGAACAGGGCATCAACTGATCTTTATGGAGGCGGAAGAAAACCATCGTTGGCGCCACAACCGGACGGCAACTACAATTATGATCACGATTCTGATATTGAACCGGAGCTATCTATTCGTAACAGCAACGCTCGCTCGGATGTGACCTCACAACGTACGCGCGTGGGATCCCAGCCATCCATCTTCAGTGGTACTTCAGGAACACAGACTCCCGCAGGCACAGAATATTCGGGACGTGCCCCACAAGGTGGCTACCCGTTCCCTCCGTCAGCTTCCTTGGAAGGCAACATCCATGGAAATGGCTCTAACTTTGCGAACAGTAGTGTTCCAGGACGGTACGATCTTCGTGGCGATAAGTTGAAGAAGATTCTTGGGGACGATGCACCAACGCGCCCTTCGGCACAGACATGGTTTTTAGACTATGATTACCAGCGGGATGACCTCATTTTGAATGCTGAGGGTCAGGTCAAAGGAGGAACGCTTCCAGCATTGATTGAGCGGTTGACACTGCACGATGGACTCGACTCGAATTTTATTGCAACTTTCTTGCTCTCGTACCGCTCTTTTACGACAACCAAGGAGCTGTTCCAACACCTTTTCCTCCGATTTACAATTCAATCACCTGCAGGTCTGGATGCGGAGGAGCTGGAGATCTGGACTGAGAAGAAGTTGACGCCTATCCGTCTGCGTGTCTTCAACATTATTAAGTCATGGCTCGAGAATTACTACCTTGAGGACGAGGTCGATGACAAGGAAGCGCTTTCGATGATCAAAGACTTTTCGGGATCGACGGCGATGAAGGATACGATGAGCTTTGCGGCTGTGCAGCTCATTAAATTGGTCGAGAAGCGCGAGCAATCCGATGGAGCGTTCCGTAAGATGGTGCTGAATTTGACAACTCAGGCACCCCAGCCAATCACACCTCGCAACCTGAAGAAGATCAAGTTCTTGGAAATCGACCCACTAGAATTCGCACGCCAGTTGACGATCATGGAGGCTGCTGTGTACAACAAAATTCGTCCTGTGGAGTGTCTGGCCAAGGCTTGGACAAGCGATGATCCCGAGGTGGCCGCTAAGGCCGTGAACATCAAGAAGATGATTGAGACCAGCAACCTTTTGTCCAACTGGATCAACGAGCTGGTCTTGAGCGAGAAGGAGATCAGGAAGCGTGTCCTGGTGATCCGCCACCTTGTTCTGATTGCAGAGGTAACAAAGAGATGTCTCGGACTAAGCTAGCACGATATGCCTGGACTACTCTCATCGACGCGTGCGTGCTAACGATGGTACTTTTCTCGCCTTTTATATATATAGAAACTGCGGCAACTCAACAACTTCTCTGTGCTCTCAGCAGCAATGGCAGCCCTGTCGCTGTCGCCAATCCATCGTCTGAAGCGGACATGGGAGCAGGTTCCTCAGCGGACCATCACGTCGTTCATGGAGCTCCAGACATTGATGGGCGTGGCCAAGAACTGGGCCGAGTATAGAGAGGAGCTGCACTCGGCTAATCCACCATGCGTGCCCTTCGTTGGCATGTATCTGACGGACCTGGTGATGATCCAGGACGGCAACAGCGACTTTTTAAAAAAATCGAACCACCTCATCAACTTTTACAAGCGTGTTAAGACCGCGGAGGTGATTCGTGAGATCCAGCAGTATCAGTCTGTTCCTTATTGTTTGACACCTGTGCCTGAGATCCAGGCATTCATCCGCCGCGGTATGGACGGCACAAAGTCGGTCGCGGATTTGTATGACATGAGTCTTGCGTTGGAGCCTCGGTAAGTCGTTCACTGCTGTTTGCAAGAGCAACATGAGCGTATTTTCGTAGCCAAATCAGGCGAACTCACCAAGTCGCTCCTACGGTTTTTTTTTTTTTTTTTTTTTATACTCTCAGTGAGCGCGGAGACGAAAAGATTGCTCGTATGCTGACAGAGTCCGGCATGTTGTAAACAGGGGACGACTTGTTAGGAAATCCCAACCTATTTATTTTCTCGTTGCTTTTTATTTCTTCATACCCTCCATCGTGTGCTCTGCCTCTCTCTATTCTTTTTTCTTCATCTTTCTTTTTCCCTTTATCGGCTTTCGCCGTTGTTTCCTGTCTGCTTCTGATTTTCTGGATATCGAGTGCCCGTAGCTTTGCGTTTGCTTTTAGTCTTTCTCAATACACCTTTAACTAATAACCAAGTTTGATATCGTGTCGCATGGTTGTATTAATTGAAGACGCTTGATGTCGCATTACATCGCGTTGCATGTCCGCTTTGCGCTTTCCTCCACTGCTCTCTTGCGAGCAAGTGGAGACGTGGAATTGTGGCGCAGCCAAAGAACTACCTGATTCTGGAGCAGGCATCACACCGCACTTTCTTCTTCGTTCCTTCTCTTTACTGCCGCCCCTGCCATAGATATTCCTCAGCCAAAGACGCCTTTTGGTGCCCTCCATTTCCTATCGTGGCGGTAAGTGAAGGAAACTAGGGACGCAGGAAGACTAAAACAGCAATAAGACACAGTTTGGAAAGGCCCCTTTTGTCCCTCTATACGCCCAAGCCGTCTTCTTGACTCTCACGCTTGGCACTCAAAAGGTCCACTGCTTTCTATCTCTTGGTCAAGTAGACATATATGCCCTGCTGGCCATGGGACCCGCCTCCTGTCAACACCAACGCCGACACTTGCCAAAGCTTTCCCGACCTCCTCCTCCACAACAGCAAAATCAATAGTACTATGGGGGACCGCCACCACCGCAGCAGCACACCCACTTGCAACTATCACACAACCCTGGATGAACCACAAAGCACCAGTAGCGATAGACACCATGATCAAACACTCTATCTTTCTCACACTGCAGCTGAGGACGACAGCAAACCAGGCTTTTCACTAGGGGACTTCGACACTGTATTCTCATATTTGAACCTCGAAAGGACGTTTCTGTCTACAAGGACTGTGGACCAAGAAACGGAGCACCCTGGCACCACACTTGGGAATATTTCAAATGCTCTCCGATACCTGGCCGCCCATCGAGTCGCACCCAGCAACCTACAGCAGGTCGCCAACAAATCTACACCTCCTTATGACACTTTGTCAAATCAATCACTCGACTATGCGCCAGTATATCACCCAGACCATTTGATAATGGATTCCACCTCTCACTCGAGTGATGAGCCCCACACAATGTCAAGTCCCGATGTTGCAAGCAAAGTCGATAGATTAGCCACCAAAGACCCGAGTCAGGATACGGAGCGAAAGGTTCCTGACGACGACGGTCATGGTTGTTATCAGACAACCGCCACCAAGCGACGGGCCCGCAGCAAGCCCATGAAAAAGGGACTTCTTCCCATCGACGAGCCTACGAGCGGCTCTGGTGGAGGCTGGGTCTCTTCAGAATGCGATCAAAAAGAGGGCGCAGAGCCAAAGCCAGATCTAGAGCTGGAGCCGGAGCCGGAGCCGGAGCTGAGGCAAAAGCCAGAACTTATTCCAGAGATAAGCACGCTTCTTTCCGGAATCCATAACACTTTGAATAAGAGCCAGGCTCCCTCTGCCGACTCTACACGTGCGACTGTCAGCGCCACCACCGCTGTCACGACCGACAAACATTTGATCAGAGATACAGGCCCAGAATTGAATAATCGTACCACACGCACGGCTGTAGCCAAGAAATGGAGGCCTTGGCAGGCGGCTAAAATCTTGAAAGAGATGCAGGCACTTTTCATCAAGGAGCAAAAGAAACAGCAGGAAAAGCAGGAAAAACAGGAAAAACAACAACAACGAGAACAGGAAAGTCGCCAGGGAATTCAGGTCGACGAACCGAAACCTACGTCAGCCAAGGGAAAGGAACGAATACCCGCGGACGAGGATGTCGAGGATGTCTACGAACAGTTGCCAGGGCTCAAACCCATTTTAGCGAGCCGTGAACCTCGGTCCCACTATCGGAATTTTTGGAGGGCATGCACGGATGATGAGCGCGAGTCCTGGACCGAACCCACGACTGCCCAGACCGACCTGGATCTGACGACCTCGATGCAATGTCTGAGCGAGGATCAGGTCGCTGGGAGACATCTTTTAGCGATGAGGGTCAGAAACGCTTTTCTGGAGCCCAAGGGCAAGTCGCTTTTGGAAGGAGTATTGGCCAAGTCGATGGTCGGTTTCGCTACCGATGCTACGGAGCAGACGGAGAATAAAGAGGCAGAGGTATCCAAGACTATCATTTCGGAGAAACCGGACACTGTCTCGACAAAACCTGTTGCCATAGCCGACCCAAAAGCACAACAGCCAACCCACGTGGAGAAGAGAGTAGCGGTCGTGGATGTTGTGCCATTGGAACGGGTGTTTATCTTTGTGGACAACTCGAACATCTTGACGGGATTCTATCACTACCAGCAAAGGCACGAAGCAATTCGAATGGAGGAGGATGTCGCAAGGATGGGGTCAATGGTACCAACGGATGTGAAACGCACTGATGACCAGAAAGAAAACCCTACCGAGAGACCACCGCGGTCTAATGTCCAGGAGACGCCAATTGAGGGCATTCGAGGCGTTGAACGGCAAGATCGAGTCGACACGGACTCGGACGAAGAAATAATCGTCTATCCTCGTCGTCCGCACATTGCGGCCAAGGTGACTAAACCCTCCGTTGTCAATGACGAGACCCACTCGGGCTCCGCGATCGGCTCGACCCTAACGGACCACGCGGAATGTGAGGTCACCACTGAGCAGTGTGCGAAATGGCCTCGCCTTCAGAAGCAACCGGCTGTTTCATCGTCAGGAGCCAGGATGGTCAAAGGCAAGTTTCCGAAATTCAAGTACGGAGCATTTTTCGATATATTAAAGAGGAACCGACCAGTGGCCCGGCAAGTCCTTGTGGGGTCGTCTCCATTATTTCAGGAGCTGGATGCGGCTCTGGAACACAATTATGAGGCCATTATTCTGAAACGGGTCAAACGATATCTCCCAGGCGAGCTCGGCGCGCTTCCGATACCGGTCAAGAAGCTCCGGTACCCTAGTACGCAGTCATCAACGACAGGAAACAGGGCCGCGTCTACAGCGGGCCGTGGAGAGATGAACAAGGATGATGTATGTGGTGGAGCAACGCAAGGACAGACGAGGGGGAATCAGGCGGAGCAAGGAGTGGACGAGCTTTTGCACTTGAAGATGCTTGAGACGTTGTTTGATAACGAGCCAGCGACGATGGTGCTGGCGACGGGCGATGGATGTGTAAGCGAGTTTGGTGGGGATGGGTTCCGGGCGATTGTGAGACGCGCACTAGACTTGGGGTGGCAGGTCGAGATTGTGAGCTGGGACGAGCAATTGAGCGGTGTGTATTTGGACCTGGCGCTCGAGTATGGATATAAGGGAGATGACAGGGAATCTGCAAAGAAACAGCGCGCGAGGCGTATGAGGCCGAATGGTGGAAACAGCAGCCGACGAGGGCATTTGAGAGTGTGGTGCCTGGATTGGTATGGCGACCAGTTTTTCCTAGAAGGATGATGATGATGTTTTTTTTTTTTTTTTTTTTTTTCCTTTACAAACACAACAATTTTTATTCGAGTTTGAAATACAATAAATATGGACTCCATTGCAAACGAGTCGTCCATGATGGCATGGGTCAACAGCAAATTATCGGCACTGTACTACTTTAAATTTTATTTCTACGGTTCTTGATAGATATGGGATGTTTGTGTTGGCCGTTGTCTGACGACATGGGCATGGGGGCGGAGAGAGACCGGGGGCATAGGAAACAACAGCCCTCTGTCCCGATCGAATTCCAAAAGCGCTTTTTTACCTTACAGCCAGACAACAAAGGGAGGGAATAGTGGTGTTCTAAAAGGAACAAATGAATGTCATTTACACTTTGTTTGTCTGCGGCAAAGAAACGCTAGTAGTGCATGTCTGTAGTCTATTCGGAAGGATGCCTGCAATTGGGCTTTTCTTGGCATCTGGAACGAAAGTCTTGGCTGGCAAGTTTATTTTTACTCCCCTTTCCATTGAGCGCACAGGGAACAGCGCAGTGTGCACATGGACTTTGTCATCACAAATGAAAATCGTGAGCCCTTTCTTCGTGGATGGGATAAATACTCCCCGCACCGCCGCTTCCCACCTCCATCTCCTTCATTATCATCAGCCAGACCAAGCAACAGCATCAAGCAACCATAAGAACGATACAGAAAAATGACGACCTCCCTATCAGACATGGACAAGAAGCAGAAGGGCCAGCAGAAGAACGACCGCAACATCGAAAACCACCCGCCTTCCCAGTTACCTTTTAACCCAGATGCTTCCCTTGGCACTCCCCCAACAGCAGCCAGCAATTCAACCTATCCGCCACCAGTTGAACAACAGCAACATCGACAGCAATCACCTCTGACGTATCAGACGCAAGGGATCACCATCACGCACACCAGGCCCTCTCCCTTCGGACCCTCTTTCGCGTCCTCATCAACATCGTCGTCTTCCACGGCTTCTTCCTCGACCACTTTAAGCAAGGCGGAAGAAAAGGCGCTTCGCAACGAAGCGAAGGCGCGGGCGAAGCTCGAGAAACAAGAGGCCAAGGACCGATACAAGGAGGCCAAGAATCAGGCGAACGAACTCAAGCGCGATATCAAATACCACGGCACAGAGCTTCAGCGCGATATCAAGCACCACAGCACAGAATTCCAGCGCGATATCAAGCATCAGACCACAGAACTCAAACGCGGACTCTCGTGCCAGGCCACAGAACTCAAGCGCGGACTCTCGCACCAGGCCAAGCAGGCTCTCACGGCTGTCAAGAACGAACTCGAGCGACTCGATCGAGGCAACGGCATCGGTGACCCCTGCGGCAGCAGTAGTTGCTGTGGAAGTGGTGCCCAGGTATATGCGACACCGTCGGTTCTGTCTGCTCCCGTCCAGCAGCAGCATCCGGGAATGTCCCACGGGGTGGTCACGGCTTACCCACCGCGCCAACTCTCACCGGCAGAGCAGCTCGCTCTTCAACACGAGCAGATAAAGCAACAAAAGCATTTGAATCGTCAGCTTTATAAGGAGCAGAAGTGTTTGAATCGACATGAGCGGAGGGAGAGACGACGTCTGGAACGGGAGATCCGGAGGGAGGAACGACATGTCCACGTACCCTTTCCGTTCGGCCTCGTCACTTTGGGGCCACGGATCGTTGGTGGTGTAGCGAGGACGTTGCTTACAGATGGCTCCCATCACCAGCAGGAAGAATTGCGTCCGACGGTGACAGTTGCACCTGCCCCGTTGATCTATCAGGCCGGGCACCCACCCCAGCAACAACAGCAGCAACCGCTTTACCAGCCTCCTATGCAAGTGATCCCTCCTTTCATGCAGCCGTACTCGCCGTACTACCCTTCAAGCCAACCGTCCCCACAGCCAGAGCAGAAGAAGAGCGAAAAGAACATCGGACCTCAGGATCCATTGCTGGTGTACTCGATGTCGAACCTGTCCCTAGGTGCGACACCGCCCTCGTCTGCGTTGTCGTTGTCGTCGTCGTCCTCTAGGCCTGCGCCTTCTGCGCCACCGATGGCCGCGATCGGTGCTCACAGTCCAGAGCTGGAGCGGGAAGCGGTGGAGAACGATGATATGTCGGTCCCCCCTCCACCGTACGAAGCTACAGCCTCGTCGGCTTCACGTGCTTGAAAAGCATTTGTATCAATATCCTGTGCACTATCCCTGATTGTAATATAGTTCGCTGCAATGAATGGCGTTAGTTAATAAAAGGCAGCATCCCATCTTTACCCAGAGTCACTGTAACTGTGGGGCATTAAGTGATAGAGTGATAGTTAGTGAGCCGGAAAATTTTTTTGATGGCCATGGAAATCACGCCGTGTCCACCTTGTCCACATGGGCATGAATTTATGCGAGTATACGTACAGAGGCAAATTAGCCCACTTTGCCACCTTTTTCTAACTCCTCCCTCGATCGCCATTCTCGATCATTACCTTGTCCTCGCGCGCATCAATCTCATCGTAATCGTTCGCTTCCACCTTTTTTATTATTATTATTATTATTTATTGAGCGCATAACTTGCCTATTTCTTTTTTTAAGCGCGTTTTATTTTACTCCACCACTTCCCTATTTGTTATACACACACAATCTCTCTCTCTCTCTCTCTCTCTCTCTCTCTCTCTCACCGCCAACCCACTATAAGATAAGTAGGCTTCTTTTCTCTTTTCTGTATTGCGCCCTTGATTTATTACTTCCAATACAGCAGCTCTGCGGTGCCTAGTTGGTCGGGCAGGTGATCAGAGTGGGCAGTAAGTGCCATTGCGGCGCTACTACGTGTGGTGCCGTTAGTTCATCCCATCGCCTGCGGTCATTTATTGTTGGCTCTACCTATTCTTTCATTTTTATTTATTGGAGATGAACGATTGATAGAGTCGGAGATTGACCTCAGTTAGTTGCCATTCTCTCCTTTCTGGTTGACCATTGAAAGGAGGGATGTCAATGATGTTGCACAAAAGTGGATGCCATCGCCTTATCTGAGCGCTATGAATCAGGGGTTTCATGATGATCAATGCTGTGGTTATAAGAAAGGCATACCATCAATGAACTGATACTTTTTAACACCTGGAACAATCTAGTGCCCCCAAAGAGAGGTGAAATGGCTCTTCAGTATATTCAAAAAAAGGGCAAAAAGGCAACACCGGTTGGATTTTTTAAAAAACATGGCTTCAAATCGTACCAAGAAGGTTCCGCGTCCTCGGAATGGCTGGTCGCCGTTGACAATAAGCCAACGTTTATTGCCGCATATCATAACTCTAAAAGAGAACGCTCTGAGTTCTGGAAGGGGCTGAAGATGCTAGAGGTAAGACGATCTTCTCTGTCTGTGCAAGTCACTAGCACAATTATATGTACTGCTGTTAAGTTTTGTAAATTTGTCCCGCAAATTCGTAGAACTACAACAGACAATTAAAACCGTTGGTCGTGGAAGAAAAGTTGGCAGTAGCATATCAGCACAACCGTGAATTTCGCGAATATCAGCAGCGTATGTATACTTGTATACTCTTGGTGTGTGATGTGTAGATGTTTTCATCGTCCTACTTATTGATATGTTTACATTCAAACTGGACCCTAGACCTGAACCCTTCCACCAGTGGAGAGTCTTCAAGCAACGCAGCATCTATCACTCCCGCTAACAGTGCCGGTGCATCCCCACCCACGTCCACATCCACGTCCACATCGATGTCCACATCGATATCCGCATCCACATCAGCAACCTCATCTTCGTCCGCGTCCATAGCGTCAACACCCTCCATCACGGATATTACCTCTCTGGTTGCAATAAAGAAGCGGAAAATACATATGCAAGAGCCCTACAAGTGGTTGCTGGATGCGGCGCATAAAGTGGTATGTATTACTGCTTCAGACGGCGCCATGGTAAGCAATTAGCTTTGAGACTGCGTAGTAATTTTTTTTTTTTTTGTGCTTAGCATCGAGGAGGAATGATGAAGGTCGCGGAGAGAGACATATCGAATTTGACGCCAACACGTCGTGGCCTCTACGGACTGGCTTTAGACAGCCTTGTCTGCTTTCAACATGACCGAGAGAATGTCTCATCAGAAAAAGACGCCTTGTAAGCGAAATATTAAGCGTCAATTTCGTATGATTCTTCATATTTATCCTTCCACTGTGTTCTAACATCATATACAGTGTTGCACTTTCTTGCACGTTGGACTTAGCTGGTCCGAAACTTCAAGACTATTTCGAGGAGGATATTTTAAAACGAGCCAGAGATTCGTGCTCAGTGCAGTGGTCTTCCACCGGTGAATTGACGACGATTCTAGAGCCCTTGTTCGCAATATTTCTTAAGAATAAGGACCCAAAGCATCTGAGAAAAGAGTTACTGAGGATGATGGCCAATCTCCATGAATTGGATTGTCTAGAATTTTGCATCTTGTCCGCACTTGACGCTATGTAAGCTTTTCTTTTCCTTTTCCTTTTTTTCTCTCGACGTTATAGCACTTGAACTAACGTTTTCTTTTAATCGATTGTAGCTGTGGCTTTATCATATCACCTGCGGTGAAGGAGGGTCTTCACGCCTTCTCAGAGGCAGACTATGTTTCTGTGTGGGAGAACCTGATCTCTATATGGCTCAATCAACAGTTTATATGAAGAGGTTTGTCAATTTACTCCGGGTCAGGTTAACTCAGCAGTGAACTATTGGCTCCTTGACTAATGGCGCTGTTGTTATTTTTTTAGTTGCCCGTCTTTTTTTATGCATTTGCTTTCTTACATTCTAATCCTTGCCTCTATTTTATCTATCTGTGTTTATTTAGTGGCGAGACAGTCTTGGTGTCTTCAAAGACGACCCAAGAAATACTGAATGCTGAGTTTTCTGACTTCGCCAATTTTGGCAGGAAGGTTGATTTAGTTTTCAAGAGCAGAGACGTGGAGCTTGTCAACTTTGAGTTTAAAGGCCATGGTGTTTCGGAAAGCTGCCTCCAAATTCAACATAAAAAGAATATCAGGCTCAATCGCGCAATCATAGAAGAGTTGAAAAACATAGGCATTATGAAGCCATCAGTTGTTTTTGGTGATTTCGAAGGTATGTGGTCTACTGAAACGTGAACTGATATTGTGATCGATAGCGGACGTCGAAAACGAATACAGGGACTAACCTTAGACAATTAAAATGTCCGGATTCAATTAGGGCTGACAGGTTGCTTTTTTTTACTAAGTCCATTTGAGGATGTCTTTACCTGTGGACTTGTGGAGGTGGCATCCATTCCTACGGATATAATTGAACTGGAGGACTTATTGAGAGATGGAGAATTACTTCGCGTACTAATAACTATCGCAGTAAGTTTCTGACTACAAAGACAATCATAATAACTCATGGATAAGATGCTATAACTGTAAAAATCTGATCTGAATTCAACTTAGAACTATATCAAGGACCTTGAGAATCAAGCAAAGCACGCCATAGTGGCCAGTGAACAAGAGCACAAGCGCAGAAAACTTGCTCGAGTATATGGTGCCGGAAGACCGTTCACACCTCCACGCCTTGAAAGAACATTTTCAAAATCTGTTTGGCTGTCCCCCTAGAATTGGTAGTCTAAGATGAGATAGTTTATTTATATTTTATTTTCCGTCTCTGGTGCGATGGTGAGTCGAGGTTAGCTAGTCTACATGAAATAATCCGGCTTCTTGACGTTGATGCCGTACTCTCCCAACGCGTCCGAGAGGTCTTCCATGGTCAGCACCGTCTTCTTTTCCTATTCAAAGAGTTAACGATCCAAAAGTGGCTGTCAGTTGCTGGAGCTCCATCAAAAAAATAAAATGAAATAAAAAAATAAAAACATCTAAACCCGAGGATTAGTCAAAAGATACCTTTCCAGGAGCGCGCTTCTGAGATTGCTGTCGCACTTTACAGTACTGGAACGCGTCCGTCGCTATATCCGAGACAAACTTTTGGGCCGCTAATGCCAACAATCGTTTACTGGAAAATAGGACATCGAAAAAAAAAAAAAAAAAAAAGCGCGTTAGCTTCTGTGGGCAACGATTATCCTTGGTATGACAAATAGTGATTGTAAGAACTTCTGACGCTTGGCAAGCATCTTCGTTTCCCTTACATTCGGACGTCGTCGCAATCGAATCCTGTTCTGCTAAGATAGTAGTCCGTCACTGCATCTGGGATCTATGTAAAAATAAAAATAAAAAAATATATACGAACGTGCGACAAAAGTAATAACAGACCATGGACTCAATATTAATTTCTCCTACGAAATGAAGGCCAATAAAAAATAAAAATATAAACGAAGCAGCAAGCTGTATGAAACGTACGATTGGGTTGTAGTTCTCCATCATGGGCAAGAACTCCGCGAGGGTACGATCCTTCCTGTTGAGTTCCTCCTCCTTTCTTGACTGCAGGGCCGCACCGACGGCCATGTTGTGCTGTGTGACCGACGGTGTTCCAACTCCTGTTCCCAGTACTGACGCTGGTGCTGATGTTGTAGGTACCTGCAATTGTTGTTGTTGCTGTTGAAGTTGAGCGAGACGCGCCTGGGCTTGGGCTTGCTTCTGGAGAAGAAGTAGTTGCTGCTCCTGATTGTATCGCTGGTGTGGGTCCGGTACTGTTGCTTGAGAGGTCGTCTGTGCCGTGCTCGCTGGTCCGGCTGCCTGTGCTGATGCTAGTGTTGCAAGAGATGGATCAGCGGGGTTGGCAGGAGATGGAGCAGAGGCAGCGATTGCTGGTGCAGCGCTGGTCTCGGTAGCAGGTGGAGGAGGTGTGGAGGTAGATACCACACCTGCCATGGGACTTGACACAAGTGCGGGCGTCGTAGGTCCAGGTCTGTGAGAAGGCGTCGATGGTGCAGAGGATAGTGGTGAAGATTGAGCATGCGGTTGCGCGGCAATAGAGACAGCGGGTGCTGGAGAAGAAGAGTCCTGAGGAGCGTGAGCGGGGGTCAGGTTCGAGGGGGTGTTCTGGCCGGAGGGGGTCATATTGACATCGGAGTCGGTCTGTCCACCCTGAGCAGCAGGGGTACTGGTGCCGCTGGCCTGCGAGAGACGAGGACTTTCCATGGCGGTGTCCTCAGCAGTGGTGTGGCTCGAGTTGGAGGAGCCTTCAGACATAATGATGGTTTTGAAAGTCTTGCGTGTGGAAGAGATTGATGTTGTGGGGGGTGAAAAAGGTTTTCTGTGATGCTTGACCCTTCTGTGAACAGCGTTCTCCTGAGCTTCCTAAAGGTATCTCTAGCGATGTCCCTGAAGGTGTTTCCTGAAAGTGTTTCCTGAAGGTGTTTCCTGAAGGTGTTCTTCAAGGCGTCCCTGCCGGCAAAAGTCTCGAGTGCAATGCTTGGTGGAGGCAAAAGATCCTTTCGTTTCGTGGTTCATTGGCAAGAGCTGAACAAGGTTTTGGCTGGCCATGATGTGGTGGCTTGCCAGTGCGTAGAGTATAAATTGGGGTCGCGGACATGGCCCGTTGCCGCTCTCTCCTCCCAATTTCTCGACCCGTACATATCCCCCTAGAGCCCTGGTCACAGGATGGCATTCAGCGGAACAGGACATAGGCTCGGCGATGGAGACCCAATAGTGCTCTCCGACACTGAAAGTGCTGCTCCTGTATCGACTAGTCATATAGGGACCATCCCGTCACTCAAAGATATTTGCCTCAGTACATTGGATCGCTACATCGACCGTAAGCTATCTCTATCGCTTCTCGATTCAAACGGGGGTTCTTTATTTGTCGTTGCACTTGGGACCAAATGACCGCGGAATTAAACAACGTTGGACTTTGATATGTACCATGTGCTTGACAAACGGTACTTCATTCCATCGAGCTGACTGTCTTCTACATTTTTTGTCCGATCGATATTAGTGCTGGAGGACATTGGAACGACACCATACTATCTAATCGAGAGCGTCCTTCGAAAGTGCAATGGTAAGAGCTCCAGTCGACCATTTCAAGGCAAGGAAGTTTTTGCAAGAGCGGTTTCAAACTCACAGATATGCCGCGTTTTTTTTTTTTTGGTTTGCTGGCGTAGTCAAGCAGCTGACGCGGATTGAATTGCATACGGAGGTGAGCAAATCTTCGAGGGGATTGTTCTTTCTCATGACTGTTCCTTGCTACAAGTGGCCTGATCTGATTTCATTGGTTTCTACTTTTTGATATAGGGGCTGAGCGAGTTGACAGACGGTAGGATAAAATGCGGGACGACCGAGGATGCGGTACTACACGCCAGTTTACTTCCTAGGGTATGCGGAACTCACCTATCGATTTTTCTTTTTAGAACTGTGGTATATACACGCCACGAATGACTTTGAAGACCTTCGGAAAGAAGCACGGCATTACAATCACAGTGGAGAATGGCGATCAAGATATCACGTACGATAACAGGTGCATACTGGACGTAATGGATTGTTCGCATGGACCATGCGCCTATAGCCTCTCATTCCCTTTGCCCTTCTTTCTCTGTATTAGGCCATGAAGCAGGAGGTTGAGGAGAGGTTTGAGCGCAGGAGGGCTCTACTTCGACAATCTTACTCGCAGATCGATAAAGTCAAGCAGGATAGACGTGTTATCATGGATCCGAACCTGCGATTGCCCAAGAAATCAACCAAGACCACACCTTCCTGGTCCACTGCAGCGCCCAAGAAGAAATCGCTCTTTGAGAAAGCAAGGACAGAGGCCAGAAAAATGTATAGTGGCAGGATACGATTGCGGATTAAATTCTTTGGACCGGTCAATATTATGAAAGACATTCTAACATTTGCCATGCTCTCATTTCGGTGATCAAAGCACACAAATGTACAACACAAGTCCATACCCACCGCCGCCCAGGACTAGAATTACAGGCTCCAGCAGCAGCAGCACCGGATCCCAGCCGGTTACGCGTCGTATCGTTGCTCCAACCTCAGTCTTTGCCAACAATAATACTCCGATTACTCTAGGCTCTGCCGCCTCACGGAACGATCCTACATTAATGGCGCATGGTCCCTCCACGTCGAATCCACCATCTGTAGCAACGCTAGCCAGTCGGACGAAACGATACTCTTACAAAACAAGGCCAGTGGTCTACACAGCGCTGTCAAGGTCCCTACCCTTACAGAATCCTGATGATTCCACATCTCCCACCATGAAAAGAGCACCCGTTGTCCATAATCCTATTACTCCCACTGCACCCGGAGCCATCGTAGATTTCTTCAAAGAGGTATAGTTCTAATACATCTTTGTTGAAACCAAGGAGACGATGGAAGGGCTGTGTCTCTAATATCTGCTTGTCGCGTTTTCTGTATGGCATGGAAAGATCAATCCAGCGCATAGATCCCCATCTTCACCTCCAGAACTGCCATCAAAGACAATTCAGATGCTGCGTGAGGACGCCGCCACAACTGTTCGATACGATTATCCTCAGGGCCACGCATACAGGAAGCCGCCAGACGGTGGTCCGCAGATGAAGAAAGCAAAGGTCGACGGCGACTACAGCTGGCTTGAAGATGATGACGACGTCAGAGACGATTATCAAGAGGACAAGCATCTCAAGTCGAAGGATCAGTCCCGCAGCAAGGACAGCAGTAAGACACCTGTGTCACTCGAGGAGGCTGGACGACGATTCTTTGAGAAGGTAGGCTCTGCACCAGCAAGTCTATTCAATTATGATTTTGCTCGCGTATTACATACTCATTGAATACCTTTGATTCTAGCTGATCGGTAAATGATCATAGACTGCATTTTCACTTATTCCAAGAGGCAGCGGAATCCAGGACTGCCATGCCGTGCCCATTGGCGTCGAGACTGCGACACTGCCCTTTTGGGGCTATTTCTGTCCTTGTGAACTACTGCCGTCCGCGTAAATGATGTCTGATCGAGACCACGCTCTTCAGCTCTTTCATGTGGTGACGCACCGCTGACAACAATGTCAAGCTGTTGCCGCTCGCCTGTCGTGCCAGTGTCAAGGGCAGTACCTTTGCAGCTTCCACATGATTAGGATACGTTCGTCACCATCCAGTAATTGCACCTGCGCAGATAGCGCCCCACATTTTGGCAATAAACGAATCATATGCTTTGCAGAAGAAATGTATTTGAGGGCGTTCTTTATTATCATTAGGCTTGATTTGTGTGAAAGTATTAAGGAAGCATGAGATGGGAAAAGAGACGCTTTTTTTTTGTTTTCGATTTTTTTTTATTTTTACTTTGGTATTGTTGGAGTGTAGGGGGGTGGTGGTACTGAAGGGACCTCAGAACCGTTCTCTGATGATCTTGGCGAGCCAATTTGCTCTGGCGGTACGGATGTGAATCCTTCAGATCCGTCCTGCGCAGGCCCAAAGTGCGATCCGTTTGTTGACACTGGTGAATGTGCCCGTGTGGACTCCTCCGGCATCGTATAGACGGAATGTGCTGGGGAGGATTGTCTCAGCGATGGTGGATAATATACAGAGTAGCTTACTATTGGTTGTGGATGAGCCAAAGAGCTCATTTGGGGCGCTCCTGTGGAGGGAAGGGGGTATTGGCAGACGTACAGACCAGTGCCGTTGTCGGGGACTTCGTCCAGTGGGGTGACTTGTTGCTGGGCGAGTCTTTCCTGGAGAACGACGGCTCTTCGTCTCCGGATACAGACGAATATGAAACCGAGAATGAGGAGGATGACAAGGACGATGACGATAGGTTTGGCCACATCTGTGTTGCTCTATAAGGAGGGGAGGAGAAGTGGACGTTAGTGGCTGTGTGTCTTGGGAGTTCGATGGCGCTCGATGTGGTGTTTGTACGCTGTCTGTACGCTGCTTGTGCGCTTTTTGTTTGCTTACCGCCATTTTCTATAGTAGTACAGTGGAGTGGAGTGGGAGAGGAGTGGATGGTTGTTGTTGTTGTGTGTAGGTGTGTGTGCGTTGTATGTGTTGTATGCGTTGTATGCGTTGTATGCGTTGTATGCGTTGTGTGCGTTGTGTGCGTTGTGTGCGACTGTTTGTTCACATAGATCTGGTCCGCGATAGAGAGGGGGAGACGTGGTCAAGGCACCCCTTTTATACGATATCGAGCATTACAAAATGAGCGCTTATCGTTGAGCCAATTCCACTCCGGGTAAATGAAACATCTGGCATCATCCGTGTAAGCTTACCAGAAATAGCCGGATTAGCCCTATGTCCCAAATGCGAGCACCGGCATCCCCATCGTCTACTGAGTGGCCGACGAAGGGGGAGGGAACAGGCACTCGATGCCAGCGCCGCGAATGATTCCCCGCTGCGCTCTTGACAGCCCCAGTGGTCGTACGGGGTCTGGCGCCAAAGGCCCGATCTGATTTGAAATGTGGGCACAGACCACATCGAAAAAACATTTTGCCACTAAAATCGACCATGCTCTCGATCCTGAGCTGAGTACAAATAAACAAGAACGCCTCCACAGGGCAGGCAGCTGTACCGCGAGCATGCGACTTTATACGAATTTGATTCACTACAAGGCGCTATGACTAGCAAAGCCCCATCAGGGTCTTGATCTCCTGCAGATTAGGGCGTGCAAGCTCTGAGGCTCTTTCTGCCCCATCTCTGAGCACTGACTGCACATACGCATCCTCTTTATCCAAACGGGCCATCTCCTCCTGAATGGGCTTTAGCGACGAGACCAAAACATCGACCAGTGCTTCCTTGAACACAGCACTCGATGACTCTGCATGTTCCTTCACAACATCCTCAACGCTCATGCGCTTCAGCGCTGCGTAAATCTCGATCAGGTTCGCGACCGCGGGTCTCTCGGTTCTGTCATAGGAAATACCGCGGACTGAGTCCGTTACAGCACGTTTGATCTTGGAGGAGATGACTTCAGGGGTATCGACAAGGTTGATCCGCGACTGGTCCGACTTGTCGGATTTCGACATCTTCTTGGAAGGATCCCGCAGCGACATCACCCTCTTTGCCTCCGCTAAAAAGTTTCGGGTATAAAAAAATCGCGCATAGGTTAAAGGTTAAACGTAAAAAGGACAAAAGTTAAAAAAGTTAAAAGTATTTTTCCAGATGCCGCCGCGCTTGATGCCGACATACTGATAATGGGCCGCGGAAGAGGGAAAAAGGGCTTATGGACGGTCTTGTTGAACGTAACGGCGATATCGCGAGCGAGCTCCAGATGCTGGATCTGATCCTCGCCCACTGGGATTTTGGTAGCCCTATCAAATAAAAAATTTATGCATGGCTATAATTTCCTTTCGTTCGGCCCCTAAACCCTGTTAATGATCCGCACTAAACTTAGTTTACTTGTATAAAAGGATATCCGATGCCATAAGAACTGGATACGCGAGGAGCCCCAGCTTTAATGCTGCTGTAGCACTGGCATCTTCAAGGCTCTGAACGCCCCTTGCAACACCGAGTTTTGCCTATATGCGATCCATTATTCAATGCGGTATTAGCCTTCCAGTATTTGTCCATGTTCACTAAACGGGTCTTCGTATCTGATATATCCAGCGATTCGGCACAAACCTTCCACTGTGTCATTCTGGTTAACCAGCCAACAGGTGTCATGCAGTTCAGTATCCATGTCAACTCCGAGTGTCCTGACACCTAATGTCGAACGACACAAGATATCTGAATGAAAAATTCCATGGATGCGATCATGAAAAACGACAGCACTATCAATCCAGATCAATTGTCGAACATACGCGAGATTGCTCAAAGAGGATGCACTTCTTTGGATCGATTCCGCAGGCCAGCAATGTGATGGCCATTTCACGCCGTTCCTTCCTGAGCTTTATGGGGTCCTGTGGCAGCGTGATGGCGTGAAGATCCACGATGCTGAAGAGCAGGGTTTCGTTGTCGAGATGCGCCTGTTCCTGAAGTGCGACCCAGTTTGAGATGGCACCGAGATAGTTGCCGAGGTGAGGCTGTCCTGTAGGCTGAATCCCGCTAAAGATAATGGGCTTTGTGGCCTTGGATTTCACATCCTTCTGCGTAGCGAAGGTACGAGTGTATTTCGGCTATTCCATGGAAACAAGAAATCCAAAAAAAAAAAAAAAAAAAAAAAAAATTAATACACTGATCGGTTCCTGAACATTCGCCATCAAGTTTTTGTCCAACAGATCAACAATGGTGCGCACCTTGCACAGTTCGCTACCCTGGAGTCTGCAAAGGACATTCCTTGCTGAGCTCAGTGATCTTGCAACGGGAGTCATTGCGATGAAGGTGTCGGTAAAGTCCAGTCGATTGGCAAGTTCCGGAAGCTGAACATCGAGAGCACGGAGCTTCAAAGGTGCATAGTGACTGTTCGCAGCTCCTTTTTTGTTACTGAGCCAGCGAGGCAAGGACGAACCAGAGCATCATCTTTACTACACCATGGCGACTTTGACAACCCTGGGATCAGCAACAGTAGGCGACGTACCGGAGACAGAGCAGACGTTCCAACCTTCTGACTTTTCATTCCTTTCTCAACTCCTTCACATTCTCCAAAAAGTCGAAACGGGCGAGGATCCACAAGAGATTGCGACGCTCGCGTCGAACCTGAAGACCAGTTTCAAAAAATGCCAGACGATCCTTGACCACCTCCCAGGAGCGGACCTATCGCCGGACGAACAATCAAGAATACTAGCAGAGGAAATGCAGGTTCTGGAAAAGAAGAGGTAAGTGCCGCTACTCTGCAACTTGTCTCGACAGCCGTTTTGAATCTGTGGTACTGACTACTGTCAACCTGTCATCGTTTGACGCATGCAGAACACAATTAGCAAGCTATCTGTCGTGGCAAGTCTTCCAGCATGATGCACTAGAGGCGGCAATTAAACAAGAACACAGTAATAATTCTCGAGAACCCAAGTTGTCGACACCAGAACCAATTGCGGACGCAGCGCCGGCATCAGCATCACTAGAAGTCGACAACACTTATGCTGAGCAGGAGGACGATCCCATGGGAGATAGCAACGAGGTTGAGGTTAAGGCTGAACAACTGGAATCGACGCCCTCCTTGACCCAAGACACGTCGTTCCTCTCGAACTCAAGCCAGAATACCGTACCATCGTCATCACAGCCTACAGGGCTGACGTTTCCCTTATCAGATATCAAGATGGAGGATCCACAGAATACGCCAATGTGAGGTGGTTGTTGAGTACCAGCGAAATAAAGGTGTATACTATAGTCTAAAATGGAGTGTGCATGTGCTGAGCAATGCCCCCCTCGTAAACGCGTCTCATGTTGGTGGCCAAACAATGACAAGCCACTTTCATTTACCCTTTCAGGCAACTGCGTGCTCAGGCACACGTCCCTTTTCTGTTTTTGTTTTCTCGGCGACTTGTCTCGTTCTTCTTTGTCCGTCCCCTCTGCCCCTCTTTCATTCATCTCAATAGCTAACAGCAACCATGGTCAGTCTCATTCGCTTCTCCTTTTCCCGCACTGCAGCAGTGGATATCACGCACGAGCTGACTTTTCCTCACTCCGTATGCTTTCCTTTCTTTAGGCTGATCGCAAGCGCCAGCGAGATGACAACGATGTCACCACACCCGTGTGGAACCCCAGCAGTTCGCCTATCCTTGGCTCGTCGCCACCACTCCCCTCCTCAGACCCCGAGGACAACGGCGTTGTGGATAACGAGCTGATCTCTGATATCGAGAACGAGCTGGAGGGCGAGGGCGAAGACCTTTATGGATCTGACATGGAAAAGTAAGGCGCATAGCTCTAAGCACTTGTGTCAGCCTGCTTAATGCAAAGGATATCACCCATCGGTTCCTAACCACTCGGTTTCAACATCGGCTTACAGCGACTATGTACAGAACGTGCGATTGGACAATTATGATCCAGATGATCTCGACGACGAGGAGTTCGAGCGTATGGATCCTGCGGACCGCGCAAGAGTCGAGGCGCTTTTGGCCAGACGAGATGCAGAGCGCGCAAGGGCAGCTGGAAGAATTCCCGAGGCTTTCTTGGATGGTATTGTTGCAGGATGAATCTGAAAGACGCACCTTTTTTAATTCAGAGGTACTGTTGTGAAGCAACTGTTTGACTGACGCGTCTTTTATATTCTTTTTCATTCGCTACTAGACGACACGGATTTGGCAAACATCGTTCACCGCAGACGACGTGTCCATGAGCAGGATCTCATGGAGGACGATCTAGAGGACATGGTAAGCATATTATGCTAAAGGATAGGATCGGATCCTTGTCCAGCTGGTGCCGTTGTATGTCCCCACAGAAATGGCCACTGACAGAAACGCATCTTTCTACCTCCTAGTCCAATGTGATCCTGGATCCTGAGCAACTGAGCGATCACAAGGGCATGCCGATCTCAGAGTGGGTTACAAAGGAGTTAACGCGTCGCACCATCATGGCAGAGTTCAGGAGATTCTTGCTGGAGTTTGTTGACCCCAACGGAGAGTCAGTGTACGGTCCTCTCATTCGAATTCTTGGACAGGCTAACAAAGAAAGTCTGGAAGTCAACTACCGCCATCTCTCGGACGCGAAGCCCACGCTCGCCTACTTTGTTGTGAATGCGCCCCAGGAGGTTCTGAAGATGTTTGATTCTATTGCGTTCGAGGTCGTCCAAATGGAATACCCAGATTATGGGCGCATTCATTCCGAGATTCACGTCCGTATTACCGACCTTCCTATTATCTCGACCCTCCGCGACCTTCGGTATGTCAATATAGCCATGCTCTCATGCACGACGATCGATTGCATTTGTGCAAACCATGAGTATTAATTAATCATTTCATGTTGTCGCGACGCCATTATAGCCAAGTCAACTTGAACTGCTTGGTGCAGGTAACAGGAGTGGTGACGAGAAGAACGGGCGTCTTTCCTCAGCTCAAATACGTCAAGTACGACTGTGTGAAGTGTGGTGCCACTCTTGGACCTTTTTACCAGGACTCACAGACTGAGATTTCGATTGGAAGCTGTACATCGTGCCCATCCAAGGGTCCCTTTGCAGTTAACTCGGAGCAGACTATCTACCGCAATTATCAGAAAATGACGCTACAGGAGTCCCCAGGCACCGTCCCCGCGGGTCGTCTTCCCCGTCATCGTGAAGTCATCTTGCTGTGGGACCTTATCGACAGTGCAAAGCCAGGAGAGGAAGTTGTATGTACTTGTTTGAAGTGGCTTGCTATTGTCCTCAGTCTCGTCGATTGATTGAGAGTGCAGCTTTTCACCATCGTGCTGCATTTATCTCATTCACGCAATAATTAGGAAATCACGGGCGTTTACAGGAATAACTTTGATATTGCACTGAACTCAGCCAACGGATTCCCAGTCTTCGCTACTATTTTGGAGGCCAACTATGTGAACAAGAAGCAGGATGTCTTTGCCAGTTTCAAGTTGACTGAGGATGACCGTAAGGAGATTCTCCGCCTCGCAAAGGACGAGAATATCGGAAAGAGAGTATGCACCTATTTTTTATTCGGCTTGGCCAAATGTCTTTTTTTCATTTTTTTTTTTTTTTTTTTGGGTGGATGAATCGGCTCTTCTAATACTTTGCTCAATTTTATTATTCTACAGATTATCAAGAGCATTGCGCCTTCGATTTATGGACACGAGGATATCAAGACGGCCATTGCTTTGACCCTATTTGGTGGTGTGCCCAAGGACCCGCAGGGAAAGCATCGTCTTCGTGGAGATATCAATGTGTTGATGATGGGAGACCCAGGAACGGCCAAGTCGCAGTTCTTGAAGTACGTGGAAAAGACCGCCCACAGGGCGGTGTTCACAACGGGTCAGGGCGCATCCGCTGTGGGTTTGACGGCCTCTGTCAGGAAGGATCCCATCACACGCGAGTGGACACTGGAAGGAGGAGCTCTTGTACTGGCTGACAAGGGAGTGTGTTTGATCGACGAGTTTGACAAGATGAACGATGCGGATCGTACGAGTATTCACGAGGCAATGGAGCAGCAGAGTATTTCGATCTCGAAGGCCGGTATTGTCACAACATTGCAGGCGCGGTGCTCTATCCTGGCAGCTGCTAACCCTATCCGCGGACGATACAACCCTGCGGTGACGTTCTCGGAGAACGTGGAGTTGACGGAGCCGATTCTTTCGCGTTTTGATATTCTTTGCGTGGTCAAGGATACGGTGGATCCGACGGTGGATGAGCGACTTGCTAACTTTGTGCTGAATTCTCATCTCCGGAGCCATCCCCAATACTCGCCAGAGCAGGATCAACTCAACCTATCGGAGCAAATCGATGCCGATGTAAGTGTCTTCATTTTTATTCATTTGGCCCCACTGAAAAAAAAAAAAAAAAAAAAAAAAAAAACCTTGGAGGCGTTCTAAAAGCAATACTAGTGCGCTAACGCCCTGTTCCGTTGTTATGTTTACAGATTATCCCACAAGATATGTTGCGTAAATATATTATGTATGCTCGCGACAGGATCCATCCCAAAATCCACCGAATGGACCAGGACAAGATTGCTCGTCTGTATGCAGATCTCCGCCGCGAGTCACTGGCTGGAGGATCTATTCCGATCACGGTCCGCCACCTGGAGTCGATGATCCGAATGTCGGAGGCGAACGCAAAGATGCACCTGCGCGAGTATGCGCGATCAGACGATATTGATATGGCGATCCGGGTGATGCTCGAGTCCTTCTTCAGCGCGCAAAAGTTCTCGGTGATGCGGAGCCTGAAGAGGGCGTTTAACAAGTATCTGACGTTTGCGAAGGATAGCGACGAGTTGTTGTTCTCGGTCTTGAATGATATCCTGAGGGAGCATTTGAGGTTCAATCAGATCAAGAACCCGAGGACGGTGGTGAAGTCGATTACGATTGAGTTGGTGGAGTTGAAGGATCGGGCGACGGCACTGGACATTCATGATATCCAGCCGTTCCTGACGAGCCAGTTGTTTACGTCGAGTGGGTACCGGTTTGATGCGTCGAGAGGTGTTATTGAGAGACACTTTTAATTTATGTCATCGCTTTCAAGCATGGCATGGCATCCTTTTGCGATAAAATAAAAACATGTAATATTGAACATTGGGCTTTTTTTTTTACTGATGTTTTTGTTAAGAGGATGGAGATACGGGGAGAGAACAGCTGGCGACGTTGATGCCAGAGCCACGAAGAATATTTGGATGAAGCTGCAGTGATTGGCCATTGAGTGTCATATTCTTCACAAGACCATCTTTGTCTTTGTCTTTGTCTTCTTCCTTTGGTAAAGACTTCCACGCAACCCAGACGGTGATGGTCTTTTCGAAATAGGACGGCCGAAACGCGACGGTGAGCTGGTGCTGGAGCTTCGCATGACGTTCGAAGCGTTCGATCTCGGTCGTGGGAAGAATATGTCCACCTGTGCCGCTGGTTGCCAAAAGGTACACAGGTTCTTGAATGGAAATGGTCTCGAGTGCAGCGGAGCTGTATCCGGCGCGTACCAGAGATGCAGCCGGACCACATGGACGACCTAAAGAATCCACGACGCGGAGGAACACACATGTCTCGTGGGGCTGGATCATGTACGCTGAAGCAGATGAACCAAATTGTCCGGGTTGTGGTTGGAAATAGACGGACCTTGCGTGTGCTTGTGCTTGTGATGAAGGTCGTGCGTCGGCTGCATCGACTGCGTCTTTTGGCTTGGGAGAAAGAGAGTCTTGTTCCTTGGCAACGATCCGTTCGATGATACTCAGATGGACATGTTGTTTGCGTGAGGATAGGTTCGCGACGATGATGAACGTCCGGTCGTGGTCGCTACTGCGGGACTGAACCTGGATCATATAGAAATTCTTCTGGTCCGAAACCGGCTGCAGCACCCTCACAATCTCAAATGGCGGCAAGGGTGTATCAGGCGTGGAGGGCCACGGAAAGAAGGCACCGAGGGCCTCACGCTGATCTGGTGACATCCTCGCGATTTCAAACGGATCCGAACAAAAGACGAGGTGTCCCAACAAGTGATTCAGAAGCATCAGTGTTCGCCTCTCAACCGAGCTCAGACCCATCTTCCAATCCCTCAGGAAGAACACGTCCGGGTCGTTCCCAAAGAACCTCCCAGACATCGCCCACCGTGAAAGTGTCGAGGTCAACGAGTTGAAGCAAGAGATATACTCTCGATCATGAAAATATCGTTGCATCGTATCCCAGGCCGCACCCACATCGCAACCGATTCGACAATAGTCAACGAGCATAAAACTGGCTCCTAAGGGAACGCCGCATCCGAGAAGGATGATGTCGGGCCCGGCCCAGGTCCGGATCATCTGCATGGCCTCCCACATGAGCTGGCCGCGAGACTTGCCGTTCCGGGGGAGGAGAGCTGCCGCAAAGAGAAAGTCGAGCTTGAGCATCTTGAAGCCCCATTCTTGAGTCACCACACGGAAGATGTTGGCTAGGTGGGTCTGGACGGTTGGGTTCTCGAGGTCGAGAGCAAACGCACCGGCGCCGAAAGCTGGATGCGCCAACATCAGGTCAGAGGGGTTCGGTCGTGCGTGGGTGTCATTGTTGTCGAGCACAGGACAGCAGCAGCAGAGCCCCTGTCGATGCTGTCCCTCGTCAACGTTGGAGTTCTGACCACCCTCAAACGCATGTTTTCCGGTAGCAGGTTTCTGAACAAACCAGTCCGGATGGTCCCTGACAACGTTCGCCTTTTTTGAGGCCAAGAACGGTGCCATCCATAGCCCCGGAACCAAGCCCTTGTTTCGGATCTCCTCTGCGATAAACGGCATTCCCCTCGGGAATTTGTGTCTGTCGACATCCAACCAGTCGCCGACGATCGTGTAGCCGTCATCGATCTGAAAGACCTTTGCGGGCCAACCTTCCCCTCGCTGAATGTCATTGTCGGTAATGTGTGAGGAGGGTCTGGCACGGCCGGATCCAGAGAAATGATGTAGGTTCTCGAGGATGATATGCTCGTTGATGTTTTCGTAATGCAGGTACCAGGAGGTCCAACCGGAGAGTTGATGCTGAGTCGAGGACTGAATAAAGCGACGGTCGGCGTGGATTGAGCCCCAGGCAGAGGCATAGGTGTCCCAGACGGTGGTGTCCTTGTCGTCCCATGTGAACAGTGTTCGTAGGACCAGTTTGTCCTTGCTTGACCGTAGCTGATTTTTTTTTTTTTTCCAATCCGGAAGAAGCAAAAGAAGCAAAGTGGGTTGGTATATGGCTAAAAATCAAAAAAAAAAGCGTAGCTTTGGTGGTTCGAGTAGTCGCCGGCTACTTTACTACTTTTTTTTTTTTTTACCTGCTTGCCGACACAATCCTGAGAGACCGCGAACTTGTTCAGATTGAAGTCCATCAAGAAATACGTATACCCACCATCCTCGGACAAACCTCCACACAGCACCACCTCCTCCGGCCTCCCTCCCTCTTTTCCTCCTCCACCTCCCTCAACACACTTATCCCGGATGATGGTGACAAGATTCGAATGCACCTTGCCTTTCACCCCTGGATATTCGTAAATATGCATATCCGAGGCCAGCCCCAGATGAGTCAACTCGTTATAGAACCAGTTTGGTTTCTGGAAGACGGACCCGTCATCAGCTCCCGCGTAGCTCGTACTCCAGGATTGGTATCCGTTCGCGAGGAGGGTTTTTCCGGAAAGAATGAGGTCCGTGCTTGCGCAGAAGGACTCTAGAGAGATACAGAATGCTGGATCCGAGGAGGGAGAAGAGGGAGAAGTTGGAGTGAAGGATAGTTCAAGGGTGCGGATACAGGCGTTGGATGAAGAGGAAGGGAGCAGGGCGAGGGAGCTAGTGAGCGTGAGATGGAGGTTTGGGGAGGTGTCGGGAGGAATAAGGTCGATGGTATGGCGGTCGTTTGGATTGAGGGTGATGGTTTGGTTGAAGCGGTGTGGGGCATGGGTGCCTTTGAGTGTGAAGACGGTTTCGATGTGAAGTGGATGCTGTGATAGAGCCTCGTAGATGTCCCTGGAGGATTGGTGGCCATTGTCGTGAGTGGTATCTGACATGGCAGTGAAGAAGGGCGCAGGCTGTTGAAGGAGGAACAAGTGCGGTGGAACGGGAATGGTGGAGAGGAGGAATGAGGGGAAAAAAAATGACAAATGATGAATGGAGAGAATAGGAAAGTGTGGGGATGTCGCATGGTCGCGTTTATTTGTGTTACGCGCCTTTTTTTTTTCTTTTTGTTCCTGAACGTCGTTGTGGAGACTCACTTGCGGCATGGTCTAAAGACGACTTTAACGCATGCACCCATATGAAGAACGTCGCCACTCCCTGATGAACCTGCTACTTTTTATTAAGTGCTCATGAGAAATATATCACCCACGAAAGACGAAAGAAGCAATGAAGAACAAACATCTTTGTCTATGACTTGACTACAAGAGGAAGAGGGGAACGAGCTTCCTCTTGCAGAAAAATAAAAAGGAAGCATCTGCAGATTACTACACAGCTATCAGGAGGAAACAAAACGCTGTGGAGCAAAATGTTATACCTCCAACTCCAATCCTGTCTGGTCAAAGGAAACCAAGACAACATCAAAGGCACAGAATAAGAAAAAAAGAAAAGAAAAGAAAAGAAATGTCTAGATCAAGGGACTCAACCAGAAGGAAAAGACGCACTCGGACTTGGACCTCGCAGGTTTTTTAAACCATGGTAGACTCGTCCTTGCCATCAGGCTGCACCTTAGCATCCGTATCGATGTCGTCCGCGAGTCTCTTCCTGAACTTTGGCTCAGGAGCGGGATAGATATTATAGATGATGATTCCGAGAATGATCAACACATACGCGATCGGGTACAGTTTGTTGATCGTCGCATTGAACAGAAACAATCCAAACAGTAGCCCATAGAAATCGCTCGTCAACAGACTCAGGTTAAAGAACGTGGCCGAGCTCAACCTAAAGAGGAGCGGCGAGACCGAGTACATCATGAACATCGCAATGTCGAACCCAATAATGTACCCAACCACCGAAGGTGTCCAATTCACGGTCTGCAACTCGTGTCTCTCCAGAATCGCGAGCTGGATCCCGTTAATGATCGTGCCCCAGAAACCGAGTTGACCGACGACTTCGTACATGGGCTTTTGGCGGACGAGGTATTCCTGGCCGACGTTGGAGAAGGCGTAGAGACTCGCGCCGATGATACAGAAGATGTCGCCCTTGATGTAATCCGAACCAGGGAAGTTCTTGCCGGCCTCCATGTCGGACCAGATGAGGAAGCCCATGCCGACCATGGCGATGAAGACGCCGAGGTAGTGCCAGCGGACGAAGCGCATCTTGAGGAAGAAGACCGAGAGGAGGACGACACAGGGGATGGTCCAGGCGTCGAGGAGCATGGCGGAGAGCAGGGAGGTGTAGTTATAGGCCTTCACCACAAAGTAATTACCCTCCACATCAATCAGTGCGAATAGGATATCTAAGGGAAGGTGCATTGAACACCAAAAAAAAAAAAAAAAAAAAAACCGAGACCGTTAAGAAACGCATTCTCAGAAACAGGTTTCACGTCCACTAGCTAAGAAAAGAACGCGCAGACTTACAGTAGTGGGATCTGCGCCTGATGATCTCGAGCCATCCTCGGAAGCCCTCCTTGTAGATCGTGATACTGGTGTAGACCACGCCCAGAACCAGGTAGTTCAGGAACGACTGTGTCGTCGGAATCGAGACCGGGTTATCTCCCTGAGCCAGTTCTGTGGTAAGAATCGTCGTCGCGGTGATGCACAGCGACAGGAACTGTCCCAGGAGCAAGATCACCAAGAACTTTCGCGAGAACAGGTTCGAGAAACTCTTTCTCCAGGCTGCTGGCTCTGCTGGTGCTGTTGCATTAGCAGTAGTAGCAGCAACAGCAGCAGCAGGAGAAGATGAGGACAGGTCGGTGTTCTCTCGGTGGTACGTCCTCTCCTGGTCCTCCTGGTCGAGTTCTGTCTTCTCGCCTGTGAAGTTGTATTCGGTCTTTTGAGTAGACATTTTTTTATTTTTTAGCGAATCTTTTTTTTTATATTTTTCTTGTGGATGATGGTGATTGATGAGTTGTTGAGGATGTGTGTTCCTTGTGTGCCGAGTAGTGATCTGGGATGCAGAACTTTGACGTGGATGAGTGTTCAGTTGTCGTCTTTTAGGTGGAGGAGGGGTGAAAAGACGGAAAGCGGCCCATCGGATCCAAGAATCGAATCCGTCCTTCTTTTATAGACATTCCTCCCTGGAGCTCCATCACCTGCTTCTCCTCTCCTGTTCTGCTGCTGTTGTTGTTGTTCTTGTTGTTGCTAGTTGCTTTTTCAGTTTAGCTTTTTTTGCATGCGGGCGGAGTGCAGTCTGCGCTGTTTTTAGGTTGTGTTTGCATGTTGATGCTCTGCTTTTTTCTTCGTCCATTTGCTAAAATGGCGGCGTAGGGGGACCAGACCCTGCGGAGTAGTCTAGCTTTACTCCCATGTCGGTTGAATCTAGCCTACCGTACTGCAGTCCAGGCTATGGGGCCACACAACAACGGCTGCAACCGTCCATCGGAAACTGAGCAAGGGGCATGTCTCCATCTCCCAATGGCTGCTGACATGAACGAGCGCGCACGGGGAGTAAACATCGAGCGATACGCGAGGCCCTCCGAAAGAGATGGTCCACATCTCATCTCTTTTTTTTTTTTTTTTGTGTATGCGCTGAAGTAAACTCACGAGCAAAACACGACAAGCCTTTCGTCCACTTTCCTATTGCACTCACAGTCTGGTCCACAGAGTGCACTCTAAGGGAGCCATGCAGGAGCAGTTGCTGTCTGTCTGCTCACAAAAAAACCCAATGCCCTAGAACCGACCTGGGGGGCCCTCTTCTCCCAAAGTCTAACTTGAAAGTTGCTCCGCCCACCAGTTTACCCGATCTAATTCGTGTTGGACCCTTAAGCAGACCACGAAAGAAATAAAATGAAAACGCGTTTCCGCAGTCCACGCAAGCACTGCAGACGCACAGAGCACATGTCATTCTCACGAGAAAGAGTGTCTCGTTCATTCCAGCATACATAACACAGTGCCCACTCGGACTCGATTGGATCCCTTCAACAACCAAACAGGACTCATTCCAACAACAACCCTCGAATTCCCTTTTACTTTATTTATTTTTTTTGGCTCATGGGCATCGAAGGAATTCCTCCAACGGCACTTGTGCAGGTGACCGTGCAGGCTGACTGGACCGACGTCGTCGCCGAAGTCCTGCGACTGAACAGCACGGGCACCTTCTGGATCTCTTGCTATAAGCGAGGCACGTGTATATAGTCATGGGTCGTTGCCAAAGTTATCCGTTGATTCAATAATGAATGGCCTTTTGTGCTAATATCTGGATATGATATATTGATGGATAGGATCACCATCGATTCATGGGGCTGCAAAGGTGTCGGTGGTAGACGAGCGCAAGATCCAATTTTCAGGACACGACGGAATTATTCTGGAGGGTATTACAAACGTATGTCAGGGGGAGGGATGAGAGGGATGGAGAGAGGGACTGTATCAACCTCGTACCTACCTGTCAAATGAGTTTTTTCTATTACTATTTTGCAACGATGCTGACTCGAGAATCAAAATGGCACTGGATTTGGTAGTACTCATTCAAGGTCAAGGTTCCAGAGTATGACAACGTGGAAGTCCAAGTCTACGGAACCGGTAGGAGAACCGATATTCCAAAGGTATGCATACATTCATTTCATTACCGGTACATCGTGGCAAAGACTTGCGACCATAGGGACTAACAAAGAAATTTTGATCCGCTCATTTTTTTTTTTGTTGCTTCGCTTTGTTGCTGCTGCTGCCGTAGCTCTCATGTTTAGATGTATCGCCCGAGGGGGCACTGTTTGTGATGGGATCTGAGGATGGGACTCTCAGGATCGGAGAGACCGAGACCGGGCGGTTGATTGTAAAGAGTCGAATTTGAATACGGATTGCTCTTCATTCAAAAAACGTGTACGCGTTCTTCCTTTTACGCACTCGCTAACTTGACGCCTTGTTATTATTATTTTTCTTTTGATGATTAACCGATGTGGATAGCAAGAGTTGAAGGGCCATTTTCAATATGCCAACACCTGTCGGTTCTTTCCTTCAGGACAAGGTACGAGTCGAGGATGGCTTGGCGCTTTTTCGTTAGGCGTATTTATATTGTGTGTGCAGAGATGGGACGGATGAGAGAATGTGATTTTTTTTATTATAGATCCTAACATAAGCCGTTTCTTTTCTTTTCTTGGAATTTGAACAGTGGTTCTGAGTGGGGGTGGTGATTTCCTGTTGAAGGTTTGGTCCGCATTGGATGGAAGCTGCCCCGTTACCATGAAAGGGCATACCAAGCGTAAGTGATATAGGCACGGCCCTTATTTTTTTTTTTTTTTTTTTTTTTAGTTCTCGCGTTAACCCAGTAAGTTGTACTGATTCTGCCTTTTGAATGTTCTCTTGCTTTTGGTTTAAATTAGTCATTTCTGATACTGCGATCATCGACCGTGGCCGCAATGTTTTATGTACGTTCAGATGGAATATCCTTTTGGAATTTGCGATTGTAAGCGCTTTCTGACAGATGGTGGTCCATGTTCTAGCATCATCGAATGACGGAACTGTCAAACTGTGGGAAGTTGGTACGTTGGTGTTCTCGGTTCATCGCGTCCTGAAAAAGAAAAGAATAAAATACACGTCCATGTTTCTAACCGATTTCTGTATCTAACTCAGCATCTGGAACGACAATCAGGACTTTGTTGCAGCGTGAAGCGAAGGTGAACGCAATTGCAGTCGACAGTTGGGAGACGCCTCTCGCGACGACACTTCCTTTGGGTATGTCGAGTTCATTCAAGGATGGACAATCCGGTTTCTCCTTTCTTCGTGATTTATTACTGATGTGGCCCTGTTCATTACTAGATCCAAGGGAAGTAGGAACGGAAGGAAAGCTGGTAATTGCAGCCTCAGAGAATGGCATGCTGTATGGTTTGGATGTTCGAGCCTCAGAAGAGGTAAGTTAAGAGAGAAGTCTCTTTTTCTCCGTCTATTGCGTGGCCTCCATTCGCAATATGACCTGCACTCACTCACGTTTGTTACTGTACTATCTATAGGCTTTTCAATGGAAATCGTTCAATAAGGCACCGGTACGCTCGTGTCTGTTCTCGGCAGAGCATTCGCTGATCGTCACAGGAACCTCCGAGGGAGTCGTTGAAGTCTTTGATATCCGGCAGTCCGAGTAAGTGTGCAAAAAACTCCATGGCACGCTTTTGTTTTGCTGTCGATTGGTTTGTGCGCTATAATATGGCTAATCACGATGAACGATGGTGTTTGTTTGTTTCGAATAGACAAGTGCTGAGCAGATTTCAACGCGGAAGTGCTGGTATTTCCAGCCTTGCATTGAGTGCACCAAAAGACAGCGTGGGTCAAGGACCACATCTCCTTGTTGGCTGTGGTAAGTCTTGCTACTTTTCTTCCAAGATGTTCCTTGTCCTGGTGAATTTACTGTGCCACTGACAGATGATTTTCACACCACACAAATAGATGACAGCGGATTGTATGAGACAAAGTCATTGCGGGATCCTAGGATTGAGATCGAACGTGAATATGTCGGGTATGATCTGGATGGCCCTGCACATATACGTGTGGTAGCAGGAGGACATGGAGTGGTGGCGATCTCGAAGGAAGGAGGGCTGTTGCGGTTCTCTGGGAACCTTGGTCTGAGCTCGACATGAGAAAATCAGGGTGAAGGATGCATAGCATCGTCTAACTATGCGGGACGACGACCCGTCGGTAGATTTCGACAAAAATAAAGGGGTGAGGATGGGGAAACGGAATGGAAACGCAGGTCGACAGTTGTTTTACAGTTGGAAAAAGGAACTGAAGAAGAAACGATATGCACGCTCATGTGGTGCTTGTGCTGCTCCTTTTTCCCCATCTGTCGCCTGCTGTATTTTCTGCATCTTCTGAAATCCGGCCTAATTCTGTTTCCGTGCGTAGATGCAGAAGAGAAAGAAAAGACGAGGGAGAGAGCATGAGCCAGCCAGCCACGCTGCTCTCAATTCCCACATGCATCTGATGACGATGTGTGGGCCCTTTTTTTTTTTTTTTTTTTTTTGGGTTCTTTTCAGGGGCAGTGCTGGGCGGTCAGGGTCTGTTGTTGATCCCGGTTAGTTGGTTGGGCGTACTTGGCGTCTCGTATATACGCTCACGCTGCCCCATAGTTTTCGACATATAGATCGGTTGACGACATGGACATGGGCACATGGGCATAGTGTGCACTACTTGTGGAGAGAGAGAGAGAGAGAGAGGAAGGGAGAAATACTCTGCTGAGAGGTATGTAATTTGGACTACATGGGGTTGGATTGGTGATAGGGATGGGAATAAGAAGGTCGCGGTGGGGTAAGATTGTCCATCCATTCCGATTGTCTGTGTCGGGCTGTTCCTGTATCGCTATGTGTTCCGTACATGTACATGTATCTAGTTTTGTACTATACCAGTAAGCAACCATGGACGGTCATATGTCACAAATCTTCTTTGTGTGGATCAAGCGAACAAGCTCCGAACAATTGCTTTATACAAAGTGCGAATGATACACATGTAAAGAAAAGTAAAAAAAAAAAAAGGATGCTAAAAAATAGGCAATTGACACAAAAGGAGAGGTCCCGATCTATTTTTTATCTCATTATCATTATTATATTATCATTGTTGTTATTGCAATTGCTATTTGTACTACGGTCATGACTAAAGCGTGGACAGCAGAGTGTTTTTCTTTTGTTACAACGGCTCCTATAACCTGTCGGTGGCGAGTGAACAATAACGGGGTTGGTTGCATCCAGTCCAAGTCGGGTGTTGAAGTAAGTCCAGGCGGATCATCTGGCTGTCGGTCTGTTGTTACGTGTGCAAGGTACTTGGAAGACAAAAGAAGAGAGGGAGCAGACGATGTTCGCTGGCTGGGAATCAAGAAGGCAGGGAGACAGTGAGGGATGCCCTTGCATGCATGCATTTGCATACAGATAAGCTATGCTATGCTGTCTTTGAAAGAGAAAGGGCGGAAATGTATTTTTTTCTATTGAGTTCTTGCTGACGAAAGAAGAATATAACGCGTCCAAGCATTGGTCCGCGGTGCAAGTGCAGGCAGAGAAGCACTAGCGCTAGTTGGGCAAGCAAGCGCGCATTTGTCAGTCGATGTGCCTGCTGCATGTGCTGGTGTTGGGCGTTGAAGTCCATGGTAGAAGAGCGCAGAGGAGAGGGGCGCCTGCCTGTTTGCTCTCTCTCTTCTTCTTCTCCACTTCCTTCTCATTCCGTTTGATCATCCCCCCATCCCCATCCCCATCCCCACACCCTCCCCCACACACCCTTGCCATCGCTCCCTTGTCTTTCTTGGACTGGACTGGACTGTAGACTGGACTGGACTGGACTAGACTATCCTTATATCGTAATACACTTTCACGAACATATCTGACACACTCCAAGACAGCAGTAGGCTGATCAGACCGATCCACGTACGTGGATATCCTCCCTCCCATTCCTCCGTGCTCTCTTTCATATCCTAATATCCTATATCCCTAAGCATTATTGTCCCTTGCTCCTCCCTTCCCTTCCGCGCCGCTTCATACCTTCTCCATCGCACCAAACACATATATTCGTATACTCTTTCTAATCTATCGCTCTCTCTCTCTCTCTTCCTCACTTCTTTCGAATAGCAACTTCTCCCTATCGTACTCTCTCCCCCAGGAGTTGCTGTCGCTCCAAAATAGCTCTCAACAGCGCTCTGTCTCCGTCATTTAATATCTCGCTCCCCTCCCTGCTACCCTTTGGGGGCATTGGATATTGGATATATATCTCATCGAACAATTAGAGCCACCTCAGCTGCCGGAATCCTGATCTCAGATGTTTGCTGCTCCCCCCATCGACACCCGTCCTTCCACCTTGGCTCTCGATAGCCCCTCCAAGAGCTCTACCCAGACCGCCACACCCACCATGGTCATCGACACCACCGCTGCTCCTGCCTCGAACAACAAGAACGACCACAGCGACAACAACGAAAGCAGAGCCCGCGACTCTCCTTATAAACCCTCTGTCATATCCGCACACTCTTCTCTTCCTTCGCCACTCTCCCCTCCACTCTCGGCCTCGCCACCCTCCTTCGGGTCCTCGATCGCAATGGCCGACGTTATCGCCTCTGCTCCCCAAGTCTCTGCTTCCGCAGCATCCCTACCTCCACTCCACCCCTCTGCCGCACCGAACACTGCCACAGCCACCCTCGACAGCACCAACAGCACCGACAACAAATCTTCACACCCAGCACAAACCACTCGCCCCACTCCCTCAGTACCCTTTATTCAGACCTCGCCAGAGGCATGGCTAGCCCATGCTGCTCAACAACGTCGTCATCTCTCCACAGGGTCATTCTCCTCCACCACCTCGTCTTTCTCTGCGATGCTCTCGCCCGACAACCTCGCCTCACAGTCTCCGGTCACACTCGAGTTTGGCGAGAGTGAAAGCATCGTACGGCAACAGCGGACCAACCAGGACTCGGATCAGGACGAGCCAGAGTTGAACGTGAACATGCGTCCGTCCGAGCTACGTGCGTCGCTCATGGCCAGGGCTCGGAGGAGCTCTGCAAAAGTGCAGAAGATACCGCGGTCAGAATCCATGCCCTTTGAAAAGGGCTCGCGGCTCTCTGGGCAATCTAACCAAAGGCAAGTGCGCTTTCTGTGGATTGCAATTAATATATCCTCTGCATGGACAATGAAGCAATGAAGAGCAAGCAGCTGCATGGCTCTGTGGATGTATGAACAGGCCAAATTGATATTTTCTTATGAACAAAAACAAGAAAAAGAAAAAAAAAAGTTGGCACACCACACGCATAACGAGGAAAGAGAATGGCAACATGGACGTCATGGAGACACAGAAACAGGCTAGCAGTGAATGGATGATGCTCTGCACTCTTGCACCCTTGCACAGAACAGGAAGCACTTGCGAGCAACTTCGGACGTCCTTTTCCCCCACCCCTTTCTATCTTTCCCCCCACCCCACCCCACCCCCCCCCCCGTCTGCTTCACTCTGCCATATCATAACCCATCTGTGGGATATATCAGCCCTTTTCTATCACCATTAATTGAATGTCTCATGCCAGCAACTGGGGGGGGGGGGGGGGGGGGGGGGTCAAGGGTGGAATGAGGGATGGTTGTTGCGGAAGTGGCTTTCTTTCCCTTGGTCTCTACAGATGGCAGGGTGGGAATACGGCGCTTCATCCCGCTCGAAAGAGTGGAGAAGACAATGCTGGGAATAGGCATTTAATTCGACTGAGCCCACGAGATCCATTCGCCCAATTGGCGTCTGCTTTTTTCGTACTCACTTTTCATTCCTTCATGCACACCCTGTCCCTTCCTCATTCCACTTGCTACTTCACTACCACTCGACTCGACCTATTGACACCCCACTAACCTTCTCTTCCTCGTTCTTCTTTACTTCACCATGGACTCTTCAACCACCTCTTGTGGATTCTATGACGACCTGGACGACTACTTGGACGACTATCTGGACATTTACCTGAATACCGACGTAAACAACGGACCTGAAACCATTCCGGACACTGAAAACAACAACGCCTTCAACCGCATCGACTACCTCAGCAGCCTCAGCAGTGCATTTGACTCACGTCTCTCGAACCGCTCCTCAATCTCGTCCTCTATCAGCGGATGGGCATCGCGTGCTCGCTCTTCCTCCGTCAGCTCACAGGGCAGTAATGACTCTGTGAACCTGGACGCACTCATCGCTTCGGGATCAGACATTAATGAGGAGTGTCCACTGGAACTGGAGGAAGGAGATGATGTCGAATGGTCAAAGGAGCAACAACAGCAGCAGCAACAACAGCAGCAGCAGCAGCAGCAGGAACAACAACAACAACAACAACAACAAGCGCCGCAGCTAGAGCAACCCCAGCAGCAACAACAACAACTGCAACAGCAGCAGCAGCACCCAGTTGTCACAGTAAGTGCCCTGATTCTACACAGTACTGCTCATATGTTCTTTTCCTTTTGTGTTAAACATCTACACGAGAGAGAAGAGATTGAAAGAGATCGATCTGACAAAGGCGTGCACATCCTGTATGTACATTCTCACTTCAATAGCAGCAGGAGCTTATCAGCAGTAGAGCCAGGAGCAAGACCCTCACAACTGATTCTGAAGCACATATGCTTCATTACGATGAACGCGAAGTCGTCAATTTCTGGGGAGATTCAGAGGTAATTAACCTTTTTTTATTTATAAATTGGGTTTGACTGACAGAAATGATGCTAACATGCATCATACGTGTTCTCTTACTGAATGTAGATACCGATGACAGAGGAGGATGAAGAGTTTGATGAGACACTCCGCGAATTTACACAGATATCGATGAGGACACCCCCCATAGAGATCCGTGGGCTTGGGGTGACTCGACACAGAAGAACGGGCTCAGGATCATATCGCTTCCCTGACGGCAGAAATCCATTTGATCTCGAGGCCGATTACATGGACATCCCTGCAGGACTCCGAGCAGGAAGCCGCGCCAGCACTAGCAGCAACTATAGCACCACAAGCAGCAACCGAAGCAGCATCACCAGAATGCCCTCCTCTTCAGGTATCTCTCGTCTGCCAGGTGCAGGAGTCTCTGGTCTCAAAGTACCCGCGACGAGACTGCAACAGCCAGGGACGAGGTCGATGCTCGCTCAGCCCAAGGCAGGCGCATCTGCGAACGCCACCAAATCTGGACTCGCTCGACCCAGCGGACAGCAGGCACCTAGGACGGGATCGCAAGCACAGAGGAGTGGAATGCAGGCACCCAGAACCGGATTGCCGCCCCCAAGAGCTGGATCGTCTCTGGGGCTCGTTAGACCTGGGGCCAGTGGAATTGCCACCCCAGGACGTGCAGGCGCTGCCAATGGCAGGGGAGCCCCAGGAATGGGGGCCACGACCTCTCGACTCCCTTCGAGTTCAGGCACGGGTATCGCACGACCAGGAACAAAGAGTCAGATTGCCACGCCTACTGGTATTAAGAAACCAGCTACGACAACGGCGAATCGTCAGTCGCTTCTGCAAGCACCATCATCTGTCAGGGCAGGATCTGCAGCCGCTGGACGCGCGGGCCCAGGCAGCAATTTGACCAGCCCCAAGCGCCCGGCAACATCATCTAGTATGCTTACCAGCCCCACTCGAGGTCTCTCCGGTTCTTCCGCATACATGGCTTCGCCGACATCCTCCCACTCGTCCACATCGTCCCATTATTCCGGCAGAGATACTGTCGCACCTCTTTCTCAGCGGTTGTCGAACGCTACGGGAACGCGTCCAATGTCCAGTGCAGGACGAAGCGTGTCAATGTATGGATCGGGCGGTCTGCATCAGTACCAACAGCAACATTATGAAGACGAGGAGAGTTATTCGGTTCTGACACCGCCCCTGTCGCCGTCATCGTCGATGGCGGGATCAAAGAGCATGTCGAACATTCCTCGGTCCGGCATTGCGGCTTCTTCTCGACTTGTAGCGCCGTCGACAAGCAGGAATGGACGGGCGCCTTCGCCTGCGCTCTACAATACGGGGTCGAACGGTGGAGGACATGTTTCGATGCTACCCCGGTCCCATACCCCGACGTCTTTGCCGAGGATGACGAGCGGCCTCCTAAGTCCCCGTGCTGGACGACATTAAGCACTCATAGGCGACAAAGAGCCAGGCGATAGGAGACGGATATAAGAAAGAAAAAAAATGCATGTGGCGGACCAGGAAAACTGCAATGTCGATAACCTGCTTGCGACTGTAGGGCCGAAGGCGGGGGGCGTACAGGTGGTCATTGGCAGGAGGGGAGGAGCATGCGATTTGTTTTTTGTGAACAACAGAAAAAGGAAAAAGAAAAAAAAAACTGTGCCGTCTTGCAGAGAGGGTTGCAAGAGGTATCCTGTACTTTTATATTGTAGCTTTTTTTATATATATATCCTTTTTTTTTTTTTTTTTTTTTTTGGGCAATGATCCATCGTTCACAATATACCACACACACATACACACATACTTTTGCGATAGGGTTCAGTCAGATTGTCTAAGGGAAAACAAGAAGTTGCAGATTTTTTTTTTTTTTTCAAAAAGAAAGATTAGTATTAAAGAAAACGCATCGTTTGTTACAAAAGACATAAAAGACAAAAAAACATGCAGGAGTGCATAGACGCACGGGCCAGGACCTCATTCCAAGCATATCCGTAGAAACGCCTCCAAAAAAGTGTGATACGTTTGCAAAAAGGAAACCTTCATCTTTGTAAAAACGGGAGGGCTCTAAAGACACCAGCAAGGCGTGTATTTTCTATGAAGGCTGGTTACTGAACGCCTGGACAGTAAGGACATAGGACAAGTCAATGGTTATATGGAGGCAAAGGCACTTGCATGACAAAAAAGCAGATCAATACACGAGCAACGGCAAGCCATGAGCGTCTCGTTATACATAGCCTGGATGCATGAAAGCCATGGGCATGGCGGAGCATGGTCAGAAAGCGTGGCATTGCATGGGCATGGGGTAGACGAGCGATGGGCAAGGGCGCAGTCAGTTTGGGGTGTGGCATCAAGAAAGCATCGAAAGAAAAAGTATATAAACAACGGTCATTCCTGCTCGAGAGTTCCCCCTCCTCAACCTCTCTCATTCACTCACCCACTAGTACACACCCGCATCCAACGACACAGCTACAACTACAATTTCGATCACCACTGAGATGTACCAGTGCTCGCTCCTGGTCGAAATCGCGTCCAATTCATTGACACGAATGTCCCCCCACCCGAATGCCCTTCCAGCGAAGGTGGGGATCGCTCACTCGAATATAAATTCGTCCTGTTGGCTTGTGCGTTTGTCGCAAATGAACGGCGTGCTGAGTATTGGTCTCTCCGTGAGCTATGAACATGCCCATGAGATGGACCTGAGCATTTTCAAGAGGTTGTATATCACGAACTCTGTCGATCGAAATCGGTGGACCGATGTGATGATCGAACCCGGGGCCTTGCTTGAAGGACGTATTTTTTACGGTAAAGAGAAAAAGAAGAGAAAGAATAACCAGGGAGCCTTTCGTTGACTTTTTTTGCCGAAAAACCTCAAAGTAGACAAGAACCAGACCCATTGACTTATTCTTTCTCACCAATACGGCTTTTATAGCATCCGTCTTTCCGGACTTGGTGCGAGTCCAGAACAGATACAGCTTCAGACTCTCGCTTTTGGATGATGATATCCGCAGAAGCCCGATCGAGCCACTCTGGGCGGACTTTAGTATGCATGCGGTGGCTTCCATGCTTCAGAACCGAGCTGCGTCGAACGTGTCCTTTGTCCTTCCAGGACCTACAGAGCACTATTCCGTCAAGGCCGTCGTCTCCGCCAACCGTGCCATGCTCATGTGCAATCCGTATCTTCTGAACATTATCGACCAGGTCGCCCAGAACCAAGCCGCGAGAGCGGACGTGTCCGAAGCTCTTGCGGATATGTTGGACATGGTCATGAATTTGGACGACACTTCAAGAACCGTGACCGCAGCTGCGAATGAGACCGAAGGAGATGATAACGGCGGCGACGACGGCGACGACGATGACGACGATGACTGGGCCATGGAGGATGATGACTATAAGGCTCCGCCTTCGGAAGACGAATCGGATGAGGGCTCTGGCTCGTTCCACAGCGAGGACTGCTATGACGATGCACACACTATACTTTCCAAGTACAAGCCGATGTGTATCCCCGTGAGTGTCACGCCTATCGATCAGCTCCCGAGTCGCAGCCCTTATGCTCCCCCCCACCATTCGACTTCTGAATTCACGGTCGATTCGGACTGCTCGCTCTCGACGCTCTGTGTTGTCCTCTGGTTCGCCTATACGGGCCACATCGAACGATGGGTGGATCCGGCCAGATTCTTGATCACGACCTACGATACGGTCCCCCAGCAGGATCCCACGACCACGAGCGGACAAATGCTCAACATCCGCCGATGGGACCAGCTGGCGCGCTGCCCGTTCTTGCTCCCTAGAGCTAGCTGGGAGGACATCTACGTCTGTGCCACGCGGTTCGGGTTCATTCTGCTACAGGATCACTGTGAAGGAATTATCATGAAGACGATGGATCCGTGTTCCGCTGCGAGGTTGTTATTCAGGACCTGGGGACGGGGGGCCGGATTTGCAAGGGTCCAGGGGCGGGCGCTGGATATCTTGGCGTGGGATCCGATTATGCCGTATCGGGGTGAGGCGTCATACGATCAGATTGTGAATGAAATCAAGAAGAGGAGGGGGCTGCTTGAACGAGATGGTAGAATGAGAGGGTGAAGAGAAGGGAGAGGAAGAGAGAAAGTTGGGGAGGCTGACTTTTGAGGGAAGACGAGGGAAAGAGGAGGGAGTTTGAGGATTGCGAAAACATGGCACGCGGGCCGCGGTTGAGAGAGAGAGAGAGAGAGAGAGAGAGAGAGAGAGAGAGAGAGAGAGAGAGATATCTGGAGAGGCCGAGGGTTCTTGAAGGGTCTTTGCTGATGCAAGGAGTTGCTGTATCTTTTCTTTTTGTTCCCGACCTGCCCAAGAGATAGTGTGTGCCTTCATTAGTATTTTTCTTATTTACATTTGAATTTCGATTAAAAAAAAAAAAAAAAAAAAAAAACACTGTGTTTACACAGTTATATGATGGTCTGATCTATGTTGGCGGTGTATAGCTTGTTTTAAGAGATTGGGGGATATAAAAGAAGGTGTCTGTTTGACGCTTATTGCGAGCAATATAGACGTGTAGCGATTGATTGTGATCTAAGGCTCTGGGACCATAGCGTCTCATTCAAAGCAAAAAAAAAAAAAAAAAAAAAAAAATTACACTAAACACAAAAAAGGAAGTGTGTGCACGGACCAGGCACGCGTTGAAGACGCGCGTAAAAAGGTGGGCGTCGTTGCTGTAGTTATTGAAAATGACTGCCTTTATTTATTTTTTATTTTTTTGTCTTTTTGTCTTTCTTTCTTTCTGCTAAAGGTGGATCCTTTTCTCTATACAGGCCTGTATCCCAGGTAAGGACTGAAAGCAAGCTTGGACAAACGAAAGCATGGCAACTGCATGGCATAAATATTGGCATAAACGTAGGCATAGTTATTTGGCAAGCCATGGCGTTAATAAAGCGTGGCACCGACATGCAACCGATTGAGAAAGGTCTAGGAGTGGATATAAAAGGGCTGGCCCTTCATTTTTTGACAGTCTTTCTTCCTCTCACTTGCTCACTCACCTACCCACTTACTCGCATACGCACATTCACGCACATACACACACACATACACACACATACACACATAGACTGAACCAAGAACGTCCTTCGATGTCTCCTCAGCAGGAGCCGAATATTCGGGAGCTGACCCTCAGCGTCGACCTGTCTATCGCTGCACTTCCCCAAACACCCTCAACAACGCACCCGAACAACGCAATCGCGACCAGTGGAGCCGTGCAGTCCAAGCCTGATTTATCCTACTGGAATGTCACTATGAGGCGCATGTCCAATTTGTTGGTGGTCGGCATTCGTTGGTTCCCTGGTCAAACCGCCGAGGGTATAGAGGAGTTCAGACGAATGTATGTCATCCCACGAATGAACCGAGGTGCGTTCACGTTCGTGCCTATTCGGAATGGTGCCTTGTTAGCAGAGCATACTATTCAAGGTAACGATCAAGCAGATTTTTCTTTTTTCTTTTATTTATTTATTTATTGGCTTTACTGGACATGCAAAGAAAATGCAATACCCAGAAGATTGGCCTGAGAAATTTGAACATTGAAAAAATGACTAGCAATGATCTGTGAGAACAAAGTCCGTGGCGAGACCAAATTCATCTTCGACATCGTCCTCTCGACGATCGATGTAACCATTGGCCCAGTCCTCACCCCGTCTCTGAACTGCCATAATCCTGCCTTCATGCTCTCCCTCCTCCAGAACCAAGACGCCTCTAACGTGGACCTGATCTTGAAAGTACCCACAGAGCAATACTCCTCTTTCGCAATGGTCTCCGCCAACCGAGAGATCCTCTCGCGCCACAGAGTTTGGAAGACAATGATCGACAGCTCCGTCAGAAGGAGGACCGCGACTATTTATATGAGGGAGAGGTTCCCGCCGAATGAGACTTTTCATGTCAGGAGCGTGGTGCGGTCGGGAAACAGAATGATCCCGGCGACCATGGAGATTGCCAAGGACGCGAATGGGGCCAACAATTCCGTTTCTGATGTTGAGATGGAGCTTGTAAAAGGTGGCGATGATCTTGTCGGCTCCTGCTTGGACCTCTTGTCGCGACTCGCTTTCACCTCAGCCCCGATCGCTCCTGCTCCTACTGCTGCAGCTCCTGTAACTGCCGCCGGTACGGGCACGGATCTTTTGACCAGGTACAACGGTAAATATGGGTTCAACAGAGTCAATCTTGAGGCCCACAAGGATTGCTCACTTCAAGCACTCTGCACTGTACTCTGGTACATGTACACGGGTGGGATCCATCGACGCGTCGATCCTGCCGATTTTATTATCACGACCTTTGATCTACGCACATCACCAGTGCTCCCACAGACACAGCGGCCGCAAGGTCAGACAAGCCAATGGTATGACATCCGTCGATGGGATAGTCGTACACGCTACCGATTCGAATGCCCAGAGGTTCTTTGGCCGGATCTACTCATTGCCGCGAGTTGGTTTGGGCTCGAGGACCTGAAGGCGTATTGTGAGAAGAAGGTCCTGATGACCTTGGACGGAGATAATGTTGGGGATATATTATTTAAGTTTGGAAGCGCGTCCGAGAAAGTGAAGGAAGGGGCGTTGGAGTATCTGAAAGAACACATACCAGAGTTTACGGCGTGGGCCTGTGATCCTTTAAGGGAGTACGCGAAGCATCCGGAGTACTGGAAAGTGGTGGATGAGGTCTGGAGAAGGTGGGGTGCTGAGCAGGAGAAGGAGAAGGTAAAGGATGAGCTTGAGGAGGATGAGCTGGAGAAGAAGATGGAGGAGGGGGACGACCTTTATAGTTGAAGGAGAAGCGTGCGCGAGAGGTGGCTTTCGTGGAGGTGAAGCTGTTACGGTGTTGCAGCTCTATATCGTGTAAAAATGTGCAGTTTATGAATATGCTACTCAATAAAGTTTCTACGCGGCGACGAAAACTCTAATCAAAATAAGCTTACTTTAAATACGACGCGTTCCAATTGCCAGCGAAGAGAGAAGGGGCAGGGGTGAGCCATAGTCTATGAACACTGACTACATAGGGGTTTCGCACACTAATGATGAGATCTTTTGGATCGGAGTCTCGAGAAAGGGCCTTGTTCCTTTAAAAAATAGAAAGAAAGAGAGCAAGTACTATTTACAAGAATGAAGGATGTGACGACATACTCAGATTGAGATCGGCTACAGTATTCCTTCCATGCGTGTGTGTGCGTGTGTGTGTGTGTGGGGGGGGGAGGTTTCAGCAAGGGAAAAGTTTGGGAACTGATTTAATTGGGCGCCGAGGCCCAAAAACGGGGCCCAATTCACCGGGTCTCCCCGACTCCTATTTCCCTCTGACTTCGTCATATTTCGAAATTCCAGAACAGCGAAATGCAGCGCCTCCGCAACTTGCCTTCCGTCGATGTGGCCTCCTTGAACCGTCCTCCCAAGTATCTCATAGAACCTTTCTACCACTGCAAGTGCAGCACCTTGCTCTACAAACCACGTCGACCCCACCACGTTCGAAAAGCCAGTATGCCGCACCGAACTGGCCAAGTGGATGCTTTCGTCTTGCTGGTTTTCGACGCCTCCGTTCGCTGTGAAGCATACGGAGAGAAAGACTAAGCGAGATCCCGAATGCGGCTTGGAAGGCCTGGAGTTGAGAGCTTGGAGGCAGGCTGTGGTGAGGGGATCGGTTTCCCAGTCTGAAGTAAGCAGCAGGCTCTGTGTGGGGAAGTTATAGTCGACGAGCCCGTGGCAGGAGAAGTGAACGATCTCGGGCTGAGTTGCCAATGCAGACAAGACGTCCTGAGTTGTTGAACCAGTAAGGATTTGAGAGGACGGGAACACTGTCGTTATTGCCGCCACCTCCTCCGGAGACTGTTTCAGAGATCCTTGCTCCGGTGTCTCTGGCATGGAAAAGACCAAGGCAATTGGATTTCCCGGGCCAGACGCGTGATCATTCCCAAGCTGTTTCGTTGCCTCGCCCAGCCTCTCCTTCCGCTGCTTGATGTGGTAGAGGCTAGACAGGCTAGTTGCATATGTTGAGATGACCCTGTCCATTGTGTTTGAAGTCTTGTGGAGGCCCAGACCAGCTGCGTGAATGGGGTAGAGACACAAAACGCCGGTGGGTATCCAGCGGACGTGTGGCTACTCTTGTCGTGATGCCGGTGAAGATGTGTAGCCCAAGAAATCCATCACCGGTTGCACAAGGTTCTTCCACAAATCGCGAAGAAATTCTGTCAGCAGCCTGTGCAGTTCGGGAAAGACGTCTTCTTGGCCCGATTCCTTTGCCAATCGAGCTTGAATCTCCCAGCTCTTCTCCGAAAGGGCATCCTCATCCAGGTTCGGAAGGTGAACATTGTGAATTGAACGTCGGCGTATGATGATGGCATCACTCCGCAGATCTGTGATGTTAACCACGACAATATCCTCCTTCTCAGCTAGAGATATCATCTCCTCAAAACTCAGGTCCCTCGGAGGACGGAAGGCACCGGGCATAGCAAACAGCTCCTTACGTGCCTCCGAAATAATTCCATACGGCTCTCTTCTTTCATGGTACGGGGCATTTTTGAAGCGATTGTTCTTCAGCGCTTGCAGTGCATCAATATAGCGTCTTGCAAGGTCAGGAGTCACATCCGCGAGAGCTCGCTTGTCCACGCTCTCTTCCTGAAGAATTGCATTGGCGATTCCCCGGCCCTTCTCGAGAATCTGAAGGGCTGCGAAGGGACTTCTATGCAGATGCAAGTGTGCCGCTGCTGCATACCTGCTGATTCCGTAAAAGGAGCTCAGGTTATTCTTTCGATCCTCTTCGGAGGCCACCATGCAAAGCTGTTCGAGGTTGTAAACGCTTCGGTCAAGACATATACTGGACCTTCCGAGAATACTGTCCCTGAATTCATGAAGGAAGTTCTTGATATCCAAAACAAAAGCTAGGGTGTTGGTGGGAGCCGAAAGCAGCGTTGCCCCTGGGATGATGGTTGATTCAGCGAGGAGATCAACTGCCTGGTCAAGGAGGTGTTGTCCGCTAGGTACGTCCACCTTCTGCGGGAGGGAGCCATCGCTGACATAGCAGAGGTAGGCCGTCTGTAAGCGGAACGAGAGGTTGCTCAATACCGTCACCAGTGCGTCGGAGGTGTTTGATTCTGAACTTAGACTTCTCGTCATGTCGACTACTTCCCAGCCGAGTTGTAAGGACCGATCAAGGTCACTGTACTCTCTTTTGTCATCCCCTTGTTCCCATCGAAGCTGATAGCCCATCCCTAGATCGCTCTTGGTTGCGATTAAGATTTCACCTGTGAGACTACTGTCGGCCGCGACATCGGCAGCCTCCTGCGCAGCAGCCATCATCTTTTCGAAATCCTCATCCGTAGCCTCGTCCAGCTGGTGGACCTTTGTGAACAGGCAGTGCCAAAGGTTTCCAAGCGCCCGAACTAAGGCCTCGATCGTGGCGCCCTCTTTCAGCAACTTTCGAGTCAAATCTGTCGACTTTTCGGCCCAGTCAATGGCATTCTCGAGGTCCGTCTTATTCCTGCCACGCATATACCGAGCTTGGAGGCATTTCGAGTAGATCACCGCCAAGCGGGCGTAGTCGACATCATCCTCAATCGCCTCGAGTGCCTCCCCCAGGTATTTTAAGGCGTCCTCTAGGGACTGCCAGTCATTCACAGCGTGGAACTGGTCGTAACACCGCGATGCAAGATGTTCCAGGGATTCGTTGCGTTCAGGCCCTGGTTCGAGGCAGTAGGCTAACATCAGTTTCGCGGCTTGCATCACCTGTGAACGAGAAACTTGGTGGTCGTCGGATTTGGATGCTCCCTCGAGGAGCTCAAGCATCGTCCTGAGGATATTCGCTGCGCTGCTATAGATTTTTCCAAGCATGCTCTTCAGTGCGTCCATGTTGAGAACCCAGGCAGAAGACCTTTTCCAAGCAAGGCATGGGGGTGGAGTAAGAGAGGAATCAAGTGCAGGCAGGGTGTCAAGGCAAGCAGAAGTGTATATTCAAGTTTCTAGGTACCGGTCTATGAGGGATGTGTGGGGAATGGTGTAGCCAAGCAGGATCTTGGCAAGCATCAACCAACTGTGCCCAGAGGCAAAGCCGGGCTGTACAGAGGCAGGGGAATGGCTATGCAGTGATGATGCAGAGTCGTGGAACGCGACAGCCCAGAGATATGGGTTTATTCGATGCATTACCATTCGAATTATCTGAGACAGTTTCCCAGTCGCTGTCATCTTGTACGTCTGTCATCTTGTACGTCTGTCATCTTGGAAAGAAAGGCTATAACCAGTTTATCCAAGAAAATTGCGAATGACAACTAAAGGCATCGAGATATCGAGAAACCTGTCATATGCTCATGGCTATGTTCGTAGCACAAAGATGCAATGAAATGGGAAATGTGTTACCCCCCAGCTGGTCGCATGCACCCGCAATAGACGAGGTTCTCGGCGTTTCTCACAACTTGCCTGCCTTCTTTATTTCTCCTGCAATCCACGAACAATGGTAGCTCCCGACAGTGTCCTCCTGCCCAAGCTCTTCCCAAAAAACCTCGTTTCCATCGGCCAACTTCTCCGCAACCCTCTTGTCCCCAACACTGACACATTCAGAGGCGGCTGTGCTCGGGTGGGTGAAAACGATATCAGCACCGCGGACCCGGAAGAGAACTATGAAGCCATCGTCTCGGTGGACATGAGCGGCTGGTTCGACATCGGACTGACAAGGCTCCTGGGCGCTAAACTCAGAGGCCGCAGAGCCAACATGCTTTCCATCAGGGCCAAATCACTCGAGTACAATACCTTGAAGGACTCGGTGGATGTGTTCCGCCGCGTCTTCAGCTCCGATGAGGCCAAAAGGTGGATCAACGACATGGTGTTGCATAAAGCGCCTTGCTACCTTGTCATCGGGATCCAGACTCTCTGTATGGCCGAGTTCAAGAGAGTGGTGCTTAAAGAAGGTGTTGCAGGCGGATATGTCACCGTGCCGTTGGAAGCAACTGCACAAATCCCTGTGCACGTTAAAGGCGAGGTATCTGCTCACCATTTTGGTAGTTCGGTGGGCAAGAAGGTGTCGGGGGTATTTGGAATCCAAGTGCAGCGTCTTAATCCACAGATTGGGCTACCGGGTGAAATAAGACTAAAGTCGGACGTCTCGTGGAAGTGGTCGTATCAGAGAATCAAGGGAACTCAACAGGAGGAAGAGAAACGGCTCGGCATCACGCTGGAAGACGTGGCAGTGGAGGACCTTGTTGAGCTGCTGCGCTTGGACGCTGAGGATGATGAAGAGGACGAATGATATCTGATGACTAGTTAAAGCTTTGGGCTTCGTTTAAGCTGCAGTGTCAATGGAAACTAGTTTTCATCACTGTAGCGTGCCAGCGCAACCCAAGCAACGAAAATATTAACACCTGTTGTAGGTACAGTAAGGAGTTTCAGCTAGTGTGCAAAAAGTCTCTTCCACAGGACGAGTATTGTTGTGGATGGGAGTTTGTGTGGGTCCTACGTCGATGAGTCGATGGAACGAAGCAAAGCAAAGTGGAGCGGTCTAGATATAGTGGGGGAAGCAAAGAGCTGCTTACATGATTGATGTTGGTGATGCTCCATGGCATAGTGCTATACTTTCTTGGATATGAACACGAACGTTAAAATAGCATATTGTATATTGGCAGCATCATCATTCAGCATCATCATTCAACATCACCATTAACTCTCAAGTTGGGGCCTCATTTTGATTAAAATGTTTGTCACCCTCCTTTTGCTCGCCACCTTTTTTTTTTTTTTTGGCTCTTCGTTCACCTTCACCTTCACCTCCGCCCCTTGACGCACTTTCATCGCCCTCCTTCTCATTCAGAATCTCTTTTTCTTCTTCATCCATCCCAGTCCCTGCAGCCACTCTTTGCACCCTTTTATCGTTTCTCTCCGTCTTTTGCCTCCGCCTCCTTGTCGTTTTGTCTCTGCGTTATTACCATCAAGCTCCATATTGCACACTTGAAACTGCATACTGCATATACAAATTGACACCGAAAACCACATATTTGCACTCAACACAGCCAGCCATACAGGTATGAAAACAAAGCTCATCTCCTTCCCCGACATTCCCATCCTCTCCCCAGCTCAATGGCAAAACAGACAGCGAGGACCCAATGGGTGACATGTGTGTATATATGTGTGTGTCTCTTTGAGCACTATCCGTCCGTATGCTAATGAGGAATCACACTCTCCTGTCTCTTTATATTACCTTGAGACAGGACCTATAAGAATAGGAACTCGAACTCGCTCGTTCCTCCTCTCCTTCGCCGACCATCACCTCCATACACCCACGCGATGCAAACATGTCCCGCCCTAAAGATATCATGGCCAACACCCACAGTCAGTACAGCAGCAGGAACAGTAACACCATGAACATCAGCAATCCACGGAACCATCCCCAACTGGCCATCAACGGCGATGCCGAGCTCAATTGGCGCTACCTCCCAACCGCAGACACATATAGCTCCGAGTACTCCGCTGCCTCCGAGGCTGATGAAGGCGACGACGACGAACCCGTCCAGGCCGTGGTAGCAGCTGCACTCTCAGCCAGCCATCAACAGCAACAGCAGCGATTGGAGCAGCGTGGAGTAGGTACCCGCCCCCTTCTGGCACCTGCATCTTCCACTTCTTCGGTCCAAAAGGCTACAACATCTTCACCTGTTGCGTCAGGCCTATTTGCCACGTCCCCGGGAGCAGCTCACGAGGCTGATGACAGCACCGATACGATCAAGAGCATGAGGGCGCGTGCATTGGACAAAATTAACGGCAGGAAAGGACCCTCGTCCAACATGAGCACTAACTATAACAGTAGCAACACAAGCATCAACAACAACAGCAGTAATAATATTGGGGCAAGTAGCACAAGGAGAGCCCTATCCACAACCTCCGCCAGCCAAGGATTGTCATCCTCGCCCAGTCGAGTCTCCGCAGGTCAGAGTGAGAGATTTGCACCGCGGGAACTACCACCGATCAGCAACAGCAACAGCAACACAGCAGTCAAGGTCAAGAGGAGATCCTTTGGCCAATCCGGAACAGACCGTTCATCAGTCCCCAAAATTAGCACCAGAGCGTCGCAGCCAGAGCGCAACCATACTACGGCCGCCTCTCAACCAACCAACATCCGAAAGCGCAACTCAGGCTCCTTTAAGAGCCAGCAGATCCCATTGACATCGGAGGATGAGCAGGATGCAGCCTCACGAAAGGACAGAGCCCAATGTGCGACCGAGGATGGTGGCGTACTGGTGAGCGAGCTCAAGGCCTTGAAAGCCCGTGTCCAGGAACTGGAAATGGAGCGCATCGACCGCTCGCTCTCGGGTCTTCACGTTCAGGATCCTCAAGCTCCAACCCAGCGACATCTGGGAAAAACCGTCCTTCAGGACCAATCCTCATCAAGCCAATCCGACAAACTGAAGCAAATCACCCAGAAGCAGCGTGGGTCAGGAATATCCTCTGATACATCCAGCAACCTTTTGAGGTCTCCTATGGTTTCTTCATCCTCGATATCAAGGAAGCAGACCAGGAATCTGCTCTCTGCAACACCATCTAACGGAAATGGACGCTTGGAATCTTCGACCAAAGTCGATAGCCCTACGCGGACAGCACAGCAACCCACGACACAGCATGTAGCACTACTCCAGGAGGCGTTCAAGACCTTTGAAAAAGCCATGTCAAGTACGAGAAGCACGCATGCCAATCAGGCCGCTCAAGCGATGGGCAAGGTCGTTGCAAACGCCGTCAGCATGAACCAGACCATTCGCACCTGGATCAAAGCGGACGTGTCGCCTGTTGAATCATCTTCCATGACCTCTCTGCAGCGCGCATGCGATGAGCAAATCCGAAGCTTGACAGAGTCCTTGCTAGCTATGGCAAGCATGCAATCTGAGGCCGATCGGTCTCTTACACTCTCTGACAATACAGCAGGCGGCATGGCTATGGATAGGCCGTACTCTCCCAGGCTATCTACGGGTTTGCAGGTGTTTGGCCATGGACAGCGCATGTCATTGGGAATGGTTGGGACTGAGCTGGGAGCACATGGAGGATTCGACCAAAACGCTCCATATCCAACACGACCCCTGTCAGCTGTGGTACTCCACAATTATGACTCTGCCGGCTCTATAACTCCGAATGCCATGTCTTCTTCGGGCTATTGGACTAGGAATAGCTCAATTTCCTCTAGCATACCTACGGAGGCTCGCATGAGAGCAAGTCTGAGCCAGGGCTATAGCTCTGATTTTAGTCAAGATCAACGGTCTTCTTACAACGCTGTAGGTCCTTCGAAATATCCACATCAAGGAGGGATCTCGAGTCGGGAATCGTCGCCGCCGCAGGAGAACACTCAAGGCGTAGGTCAACGGCGTCAGGTCTACGCGCCCGCATTGCAGGACACTCAGCTCACAGTGGAGTCGCCGCGCGCCCTGCATGCGGCTCCGTATCAGCTCATCCAATCGCCAGGCCCTGAATACTCTACGACAGATGCTTCTGCTCAGTTGATGAGACGACAAGCCAGCGTGCGCAATATCATGGCACGGTACTCCCAAATGAGTCCCCGATCTCCTACGTTCGGTCAGGCAAACCTAGAATTGGAAACGAACATGGGTCAATCACCTTTCGAGAACGGCATGGAGCTGCAGTCCCAGTATGAGGATCAGTCACAGGGACTGGGGTATAGCGTAAGACAGCATCAGTTTCTCGACCGCCAGTACCAGTCTATACAGGATGCCCAGGACGACGTAATGTCGGCGTCGGTCGAGTTCTCATCAGCCGGTCATCCACGGGCTGTCCATGGCAGTCGCCGACCCTTGTCTCAGCAGGAACAGCACAGTTTCTCAGGGCTGAGGATACCTTCGTCGCCCCTCCGGCAAGGAGGTATTATCCAGCGATCCGGTCGATACGTTCATGACAAGGTCTTCTCGGAGGATGAGAGTATTGGTGGTTGGGGAAGTGCCAGTCTTGATCAGCTTCCGCAAAGAACCAGGAATGGAACTTATGCAGTACGATTACAACAACTGCGAGGCCGTCAGGATCAGCTTCAACCGTTGCATCAGCAGCTGGAGCAATTCTCACAGGGTGGACAACAGGAACAGTACCTGGACCATATCCAGCAGCAGCATCAGCAGCAGCAACGTCATGGAGAGTATTCTGATGGAACTGAGAGCGAGGCATTCAGTGAGAGTCAAATCCCACTGTTTGCACAGCGGCGGCCACAGTTTGGGGCTCAGCGACAGCAGCAACAATCAATGTACCAGGAGCACCACGGACATGCCAAGCACGGCCAGCGACAGTCCGCCCAGCACCACCAGGACATGATGATGACCACACCCGTGATACCGTCGCCCAACTCGTCGCCCTCGTCTTCTTCGCGAGTAGATGGTCAATCTCTAGCTTCGAGCAATAGCCATCATGGCGGACTATCGAATGCAGAGAGCCGATATCATCTATCACCACGAGGGCCTGCGGATGCTTCAACGTTCCCACGCCAGCAGAGCATTAGCAGTATCTCTGGACTCAGTGACGATCACTACCAGTCCACGCTACAGCAGCAGCAGAAGCGAGCCATGTCCTTGGCCAGCCAGCGCAGTGCCCTTCTCCATCAGCAGCAGTCTTCACAAATGGACGGAATGTCACCTCAAGCGCAAGCGCGTCTTCAAAAGATCATGAGCGATAGTTGAATGATTGACTGACATTTTGATAGTAACATGCGCCGGTAGTCTTTTTTTTTGTTCTATTACTCATCATGTTCCATAGTTTTGTTGTACTTGTATTATTCCTCCCATTATCGCCATTCATTTTTGAATTACTTTACATCATAAATACAGGACTTTATTGTCCTTAATGTGCAACTGTGAGCTCGGTTATTGTAAACAGTCCTTTTGAACCATGGAATACGCAAAAAAAAAAAGGGGGGGAGGATAAGAATTAGTGAACAAGCTTGAGATCGAATCATAGCGATGCCTTATCTGCAGTGCTGGTACATGTTTCTGTCGCGTCAGTTTGCATCGATAACGCGCGCATCTACTCGGCCCATGGTCGCCGTGTGCGCGCTTGGGTGCCATACTTACAGTGCTGTTGTCGCATCGTTAAGGTGGTTCTTTTTCGATGGCGGCACTGTGGAGCGTTCAATCATAGCATCTTATGGTACGGATATTCCGGACCATGGCCGCAAATAGTGGTTTCCTGCCTTTGCCATCCGTCGAGAGGTCCATGATAAGGTACGGACCATGGAGCCTCTACACTTGCCCATCACATTCATTTCGTTTAATCTTTCTGCCGTACCAACCATTCTGGTGAAGAGGATGGCTCCATTGATTAAAGTCTGTCAGCAGCAATGCACTGGTTAATGAATGTACGTTTTTATTTTAATGAGACATTTTTATCTTCGTCTTCCTTTGACTTCGATAACCCTGCTCTAGAGCTCGTCCTTGCCATTGATCCTCAACAGCTCGACATCAAACACCAAAGCAGAGTTGGCAGGAATAGCGGCGCCCATCGCGCGGCTGCCATACGCCATGTTGGGTGGGATTGTCAGCTTTCTCTTTTCACCGACGCACATTCCAACCAATCCCTGGTCCCATCCCTTGATAACCTGGCCAATGCCTATTTTTTTTTTAATAAACAAAATTTCGAACTGTGAGAAAGATAATTGCAGCGATGTGTTTTTAATGTCAGTTTCGATTTCTACTTACCAAGGGTAAAGTCAAAGCTGCGACCACGATCAACGCTCGAGTCAAACTTGGCACCGGTCTTGTGAAGAGTTCCGGTGTAGTGCATCGACAACTTGTCACTATATAAAAAAAAGTTTGCGTGGGTGAGAACACAGTCTGATTTTTTCCCATCGGTTGTATCCTTCGTATCCACGTCCATTGAGTGCCTCGCTTACCCAGCCTTGGAAAGGTTCTTGCAGCCCTCGGGCTTGCTAATGACATCTGTACATGTGTTCGGCACCACATACAAGATGAGGAGAGAAAAGGATAAGGGAGAGTTGGAACCCATGGAAATGGAGGCAGGTATATTAGTACAGTAAGATCATATTAAAGCCCAGAAGAGCAGCAGAAGCAAGTACATTAGCACAGCAAGATGGGAATAAAGCCCAGGAGGGCAGGGAAGAATGCTAGAGTTGAGGATAGTAGTGAAAAGGGGATCTTTTTCCTATCTAACGCGGACAGCGGAGACGCGCCGGGGTGCCCTTACTGATGATGAGCTCTGTAGGGGTGTCATAGGCGACGACCTGTGCAGCCAAGAAGAGAGCGCCAGCGATGAGGGTGGAGAAGGCTTTCATGATGATGAGTGAGGATGGGGATGTGTATGGAGAAGGAGAGGAGAGTGGGGGATGGAGAAACGATGCTGCAGCGACTAAGAAGCCCAGAGGGGTCTGAGTGAGCGGGAACTGATGGCAGCCAATCACAGCATGCCTACAAATGCGGCCCTCCTCTTTCCAAAAGCGGCAAGCACCCATGCGTAGTTATCCCAAGAGGACAGGGTTCAAGTATTCGCACGCATTTGTACCTGTGGTTGTGCATCGCGCCAGGTGCCCTCCTCTTTGCATTCAGACCCTTTGCTCACTCCTATATCCTTCTTGTTCCTCCCTGTACCTACTCTCATACCATCTTTACCTCTTCATTTGCCATCTTATCTCCCTTCGTCCCACAAGGTGCGTTTCATCTGGCCAGTACTCGTCTTGGACCTGCATCTTAAATTCGTCCGCTCTCAACAGCAGGAAAACTTCTATCGTAACAGACTCGAAAATTACAGCAACCACAGCCTGCCATTTAACCATACATTTGATAGGACTCACATCGACACCCATATGAAAGAGCAGCAACAGCAAAGACATTCGGAGCAAGAACAGCAGAAGCAGAAGGAGCATCAAAAACAACATAACCAGCAGAAGCAGCAACAGCAAGAGCAGGAAGGCCCCAAAAAACTCTCAGAAGAGGACATTGCAGAAGCTCCCGAAAAAGCCTGCCAATTCCAGATCCAGGTCCCCAGCAGCACCCCATACCGCAGCACAGCGTCAGGCTCATCAAGCTAGAAATGAACCTCGCGCCGTTATTATCAGTTTGAGCCCTAGAACCGGCTTGAATAGCCCAGAAACCAGCTCCAGCTCCATTAAGGCAGCACTCAGCATCCGTTCTGCTCTTCTAGTAGCCAGCGTCGTTTCTCTTGCACGGCTCAACGCCAGCTCCATCAAGCCCATGGCCTTTGTACCGAGGGTCTCGACGTAAAACTACTTAAAAGCCAAATTGGTTGGTGGTCTTTTGGATGAACTCCTTAGCAGTGGCGACTAATCGACCAGTTGTTCGTCTCTGAATATTTTGAAGCACAAGGGTCAAATACTGCGACTGCAACAACATTGAGCTCTGGGATGTCTATCGGTATTATTCCCCTTCTCAGAATACTAACAGATGACCACGGGCAGAGTGTAGAGAACGACGAGGACGGAATGTACCTGGGATCCTTGCCTGTGGAATCCATCAGGGAGGATCGCGTGTCTAGGAGAGTTGAGCCCGAAAGATGAGCTGTGCGCTTACAAAGCTTTCCGCGTTATTTAATCAAGATCTCATGGATGCCTTCGTGGCTATGGTGGTACAGAGCTGTGTTTGCTGAATCGCCCAAGACTGCGGCAACCAAAATCTCCGCCACAGTGGATAATCTCGAAAAAAGATATCATGATGCATTTCGATACACTGTACAGCTTTGTGAGGATAGCCACGGAGGCATTTCCAATGCCTCCGTGCCGGCAGTTGTTTGTGATGCTGAGACGGATGTTTTCGTCTTTTCTCCTTTTTTTTTATTTATCGACAGCTATCTTCTGATATATCCTGGACATTTATGTCCTTCTATTCGAGTGCTTGCATGCACAGGCACGCGTACGTCTTTTCAACGTCTGATTCCACATCACCTCGTCCGTGATGCTGGTGTTCCTCGATGGCATGCTGTAGCAAAAAAAGAAAAAAAAGGCAACATCCGTCAGTTAAAAAGGGACGTGCTCCATTAAATATCCAGTATGGTTCCGTAGCACGGCACCACAGACCCGCCTTTTGTTTCTTTTTATGCCGCTTTCTTCAGGAGCCGGGATGAATTGATTTCTATCCTGTATGATACATGATAAATTCTACGTCCTATGCCATGTCGTGTTTGGCTGCGTGGTAGCCGCTGGAGCGATTGTGATTATTCCATCCATATTTTCTCTGAACCATTGTCCAATGCGGATTCCAATGGATTGGGGTTGACACGGATAGAATGGAAGAGGGGGAGCAAAAGAAACGAGCTGTGGCAAGCAGCGCCATCCCCGTCTAGTTGGTATCTTCTATCTTTCTCTCGGCACAGTATCTAACTCGCAGGAACAACGGCAATTGAGAGGACCCTTTTTTTGTTTGTTTGTTAAAGGACGAGGGACGGAGTGAACAACCCTCTTCTTATTGCACAACTTTCTTTTTCTCTCTCATCTGTCTGCACACTCACATACACACATACAACACGTACGCACAGCCACCGCGGCCAAGTATTTAAGCATAAAATCGAGGATTTCCTCCCTTCTTCTTTTTGTCATCTCATAGCAGGACATATTACCCTTATAAGCATTTCCACCACTAATCGCACTGCCTATAGGTCGCCATGGAACAGAGGAAACGCTCTTCGAAATACAGCATTCTACGGGACACAGGGCTTGTGCTGCTGCTGCTTACTTCATTCATCGCCCCATCCACCCTTACTCAAGCAGCATCCACATCTGCCTTTATAACAGGCCATGACCAATCAACACATACTAGCGCAGCCTCATCTGAGAACATCATCCGATCCATCGGCTTTCGCAACTGTGTCCCAAACGTGTCTTCAGGCTCCGACTCTACAGGCGAAGATAACAGCAGTGCTATCAGGCTTTCGAGCTTGGCTTTGTTGTATGACGGGGAGTTCAACACGATCTCTATGAGGGCTGAGGGTTCTACAGACCGCGAATTTGATGCAACTGCAGGTAACTCGACACAAGTCCAAAGTTTTAAACGCGTTCGATCTCCTAGGGATTCTCGTAGGCAGGAAGAGGATAGCTTTATGAACTTACTTGCATGCTTCCTTCTCACCATGGAATAGCACGCGTGTTGTTGACGGCGTACGATCGCGTCTTTTACGATCAAAAGATCGACTTTGCCAAGATTGCATTTTTTATTCCACGGTAAGCAACATGTTATGTCGCCTATGATGTTTACTGCCAATTGTCATGCACGACCAAGGTGCTAATCATTCTTTCTTCATAGGTTCAAAGGAAAGTTCTCCTTCCAAGAGACGTTCCCAGCTCCAAGTTTGCTTCCAGAGCAACTCCCCAAGCAGCTATTTTCGCTTCCTGCAGTCGAAGCACTAGCCTCGATCCAGCTCTACGACTCCCAGGGCAACCCTATCCTTTGCACGTCCGTACCTCTCATCAACGCTGTCAGTGCCCATTCACCAGTCATCACCGTCGCCTCAGTCTCTTTGACCGCAGCGGCTATTGCCCTCACTGCCGTCTCTAATATTTTAGCTGCCTTGACATCTGCAGCCGTGTTGACTTCCATGCCCCTGGCAGCAGCCGGAGGCGGTATGGGGGATGCGAACCCTTCTAATGGACTCTCTCCGTCGGTGTGGGATGTGGTCTCGTTCTGTCAGTTCATTTCCATGTCAGGATCACTGAACTTGGAGTACCCAGAATTGCTGAAGCAATGGGCACAGAATTTTGCTTGGAGCATGGGCCTTGTGCCTTCTGAAAGCTGGAACCGTGCGATCAATGGGCTTAGATTGAGGACCTCGTCTGAAGATTCAAACAACGATGAAGCACATGAAGTTTTAATGTTCAGCAAGACTCATTTACCTCCAGCAGAGAGGATCCTGTACAGCGGCAACGTCAACGGCACTTCAATAAAGGGCAAAGCGACGAACACCACTGCAACTGCTGGCGCGCATGGCAATGAGACTGTAACAGCGCTTTCGATGCAGTCGGTCATGGATGGTGCTGTCAAATCCTTCGTCGAAAAGGCAGGCTACAACCCCAGTACTACACAAGCAGCAGCAACCGCCATCGCCCGCCGCGAGCCCTCTCGAAGCATGTCATCTTCAGCAGTCTTTTCAGCTGGCGCGCAACAACTTAATCGACGTCAGACAGCTCCTGCTGTTGCGCCCGGCAAGGGCCTGCTACCTTCACCAGCAGACAGCTCTCTCATGAACAGGATCGGTGATCTCCCCAATCTCAAAGCCATGAGCGCGTCATTAACTCCGACAATGTCTCCACAGCTCACTCCGCCAGCATCCTGGCCTGGGGGGGAATATCATACATCCACTGGCTCATTGACCCAACACGGCTTGACTTCGTTCGGCGAGAGTCTCGACATCCCAGCCAAGAACATGTTTATGACCTCTTTATTCCTCTTCCTAATATTGCTATTGGCAACCTCGCTTCTAGCCCTGGTCCTTCGGATCGCACTTGAGGGATACGCGTATGTACGTCCTGGGAAGTTCACAAAGTTTCGTCGACGTTTCAGCTCATATTACCTCGGCAACATGCTTCGAGTTGTCTTGCTTGCATATTTTGCGGTCGCGACTATGGCCTTTCACCAGCTTACATTCAAGGACTCATGGCCCATCACCATGTTGGCGGCCATGACTCTGCTGCTCTTCCTCGCGCTAGTCATCTACATCACTCTCCGACTTCGTCGTGCAGGCGGTACCAGTCTCTTCTTTGACGAACGACTCAAGTCCAAGTATGGTGCGCTCTACGATCAATACGTCCTTTCGGCCTACTGGTTCTTTGTCCCTGTGTTGGTTTACCAGATCCTGAAAGCCGCTATCGTGGGACTAGGGCAAGGGCGTGATGACGATAATAACATGCATCACCGTGGGTCCTCGGATGGTTGGGCACAAACCAGTTTGTTACTCATGGTCGAGGTGTCTTTTGCAGCACTAATGATCTGGAAGAAGCCGTTTGCGGACAAGACACCGAACCGTCTGAATGGCATCCTAGGCTGTGTACGAGTCCTGAACGTGGTCTTGCTGGCGGCCTTGATCGAGGGAACGACTGTCTCGACGGTTTCCAGAACCGTGGTTGGCGTGATCATCACTGGCACACAGGCATTGATGATACTGGTTCTTGCGATTTTAGTCCTTTATCAGCTCGGAAGAGCTCTCTGGCGACTCTGGTCGATCGTGAAGGCTAAAAAGGATAAGAACCGTAAGAAAAACAAAAACAGAGACCCCCTAGACTACGGAGAGATGCTCGTGGTCTCGGTCAAGGACGACAAAACGTTTGATGGGGACCATGAGGATGGTGAGCCAACTGGTAGGACGGCAAGCGAACGCTCTAGGCCAGGCGACGAGAGCATGACGAGCCTTGTGGGTATGATGGGTATTGGATCCAACCCCACGATCCGGTGCACGCCTGCGAGCGATGACGAGGACGGAGACTTTATTCACAGTGATTATGAAAAGGATGTGATTCCGGGCCGGTACCAAAAGCGAGATCCAGGAGTTTCCATGCCAGCTATAAACAACAATGGTAAACCGTTTGAAGGTGTTCAGGAATCGATCCGGGATTCGACCCAAAGTACGGATAGCCAGTCATCGTTTATTCTCGACTACTATAACCTATCCTACCTCCCAGTCAGCATTCGGTCTAAAGTCCTGAAGGAGCAGCAGAGCAGACAAGAGCCGGCCGAGAGGAATGAAGAAAATGCGGATGGGTTCAACGTTGATCCAGAAATCGCACTACGCCAAGACGGGTTTACAGTTTCTAGTCTAGTTCCCACAGAGCCATGGGTTCAGTCCGCATACATGACGCGTCGTAGCAGCGAGTCCAACATGTATCGAGGCCGTAAGGTTAAGGTCCCCTCGCCACGCCAGGACAACGATGATAGCGATAATGACAGCGATGACGATTATATGAGCGAGCTGCGGCAGCAACGGTATCGTCGGCGACCCATGTCACTGGGAATGTCTGTTCAGGGTCTTGGTCCCATAACATTCAGCAAGTCTGAGAGCAGATCTCAACGAGGGGACTCACTACCAAGACGCGCTGCTAGGCCGGAGTTATTCCCGTCCTTCAGAGGCACCTATATTCCAGACAGTCTTCTAGCAGGACCACCTCCACCGTCGGCGATGGGACCAAGACGGGGCTCCATCTCTTCTGCGACGCTGGTCACCCCACCATCTATGTCACCTGTGCTTGCTAGCCCTTCAGATGTCGACGCCCAGGGAACTTCCTCTCTTGCTTCACTTGAATTGGATACCACTATATCTGTGCAGTTGCCAGTACCAGTGTCAGCTGCAGCTCCAACCTTAACGGGCTCATCTTCCTCAGCAAGCTTTCGCGGCTTTGAAGAGTACCGCTTCCCAGATGAAGGGTTTGGTCGTACGACACAGCAAAGACTAGCAGATCAACGCGCGGTTCACCCACTCTCGCCTTTGCACCCAGACTACCAGCACCCGGATGATCTCTACGACGCCAAAATGCCCTCGCCTAACGAGGACGGTCCAACAATGTCATTCAAGTACGTCAATGTCCCGAATGCGCCCCAGGACGGCTACAACTCTCGCCGCCAGAGGCAATCACTGGAGGATGATACAGTAAATGCTCCGCAGAGGAGGCTGACGGTTCCATCGACTCCTACGAGGAATATTGGCTTCACGGTGTTGCAGACTATGAGGCGGCCGATTCCGCCGCTAAGGATTGTCACGACTCCCAAGGCTGTGGTCCCTCCACCACAAATCGCGATCCCAACCTTACCTTTGACACCATTCTCGGCTAGTCTGACGAATGCTGTCGATGCAGTTGGTACCGCCGCTACTGAAGGTGCAGGAGAAGGGCGAGCTCAAAAGTTCCACCATGAGCAGCTTACGCCCGTGTCATCTGTTTGCTCGAACGCGTCCTTGAAGGAGAGTAAGACCCTCACATTGGATCAAGAACCAAACATTGGGGGTGCTATGACAGTAGGGGGCCGAAAGCGAAGCTACTCGAATCTAGTCAAGCGTTCTTTGGCAGAGTCGCCTCGTTTGGGTGGGTCTTCGCCTAGCAGACAGCGTGCGTTGTCAACAACGCGCTTGCCCGTGCCAATCAGGCCCTTGACGACCTCGAGCGCCCACCGCGATGCGCGTGCTGCTCGCTGAGAGAAGCAAGGGAGCCATAGCTAGGATTCGTTTTTAAAGATCTCATTTTATTAGCTAGGACTCGTTTTGAAGTCCCATTTTGTTAACTATAGACCATAGTAGTGTTCATATTTTTTTTTTTTTTTTTTTTTGCTGCTTAGAGCTCAATGATCATGGGCTTCGGTCCGTCTTGTATAAAAATGCTCTCTTCTTCATCGATACGCACACTCCCTTCTTTTGCCTTGTTAGGATTTTTCTCATCGTCATCCTCGTGGCTGTCTTCGCCTTCGCTACTGCTGTCATCCTCATCCGTAGATTCGTCGTCGCTGGAAGTATCGTCCTCGTCGTCACTCTCCTCCTCAGACGACTCCTCTTCCTCTTCTTCTTCATCCTCCATATCCGGAGCTTCCTTAGCCAAGGCCTCCAGTCCCTCAAGATGCCAACCCAGGTCCGCTTTTTCAATCTTAAAATGATGCAATTCATGGGCCAACGTCCTGATCACATTCTCGCTCGAACTCTGGATCCAGACACAATAGTCCTCAATAAACATCTTGCTGTAGATATAGTACACATCGTCATGGTCCAGCACTTCTTTGATTGCCAACAGTACTCGGAGGATGCCTCTCCGACCCAGCTTGAGGATCACGTAGACATCCTGGAGGATTTTGAGCGACAGGCTCCAGTTGCGGACGAGTGGGTAGGCGAGTGCGCGACGGAAGCAGGCAAAGATAGTCTCTTTAAGAGTTGTGAACTGATCAAGCGCGGAGATGGTTGGGGAGAGTTTACAGATTGTCCAGGCGGTTTCGACGGTGGCGTCGCCCTCGGAGACGCGAAGATCGTAGCTGTATGCGAAGAGGATGTCGATTAAGCCCAAATACGTTGATTTCGTATTCTCCAAGATGTCTATGTGAAAAGGAAAGCGAAAATGCTTGTTAGCAAGAAAGTTCCATTCAAAGTGCATTTTTTTTTTTTTGCGCAATAACTCTTCGAATGTTAGAAAAGTTGGCTGCTTGACTTACATTCTCTACGAGGAAGATCCCGCATCAGTTCCTGCTCCTTTGCAGAGAAGGGCTTGACACCGGCAGAAGAATCGCCCGCTGCAAGACTCAGCCCTGCCATGTTGTCTTCCAATTCGTTGTTGAGGGAGGGGCGTGATGGGTCCACGATCGCAATAGCTTCGGGTCCAAGATACTTAACCGGTTCGCTCTCATCGATCAGGGGTTCTTCTAATGGGATCAAAGTGGCTGTGGAAGGTGCTGATGTGGGTTCCAGGTCAAGAATCAAGGGTTTACTGGCGCCGGACTCTGTATTTTTGCTTGATAAAGCTTTGGTTGAAATCTCTTTCAGTCCAAATGAGTCCTGATCCACTGGAGAAGCGGTGTCGGCGGCAACATCCTTGACGATATTAAAGATTGAAGGCGTAGTTGATGACGATGTATGTGAAGAAAGGAGCGTCGATTTGAAGGTTGTTGTGGTAGCGGGTATGGGTGATGGAGTGCTCTCCTGATTCCTATTTGATGTCGATAATGAGGTGTCCAGCTTCGTCTTCTTGCTTGAAGCATCTATTTGATATGCAAATCGACAGGTAGACAACCACTGTGTTAGAAATCAATACATCGCTACCCTTGACAAGCTAAATTTTTCCAGAATAGCAGACGGGATTTCATAATACCTTTCTCTGCTTTCTGAATCGCGCGCAGCTCGTTCCACCATGGGGTCTTGTACTTCAACAAATGCTGGATTTCTTCCTCCGTCATAAAGTCGCTCCTACAGGTTGTCGACAATACAAAATGTCAGAAGATGGTCTATGCAACCAACTGGTTCAAAGCATCCGTTTTGATTTGTACACCTACATATAATACTCGTCATCAAACTTGTCGTTCTCTCGCTGGATTCTGTTCTGTCGCCTCGTCTCCAGTGTAGCATGCTCAGGATCGTACACATCCAGAACATCGTTGGGAGTCTCTTGGACGTGCGTGAAGAAGCCAGAATACCGGTTGTTGAATCCATATCGCACTTCAGAAAAGATCTGTCCGGTACACCACAGCAATTCAGTCGGAACATTAGCGACCCAATGCAATGGCCAATGGTGCCCCTTTCAACTGCCCCGTCATCTGATTCTGCTTACCTCTTGTCGGATCTCCTGAGGCATCTCCCAATCAAAATTCTCATCTATTTCCAGCTTCTGCGTTCCCTCCAGTGTATCTCCACTGCTAATAACCTCGATCAGGGGTCGTTTGATCTGCTTTTCTGCCAGGTCGCCCTTTCGAACAAGTAGCTTCGTTAACATGTCGAGGTCGGGAAAGTGCTCGCCAGGTGATTCCTTGGGAAGTATGACTGTCAGCTCGCCAGCCCCAACATTGTAAGTTGCCTTCGCACGCTCATCGTCCACGACATTTCCTGGGAAGGTCAGTCTATCGTTGTCCATTCAACACCGTGGGATAGTTGTTAGATCAAGTGGTCCTGAAGGATCGAGACCGGCAAATGAGCGATAGCTACCATTTGTCTACTAACCTAAGAAAATATGGCTTCAAGTTGAACTTGAAGACCGGACCGTCGACCTCAAAGTCTACGTTTTGTGTCTAGTAAGGAGTACACAAAGAGAAAAAGTGAGTGCCAGAGAACAAGAAGAATATGACAAAGACACTTCGAAGTGAGACTGAAGTGCATCGGACCTTGATGTGCGGTGCCGTGATGACAATGGTGACAGAATCATCATCCTGTGAAACTGTGAACGTTGGGGTGATCATGCTTCGTATAGCGACAAACTGCAGCCAGGGGAGAGGGAATGGGATGGAAGCAACTTTTTCTTGTCACTTGGGCTTAGCACCATCGTTTGTATTTTTCAGTCGGGACAAGTGAAAACGGCAGTCCCACATTCAATGCTGGGCCAACTGAATCATTCGGCTGTGCACAACCGTCATTTTATTAGCCTATTCATGTACAAAATGCAGGCATGCACGCAACTTGGACCCCGCTGTTTGTTGTGCTACTGCCGCTCATCCTTAAACTCAGAGTATTCGCGAATGCGACGCACTCTTCTGCGCTTCATCTCCTGATATGTGCCCACCAAGCTAGCCAGATCCTTGATCACCACAAACAGACATCCACCTAGGATGTTACGATGGAAGTTGTCTGGAATACGCGTCCGCACAAATGAAAAATGGCCCAGGAAGCTATGCAAAACAGAAAAACAATAAAATTCGCATTAATAAGGCGCATCGTATCACAATACGGTGTTTACGAGACACTACATCAACCCTTCATCAACCGTACCTTCCGCAGATCGAAGAGATGGCCGGCATAAGAAGTGCGCCTACTATGGTCCTTCCCAGATCCCTCCTGTCAAAGAAAGAAAGCTCCTCTTCTACATTTGCCCCTGCTTGCGCTTGTGCTGCCGCTGCCACTGTCGTCAACGTATCCGCGTCCGAGCTGTCTATGCTGGCATTCATCCCGAGTCTCGCCACTCCAGAGCCTGCAATCTGCTGATGGCGCCATCGCGTCTCCAGACGTGTCACCATCTCAGTCCAGAGGCTGTTGTATGCCATCCTGATCCAGGGCATGACAGAAAGAGTCAGGGCAGGACTCGGTGGGAAGGTGACCTGCAGCTGGTCGTTACCGACAATTAAAAGTGGAATCATCGGCAGGAACGAGTCAATTAACTTTGTTCTGGAAAAGATGAGGATCACCGGGATGAGTGGGAGACCAGTCTAGAGATACGGACCGGATACATAGTCAGACACATAAGTCATGTAATAAAGTAGTATGCCTTTCTTTCTTATAATGGTTGAATTCATTACCCAGACACGCCAGCTCCAAGGGTTTGGGCTTCCCAATAGTTTTTCGCCCTCCTCTGTGCCGCAAATGGTCAAGACTGCATAAGCTCTAAATGAGGCCAAAGCATAAAAGCTGCACTACATCAGTAATTGGTCAAAGAGCAGCAGCACAAAAAGACGCGTGGATTCGTATTCATGCAACTGCAAAGAAACTTACCCATAAGTGGTACTTGTGATCAAAACAGAGCACGTCAACCCCAGGAATGTCAAGTAAGGAATGCCTGCGTGGACTAGCGAGTCAAAGGTTGAGTAGATATTCAGGAGTAGCGAGCTCGGCTCCGCCAATCTATAGACCGTGTTGCACACGGAGCATCGGACCTACGAGGCACAATAAAACAGAGGTGTAAGGCTTGTCAGTACAAGTGCATTTAGTATCCGGAGCATCGATGCCCTTGGTGCTAATGCATCCTAATGGGGTTTCCTCGTACTTGCTTCTTTGCAAATTGCTGGCGGTTCTTGTCGATCCAGTCCAGGAGACAATCTTCGTGTGAGATAAGAGTACACTGGCAGGGCTTAACCCACCGTCCCACACTGTCCTCCTCTGTGCCAAAGCAGATGTAGCATCGGTTTGGTTCCTGGTAAACGGGTGATGGTCCTGAGGCAGGAGGTGTGGTTGAAGCAGAAGCCGATCCTGCTTGAAAAGAGGGTGCCTGTTGCTGTTGCAGTTGTTGCGGTTGTTGTTTCGAACGAGACGAGATGGTTTCCAGTTCCTTCAAGAAGGTAGCGACGCCAGTGTCAGCACTGCTCGAGTCTGCTTGTCCGTGTGAATGCCTTCTGCTGCTGGTACCACTGGTGGTGCCGGTATGGCTGTTGCTGCTGGTGTTCCCAAGAGAGCTGGTCGACTGTCTTGAAGCATGTACGCTCGCAAGTGCGGCTGCTCGCTGGACTGAGGAAGTTCCTGCTGGGGCGGGCTCCATTGCGTGCTTGTTTGCTTGGCCTCGGATAACGCGTGTTGTTGTTTGCGAATGATTTCCTGGGAATGGGGAATGCGATTGTTTGAGGATGAAAAATGAATGTGATAATGAGCCTTGCGGGGAAGGATGTTCTATGGGGCTGCTTTCTGCTCGTTGAAAAGAGGGAGGGCGAGTGAAAAGTGGAAGCAAAGGGGAACAGCAAACCCCCCAGTAATTCTCAGTGGACGCGCCCCGTAATTGTTCAACCGCTGTGAGGGATCATCCTGCTTCACGAACTCCACCTTTGCATCATCACATCCCCTGTACTCCATCTACACCCCATTCTGACAATATACCATGAGCTCTGCTGTTTCTGATGCGGTATGGCAAGCTGTCATCGACCCAGAAAGAACCTATCAGGAGGGGTCGCCAGAGTGCTTGCTAACAACTTGTCCGCACTACATCGTTGTTCAATACATTAGTACACAGCCTGGTCAACAGCCACGCCCTTCACGCCACCACTGCCCGTGTCTTCACATCCTCTCCTGGCCACGTTGACCCTGTCCGTGGGTCTCTTCTTCGCAGCAAAGTTCGGAGTGTATGCCGACATTGAATCAATGGCCTTGTTCGGGAAGAGTGAGATATCAGAAGTCAACTGGAGGAATTTTAACGTTAACGGTCTGTAATATTTATTACATGGTTGTAAATAGGTCGCAGAAGCCTTCAATTGTCGCAGACCTTGCAACAACTATCCCCAGCGCCATTCTTCTCGGATTTGGAATTGTGTTTATGTTCCTCTCTGCCGGTCTTTACTTGTAATGCTCTTATCGATCATCATCAGGATTGCAGGACCACCACCAACACCAACGCCGCGCATTGTAGCAAGGATAAGAGACAAAGAGACATATTAAAGAGGCCGGCAGCGAATACAATGGACCTGCCGGGCAATTGAGAAAGAATAACACAGGCACAATAGAGCGACTATACCATTGTCGTTTGTTGCTGATGGTATGCTTGGTGGTGTGGCTAGACGCGGCCATCTTTGATACGCGTCTTGACCAATGGACGATCGACAGCAGCCAATCGGCGCTGTCCATTTTTCTCCTCTTTTGAGCTGCCGAAGGAAATCCATGTTGCACTTACCGCCAATCTTAATACTATACAGCCGGTCGGCAAAGAAAGAATGCAGGGAGAAGTGAATGAACCCACAGCTCCTTCTCTCTTCCCTTCCTCCCTTCGCTCATTACCATTCCTCTCCTTCTCTCCGCGTTTCATCACTACTCTTTTGCTCCATTCTCCCTTCCTCCTTTCGCACTCTGCTGGAAGCGTGTCCCAAAGGAGCAGTCGAACGCCTCGGCTCCCTTCGCTGCATGTCTGCATCCCTCGCTCCTTTCCTTCTATCCATCCTCTCATTCTCCTCTTGTTGTTCCCTTCGCGTCGCCGCCAGTCGCTATCCTCCACTTCCTTTTATTGTCCGTCTTCCCCAAGATCCTTACCCTACGCCGACTACTGCTTCTCCTCTGGATCTACACGCGTGTTCCCTCTCCTTAATTGAATCCTCTTTTTTACAATCTGGCTGCTGCTGCTGCTCTCCTTATTCAGTCTCCATTCCCTCTTCGTTTGCATCCCACTCATCATGACCGTCGACGATTCCGTTGTGCAAAAGCTCTGGAAGCTGACTAACGAGCTCACTGCCCAGCTCGTCTTCAACCGCAATGCGACTCTGGAGCTGAAGCAGCAGCTTGCTGATCTCCAGGTAAAAGCAATGATCACATTCGGCCCCTTATTTGCGCTTTTTCTTCCAGCAAACTATGCAGCAACATTCTTTTCGCAACCAGAATTTCTCCCGCGGCGAGTCGTTCTCACGTCATAGTCACCACAAGTGTCCGCTCCAGCACACAATGCGATAATACTCATTCCATCTTCTATCCTTATCTCTTTAACTTGCCTTCATAGGCAAAGACAGCACAGAGTTCATATCCAATCTCGGTCGTGCACAATGTAGCTTTGCATGCTACTCAAGGTACACACCGCGAAATTCTTTTTTATCAGAGTCGTCATCGTAAAATTCTGCAAGGAACTAAACGAATCTCTAATCATCATAGAACATACGGATATCAGTCTCAGGATAGCGAACGAACGATTGATGGAAGAAAACTCGCAGCTACAGGAGCAACTACGCGAGTACGAGCGTTGGATGGAGTATATCATGGCAAAATTCCGACTCCAGAATGTGAGTCTCCCCTCTACTCGGTATGCACTGGACCCTGTCCATTGCGGATTTATTTGGCCTACTCACACAGCACCAATACACTTTCAATCTCATCTAGTTTGCAATGGCGCAGAGTCGGAAAGAAGCTATGCATGAGGCGTACAGGATGGCAGAACAGGAAGGGGTGCGTTGAACAACAAAAACAAAAGAGTATAGTAGCATCTGACAAGTGCTCAGTTCGCTATCGAAACCTTATTAACCATCCGAACTCGCGTGTGCTGGGTGTGCTTTGCTGCTACCTTAATAGGAGTTAGCAGTGCGACTGCAGGAAGAGAATACAACGCTACAGGCACGGCTAGCAGATGTGGGCGCAGTAGCAAGGAGGGCGATCAGCGAGGAGTATTACAATACAGAGTCGATCATAGAGATGCTAGAGATCGAGAACCAAGGCCTTCGGGAGATGCTTGGGGTAGCGTCAGACAACTTTGCCCCCATGGCTGTGCGGCACCCTGGCAACCGGGTTTCATTTCCAAGCACAGGGTCATATGTCCCATCCAGTGGAAGTGATCGGGAACAACAGCTTGGCACCAACGTGATTGCGCCACCATCTCCATCAGAACAGACTGTCAAAGAAAGTGCTTTATCAACATCTCCATCTTTGGCATCGGTTGCTACACCTTCACCAACACCGCGTCCTTCAAAACCAACTGCACAGGATACATCTCCAAGCATTGCCATTAGCTCCGCGATGAGCACGGCGTCCAACTCGACAGTGACATCGCCTCGTACTAGGAAATCCAGCACGGACTCTGAGTCTGTCGACATCAAGGACATGACCAGAAAACCAGCGGCAACAAGGAAGAAATCCGATGAGACCTCACCAGGGGCCGTGGGTACGAAGGGAGGAATGACAATCAACACGCATGTTGTGCCAAAGCGGACCAGCAGCATCACCAACAACAACAACACTACCAGTCATGCTGGAGGCGGCTCGACTGGTCAAAAAGCTAAAAAGAGCAACAGGAACCCAAGATCATAGCCGTGTCCCTTACACGCCATATCAACACAAACACCAATATTACACAACGTCAAATGACGGCGCCATTTGCAGCTCTCCTCCCTCTTTGCTTTTTTTTTCAATCGCATGTAACATTACACTCACTCTAGTTTGGCAATAAAGCAATTGACGACGCACACAACGTTGGGCCATGAAATCTCTCCAGGATGACATATCGACGACATCGGCGTAGATAATCATGGTGTATATGCTTGTACGTTATGCTCAGCATGTGGCAGTCGGATGCACCCCTTTCTTTATGAAATGCCAAATACAAACACAAAAGAGAGGGGCAGCAAGGACATGATCCCAGAACGAGAAGTACGAGGAAGGCGATAACCTTATGGCGCTCTGATGATTGACCCTATTTTACCATCGATGAGAAAGTATGTTCTCGGGTCTTTCCTCCGTTTCCCCGCCGCAGCCCTCCTCATCTCCCTCGCTCGACCATACGAGAGCACCTTCTTTCATTTGATTCCTCATCCAATTCCTTAATCTGAGCGCACCAGCTGCATCAGGCCAGTCGCATTCGTTTCCCCTTAGAAAAAGAAAATGTTTGCTCGGGGTGCCAGTTCAAAGAACGCTTCTGAGGCTGTGCCTGTGTCTGAGCATGTATCTCAAGCTGAGAATGGTCATCTCCCGCCAAATACTACAGTGCACCTGCACCCACAGCAGCTACGTTCCGACAGCCTTCGACACCCTGCACACCCCTTTGCGCGCATCCAATTGACCGTTGAGCCCGATAGCTTCGTGCTCCAACCCTATCATGGACCTGTGACTGAAGACGACCCGACAGCCAGCCACCATGGCACCCCTACGCCTTCAAACCTCGTCCAGGTCCATTTCCGACGGTCCGGCACTGATACCAAGAATGAGGAAAGCGCAGACGTGTCAACAAACAGCAAACTCAAGGAAGAGACAGTTGACAACAGTTCAAAAGGCCCATTGCCCTCGCTTCTCGGGCCAACTGAAGGGCAGCAGGGACGTGTGTCCTATCTCAATCCAGGTGCGCAGATTCAAATAGCTAAATGGCGCGGCATGCCTTTGTGTCCTTGTCAAGTCTTTGGTCATGAGCAGCCCCTCACACCACACTTTATTCATCATGTAGGGTCATATACTCGGTCGGAGGATGCAAGGGATTACATTATCTATGGATGCATTGGGCTACTCGATCTCTATACAGGTAAGATACATTAAAGTCGCCAGACGATGTCGCAGCCTGGAATCATAATAGCCGTGAAATCTCATGTCATGCCACTTTCTCTTCGCCATAGGTCCCCACTTCATTGTCATCACCTCTGTCAAACCATTGGGAAATATCGAGGACAAACCTGTTTATGCGATCAACAAGGTCGCCGTCTTGCCCATGGTTGCTAGCGAAGCGTGTCGAGTTCTGGACAAGCTCGCGCAATATATCGACCCATCCACAGGATCTGTCGTCCATACTCAACAAGCGTCTGATCAGCAGAGCAACATCCAGGAACCAGCCGCAAAGGAAGAGGCCGTCGAGGAAATAACAGCGCCTGTACCAGTAGCAAAACCACCAAAGATCAAATTCGCCTTCTTGAGTCTCGGACAAGATAAAGACGTGCAAAAGTCGACGTCGGCTTCAGACCTGCCCTCACCTGCTAGTCCACTGGGCTCGAAACGGGTATCGTTCGACATCCCACGATTGGGCTCGCGAAACAAAAGCAGCACAGACCTACCGACATTTCCAGGCGCAAGTGCCGATACCAGCGATACTAAAGGGTTTTACGCAACTTCTCAGTCCTCTTCGCCAAAAGTGCGGTCTTCTCAACCAGGGTTCTTCGCGAAGCTGAGAGATAACGTACTGGAGAAGCAGCCTCGCAAGAGCGTGGACGGCACCGTACCACCAACTCTAGCGACAGACAGCAAAGCTACTCTGACCAAAAACACCGATCTTGTCAACAACTCAAGCATAAAACCGACTGGATTAAGTCAGGAAGATTCACTGATTACAGCTGCGACGATCTCTGAAGGCGCAACAGATGAGGCTGATCCCGAAAAGAATACCGCTCGTTCACCTCTACCTCCAGGATTGCCCTCAGCATACGAGGCAGCGGAAAAATTCGTGGTCCAGTCGACGAAGCAGATTGTCAGCTGGAGCGAGGAAGCCGTTTCTGGAGTTCTCAAGTCGTCCATGTCATCTGCTCCTGCGAAACCAGTAACCGTATTCGAGGACCAAGAGGAAGGCGAGCAAGCCCATGTAGCCCGTGATACGGGTACGGACCAACGAGCACTCGAAGAGGAGCAGGAGAAGGAGCGTATCTTGGACCGCCGTGTCATTCGTGAGATTTCGTCCATCTTCGGGACAGGATTTTATTTTTCAAACGAGTTCAATTTGTTGTCATCGAAGCAGAAGAGATCGGATTATGCTGAAGAGAACAAGGGCGATGTACCTTTGTGGCAGCAGGTAGATAGGAGCTTCTGGTGGAATGAGCATCTTCTCCAAGACTTTTTGGATATCAAGGTAGGCATTGGTTTTCCACAGTATTCTCTACGACATGAATATGTACATTTTAATACTCGTCTTCAGAACTAATCTATCGCTTTCGTCTTTGTCTAGGCTGATGGGTATATTCTGCCAGTGATGCAGGGTTATGTTGAGATTGAGCCATGCGAGATCGAGGAGCAGCCCTTCGAGTTCACGCTGATTTCCAGAAGAAGTCGCGAGCGGTCCGGCCTGCGATACCAGCGCAGGGGAATCGACGAGAATGGCAATGCGGCCAACTTTGTTGAAACCGAGCAGCTCTTGCGGATCGTGGTACGTGCGCGTCTTGCTTCTACTACCATGTTTCTTTGTTCCTTGATAGTTTTTGGTTGTTTTTTTTTTGTCGCAAAGTGCTGACATGCATGTCTATTCCTTAACCAGCGCAATGACAGCGACCATCAAGTGTCGTTTGTACAGACTCGAGGATCAATTCCACTCTTCTGGTCTCAATCGCCTTATCGGCTCAAGCCAATCCCGATCATGGAGAGGTCTGAACAGGAAAACAAAGTGGGGTTCAAAAAGCATGTTGATAGTTTGCTGAGTCAGTACGGACGGCAAATCTTTATCAATCTAGTGGAGCAGCATGGACGCGAGCTGATCGCTGGATCTGCGTACACACACTATGTCAAAAAGCTCGCCGAGCCTCAAATCAGGTACGAAATATTACCACGACCCCTTTGATGAACGAAATGCATACCAAAACTATTACGGTCACTCATGCTTCTCGTTACTGGACTATTGACGACGCTAGATATGTGGAATTCGACTTTCATGAGCAGTGCAAAGGCATGAAGTACGAGAACATTGACCAGCTAATTCAGAGCCTAGAGGGCCCTATTCTCGAACTCGGCTACTGTTGGCTGACTCCCAAGAACGACAACGCGGCGGGTGAAGATAATGGATCCTCTGAGTGCCTCTCCCGCCAGAAGGGTGTGATCCGGACCAACTGCATGGACTGCCTCGACAGGACCAACGTCGTCCAGAGTGCGATTGGTCGCTACATTCTCAATCATCAGCTTTTGCGACTCGGCATTGCTTCGTTCCCGGACAAGGGTCTGTCGGTCTATGAGGACTTTGAGAACGTGTTTAATAACGTCTGGGCGAACAATGGGGATGCGATCAGTCGAGAGTATGCGGGCACGAGCGCCTTGAAGGGCGACTTTACGAGGACGGGGAAACGCAACCTGCAGGGGATGATTAACGACGCGACGAACTCTATGGCGCGGATGTATCAGAATACTTTCAAGGATTATTTCCGTCAAGCGGCGATTGATTACTTGCTGGGCGCGGCAGATGTAGACGTGTTCAAGAGCCTACAAACGACCACGTTTGGCACGGCGATTGTCCCGTCACCGATTCTTCCTCCACCAGCTGCAATTTCTGAGCTAGTGGCTTCTGAAGCATTGTCGTCTGCTAGTACAGCTGAGAGTGCTGCCGCAGTTGCCGCTGCTCAGCATGGGGATGCTGGAGTACTGCTTCCGTCATTGATGCCGCAATCATCATCGTTGGTGGACACAGAGTCATCTGCTTCCGTCAAGGCTATACCGCAATCACCCGAGGAAACGGCCCTTCAGCAGGAAACCTGGGTCAAGATCCGAGAGGCGGCGATCGAGACATCGGCCGAGATTGTGATCTCGCCTGGCGAGGAGCGCTGGAAGGGATGGACGTTTATCTGCTGTTCTAACGAGATCAGCAGCTCGCTTGCGTCTGCATCGTCACCGCAATCGTCACCCCAACACATTCCTTCCGCAAAACGAAAGAAATCGTCCAAGAAGAACGCCCTTATCTTCGATGCGCCAACTTCGGCCATAAGTAACGTGAAGGATGAGAAGACGAGGGCATCGGTCTTTTATGACGAAAAGGTGATTCTTTTAACGGAGAGAGCGCTCTATATCTGCACGTACGATTATGAGATGGAGAAGGTGGTGGAGTTCTGGCGGTTGGCACTCGAGAAGATGACGGGGATCGATAAGGGCGCGTACTTCTTGACGGCGCAGGACACTTCCCGCCAAGGTCAGGATCCGCTCGAGAACTATGGGTTCGCGGTTGAGTACAGGGCGAGTGCAGGAGGAGAAACGCTCAGGGTAAACATTGGTAGTGTGCGCAATCGCAGGATAATGGGAGTTGATCGGACGCCACTGGTTCGAGTCGCGGAGACGGAAGAGGAGGATGCCGTAGCCGCTGATGGCCAATCAACGCTCCAGGGATCCGAGGACGCTGAGGCAGATACCCATGACGATAGTCGCTTAGTAAAAAGCCTCTCGAAAGATGAGCCTATGGAGATCCGATCGGTGCGGTTCAAGGTCGTCAAGCATCCGGAGACATCAATCATGCCCTACGTCACGTCGTCCGGGACGGAATCTGGGTTGAGCAAGGCGAATCCGTCCGGGTACAAGCGGACTGCACAGGATTGTGTCGAGTGGGTGGTCACGGAGATTGTTCAGGCTCGGTGTGAACTAATTTCCACTGCAGAGAGGGGTCGAGCGAATACTAGACCTAGCGAGCAGTCGCCTCGGGGAGGGATTGAAGCGCCGTCAGGACAGCAGCGCCAGGGGAATCATCACGGTCGCTCGCCCAGCGAGGAATACAACTACCAGTCGCCAAAGGAAAGGCGTCGGTCTTCGGTGCAGGTGGACTTGTTGATCCGGGATAGAGTGCTTCAGAGCCTGGAAGCTACCGCTCAGCGCGAGAAGGAGTTGAATAAGGATTCGCAGGAGAAGAGCAAGAAGTTCAAGAGGCCGTTTTCGGGCCTTTTCCAGTCATCGAAAACGTCGTCCAAGGAACAGCAGTCGACAACTATCCCTGGATCCCCAGACAACAACAAGTCGTGGTTGAAGAAACTGCAGCTCGGACAGGACTCGAGTGATGAGTCATCAGAGGAGCGAACGTGGTCAGCGGCGCCGGTGGTGAGAAGGAGCGAGGGAGTGGATGGGTCGGCGACCGCCAGGACTGAGCTAGTGGCGACAGATGGCCAGCCCGTGACAGGGACAGGACCAAAGTCATCGAGCAATAGCAACCGGAATAGTAGCGGCCATGGCGTCTTTGCAAAGTTCAAGCAGGCTGTGAAAAACCTTTGATTCCTATATTAGCCCTACTCCTTTCTTGTTTATCGCTTGTGGGATGCCTCGTTGAATGGATGTTGAAGACTGCTATTGGCCACGTTGAATCGTTGTTTAATGCATGTTGAATTGTCATCTCGATTAGTACGTCTAATCAAATGCGTTTGTTGAAACATGCCCCTGTCGCCACTGACCCCAGTGGCACCCATCGAGAAGGAGTGTTTCCTTGTGAACCAAGAATCTCGACCGTATTCTGGAGCCTTGTAGAGGCCAATCATCGTTCCGTCGATTGAGCCTATGGCGTCGTCGAAACAACTCTTTTCTCGAAAAGCTTCCTTGATCTCACGCTCGTCGCCCTCGTCGGGCCCGCTGAACGAACTTGGCCTTTAGGGCGTTCAGGGCGGTGATGTATCGTCTTGTGTATCGTTGAACCAACCCTTCGGAGACATCCAACGTTGACGAAAGAACCCGATACGAAGCCATAGAGCCGTTGTGTCCGAGGCGATGGAACGTAACCTTCAATTGCATGATGACATCTCGTTGTGGTTTCGTGCCTCCACTGAGAAAAACTGGGCGCTGGTCGATTTGACTGACGATAAAATTGAATTGTTCAGGAGTAACGCGGGGGGGGGGGGGGTTGCTTGAAGTCGATAGGAGAGGGATTTGATAGCCGTTCATCGCGATAAACTGCACTCTGGGGCGGGCAATTGTAGGGTTGGGGTAGATGTAGCGTTTTGAGGTTAGTTGTTCGTGAACAAGAAGGACTGTCTTGAGTTTGGGTGGCAGGAGAGTTGGGCGTGGAATGCAGGTCAAAAAAAGAGCAAGTTCTTTGCGGATGATTCCCTCCACTACATCGATGGCCCTTTTGCGGACGCTTTGGGGGCGCCGGGGCTCAGGGTTGAGGCGTTCGGGAGGCATGGAGAGAAGGAGCGAGAGTAAAAGAGAAAGTTGAAGATCAGCGTTGAAAGGCAAACGAGGCGTCATGCAGTTGAACTCCTTAGCGTCAATTTTTCCGCCCCTGTCCCTGAATTAAACATGTTTATCGTTGTTTAGAAAGGTACAGCATATTTATTCCTTGTTGAACGCGTGGTTGAACGCGTGTTGAACGCTTGTTGAATGCCTATAATCCAATCAGATTCCGATAAAAAATATTCAACAAACCTTAAACATTCCATAAACATCCATTCAACAAGACAAATGCATTGGTATTGCGGTGGGATTAGATTATGGCATGCTTAATGCACATAGAGTTTGCTTGAGGGAGGGGACCGTGCCTGATGACTATTTCCACGCACCCCATTCCCACACCCTCCATCATCAAGCCTTTTCTCACTTTGTAATTATTTCATGGTCCACACCTCCCACACACTTTCCTCGCCTCCTCGGTTTTCCTCCCTGAGCTTCATTTAGCCACAGCTCGATGCATTTAGCTAATAGTTTCACGTTCTACATTAGTTCGTACGCCGTTAGTCTGTTTATATTGGTGCAACCGTGTGCGACAGCATTCTGATCCGTGCAACACAAGAAGACCCCGCATTCTTTGGTCCAATAAGTGACTGAAGCGATTCCTGCCTCTCACACATCTCCTATTGCAGATAAAAGCTAATGGCAGCGAGAAAAAAAATTGTTAGAACTCCACATGACAGTTCTTCGACTTCAAGACCACCTGGTGCATACTTTGTTCCATTGTTGTCGACTTTGGTCTGTCATAGTAATGGAACTGTTTCACTAACTCATGAGTGAAAATCCACGATCGACTACGGCGGGCGCGTCGAAGCACCAGACGATGTATGGCCGAAGGATTAAGACGATCAAGGAATTGTCGAACGTGGCCCCATTGAGTCTGATGAACCTACAATAGCACATCAGCCTCAAGCTCGATTATCTGGGGAACCGGCGTGCTGGACGAAAATGTGGTTACTTCCATTTTTGTTGAACCACCACTGCCGAGTATTCCTTCCCCAGTCTCAGAAGTCTCAGTTCCAGTCTTCCCAGCCTCAGATACCACCGCGCCGTCGCCAGTATTGCAAATATGCAATCCAGACTGAGGGATTACCAGCGTGTCAACCTACATTTTGTATACTCTGTCGTATATTTACTAGAGTTAGCGCCATATTAGTATCATAAATAGGCTATATGCGTTCCTTCTTGCCAGGTTCATACCAGAGCACTAAGCCCTGTCCACACTAGGTTTACCTTCACTGTTTGCACGCAGATAGAACTGGGCGTATTTCTCTTTTAAATTCTATTTTCTCTTGACCTGAATGCCTCTTACAGTTTTATCAGGTTTATCAGTTACATCTCTGCTGTCAGACTACTTCATTGGTTGTTGTGAGCCGGGATGCCTATCCCATCGAGTCTTGTAGTTTCATATCGTCCCTACGAATTCGAATGGGTTATTCTAAATGAAATTACCGATATAGATTTTATTTTGTACACCAATAGAGAGACAGCGAAGGAGCGGAATTAGGATAGAGCTGAGGATGGCGGCGCTTTCACATATCCATCGACATTTGATGCCTAATAGTAAATAGTGGAAGTATATAAAGGATGTTAATAAAACAGAAGAGCCGTCAGAAATAACCAGCTTGACAGGGTTGTTCAATCAAGACGATTGCTTACCTCTTGTAGACGCTCATAATCTTGGCCACGAAGGCCTCCAGATGAAATATGGCCTTTTGTCCTGTACGCAACCTGTGCTCGTAAAAGGCGGCTTCTTGAGCAAATCGCATCTTGAGATCGTTTACGTCCACCTTCTCGATCAACTCTCTCGCCAGCGTCTAAATCCGTCGATAAAATGTACAGCAAGAGGACGTGTCAGTCCATAGAACCATTATAGAAGCGATAGGTATTTCCTGAATCTCAATGCTAAAGTGCTGCCTGGTACCTTCAAAATGGTCGTAGGATCGATGCAGTGGTTGATGAGTTCGTAAAACATGCCACGAACAGTCTGCAACCTTGAGTCATAGCAATGCCGTGTTAATAAATATAGGAATATGGCGACATGGCAATATTAAGGACAAACAGCATGATGGAACGTACTGCTCGGGACTCTGTGCTCTGAGAATGGTGACCATAACTTGACGGATAAAATCTTCCCAATCCATGCGAGGGATTTCTTGGCTATCCTTGAACGGGTGGCTATTCAGCAGCAATGGTAACCAAAAAAAAAAAAAAAAAAAAAAAAAAAAAAACACGTTGAATACCAAGAATTGCCCCAGATTCTATAAATCATCGAGTACACGTATTCAGCAATCGAAAACCAGGGCTAGATTCACTCACCATTGTACTTTAGCGGTCTCGAGCATTAACAGAGCCCTCCTAAGATTCCGTCCCGAGTCCTCTGCCAGCTTCAAGGCCAAGTTCTCCGGCAAGGGTCCACAGTGCTCCTTCTTGACGACCTTGTGCAGGACCTTACAGACCTCCGGAACTGTGGGTGCACCGACACGGACAAGCAGACAGCGGGATTGGATGGGTGAGATGATCTTTGAAGTGGTGTTGCAGCACATGATGATACGTAGGTTGCCCATGTATTTCTCCATGGTTCGACGAAGACCGGCCTGTGCGTCCCTGGTCAAGAGATCGGCTTCATGGATGACGACGACTTTGAACCGCTTTTGAGCCGAGGCGTCGACTTGCTGTGTTTGTGCGACTTCCTTAAGCAGATCCTGGATCACAACCCTATCATAGTTTCCGACATCACTACGGAGATTGAGAAGCAATGGGCAGAGACAAGTTTAGTTGGGGCGAAGTATTAATGGAATTGGACATTGAATTTCTAGTTCTTGAGATGTGCTTGGTCATACCTTGGGTTGACCTCCAGATGATAGTTGCTCGATACAACGTTCAACTCCAACTTTCTCTTTGAAGGCGTCTCAAAAATGCGCTGATCGATCTTGATCTGTCGGGTTCCCGAAAGAAATTGAAGTATAGAGAGGTGAGTTCGACTGGACTGTATGCTGTGAGGCATTCAACAGGTGCCTGGTCTACAAATGCTATGCTTGTTTCCTTGCGTACCTTTTCTGAACCTGGTCCGAACAGCTCGCGCAGGATGGCAACAATGCGGGTCTTCTTGCCAGCTCCTGGAGGACCAAATACGAGCATATGAGGAAAGTCTCCTGACGCACACTATCGACAGATCCATATGGTCCTTGTTAAAGATCATTATTCTGGTGGTTGTGTATTTTAGTGGCGCCAGCGTTCCAAAAAGAGCAGATTCCTATGAATTCCTTTACCAGCTTCTTGAGATGTGTCGAGAGATCTGAATGGTAGTCGAGTTTGTCAAGGCTGCTTGGCCTGTGCTTGTCTACCCAGAGAGCCATGGAGAATGTGAATGTGGTAGAATGGGAGCTGGTTTAGCAAAGAGAAGCAGGTTGGCTGGGCGCGTCCTCCTCTCGTGGTGGCAACAAACAAAATGCTTTGAAACGCGCTTCCCAATCGAGCGGCATAAACATTGGTGCAGTCACTCCTTGGGCTTGAACGGAGCTGTGGAGAGCAGGGGAGAGCCATTGAAACCCCACCTTCGCTTTCGCACGGTGGTTCCTACGCTGCTTTCGTCAGGCTTAAGTACGCATGTTGCGTCCCTTGGCTTGCTAGCCATCGCACGTATCAGTATCGTCGACAGGATGGCATATCTGGCCCTTCCTCTTCGTTTGGAATGGGTCCCTCTTCACTCTGCGCAAGTGCAACTTGGTCTACTTAGGACTCTACCCCGTGGCTTATCCTTTTTTTTTTTTTTTTTCCTTACCCACCTCCTGTTTTTTATAAAGCGATCGCCCTGCGTCGAGAATCAGACACCTCTCTCTTTTACCTTCCCGTCAAGACATCACAACGCAGTCGCAATGCCGCCAAAGAAGGGAAACAAGAAGAAAAAGCAGGACGACTACTGGTAAATCCCCTCACCCTCGCTCCCCCTTCCCCCAACCCCACCTTACATTCGAATCTTGCTTGAGAATCGGATCAGCAAACTGCTCTCGTTCGATTCTGACATGGAGAGGCAGGACGAACTGACTGCGGCACGCGAGCAAACCCTCTTTCGACATACACATCTTTCTTTTCCACTCCAGAGATACCTTTTATTGCTCTCAAAGACATTGGAATCAACGACTGATAATCCCTCTTACTGCACTTACTCTTCAAAAACAGGGACAATGAGTTCGAGCAGGACCAGGAGGTCCTCGGAGTGACCAGCGGCGCTCCTGAACCCGAGGCAGAAATCCCTGCCCACGTCCTCAATGAGGATGAAGATGAGGAGGGTGGTCTGATGAGTATGGTCGCCAAGGCTTCCAAGAAAAAGCAGCCCGCAAAGGAGGCCTCTCCCGATCCTGCTCCCCTTGACGAGGACAACGATGATGAACCTGTTATCAGGATCAAGACCAAGAAGGAGAAGGAGCGTGAGAAGAAGGAGAAGGAAAAGGAAAAGAAGCGTCTTGCGGCGGAAAAGGCCAAGAAGGAGAACCCTGCACCTGTCAAGGAGGAACCCAAGAAGGTCGAGGCAAAGGCATCCGAATCTGCCCCTACCCCTACCTCGCCTGCTGCTGCTCAGGACGACAACGACGAGGATGAAGATGACGATGACGCTGCTGGGGGATCAAAATCCAAGAACAAGAAAAAGAAAAAGAAGGCCGCTGCACCCAAGGAGGAGGTCAAGCCCAAGAAGAAGGGACCCGCTGGTCTGGGTGCTCTCAAGGTACGCAGCACAACAGGATGTATCCTGTTCATCTCAACGTTCATTTATCGGCACGCTTTATCCTTCTCAATATTGATTTGGAAACACTTTTCTACGCTCTGTGATTATCTAGGCAATGCTCGAAAAGCAAAAGGCAGAGGAGGAAGAATTGCGCCGCATCGCCGAAGAGGAACAACGCAAGGAGGAGGAGAGGCTGCGCAAGATCGAAGAGGAGGAGGCCGCCAAGGCCGCATTAAAGGCTAAGAAGAAAGAGAAAGAGAAGGCGAAGCTCGAACAGAAGCGTAAAGAGGGTACACTCTTGACGAAGGCTCAGAAGGAGGCTCAGGCCAGGGCTGCCTTGCGCAAGCAGCAGCTACTAGAGTCTGGTGTCATTGTCGAGGGCCTCGAGAAGAGCGCTAGCGAAGCCGCGGAAAAGAAGAAGAAGGTCGTCTATGGCAGCAAGAAGAAGAAGGGACCGCAGCAAACTCAAACACCACCACCATCTTCGCCCAAGATTGCTTCCGCATCTGTTGAGGTTGTCACACCGGCATCTGCCGCAGCCTCCGAAAAGGACGATGACGAGGATGAGGCTGATGACTGGGAGGCTGCTGCAGAACAGATCGATACCAAGGAGGACAAGGATGGCGTCAAAGAGAGCTGGGACCAGGCAAGCGAGGAGGAAGGTGATGTCAAGGATAGCTGGGATCAAAGCAGCGATGAAGAAAAGGAAAAGAAACCCAAGGCTGCGGCCAAAGCAGCCCCCGCTCCCACCAAGACTACACCCGCAAAGGCCGCACCTGCCAAGGCTGCTCCGGCGAAGGCTGCCCCTGGCAAGAACGCGAAGAATGCCCCCGCCTCCGCCAACAAGAAGGGTCCACCACCTAAGAAGCAGGCCCAGTCCGAATCCTCTTCAGACTCCTCTTCCGAATCGGACTCGGACTCGGACTCGGGCTCGGATTCTGACGATTCTTCCGACTACTCTGATTCCGACGACTCCGATTCGGATGAGCAGGAGTCTTCGACCGCCAAGGCTGAGCGTATCCGCAAGGAGCAGGCACGAGAGCGCAGGCAGGCCCGCATTGCTGCCGCTATGGCTGCCCGATCCAAGGATGATTTGCGTTCGCCTATTTGCTGTATTTTGGGGCACGTCGACACAGGAAAGACCAAGCTGCTGGACAAGATTCGTCAGACGAACGTTCAGGAGGGTGAAGCTGGAGGTATTACTCAGCAAATCGGAGCGACCTATTTCCCTCTGGAGACCATAAAGGCCAAAACTGCTGTTTTGAACAAGGACGGAACCAGGGAATACAAGTTGCCGGGTTTGTTGGTCATCGACACGCCCGGACACGAGTCCTTCACGAATTTGCGTACGCGTGGTTCTTCGCTCTGTAACATCGCTATTTTGGTCGTCGATATCATGCACGGTCTCGAGCCCCAGACCCTCGAGTCGCTTAAGTTGCTCCGCGACAAGAAGACGCCCTTCATCGTCGCCTTGAACAAGGTCGATCGTCTCTTTGGGTGGAAGGCCATCCCCGATAACTCGTTCGTCGATTCCTTGTCGAAGCAGTCTGTCGCTGTCCAGCGCGAGTTCGAGACCCGTAAGGACGCCGTCATTACTGCCTTCCAGGAGAACGGATTGAACGCGACGTTGTACTACGACAACAAGAATCTGGGAAAATACGTTTCGCTAGTCCCAACCTCTGCTCACACTGGAGAGGGTATCCCTGATATGATCATGCTGTTGGTCGAGTTGACCCAGACCCGTATGAGTGAACGTCTGATGTACATTTCCGAGCTCGAGTGTACAGTTTTGGAAGTCAAGGTCATTGAGGGTCTCGGAACTACGATCGATGTCGTCCTCTCGAACGGTGTTCTCAAGGAAGGTGACCGCATTGTTGTCTGCGGTCTCAATGGAGCCATTGCAACGAACATTCGTGCATTGCTGACGCCCCAACCCTTGAGAGAACTGCGTGTCAAGTCTGCATATGTCCATCACAAGGAGGTCAAGGCCTCCCTCGGTATCAAGATTTCTGCACCAGACCTGGAAAAGGCCATTGCAGGCTCGCGTCTGCTCGTCGTCGGACCTGATGATGACGAGGACGAGCTGAAGGATGAGGTTATGAGCGATCTCAAGACGCTGTTGACATCGATCGACAAGTCTGGAAACGGTGTTTGCGTGCAGGCCTCGACCCTAGGTTCCCTTGAGGCCTTGCTCGAGTTCTTGCGCGTGTCCAAGATTCCGGTCTCGGGCATCAACATCGGACCTGTCCACAAGAAGGACATCATGCGTGCCAGTACAATGTTGGAAAAGTCCAAGGAATTGGCGTGTCTGCTGTGTTTCGATGTCAAAGTCGATAAGGAGGCGGAGCAGATGGCAGAGGAGATGGGCATTAGGATCTTCAAGGCCGATATTATTTACCACTTGTTCGATCAGTTCACGGCCTATCACAAGCAGTTGACAGAGGAGCGTCGCAAGGACCAGGCACCCTCAGCCGTTTTCCCCTGTATCCTCAAGATGGTCACTGGCGCTATTTTCAACAAGAAGGACCCTATCATTATTGGTGTCGATGTCGTTGAGGGTGTGATGAAGCAGGGAACACCTCTCTGTGTCATCAACGTCGATCCTGAGACCAAGGCCAAGGAGATTGTGTATCTTGGAAAGATCACGTCGATGGAGCAGAACCATAAGCAGGTCGATACCGTCAGGAAGGGTAATTCTGGAGGAGGAATTGCCATCAAGATCGAATGCGCTGTCTATGAAAACGCAAAGACCTTCGGAAGGCATTTCAACGAACAGTCTGAGTTTTACTCGATGATCTCGCGCGAGTCGATCAACATCTTGAAAGAGTCCTTCCGCAACGACTTGAGTAAGGAGGAGTGGGCCCTCGTTGTGAAGCTCAAGGCAAAGTATGTATTCGATCCATTTCGCCGTGGTTTATGGACTGTGTATCCTCTGTTTCGTATGATCTTGCTTGCTAACGATCAACTTCTTGCTTTCCTTCTTTCTTTGTTAGGCTGGACATTGTGTAAAAACTTAAAAAACATAAAACATATCTTTTTCCATCATCATTTTCTTTAAACTATGGTGGTCAGACAAAATGTATCAAAAGCAACGGTGCGGAGTAAATTATTTATTCATGAGATCTAGAAGAAAACACTCAGAAGAGCGTTCTCTCATGACTACTTTTTGGGTTTCTTGGCAGGTCTATCAGCTTCCTGGTCACCGCCGTCATCTGAAGCGTCCGAAGCGTTTGAGCCAGAGTCACTGACATTCTCGTCAAACTCCTCTGCCACATCACTCTCGCTCTCGTCTGCAACAAAGTCCTCGTCGGCTATTTGATACATGATACACAGGATGCGGATACAAAAAAAAAAGTTAGTATCAGAAACAATGGAGCATTTGTAGGGTCTGACTTGTGGAGGGCAACTTACGACTCGATTCGCCTTCATCATCATCTCCGCCATAGTCCTGAATAGCGGATTTCCTCTTGCGCTTGCCAGTATCTTCTTCCGAATCGCTCTCGCCCACCATCTCGACATAGCGTCCTGTGGACTCGTCCTCCATTGACTTTGTCTTGATCTTCTTGTTCTGCAAAAACTCGTTCAAGTTCGCATATTCCTCACGGTTGATGCTTGAGAACGAATAATCAACGCCACTCTTCATGTTGAACTTCAGATCAAACGTCCTCGAAGCCGAAGCGGCTCCACCACCGACACGCGAGAATGTAACAGATCCGATCTCTGAGTGAGGAATGAACGTTGGCGGCTTGGGGATGAACAAGAAGGATTTGTCGAGTGGGTAGAGTACACCTTCGTTCGCCTTCATCGAGCACTTGATCGCAGACTGATTGTGGTAACTCTTGAAGAACTCTGAGGGGATGGTGACTCGGCGTCCTGTCAGGGCCTTGAAGAGTGTGCTCACGACCTCATATGTCCTCGTCTCATACTTCCTCTCCAGCTTGCCCTCGTACTTTGTTGCGATCGTTTCCTCGTCCAGATTGAGCGTCACATCCGTCTCCTCCTCCCTCACGAACTGGAAGACCAAGAATGGATACCGAGTCTGACCCTGGCGCAATGGGGGATCCAAACCAATGACGAACAGGACGTGCACATCATCTGGCTTCGGCAACAAGAACAATTTAATGATGCTGGTGTATGCAATCTTATAGTCAGTCGTCTTTCCACGAAGGCGCAGGAAGGTCGGGAACATGTCGATGTCGTAACGACCACGTGGGGTCAAGCACAATGTATCCGAGAACAAGACAATGCCGTCGCCCGGTGCAGCATCTCCAATATCGGCTTCGTTTTTGATCAAGTTATAGAAAATCTAAAAGCGCGAATCAAAGAAAACAAGAATAAAGTCAGCACTTTTTCTGGGCAAGGAAAGCAGCAACAAATTGCATGCTCGACTACACCTGCGACTCCTTACATTGGCTGCGCTCTCCTCCTCGCCTTCGCCTTCCTGAGCTTTGGTTCCTGGAACATAGAATCGCATCTCAACCAGCTGGTCTCCCTTGCGCCTTCTATCCTTTTGTGCGCTACCCTCGCTATCAGGGCCACCAAGCTCAATCATGACCTCGTGCTTGGCCGTGAGCGATGTGTTGGTGACCTCATTGAGCGGTACTTCGAACATATCCTTGTTCTGGACACTAAACACAAGGTTGCCATCTAGATCGTTATCATCAAGAATGTAAAGTGCCAAAAATGGATCGGTGAGCATTTTACTGCGGATCCTAGGTTCTCGCACGGAATAAATACAAAAAGAACGCCAAAGTCGACCACATACTTGAGAAATCGGTCTCTCCCCAGTTCCAGCCCTTGACGCTCATTTCCTTTGTTTCCAGTTGCAGTCCATAGTTCGCCTTGATAATATCCTTCAGCTTTTCGAAATCCTAAACAGCCGTGCAGCGAAAAGTCAATACGACTATCAGAATGGGAATGTCGGCTGCGCACAATATGTGCCAGAACAATAGGTCCTGACTGTCGATGTTTGACCTCCCTGCGAAAGACTTGACTTACATCACGCTGGAAACCATCAAACTTGACGATTCTGCCGTCGCGCAGCTGAATGCGAAGCTGGAAATTACGCGCGGCGCGAAGCCAGATGGTCCTCTTGAGATCCGCATCTCTAACGGTGAAGATGCCCTCGCCGTTGCGAGCCTTCCAACCGAGACCACTCTGCGCTAAACGAAGCAGTCCCAGCTCGGGGGCTAGACCGAGATAAATGTCGTCGAACTGGTTCACTTTGTCGCTCATGATGCTGGGAGAACGGTTTAGAAGAGTTGAAAATGGTATTCTCCTGTTGCAGTTCGTTCCAAGCAAAGGTGCAGGGTGCCGAGTCGAGTTGTGAAGTGATGTCGAAAGGTCGGGGATGGTAAAGGGTGAACAAAAAAAAAAAAAAAAGCGATTTGGAGGGTTGCCTCCAAAATAATAAACGCGCTTTTCCTCGTTTCCCCAAGCCACAGTTTCGGGACCCACTCTCAATGTGTTGCAAAGACGGATTCACACTCCAACATCCATCACATCCCGCCCTCCTCCTCCATTCCTCAAACCATGTCCAGCGCCATCATTCGTTCTTTCACCCGCACGCCCTTCCGTAGAGCTGTTCAGCTCCGTCGTGGAGGCGGCCACGCCGAGGGATACAATCAGCCCACGGGATACCTCTTCGGCGAGAAGGTATAGCTTCCTTCCGGGATTTACTTTTCCGTCGGCAAGGAACCTTCGGATTAGCTGGAATCATGACAGGAACAGAGACTATTTTACAGGACGACTTTGATGGAATAGTTATTTATCATCATGGACTTTGACAACACTGGATGCCAATGGACATGTACTCGCACTTGACCTTGAGATCTTATTCACTCAATTACACCGTCAACAAGCGCCGGACAGGATATCATTGGAAGCCTGGGCACTCAGAAACGTAGACGGATACACCAGCATGTGTATCACCAGCGACCGGGAACGCCAGACATCTTGCGCACCGGTGCCTGGTTTCTTTTTAGACTCGTCATCTCATACAAACATCATTGCCTTATCATCTCAACACGTTCCTCTGTCTCTCGTCTTCAACATCCCATCTAGCCCCTCCCCCCAGGTGCCAAGCGCGTCAAGGAGGACTGGGAGGGTATTTTCCTTTACGGATTCATGGGTTCCATGGCCGCTGGAGCCGCCCTCATCTACTACAAGCCCGATACAAACATGCAAAACTGGGCTATGAAGGAGGCCAAGGCAAGGATGGAGGCCCGTGGAGAGACTGTTGAGTACAAGCGCCAGGAGTAAACCCAGTCGAAAGAGTAGACGACATAGACACACGCCACCTACAGCGAGCATACGACCCAGCCCAGCAACAAATAAAAACAGCAATACGATGCAATTGCACAAGACTCAAGGTGACAACATATCGAGGCCTTTTTTTACTCACTGGCAAATGCACGCATTTCGGTCATTCGATATCAAAAAAAAAAAACGAGAATGAGCGTTGGAGTGGAGAGAGTTAATCTAACCCACTCGCTGTAAGAATGTGCTGAAGTGCAAAAAAACAAACAAACAGGCGAGCGATTACCAAAATCCGAGTTGCGTGGCCAGTGGCAGCAGTGATCCGTGAGAGAAGAACTCAGGCTAGCTCTCGCTCTCTCTCTTTCCCCTCTCAATCCTCGCTGTCTGAGATATCCACGACACCATCGCCAAGGGATCTTAGCCCACTCGTTTTTATCCGTCGATTCGATGAAGGGCTATGGCTGCGGTCGCGCCTTTTGAAGCTGCCACCACTGCCGCCCTTGTTACGTGTAGGCGATGCCTGTCGGGATTGTAACCAGGCCAACGGAGCCGTGCTGTTTACTCTCTCAGGGGTTGTGTTCCTTGAGTCATAATAAGGAGACGTTGAGGACGGAGGCAAGTTGCTTGATCCATCACTTGTGCGATAAAATCTGGACATCAGGCGACGGAAAGCTTCGTGCACAGCCCTGACCTTGGACGGGTCTCTGGCAAACACTCGGATGATATTTTCCTGAAACTCACTGGGGATAAGACTAGAGACCTTTTCCTTGGGGATATGGTAGGAAACTAGAATCAACGCCAAGCATAAAATGCGTTAGAGGCACTGCCTTTAACTGGAACACAATATGAGGACGAAGGGTGTACATACCTGCGTGGTTGTTCTTGGAAAAGAACTTGATGCCGTCGACTGGATTCTGATCTTTCATCGCGTAGTTGTTCTTCAAGAACTCGACAATGACATCTTCTTCTTTTAGATGGTCGTTTGGTCCCTGGCACGACACGATCTCTACCGCATTCACATTTTGCTAAAAGAAAGTGAAGCGTGGTTAGCATTGGACGGTGAAAAAGAATCGCATCTTTCTACAGAGAAGACATGGTATCCATACTTTCGTCAAACGCCCCAACTTTTCTCGAGGAATCAATAGCTCGTCCACAAATTTGTACAAGCTGCGTGTGCGGATCCGCTTTATGATGGCCCTTGATTCCTCCAAGCCCTACGGAAAGAACGGAACGTCAGTTGAGCTGCAGCAAATGTAGAGTGTACTTTTGGATCTGATGCACAAGAAATATTTCGAAAACTCACAGGTTCTCTAGATCGCTCGATCTGTCGCACAATATCGTCTGTCAGATGAAGATAATCCTCGCCATTGAAAATGGCAGATGAAATCCCCATTACTTTGTCCGCGGCCAGAAGAGCGTCCGTCAACATGTACTCGATTGCCTTGCCTACTCGGTGCGTGTAGACTCTCTTGAATAGGCTGAAGCGCGTATGATACAGCTCGTACAGGTTGTAGACCTCCTTGTGGTGCCAGCAGATCTGATCGTCAATGACCCTCGACATCTTCATAAGTCGGGAGCAGTCGATCGAAGATTTGATCCCGACATTGTAGCAATCACGCTGCAAATAGTCGTACTTGTCCACATCCAGAGAGTTTCGCTTGTTGGAGACGATATCAAATAAGAATGCATGGCGCCTAGAGCAAGGATCAAGTTAATTGAGGAAAAAATTGCATGATATCCCACTCCTTAGATAACAAATTTCGCACTTAGCACCTACTGCGTATTATATCGTCTCTCGCCCATAATGAGATCCTTTATAAAGTTGATTTCCTCCCGATCAATGTCCACGGCATTATCATCCACCAGGTACTCGAGCATCATCTCCGAACCTTGCTCATGTGTCCAGGTTGATCCTGGGATGGCTCGTGGAATGAATTCGTTGTCAAAAACATGGCTGAATGGACCATGGCCTGTTATTGCATGAAATCAAAATGGACACGTTCAGTTGATGGACTCCACGTTTCATTTCATAAGTGATCGCGGCCTTTATATGGCAGATATATCGCTCATACCAAGATCGTGACAGAGTCCTGCCAGTCGCACGCATTTAACATCGCTCTCGCTAATCTCGAGTTCTGGTTGAGTGTCGCGGAACCTCTCGACGAGCTCTCCTGCAAGATGTGATGTTCCTATTGAATGCTACAATATGTGCAAGACATGGTAGGGTCAGCATCCTGTTGGTTTCTGTGGGCGTTGCGTCCGTATTGCAGACCACAGCTGTTACCTCGAAGCGGTTATGTGTGGCACCAGGGAACACATAGTACGCAGATCCCAACTCTACGTGTCCAGAAGAAAGTTGTAATAGCAGAAAGGGATATAGTCAGATATCGAATATCTTTGCAGCCCTTCATTCTGATGGAGGCCAGGAAAACAACATACGCTTGAGATCTCGAAGTCTTTGGAACTGCGGTGTGTCGATAAAACTAAGACAATCGTTATTCAGTAGCACATGCCCCTATAGTTTACATTGGGTGGATGGAGAAAGAAAGAACGGCGTCAGTATGTACCATGACTGGAGACTGTGTGGGCCCTCAGAGTGAAGAACGATAAGAGAGCCCAAGATGGAGATGTAGAAATTGGTGGCGCTTTTTGAATACGCTTTTTCTGGTGGGCGTAATGGATGTTTGGCAGAAGAGCAGAGAATATGACATAATTCATGCGCTTTGCTTACATGGATGGGGTCGTTGATATACTTCTCGCTCGATCCCTCGTACACCCCAGAGTCGTCGCGTCCGAACAGGGGAGTGAAGGTGAAGGAGTTGCGACGGTAGTGGCGCTGGTTGTTCGGGGCTCCCAGGATGGCGCTGTTGTTGTGATTGTTGTTGTAGGAGCTCAGGTCGAGGTGGTCGGGGTCATGCAGGCTCGCTCGGCTGCTGTCTCCGTTGGATTGAACCAGAAAAGGGGATCTGTCTTCCATGGCGTCGGTGTGAATGGCAGCTTTTTGTTATAGAGGGAGTGGGACGTGGTGATGAGAGAGAGTGAGGAGAGCGGAAGAGAGAAAAGAAGAATGCGCAACAGGTGATGACGGCAGAGTAAAGATGAGTACAGAAAGGGCTGGAACAACGTCTTCAGGGCGCATTCTCCATTCGCTGAAATAACTCCATGGTCACTAGGTCGAGAATAAACTTTATTTACACAGTGGTCTGAAAGATCGTAATTGGCTTGAATCCCAGTACGTTCGTCTTCTTCTTGGTCCCTCCTGGCTGAGCAAGTGCTCCTGGCGTAGTCATTGTCTTATTGAACTGGAACTGCAGCCATGAATGCACAGGCAGGTGCGATAAATTTTGGCTGCGACGCTTGATCCCCGGTAGTTTGTTGTTAGCGACTACTGCGGGCAGAATCTTCGGCATCGGTGACAGATTCTCAACTTGTGGTCGACGTGCCATTGCCGTCTTGAAAATACTGCTGTTGCCGGTCCTATTGCTGCTGTTATTGCTGCTACTGTTGCTTGGACTGATGCTGCCGCCATTGACCAGACCCGATGTTGACATTAATGAGCCGGGACCAGCGCTGCGAGACCTTGATCGCTGAAAAGGCGAAAACGGTGTTCGTGCCTGACCGGTCTCAAACGCCATAGTGAGCCGCGAAAAATCCCTCCAGACCTCTGCCGGTGGGTCAATTGTTGCTCTTTGCGCTGAGGTCGATGTTAAAGAGTTGTCCTCCTGCTCATCCTCTGTCTGATCCTGAGCAATCAAAATTTCAGGCGGTTTGGGGGGCATAATGGGATCCAGCAGCCAAGTAATTGGGATATGTCGAACCGATGGCTGGGGCTGCAGTGGTGGCTGTGATTGCTGCTGCGCTGTTATTACTGGCGGTGCGGATGCTGGCTGCCTTCCGTAGCTCTGGGGAACGGTATCTGATCGATGACCTGGATGCGCAATCTCCCTCAACCTAGGTGGTGCTAGCAGTTTAATGTTGCGTTCTGTAGCCCTTGAAATGGCAGGTATGGCGTATCGCTGGTTCTGCTGGATGATCATCCTGATGAAGGACATGCACTCTTGCTCCGATAGCACCAATTCGGATACATATTCGGATGTATTATCAATCCGCTTCTCCAGCCAATCAATCCGGACCTCCCAGTTTGTCACTGTTTCGAGCGCCTATGTAGTCGGAGGAGTGCCGCGGTTAGTTTATGCGGAAGACACGGATCAAGGGCACCCGTGGCTGCGCAAACCAATTCATAAGATTGCCAGATCTGGAATAGCATCATACCTCGTTACTTTCTCTCCCGAGTGCTTGGAGCCGCTTGTTCGTGTCCTGTCTGTCTTTCTCGATAGTTAGAGCCAAGCATTCGAGCCGCCAAAAGTTCTCCTCGATCGCTGACCTAGTTGAAGCACTCGATACCTTGCTTTGGTCTAGAAAGATAAGGCATAAGCGATACAATAAGTAAGCAGAGCAGAACCTCGTGCTGAAATAAAAATAATATCGAGCAGCTGGGACCCATACCGATGCTCATTTGCATAGCTTCGAGCTCCTGCTCCATGCTCTTCATGGCCCGACTGGCCCGACTCATTTTTGATCGAGCTTTGGCCAGCTCCTCGCTCATGTCCGATACGCCCAGTCCAATTCCATGGCGAAGGGAATCGTATCTTTCCTCGGAGGGTTCCCTTCCTAAGTACGGGCGGCGTCGCACCGTCGAATGATGGCCCTCGAATTGGCGATGATACGGGGCTTTGGATGTCATGCTCCTTTGGTTCTGCGTATCGCCTTCAGCCTCATTATTAGAGTCCTGATCGTCCTGGTCTTCATCGTCCTCAAAGCCGTCATATTGCTCCCAATTGAAAGATAGAGGTCGAGGAGAGACACCCGTGGTAGACCCAGAGACTGACAGTGGTGTCGTCGAAGTAGAGGAAGAAAGTGATCCGTGTACGGAGGAGTTGGTCACTGGTGTCCAGGGAGACTTTTGATCGAACGGAGTGAATGCTTGGGGATTTGACGATGGGGGCAAGGCTGAGAATCGACCCTCGATCGTTGAACTTGACTCGAAGCCGAAACTACTCTCTGTTGGTGACATTGGCGGCGTCATCAGCGTTGGGTCGAAGGGCGAGTGTGAATCGTCGCTTGAATGGCGCTGGGCTGCTTGAGGTTGAGGGGGTATAAAGTAGGGCATCATGCCTGCTGAGAGACGAGCCGGCACCGACCGTGGGTCGGCCTCGGCGTCGTTGCTGTTGCTATTGCTGGTCCTGCTGCTGCTACTGTTGGGATGGCTGGAGCTGCTGCCACTGCTGGATGGCTATTGAAGCGTGCAGCGGAAGTAGGCAGTGGAAGTGTGCAGTGGAAGTGTGCAGAGACAGTCCAGGAACATGCGGGTAAACACTATGTTAAAAGACATGGATACAACCAAAGGAAGACCGAGCAATTGACGAAGCGTAAACTGACCTTTATATGAGAAGAATGCATGATGATAATGTACAGTGAGCAAAGAGTGGTTTTGCAGTATGAAGAGTGTCAAAAGTGCGAGCGGAGGGACATGAAGTAGCGAGAGTGTGCATGTACAGGACGAAAGGAGAGGAGTGGGTGGAAAAAGAGGGAAGCGGGGGGCAGGGGTAGAGGGACACAGGGATTTCCCAAGGCGCGCTGCCCACGAGGCACGGTTTGTTTGTTGCGTTGCACGGAAGGAGAAGGAGGACGATGGTGACAATGAGAGTGTGTAAGGGTGCAGCAAGTTTGTGTTTGTGTCTGTGATTTTATGCATGGAGGAATAAAGAAAAAAGGACGAAGGATTAGAACACAAAAGAAAGAAATGGCAGCGGGGTGCCAAGAGTCACAGCCGGAAGAGAGGTCGAAAAAAAGAGACCAAGTTGCTCATCTTTTCTTGCTGCTGTTGCTGCTGTTGTTGCTGCTGCTGTTGCTGCTGCTGGCGATGACGGCGATGATGGTGTGTGTGTATTTGTTGAGGTGCTGGGATGCTGCTGTAGCCTGTCAGACGAACACCAGAAAAGGAGACTCAGGGGCCAAAAGAAGAGGGGAACGAAGGATCGACTATGTACTGCGGAGGAAAAAAAGGCCTTGTCGACGGTTGGATGTGGTGTAAACAGGATAAGGATAAAGACAGCACCAGCTAGTCCGGGGATACGTAAAGAGGCACCAGGCTGGTCCTTACAAGAGGCCGGCGACAGAGTGCCATGGTGCTGAAGACAGTTGCAGCAACTCAAAGGCTCTCTCTTTCCAGCGCACAGCCTTTCGGCGATATATGCGCCCATTCGATAGAACATGCTACCGATCCGTGTCACAATATTTTTAAGCGCCGATTGACACCAAGGCCGGTCTCATTTTGCAGCGAAGGAACCTTATCAGGGGGTCCCCGGATCTATGGGCTCCGATGTTACAGCCTCGCCAACCAAACGAGGTGAAAGCAGCTGCCGACACTTGATGGCAAAAATGATAGCGCAGCTTTGTTGCTGTAGGCCTACAACCAGCTCTTTGAGTATACCGCCATTAGGGGTTGGCCGCAGGAGACCTCAAGTGTACAGCACATGAAGAAGACATTGAACACATTCAATCCGGACCAAAAGTCCTCGCCTTTCCTACCAGGAAAAAGTTGAAGCCAGGACATCACATCTTGCCCAGAAAATTTTCATCTCAGCTCTTGCCTCCAACTGCGTTCGAAACAAGGATGACAACCATATATCATGAGCAATAGCTGGCCCACGATGTGCACCATAGCTGAACAAGACGCATTGGACTGAGACAGGCGCACAGCGCATATAATCAGCTTAACAGTATCTCCGTGTAGCTGACGCGTCAACCCTATGCGAAGAGACAGCGGGTAGAGAGGGTCGACGTGCCAAAGCTGAGTAGATCGAAGTGGGAGGATAACGAGATAGAATGCTGGTGGTGAATTAGAAGGTGTTTGTTGGATAGAAAAGTCTAATTTTTGGAATAGAGTCTCACGCACGGTTCAATTGCCGTTGACCGCGTCAAAAGTCTACAGCACCACGTATTTGTTTAAAGATCCTTAGCTATTCTAGACGGCCTTCATTAAGCTAAGCAGCTTCCTGATGATCTGATGAATTGGATCGGCAAACGCCTGAAGAAGCGAAATGATTTTGCTCCAAAGGGAGTGAGTAGAACTGGTGGATTAAAATCCTTCCGAAGGACCATATCCAAAGAGGGCTCATTTACCACAGGGAAACGAGCTTTAAGTTGCCCCGGTCATGCACAAATGCGCCTGTCCCTCCCCTCGACTCTAAAGTGACCACGATATTCCATGAAGGGCCACATTCTCCTTTTATGCGCCGAAGACATCTATCTTTCCCAGCCAACTTCCCCCATATTATACACAGGCCGGCTGAAGGAAACAAGAACAAAAAGCACGCGAGAGACCTACGCAATATCGATGTATCCGACGATGATGTAACAGCGCCAGATGAGCAATCTGCTGTCTCAGTATCTAACTCGGCCCCTAAAAATGTAGTGCGACGAGAATTTTTCGCTCAGGAACCTTCTTCATGGGTATGAATGATACCATTCAACCGCTTTCGATAAATGTCTTTGTATGCACTAAGGTCAAAAGGGCCAATGTACTTCCTTCAAGGTATGTCACAAGCCCTGGATCAACTTCGTATGCGCTCAAGTATCGCCCACTTGCTTGAAAATCGATATACCCGTCATTGTGCTCTCCGAATAGGTGGGACAAATATTTGATACTGTCGGCCCAAAGTACGGCGCCTGCCATGCTGCCTGGACCATCTCCCTGGTGCACCTCGATACGGTTGTTTCATGTGCCTCTGTTTCTGGTTCACAGAGCGCTTTAGGAACGAGGTTGTCCCATTTATTTTATTTGTAGCCAAGTGGTTTCTATCGCTCATCTATACTTTATTTCAGCCCAGGGATTCTCGAGAAATTATAATAGAATTTTTTTCTGCAGAGATCGAGGCGCTCAAATAGCAAGAGGAATCAAAAGCTAGCTTCCCTCGTGTCAAAGTACCCATGGGGATCTGGATCGATGACCATTATGATTGGTTGCTCCTAAGAGTGGCGAGTGATATTCGACAAGGATGCAGAGAAACACAGCCCCGTGAGTCGTGCCTGGAAGCTTTCCACGTCGAGTTTCACCCAGTCTCGTATGGTTTTGCAAGCGCAGAGAGCTAAGGTAATGTCGCGAACGTAGCATCCACGTTCATGCCATCAATTTTAGATATCTATCGCTCACTATTGCTTGATTCTCTTTCTAGATATCATTCTTTTGAAAGGACTAACTAAGGTGCTACAGATTACCGATGTCTACCATATCCAACAAGCCATCCGCGGACCATCAGAGCCAAATGAAACCTGAGCTATTCTTCTAATAATAACGGACCCAAGTCAGCTTTGCAATGTTACCCATTTACTAACATTTGATAATGCTCCTCAACTTAGATGCAGTGATTTTTTCTGTGCAGTGCGGTATCTAACATTGCGCATCTCCATATTTTGTTACTCACTTAGTTGTTCGAATTATGCATTATAAAGAGCGCATGCAGCATTATCGCTATTATCGTGAGCGTTGTGAAAAAGATTAAGATCTTCTTCATCATCTTTGCAGGGACTATTTTGGCACTCGCACGCGCGTTCTTGCATCTTCTGTGGGTCAATACTTCAGAAGACGACAAGGGCGACGAAGAAAGAGTCAGAGTATCCGATTATCCGCAAGGCTTTGCCCAGGCGCCTTTGGCCACGTATTACTTCGTGAGCGGACGGAACAATCCTGTCGATGACAAGTTTGAATCGAAGGACGAAGTCTTCCCGGTTATGAAGGCGACGTTTATAAGGGCAATAAGGGCATTCAGCATCAAGTTGAGTGTCAGGAAGAAATAGATAGCCATCATGATGTAAAGATGGAAGCTGGCACCTAGTTTAGCTCGAGAACTGACTTCATTATGTCGAACAGGCTAAGAACATGTCCTTTCTATTCGTGTCTTTTGGATGTCATTTTATTTCAAGCCTCAAACTAGGCTTCTGGCGAAAACACAATTGCAGTGTAACTCTGAGGGGAGGGCTAGGAATACGACGACAAGTATTTTAAGGATTCTGAACTAGTACCGGGTACTTTTATCCATGCGTCAACGACCTATAAATATTCGTAATAGCACGGCTATCTGCAGGTAGCACTGCATGAAGGCGAATTTTATACTAGCAGAGTATCCATTAGATTCTATGGATGATCAACAGCACAAAGGTGGGGTCGAGTCGCCTCCAAGTCATGCCTGCTGTGCTAACACTTTTTGCTGTCGCGTCACTTGCGATGGTCTGTGCCACACCGCTGTGCTGTTGTGCCATTTTTGGATTTTCGGTGAACCTTAATTGTGTGGGATTGGTGGTGAAGGCAGTGCTGTTTGACAAAAAAAGGTGTTTTCAATGAATAACCACGAAACACAGCAGTCGCATGTGCAAGAGTAAAAGATGCGGGACAAATGGGGGGGGGGGGGGGGGTATTTTATTATTTACTATTTACTATTACAATACACGACGCAAGGGTAATTAGAGCGCGATGGATGAGTCTCAATTAGGGTCCTCGAACTTGATCCGTAACACGAGTTGTTCCTCGGACCGTCTGGGCTCACCGTCCTGGGCATCCTCACCTAGCTCTTCTACACGAGATTCCAGAACCAGTTCAATGACACCGACTTGCTTTAGGATAGCCACAACGCGTCCTAAATTATGCCTCCGCTCCTCTTCTGGTGGAAACGCGTTCTAAAAAAACCGGGTTGCGAAGAACGGTAAAAAAAAAGTAACGTTAGCGAACAGACCATGAAGGCAAGATCCTGAAGAAAAAAAAATCAAAGCATGCCGTACCTGCACTAGGTCTTTGTGGTAGATCTCACTCTGAGGACTCTCTACGAGCAATTCTAGTACCCTGACCATGGTCAATCCGATACTGTCGCCAGGGAACAGCTGTCTGCACAGATTTCGCATTTGCGCCAGCTTTCTTGTCTTCGCTTCTGTCAGCCTGCCGAGTTCCTTGTCCGTCTACAGATGTCAATAAAACGTCAATGTTCAGTATTCATATCCAACATAAAATCGTCGATGCTATATCGCCAATTGCTGTTTGGCGAACTGCTGCTTCAAAGACACAATGCTTCACCTTTGCTTGTCGTGACTCCAGCTCCCGAAGGTAGGATGCGGTGAGGCGGGAGAATGCATCTTTGTATGCATCCTGGTCACGAGGATCTACATGGAATCCAGCTGGCCATACTTGCTCCAAGTAGCCGTGATGCTCCGAATACATCGTCCATATTGGACCTAAAAGGCAGAGAAAGAGGGGTAAAAAGTTTGATAAATACCAAAGGTAACAGAGCGGGACTAAGGGTTCCTCACCACCGAGTAGATAAGTGAGCAAAGCAACATACTGGGCTCAAAGTTATCCTGGCCTGAGGGGTTGCTTCTGCTCCAGGATTCTGCTTTTGACCGGAGTTCGTTGAGAGATCGCTGCTTGTCGTCGATCTTCTGCTGATTCTCTAGGACTCTTTGATTCCTTCTTGCAATCTCCTTCCTACGCTCCTCGATCTTCATCCTGAGCTCACGAGATTCCTAAAATGAAAGAAAACGGGATCAGAGATCGTCCAACGGAGGCGCGCGTCAAGCGACGCTGATATTGCGATCCTTATATCATGTTCTTACATTGGTGGGATTTCGTCTCAGCCGTTTCACGGAACCTGCTTTGCCCGTGGAATTGAACTGATCGTACAATTGGTTGACCTCTTCGCGTTTCTGATCCAAAACCTCATCCAGTTCTGTTTGACTTCTGCTGTGTTCTTCTTTCCGTCGCGTCAATGATTGCAATCTCTTGATCTTTGAGATTCCTGATTTGGCAGCCTTCTGTCGTTCAATACGCATCTTATGTCTCTCAGTTTCGATCCGGACCCTCTCCATGAGCTGGTATTCTTCTCCTTCATGATTTAGGACAATCTTGACCGCCTTCTCTGTTAGACTGAAGAGCTGAGGTTCCACCTCCTTGCTTACTTCGATCCGTGCATCCGCAATATCCTGCTCAGACATCAATTCGAATTGCTGTAGAATACCAGAAGGAAAATCCGTGATGAGCTTGACTGCAACGGAAGCATTTATATAATTCCGAAGCTCCTATCCCTATATGTTGTAGGAGCATTACCTTGGTGTGGGATGTGATCGTTTTGAGCCGTGGGCATCCATTTGTTGCCTCGTCCAGGACCGATACAGATGACTTCAGCTATTGAAAGGCAGGATTCTTGTGTGAGATTTTTTGTGAACGCAAGCACAGAGGTATAACGCCCCTAAGGTACGTTGCAGAAATGAATTTTAGTGTCCTACCGACTGAACTGACATCTCCAGAGTGGTGACACATCGCTGCAATGCCGGTAAGTAGGGCAGGCTAGCCTGCGATGGCGTGATCGTCCTGCGTGAGTTCGCATACGGGTATGAAATGCCTCCGTTATGGCTACTTCGTCCGCTTCCACTCCCGATGCCGTATCTGTATCCATTTGACGCATATGATGTACTGATGGCATATACTCCATTGCCTTGGCTGTGTCCGAGGTGATCCATCATCAATCGCGTCCAGTTGTGCTGTTGTAGTTGATGATCTGCTCGGTTGTAAAAAAGAATACAACCGCGCCCAGCAGGGGCCGAAATGTAGACGTCACATGGTCAAGTAAGAACAAGGTTCGCGCAGAGTCCAAGGAGAGACTGCTCGAGTTATGGGACGAGTTCAAGAGCCAACATGCGTTATATCGAGAGGAGCTGGATTAACGATGAATCTATGCCAGCGTGGGTGAATTCTGCCAGGGAGGTGAGATATTTGTCGCAGAAAGATGACACCAGCACAGTCGATTAAAATTTGCTGATCTTCAGAATTATCAGCATGCAGACGCGAATAACCTGGCATACAACGCTCGAGAAAGTTCATTTGGACAACAAGCGCAATGTTCGCGCAGATTATCTTATATTTTGGCGACATAATACCATAAACCAGGAGGTTTATTGCACGTTCAGCACATTTCTACGGACGATATTTCAGGCATAAACGCCCTCCCTTCCATCTATGGCGCTATTTTCGACCAGAGCCTTGAGGTTGCCTCGGTGTTTGCAACGCGAGGGGCCGACATGCAGCTGCCAGCACCAAAGACGCGCTGAGGAAAGTAAACATCGGCATGGTTAAGTGTCTGTCCTCGCACCCTGTTAACTCAATATTGATTTTGATATTGTATTTAGAGGAAAGTAGACTATGCCTCAAAGATAAAAGAAAAATGGGCTAACGCGTACCTTCCACTTGGATAAACGCGTCTGATACTGTCGTACGGTGGACGATGGGTCCTTCATCTCTATGATTGATTTCAGTACCTCGTTCGCTGAGGTCTTTCGCGCCTCGGTTAGCTCCTGATCAGTCATAGTCGATTCTGGTCGGCAATTGGGCTACTGATCGCATCTGGGCTGCTGATAAACTGTCCTTGCCGTCGTTTTTGGTCCTCTGGGTCCTCTAATCCTCGGCTTCGACTTTTTTTTCGCCGGCTTTGCTGGGGTGCCCGCAGCGTTCCCTTTGGGTGCTTGCGCGGTTGGTGCTTCTTCGAGTTCGAGTGAAGGGTTACCTCTTTTGTTTGTCGGGCGCCGACGCCTTGGCACTGTTTGCTCAGAATTGCCAGAGTTCGGTTCCACACGGAAGATGAACATCACTCCTTGCCCATTTGACTCTTGTTGCCCCTGTTCAGATCTATCCTATTCATGTTTCAGATCAGTTGGTTGGCGCTCTTAATTTTACCTTGTACAACCAACCCGAAAATACTGGTGTCGTACCCCGCGCTTAACATAGAATCTAAGCATTCCTTCATCATGTTTGCTGCCTTGACTTCATCATTGACAAGACGCTGCTCTGCTGTGTTTGGCGGTTTGATTTCCATTGCCAATAGATATTCTTCTCTAGACCCCAGGCTGTATGAGATAGAAAAGTCAGGAAACTCGTTCGGTGCATCGAAGACGACGTTGATGACCTGGCCTGGTCGGAACACGTCTCCTCTCCAGCGGGAAATGAGATTATCGATCCTGGAAAATGCTGCGAGAACACGCATACTGTCATGAACAGCGCCATAGTTAGTCGTGAGGGTGAGCAAAAAGAGATCCTGTTTACGTTAGATCTTTTACTCTGTCGCGTCTCACGGCAAATTAAGGTTTACTCGCAGCCGCATCGCCTTCGTGTTTGATAAAGACACCATACCCTCTCGCCTGGCATCGCCTTGGACGCGCCGCATCTCCAAACCAAGTATTAACCATCCCTGTCTACTCTAATGCCGTCCTGCTTAATAATCCTTGCCTTGTAAATTATGTATAAACTAGCAGAACTATCCATGGCACACGCCACGGATGCGAGATTTACTGCACGTTCAGCATATTTCTACAAATGATATTTGTTGGTGGTTCGTAGAAGTAGATCGACACAAAATTGACTTGTCATTCAGTGCACGCTCCGGAAGAAGGTTTCCATAATAATGGCACACTTCTCCCTGGATGCGGAACGTGCAGATGCCATCCGCAGCACTTGCTGAATTTTTGTCGGTCGTAGCGGCCATCGAGGTGAAAGACAGGGACTTATTGCATCTCCGAATATCATGTATTTTATTCAGATGCTGGTATGAAAGAGATGGTTCGATACTTATCAGGGTCACCTAGTGTTTCCTATTTATTTTACTTATTTTTCTCGGAAGTGCTTGATCTCCTCTGAGTTTCTCATAATCAGCTCCATCAATCACGAGTTCTCTGGATAGCTTGAATCGGGGCAGTACAGTGCGGCCCTTTGAGCAGCAGAGCGTGAACTTGGGGTTCCTCTTGGAGGCACCTTTGCACCGCTCCTGCACCCATACCTTGGCCATACAGTATTTGCATTTGACCATATAACCAAGGTAGTGCCGGTTATTTTTGACATCAACGCCTGTCGCCAAATCTTCAATGAAAGGCCGCCGCGTAAGGAGTAACGCATCTAAATCCAATGCGCTATGCTGGCGATTGTAAGCGGCAATTAAATCAGCGCGCCTGGTGAGAGTAACGGTGATATCCGGTGAAATCTGATGAAATTCAGTGAAATTCAGTGAAATCAGAGTTACTCACCGCGGTTAACCGTTCACCGGTGAGAATCACTGGCAAGGTGAAAGGTATAAACTCACTCCATAAAAAAAAAAAAAGACTCTGCTTTTCGAGCATGTTACTGGGATTCTCAGGGCAGTCCTTTAAGGTGATTCTGGAGTGGCTAAGTTGACCACATTTACATGCTCGAGGCGCTCGATAAATTTGTGTCAAATTAGCATGGGGATCAATGTCGACGTAAAAAATAACAAAGGCACACTTCACATACGCTTGGCTGCACGTCGCATCCATGTTCTCGGTAGTTAATGTAAAATGTAAGAGGGATGCAGTGGCTGTGGAGGAGCAAAGGGAATGGCTTTGAGTGATAAGGGTCAAGCAGTGAATGTGTAGGGATGAAGGGTGTTTGGCAGTGGTGGATGTGAGAGGAAGTTTATTTTTGGGCGAAGCAAAATTACGTTGGCAATAAAGAACAATGCCATCGAGAGCTAACTGTTCGAAATTTTGCATCAAGAAAGAGTTTTGCAAAGGGCTATCGATCCATGAGCCATCGAGATCTTAACATCAAAGAAAGGGCACTGCAAACCGATATGTTTATCAAAAGAAATATCACTGCAAAGCGGATTGTGCTCCATTGTATAGCTCTCGTATGCTTTTCCATGTTCATTATCCTCAATCGTTGTGAGGTCAATGATCTCTTGGTCATTATCCGTGCGTGGTTGATCGGAATCAAATAGCGCGGCATTGAACCGGATTGCTTCCTGTTTCTCAGCCGTTTTGGGTCGCTTACTGTCTTCAACTCCATCTCTGGAGTTGATAGGTCGACCAATGGGCGGTCCACGGCGAACCGAGATACTAGCGTTGGTGTGGATAATGTGATGCCCGTCATTGGTATTGGTACTAACGCTCGTAGAAACCATTTGGTCACCCGTTTCAGGCACAAATTTATCATTGGGCTAAGCAGCAGCGTAATAATCCGATTGGGTCTCAAGCAATGCTTTATTCAAAAAAGGTGCTGTTGATGCGAATGTATTCGTCGGCGCACTGGACTCAGGGGCGCTGTTGGGCTCCTTCTCCGCGCAGGTCCCTCCATGATAGCGTTTTCGGCCGGGTCGCTTGCTTGAGGATCCCATAGCGAGTTGGTGGGTCAATCTGTTGGATGTGCCTACAAATGCTTCGAGACAAAACGTAGAAATATGAAAATTCTTTCGCCGACAACATCACCATCGCAAGAGGGATCTTCTATGGGTGCATGCAGATACGCTCAGCTCAAAGACCCTCTGCTCGAGCGTTGATGAGATCCCAGGATCCCAAAGCATGCTGCTACTCAAAGCCTCTAGCATAGCGAGACTTTGAGCAGTGTTTGATGAGGCTGGAGGCAAGCCAATCCATTAAGTCAGTTGCAGTAACAGCAAAAGACTTGCCACATCTAACGTGCCTGGAATGGAACCGCAACCATCATGGCAGGAATAGTAAGTCAGCCCCGTGCATCATGGTTAAGAGAGTGTTATGTGGAAAGGTGTGAGGAGGACACACTGCGGGATGAAGAGCGTGAATGTGAATAAAAAAGTTAGGAAGAAGGGAAGTAAGAAAGGAAGTTGATCACTTACCGATCTGTAACGCGCGGATTCACGCAACTAAATGATCTGCGTAGTTGCAGTTGATGTGATGCATCAATGGACGCGAAGATTACATCACAGAAGTGATGAACCTCTCTAAACGCAAAATGTCTACGACCTGAATTATCTTGCGCCTTGGAGATTCCATCCACTCTGACGGTACCTGTCGCTTGACCCCACCATGTCCAGCACGACTCTCACGGCCTTTGTTGCTGCTGCCCACCGAGCGAGACCTTTCAGCTTGCATCCATTGGTAGTTCTCATCGATATCCTTGGGCTGGAGGTATAGGGGCCGCTGCCGGCTAATCAGATGGCCACGGACCGCATTGCTGATGTTGTGGCCGGCCATGATATCGCAACGCACGGATTTCTTGCACGTCGAACAACAAAGTCGGCGGATGTTGATCTGACCAACAAAATCCTCACAGTCCGGATACTTTTCGAGATGTAATACTCATTCACATTCACAACAATGTAGCCAAGCGACCTGGCCTAGAGTGAGGCAGAAACAAATTGAAGAGAGAGGCGAGATTAGTCATGACGTTCCACAAGAGACAGCAATCGCAGGGTCGCTAAGGGGCATCATCGGCCACTTGCTTTCTGGACGAAGTACGATTAGAGCGACTCGTGTAAAGAAGACAGTCTGGTCTTTGTAGAAAACTTTCCAAGACCTACGCCGATCACGATCATGCTGCTGTATTCTCACACTTACGAGACTAGTAAAGAAGGTTACCAAGATGGGGTTAAGCAGATACCAAAGGATGTGCAGCGGACTGTGTTGCGGAAGAGGAGGAAAACGAAAGTGAAGGAACGCGTGAAAAGATAAGGTTTATATCTGAAATTTTGGCGAACCATGAATTTGGCTGCCTTCAAGGGCAAAAAAAAACCCCCCCATCAGTGAACTACATGGCGACTTTATTTTTTTAACGATAGTGACACCCTTATTAAGTGGTTAACCTGGCTCATGAATAACTGCGGGTGAATTGTTCTGTCGTAGAATCCACCAGCACGTAATACCCACAAATTTCATCCTGATCAATGTTATCCTCTACAGTTCTTAGTCAAGTCTTTCACGCGACCCAATGCGGAGTACTCCATCATTGTGAACATGGACAGGGTCCTTCTTTCTTGTGCATGTCCTGATTACGTCCAGTACAAGTATCCCTGAAAGCGCGTATATCTGGTGCTAAGGATCTACAGAAACATGGAGGTCAACTACGGCGGGGAACCTATACTTCCTCAAGAGCCACGAGAACCGATTGGTATTGAAAACGGTCTCGAAAACGATCTCGGACCCCTCTTGAAATCTGCTTCCACCGTAACTCCGTCTCCAACTACAAGCAATGAGAGCTGAGCAGCAGGAAGCGCAGAAAAGAGCAATAGAAACTGAAAATGAAGAGGCATTTCAGGAATGCGAAGACGCTTTGAAGAAACTAGGCGATATTGTTCACGATAAAAAAAAAAGACGATGTACGCTGCAATACTTCCAAAGCGCAGTGGCAGGACTGAACAATACAATGCTAGATGTCCAGGGAATCAACGCTGTTAGGGCGGGGCGCAAGTGCCGGCGAATAAAAATATATATTGTCAAATGAGCGCGTCCCTATGTCAATTCACAATCCCCGGATCCCAGAAAATAGTCAACCCATCTACTTCCCCTTCTTTCTTCTTTCAGGCATTCCCCACCATGCACTCGTCCTTCTTTTGATGGTAAGTGCCCTGTAATGTGCCTAATCTTGTGCTTTACTGATGAGGTGGAGGTACCACTTGGAATGTTCGATTCGGTTCCGCGCCATATGCATCATTTGGATTTAGAGGCGCGGGACAGGAGCTGAAAGACGAGTCAGTTTTGCCAACGGGCAACCTTGATTGCGTTTAATACACCCCATAGTCCTTGAACTAAGAGACCCAACGTTCATCAGTTCGCTTTAACAGACTTACTGAGATCGGGTAAGCACTGGTTGTGGCATGGGACGGTGGGGCATATTTTCTTCAACATGAATTGATGGCCATAATCGCAGACTGCTTCAGTTGCCATAGGCACATGTTGGGATTGCCGTATGATTTTCACATTATATCCGCGGTCTCATTATCTTCGCAGCATCGCAGACCTCAGAATAGGGATTTTTGAACTGCTTACTGGTCAAAAACTAACCACCATATTCAACACCTGAAAACGAGTTCACGCTTGTTCGTAAATAGGGACTACGCGAAACTGTTTCGGAGGTTACTGAGCGCTAAGTTCATACAGGAATAGGAAACTTCGCGTTATCCAAGTACAGAGGATGGGCTTGACAGGGATGCGTATAAAGATAGTGATGGACTATACGCTTTCAATCGCAAAGATTCACGACAGCATCAGCGGACATTCCCAAACTGGAACAGCAAATAACCGGGTTCGTGGCGGAGTCTAGGCGTGTGTATGGCACACTTCTCAGCAACATGGAACATTTGACAGGCGTGGTCAACAGTTTAGTTGCCGGAGTCCAGGTTCTACGAACAGAGATGGAGCAAGAGATCGGGACAATGTCAGAAAACATCGAGAACAAGATCACAGCAGTAGACTATAAGATTCGTGGGCTATCAAGAGAGGTCAAAAAGGTTCAATAGAATGGGCAATATCAGGAAGGAGCATCTGTGCTCAAGCAAGCCATGCCGATCAAATCTCAACCTCCATTCCAGGGCTATATAGGTTATTCTTCTTCTTTGGTCAGCAAATAAAACTGTATTTCTAACAGAGGGTTTGATTGATACGAGGCAACTACAAGTCAGCCATACGTTGCCAAGCAGCAGTAAACTGGATGGACTTGACATGAACACACCTTGTTCGTTCCCACTCGTCCAATGGTGTAAGGTATTCGTCAAACATTGGTGGATCTATTCTATAATATGACCGCGTTGAAGAATTGCGCTCCAAAGCTGTCCGCATGTTCGAGAAGAGGGCACAGACGAGATAGTACCGACCGAGGGGGGCAGGTGTGTAACGAACGCGTATCTAAAATGCATAAGTGCAAAAAAAAATGAAGACACTTGAGTTGGAAACCCCCTAATGGCTGTGATTATTTCCACTGTAAGAAATGCTTATCTTCTATAAAGTTTCGACCACTGGGGAATTTTCGCGCCAATTGTCAACCATCATGTCGCCAGATCTCTGCGCTACATTTGAGCAGGCATTTCATACTCGGTTTTGAGGTCCGTGTAGTGCCCGACCACACCAGGGCTCACACGACACGGGTAGGCAACATGGTTAGAGCCTCGCTGATAGACACAGAGGAGGACCAGAGAGATCTAGTGATGAACTCTACCACCCGCCAAGAGCGCACAACCGATGATAATATCAGACCAACCAACATCATGCTATACCTCGAAGTCAATGGTGAGATCTTTGGACGAGTCAATATTCGCACAGCGGTAGATGTCGACGGATTCATGCTCCACGCCGCATTCCTCCGCAGTATTCGAACTGGCAGCCTCATCACGATCCGCAACGAATCCTTGCCCGATACTACAATAAAACAGCCATTCTGACCGTAGCATCATGCCGCAGCAGTGCTCCCACACCACACATCTCAAAACGCGCGGTGCAAGCCCGCCGCACATGCCACACACCAAGGGTAGGCTTCTGCCGACAGCTACAAGCCCCAGCACTAACTCCAATGTGTAGATATTTTATACTAAATATATCTCTATGCTTGCAATGTTGCTCAATCCACGCAGATGATCATGATGATTAAGAATGATTTATTCATGAATTCCAGTCGTCGTTCGATACCGCGCATCGTCCTAGTCAAGCCTAGTCAATAAGGAGGTCCTTGGCGGAGAAGAGAATAAAAACATGCATGAGAATGTGCACAGAACGATCAGAGACACATATCCCAGTAACACAAAAAAAAGATTGCCATCGAAGACAAGGAGAAAGGCCAGCTGATTTAAGCCGCAAGTGAATCTAGCGGCACCACCCCTCATCACCATGGCTCTCTCTTGCCATTAGCGAGAGAACCATAGCTATGGGACATCACGGTGACAAGTGAGGCACAGCTCCTTCATATTCCCCCAAGAGGCATGGCGTTACACCACATTAGCTCCCAACCTATGTGATCCTCCTTTCTCAAAGTTACCCCATCCCCATGGCAAGTGGCAATGGGAACCCCGTCGTTCCGTGAACCGCATTCGTTTTATCAGAGAGCAGTCGAAGGCGATAGGCGAAAGGTGTGGAATCATTAAGGAATTTAATCATAGTATTTTGAGAGGAAGTAAAGAATGGATTCTCCCATGACGTCGATCGGTCGGCTTTAATGTTTTACACGCTATCGCCTCTGGTCAAGGAGCAGCTGACAAGGAAACAAAGTCATCGACTCTTACTCCACTTCACTCCACCTTGCTTTCATTCCACTTTCGCTTCTCTCATTACTTCCTTCGCCGTTTTTTCATCCTCTCTCTTTCTCGCTTTTTTCCTTCTACTGCCATTCGTCACTCTCATACCCAGTACTTCAGCACCTATTCTTCTCGACACATACTTCAAAAATCAGCCATGGACGTTGCTGGAGGCTCTGAACTGTTCGAAAGCTACGAGCAGGACTTTGAGGCTATCAAGGTCTCCATTAATGAGCGCCTCACTGCCTCTGGGGGCCAAACTGGAGGTACGGTGCTCTCCTTCCCTCTCTTTTTTTCTTTCTCTCGCATAGCGCCACCCACGTACTGCCCATACGCCCAACCGTATTCTGCTATTCAATCGCACCTGCTCGGCACACTCAATTGCACCTTGGCGCCACATCCAATTATAGCCCGCCTCTGTCTGCATTGACTTAGAACGTTGTGTCACCGAACTGACCTTTCTTTCACCTTCAATGTCTTCCTAGAGGTCAAGAAGCAGACCCTTCGCGCTGCAGACCGAGAGATCGATGAGGCGAACGGAATTGTAAGCAAGCTGCAGATCATGAAGTCTTTGACATGGATAGTGAGATATCACAAATGCACGAGATTAACCCTACACACTTGCCGCTCCATGATAGTTACAACAAATGGAGATGGAACTCCTGAACCTCCCACAAAGCTCTAAGACACGTTTGCAGGCCAGGCATCGCGGATACAGGGCAGAGCTCGATCGTGTGAAGCAAACCCTTGTAAAGTCATCGCATCAACTGTCAGGCTGTCCTGGAACGAATACATTACATATCAGAAATTGCCGCATCCAGCTTCTCACATCTATTTTGAATTCCTTGCTACTAGAAACGCGCACAATCAACATCGCGATCGACTGCAGATAGGGATGAGCTGTTGGGAGGTTCGAGCGGAGGATTTGACCTGGACGCAGCTTCGATGGATCAACGCACACGACTCTTGAATGGCACGGATCGACTGGCTGAAAGCAGCAGGCGCTTGCAAGACAGCCACAAGATTGCGCTTGAAACAGGTACGTTTCCCGGACTCTTTTTTGGGGTCGCAAAGGGTGCTGGACTGTGATTCATCCTCTGTACTAACATGCCCTTTCTGACCTTTTGTGCATGTTGCCTTTATAGAGTCTCTGGGAGCAGGAATTTTGACCGACTTGAGAGGTCAGCGGGAGCAGATCATCAACACCAGAAACACTGTAAGTAATACAGGAAAAGAAAGCGATACTTTTGGACGGGAAGCAACAAAAGACTGATAGCTGTACATATTCACTGTGCATAGCTCCTGGAGGCTGATTCGAACATCGACAAGGCATCACGCACCCTGAAGGGGATGGCTCGTCGGTAAGCAACTGGCTTTATGTTGACTCTGCTGTAGGCATACCGCCACTCAAATAATAAGAAGGAACCATGATTTAATCAACAATGGCTTTTTCTTTGAATAGCATGGCAACAAACAAGCTGATCACGGCGTCGATCATTATCGTCCTAGTGTTCTTGATCCTGTTTGTTCTCTACCGCAAGATCTTTTAGTGCCCCTCCCCCTAATTGATAGATTCCCATACCTTACCTATTACCCATCAGATAGCCATGGCAATGCATCGCTTTCTTCTTCAAGGCGCAGTAGATGCTACTGCGAGAAATTAAATGAAACTGTACATTCAGTGGCTAGTGATCCGTGTCCACCACTGGCATCGATGACATCCTAGATTCTCATTCGGATAAACCCACAAAACTGTTCGAGAAAGTCTCCCCTAATCCTTTGCTACTCCTTATTCAAAACAGCAACCGTATCTTCACTATTTCTGGAGTATAACCGACGATACTACATTGTATCTTTGAGGAGACTCCTAATATATTTAATTAAGATCAGGTCTGGTGAATTCGCAGGTTATTTGAACTCCTCGATGAGCTGTGTTTCTCGCCAAGTGTTCGAAACCTCGGCAGTGTGTACAGGGCGCCATTCTCCATCAAGACATCGCCAGAGATTGTGTCTAAGAAATCAAGAAGCTCGCCGTTATAGACCAAGTTAACGAAATCGACTGCGGTGCGTCTCCCTCGTGGAATGATGATCAAGCCGGAATTCCGATCGTCCGCAAACGCGTCCCAAACTATAACTGAGAACTATCCGCCCTTGAATTTGAACTTGAGGCAATTAGGCCTGAGTTTCTCATTCTCCTTTCCCCAAATGTAATAGCAACGGTAGTTCTTCCCAATATCGAATGAGAATTCATCAGCCCAGGAAACCCGCTTTCATTTCTCAATCGTCCAATTCCTGTATTCCAATACGAAGCTGTGCCACGCTTTTTTCTATTTGAGTATACGAAATGGCTTTGAGATAAGCTGTCGCGCAGAGATCCCGTTGCAATATTCGCTCACACACAGCTAATTTATCATGTCGTTCAAGGTGGCAGAACGGTCTTTGAGGGCGGAACGATAGGTGGCCCTCTCCGCTCCCTCGCTGAGTTTTCCTGATCGTCCAGGGCTCGCTTTCGACTCCATGGAATCGTTCTCTCGAAATTTCTTGATATTGGCTCCAACGATTCTATGGTTGAGGCTGAGTTTTTTGGCAATGTATCGGCTTGACTTTCCCGACAGATGCATTATTCTCATGATCGGCCCCACGGAGCTTCCGGGATAGAGTCGTTGGGCTGGCCTATTAATATGATGCGAGAAAGTATGGGTGAAAGGAACAACCGGTGCAGATGTGAATGAGGAAATACGTGTCAAGACCGTAAAGGAAATAGGGGCCACGTACGGACGCTCTCCATGGCATCGCACGTAAATAAAAAAAGTACCTTGTACACCAAATTGCACGAGCGAATGTACAAAAAAAAAATGCGTGGTACGACAACTCCGCTCTTTTCTTCTTTCTCATCATCCCCCCTTCTCATTTACCGCACAACACTCATCATGTCCGAGATCAAGACCTTCACCATCGCCGACTTGGCCCAGCACAGCTCCAAGAGCAGCCTCTACCTCGCTGTCGGAGGCAAGGTCTACGACTGCACTGATTTCATTGACGAGGTGCGTTTGCTGATCTGGCTGATCAGCCCATGGTTGTCCTCGTCTCTCTTTCATTCAGAGACTATTGTATTTCTGTCGTGTGTCCTCTTTGTTTTTACAGGGCAAAAAACATCTCGGAGCATTGCTTAAAGGCGATCAAGTACCCTCGGAGTATCATTGCCTTCTGTATCCAGTTTGCAAAGGACATTTCGCAAGATATTTCATCACACCCATTATCCATCCCGGGCGTAGACAGCTGCGCTAATACGACGCCCCAACGTTTTCAGGATCTCCAACTGCAGCTCAATGACGATGACTAATTACCTTTTTTTTTTTTCTCTCTCTTTTTTGTTATCCTACCCTTATTCCCAATTGACTTTGGAAAATCAAATAGCACCCCGGTGGAGAGGAGGTCTTGATTGACGAGGCTGGCAAGGACGCGACTGAGTCCTTCGAGGACGTCGGACATTCGGAGGAGGCCCGCGAGATTATGCACAAGATGTATGTCGGAGAGTTCAAGGACGATGTAAGTAGCTCACTTTTTTTTTTTTTTTTTTCTTGTTCGCTCTGCTGCTACAAGATATATATCATTGTTGCCATGAATTGGTCTTTACCCTTTCTGATATTGGCATGATAACCTGCATGTGCAAGCAGTAGCAGTTTCACCGCTTTTCTGCAAATGCTTTGTGATTTACGGTTTACTAATGCGCTATGCATAATCTGCACTTTTTTTTTTTTTTTTGCTTTGCTCTGCACTGCTCTGCTCTGCTTTGCCCCGTTCTGTATTGGGTGTATGATAATATAGGGTGCTGGAAAGAAGGCCAAGGCTACGTCCTCGATGACTCCTAAGCCTATCCCTGCGGGCGAGAGCTCGGACTCTGGAAGGTTCGTTTCATGGGTCAAAGGATTCTTCTGAGGCAAAGGAAACTTAACTGTCGAGTGCACAGCAGCAAAAAAAAAAAAAAAAAAAAAAAGAGGTGGGGCATTAAGAGGATGAATCAAATACGATATCTTCGGCACCATCGATGCTTCAACAAACGACAGGACAATGCATGAGAAACTTATCGGAAAAAAAAACAAATAGTAGAAGGCAAGCGACTAGAATGACACAAAGCAGAAACTGCAGATCATATAATAACAATGGAAAAGAATCCAAAAAGCCAGTGAGAGTCGTTTTGCGTCGTACGATGGGCTGCGAGTTGATAAAGCGGTCTGCTGCGCTTTTTTCTTTTTGTCAAGAAGACACTGGGATATGAGAAGCCGTTGAGAAGAGTACTGACCATATCTTTCCTGTCTTCTTCTTTTCTTGCTTCGATGCTTCGATACTTCGATTCTCGTCATCATCGTTGCATATGTGCCGATCGGATCACGCCACTTTTTTTTTTTTATGCTTTTAATGGCACCCGTTGCTGCAAATCAAACAGCCGCTCATACATCGTTGCCTTGGCTGTTGTTGCTGGCTGCGTGCTCTGGAAGTTCTTACTGTAAAAGAAACCAACTTGCTCTCTTTACATATCTCCTCCATTTGCTATTCTACGTCAACTTAGAGTCTTAGATACGCTCTAAGCTTCAATAAACAACATACTTAGTAATCACTCTAGAAGGCCACAGCATGAAGATTGTTATTTTATTTTCTGAACATGACTATTCTCCCTGGAAGTTGAACAAGGTCACTGAGGGCGCTTAGAAGTGTTCCTTTCTGAAAGAAAACTTGACACCGTTCTTGCTCTGGATTCTCGATTCTCTCCTTAGGGATTTGGCCATGACACCCGGTCCGCAGAAGAAGACGGCAACATCGACGACGAGCTCCTGAGTCGCTCCAGGCATGTAGGTGCCGTCCATAATGCCCTGTCTCAGCTCCGAAAAGATAGCTCCAAAGTTCGGTCGTCCAAAGTTTGTCAGGGTCTGCAAGCCCGTGATGGTATCTGCTCCTGTGTAGTCGTCGTGGAGATGCAGCGCAATGTTGTGGTGTTGGTCCGGCTTCATGACCGCTGTACAGTAAATATGGATCTTCAGTTTCACATTCATCATCGATTGCTCGATCGTCGAGAGCAGGGACTGGAACCACTTGAGTGAGGCGAGGTCACGGCATACCCAATAGAACTCGATGCGCTTGGTCTTTAGAGGCATGTTGTTGTTGGCGCGGTACCAGATGTCGCGGAGGATACTGGCAAAGGGCGTCACTCCGATACCAGAGCCGACAAGGACAACGATCTCGTGGTCAAAGACATCTTCTGTGGGCGCACCAAAGGGTCCATCGATCTTGACCTCGGGCATACTGAATCCTGCGCGAATACGGATCTCCTCGCCACGCTCGTTGACCAGTTCGGTTTTCTTCTCGGGACGCGTTGCCACTGCTGCCTGGCGCCTTTGTCCTGTTCCTGCGTCACCACGTCCCTCCTTTTCGACGCCCATGCGAGTTCCAAGAGCCCGGGTCCAGTCACCGACCTGACGAATGTGGACCGAGACATAATCCTCAAAGGGCGAAGAAGTGATCGTGAAGGGATGCCACTGGTACTTGCTCACGTCCGGAACGTTGATGAACATATACTGGCCAGGCTTATACCTGAACGAGGGCTTCTGGATCTGGAGCTCAATGACTCCTGCGGGGTGCTGAATCGCCTTGACCAGACGAGTATCCAATCGAGACCTGTAGAAGCGAATGCCGCGCTCGATGACGTATAGGACATATCCGATGGCGAGGTATCGATAAGATTTATATCCTCTGCAGACACCATACTGATCTCTGACGATGCATCCGATACCGTGGAACATGAGAGCTCCGAGCATGACAAAGGCCAGGTGATGGGTGTACCAGAAGGACTCGAAGGACTTGTTACGCTGGGTCTGCTTCGCGGTTGTGTACATGAGAACCATGGATAAGAGCATGATGTGACCTGTGACGCCGGCGGGACTTTTGTAGAGGAGTTCTGCAGCCGTGAGCTTGAACGCACCCTGAGGGTCCTCACGGTAGAGTCTGTCCATTTTGTAGAAATTGATGTAGTGACCAATGGAGTGGACGATGGTGCAGAAGAGGATAGAGTAGGCTGTGATCTTGTGGAACCAGATATTCTCGTCAATGGGGATGAGTTTGTTGATGAAGGAGACGCGGAGGATGCGGAGAATATTACGACAGACGGGGAGGAGGATGATAGAACAATCCCAGATAAGACACATGCCTCCTCCACGGGCTACCCAGAGCGACCAGTTGAGAGGCTTGTTGAGGTTGATGAGGTTCTTGTCGAGCTTGACACGGAGGACACCGAAGATGAAGAGCATAACATGGAGGAGGAACCAGATGACGAAGAAGGCGTAGCGCCGAGTCGTCCAGGTTTCCAGAAACTTGAACATGGCGCGAAGGAGTCCCTTAGGATATCAAGGACGAATGTAGAATGTGGAGCGAGTGGGAGGAACCGTTTTTTCTTTCTTGGAAGGGTATACTATGTACAAAGGTATGAAAAAAGGTCCGAGTCGTTAAAAGAGCAAATGAATGAAGAGGGGAGAGGAATGGAGGAATGAAAATGATGGGATGGAATGAGCAAAGGATGAGAGGAGGGAACAAAGAGAGGCGGGAAGGAAAAGAGGATGCAGAACTGAAAAGATGGACCCTTCGGAGGTATTGTTGAACAGCAAAGAAGAAGGTTTCATAGTTTGTTCAGGTACGTACGACCAACCAATTCTGTTGGTCTCAGATTCTTTGGCTGATATAAATAGTTCGCCCTTCTCCAATGTCCAGTCCCGCCCACTCCACTCCACTCCACACATAGTCTACGCCCAGTTCCGCGCCTACACTGCAGTCGATCGACCTCAAATAGCCCACGCTGGCCAGCTGCACTTATAGTGCTCGGCTCAGTCAGCTCAGTCAGCTCAGTCCGCTCTCTTTTCATAGATATAAAACGCCTTTCATATTTTTGAACCGGTCAACTTGATTTGCAAGACAGCGGTGGATATTCCATGGGTGGCACGGATGTATGTTTGGCGATAAAGGGAAAAAAATAATAATTAACAAACACACGGTCTGGAACCACTTCAGTAGATCTGTTTTACTCTCTGACGGAAAAACGATTTACGGTTCCGGCATGAAAGTATCTCCATCCCATGCCTTCTTTTGTACATATTGTGCATGTGCATTGATATGGTGTGTCATCGGAGTGAATGAGATAGCAGAACCAGCAAAACCAATGAACATCGATACGAGTTCAGTGGAAGAGCAAATAAGAATGCAAATTGGTCTTGGAAGAGCCTGCCTTCCTGTAATAAAAAAAAAAAAAAAAAAAAAAAAGACAACCTTCATAATAGTCTCCACCAACTCGGATTGTGAGGGGGTTTAGGTCTTGCACTCCTCGAAAAGACCAGCAGTGGTTGCAGACGGACGAAGACCAGGGTTTCCATGACGACGCGTAATTTTCATCATAATGTGTTTGTGTAAAACAGATGCAAATTTGGCAGAACAAGTCTAGTGGCGTGCCAATTACTTGGGGCTCTCCGGTATCCAACTGTTCCATAACCACATAACCAATGCTACATAGTAATGGGGTCGACAACGATATAAAACGTCCATTTATTGGTCTTGATCTGCTGGATTCTCATCACCGCCTTGTTGGCCATCAAGAAATAAGAATCCATCTTCCGCCGCCTGGTGATAATAGTTTTTTTATCCTAAACATGGACCTTTTTCTGGATAGTGAGAAGACCCGGTCCCTTGCCTCCGCCGAGCAGCGCCCACTTTGGCAAGTGACTCCTCATGTTCGTAAATGCCGGAATCTGCTCCTGATCCCACTCATCATAAAGACATCCTAGTGTACCCTCAAGCGCCGGCGCATCCTTGTCCTCGACCCTGTACACAACCTCCAGATCCCATACCTGGTCGTACTTGCGCTTGAAACTAACCATTCCCGAACGACTCGCCGCCTTCACTGATGTTGCTATGTAACCCTGATCTGGTTCATCAAACCCATCCAGTTTCATAACCACAATCGAAGAATTCGTGGGAAAATTGACCTGGCACAGACGAGAGTCCTTGGCAGTCCATTTCAAATGTACGACGCGGAACCAGCTCTTGGATTCGGCCTCAATTTCCTCTCCTAAGGAAATTGCATCGTGGTGGTGCTCGGGCTTCGAGACCTCAGACTTGATGATTTCCTCTCCGGATTTCCTGGATTCGATCACCAGTCTGGGAACCGCGCCCTCGTAAATGCACTGGGTCAAGGCATTGTTGCTCACAGGATCAGGGCCGCATTCGCGCTTCTCGGCTGCAGGGACCAAGTCCATGATCGTCTCGAGCCTGTTCATGGTCTTGACGGTAACGAGCGACGTGTTATGATTGAGATCATAGACCTGGCGCCATACTAGCTTGTTGGGTGCTTCTTCCGCAGAGTATGGGAATACGATGCAGGCAGAGATCAGCAGAGCCACTGTTAAAAAAACGCTGACCTGGCCCATCTTGCGGAAGTTGGCCGATCGGTGGATGGTTGGAATTAGGGGCATCACACAGTTCAATGCGCAAAGAGCGAACAGAGCCATGACTAGCGGTAGTTTGCACAGAACAGGCTAATGTTAGAGTTCTTTTCCAGATTAACAGCACAGATGAATATCCTTTTACTGTCTGTCTGTTTGACTTACTGGCAAAGGGAGGGGTTCCGTCGACAAGAGTTTGGCCCATGGCTATCATATTCGTGATAGCAATATCCAGCACCATCATCAGGGGCACAAAGTTGATCCACAAGCGTGCCAGTGTCCAGGAAGTACCACGTCTTCGCGGGTAAACAGACAGATGAGCCGAAATCATTGAGGTCACCGTGAACCAGGTTAGGAAATAAAATAAGCCAATCTCTTTCTTCTGACCGATAACCGTCGCCGCAATCAACAGAGTCCACCAGAATAGGACCATGCCGACATTGGCCACCTGCTCAGAGTCCACGCGGATACGCTCGAGTACAATATCATCCGGGCCCATGTCACCCTTCAGCCAGAGCTCCAACAGGACCCACCCCCATTGCACACAGATGATGGTTGTACAGCACTGGAAAATAAAGAACATGAAACCGAGCCAGTGCTCTCCATAGACGAGCATTGGGTTGATCTTGTTCAGAAGAGCAGCAAAGCCGATCGAGACTGCGATGGCGGCCACGAAGCTGAGGATCATGGCGATATAGCTTCTCAGCACAACACCCAAGGTCAGACCATGCTTCCTGGACGAGACGATGGAATACGCAATGAAAATTGGGACGATAATGATCAAGTTGTAGTTGAGTGTCAGGTAAGTGTTGAAGGAATAAACCAGCATGAATAGGCCGGCGATATCATAGTAGATGCTGGATTCCTGGCTGAGGATCTCCTTGGGCTTGATCAGATAATCCGAATCCGCAATGTTACGCATCGCTGTCAGTCCAGTGTTGCCCATATGCTGGACAGATGCAGGCGAGGTGTGCTCGAGATCATCGTGAAGGGTGTGATAGAAAGCCCTGCGACTGTAAAACGCAATGTCGAGGCCGGGGATGTTGTAGGCCGTGTAGACAGAGAAATCGGTGCCACTATTAAAGCGTCAATTATAAGACATTTATCAGTACTCCGTTGAGATAGCATTGCTTTTTGTCGAAGGCAGATAACCGCGACCTACCTCTTGATAAGTCCAATTTTGAAGATGTCATTTCCAAAGACGTTAGCATGAGGAGAGTTGCCGACTTTGCTATAGAACTTGGCAAGGGCCTTGTTGCTTGCACGGAAGAGCAGAGCGCGACCACCGGCACCGGCACCCTCTATATGCAAAATTGAAGAAGAGCGTGAATCAAGAGTAACAGGTCAAACTGCGTAGAAAGATATTCGCCAATTGATGAGAGGGCCATGACTCGTTGACTTACCGAGATTGATAAATGCTTTGACGTCCTTAGCCCATGGGTGTTTCATGAAAGCAGCTGCGCCAAAGAGCCCGACTTCCTCACCGTTATTGATGTTGAAAATAACATTGTGCTTGACAGGGTGGTGGATGAGATTACGAATCATCTATATCGAGCGGCGATACTTATTAACCGTGTTTGTTCGTCGCTCGCTGATAGCTCACTGAATCCATGCGCATCGAGAGTCCTAAATCTTACCTCTAAACACACGGAAACACCGATGCCGTCGTCTGTGGCACCATGGCCGATGAGGACAGAGTCTAAAAAGACAACAAGAACACAAGCGGTTAAATTTCATCCCTTTTTCCAATTTCTTTGGAAGAAACCATTATGGTCGTCGACAAGCTCCAAAACATTTTCTGTTACGCGTAGAAAGCTTCTAGTGCAATTAAGATTTAGACTTTCGCCCAAGGAATCATTTGTTGTCCAGAAATGGATGCGATGGCCGGCTCAGATTCTCCGAAGATGGTAATTGCGCTGACAGATCCACATATCCTTCGCGTTTTCTTGCTGCACGCACCATACGCGTTTCCAAGTGTTCTAATCTCCACTCCAATCCAGGATGCTATTGCACTAACTTACCATAATGGGCACTGACCACAACGGCTTCGGGATGACCCTTCAGGCTGTTCTCCGCGCGACCTTTCGTGCCAACAACACGAACAAGAATATTTGAAGACTCGTAAAACTCAAGGCGAGTCGAATTGCTCAAAAAGTTCCTGGCCAAAGTCAACTTGACGTTATCATCCGCTAACTCGACGGTCCTGTTCAACTGGCGTGCTTCCTCCTGTAGATCTCTGACGGTCTTGGCCAGGTAATCGTGGATGCGCAGATTTTCGCGTGAATTGATCGGATGCGGCCTCTGGGCAATCTCCTCTAGATGCTTCCAGGCCCACTTGGCTGAGAAATCATCGGGACCCGATGCATCCTCTACGGATTTGGGCGTAGGAAGGGAGAGTCGCTTGTAACTGACGATACTGCCGATGACGAGGTAGGATACGACCATGAGAAGGAAGACACCAGACATGCGTCTCCAGGAGCCTTGGTTAATGAGCGCCCTCACAGGACGAGGGCCCGATTGGCTGCTATGAAGCAAAGGGGACTCTTCTGTGGGGTCATTGTCGAATCGCTGATTGGAGTTGTCAGCGTGGTCTTGGTCTTGAGACATATCTTTCTTGCTGACCTTGCGCTTATGTAGAGAAGACTATGCAAAGGCACGGTTGGTTCTAATGGTTAGCAGCAGGCTCTGGCCGTTGGAGGGGCGCTGTCTCGGGCTGACAGGCGCATACATATGATAAGAGTGAGAGGAACAAGTGCGAGTGTGGCTGGCTTGGTCGGATGAGGGCTGCTTACCATGCATCAACTATTTTGCAAACAAAAGACGAATGAGGTGAATGAAAGGAAAGGAGAGAAGAAGAGTTCAACGGTTCCTGTGCGGGGGAATGGAGCTCATTTTAGCGGTGGATGGACCCTGTCTATTCTAATAGCCATCAAAATAGAAAGGCAGTCTGCGTCCCGCGTCTGTGTCTTCTCAGCTTTCATTACTTGGCGCTCCTGCATATACACTTTCCATCCATTCAGGATCACACTCACCGTTACTACACCGACGAGACAATTTTCACTACCATAAACACCACCAAGGTCCTCTCCACCACAGAACAACCTCCAACGCGTCGTTTTCCAACATGGCTATGGCTGTGAGTGTAGACTTGTCTTCCGTCTAGGCGAACCTCTGCAGGAAAAGAGAAACTGACATGCATCCCACCCTCGTTACATTCCATCCCGCAAGAATCTCTTCGGTTTCTCCGCCCCGCTGGACGTGGAGATTCGCTTCAACGGTCAGGAACAGCGCAAGCAAATTGAGGCCAAGGTCGACAAGGACAGGCGTGAAAAGTTCCCGCTTTACTTTGACGGCGAAACCGTTGCAGGAAAGGTATAGACACCAACGCCTTTTTTTTTCTTTCTTGTCCTGCAGAAGCCTTGGTCTGAGCTGATAAACAGTACCTATCGCCTTGTTCCTCGACTTGTTTATTTGTGGGCATGAATGCTAGATTAATATCAGAGTCAAGGACGGAAAGAAAGTGGAACACAATGGCATCAAGGTCGAGTTTGTCGGAAGCATAGGTACGAAGAAACATCTTGCAAAAAAAAAAAAAAAACATTCGAGGACTACTATGCACAAGAACTCTCTATTAACATGGAGTTCTCAATCTCGCGATTTTACTATGGACTACAGAGCTCTTTTACGATCGTGGAAACCATTATGAGTTCAGGACAATGCAGCAGGAATTGGCCGTGCCCGGTGAACTCCGCAACAACACGACTTTCGACTTTGAATTCAAGAATGTCGAAAAGCAATATGAGAGTTATCATGGAATCAATGTCAAGCTGAGGTATATACTCGCCGCAGACACCGGAGAGCGGAAGCGACTTTGAAGATTGCTGCAGTGGATAGGTACAGGAAAACTGACAGAGCGCATTGGACGACGTTGCAATGATCTCTTAGGTACTTTGTCAGAGTTACCGTTCAAAGACGTTTGGCAGACGTAGTCAAGGAGCAGGATATTTGGGTCCACTCTTATGTCATGCCCGCTGATGGCAACAGCTCGATCAAGATGGAAGTCGGAATTGAGGACTGTTTGCACATCGAGTTCGAATACAACAGGTCCAGGTAAGAGTTACTGGTCTACCCTCGCCTGCTCGTGATATATGTCGTATCTCTCCACGCTTGAATATATTAACATGGGATTTGTGATGTATCTTTGTGTGAGCATAGATACTACCTGAAGGATGTTATCGTGGGCAAGATCTACTTCCTTCTCGTCCGTATCAAGATCAAGCATATGGAGCTTTCGATCATTCGGCGGGAAACAACAGGAGCACCACCAAACCAATACAACGAGAGCGAAACAATTACGAAGTTTGAGATTATGGATGGCGCCCCCGTTCGCGGAGAGACCATTCCTATTCGACTCTTCCTCGGAGGTTTCGAGCTCACACCTACCTTCCGTGATGGTATGTCTGCGCTACAACGAATATTCTTTTGGGCGGGCTTGAACTGGCTATAGATTAATATACTAACCGCGAATCGTTGCGCTTCGTTCCTTCTATAGTAAACATGAAGTTCTCTGCTCGCTACTTCTTGAATCTGGTGCTTGTCGACGAGGAAAACAGACGCTACTTCAAGCAGCAGGAAATCACCATTTTCCGTCGCCAAGGTATAAAACAGACTCTGCTTGAATTGTGTCCCTCAGGAGTTTGGTCCGCACTATGATTCTAACGTCCAATGCTTCCTCCACTACAACTGTAGTTGATGATGAGGCTCTTGATGGTCTTGTACCGATCGAGGCTTAAGCGCAGTGTGTGGCTCATATTCCCATCCCTTTATTAGAGTTCTCCGCACAAGCATAGCAAGCTATTCGAGCCCGATTCAACGGGAACTCCTCAATTCAATAAAACATACAAAGCACTCTCTAGAATTCTAGTTTTCATTTTATTGTAGTCTTTGTCTTCTTTGAGCCATTGACCTGCAAAACTGTACCAGGACAACACTGTGTCTCCAGAAGCAGCTCAGCGGATATGCAGAATCATCTTGTTTGCAAGCTCCTCGCCGACATATGAATAGTACTCTGCGACAGCTTCCTTCACGTCGCCAAAATTGCGATAAGAATCCGTGAGCTACATGCATCAAATGAGTTGCAAATGGTCAGATCAAGACTCGATATTTCATTCAAATATAAATTCAAGCAGAAAATTACCACGACAGGACGCAACACAGTCTTGCTTGTCAAGCATAGGACGCCTATCAAGTCCGCTTCAGTGATCTTCGCTGGGTCCAGACATCCCGGTGGAGGCAGTGAGGTCGTTGTACGGAACGCCTTTTTAATTTGTGATTTCTTCTTCCGTCTCGCAGCTTTAGCCTCAGAAGCCGCTTCGGCGTCAGCAGCCTCTGCCGTATTCTCCTCCGTGTGTGCTGTTAACCTTGTCCTTTTCCGCTCGCTTTCATCTCTGCTGTCGTCAGCCGTATGTTCGTTGTCTGAGCTTTCTAGTGCCTTATCATCAAACTCGTCCGGATCTAGGTCCGCCTCTTCATCTTCCTCATCCGCACTTTCCAGGCTACCATTCTTGTCCCCTTCGTCGTCCTCAGTGTCTTCCCAGTCGTCACTATCGTCGTCGTCATCGCTGTCGTATGATGTAGTGATGGATCCCTTCTTTTTGTTGACGATGGATTGGATCATGGCCTCGAAGAGTGGGTCCGTTGTGGTAGGGTTCTCAAATGCGCTGTACCGCTGATCCTTGAGGATCTCTTGGCATTTTTTGAAGTCAACCCAATTATATGTTTCCTATTGAGAAGAAAACATGGTTGTGCAGGGTTTGTGAGCTGGTACTCATAATAGTGACACGTTAAAGGCTTGGTATCCTTCTGGGTCCTTACCGGATCCAAAAGGTACGAGGGATGAAAGTGGCCCTTGTATGTCATCTTTGGGCAGGTGAATATATAGAATCCTATCAAAGGGATAAAAATATAAATAATAGTTAGAATATTAACCTTTAGTCTCGGAATGCACGTTCTCTGATTTGGTCCGCCTGTAGCATACCCATGTAGTAATACTTGAGATTCTCGTATCCGGGCTTAGCACTGAGGGCCTGCACAAGCGCGATTTCCCTCTGGGCGCTGTACTTGCCCAACGACAGGACCGAGTAATCCGGGTCATAAAAAAAGTAAACAGCTGAAACACACGACGGAAGAATATCGATGACAGAGACAGCAATCAACTTCTCGTCCAGATAATAGCACTGGTGAAATGATCCAAATCCTGGGTCCTCTTCTGTCGAGTCTGATGCCTTTGTGGCCTAAGATTGAGGTACATAGTATCGAGACATGAACCGATGTGAGGTTGATGGCCGGTTGGTTCAACTGGCGGCTGTATCGGCGATGACACGTACTGTAAGGGGAGACTGGACCAAAAAATTCTTAAAGTTGCTGGCCTGGCACTTGGTTCGAGGTTCATGATGAATTTCCATCTGGTACCTAACGTACAGTGCGTGCTTCTCTTCCGTAAATGATGAAGGCTCCAGTTTGACCTGCATTCCAGTATTAAGTGAAGGTTCATTAGTAAACATGTACTAAAAAGTCTACTTATCGATGTAGCATGCTCAAAGTGAGAGGTCCGTACTCGGAGGCGATGTTTCCAAGAGGTGATCTCAGGTGAGAGAAGGTATTCTGACGACCGAATTCGTGTCTTCAAATCGGATGCGGCATTCTTTGGTGCCTTCCTTGGCTTTTGTTTCTTTCCCTGACCTTCAGATGTGGATGGCGCTGCGTCGTTGGAGGCTGTTGTCTCGGGCACTGACTTTGTCAGTGAAGTCGATGCGACCTCTGTGTTCAAAGCTGAGGCATCCTTGGTCTCAGAACTCTGCTCAAGGCGAGATGCAATGTCCTTTTCAAAATTTTCATCTCCTTCCTGGACATAGTTGTTGAACCGGTTCACGATTTGCCGTTGGTGTTTTGATGGCGCAAACTCGTGCGCCTTCATGCTGCAAGCAGAGAAAAAGACGCGATTGAGTCAACGTGTCCTTCCAAAGACGAAGAATTAAGTAAAATACCCACTCACCGAATAGTATACTGCGGACAACAGCTATCCCTCAGATTGGGCTTGTAGAGATAGGTCCCCGATCTATCCAAATGAACCAACCACTCAACCCAGCGTTAGTATTGTCGTCGACAGTATAGCATTGCCCTAGATAGCACTATAAGGATTTCCTTTCTCACCTTCTCCATCCGCGGTCAATAAGTTTTTGGTAGTCCTATCAATGATATATGATTGAGTGATAAAAGACTTAGTCGACATCGGTCTCAGAAGCTGATCATTTCAGAGTTGATTCTTCCTGCATCTTGTCGCACCTCGCAGGTCATTAGGTGAGCGCCCATGCCGTATGTCCGGGAGCCCATGGTGGACTTGCAGTAGCCACATGAGGACACGTTGGAGCCATAGGGCGTGATGACGCTAAAGTCACTGAGCAGCATCTGTGTTGGTTGCTGGCGTTTCGTTGTGGAGTCAAAAAAGGGCCGCACAATGAGTCAAAAAAAAATGGCCAGCTGGATTTTCCAATGATAACCTCCCTTAAGCTAATCGGGACACAGACGCGTTTGATTGAAGTCTAACACTGAGTTTATTACAATGGGTTGCTCTACGAGCGATCCTCGACGAACTGGAGTTCCAGGTTGACGTATCCGTTGTTTCGGAGTCCGAACCACTTGGGGAGCTTGTAGTCGCGCGCACCGACGTTGCCGGTGTTGAAGACTTCGTCTAAAGAGATCGTGGCTTCTCCGATCTTGTCGTCGCTAAACGTGTCCTTGTCAACAACACGGACGTACAGCTTGCTTTGGCCAGAGCGGACATAGAAGGTGAAAGCTTGGTTGAAGACCGGGTTCAAGCCCTTGCCGTCCTTGGAGCGTTGCTTATGGTCCTTCTCGAGCCACAACTCGACGTAGGGATCTGACTTTCCGAGCCAGTCCTTGTTAGTCAACTTGGTCGCATAGTTCAGCTTGACGGTGAGCTGACCCTGCTTGGAGGCCATGATATGAACGAGGCTCTCAGACTTGACAGGGACGTCATTGGCGACTGCAGGGATGGCCTCGTTGGCTAGAGCGGCCCTGTTGGCTAGAGTGGCCCTGTTGGTCAAAGCAGCCATGGCAACGGCTGGGGCCAGGAATGCGGCGACAAGAGCAGTGAACTTCATCGTTGGATGTGCTGAGTGCGGTAATTGCTTGAGAGGCGAGTTTCTTTTCGTCAGAGTCGCAGCAGGAAGGGATAGGGCGCGAATGATGAGGAGATGCAGTAAGCTTTTCAGCCTATTCCCTTCATGCGGATCGGAAGCACCGCTATTTTTGTGATCGGCATGAATCGTGGTGCGACCAGCCTGGCGTGCCGGGGTTCTATTTGCAGGGTTTCGGATTCCTGTCGAAGCTAGGTCAGATCTACGCGTATGACATCGTGCGCGCTATATCCAGAAATGCGCGAAACGGGGGAAATCAAAGACGCGTCTCGTTTTTAACGCTTTTACCGAGGCCGCATGTCCAGCACATATAGATCACTAAGTCTTATATAAGGCCCTGGTCCCCCCACCCACTTTTGCTCATCAACCAGCAGCACCCCTTCTACCCCAGAACACCCGACTTCCTCATCCCCTCTCAAGCAATTACCGCACTCAGCACATCCAACGATGAAGTTCACTGCTCTTGTCGCCGCATTCCTGGCCCCAGCCGTTGCCATGGCTGCTTTGACCAACAGGGCCACTCTAGCCAACAGGGCCGCTCTAGCCAACGAGGCCATCCCTGCAGTCGCCAATGACGTCCCTGTCAAGTCTGAGAGCCTCGTTCATATCATGGCCTCCAAGCAGGGTCAGCTCACCGTCAAGCTGAACTATGCGACCAAGTTGACTAACAAGGACTGGCTCGGAAAGTCAGATCCCTACGTCGAGTTGTGGCTCGAGAAGGACCATAAGCAACGCTCCAAGGACGGCAAGGGCTTGAACCCGGTCTTCAACCAAGCTTTCACCTTCTATGTCCGCTCTGGCCAAAGCAAGCTGTACGTCCGTGTTGTTGACAAGGACACGTTTAGCGACGACAAGATCGGAGAAGCCACGATCTCTTTAGACGAAGTCTTCAACACCGGCAACGTCGGTGCGCGCGACTACAAGCTCCCCAAGTGGTTCGGACTCCGAAACAACGGATACGTCAACCTGGAACTCCAGTTCGTCGAGGATCGCTCTTAAAGCTGAGCGTGTAAATTGAACCCTCTTGTACAGATCTCTTATATGATGCTTAATAAACGCGCCTTAGATAACGTTTTGCAGTACTTTAACCCAGTTAACGTGATTCGAGTGGAACCGTGAGACCACGACTCGATTAAGTCATCAACTCGGCGAGGGAGATATAGCCTCCACTCTGCCTTTCTTCTTGATAGCTACCTATCTCAGTAAAATTCCAGTGATAACATTCCACTCAATCTTTTCATTCTTTGCTGGGCAGCAGAGAGGAAAAGCAATCCTTTACCTTGGAGTACACAAGTTCTAGTATTGACGTGAACAGTGGGTCATGCTGATTAAGAGATACATACTAGCTCCCTCACTCTACTTTCGGCTCTGCAAACCTCTGCAGCTGCTGCTCTTACGACTTTTTTCTCCTCCAAATAGCACTCGCTCCTTCAGCGGTCAGTCTATGTCCTGTACTTTTTTTTTGAAACAGTTCTTAGAAATGAGGATATTCACCATGCTGTAGATTGCAGGAGCTCCCTACCGCTCAACAGCAAGGCTAGATGATCTCAATACTGCACCATGGGGTGTGATAACTAGATCTTGCGACAGCACAAGCATAAGCATCACTAGCATGGCAAGCATCACAGGCATGGCGTAAGCTGCTGCGTCAAATATATTGCTGCTGTCGTTACGCCTGAGCGACCACCATCCTTCTTGTGAACTTTTAGTCAATTCCACTTGGATTAATTGGAGCCATGGATATGAAGCAGGGGTGCGCGTTTGTGTAAAAGTAAAATAATCGCCTCCATACGTATATACCATCACACCAATGCCGCCATGCCCTTGGATTACCACTCGTAACAAAACCGGGCGCATGCGATAACTTTCTGCATTTCAAAAGGGTCTCTTTCCGTATGCGGTAGATTTTGTAACAATGTGTTTATCCACTCAAATTTTGCTAGTGCGAAGTTTCTGTAGGGCATGGAACTGCTTCGGCATTTCGATGCTTACTCCTAAACCTGTGAACTTCTCCAAGTTCCTAGCCACATCGTGAGGGAAGGGCCACTCCTTGGGGTTGCTAACCAGATCCAATCTGGCCATCTGCGACTCAGTCAATGTGAATTCCAGCGCGCCCAGGTTATCCTCCAATTGTTTCAGCGTGCGAACTCCGATCAGAGGTGACGTGATGCCAGGCTTTTGCAAAGTCCAGTTGACCGCAACCTGAGCAGGGGTTCTGTTGCATTCCTGTGCAATCGCCTTGACTTCGTCCAGGATTCTCCAGTTCTTGTCGTCCTTGAAATGGGCGCTGACTTGTCCCTTACGCTTGCTGTCCGAGGCCTTTTGGTCGCGGGAGTGCTTTCCGGAAAGGAAGCCTTCGGCGAGAACAGACCATGGCACGATGCCGATACCGTGATCGGCACACATAGGCTGGATATCGGACTCAAGAGATCGGTTCAGTAAATTGTAGCGGGTCTGGAATCCAATGAAGGGCGACAGGCCTCGAAGGTCCGCCATGGTGTTAGCAGCTGTGATGATAGTAGAGGAAAACAATGGGTAAGAATACATTTTTGTTACTTTGGCAAAGTCCGATCCAACGCAATTAAGAATTGCAGATTTCATCATACATGAGACAACCCAGCTGGGAGTATCGCTAACGGCGACATAAAGCGCCTTTCCGGCACGAACAACATCGTCGAGTGCACGCATGACTTCTTTTATCGGGGTTCTGTACTCCCAAAGATGGACATAAAGAATATCGACGTATCCTGTGCCAAGGCGCTTCAAACTGCCATCGAGACTCTCGACCAGATTCTTGCGGTGATTGCCGCCTATATTCAAAGGAAGAACAGTTATTGGGTTTAATCTTGACCCTTGCCTTCGGCCCATTGCCAGTAAACACTCATTCAAGCGGAAGAGTAACAAGTTGTAACATACCGGCGTTGGGGTTGGGTCGGCTAAATCTTCCAGCGAGCGCTTCAGTCGCGGATGGATTAACTACAAGCAAAGTAAAAGTGCATGCCATTAGCCTGTGGGATTTAATAAAGCTGGCATTCAAGGGCTTTGCACTTACTCGAGTACTTTGTAGCGATCACGCATTCGCTTCGTTTGTCGGCCATGTACTCCCCCAGAAACCTTTCCGAGTCGCCATTGGTGTAGATGTTGGCTATAGTGTAGTGTAGTGTCAAATGGACGTTTCTGTTTTTAGAGCACGCGATTGGATTGAAACTGATACCTGAAGGGACCCCATGTTAGCGACGCCTACCGGTGTCGTAAAAGTTGCCTCCCTTCTCATGATACATGTCAAAGATCTGCTTGCAGGTCTCCTTGTTGTTGCCAAAGCCCTAATGGACACATCAGTATGTGTGTGAGCGAGTGCGAAAATAAGATGCGTGTCGAATGCGCTTCATCAATTGGCACGCGAGTGTGTACCCATTCTTCGCCAAAGGTCTATTTTATAAGGTCAGTAAGATAGAGAGGCCTGTCAGTATCTTTACGATGACGGACAATACTTTCAAAGTCTGTGGATTCGCTTGCTGTACCATTGTGCCGAGCGAGAGTGGACTGACGCGGAGTCCGGATTTGCCCAGGAGCACATAGTTGTCCAGAGCGGTCAGGGTTTTATTGATTGCGGTACTGTCGGCGGTATCCTTCATGGTGGTCAATTGGACAAGACGATGAGTGTTGGAGCGAAGAAGAAGGTGAAGGGGAGAGAAAGAGGTGAAAAATATGGAAGCGAACGATTTTTTATAAGCGAGCCGAACTTTATGCAATGTAACGGCCCGATCGAATTAGAAGCCGATCATATGTTGCAGCAGTGCCAGGCTAAGCAAGAGACACGGCGCCACCAATCTGAGGACGCCCTTTGCTTTGCCCGTAACTCGTGGAGAGGGCTGAGTCAGGCCGGAAGACGACCGAAGGACGTGCGACTCTGGCTGTTCTTGTGCCTCGACGGAGAGGGGTTCGACCCTTATATTCTTCTTCCCCGCACTTCTTCAGTTTCCTTTTTCTCTTTATTTCATTCGCCGCTCTGCACTCGACCCAACAGCTCCCTCCCGCACACCATGGCTGCCGTTGTTACCACAAACTGCCCCGATCTCGAGCTGATCGCACGCGGAAAGGTTCGCGATCTCTACAGGGTCGACGCCAACTCGCTCCTCTTTGTCGCCACAGACAGGATCAGTGCCTTCGATGTCATTATGAAGAATGTAAGGGCTTGCAGGATTCGCAGATCACTTTGGGATCAACCTGTCGAAAGCAAGATCCAGATTCCACTCGCACCTTTCTCTTCTTTTTGTATATACTCTATGACTCACGCTGGCCGATTTTTTTTTTTTTTTTTTTTTCTTGTACAATAGGGCATCACCAACAAAGGGAAACTCCTCACAGAGATCAGTATCTTCTGGTTTTCGTTCCTCAAGGATGTCTTGCCCAACCATTTGATCACCGCCAACTTTGAGGAGATGCCCGACAAGGTCAAGCAGTACCGTGATCAGCTCGAGGGCCGATCCATGCTTGTCAAGAGTCTGCGTGTGCTCCCAATTGAGTCGATCGTCAGAGGATATATCACTGGCAAGTCGTAGGAAACTAGTTATCGTTTGACAATTGAGTAAGTGGGATACATATTGGACAGCTGGTCCTAACATCTCTACGTTTATTTCAATCTAACTTTGTAGGTTCTGCATGGTCAGAATACAAGAAGAAGGGAACAGTCTGTGACATCAAGCTCCCCGTCGGCTTGCAGGAGAGCGAAGAGTTCGAGAAGCCATTGTGGACTCCCAGTACCAAGGCCGAGATTGGTGACCATGACGAAAATATCCACCCAGACAAGGTCCCAGCAATCATTGGCGAGAAGCATGCTGCTGAGATGGCTAAGATCTCGATTGAGCTGTATACCAAGGCCCGCGATTACGCAAAGGACCACGGCATTATCATTGCCGACACTAAATTCGAATTTGGTGTCGATGAGAATGACAATCTCTACTTGATCGATGAGGTTTTGACCCCAGGTATCCCATGACGAATGCTGATGTCCCTGATCTATGTTTGCTTGCCTTGGTACTGGATAATTGCTGACTGTTATAATGCATTGTCCCTTTGTACTAGACTCGTCGCGCTTCTGGCCCGCAGATAAGTACAAGGTCGGCGGTAGTCAGGATAGGTAAGAGACTGCAGGCTCGGTTTCTGTTAGGAAAACTCTTTTTTTTTTTTCTTTTTTTTTTTTTTGCGACATTGATAATGGATTAATGGACAATAACACTCTGTACTACTACCCCCATCTCTCGTAGCTTTGATAAGCAGTACCTTCGCAACTACCTTGAGTCCATTGGTTTCGACAAGAGCACCGGAATCACTCTTCCTCAGGATGTTGTCGATAAGACGATGTCAAAGTACCAAGAGGCATACAAGCTGCTCACCGGAAAGGATGCCCAGCTCTGAGCGATGTACATGTCTCCCCATGTAAAATCAAAAATCACACTCAAATAAAGTTCATTCATCGCATTACCTATATAATTTAAAAACAGTCTTATTTTATAATCGTGAGGAGTCCAGCCTGCATCAAAACAAAACCTTGCGAACGAAACAAAGACAACGCGACACTTTGACACAGCACTCCACCAACGAATCGACCTCAACGCATTCACTCGTCCACAGAGTAAACCCAGGAGTTATCAAGACGTATCTCACCACCATCATAATTCACCAGACCACGCAGTCGGGATGGCAGCAAACGACCTTCCCCTGAACCTTATCCTTAGACGTTCTGTCACAGAGGGCTTTTTGAAGGAGGACGACCCAGAACTCGCATTGCACCAATCCCTATCAAACGACTCTTCGCGGCTGGAAGATGAAGAAAACTCCGCGCCACTAGACACCACCAGCAGTTCACGCCTACCGCTTTCACAAGACCCGACCATTTACTACCATAAGATCGGACTCTCCTCGACTAGGAGACGTTCCAAGTCCAGTCGATCTCAGTCTCTTAATACGATCAACACCCGCCGAACTTCACAGAACTATGGAGACTCTGCAGAGATCTATCGCACGCCGGTCTCCGGATATGGTCTGAACGACTGCTCGACCTCAGAGGACGATGATTACTCGGACGATACTTCTGACAGTGAAGAGGAGGCTTATCCAGTTGCACCGCATCGTTTTGCAGATCAGAGAAAGAAACTAGGTGGAGTCAGCAGCACGGCAGATTCAGCTCACTATGTTGCTCTAATCACTGGACGTATGGATCCATGGGAGATTCAGATGCAAAAGCTACAAGAGGAGGGCAAGGTATGAACCGGTTTGTTATTTCTCATGGAGCCATCCAAGGATATGGACAGCACTGACCAACGTACGATAATGGTAAATACGCATAACAGGATCTTGCCCCTCAGATTGCGGATAAAATTACAAAGGATTTCAAGACTCTGGAAAAGCCATCAAGCGCCTCAGCAATTACATGGGCTCGCGACAACGAGGATATCATACAGCGGATAAAGTCCATGTCTTTGGAAACAGAGGCTATCAAGGAAAGGCGAAAAAAGGAGATCGACACCAAGAACCAGAACTTGGCAAAGGTAACACTGCTGCGGATATTGATCACATGCATTTTTTTAACTTGCTATTTTGAGCTCAGTAAACGCACACATACTGACGACTGCAACTGCAATTGAAACACATAGGAAATCGAGGCATGTATTCAGCGCGTTACGGACGAAAGGGAGGCCGCACTTCGCATTCGGGAAGAGGCACTCAAGCAGGCCCAATTAGAGAAGGAAAGGATCGCAAAGGAGCAGGAGGAGAAGGCAAAGGCTGCAGCGGCCCAAAAGGATGCCCAGGAGAAGAGGACGGCCGAAGCAGCAGCGGCGGCGGCGGAAAAGGCCAAGAAGGCAGCAGCGGCAGCAGCCGAGAAGGCTTCGACTAACACGAGCGCCATATTTATCAGCGAAGCCGCCGATGTAGAATACAAGCAGTACTTGTCAGTTTTGGAACACATCCGCACGGTTGTCTTGCCCGCAGTGTCTGGAAACCCTACTCTCAAGAAATACTGCTACCAAGCCAGACGTGATATTGTGGCAGCCATTGGACAACTTATCAACAAGCAGAGTGAGATTTTTCGAGTGGTAAGTATTAGGATATTCACTGGCCCTTGTATTCTCAATGCGACTCGAGTGCTTTACGATTTTTTTTAACCATACATTCGAATATTATTTACCCTAGGCTACTGAGATCGACAAGATCTTCAAGACGACACAGAGTCAGAATGTAGTAGCCTACAACTGGGTGCTGAATTGCACTGCGAAGAAGCTGGTGGTAAGGCATTGCACTCGACTGACAACATGTTTTCTGCAATTTTGTATTCGCAAGGCGACGGAATCCTTTGCTGATTTAGAACGAACTTTTTTTTTTCTATTTTAATGTAGAAACAAGCCGAAACTGAGGCATTGGTGAAGTCGGCCCCCGCTTTTCCACTAGCTCATGTCGCTGTCCTTCTGATCTCCAATCATGCACGGTTCCTAGACGTCTTGATGGCTCGGTTCGCAAAAAAGTGTCCTTATGTCACACCGATGTACATCGCAAAGGATCCAGTAAGTTGCCTGAGCTTTCTTGGTTTCTGTGTGAATGTGTTTTCGATTCTTGAACTACAGTCTGACAAAACCTTCGATGGCCTTTGTGACAATTTAGACCGACAGCGCCGATCAGTTTCTCGAAAAACTAGCATATAAAAAGACGGATAAAGGGTACGAGACAGAGTCCCAGTACAATGCTCGGCAATGCGCTATGTTCACGTTGTATTGCGCCGTAATGCAGACTACTCCGCCCGGTAAGATTTGTTCCGCCGCTCAAGCTGCTGGTCAAGGTGTTTGATATCTCGGTACTGACATTGTTAACTATCTTTTCGTCTGTTCAAAAATATGTTCTAGTCGGCAATAACATGTACCCAATGTCGCACGGCTGGACGTGGATGGCGAGAATTTTAAACATGCCACCAAGACCCATCACTCCGGCACTTATCACTGTTTTTCTTGAAGTACGGATACGACTGCTATCTTTTGGTTCATACGAACTGGTTCCTGGCCCCGATGTTTTTGATCATCACTCTAACATATATCTTCAATGGGATGCACATGCATTTAGGTTTGTGGTAGTGTTTATCTCAGGATGTACCAGAACCAGGCCACCAAAGTCATTAAGCTACTTTACAACGACTTTATACCCCTCATCCCCCGCCAAGGTATCGACGGCACCACACGACTTAAAACTTTGTTGGAAGAAGAGTTTATCAAAAAGGGGCAGATTCCTGTAGCGCCGGGTAGAAATTACGACAATTAGATGTTAATAACATTGCAATAAAGATGGCGTATACAGTGTTCCTCGTGTACAAATGATTCCGTCTTTGAAATGGAATCCAAGGCACTGGTCTTGTTTTAGTGCATCGCCTTTATTGAATGACAGGATGAATGCGAGATGTGTGTGTGTGTGTGTGTGTGTGCGAGTGGGATATGCAAAATGAAGAACGAAAAGGGGGGGGCATTGACCGCCTGCTTTAGTATGGCCTGAAGCGCCTGTTGACCTTGAGTGCCTCGATCCTGAGCTTGTCCTCCTCGAACTTGCGACGCAGATCCACCAGTTCTATGGAAGAGAGCGAAAATAAACAAGACATTGATCAATATTGTCATCCGACTTTTTACCCCTCCCCTCCTTACCATCCACGTATGGCAATCTAAAACAAAGAGGATGGGAAAAGAACTTACTGTCACGCTTGGCTTCACGCATCTGGAATCGATAAAAGTCCTGAAGCTCCTTCTTCTTTGGCTTAATGTTCTTGACATCCTCAGCCTTGACTGCCTGAATCTTGATGACTCCGTCAGTGTTATGGCCCTTGCTACCGGCCCGAGTGACGAGAGTAAAGCCGTCCTCGTCCATGACGTTGAGTCGTGCCAAGGCAGCCTGCTGAGCCTCGTACTCTGAACGTTCAAACTTATCCATGTAATCGTCAACCTTGATCTGTATGGCCGAATGTGCTGGTCGCATTCTATGGTAATCATTGATCCATTCTAGGAAAGGATAAAATGAGAATAGTATACAAATGATCAGTATGGAAAGGACTCTTCTTTATCCTGCCAAGGGCACAAATGCACGGGGAGAAAAAAACCGAAGGAGTCGACAGAAGAAAATAAATAAAGCAAAAAAGCAAGGAACATACTGGCGACGCCCAAACTTGCGAGCTTGGCGGAATCAGCTTCCGTGGCCTCGGCTCCGGTACGGATCCATGATCTCTTTTTCCTCTTCATGTTCAGCACCTTTGTCAATTCTTGCTCCTCCAAAAAGATGACGTACGCCTGTGATCCCGACGCATACAAGATCCTGTGATGACTGCTACTGTCGTCCTCTCCTGATCCTGATCCCTTCTGGAGCTGTTGCTTCTTGCTGCCTTTCTTTCCCTTCGCCTTCGCCTCTGCCTCCGCCGCTGCTGCCGCTGCTTGCATCTCCAACCGCTCAAGTTCTTCCTGATGCTCCCGCTCCTCCTTCGTCAGATTCGTATCCCTCACCCGATCCATGAAATGAACTGCGACCACTCGTCCATAAGGCTTGAACAGTTCCCGAAGCTGTGACTCCGTAGCATCCACGGGGATATTGAGGACAAAGAGGGTCCTATCCTTAGGGGTTTTTGGGTCTTCCTTGGGTGATTCATGCTTCTTGAAGTAGAGGTAGTGAAGAACATTTTCGTAGGCTGGAGAGGTATGGGCGGAGTTAGGGGACGCTGTGATAGAGGGCATGTGCAAGGGGAGGATATAGAAGTTCGAGATTTGGTCCAGAGCTGTTGACGAGCTTGGTGACTCTTCGGGCTTCTTTTGCTTTTTGGAGACCATGGCTGTGTGAGTGATATCCCTGTAGGCTGCAGTTGAGTCGGTCGTATTATTTGTCGAAGGCGAAGGGCAGAGTGCGGTTAAAGAGTTGAGGACAAAGGACACAGGCGGACAAAGCTTCAAGGACACCCAAAAAAAAAAAGAAAAGAAAAGGAAAAGTGCAACAACAAAATAGTGTGGCTTGCGAAAGTGACTGGTAACTTTATTTCAGCTATGCTCAGTACCCAGGAACCATGCGCAGGAACCAGCTCGGTTGCCAACCTAGTACTGGAGGAGAAACACTTGGCCAGCGTTCGCCTTTAATAAGAAGGCTATAGTTTACACTCATGCAAACTTGCTGAGCATTGTGGCGGTATCCATTTTTACAGCTATGGCCAGCTGGAGACAATAGCCGCGTTCAATTATAAAATCGCCCATGTTTTGTTGGTTGAAAATTTACTCACTGAAAAAATGTGTACAAAGAACATTGTGGCAAAGAATATTGTGGGCTAAGAACATTGTGGACAAAGAACTCCTATAAATAGTGGTAAACCACAAAATGAACAATTTTTGCCTCATTGCTTCTTTCGATGTAGATTAAAACAACAACAAAAAGGGTGAGGTAAAATTTATATTAGTATATAATAACTGGCTTGTGGCAGCCAAGCGTTCATAGCGACGTTGCTTTTTGATCCTTCGATGTTGGCTCTTTCAATCCTTGCTTCATTAGAATTCCAGGTCGCGTCGTTGATGCTTTGTTCACTACCACAACCGTGGGTGCCTGCTTTTTATTTAAGGGGTTTAATTTTGAGCACAATTCGACGCGTACCTGAATAGTCCTTTCGGAGAGGTTTAATTCCAGGCGCGCAGGCGTGCCACAGGCCAAGTTTTATATTTGACAACCCGGGTTGCCATACATTATTTGTCAACCCCCCCTAATTGACTGCTCCTACGAGACTTATTTTGGCGATTGAGGCAGCGGTCAGTTCAGCTCTACTGAACGTGATTTTACCGTTTCCTGTAAAGCCGCGGGAGAAAAGTGGGACGGATTCAGGTCCGTTGCTCTGCCCTTCCTCATTCTTCTCCTCCACCTTCCATCCTTCTTCCTGCCTTGACCACATGAGAGTCCCCTATTATCGCAATCTTTCTCGCCATCCAAGGACTCTGCGTGAACAAGGCCGTACTATATCACTGGAGCTTGCCCTTTAGGAAATCAAGCGCGCCTATGAAAGCAGTAAATTCAGGATCACCCCTGCTCTTCTCGCTGCCCTATTAACTCTCCACTACTTCGACACCGTTCGATATATCAACAGCAGGAGCTCCAATCATCTATTCAGGTCGCCTATCTATCGCGATGAAGTCCTCTCAGGACATTCGGAACGCGACTTTAGAAGTGCCTTGCGAGTGATGTCCAAGCAATTCGACTTCGTGCTGAAGATCATTCGGGACCATCAAGTATTTCGGTATCAAGGCAAGAGACGGCAGGCTGATGTTGCGATACAGCTTAAAGTGGCTCTCCACCGACTCGGTCACGATGGACCCTTGTCTTGCTTTGAGGCAATTGGCAGGACATTGGGTACCAGCGTTGGTTCCGCAAAGAAGTACACTGAGCGGTGCATCGATGCGTTGTGTGATAACATCACAAAGTTTGTGAAGTGGCCGAATGCCGAGGACAAGGATAAAATCAAGCAACATTTCAAAACAAAGGCAGCGGCTTTCCCAATTTACTTGGCGCCATCAACGGCACTTTAATCCCACTTGAATTTGCCCCAACAATGGATCGACATGTCTGGGCTACAAGAAAGGGCAACTTCGCTATCGGTGCAACTGGCGTCTATGACCACCGTGGCGTCTTTATCGCCTTTTTGACCGGATATCCTGGGAGCAGACACGATTCGGCCGCCTATAAGGACACCGATCTTTACCGTTTTATCGCCCGGTACTTTTCTGGAAAGGAATATATGTTGGGCGATGCAGCGTACGATTTGTCCCCTACTTTCATGACCGCTTTCAAGGGAAATCTCAACGCTAACCAGACGAAGTTCAACAAAAGGCTTAATGGAGCTCGAGTCAAGATTGAGCATGCGTTCGGTTTGCTCAAAGGCCGATTCCGGTCTCTTATCAATTTACGAGTTCACATCGACAGCAATTAAAGCGTCCAGGAAGCCAATATGCATATAGCGGCGTGCGTGGTATTGCATAACATCCTCAAAAATTCTGAAGTTGACGACCCTGACGGGGATGCTCTATTTTATGGAGAGGGAATATCAGAACAAGGAGCGTTGACGCAGGCAGCGCAACGACAGGAGGCATAGACAGATGTTGGTGACGCTGGAGATGGACGACAACAACGACTATAACGATGACGACTATACCAGTAGTGATGACGACGGCATATTGGACGGGTTAACCCCCTCTCAGCTCAGAACGATGAGAGCTCAAGCGGTCCAGAAGCGCCTTTCATTCATGGGTCTGGTGCTTCGAAAATAATAGATTCTTTAATGCTATTCTTCTGCTTCATTATGTATTGGACCTTGGTGCCTGTGGAATTTTCCTGCTGATCTCGAGAAGGTTCTTTTGTAGCTTCATCAGCTCAATATCCAACTTCCTGTGCTCCAGATGTAATTTTGCGTTCTCCCTGTCGATTTCCGCCTGCATCTTCTTCATCTGCATCTCCATTATACGATATTGCATGTCAGCACTCCTCCCGTCAAACTCAAACTTCTGCCTCTCAAGCTTCAGTCTTTTATCCGCATACTCTAGTTTCCTCCGCTTGATCTCTTGATATTCCTTGGCTTGACTTTTGAAGCCCTCAAGCATTTCTATAACGCCGACTCCAGTATATCGGGACCTCTTCGATTTCTGCATTGACTGCGCAGATATTGGTACGAAACAAGAATCGCGTGACATACTGATATCTTCGTCACCGTTGTTCTCGTCGCTATCATCCTCGCTTGCGTCGCGTGTGATATGCCGTTCTAAATTAGATGTGAGGTGACATGGTGCCGAGGGATTCATGGACCACGATGTAGACCAGACAACCTCCATGATGTAGAAAAAGTGACATATATCCAGAACCTTGTCCTTTAACAGCCTGTCGGGTCGGGCGCCATTGCCTGTTCTGCTAAACAATTGGTTGGCTTTTTTCCATAGCTTCTTCATGTTCTCGATCTTATTCTTGATCTGCATCCCATCAAGATTAAGAGGCTTGTCCTGGGAGGAGAATCGGCGGTTGACCTTGCTGGCTATGTCGTCGCGCACTTCCGTCTTATCCTGTAATGGTTATTCTTCTCGCTTGGGCCATCTAGAAGTGCCCAATTTTCTGGATCACAAGTAGCTCAGCAATAAACGTCTCCTGCTCACGCGAAAAGACGTGTCCCCTTCCTTTCCCTCTGGTGCTTGGCTGCGCTGTCCTGGAAGACTCTGCTGTCTTTTGCTTTGTTGTGCGACTTACGAATACAGTGGTGGATGCTGAAGACATTGTCGAGGAAGATACTGATGATAAGACAGGAGAAGTCACTGAGGACAGGGTAGGGGAAGATACCGAGGAACGTGAGGCTGAAGGCGTAGGCAGGGCGAAAAAATGGCTTGACGATGCGCCGTTCACTGGTGATGAAGGGGGCGCTGGATGCTCCGCCTCCTCTGATCGAAACGGAGCTGATAATCTGTCATCAAGGACATCAGTGTACGGTAACACCGCCGTTGCTGCTCCAGGAATACCATGACCTGATGTCTGCATGTGCTGTGACGGGAGTTGGATCCCGTATGGATGCGCTGTATATGTAACCTCAAGAGGCGTTGAGTCAATCGGTAGCGGCATCCTATCATGGTGCTGAAGAAGCGATAGGCGTTAGTATTATGGACATATCAAATTGTTGTGTCAAGAAATAAACATAATATACCTGTTCTGATAATGTCGGCATGTTTGACCAAGTCTGGGGTGACTGCATATGTTGCAGTGTCTGCTGCTGCTGCTGCTGCTGCTGCTGCCGCAGGTACTCTCGTGAATGAAGCCGTTGCTGTTGGTGGTGATGAATCCGATGGAGCTGACGCTGTTGTATCTGCTGCAGCTGCAGCTCTCGCTGCTCCCGCTGCTGTTGCTGCTGTTGGATAGATGCCCTTTCCAACCGAAAGAATTCCTTTTGCGACGCTTGCTCCTGGAGTTTCGCGCGTTGGGGTCGTGGCTGTTTATGTTTAAGAGACTGAGGACCTGGTCCTGAATCCGAAGGGTTTGATAGATTGTTGGCTACGCGTAGTAGGCTGCCTCTGAGGTCGTCATGTAAGGGTTGGTCATTACTAGGAAGGTGTAGTGAAACTGAGGAGAGCTCGCTCAACTCCTCGGATCCATTTGTGGATTATATATTAGGGATCGCTATCGTTTGAAGATGCTAATTGGGCGTGCCCGTATATATGGGGTTATGTAGATGTCTGGATGTGTCTGAATGGATAGCAGAGTTGATTCAGAGTGAATGAGCACGATGAAGGGGTAGAGGTGTGTGTGGAGGTGATGTATGAAAAGAAAAGAAAGAGGGGACAGAACATGTACCTCAAACTTTATTTCGAACGCGTTCCGTAGTCCAATAATGACGCGCCCTCCTCGCGGCATCTTTAAGTGAAACCCAGTCTACTGCTGTAGCTAATGGACGCGCTCCTTGGTGAATTCCTATGCCTGCGCCAGGCTCTCCTTCGCGTAAGTAGTGTCGAATCCTATCCAAACGATTGCGTGCGAATTCAACACTCTCCTCCTCTGAGCGCGCTGTTTCGAATATGACCGCTGTCCATAGTGATACTTCGCCTTCACATTCGGACGGATAACCAATCGAAGGGTCAAACATCTCGCTTACGGGGACGTGCTCAAAAACTCTGAGTTCCTGTAATGCATTGCCAAATTCTTTGGTCGTCCTGGCCACTTTCTTCATGTCGTCCTTGACCGAGAACGTGAATGTGACGAATTCATGTTCCTGAAGTTGCAATGTGAACATACAGGTGTCCCTCGGGATAACAGCGTCTGCAGGCAAGTTGCAGTCGACAACGATGGAGTGCGATCCGATGAGAATATTTGGAGAGACTGAAGAGCGCTCAATATACGCTGGAGAATGCATACAGTCTACGGCGCTAGCAGTACCATTGAACACCTGAACGAGGGCAATCCCATCAACGTCGTTCTGGATATTGAGTTCAAACATGAATGGTAGATCGGTGCATGTCCCTGCGAGAAATTCCTGCATGGTCCCCAAGTGATAGAACTTTGAGGCGTTGAGAACCATGACGTCCAGGACTACACCTGCGTCCTGCAGCGCCCGCTTCGCCTTCTGTCGACCTCTCAGGTAAGGATTATCAGTCGTGGTGGAAGAGTTTGAAGAAGGATGAGGTACAGAAGTGGGTAAATCTTGGAAGCTGAGGATGTCTGCCCATGCTTCCAGGTCACACTCTGCAGAAAGCATGTCGTATGTCTACATGGTTTAAACCGATAAAGTAGTGTAGGTTACGATGCATGCAGAGACATCAAAGTCCATGAACAAAGTACAAGAAAGCTTACAGTGGCCATAATATCCGCGGTTTGCGGATCGAAGTAGTAGCAGCTGTCAGTATACACTACATCCGCTTCAGCTTTTGCTAGATCAGAATGTATCACACCAGTGGTTCCCTTCATCACATCTATGGAAGCATTAATCCGAGGATGAGTGTCTGAGGTTACAGATTGAGCATTTAAGGTCTTCATGGGCATCTACACGTACCCAGCTTTGGCTTGTGCAGGAATTGTTGGCATTTCAACATCAACGCAGACTGGTCGCTCGGACCCCGACGTCTGTCCTCTGTGACAAGTCCCTTTGGATCGTGTAACAGGTAGACGCCATGGGTGCTGCCAATTTGAGTGGATGATGGATGCGCTAACGCTGTGATAGTTAATGGTTTGGGATCGCTTGGAAAGGATGCCTTGGACGAAAACAGCTCGATCCCGTCGGCGCTTGTCAAAAATACCTGCAGGGTAAAAAAAAAAAAAAACTGGGCTAAGCACTTTTCAATTTTCAGATCTCGCAGGCACTACTATGTCAATGGGTATAAAAAAAAAACTTACCCCTGGTGGCATGCACGTTAGCAAATGCAAGTAAAGCACTAGCTTTAGTTCCAGAACTTGGATTCCATTTTGAGAGTCGGCTACATATTATTATAGGTTGAACCATGGGAGCTTAGTACGTGTCAATAACAAGTATCTCGTCCTGTAAGGTTGAACCTCAATGTCAACTTACCTTGCGGGAGTGTCATGAAGACCTTGCCGCGCGCGCTGACATGAGGCAAACGCGTGCTGTAGCCTCCAGCATGGATCAGGAGAATGCGCGCTACATTAAAACGTTGACAGCAAGAGAGGAATATTAGGTCGACTGGACTCTTTACTAGTCTCTGACGAAAGCGCGAACATGAATTACAGGGCGGATTTACCATTCGATAGAAAATCCTGAGAGTAGAGGCCCTTTAAGGCCTTCATTACGAGAAAAGTCGACCCTCCGCTTCCGATCTTTGAGCTCGGTGGATCCTCAATGACATGATACCTAAAAGTCCACGGCGAACATCAATCCTGTGTAAATTGGTCACTGTCGACTTTTGGCAAAGCGAAGTTTTCGACTGCAGTACCTGGCATGCGTAGGGATATCCCTCCGTTCTAGTTTCTGGTTTATCCTAAGTTCATATACAAGTCGCTGCTGCACGTCGCCGGCAGTGACAACAACAACATCCCAAAACGGGTCTTGGTCCCTGCTCGCGGTCGTGGTGGTAGTGGCGGTGGGTTGCCCTGCAAGCAGTCGTTTGTACGTTGCTAGATTTTGCGCGTGCGTATCATGAAGTACCCTCGAAAGGGCGTCAATGCCTCCGGGAGCGCTTCTTGTAGAGTTTTGATTAGTATGGAATGTCTCCATCGTTGGAGGCGGACTGATGTCGATGCAATGAGAGGGAAAGTTGTCTGTAATAAGAGGGTCGACCGTGCGAGAAAAACGGTAAATGTCCTGAGCAATTGACCAATCATCAGCCAGGAATGTTTCGCCCACCTCAAGGCGCCAGATCAGCTTCTACCTGATCCTCCATCACCCTTCTCCTCTCTCCCACCCATTCAGACCCCCATGTCCGCACAGACACAGGAACAGGCACACGACAACGTGGCGTACCATAGCGACCCGGCCAGGATCCAAGAGCTCCGTCGTTTGCTCCTCAATTCTCTCCAGAAAACCACTCCCTGCGACTGCATCCTCCTCTCCGGCGGAGTTGACACCTCAATCTTAGCTGAGGCCGCCTACACAGTCTACAACCAAAGCAAAGATTCCAACCCGGACCTCCAACGGCCTCTCGTGGGCGCCATCACCGTTCTCTGTACAGATCAAGCCACGGATGAATTCTATGCCAGTCAGATCGCCGCCCGAACGGGGCTCGTTCAGGAAGTCGTCAAGATCACGCTCGACTCCGTCCTAGAAGAACTCGAGTTCTGTATCAAGACTCTCGAAACCTTTGACCCGATGGAACTCCGGAACGGGATCGTGATCGCTCGAGGGCTCTCGGTCGCCAAACAGTTGGGGTATAAGACCGTCATGACTGGCGATGGTGCCGATGAGCTCTTTGCGGGATATTCGTTTCTACACAACATGTCCGCAGAGCGCCTGCAGGCCTATTCCGACAAATTGACAAAGACCATGCGCTTTTCGGGAGTCACCCTCGCCAGAGCTCTCGGGTTGGAGCTCGTTCAGCCATTCTTGGATCCGGAATTGATCGCTTTCTCGCAGCAGTGTACCAAGGAAGAGAAGATTAATTATCATGAGCACACCAAAGAAAGAGAGTGGCAGGATCGACTTTTAGGGAGACAGCTGCACGGCAAGTTTATTCTGAGAGAGGCCTTCGAGAAGGAAGCCTTTTCTGCATGGCGAAAGAAAGAGCCCATCGAGGTTGGTTCCGGTACGACGGTCTTGCCCAAGCTGTTCCAGGAATCGATGGATCCAGAGGAGCTGGAGAAGGAGCAGGGCATGATTTTTGCCGAAGAGGGGATCAAGATCAGGGATGCGGAGCATTTGATGTACTTTAAGGTGTTCAAGAAGGTCTTTGGCGATGATTTGAGTACCTATCCCGAGAAACTCAAGAAGGACGGTCGCGATCCGTGTCCAGGCTGTGGATTCAATCTCACGACTCCCGATCAGACCTTTTGCGTGATCTGCGGACAGTGGCCAGCACGTATCCTACCGCCTCCAGAAGAGATGGCCAAGGTTTTAGCAACCAAATCTGATGCCACTGCCTCGAACTAGAAGGACTTCTCCATCTTTAGAATAAAGACTGTCTACTATAATTTATTATCAGTAAATTCACTTATAAGATGCGGACGAAATTACATTCTGGTCCCTACGATCCGCTAGGCATGGGTACTGGTCTGAATGGTCTGCAGCTCCCGACGAAGCTCTCGCAGTTCTCTCTCGAGACGTCTCCTCTCCTCGACCTCCTTTCGCACAGCCTTGTCTTTCTCCTCCCGTAGCTCGCCCATAGCTCTCCTGAATTCTTTTCGCAACGCTGCCGTCGCCCCTGCAATTGCTGTATTATTACTGGTAGGACTGAGGGCGTTGGCGCTGCTATCGAGCCCTTGCTGGCCAGCGCCAAACACGTCTGAAGCAGAAGGAACAGGTGACATAGCGCTTGAAGGCGACTCCTCTGGGTGCTTTTGAGGGAGTGACCCAAAGTTAAATGACCTCGCGAGTCCAGATGAGAACCAAAACGACGAAGGAGGCGATTGTGCGCTTGAAGTTACCGACAGACTGTCCAGAAGCTGGGATCCTGTACCTGGACCTCCACTGACACTCTCTAGTGCGGCGATAATCATACGCAGTTCTCCCATCTCGCCCTCCAACTTCCCACACTTGGCTCGTAATTCTTCCAGTGTATTAACGTCAAAGGGGCTCAGTTTGACGGCCGAATTCGAGTTCAAGGCACAGTCTACTGCATTGCCCTCTTTGATCTTGGCCATGTCCGCTTGCATCTGCAGAAGAGCTTTTTCTTGTTCCTGAACAACTTGGTCCCTCTCCCGCAGCAGTTTGTCCTTGGCGCGGATAATTTCCTGGAGTTCGTCTAGCTCATCGCTTTGGTGCGGTTTATGAACAACCCGTCCGAACAAGGATGATCTGCTGTTGACAGGCGTACCTGTTGCGCCTGCTGCCGCTAGTTCCGCCAGTCGAGCATTCTCGTCCATGAGTACATCGGTATGTTGCTTCAGCAGCTCTAGCTCCTTCTCCAGCAACTCAACCATTTCAGCACTGGCATGAAGCCTTTCAAGATCTGACTTTAAAACCCGTGTCGATTGTCCTCGTTGTTTCAAGGATGAGTCCAAAAGATCAGTATCTTCCGGCGTATGTTGTTTCTTCGTAAGAATTTCCTGGTTGCTGTTTCGACGGCTCTGTTCACCCATCTTTCCTAATTGCTCCCTCAGCTCCAAGTTATCCTGTTCAATCTGTTCTGATCTCGCTACCAACTCCTTGACTCGGCCAATAAGTGCCTCCATGCTAAATCCGATCACTCCAGCAGGCACCAACGATGATGTACTTTCTGAAAGAGCTGTCTTATCCCCTGGGGTTCCTGTTATTTTCTGCTGCTGAAGCTGTTGGTGAGACGAGTACAGCTGCATATGACTCTTTCGTCTAGGATCGGGCACAATGTCAAAGAGCTGCCGCATGTCTTTTAGATTCGATTGATGCTGCTGGTTGAGAATATCGATCTCGTCGATGGCCTCCCGCAGCTGTCGCCTGAGTTCTTGCACTGCCTCATCACCATTGCAATTCGCGTCCACGCCCTTATCCATATCCTCGACAGCCACTAAGCTCTCTTCCAAAGCTTTGATCCGATGGCTTTGATCTTCCTGCCACCGTTGACGCTCATTCTCCAATTCCTGTTGCGCCATCTGCTTTGCCAGAAGCGCATCCTTGAGGCTCTTTTCCAAGGCTGCGCGGACCGTATCCTCTGCAGCCTGACCACGCGAAACCGAGAAATTCTTGATTCTGATGCTGTTGTTGCGGCTCTCGCTCAGGGCAACTGACTGCCGCCTTAGGAGTCCAATTTCGCCTGTGAGGACAGTCATTTTTTGCTGTGATTCTGACACACGGTTCTCGAGTGCGTCCAGAGTTGAACAAATGCTGTCAATAGAGAAATGTGCTGAGCCGTCTCCTAGGACCGAGCTTGGTGATATTGAGGGCTTTGAGCCGGCGAGCGTCTCCGAAACTGCCGTTGTACCTGCAGTATAGGCATCAGAGGGTTCAGACGAGACCGAATCCTCGCGGACAAGTGGTTTTGAAGCCTCTCGCTTAGAAACCTGGCAGCCGACCGTTGTTTCCGAGGACCATGTTTGACCAGTTCCTTCCCGCTCCTGTCGACCACGACCACTCGATCCCTGTTGCTGCTGAAGGACCGCTTGCAGACGATGTTGGACAGTATTCAAAAAGCTACTCAGCTTAGCCACGGTCTTGGCATCATGAGTTTCTATGAGTGCATCCATATTCTTCTGCTGCGATTGAGAAATAGCAATCGTCTTTTGTTGCTGCTCGTCTAGCTTGATAAACAAGTCGCGCTGATGATCCAACTGATGCATCAGTCTCTCGATAGCACGATCCTTGTCCTCGAGCAGTGACTGGGCCTCAAGCGCGTCTGATTCCAGGTTCATAATCGTCCTGGACATCATCCCGCTAGTATCCAATAATATTATAACAAATAGAAACCAGATTCATTAGATGCATCCATTCATTCAACTTTACTTTTAAAAAAGAAAGTCTGGGCGACAAAACATTAACTTACAATTGCTGTTCAACATCCTGTCCGATCCTGGCATCTTGCAACTGTGCCATGTACATTTCTCTTTCTCTACGGCCCTGATCTTCTAGTCGGACAACACCCAAAGCCAAGACGCCCGATGTATGCTGCAATAGGGTCCGCTGAAGATCTGCAGCCAACTGCGTAAGTTTCCAGAGTTCGGTTGCGACTTGGTCCACTTTGCGGTTTGCGGCCTCTAGATGGTCGCTCGCCTGCCGTGCCAACTTCTTGTTGTCCGCATGGAGCCTTAGCAGCGACTGAGCTGCTTCTCGGATCTTGGACTCGAGCGAAAGACGAGCAGTGAGCGCTGCGATTCTGGAGCTGAGCGTGGCATGGTGCTACAGCGTAGTAAAAAGAGGGAGTATGCATTAACTTGCCTGCAGGTGATGGGACCATACAGCAGCACAAGACATATACCAGAACGATATGGACTTCAGTGAGAGAAGCGTTCGATAAAGCTTCGTGGGCATTAGATCAATGTTGTAGAACTCATAAGAATGCAATACTTACGCGCTTAATGCTCTCCACCGTCTGGGGAATAAGGACTTCAAAGCCCTTAGAGTCCACAGCAGCCTGAGAGATCATGATCTGCATTGCAATATCTACTTCGGAGTCTGGATCATCCGGCTGTATCAGATACTGCTGCATGAGCGACATGGCCGTTCTGTCTTGCATTGTCTCAAATAACCAGGGACCCGAGGAAGGACTGGTCATTCCTGGAGAGCTTGGCGATCGCACTGTCGATGGCATTCGCTGTCGCCCCTGGCTATGACTCGGCTGATGCTGTACCTGTGCTTGATGCTGTTGACGAGTATCGAGTGGGTGCTGAGCATTCGAATATGAATGCTGCTGTGTTGAATAGGCCGATGGGGGCTGCGGGGCCTGTGGAATTACCAGATGATTGGGAGACTGGCGAGGGAGCAGATAAGAGGAAGAAGAAGGTGCGGGCTGCTTCAAACGTGGGCGACTTTGCGCAGTGCCCTTGATTGTATTTTCTGGCTCCAGATGTCTATTCCCTGGACCCGCTACATCTGCCGTGCTGGGCCCCTTCTTGACCGTATACAAATGGTGTGTTTTTATGGATAGCTTGTGTAACCCAGAGGAATGCCTCCTGTTGTTATGATTCGGAGGTAGTGTGCTTGATTTGTTAGCTGGCATGCTGTTTGTAGGAAGTTTTGCCGATGATGGAGTTGGCGATTCTGTTGCCACTGAAACGGACTGACTTTCTGTTGAGGACCCGAAATAGTGAGGCTGGACAGTAGTGATATTAGATAATGGAGGCGGTGGGTAATATGATAGTAGATCGGCAGAGTTATTAGACTGGGAGTGTCCAGGGTACTCTTGGTGAAATAGAGAGGGAGACGAAAACGACGATAAAGAAGCAGCTGAATTATATTCCGTGGTAGAGGAAAGGGATGAAGACAAGGACATGTTGCGATTAGGCAATCGTACGCTGGATTGCTGCGATCCCGTAAAGGATGAAGTCGATGGACCAGTTGGTCGCTGTTTGGAGGATTGGACAGCGCCATCCTGCATATGATTGAGGGGGTAATGATGCAGGGAGCGCTCATTTGAGACCCTGCTGCCACTTGCGGAGGCATTTGCTTGTTCATACTGCAGCTGCTGGCCTCCTTCTCTTGAGAGTTGACCCGGACTATGACCTGGACCGTCATCATAACGATGCAAAAGTTCCTGCGTCTGTGCAGGGATGAATGTATTGCTTTCGCCACGGAGGTTCATAGGCTGTCGTAAATATGCCAAATACCGGGAATTGCTGGTGCTACTACCGCTGCTGCTCATGCTTGATTGATATTCTAGAGGATGCACACTGGCCATCGCAGACCCGGGCACACTGTCGATCGAATTCCGGTGCTGATATGAGTTGCGAGTAAGATCCTTGGGTATAAACTGAGGCGAATGAGGATGAGGAAAGTTGTTCGGATGCAGACGATTGGCGTTCAAGTTGCGTGGAGAAGGTACTGAGTTGTACGATCTATCATCATCTACGGGTACCTTGATACCATCTTCGGTGGGTGTAACTGCTCTTTTTGTTACAGGCAAGGCTGGGAGTGGTCTGTGCTGCGACGCAGGAGAGTACAGAGGTAGCTGGATATGTGAATTGGAGCGAGGTCGTTGTCTTGGTTGTTCAGTTTTATTGATGCCGGCTACTGGCGACGACAGTGGTGAAAAAAATGAGGAGTGAGAGGGAGACGGTGCTGATTCACGCCTCTCAGACACAGGGGCTGCACTTTGCCTGGCACTTCCCGTAGACTGCAGCATGGGCGAGGATAGGGCGATGAATCGATCTGTGGAAATGTTGAACTCGGCTGAGTATGGCCGAGGTGGGATCCTGGGAGGTGGCGGCGCGGTAGGCTCAGGACCAGGGCCGGGATCGAGATCAGGGTTAGAATCAGGGGAAACAGGAGGGATCGCAAGTGGAGGATGGGGCCACTATGGTGTCAGTTTGGAATTGAAGCAGCAGCAGTGGTGGGCAGAAAGAGGATAGTCAGGAAGGGTGTGCTTTTTGTAGGCGTATTGAAAGGGAAGAAGAGGCAGGCACAGCGTGGTCCAGGTGGACCTCTTCCACTTTTTTCCACTCCTGTCTTTGTCTCACTCATCTCTTGCCCTTTTTGTATCCCTGCGCCCGACTCCATTCGTCAAGAAATTGGAATAACATGGAAGCGTCAAACAGGGAGGATCGTGATCTACACTGACCTTTACCGCCATGGACAGGATATTGGCCGCGGTCGGTCCAAACAGGGATCCCCAGTATATGTGTCTCGAAGAGTTGCTATTGTTTTTATACTCTGGGGTCCGAGCTAGCGAATCTAGCTGACAGATCGCAGGTTGGCGTCAGCAGACTCAGAAAACGAATGAAACAGCAACGGAAGAGATGGGGGGGAGAGAAGGCTGATTCAAACCTCATTCTACATCTCAGTCTTCTTCAATCGCAAAAAAAAGGGGGGGGCGAAGAGCTGATCGTCCACGCGATTGCGCCATGTGATGACCATGACGGAATCATCCATCCACGACACTGGTTAGGGTTTGAGCCCTCGACAGCTTGCTCGTCATCGGTATAGCGCACAATTGACCCCTTTTATCCCCGAACTTTGTTACGCGTCAAGGTCGCGTCGATGAACCCAGCTTTTTTTTTTTCTACGAGGACTGTTGCCTAGGAACATATCGCACGCGACAAAAGAGCATGCCACCTCTTGGAACACAAACACGGAATAAAATAATAAAATGAGAGACGCAAGGACGCATGCGTGCACTTGCAGCCAACTGCTTTCGAGCGGGGATTTCGAGTTCCGAAGGTTTCTACACCGAACCTAAGCGATCGATGGAATGTCGGGAAGGACTACTCTGCAGTCGCGAAAGATGGGGGCATTCCCCGGTGCCCCTCAGCTCATTGGTTAGCACAATTGGTTTCATCCACGAGCAACCTTGAGCACGCGTCTCTACATTAATTGCATCGGAAATGGCTCCTTCTGGCTGTTCGTCACCCTTGTTTTCCAATTGACCATACAGCCAAGGACTCGCATGCGAGAAGAATCGCCAAATTTTCTATGTGGGCATCCCCATTCTTAATCCATCCTACATATCGTAGAAAGGACGGGATCATACGATCACACAGCTCGCTCAAGACCTTCCGCAAATTCTTCATCGCTTCCGTCTAATGAGCACATAGAGTTCTCAGGTCGAACTGTTGGAATGAAAGACATGAAGAAAGACGCGAAAGATACTCAAGACCACGGTCGGGATGTAATCCATCTATCAAAGCTATCCACCGAGGTCTAGGTCCCAAGAAGTCCTCGTTTTTATTACAGGACCTGAAAATTCGGCATCCGGCGCTTAGAGGCCAGAACGTGGCCTGAGTATTGCCCTCATTCGTAGATGAGTTGCCGGAATGAATAAATACTCACAATGACCCTTTATGTTTGACCTTGAAAACCAATAAGACAGGAGACATTGAGCTTTTTTTTTTATTTTTTTTATTCGTGTATTCGTGTGAATTGTTGTTTATTGCAATGCAGACTCCCTGGAATCCCTAACGCATCATAAAGTTACATGTCCTATATAGTGCATGGGAATTGTTGTATAAGCCAGCTCCAGCTCTCCCCATTGTAAGCGGGATAATCAGACGAGTAGCAGAGTATGGGATTGTCAGTGGTACTTATCAGGTAGTCGCTTGCTTTTCGTCAATGAAGAAGATGTCTTTGAAAGCAAAGAGGAGGGAAGTGAGGGCCATATTTGGAGCACTATTAAAAAAAAAAATTAAGCTTGTCGCGTCGCACGTTGCAGAAATCTGGCGATATGATTGGCCTGTTCACGCGAATTGGGCGTAATCGTAGGAAGAAGCTGAACAAAGCGTGTCTGTTAATGATACATCTTTTATCCGCCAGAAACCGGTTGGGTGTCATCGCTGGGGAAAAAGAATATCACCTTCTGGACCGGTGTGAACGAGCGGATCGCACAGGACTTCCCTCACGATTAGGGCTGCTATCAGCCAAATGCACAGATCCGGACAGGCTACAACCTGGCATATCAAGGAACGTTGACTTGTCGTCGCCTGGCATTGACGACGATGGAGAGTTATCTAGACCAAATTCGGCATGGCAGTTTGAGTCCTTGAAGGGTCTAGTGATTGGATTCATCTCGGCTACGGCGCTTAGCTATGCAGAGAAATTTGATGCAAACGGGTGCGATCGTGTAAGGTAAGGTCCATTCGAATAACATAGCTGCTGTCTTTGTTCACCCACACGCCATCTACGGTGAAATAACATGCTAGATACGGCACCGTTTGATGATGCGCTGCTGTGTTTATATGTGCATTGATCTTGTATTTATCTTCGTGGAACCTCCAGCTCAGTTCGCCGTCCTTTGCGACAGAAATACGCATCCGGTCGCGACGATGAGCTCTTGTTGAAGTGCGTTTATGTGTGTTACCGTGAAGCAGACGAGAGAAAAAAGCAATCCACATTAAGTCCGATCGGTAGCACATGGACATATATATGTCGACAACAAGAAGCAACGATAGAATCAACAAACCGACTTTTGTGCCGAAAGAGGCCTTGAAGGCGTTCAAGAGCCACACGCTGTCCAGCGTGTTGTTCATGTTCATAGGCCATGAGTACACCACCATTTTTCTTTGGAAGAAAAAGGGAAACAGTGCTTAGCAAGCCCACGTTGCTGCTTTGTAGCAGGTGGGGGAGAGTAGTCTAAACAGGGATTCTAGCCTTTCGATCTGCAGATGCGTCGTACAGCTTCCCAAGTAAAGTGCTGTACTCGGTTGTTGTGAACATGTTTCTACTCCTCTCCGCCCCCCGTCCCATGCATCCGCTGCACTGCAGTGTCCGTTGCCTGTGCTTTGGACCACCTGCTCCCGTCAGATCCGTTCTGTTGGCCCGAGAAATCATAAGGCAGCGATTTTGTCTGCGGCATTCACTTCTCCCGGGTGCTCATCTGTCCCTCGAGCTGCTATTTCTCACATTGCCCGCGCTCTTTCTCTCGCTCTTTCCTCTCTCCCACTCTCTCCCTCGCACTCCTTCGCTCGCATCCGCTTTCTTCTCCTCCCCTCGCTATATTTGGTTTGACACTACCACCCTCTCAGCCCTACCCTACTCTCTCTTCTCTTCTCTTCTCTGCACACGCGAACTGGCACTCAGAAGGGCCACTCCGATCCCTCCACCATCCAGTCGCATTCGTGTCGTACACGTGCATTCCCTCGCCACTGCACTGCCCTATACTTCTCAGTGTCCACTCACACTACCGCCCTCCCCCAATAGCCAGGTGAGACCCTTTCGGTGGTGCCTTGTCCATACAACAACACCATGTACCATGACACGTTACCGCCAAATTTCATAACTAAATGCATTCACCTCAGAATACACATCCCACTTAGCCAAACTCCACCCTCCCTCTTCTCTGCTCAGAATGAACTCGTCAGCCATGCCCTCGAGCGCCCGATCCCCTCAGCAAGCCAAATCTCATTATAGCGGCGCCTATAGCTCAGACGAAATCCCGACGACCATACCCCAGAGACCGCCTCGCTTAAATCGGCCAAGGGCTGACTCAACATCCTCGCCCACCATGTCCGGCTCTCAGTACTATCAGCACTACCACCAGCAACAGCAATCGCAGACTCCGTACCGGCAATACGACCAATACATTTCATCATCACCCCCGTCCTCTAGGCAGTCGCCGCGATCAACACCGAACTCTTATGGCATGTCCTACTCATCCCTGCCGTCTTCGCCCATGAGCTTTCAGCTGCCACCCTCAGCACTCGCACCAACCAAAGAGGATTCTCTTCGGTCGGGCTCGATCTCATACCATCCAAGCAGTGGCTATGGCACCAACAGTCATCCTATTCAGATCCCAACCATGGGATCGCCCTCGTCTGCGGCGTCGTCTTATAGGACGCCGCGCTTGTCGCCAGGGTTAAACAGCGGCGGGGGCGGTGGCATTGGTGTCGTTTCATCCTCTATGCCACCACTGACCCTACCGGACGCATTTTTAGAGGAACAATCGGACTATGCAGAGTACTACTCGGATGTGGGTCTGGTCGAACAGCAACAGCGACAAATGCAGTCGCACAGCCTGGCCATTCACTCTCATCCCTCGGTACATCGGCAGGCAACACTGGATTTCCCAGCTTCACCGTCTTTATATCGCCATGCACAACCACAACTCCAACAACGGTCCGATGGGTCCTCACTCCTGCCATCACCACTTATGAGTCCTTTAACCTCACCGCTTTCAGGTGAATTTCCATCGCTTAGTCTTGGTAAGTCTTGGCTCTCCTTCATTATTCATTATTGCGCTCATTGGTAGCGAGAGAAGAGAATTAATGGGTCCGTGTTCAGCCCAGGTACATTTGCAAATGTACGACGAAGAACCAGAGCACAAAGTTTATTGCAGCCTTGCGGGCGAGGTTGCTCGTTCTTTTTGGATTTCATGGGGTAAAGACTGGTCATAGGAAGGAGGGCAGGAGCGACAGGACAAAGATCCTTTTGGTTTTATTTTTGCCCCTATCAATGATGGCGAGATAAAATAGGGTAGTTACCGAACACGACACGAACGCGAGCGAAGGTAGTCATGGTGGGCAAAGAGGAGCGGGTTGCAACGAGCATACGGCATCAACAAAGGGTCGGTTTGGTGAGCACAAGGATCATCCTCTTTAGCATTTTAGTTCGATCGAGTCGTTGCTCAGATTCAGGAACGTGGCACGAACAGAGCAGTCACCTGCAGGCGGGTCAGGTTGCCCATTCCGCTGTTGGGCTAAGACCCTTTCCCTCACCCTTCTTCTTTGTCAGTTTGCGCAGAGTTTGTGCACAGATGCTTGTGTAATACATGAGAGGGAGATAGGGAAACGATGTGCGATGGCGCTGCAGGAGATCAGCACGAATGTTTGTTTGCAGCCAATGGCGAGGTCCAGAACAAACGCGAGTAGCATTCATCCGCACGGCACTGCTTGCTCAAACATACCACTGCTTTCTCGCCTTTCTATAGAAGAATCATTCTCGGCCCGAAATTCGGTAGCGCCTCGCTTCAATAGCGAAGTGATCCAGACCCTACCTGAGGGGCACTACACAGGCCATCCTCATGTTCCAGTCGAGTCCTTTCTCATGCCGACCCAGGAACAGTACCCGCCCGACTCTATGATCCTTTTTGGCGGCACTGCCTCACACTCCGAGGGCTCGCTCTTCCGCAAGGATTCCAAGGAGTACCTCCTCCTCACCAATTCGAGTCTTCTCAAGTACAAGACGATGGAAAAGGCCGCCAAAGTCTTTGGCAACCAGTCCGTGTGGTCCTCGACCTCCGGTCACCAGCTCTTGACTCCGCAGCAGACCAGTCTTATCGCAAAGGATCACCGTCTCTTGTCGCTCAACTCCATCGTAGGCGTGCACATATATCAGCCCGGGGGCTCCGATATGCAGATCCAAGTTGAATATCTCGTCTCGATTTCGTCCCAGCCAGCATCAATGTACTTCACGCCTGCGCCCGACCAGGCGGAGGTATGGCTCAAAGAACTTCGACAAGGATGCAACTGTCATGCCCCTCAGGCCGGGATGATTCCGAAGGGCACTCGTCAACGCCAATGGGTCCTGGACAAGTTGAGGGATGACCACATAGCCTTGCCACAGAGCGTTGTCGAAAATGATCCTACAGCACTGACAGCTGGAGGCATGTGGAGGGCGTACTTCAAAAGCCAGAAGATCAAAGGGGTATCCTCACAGGATAATGGATCGAGCGAATCAAAGGTGCCTCTTGAGGGAAAAGTTATTGTTCTGGCTGTCGGAAAGTCCTTTGTCCATCTTTTACCCCACAACCTCGGTAACGGCAGTACCAAAGACGACATGAAAGACGAACGTGTAATCCTCCAATACCCGATCCTCACCACCAAGGCAATTCAGTATCGAGAAAAAGACGACACCTTCTCTTTGACTTTCGGAACTACACTCCGCCAACGGAGGGTCGTCATGACGTTTGTCTCTGCAAGAGCAAGGGAGATCATCATTGCCATTCGTGCGCGAGTCGAAAGTCTTCGCTGGCTTTACCCACAAGGCAGGAAGGGAATCGAGCTCTCACTGTCCGAGGCGCTTTCAAAACCAATTCCGGTCCCCTCAAAGGACCACATGATTGACTTAGGTTTTGAAGACTTGTTGCGAGCAGAGTGCAACGCCATGAACATCGACCGTAAAACCTACAGTAATGTTAAGATCAATGGCTTTTCAATTACCGTCGACAAGGCTGGGGATACTTTTGAAACCAAGGGAGATTATTCGGTGGACGAGATGAAGTGCCTCTTGCGTGCCCTGCGGTTCAACACCACATTCAAGGAGATCAGTTTCCGCAACATTTCATTCGCAGCTCTTCAAAAGCCCAAGACCATGAAGGATGGAACGATTCGATACGGACTTCGTCTGGACAAGGAATTTTACGAGCTGGTAATGGGAAACCCCCAAATTCGGGTCCTGGATCTTCATAACTGCAACCTGGACACAAGCACAATCGGGAGCATTGGTCGCGCCATTCGGGATGGCTATTCCATAGGGCTCCGTCTTGAGTCCCTGGATCTGTTTGGCAACAATGCCTCGGATGGCGCAGATGTCATGACGTTGGCCAAGGGAATCGTGAAGCACGCCGGTACTTTGCATGTACTGGATATAGGCGAGTGTCAGATCACGGGTGACGGTATCAACCAGATCATGCATGCCTTCGTTGCCAACCCAGACGTGGCGTCGCACACGCTCGAGACCTTTGGTATCCGTGGGAACCCCGAAAGCAAGGTTAATTCGTTCATCCTCGACATGTTCTTGAAGCACTCCATGCAGCTACGGCACTTGAATCTCTCCGGTCTGCCGTCTTGGAGTAAACCACCTATTCTCATGGCCGAAACACTCGCGAACTGTGGCGGGTCCCTGACTTCCCTTGACCTGAGCGGTATGGCACTGCATTCTTCAACTCTGGATCAAATCCTGTCCTGGGCTTCAAGCCTCAGCTTCCAGTCCATGGAGCAACTCAAGATCGAGGGCTGTGGACTCAATGGATTACAGTTTGCAAACATCCTTGATGCCGTTTCCCAAAGCCGCAACACCAAGGTCGAAGTGTTGGCCGGCAGGAACCTACTTTCGGACGGCGGCGATCTCCCCGAGAATATGATCAATATTCTGGCGAGTGGAGACACGGCCTCCTCGTTGGGATTGCGTCAGACTTGCTGGAGCGAGCAAGCTCTGCGACAGTTGTTCGTCAGTCTAGGCCAGAACTGGACCCTCAAGAAGATCGACCTTAGTGCTGTATCCCTGACATCCAGCCGCGACCCTGATGTGGAGACCTGCAAGTTGTTGGGGCAGATGGTGTCTTCTCCGTCGAGTCGATTGGAAGAACTATTGATCAGGGGGGAGGAAACGGTAGAACTGACGTCGAGGATGGGCAGGAATCTTTGGCGATCCTTCCAAGGTATAGGACAGAGTCGATACTTGACTAAGCTAGATGTGCGAAGGAACCGGTTTGGGGATGAGGGAGCTCATGCTCTAGCTGAAGCGCTGCGTACGAACCAGAGTCTTACCTGGCTCAACATGGACGAGAACGACGTAAGTTGGACATCTGTTTTATTCATTTTTAGCAGACTACCACGTCCTTGTAGATATCTGACTAACACCATCCTTGCGGGAATATGCTACTTTCGATAATAGGTGACATTGGATGGCTTTAATGCTATTCTTTCGGCGTTCCACCAAGGCGGAACAGAGTATGTACCGACGAGCAGTATATACTACAACAGCACACTGTGCTACTTTGAGCTGCCTGTCAAGGACGTCGAGAAGCAGACCTTGGTCCTGAAGGAGTCCATGCTGGAGACCTATAAGACCGAGCAGGAGACACGCTTCTTGCTGAGCAACTCGACTGGCAAGGACTCGCGCGAGTGGAAGGAGCGACTTGCACAGATCATCCGGACTCGCAACCTGAGCTCTGAGGCGATTGCCAGACTGGACCGGGCGATCAAAGGTATTACCGCGGCTACGGAACGCAACAAGGCTGCGATGGACGCAGTGTATAGGGACCGTGAGCGAAGACGCGACCGGGAGATGGATCGGGAGCGAGGGAGAGAGCGTGACCGAGAACGTGACCGCGAGAGCCAGGCTGGACTCGTTCGTGATTAGGATGGACGCGTTTGAGAAAGCAATTGTCGGCGACATTTAATGTACATACCAACAGCGGTGATAATGATAATGATAATGATAAATATGATAGCGACGACTTTTAGACATCCTTTATACCCTCTCCAATAAACGCACCGCGCAGAAAGAAATGATTTTCTTCACGACTAACTCACGACCTGATGTAATTTGCTTTTTGTCCGGAACAGTCAAGATTACTAAAAGATAACGATAGAGAAAAATATGAGTAGCCTTCGACAGAGACTTCACATTAGTGTGTTTAATGAGAAAGCCATGGCGTTGCAGTGCGGACGCGAAAGCTGAAATTCAGCTTGACGCGCCAACTCTATTTCAGATAAGCAAGGGGCTGAAGTTCTGTGCACAGCCCTTTTTTCATGATGAGCCCGTCCAAATTGATGAAAGGGTGATTTGTGAGGTGCAGCAAGAAACAAAGCGTATTTATTGTGCCCATTCCAAAGTACGTATGGAGTAAAAAAAGAGGAAATCGTAGTGTACAAAAGTGCAAGCCGGCTATCAGTCGAGAGAATAGGAAAAAAAAAAAAAAAAAAAAAAGGCTACGATACATGTGTGTGTGCGGCTGGTGGGCTGTTACTGTTGCCTTTTAACGATCCTCTGCCCACTCATTTTCCTTCCTGATCTGGGCCTCTTCCTCCGGGGTAAAGTCGTTCACGATATTGAAGAGCTTTCGGATCTCCTCAGGGGTCTTGCCCTTGATCAGATTGGCGACAGTCTTGCATCCGACATCGAGCAAGGGTTTGATATCAAGATAGTTGGCAGCGAGGATGATCTCGAAAAGCATCTCCTGGTCCACCAGCATAAACTTCATGTCCCACTCTTCAATATCGTTCGAGCGCTTTCGGGGATCGTCTGCCTCATCCTGCGCCTGAACTGGGTCGTTGCGATGGTGCTCACAGTACTCGATGACCTAGCAAAGATAAAAAGAGGGAGAGGGAGGAGGGCAATCAAGACAGATGTGTCAGATTATGCGATCTGTTGGGAGGATGATATTGCAGTTCATACTGACACGCTCATGATGAGATAGAAAAGCCGTAAAAACACCTTCTTCAGAGCCGCGCTGGAGACGTTGGGAAGTGGGATAGGGGCATCAGACTCGCCGACATCTAAAGGCATGATTGGTATGAAGAGAGGTCTTTGATTAGGGATCAGGAAGAAATCCACACGTACACAGAAGGAAAAAAAAACATATCATCAGGCACGATCACAGGTGGTGTGATAAACGCAAAAAAAGAACGATAATGGAGAAGGAGTGTGTGTCGCTTTTGTGCAAAAACCACATCCAGAGCCTGGTTGCGGAATAACACAGCGCATCTCCTCTCATCCGCAAAAGAGAAAGAAAGCAGCAATCGATAAGAGAGGAGCGTGCCTTCAATCATGTTCTTGATGAGGATGGAACGCTCGGCGACTTCCTTGTCGACCGTGAAGGTCTCGTTGTCAAGAGAGGTGAGGATGATTGGCATAGTGCTTTTTTTTTTTTGGTAGCGTTTTGGATAATGTGAGTTGAATGCGCTTTGTAAGTGTGTGAAAGCTGTTGTTTATGAAGGAAGGAATGGAATAACGAACAAGAAGAAGGAATATAGAAAAAAAAGAAAGAGGAGCCTGTATCGTGTCGCGGTCTATTTATTAGCATCCCGCCGCCATTGTCGCCCACAAGGAGCCAGCTGCACAATAGGCAGTAGGCAATTTTTAGTGGCAAAAAGTGTGGTTGTGGTGGCACCAAAGGGATGCGGGACAAAGAACAGCTAGAGTAACCAGATTAACCAGATCACGCACGAGGATGCGCTTCCTCAAGGCGCGGCATCAAAAGGAGCTTTTCTAGGACCCATCGGACTCGACAGGCTGCGTAGTGGTTTTTGAACTCTTCCTCAAGTTATCTTTAGAACGGCTTGAACGATGCAGCCTTTGGTACGCCTACGCGTCTGGCGTGTCATATCGTGGCGCAAGGGCCACAGTCGAATTTGAACAAGTGGGAGGTGCGCCAAAAAAAAAAAAAAAAAAAAAAAAAAAAAAGACCTTTACTCCCAAAACGATGACGAGCAGAGATGAGATCAGGAAGCTGCAAGAATCACTGCCGTAAGTCATTCCTCACTCGACCCCATACCATACCAGGACCAGCTGTCTACTTTACTGCTCAGTTGAACTATGGACAAGGGAAGCGCTAACGCACCACTCGCGTTCTCTTTGAATGTTGCGACTAATTAGAATCTATGGACACCGGAATGGGCTACTGGATGCCATAAGGGACAATGACATCCTGGTCATCATCGGAGAGACCGGATCTGGAAAGACCACTCAACTACCCCGATATGTCATTGAAGAGTTCAAAAACATGCGTATTGGTGTTACGCAGCCACGGTAAGTTCTCTCTTCGTTTTCTCAATTGCCTCACTTCATAGGGTACTGACGGATGCCGCACAAGACTAACGCGTTGTCTTGTTCATGTCTGGGTTACCGCAGTCGAATTGCAGCCATTTCAGTCGCCAAACGTGTTGCGGAAGAATACGATTGCAGACTTGGAGACACGGTCGGATACACCATTCGGTTCGACGACAACACCTCGTCCAGGACACGGCTGAAATATATGACAGATGGCGTTCTTCTACGTGAGGCTACCATGGACCCATTGTTGGAGAAATACGATCTTTTGATTATTGATGAGGCCCACGAAAGAACCGTCGAGACCGATGTTCTTTTTGGTAAGTGCTCAATTTGCATCATTTCTCGACCTTCGGCTGTCAAACCATCGACTCTCTCTTAATGCCCACCTTGTTATTTTCCTTCTAGGGCTTCTAAAGCGAACAAAAGCGAAACGACCCAACCTGAAGCTGCTGATCATGAGCGCGACCCTCAACGTTGTACAGTTCTCGGATTTTTTCAACGAGTGTCCTATCTACTCCATCCCAGGAAGAACTTTCCCAGTCGATATCCTTCACTCCAGAGAAACCAGCAAGCTTGGTGTATTAAAGTCAGGCTATGTATCAAAGTCTGTCGAGACCGTGATGCATATTCTCAATAAAGAAGTGCGACCAGGAGAAGTGGGCGATATCCTGGTCTTTCTGACTGGACAACACGAGATTGAACGCGCCTGTCAGGATCTCAAAAAGGCAGTACAGGACAAGGAGAAGGAGTATCGCCAATCTTCAACATCCTCGTCCACCGGAGACAGACCCATCTCACTGGATCAGCTTCAAATCTTGCCGCTCTATGCATCATTAGAACTCCTGGACCAGGGCATGATTTTTGGACCGGCGCCTCGGGGAAGCCGTAAAGTCATCTTTGCCACCAATATTGCCCAGACCAGTGTCACGATCCCCAACATCCGATTCGTGGTCGATTCTGGGTTTGTCAAACAAAAGATGTATGATCCTATGACCGGAATGGATGCCCTCTTGGTCGTACCCATCTCGAAGGCTACAGCGATCCAGAGAGCCGGACGAGCTGGAAGGACGCGTGCGGGAATCTGTTTTCGACTGTATTCGAAAGAATCTTTCGAGACGGAAATGGAGCAGGAGACCGTGCCAGAGATCAAGCGCACAGGACTGACAGGAACGGTACTGTCGTTGAAACGACTCGGCATATTGGATGTCAACAGATTTGAATTTATGGATCGTCCTGGAGAGGACGAACTCATGGCTGCTTTGCGCGAGCTATTCCTGGTTGGAGCGATTGACCAGTTCGGTCGTATGACCGAAGTAGGACACGGAATGGTGGCTTATCCAGTGAACCCCCTCCTGGCCAGGTCGCTCGTGGAGGCCGAAAAGATTGGATGCCTGGACAAGGCTGTCACCATTGTCGCCATGCTCTCCGTAAGTTTTTTTATTTTTATTTTTATTTTTATTTTTGGATTTTATAACCATGTTCATTCATGATTATTGACAACTATCTCGAATATCCACACTATAGGTAGAAGAACCGTTTTATTTGCCACGAAAAGAGGAGGAACAGGATGCAGCTCGTACCACTCATTCTCAATACTACCATCACTCTGGCGATCACGTTACGTTACTAAACGTCTATGAAGCCTGGAGGGATTCCGACTATTCTAAAGACTGGTGCCACCACAACTATTTCAATATTCGTCACCTTCGACTCGCAAGGAACATTCGTTCTCAGCTGCGGGACATCATTAACCGCAACTCCCTTTACGACAAGGACGCTCAGAGCCATACCGGCAGAGATCAGATGGACAAAGATCGCTCTCCGGACAGAAACCCCAGGAAAGATAGGCCCTCTGCAGCGTCGTCCCCAACACAGTCATCCTCATCATCTCGATCCATTTTGCAGGCGTTCAGTCAAGGCTATGGTATCCATTTATCGAAGAAACATCATCACCGACAGATGTTTTACCATTACCTCGCATCAACTTCTTCACCTTCTGCAGGTGCCGGCGGAGCACCGATGAACTCTCTACTCGCACTTCATGCCTCTCCTCTTTCGGCTTTATATCTGGATGAAGAACGATTAATGACCAAGTACGGACGGAAAGTAGCGCGAGATCTGGAGTGGATTATTTATCACGAGCTCGTATTCCACGTCAAAGCCGTGATGCGCTACGCAAGCAAGATTGACGTACGGTGGGTTCAGGAAACCCTAGATCGGGCCAAGATCTTTGATCAGGGACAGGTCTGGTTGAACTGTGAGCGATCCGAGGCACCGTCAGATAGGGAAGTCGGTGATGGAGAAACAAAGACCGTGCCAGGTCGTATGAGAGATTTGGGGAAGAACGATGATGAACAGGAATTGGTTGAGCAGGCCCAGAAGCGTATAAGGCTTGAGATGGTAGAGGCAGCCAGAAGACGAGCGATGGAGAGACGACAGAATCGATCATAAAGCGTAATATATTAAAACGCAAAAAAAATTCTTAAACTGTTTTAAACACGCCACTTTTGGAAATTATCTTCCCTGACAACCCCGCTCTACTTTCAATTCCTGTTTCACTTCTGAAACAGGCCCCTGCACGCGATCATCAATCTCAAATGTTGGCAGGGTCAAGCGTTATGTCTTTTCTCTCGATTTCCCTCGGTTGGTCGAGAATTTTTGCGCGCAGAAAAAAAAAGCCTCAATATGTACGCATGTTGGGTTGATGCATGCAGGTGTGGTGATACAAGAAAACGCGTGGGAGGAACGCGACTAAGGTTTCGTGCTTGTTTCAAAGTAATCAACAATTGACATCAGGGCGATGCAAATGCAAGATAGGGAAGATAGGGGAGAGGAACAGATATATCCCCCTTTTTTGTGGTCTTCTCTCCTCACTATGTTATGCAGTGGGAGTTTGGCCATTTTTCTTTAGTGTGTCAATTTTCTGCAAAGAAGAAAACGGAATGGGATGGACGGGATAAAATCTTATCACGAAGGTCTTTGATTGAGAAAACCTCAGAGATCGTGCCACGGGAAAAGAGTTTCTTGGCCTACAACCTATCCTTGGAGCTGTGGCCATGGGTGGCTGAATCAGCTAAATGTGATGAAGCCCAATGCGACGACGTACTCTAATGATCCTTTCAGGGCCACCCAAAAAAATTAAGGGTACAATGATACAAATCCACATGGCGACTCAGAGCCCCGCATAAATTCCGAACTGCTGACGAAACAAGAACAAGACACCACACGACTGGGTAGTTCCAGCACATCCTTTTATATATCTTAGTCCATAAAACATACGCAAATCTAAAACCACGGTCGCGTCGATCATCAGAACCAGAATTTTTTTTTGTTCCTTTCTCGTTTTTTTCGCGACAAGAAACGCATCAATTTACTTCTATGGCCCTGACGAATAGATGGTGCATACGCGTGAAGAGAATGCATGCATTACAAAGGTAGGACCATATAAACTTATTTTCTTTTCATATCTACATCCGTTTCTTATGACCTTGGAATTCCTTTCCTGTAAAATACATTGTCTGCGTTGGTCCTGAAGAGGATCCTCCTGCATATTGCCTCCTAACCCGCACTGCATATGTTATAGGCTCTTGCATTATTTAATCTGCCTTCTTACAGCTCAACTTCACCCCCCCCCCCCCCTTGACTACCATTATCATTTTCTTCGCATATCTGTACCTAAATATTACAGCCAGCAATGAATTCACGCGCATATTGAACGTAGGGTAGGGTCATGGAGCAACGGATGCGGGACCGATATGACTAGGCCAGATGCTGGTGATACAATTGGATGAATTCGCTCCCTGTTTTTTATCTAAACCTTCTCAGTGCAATTCAGCAGGAGAAAGCGGGAAAGAAAGAGCGGAAAAAAAACTAAAAGCTATATGATTAAACTTGATGCCTGTTGTTGAATAGAAATGCAGAAGAAGTATTTACCAAGGTATTTCATGTGCGTTTTCAATCTGACCTTTGTCTTAGAAAGGCCTATGTCTCTACGGCGCAATTTTTATTGGCGTTCCTTGCATTATAAAACCTGTCAATCTTTTTCGTTTTCTGCTTTGTCCTCCTCTATGGTTAATTAGCACACTTCTTGAAAACTTAGGTGTGCGAGCAAAAACCACTCATGTTGTCCATGCAGGCATAGTTTTTGATGTCCCTGGTACTTTGACATAACTTTCGAAGAAAAAACTGGCTTTCTGGGTATGCAAATGAGGGATCCCTCCATCGTCAATGAATGCAGTGCCGATTATTCAACGATCTTTCTTCCCCTTTTCATTGACAGACGCGCCTTTTCCCTTTTGGTTTTTTCTCTCCTGAATCATCCTTGCTCGATCTCTCGCTGTCTTTTTATTTTTGTCCCCGTATATCTCTTGCTGGTTCTGGTTCAATCTCATGACAGACCTTGACCGCAAGAACCTTGGAAGGAACTGGAGGAGATGTGCAACCTGATTGAGATTAAGTACTTGGCAGAGTCTGATTATACAATCAGGGGATACACCCCCTACCAAGAGGGTTCCAGGAGGGGCCATGATTCAGACATCAGCTGCAAGATCGCTCAAATTATGCACACCCTAAGCAAAATAAACCGATGCATCCTCATTCTATAACCCTGACAACTAAAAAAACCCTCGGCCTGCCCTCCGTACGTTCGTCATGCCGTATGCATATTCTCTCTCCCCTTCTCCTTTCCCTTTCCTTCTTGCAACTTGTTCATTTTCGGTACCTTCGACAGCAAACCAAAAATATATTAAGATGAGATCTCTCGAGTTTTTCAAATGCACCTTTAACTTCCTTAACCACCACAATTTTCCCAAAGACTCCGTCGGCTTCCTCACCTTAGACCATTTCGTCCTTTAAGTACCGCCGAGCGCATCAGCAGGTATCTTATTCATCCCTCCCACCCCCCTTTTTTCCATGCCCCTCTCTCTCTTCAAGTCTTTAGCTCAGTGTTTTCGTCCGCAGTTCTGGTTTCTTTTGCCATTGATGTTTTGTTGAAAATTAGTCACAGTGGATGGTATATTCATGTCATGCCTCGGTCCTTCAGTACTTCGCCATACTGCTGAATCTCCTCTTTGATATTTTGAATCCAGCTCCTGCGCGTGTTTCTACTCCTGTCATCTTTATCAGTTTCTTTTTTTGCGCTGATCTAATTTTATTTTATTTTATTTTTTGGTTTTTTCTTCTCACACGGTTGTCGACAAAAAGAAACAGCCCTTACAAAGGTTGGCTGCATCAAAATCTTGAATCGGACCAAAAAGTTCATCATAACTATCCCTTTGTTATTTTAAAAGACCATACATATTTCTTTGAGACTTGACTATTGAGAATGGGTTGATTTTAAAAGGGCATAAACAGAGTCGATGAATTTAATTGCAAAATGATGCTTACTCTGTGCTAAGCAGCAAAGGTAGCAAAGGTGATATGGCGGCGGCAGAAGTGTCAAGGAAATGGTATTTCTTTTTCATCTTTCTTTTATGCATACGTACTTTCTATATAGGTCCGTTTCTTTTTCCGTTCTTTATATTTCATTCTCTTTCTTTTTAAAAGTTATACTTGAACGCGTTTGTTAACTCTCCCCTTATATTCAGAAGAGGGAGGTTGATTTTAATGATTTTTTGTTTTATTTTTGAGAGCCAACGACGCGTATTTTGTTTCCTCTGTTGGTGTGTATTTTTCAGAGCCCAAATGCATGCATGGAATACAGGACACAGACCTTCTTTTCTGATCACGGACCACGCAATGTATCAGTGGGAGGTTCTTCGGAAATTCAGGCACCACACAAATAACCATCCTGCACTGTTGCTACAAGTGGAGGGGAGGGAGGGAGATGGGAATTGAGATTTGAGGAGTGGAATGAGTTTTCTTATGTTGATTTTATTGTTGTTATTGTTGTTGCTGTTACGATAGATATACCTTCTTCCTTTCTGGACTAAGAAAGAAAGAAAGAAAGAGAGAAAATGGAAAATAAGAAATAATGAAAAAAGGAAATGAAAAATAAGAAATGAAAACTAAAAAATGAAAAATGAAAAAGGATTGTCGCTAACCTCTCTTTTTTTGTTCCTCCCCTTTGTGTCCTCCTGTTTGATCACACACCTGTAGTTCCTCACGATAACCGAAAACAACACGTCGCTTGTCTTCACCCCTTTTGACCAGGAATATATTTTATTGTTTATTATATTCTGTGTCACCTTCCCCCTACAATCCTTCAATACAGTTTTACCACAGAAAAGTATTCACTCCCTTTCACTCTTACTCCCCTTGAAAGAGAGACCGTCTACCCCCTCAGAGACAGACACCACTCGATTGTGATCATGTCGAATCTGGTTGGCCCCCAGCCCAGGGTTTCAGCAGCAGCTGCCACAATCACCCTGACCACCGCCTTCACCACCACCACCACCACCACCACTGCAGCCACAGCCATCCTGGACACACACATCAGCAGTCTCTCCACCCCTCCTGGACTGTCATCGTCGTCATCGTCCCCCTCCTCAGCAGGGTCCTCAATATTTTCCCTCCTGGGACCTCAATGCCACCACCAGCGCCCTCAGCAACCTCCACAACACCAACACCAACACCAACACCATCCCAGCCAACTCCACCTCTCCTTCCACACCACCCGCCTTGACCAGACCAACAACGACCCTGACCACGACCACCTCGGCCGCGCCCACATGTCCCCTGATCGCCCCCGTTTCCGCCCCCACCAGCACCATCAAGAAACCACAGCTGCGGTGCACGACATCGACCGCCTCAACAGCCAGCGCAGTCAACTGTCGACCACATCCTACGCGGGACGCAGGCAACGAGGTAAACTGTCCTTCTTCTCACTACTCCCTTTTCCTTCGATCCACACCAAGCTCTTTTCTTCGTTGGAGACTGCATATCCCTTTCCCTTTCTCTCTCTCTCTCTCTCTCTCTCTCTCTCTCTCTCTCTCCCTTTCTTTCTTTCTCTCTCCCTCTCTGCCGCAAAACTGCTCCCATTCCAGCTGCATTCATCGCGTACGCAACTGCCCCCGCGATCCCATCCAGACACATTCCTTACCCATGGAAGCCCCGTCGCCGTCGTCCCCATGCTTACCCAGACACTCCTCTCCCTTTTCTCTCCAACCCATGTCAGCCGGAGCTGACGATCATCTAGGCTACAGTCCCCATGAGCGCCATCACCATAGTCGGCACCACACTGGCGAGATGGAAACCAATATATCGTCGTTCCATGGCACCAACCACCCCGGGACTGGTCACGCTCGCACACATTCCGGATTCTTAGAATCCCGGCGCTTTCATTATGCAGATGATGCGCGTCCTTCAGAGCAAACACGTCCACAAAGCAATCTGTCCATGCATGAGGAACACAGGCAAGAGCAAGGACATCGCCATCCGCTACATCAACTGCAACAGGTATGTTTGAACGATTCATTCGAAATCTTTCCAGTGCGGTTCTATGCAGCATGGACGGCATCATATCTGCCATCCTGACAAGTCTCCTTCTTGCACTCCTCTCTGACCCCCCTCCCCCTCCCCCTCCCCTTCACGCTCCTCACATTCCTCTTCTGCAGCAGCATGCATCCGTATCCTGGGGAGGCGCATCTCCCCTACGCCAGATGGGCTCAGGCAGTTCTCCGGACCTGGAAGCTGCGGTTCCACAAGAGCAATACGCGAGCAAAGGTCGCGCACAGGCCAGCAACAGCAGTCGACCCGTCGCAGCCTGGTCGCCCTCCTTCCCGTCGTCGTCAACGGGACCCGACAGTGAGAGCAGTCGTCATTCCTTCACTAATGACAATGGTGATGCCGTCCCCCCTACTGCTGACACGAGGCATCCACCCTGCACGGCCAAATCACCACTGCGGCACAGCACCCTCACCGCGACCCCCAGCCCAACCAGCACTGCCCTGCCGCCGTCCTCGTCCACAGCCTCCACCACTGGCGCCCGCTCACTCTCAGTTTTGAATCGCTCCTCATTGCGAAATGAGATTACTTCACCAGATTCGTCATTCTCATTCCCATCCTCATCCTCATCCCCATCCTCATTTTCAACCGGGTTTTCACCTCGCCCAGCTCTGCCTTCCTCCATTACTGCAGTCCTAGCAAAGGCTTCTCCCTCACCAGGCTTCGCAGCACCGCACATATCTTCCTCCTCTCTGCTCCACAGCGCGACTGTTGGCGCAAATTCTTCAGCAGCAACTGCAGACAAAGCTGAGATGCCCGCGCTCATGTCTTCATCACCAAGTAACCACGACCTTTGCTACGAAGGGAGTCATGATCGTAACCACGACAGCGGAGGGCATGTCAACGAGACTGGGGGGACTGTTGGCTCTTATGATCAAGCAACAGGAGCAGATAAAGGATCAACATTCGTCTCAGACGCCCAGCCGAGACGCGGCCCAATTCGATCCATGGTAAAGACTGAGGAGGATCAGGAGGCGCCAAGAGCAGCAGCGGTAGGGACAGCAAGACAGGGAGGGGAAAGTGGCATCATGGGGGCAAGTGCATATCATGCCAACGATGCAACAGCAGGACCGTCAGCAATAGGAGAGACGGCTGAAGGAGGGACAGGAGGAGCTGCAGGAGCAGGGGCAGGGGCAGGAGCAAGAGCAAGAGCGGGAGCAGGAGCAGGAGCAGGAGCAGGAGCAGAATCAGCCGACTTTCGACATTCTCAGTATCCGCATCAACATCGGCATTCTGAGCTGCATCAGGACTCCCCCCCACCTCCTGCTTGTCAGCAGCAGCAGACATATCTTGGCCACCAATCGGAATCTTCTGCTGGGAGTTATTGCAAGCAGATGAAGGGATCATCTGCACCTTCTTTTCCTTCCTCAACAGCCCCACCACCTGTCACTGCAGGAGCCCCAGGGACCACAGCCTCAGTCCATCGAGCGCCTTCGCCCCCAATGAACAACCACCCTCTTCCATTCGACCAAACTGGCCAGACCCCTCATTTTCACCATGCCTTCCACAGCGACCCCAACACGCCCAGCGACGGCGGTATGGGCGGCCCTGCCCTGAACAACAAACGAAGGAGTATAGCAGATTCTCTCTTTGTCCCCACTAAAAGCGTCAAGGTCAAAGAAAAGAGAAACAGTGGCAGTGCGAGCAGCATCAGCAGTGTAGAGTCCTATCGACAAGACGAGGGCATCAACTCAGAACACCACTCTCTCGCGGGGTGGACAAGCCATCCCAAGTCTGCGTCTAGCACATCCACCTCTTCCGATGGTTCTGCGTCAGTATTGCCGGCCCAGAGGATGTCTTTGGAGCCTCAACAGGCATCGCCTTCGGCCAGAAGACCCTCGACAGCCAAGGCATCAGGCAGGGCAGCAGGCGGCTCGGCGCCCTCTCCAAAGACGTTTCAATGCACGGGTTATCCTGGTTGCAACATGGTCTTCACACGCAGCGAGCATCTTGCAAGGCACGAGAGGTAAAGGCTTCGCTTTTTTTTTTTTTTTTTTCTTTGTTCCACAATCTCAAGTGGTACATCTTGTCTGTGTTCCCAGCCCCTGTGTCCGATAGACTGACTCGTCTTACATTCCTCGCATTGTGCTCTCATCTACTCATCTACAAACATCTAAATGCCTGAACCACACAGGAAGCACACAGGGGAGAAGCCTTACAAGTGCATCGTCGCCAACTGCCCACGTACCTTCAGCCGGTACGACAACATGATCCAGCACACGCAAACTCATGGGGACCGGACCAAGAGAGACTCACTCGCCGCAGCGGCTGCAGCAGGAAATGCGTCTCGAGCCCGGTCTTCATCACTACACTCAAACCCTTTCCTGACTGGAAGACCTCGAGGAGGCAGTAGTCCAGTCGTATTCGGTTCAGGATACGACGATCTAAATTATCGGTCTTTGCAGAACTCGCCTGCCTCCTCTTATATTGCCCATAGTTCTGCCTTCTCGCAGCAGCAGCGCCACCCTTATTCGCCGCATTACCAGCAACTCCAGCAGTATTCTCATCAGCAACAGCATCAAAACCAACAGCACCCTGTGCACTTGAAGTTCCCTGATGGTACGCCTGCAATGTCTTCACACCCATCAATGGCCAGCAGAACCAACGGGAGCATTGACAGCATTGGAAACATCTATGGCGGGGATAGCCAGTCGTATCCCCCAGAGTCAGGTCCATCAACGCCCGTCATCAGGACTCTTAAGGCTAATTCGAGAAGTCTACCGCATCTGCAGCCCCGATCCTCTTCTATTGTCACAGCAGACAGCCCCAGCATGGGTCTGCAACAGAGCATGTCCGGGATGGAGATTGAAGAATTCAAGCGACGAAAAAGTGAGGTACTCTTTCCACTTTCATTTTCAGAAGATAGAGTTGCAGCAGGGTCTGCTTACGGCCACGCTCAAGGACTAGGCCAAGGCCAAGGCCAGGGAATTGGGCTGGGTATGTCATCACCTTTAACCCCTGCAGCGTCTCATACGCAGCCGCTTCCACATGTGGAAAAACTGTCACCTCAGGAACAGGAGCGCCTTATCGAGCATCGCCGATCTGCTCAGGCTATACTATGTAGGACAGGTCCAGGCGCTGGATTGAGGGGTCAACGAGGCACATATGAATCATTTTCAGAGCAGGGCCCACTAGCAGGCGCACAGGAAGGCGTTAACAGCGGGCCCGAGAGCATAGGAATAGGACCGCCCCCTCCGCATGTGCAGCATCTGTCAACTTTGAAGAAGGAGCGACTACTGGAGCATCGAAAGTCGACACCAGAGCTCATGTACGACGCCATGAAAGCCAAGAGATCAAGCAACGATCCGACGGATATGAATGTGCTGCCTCTGCCGTCGCGCGATTCCCGGTCAGGCGTGCAGTGGTTCTCGCAGATCAACACACCGTCCATTCCGTCATTTCCATTGCCATTGACCTCTCGGGATGCCCATGGAGGAGGACCAGCAGCGATATCATCAGGAAGGCGAAGGGTAGTGACTCTTGGGTCTAGCGCAGCTCATTCTGGTGAAGGTGCAGCTGATATTAGCTCTCCGACTATTTTGCCACCAATTCTTGGAACTTATGATGAGCGTCACGACGATCGTTTAACTCGGCCTCGTGCGCTCTCAGGTCATATCCACCCTCTGGCTCACCACGACCGCGTGGGATCATCTGGATTCGTTTGGCAGCCATTGTCGAACGATGAGGGTAGCAATACCAAGGATCGTTCACAATTTGATCCTACGCTTTCGCCTAGGATGGAGAGATATCTGGAGGAGCGGTACTATCCGATCCAGAAACGGGAGGTGCTTGATGCAATTGAACGAATGGATGTACGCGAGTTCCTAGGACTGAAGGCCCAGGTTGCGGGATCGTATGCGAGCGAACAGTTCCGGAACCCAGAGTTTTTGGGGAACATGGCGGCGCTTCTCTGTATCATCCGTGCGCCACATCCATTCTGGAAGAGCGCAAGGCCCAAGCGGAGTAGTGGAGGCAGTATTGAGAGTGGCAGTGAAGGCGCTGCTGGTATTAGCCGACGACAGTCGTACAAGGACATGGGGGTGGATAACGTAGAGCCTATGGATGTGGATGAACAGGGAACGATGATGGATGTCAAGAAAGACGGATCTAGAGCGAATGGACGTTCAGCGGCACTCGAGCAGCCATGTCGATTCGCATTGGATATCGACATGGATTCATTCGGACGAGATCCTGAGCCGGAACTGCGGTCGATAGAGGGATTGACGATCAACAGCTTATTCCCAACCAAGAGCTTTGTTGCGGGGTTCGAGCCCGCGATGATGATGGATCATAGGAAGGAGAGTAATGCAGAAGAAGATGAGGGGTTGCCGAGGTCTGTGCAGGGGTATCCATCGAACGCACGGATAGGACGTTTCTACTTGCCTGAGAGAGCGTTCCGGACACCGGAATCATTGCAGTTCCAACCTGATCCTTCAGGACCCTGGGTGTGCTGCCGCTTTGAGGAATATCTGGGCGTGTCTATCTGGGTGCTGGGAAGCGTTCTGGAGAAGTATCGGGAGCTTGCGCAGAGATACAAGATGGCGTTAACACTGATGGGAGAGGAGGAAACCCTTGAAATGCAGAACCGGGCGGCGACATTTGATCACGACGATGAGTGGGAGATTCGGACAGGGGAACAGTATGATGTGAAGGTGAAGGAATCGACGCTGTACCCTGAGATGGTTCAACAGGTTTGGAAAGATATGTACCAGCAGTATCACCATCAACATCAGCAGCAGCAATATCAGCAACACCAGCCGCCACACCGTCCTTCGTCCCAGCTCTTGTCACAGCAGCAGCAGGCTGCCGTGCCTCCGCATATGACGAACCGTGTGGCGACTTATGAAGAATACCAGAAAAGTCGTTGGCAAGCTGCGGACTCTAGACGCGAAAGCTATCCAGCTCTACTACCATCGTCGTCGGCTGCGGCGCATCACTATGACGATCATTATTATCAGGGAGAATACCATCCACAGTCCCAATATCAGCAGCAACATCGATTACCGCAGAACGCGCATCAGAGCTATATTAACCACTGCGAGGACCTGTCGAGTGGACCATCATCCCCGAACTCGGTGCACCAGGATGATTGTTTCCAAGAGGATGTCCAATCGAACGACTCAGCGGCTTCGACCCCACGGCAGCACTATCGTCACCATCAGAATCAGGACCAGAATCAGAATCATCCATACCATTATCAGGAAGGATCTTCGAACCCGAGTGCTAGCGGTAGCAGTGGTGATGCGAACATGCACCGCCGCATCTCGATTGCTGAGCTGTGTAACCCGATGCAGAGTCTTGCGACGGCGCGCGAACGAGATTACTAGAAAATATTGTACCATCCAAGCACGATTGGCATTTGTAGTTCTTTAATAACAATCCAAGGAGAATGATCGCTCTATTTTATCCCTTTCTCCGTTTTTGAGGCCATTGCAGAAATTTGTGCTCCTATCCTTCAACTATTGTGGGCACAGTGAAAGGCAGTTGTACTTCTTTGCTCTTGAGGTGCTTCATATTTGTCCTGTAGACCATCATCCCATAAGTTCATGTTCGTCGCTGCTCCGCATGCATTCGAGCGTCCACGTCGATCGCTAGATTACACAAACACTTTAAAGCATAAGACGGTTTATTTTAAGGTTCGATCGAGTTACGCACAGCATTTTCAGCAAAGTTCATTTGGAACTTGGAAGTAGTGGTCTCTTTGGGTCTGGTGGTCCTTACAGTGAAGTTTCTATACTCATAGTAAACTAGACTATATCTCAACCTGGGGATCAAAAGCTTTGGTTCCTTTACAGAAAATGAGAGTGTTCCCCTATACAAAGCTCCCTTAAACAGAGTTGACTGTAGTTAGTGTCCCGCGTCATGCTCATAGTCCATGCCCGGTGAATGAAAGACCTCCATAACACGCTGTCAATACGGTGGCCTTAGGGAAGATCAAGGGTCGGACCACCAAATGCCAGCAATGCAACCAGGAAAGAGGTCGAGACCATAACGTTGACTACAATATGGCTCACGCACGTCCTACGTCTCGTAGAGTACCAAGAGTGGCTCCCGGAGCTGATGCGCCTGCGGCAACACTAAAGCGCCGTATAGAGCGGCAGAGTGGAGGACGAAAAAGAACTTTATCGCTCACTATCTCTGGAATAAGGGATAAAAACTGGCATCAAAAATAAAATTGTGAATATTATTTAGATATTCTAAGTCTTTTACGAGGCGGGCTATGGATCCAAAGGACCTTTGCGATCTCCATGTTGGTGGCGCTGTGCAAGTATTTCATCTCCTTCTACGTAGGGTGGGGGAGGAATTGCGTTATGTGTACCATCGTGCTGTGTCTCTTGAGGATGATGATGATTATCATCATCCGTTTGGAGCGTCTCATGCTGTCCACTCTCATGATAATGCTCCTGCGGCATTGAAGATTCTTGCAATTGCTCGTCATCATCCTCCTTTGCTCCCGCTGTCGACCCTTCTTCTCCTTCGACCGGAACCTCTTCCTCATCATCTTCGGGGTACGGATCAAAGACCCACTCTCGCTGTTCGATCAATGTATCGATAATACTCGACTGTTTGCCCGTATTGATGATGCTCGTCAGATCATTGACCTCCTGACGTAGAAGATTGGGCGCAAAACAGATGGCGAGATTTGCAGAGTCCATTTTTGTGGTATGGTACTGGTCCTGGATGCGGCCCAGATGCATCATTAGGTACTGAAGCGTACTGAAGTTCGGCTCTGGAAGTGAATGCACCAATGATTTGATCGTGTACAGCTTCTCGTTGTAGTCACTAATGTCTAGTAGTTTCCGTAAACACACACACACACACAATATGATTGCTCAGTCAGATATATATGCACCGCAATTACATGAATGTTCACATAAAGAATGAACAAGATTACTTACCGGCGGCAGCAATAAAGCTCGGGTAGAAATCAAACAGCATCAGGGGTTCACGCAGTTCTCGAAAGTACAGCTTCAAGAGGGCCGCAATCGTGTTGATATCGGGCTCTTTCTCAACAAGTCGCGCAATATCATTCGCGCCCTCGTTAAACGCCCGCTTCAGGTTCTGGATCGACGCCATGTGTCCTGATACACGGTAGATCCCCGCTGTCGCTAGTCCGCGCGCCTCGATCGCCTTGATGCAAAGCTCCACGACCATGGGCACCGTCCTGCCAGCTTCGACTACCAGCGATCCGCCAAAGACTACTGATCCACCTAGATACGCGGTTAGAAGAGAAAAAAATAAGATCACATCTCTGAGTACTCAAGAGCCATGAAACAACCTCCATAACAAAAAGTCCAGCTAAAAGGGGTAAAGGCGACTTTACCTTGTGCAGCTTTGGGGTCTACTGCTTCCTTCCTCAGTCCTTTCTCCTTGTACTTGTCTTTGGCCTTATCCTTGCTCCTATCCTTTTGTCGTTCCCTATCCTTTTCCTTCTCTCTTTCCTTTTCTCTCTCCCTCTCTCTTTCCCTATCCCTATCCTTGTCTCTGTCCCTTTCTCTCTCCTTTTCCTTGTCCCTATCCTTCGAGAAAAAGTTCCGACTCATGTTGGTGAGCTTTGCCTTGGCTCCTTGGTGCGATGAACTACTTCCAGGTGATCCAACATCCTGGCCCGCCTCTGCAGACCCATAATCCGACGCATGTGTATCCTGATCCTTCTTAAATGGTGATGACGAACCCTGATTGTTCTGATCACGACTAGACTTCCGCTTCGGGTTCGAAAACTGTCGACTGCCGTGATTGTTCGTGGCAGTTGCTGTCGTTGCCGGTGCTCCTGCAGTCGAAGCCGTTGTAGAATGTCTCAAGTGAGGATCGCTGCGCTGAGGCTCATTATTTTGGGTATGATGGCTATGGTACGGTTCCTCCTCCGCCGGCAACCTGAGTCGTTCGTCCTGGGCAGACTTCCGTCTAGGAACATGGATCCCCTGTGCAACCATGCTCCGGATCCCGCGCGCCTTGTCCATCTTGAGCGGGCTCTTGTTAATCGTCTTCAGATCTTTTCCCTCGATCTTCTTGTTCATCTTGAAACCTGATGCCTCTCCACTGCCTGCTGTTTGGCGCTTCAAAACTTGGATCAGATCTAAATCAATAAAAACCAATAAGTCAGCAATCCGATTGTAGACATATAAGCAATATAAAAGTAACACTGCTGGAGTGTGTAAACACAAAGATAGGAACTCACATGGCTCTTCTGACCCAGGGAGTTCGTCCGCTTGACGACTGGCCAGCGAGGTCTTAATGTCCTTGACCCAGGCTTTCTCATCGCCCCCAGACGCGTCCTGAAGTAACAGCCGCACGCTCGCCCCAGGAGTGATATAGAAAAAGTTCTTCTTCTTCGTCAAGGCCTGTCCGTTGACCGGCACCTCTGCCGCAACTTTTTCACAATCAAAGCACCCAGAAGGCTTGACCTGCGTCACTTGTCTCAGTCGGTTCATCGAATCCGTGGACGACTTCAAAGAGTGCGCGTTCTTGATAGCCCCACTCTCGTCGCGGTAGAAGAGCAAGAACCCTTTATAAACGACCACCCAGTAATCTTTCCATGAGCTGATAGTGGCATTGGTCGACACTTTTTGGGACTTTACGCGAAGCGATCCCTTGCGCTGGATATTCTCTGTGGGCAGTTGATTCAGTTCCTACAACAGGAAACCCCACCAATTTCGCAACGAGATAATGCGTGTGAGCAACAGCCTTATCATTCACTATCCAATGATCAAGGCACCGTGCCTATCAAGAACTTTCAACTTTACCAATACATGGAGCTCCTCATCTGAAAGACTGAGGTCCAGCAGTTGACTTTGAAGGATGGTCTCGTCTACTGATGCCTGGCGCTTAGGGGTTGGACTCCGTACTATTGGGGACAATGTAGATTGCTAATTGATACCAAAGACGCAGAAACTGGTTAGATGATCAATGAGAGCGTGCAAAAATTCATCGCATGTTTTCCCACGTTTGTGTACCCGAGCATTACATGGGCTCTACTAGATTCGGCTGTCACGATAATGGGTTCGGACTGGCGCTGGTTCCTTTGCAGCGCTGGACTCATTGGCCGATCCCAGGTTGTCTCTCCTGTCGATGTATTGAAGAAGTATTGAGAACCACCTTCATCTACAGGTTTCAAAGGACGGGAAATGCGAGATTAGTTTCTTGCTTTCTTTCATTCGGAACCATCTTTTTAAGTGCTGCCCTTTGGACCCTCATAGACAAGGAGATATATACCTCGAGCGGCATTCCATCCTTCCGGCAAAGACTCTTCGTCAGCTGCATAGTCCTTCTCATGAGAGAGTACCTCAGTAGTATGGTTGTCGTGGTGAACGTTGCCATGGTCTGAGTAATGCTCCGCTGACGGCATAATGGATCCAAGAGGAGGAGATGCAACAGCCACAGCAGTGGGCATTTTCCATGAGGTTTCCTTTGTCATCACATTGTAGTAATAAAGCCTGCCATTCGAATTGGTTGTTGCGCTCCAGTTAGGCGGCAATACGACTTGCTCCGAATCTGACAGGCTGTCCGTAGGTTCTGGTGGCGGCGAGTGAATCTGCGCGCTGTTGGAATTGTCCATCAAGGGACTTGACATGGTAGCGTGGCTCGATGCTGTCTGGCGCTGCTGTTTCTCCTGTGAAATTTGTGATCCATGCGGAGCGATATCGTGAGGCCCTTGCAGCGCCTCGCTGTCATGATCGATCAGATATTCCATTTGATCCTGCGCCTGCTGCTGCTCCTGATCATGATCATGATGATGTTGTTGTTGATTTCTATTCCGATCCTCGTGCTCCAACGTCGCATCCTGAACAGTTTGTGCAGCTAAACGATAGCCGTCATTGAGGTAACGCAGTCGAGATCGGTATGTTAGAGACAGATCGATCAAAAAGCGCAGGCAGTAGACGTGAAAACAAACGGATTCTCTTACCTGATAGAAGCCGGCAGCGGTTTGCCGGAAAGACCCCCGACAAGCCGTTACAGTCCCCTATATAATTCGACAATCAAATTGAAACCGATCATTGACAGCCAGCCAGGAAAAGGGGGTCGTTAGGAACCAGACGCAGAACTGATCCAGGTCCATTCGCTTATATTTCAGCTCGATGCAGTAATCATAGGAAACCATCGACTATACCTTCCCACCTAAAGATGATTGCAACGTGTTCAGTTAGCGCGTAGTTTACAAATTTTTTTTTAAAAAAAAAAAATGGAGAATGACCGCGTGTGAGTGAAGGAATTGGTTGCGGGGATGTGAAAAGTCGCCGCCAGTAAATTTCAGCACCGCAATGCAATGGATTTTTTCGTGTGAAATACAGAGCGTTATCCACAAACTGCAGCTCTAGTTTTTAGTGTTCGCCGCTGTTTACATAGATCCAGAGTTCCTGAGAGAAGAAATTGGAGAGGGAGAGAGTGCGCCCTACCATTCCTCATGGGAGTTGTCCTTTATCAGAATGTGGTCTCCCTTGCGAAAGGACTATGGGACATAGGATAGCAGAATAGACGATCAATTGATGGGAGAGGAGGGGTAAGCAAGGGAACGTGAAGGGCGACAAAGCAAACTGACTGGGCGTGCTTTCGATTGTCCCTTACGAGCTCGTCCTCGTGTGTTGCGGTGTAATCCCACTCTGCAATAGCCCACTGCATGGTTCAGTTGGTAACAGCTATCGCTGTCGGGGAGGAGGGGTCAAGACGAAGGCAGGCAGTTGAGTTCCGATTCCTTCTTCCAGGAGATGTCAAGGAAGCGAGACAAAGAAGAGGAAGGTCGATCCGGTGGAGTGTGCGAGGTGAGTAGGAATGAGCTGGTGCGGAATGAAGAAGGACGTCCAGAAGGTGTACGTGTGTGCAGGTGTGTATGTGGGTGGGTGTGTGGGTGTGGAGTTGCGCCTGTTGAAGAGGTGTAGGAGAGGAAAGGAGGACAGGAGGGCAGGAGCTGAGTGTGTGTATGTGACCCTTTTTTGGTTCACACTTCCTCGAGAGAACAAGGGGACCTCTCAGCTGTGCACAAATGTGCATCAGCCAATCGCCCTTGAATCAGGCCGATAGGCCTGAACTGGAGGATTGCGAGTTGCTGCATTTCAGCGTCAGATGATGATGGAATGGATAGCCTGCGGTCATTTTTTTCCATGAAGACAACGAGAAATCATGCAGTAATGCAATATGCTCAGTTCTGTGTGGCCTGGCCGCTTCGAAGGGCTGCGAGACTAGGAAAACAACTGATAGACTGTACACGTATCAGGCTCCTCGCCTCTAACCCTCATCAGCGGCTCTTTAGCAAGCCTGAGCGGTCGATAGCTTTTTTTTTTTTTTTTTTTTTTTTTTGGCTTTAGATATACAGCCAACCATATAGCAATTGTAACCAATTGACTATGTCGTCCTTAGAGAGAGTACTATTCACTGTTAAAGGATGTGGATGCGTACCATTGCACAGACAAGGGCTCAGTTGATGTCGCGTGTTTTATCCTGTTTCCCTCCAAGCACATGTCGGTTCACGGAGGACACCTTGCAGAAGCGATTGATAGCAAGGCGCCATGTTCACATCCCAGGTGAGGTGAACGTGAGAACATTGCTTCGTTGATCGGGATGGCTAAGGTTGGTTGTTTGTCCGAGGGAGCTCTTTAGGCATCCCAATGCATACATGTTGTGCAGTGCAGTCCCTTCCTGAGGATTTGCACGAGGACGCAACGGCTGCATTTGCATTTCTTCGCCCAATAACAATCAGTCTCGGACCAAGGTTGAGAAAAAGTTCGCTCCTTCCTCCACACTTTTCTCTTTTTTGTGCTCCTTACCCCACTTCCTGCCATTACAGCAGCACGCACCTCCATACACTAAAAAAGAGCACTTTCTCATCTCTCTCTCGCACTCCTCATCCCTCTTTTGCCAACACCTTCGCCATCACTCCATCACTTCCCCGCTTCCTGAGCACCCACTTTCTACACGCTCACGCAATTCTCTCCTTGAAACAGGAACAGGCCTTTTGAATTATTATTCTAAAACCTAGTCGTTCCACTTCCCCCTCCGGTTCATATTCCGCCCGACAATCACTCTACACAGCAGCAGAATACATTGGAACCCCAGCGATGGCATCAACGGACCTCAGGATCATCATCGTGGGCTCCGGTATCGCTGGACTCTCTGCTGCCATTGCCCTCGAACTCGCCGGCCTCGACTACACCATTCTTGCGCAGGAAGTTGACACCGGCCTTGCAAGTGACACTCCAGATGCGCAGACAACCAATGTCCCAATTGGAGGTGCTGTTCAAGTTGGGCCAACAGCCCTCCACTTCCTGCACCAGCTGGGTATCTATGAAGAAATCCAAAAGATATCGAAACCCGTGAGCGGATTCTCCATGAACGAACATGATATGAACTATGTCGGTCGCATCGACATGTCTACCCACCGTGAGAGGTGAGCTAAACAATCTAAATGTTGTTTATAAATTGAAATTGCAAACAATGGTATCAGGGTGCGGCTTAAGTGAATATTGAAGTGATATGTCTCTTGATGTATACGACGGCGCACTAGGTATGGCTACCATACGGAAATAATGTCAAGGTCACAACTCCATGCACTGTTACTGCAGCGCATCCCTCCAAAGCGGATCCTCGCTAGGAAAGTTCTCGGCATGATGCAGGACCAGGACAAGGTCACGGTCCGATGCTCGGACGGTACAACGTTTGAAGGCGATGTCCTTATCGCAGCCGATGGCGCGTTCAGCAACATCAGGCACACGCTTTACTGGACCCTGGACGAGAAAAAGCAACTGCACAAGGCCGATGCTGCGCCCATGTCCGTCGATATGCATATCATCTCGGGCTGCACCAAACAGCTGGATCCTAACAAATACCCAATTCTGCTGGATGCCATGAGCGAGATCCAGTCTGTGCAGTTGCCTGACAAGCCCTATGCGGTAAGTCTTGATTTAACTATGGCATCGTGCATCGCCATGGAGAAAAGTGATCGGACCTTGACCTTGATAGCCAACCTTTGCTGTTACCACTGTTAGATCTGGTTTGTGCCTCTCATCGACAACAGGATCGCATGGGATGTCACTCGGGAGGTGGACAAGACAGCGATACGCCAAGGCGAAGCATCCAAAGTGTATCAATGGAGACCAGAAGATGTAGAGGCCGTGCTGAAGACAGTCAAGGATTTTGAATGTCCGTATGGAGGACAGATCGGCGATCTGATCGAGACCACCGCGCCAGAAAGCATGTATTTCTACATGTCGGAGGAACGTTTTTGCGAGACATGGTACGGTGGCCGGACTGTTCTCATAGGCGATGGTACGTATCAACCGGTGTGGAGTGTATTGTAACAGCAATAGCCATCTCCGTACTTCAAATCTAACATCACGTATGTTGGGTGGGTTGTTTGGGTATCCATTGGTCTCAGCATGTCACAAAGGGTTCCATCAGCCGGTTAGCGAGGCCATTGTTGACGCTGTTACGCTGGTCAACTTTTTGTCGAACATGGCATCAGACTCTCTGGAAAGCTTGACGGCGGTGTTCAAGGAGTATAAAGAAAGACGAGCGCCTACAACCAAGGCTGCTGTGGAGCAGTCCGCACACCTGCGCCAGGTGTTCACAGGCAAGGTAGATCAAAGGCATATATACATTATGTTTCAACTATCTATGGGTACCAGTGAATAGAAGGTACTGTATTGATACTCATATACTTTGACTGTATGTTAATGTTAGGGTCGTGCGGCATCGCTGAAGCGGAATGTAGTATTTAACTATATGCCAGAAAAGGTTCGCAATTTACTGGATGACAAGAGGAATGAAGACCGACCCCAGCTGTGGTTTTTACCACAGGTCAAGGATCGAGGAATCGTCGCATCTCTTCCAAATCTGCCAGTGTCCTCCACGAACTCTGCGACCCCTGGGACCGAAAACACCGCGGAGGGCCATGTTAAGGTATCATTGGAAGCAGCCATTAATGCTACATCGTCGGCTTCAGTATCAACAACATCTTCTCCGCGGACATCGCGAACATCCTGGTCCTCGTTCGCGAGACCTGCCTTCTCCATGCCGTCAGCACCAAATGTTCCTCTTTTCACGGCGGCCACCTCGCCACCCAGACAGAGCCCCTCAAAGCGGTCTTCTGTAATAAGCCCGCGGAGTTCCTTAATTCCGAAGGGAGAAAGAGTTTCTACGCGCAAGGGAAGCGATGCGTCCTCTGGAAGTAGCACGACTCTGGCGGCGACGACCATCTCCAATACAGCAGCGGTTACGGCCGTTGATGCTGGGGAAGTAGATACCGTGGCTACCGATACCCCGGTCAAGGAGAAGAATTCAGTCCCCACAGCGAGCTCCTCTAAGGAGAAGGAGAAAGGGGAGGAGGGGGAGGAATCGTCGGATGAAGAAGAGTTTGTCATTTGCAATTCGACGCTGGACGACGACAAAGAGACGCTCTCTGACAAAGGGGCGACAACACCAGCAGCGATCGCGATTTGAATCGCGTACCCGAGCCATCTGTGCGACCACAATAAAATAAACTGGTATTGCTTCATTGGTGCATAAGACCATGGGACATGGGTGTGCTCCCTTTCGACCTGCGGTATGACCATTGCTGTGCCATCAACCAAAAAAAAAATAAAAAAATAAAAAATAAAAAAGAGATGGAAGTGGAAGAGAAAGAATGAAAGAGAAAAGAGAGCATATCGCGTGGGGTGTGATAGCACTTTATGAATACAACGAGTCCAGGCTCATGTGAAAGCACCCAGAAGGTAAAATGGATAAAGGGATGCTCTGATCATGTCTAAATGAACTACGTGCTCTCCTAATGAAGGTGGGCGATGATAGTAGTGATGATAGAAGTGGAAAGTGAGAATGATGGTGGTGATAGAAAGAGCAATTGGATCCATCCGAAACACCTGGCGAGACAGAGGAGGACCCTTCATCCTTCTTGCGCACTCCAATTGCCCCTTAGCTTTTTACTTTACCTTATTGCTCTTTTACTTTGGCAACTTGTTTTCATTGGCAAGCAAGCTAGGACGCCAAAAGCAAGATCTACCTACAGGCAGGCATGTTTGGCATACCCCAATTGTAATAACCTGTAGTCTGCCCCCCCTGTGCCTGAAAAAACTTTGTGCACTCACACTTGGTAATTGACATATACTTTTTCACTTGTACAATTTCTTATTCTCATCCTTCCATCAGCTCTTTCAATTCTTTTCATCGCCATTCTACTCATCTCTATCCATCCCCCTCATCTCTTTCTCTTTCTCCCCTTCCCTCCCTTTCTTTCTCCCCTCAGTCCTCTCTTGCCCTCCAATCGACACTCTGTATCATATTTAATTATATATACCTTAGTATTACCACCAAATCAGGGCCAATAACGCGCTTTCTTCACACCTTGACCTTCACGCCCCATACTTCGCACTCAGGATTAATCGCCTCCTCTAATCCCACAACTCCTCATCCCCTTCCCCCTTCCTTCGCCTTGTCAAGCCAACCTCACCGTGTCTAATCCACTCTGATGTCTCCGGCCGACATCGCAGGATCAGCCGTGGTTGACACGTCTACCGCCAACTCGCCTGCGAACGTCATGACCCCAATTCCACAGACTGCACCTGATAGCCATTCAGAGGCTGTGCCAACCACAAGCGCAACAAACGCAAACGCAAACGCTACAGCAACCACAGGCACAACTGCCGTCATCGCTGCTCCCGCTTCCGCTGCTGCAGCTGCTGACGGCACTCCAGAGCCTTCCACACAGGCAATTGATGCATCGGCTTCACCTCCAAAAGGACAAGGAACACCAGCAGGCGCGAATAGTAGGACCCCTGCGCCTCCAGGAGAAAAGACGTCCTCTACAACGGACAAACCTGTACCCACGGATCTCGAATCTGCGCACAGAGAGAAGGGCCCCGACACTGAGGCTGCAGTAGATAATTCAGCAGCACTGGTCGATGACACTGTCGAGATCGCTTCTGATATTCAAGAGCGCTCGCAGCTCAGCGACATCGACCGGGATTCTTTGGCGGACCAGGACGAATCCGACTTTGCGCACGACACTGCCACCGAAGCTCTTCGTCCTGGCGAGGCTCAGGGTGCTGCTCCAACTATCAGCACCGCCTTTCCTGCTACAGTCAGTCCAGGAAAAGTCAACAAGAACGATGAAACAAACAACAGAGACATTGAGGATATCACTGCGGCTAATTCCACCAACCCATTGGCCACGGAGGCACCTGTTTCGACATCAATTGCTCGTAACAGCACCAGTGCTATAGGAGCAAAATCTGCAAATGACAAACCGGCTAGTGAGCTGCCTGTATCCGAGAAGGAAACTCCGGACGAGGATTCAGCGTCAGCACCAGCAGCATCATATACATCACCGAACCACGAGTGGGCCAGGATCCTTCAGAAGCGACTCGGGAAAGGACTCAACGATGCACAATTGCTGGCTCGGTCCAATAGTATGCTCGCATCTCCTAGTATTTTGGCGCAGTCGCTGATACAGGTGATCCCCAGTCTCCAGGTCAAGGAATCGTCAGCAGTATCGCCAGGAGCTACGGGGAGAGAGTACCAGACCGCAGAGGAACTATTCGATCGACCAGCAACCATTGAACCATCAGGACCGGCCTTTCATTACGATAGCCATTTTTCGAGGGACGAGGTGTTCCCATCAAGCGCCCTTGCTAACAACTCGCAGGCACCGCTCCTGCTCTTTGCGCCTCTGAACCCTGAACAGCTCCTGGGAAAGTCCTCGAACTCATCAAAGTCAAAAGCACCTCCTCCACTTGCGGATAATCCGTCGCCTGCAAAGCAGCCTCAACCTCAGCCTCAACCGCAGCCCGACCATCAGTCAGCACTAGCTCCGCTAACATCGCAGCAACAGCAACAGTCTACCCCGCTATCAGGGGTTATTGCACCGCCACCACCGCCATCTATACCCATCCCAGTACCTCCGATCGCCGGTGCGTCATCACCAGCTTCAAAAATACGTGTCGTATCCCCAACACCAATAGAATCGCGGAATTCACCATTAATCTCGCGGGATCAAGGGATTGGACTCAGGAACGTTCGGCAGAGTTTCGTGCTGCATCCGACAGGGCAGGAGGAAAGACCAGGATTAATTTCGCATGGAACTTCCGCCTCCAGGACACTTCTCGGCCAAGGATCGTCTTCTTCATTGACAACCACCCCTGCAGCTTCGGCTCCCAACGCCACCGGCACTTCTAATTACCCAATTGCACCCATTCAATATACCCCGGTCACTCAGTATAAAGCAAACCCTTCAAAGGAGAGCTCCAAGATGAATAGAAAAACGCGCGACACAATCACTGCCGCCAAGGACGCAACTGTTTTGGTCGAATCACCCAAAGACCTTAAGGCGGTAGCAGAGAACAAGGAACCTGTCGTAGCTACAGCAATTGAACCGGCGCAAGTAATAACACCGTCATCGGTGGTACCGGTATCAGCAGCATCGGCGCCAGCAACAGCGACAGCAGCACCGACATCAACTGGAGCTGAGATTACATCCGCAGAGCTGATCACGGATCTAAAGTCAACCTCGGATCCAGCTGTTGATGCCACTGCGCAATGGGCGCTGGATGCATTGTCAGGATTTTCAGATGTCAACTTTGATGCTACTCTGCCTGTTAGTGTGGCTGTGGCGACAACTCTGGCCACGACTTCTTATTCAAAAGATCTACCATCAAAACTCCCAATGATGCTTCCACTAAGCAGTGCTGGATCAAAAAGCAACCAGTCAGCTACGGAATCCTCCCCTGCCAAGATCATTCAGTCGCCTTTCGAGTCAGCACAAACTGCGAGCGAGGTATGGTTTGCAAATGCCGAATGAGTTGGTAATTGTTCTTCAAGTTACGCCTGTATTTCTCACACTCGATAAATTGTTCTGTTCACTTAGGAGATGCGACAGAGGCAGCAGACTGCGACTCCGGAGTTGAGATCCCAGCCTCTTCAGGCCTCAACATCTGTGGATCCTTATCACAATTTGGTCGCTACTATATCCCCATCAACTTCCACAGCCTTCGCACCTTCTTCATATCCCGGCACGCATCCACTTGCGGCTCATTCGAGCTATGTTCCATTTGATCAGAGTACTAATAACAAGGGTTATCACCACGGTGGTCATGGGGCGCACCAGGCGAACAGGAGTATTTCTAGCTTGCGAGATCTTCATATACACAATACACCCGTGTCTGTGGAGAGGCCAAGCCATGATCTCGGACACTTGCGACGTGGAGGTATGAGAATTTTCGGGATCAACTAGATGGGATATCCACACAAAGAACGAATTTGTAGTGTACGGTGATATTAACCCGAATGTCCTTTATATCTAGAACTTATGGCGAGCGTAGATTCTACACATGTATCTACAACACACTCTACATCATCACTAGCACCACCCGCTTTAAGTTTGGGGTCAGGATATCAAATACCATGGCTTCCTCAGAGCCGACCTGTCCTTCCACCGAAAGCTGACATCAACTCGATCGATGTTCCTGCTCTGACCGGAAATCAGCTGCTCCCATCAGAGCCACGCCGTCTGAACCTCGATTCAACCGACCCATGCCTGCAATTCAAACATATTGGAGAAGCTCTCCGACACTGGGGCCAGCATACACCTGAAGGAAATTCGTTCGCGAACCTGGATGGTAAAGGCGTCGAATGCGGCTCATGGGATTGGTCTTTTACTCTTGGACGGGCAGAAATGATTGCCAAGGCGATCCATGACAAGACTCAACTTCGGGCTGGCGCAAGGGTTGCTCTCGTCTTTCGTCTATCAGAGATTCTGGAGTTCATCGCCGCGTTCTACGGAGCTATTTTGGCGGGCGTTGTACCAGTGCTTGTCAACCAGATCCAGGACTTTTCAGAGATGGTCTACATTATGACCTCGGCTAAAGTGGAGCTCGCGCTGACAACGCAATTCAACCACAAATCTCTTCAGAAGGATCTGAAGAAAGGCGCTGTGTGGCCCTCGGGCGTGGTATGGTGGCAAACGGATATTCTGGAAACCTGGGCGCCAAAGAGCAGTCAACAGGAGCGATTGCCTCTCGCGAATAACGAGCTGGCTTATATCGAGTACACCAAATCAGCTTTGGGCGAACTGAAGGGCGTTGCTGTCAGCCACAAGAACCTGATTATGCAATGTCAGGCCCTCTTTGCGAGTATGTTATGGAGACCAGCACTCTATCGGGATAAAAACGGTAACTTGCAACCTGACCCACTTCTGGAGTCCGACACACCCGCTCCACATCCCAAGGAAAGCAAAAAGAACTTAGCCGCCAAACGCGCTCCAGGCACGGCGATGACATGGCTAGAGCCCAGGCAGCAATCAGGTTTAATTCTAGGATGCATCATGGGCGTCTTCTGTGGTAGCTTCACTGTCTTTATGGAAAGTGCAATCACTGCGGTCTCTGGACTATGGGCCCACTCTGTTGCAGCCTATAGAGGTAAGGGCGTCATGTTTGAATCCTCTTTGGAGGCACTAGCATCTTTGTTGTCTGGAACCATCTCATCTCACATATTCGTCTCTCGATTTTGTCTTGTAGCAAACGTTGCCTTTGCTGATTACATTGGAGTGCAAAAACTTTTGCGGAATTTCAGGATCAATCCTCAGGCGACCATAACTCCAACACGGCCGGACTTGAGGTTTCTTCGTACTGTTTATGTGGACACCCAGACCAATAACCCAGTCCTCAACCGGGAGTTCTTGGACGACTATCTCTACCCACTCGGCGTGCTTCCACGTCAGGATTTATCCTCTAAAGGCAGTCAGGTGGTGACTATGGAGGGAGCTCTTCCATCCTCAGCGTCTGGAAGCAACTCCAAGATGGTCAGGAGCGATCTCGGAGTGATTGCGTTCCTGAGTCTACAAGAGCATGGTGGCATGATTGTGTGTCTGCGAGACCCTTTGGATCCGCCAGCGAACACGCAATTAGTCGATCTCCGGAAACATTATCGGAAATCGACGCTTCCTCGACCAAGGCGACCATCAGCGGCGGTTCAGGACTCTGATGTTTCAACTGAACATCACCCACAACCTTCTGCGCCAGAGAAGACACCTAAGAACGACCCTAGTAGCGCTCACAGTCAGGGCGGCCTCTTGAATCATCCCCCATCATCGTTGACGTGCAGCGAGTATTTGTTGCACAGGACTGCCCTGAGATCGAACCGCATTGTCATCTTGGCCACCGGAGATGAGGCATACAAGCGTAGGGACGAACCAGGTGCCGTTCTCCTAGGCGCATTTGGCTACCCTCTGGTTCAGTGTAAGTGTTGCGCTGGGATCACCTCTAATAGGGTCAGCGTATATGACAGGGAAAAAACTTACCCCGCTGTTTCTCTGGTAAAACCAAATTAGCAACGGTATTTGTGGTCGATCCTGAGACGCTAGCGCTTTCTTTACCTGATGTTGTTGGAGAGATCTGGGTCAGCTCGCCTGGAATGCCCATCGGATTCTGGGGTCTACCTGAACATTCACAGGAAGTCTTCAACGCCAAATGTTACATCATCACGGAGGAGAATATGATTCCTACAGTGTATCGACCACCAGGATGCGAAAAGCTGTTGCGTACGGGCCTTTTAGGCGCCATGATCGAGGGCCGCGTTGTTGTGTTTGGATCCTATTGGGACCGACTACAGCAGGATACGGCCGATCCTATGAAGCCTATCGGAGTCCAGTATGAATATCATCACAGCTCCGAACTGAAGAAGACGCTCTTCGCCAAAGTGGGCGGCATTGGCGAAATGTAAGTTTGCACAGACTATTTGTGTTGATGTGCATTATTGCTGCTATCCTTATTAACAAACCCATTCATACCTTGCCTTATCCTTTTTTTTTTTTTTTTTTTCTAAGCTCGATATTCGAGTGTTTCGTCAATAAGGAATACTTGCCGGTTGTCTGCATTGAGCTCTCAAGGGACAGCAGGTGGAATGGACAATCCACTAACACGGTGGCGCTTCATATCGCGACCAACGCTCGACATATTTTGAAGGAGGTGAACGCTCTGCGAAGTTATTGTGTCGCTGTTTGGGATGTGAATACGCTGCCTAGGATCTTCGAGAATGGACGGAGAGTCGTTGATCATGCTCTCTGTAAAAAGATGTTTGAGCTTGGTAGGATCTACAGGATGCTCTACTTTGGCACATTTACAGAAGACGTCATGTTTAACATCCCACGAGGCGATGATATCGTGAATGGTTTCTGGAGTCGGGGTAAGTGGCTACGCACGTCGGTTCTGAGTGAGGAGCAATGTTGAGAATTTATGGATCTTCTTACTAAGCGGCTCCATGTCCCCATGTCTACCTTGTTTTACATTTCAGAATGTGTTGCCAAGAGACAGCGTCGACAAGGAACTTCTCTTCGATATGTCCAGTATACCTCCAGCATCGTGAACCCTGACGCCTACGATGAAAAGACGAACGTATTCATGGGAAAGTTCCATAACATCACGGACGTATTGATCTGGAGATCGATCATTCAGCCAGACGACGCAGCATTCATTGAGCTGGATTCCCGAGTCAAGGAGCAAAGGTTGATTCCCTTCAAAAAGTTTAACCAGAAAGTGACTGGATACGCCATGCACTTGGAAAAGAAGCACGGTTTGAAGGCAGGAGACCATGTCCTTCTGTGGTTCACCCAGGATCTGGACTACATCATCACTCTTCACGCCTGTTGGGTTCTGGGACTGGTTCCCATCCCTCTACCTCTGCCAGACAGTGCTCAGACGAACCATTCGCAACCCAGTCATTTCATTGGTAGCCATGGGGGGTCTGGATCTATGATTGGACACCTTGGTGCTGCCGTCAACGCCTCGTCCGCTGCAGGAGCCAACACACCAAATGGTGCCAACTCGACTAACCTGGCTCTTTCTTCCAAAGCGGTTGAGGATAAGAGGAATGGGATTCTGAGGGCTCTGTTGCGTATCATGGATGAGGTCAAGGTCAAGGCTATCTTGGGCAACAACACTACGGACGAATACTTGAAGCAAAAGACGACGGGCGCATATTTACGGACATGCAGGTCGGCGTTCACAGCAACGTATTCACAGACGCCGGAAATGTTTGCATCAGCAGATATTGTTCTTCCGACGTTCTGCAATGTGAGCAAGGCAGCTAAGACAAAGCAGATGCTGGGAGCGCTCTCGGGATATGCACCAAGGAAGGAATGGTTTGCAGCAAACTATCCAGCCGTCTATCTGATCGACACTGAATCCAAGGCTGAATCAATCACCTCTAAGAAACTGCTCAAGTTGAACCATGAGACGCTGAACAATCTTTGCCGGAACCAGAAGCTGCAGTTCAAGACTTTGACTGGACAGCCTGTCGTGACAAGCATGAGCATCTTCCATGGTCTCGGCTTCATCCACGGATGTCTCTGCGGGATCTACAATGGTGGGCCGACGGTCATTATCCAGCCTACCGATTTCCTTGCCAACCCAATTGTTCTGCTGGAGGCTGTATCTCGCTACAAAGGTACGTCTTCACCACATATCGCTGTCCATTTGAGTGTTTTACTGCTGTGTTCTCACTCTCAACCTTTAATGTCGACCTTTTGCATCACTAGCCCAAGACGTGGCGTTGACATATCCTATGCTGGATCAATTGCTTTCACGGCTGGATGGAACTCATGGAGCTTCATCGGCGCCAGGGTCTGTCAATCTGGAATCTATCGTAAACTTTATGCTCTGTGGACATGGCCGGGTACAGCGGGAGAAGACGATGACGGCCATCGGACGCCTTGGTCCCCTCAAGCTTGCACCTGAAGCAATCAACTTAATATATAGTCACCCACTGAATCCCATGGTGACTTCACAGATGGAAAGAGACGCTGGATCGATCCGCATCCATGTCTCATCCAAGAACCTACGTTATGGTATCATTACTCCTACCTCGGAAGGCGATGATCCGACGGGCATTTGGTTAGAAGACGTTGGCGTTGTAAGTTCGTCGTGGTTTATTTTTTTAAGTAATTCTCTTGTCTATATTGTCTGTGAAGGTAGCATCTTGCTAAAGACCTTAATCGTCTACTTTTCGCATCATAGACCACGATATGCACATCGATCGCGATCGTGCATCCAGAAACACACGAGGTCTGTGCAGCGAACCAGATTGGTGAGATCTGGATCTGCTCTGATGCGAGCATCAACTCGTTCCACGTTCCTACAGGATTCACCAGTAATCCGACGCATCCGCAGCCGTTCAACGCATGCATCACAGGATACGACAGCAGGGTCAAATATGTGAGAACAGGCGATTTGGGCTTCTTGTGGAACGGGCAGCAGCAACAGCTGCTAATGCGACAGCATTCGTTGTCGCAGCAGGGTCAATGGCCTGGTGCCCAGACCAACATGGGATCCGGATCATTCCAGCTTTTCGTTCTGGGAAGGCTGGAAGATTCCTTCCAGTTTCAAGGGTTGTTACACTTTGCAGTGGATATCGAAGCAACTGTCGAGAGCTCTCATGCCAATGTTGCAGCTCAGGGATGGTAAGCAACCTAGACACGGACGTTTCTTTTTTTCTTTCTAATGGATGATGCTATGCATCGTTATTGGGAGATTTTACGATCTAACTTCGATGTTTTGACGATAATCTATGGTGTTAGTGTCGCTTTCAAGACAGCTCAGGGACAAGTAGTGTGTGTAGTCAAAGTACAGAACCAGGAGCCCGAGCTTCTGGTCTCAATGTACATCCCAATAATGCACGCGATCCTTGAGCAGCATCAATTCTTGCCCGACTCCATTATCCTTGTTGGCGACAATGTCTCGACAGCCAAACGGATCACAGATGGACTCAAGCCAAGAGAAACGATCAGCAGCCTTCACAATTCTGACCGCCTGTAAGTTGCCGCTTTCCTTCTTTTCTTTTTTTCTTTTCGTTTCATTGCGAAGAATACCGACGCCAACGGTGTGGATGTACCGCTCATTAAATGCCGTTTGTTATGTCCTTTAGACCCATTCTTCATCGCCATCATTGTCACGGACAAACCCTGGCGCCTGTCCCGAGCTCGATGCTACCTCCGATCATTGACAGGCCTCTATCAGAGCTTCCGATAGGCACCTCGTCCGCATTCGTTCGCTCCAGCTATTCATACCCGCAGCATCAACAGCCGTCAGCAGCGTCAGCAGCAAATGCTTCTTCCAGTCGATTTCAAACTGGCGTCAGTTCTGCGTCCATGAATGCTGCAGGTCGTGGTCCCCCACATGTGCATCTTCCAGCCTTCAACAATGGATCTCCAGTGGAAGCAGGCAGTGCTAATCATGGGACCAGCCGCAACAGTATTTACGGATCACCCTTACTGAGTGCCAGCATTCCGTTGCCGCCTGGAGCCCATAACCCACTCCAGCAATCGCCTGCTACTAATAACATTTCGCTTAATGGTCCCACAACATATCAGCCGCATACACACTACCATCCAGGAGGAGGGTACCTTAGCTCCTCACCGGCCGCAGTATTACCAGGGTCGGCGGTGGTGAATCCTCCGGTGCTTCAGCAGCAGCAACCACCGATCTCGACCTCCAGCCTGGGATCGAACCATTCCGCAAGCAATACTAATAATGCCAATGGTCCTGGTTCTGGGACAGTTGGGGGATTCATAGCCCGGATCCATCCTCGGCCGGTATCCCAGCAGGGATTCGCGTCGAATTTATCGCCGATGAGCGGTGGAGGCGGTGGTACAGGTGTGGGTACGAACGGCGGCAGTGGCGCACTTGGAGGATCGGGATTGACCAACAACAACAATAAGAACAATAGTAGCAGCAGCCTACATATTTCGACACTAAATCTTCTGAGCGAGATGGCGATGTACACGGGCGGGAGCGCCAGTCCCGTCAACGAGCGACCCTCGAGAACTGCACAGAACCGAAACACGCAGCAACCGCCGCTACTGCAGCAACATAGTCAACCCCAGCTGCTTCACCATAGCCAGGGTCAGTCCAGGGCTTCTCATTCGCGACAGGCACAGAGCCAGGATGCGATATCGCTGTCGTCTGAGGAGTTGAAAGTAGGGCCGCCGGACTCGAAGCAGGGTGGCGGGGTAAAGGGTATTATGAAGGGCATGAACGCAAAGTGGTCGGAAATCCGCAAAGCGGGAATGACATAATCCTGGTCTCTTATTGGATGCACACACACCCTGTGCGCTGAAACTGTTTCTCTCTCTTGTTGCCTTTTGTTGTTTTTCAATCTCATCCCCGTTTATCCTTCTTGTAGAATCCCCCCCGCTCCGCCCTTGTAACATGACTGTGCATCCTGTCCCTCTAGATCCAAATAAAAAAATATGGATGCAAAACCTAAACGAAACAGCTTCGCCCAAGATTTTTTCGTTCTGAACGGAGACACGACATGCCTTCTACCCTATGCAGCACGCTCACTCTCTAATCTCTAATCAATATCAGTAGTGTAGATTGTCCAACGCGCCTCATGCTTGTTGGTGGCAAGTCAACTGAACCCCATCTCTGGGAGAGGATAGGTAGAATGCACATGGATGAACGTACCAGTTTTTATGATGAATTAATTGGATCACGGTAGGGATGTACGGAAAGGTTCAATCAGGAGGAATTAATGCCTGAGGACGACCATCAGGGTATCAGGATATCATTGAAAAATGAACATCTAACCCTGTGGTTGTTGTCCGTAGAAAATAAAGCTGCCTTGGCTACACCCTTTTTTGTTTCACTTTCATCCTTTCATTCTTTCATTCTCGTTAACTCATATTATTATTTTCGCAATAAAAAAAAAGGTGTTTATTTCTTTCTTTTTCAATGATGGATCAGTCGCGTTTTTCCTTCTTGACCCAATCCATCATAAGATTCGACGTCGTGAGAACAACCTCATCCATCGCTTGGCCAGTCCGCTCCTTAAACACCTCAAACTGCGGTGCCATGCTCTTGACGCGTTCCTGAATCCGCTCTCCCAATCCTCCAGATAGGTAAACAATCTGTGACAACATCTGGCCAAGCATGCCCTGCAGCATCTCCACTAGCTTGAGAACAGCACCCCAGACCGGTGCGATAGCTGTAGCGATCCCTGGTGCTACCTTCAAGATCATATCTGTCGCCGCCTTCGTCTGCATAAGGACCATCATGGCGGCGTAGGACAATCCAGGCAAGATCCTAGCCTCCCACAACTTCACCGACGGCAATACAACTCTCTGATTCAACCAAGCAAGAGTCGGTCGCGAATTCGTATAGACTGTCCACGAGATCCACGAGACGGCCTGCCAAAGGGGATAGGTGATCTTCACAAACTTGTCGATGACCCACGCGACGACAGGACGGGCGACCTCGAGTGCCATCATAAGATCGTTATAAGCGTTTGGAACAATGTCCATCGCAAACACCTTGATTCCTTGTCCGACCAACTGCAAACCGATCGTGGTGTAGTGGTAAAGCGTCGTGAAGGTTTTTGTCAAGACCGTCTCCAAGAGAACTAACCAATTGACACTCTCAAGCCGCTGCAGCACAAGAGTGCATTTCTCCTTGACCTTGGACGACAATGCATGGATCCCCGCCAAGAATGTCGGGTGCGATCGCAGGATCCTGAAGCCATCCAGAACAGCCATCCCCGTCGGTCGAAGCACTCCTGTGTAAACCTTTTGAGCCAGCCAGGGTACGAATCGTGTCAAGGCTCCCATGGCCCATTCTCCCAATGCGTAAAGATTCTTTCCCAATGGCTGCAGTGTCCGTGCCCAGATCCAGGTCGCGACTTTTACAACCACCCAGCCAAGGTCCCGAGCATCCTTTGCCAATTCGTGGAGATAGATCTTGGCGGTCTGGAGAAAGGTGTTGCCGAGGACTGCGAGTCGTACCCAGAGAGCGTTTAATGGGTTGTAGATACATTCAACCGCAAACCATTCTAGCGCAGAACGCGCAGGCTCCGCTACTGCTCGGATCCAAGTGATGAGCCTCACAGTGGCGATGCTGAGTGTCGAGTAACAAGAATTGGCGGCCCTTACGACTGCGGGGATGAGAGTGTTCTCGATTGAGGCTGCAATGGCTACAACGGCCGGGGATTTCGAAACTGCAACAGCGACGGCGTGGAGGGGTGCAAGGATTTTGTTCCGTACGAAATCCGGGCCGTGAAGAAAGGTCCAGGTTGTGAGTTCCTCGATAGCTCCCATCAGGAAGATACCCAGATATTCAGCGGCGAGGAGGGAGTGAAGGACAAGGAATCGGAGACCGGTCCAGAGGGCCTTGAGGGCGAGGTAGACGACAGCGAATGGGAGATAGGGTATCCATCTTGCCGAGAATTTGTCGGGCCATGGTGCTAAGGATTGGGAAGTGTCTGTGGTTGAAGACTCGGCAGTGGTGGCGGCGGTGTTGTTGGGTTGGGTGGTGTCGGGATTCTTGTCGCGTGATTGGTTTTGGAGGAGTAGCCGCTCAGCTCTCCATTGCGGGTATTCGCGAGCAAAGTAGAGGAAGACGAGGAGTGGTACTGAGAGGAGGAGCCAGCGGTGAGGGTGGTGTTCCGGCGGGTGTGAGTCCATGGCTGTGTGTGGAGAGTGAGTGTGCAGAGTGAGTTTGCAAGGAGAGGACGAAAAAAAAGAAAGAGATGTGGTTGAAGAGGCAAGTAGGGTTGATGAAGTGGGATCGATGAATCGATGAATCGATGGATGGATGGATGTGGATGGATGGATGTGGATGGATGGATGTGGATGGATGGATGTGGATGCGAATGCAGAGAGGAGAGAAGGAGAAGGAGGAAGGAGGAGGAGATTCAGCACGCTTTTTTAGTGGCAACAGCCTGCCAAGACTCCGCCTGAACCGTGCCCTCCCTCCGCGCTCCACGTTGGCTGCTCTCAGCCTTGGCTTCAGATCTTTTCATATGCCACCGCAGACCCGCCAAGAAGTCACTGCGCCAACCATATCGGGCGGCAAGGTTCTGTACTCTCTTTTTTTTAATTCCTTTAATTCTTTTAATTCCTTCCATGGACGATCCAAAGTGCCAAAGTGTGCGTTGACAAGCACGCCAAACGACCCCCCAGCTGCCGGGCCTCTTAAGTGGCAGGGTAGCACTAGGACCTATCACCCAAGCATTCAGGCAGTATGAATAGGATCGCCTTGCTCTATAACCCGTATCTTTTTTGGTATCCACCCCCTCTCCATCCGTGATACCTACGTCTATCTATTATGACGTAAAGGGACTTTAAGCACCAGCGTCGAAGAACTCGAGTATAGACAACCTGATAACCTTCTTACTCGCGTTTTGTGGATGTGTTGGTTTATATCCGTTTGTTTATTGTGCGTCAGATCGGGACCCTTACAAAACCCTCCTCCTATGTATCGCTCATTGCTCCATTGAAGCGGTCTCTTGAACAAAATGAAATGTAAATCGATAAATGTTCATTTCTGGGCAAAGTCAAATGGAAGAGGCGTTATATGCTTGTGAAGGTCCCATCTTGCTGACTGTACTTTCTGACATTGAGACGCTGTGCTCGCCAAACCACGCGAGCGACATCGGGTAGATCCTCTTTGGAGCAACTCAAAAGGCAGGTAAACTCCGCCGCCTATTTAGTTAAAAAATATTTTCTGTTTACATTTTGGTGGCACCAGTTATAGGAATGTGTCCGCCTTTACCCCGCCCTCCCTCTTCTTCTCACAACCACATCCCCATCTTCTCACCTCCACCTCCACTCCTCTTTGTCCCGCAACGGCCTCTCTTGAACGGAATCCCTGGCTCCCTGTACCTGTTCATCGTTGGAAACACCTCCCCTCCCCCCACTCCCGCACCGCCCGTCCTCCCTCACTCCTCTCTCGATATCCCATCATGTCCAACGAAATCACCTCCGCACCAGCACCGACAGAGGCCCCCGCCTACGAAGTCCGCTCCAGTCCAGCACACGACGACCTCTCCCACACTGCTGGCTCTCTCCCGACCCTTCAAGCGGTCTACGAAACCCTATTCACGAAGGACGGATGGCTCGGTGACTACGACTATGGCTTCCTCTGCATGCCCACGATCCCTTGCATGAACCGAAAGAGTGCTCGCCAGCCGCCCTTCTTTGGTCTCAAGACCAAGCTTCCAGCCTTGCTCGCCCTCGTCATGGGTAAGCCAAACTGCCTCCTTGAGAACTCATTATCTGAGAAACGATGGCTGTGTTTGCTGATACCACTTTGTATGCCTTTCGATATAACTGCGAAATAGGTTTCCAGCATGCGCTTGCAATGATTGCAGGAGTTGTGACCCCGGTCTTGATCATGTCGGGCCCCGGCACAGGAAACATGAACCTCGACACTGCGACCCGCTCTTACATGCTCTCGGCCTCGCTGATTTCGTCTGGAATTCTATCGCTTATTCAGATCACTCGCTTCAGGATCTTCAGCACAAAGTACTACATCGGCACTGGACTTTTGTCTGTCGTCGGCACTAGCTTCAACTTTGTGCCTACCTTTGGCGTAGGTGCCTTCTTCCAGCAGAGAGATTTATGTTGCTACTTTTCTGGATCAATGCATGAATCCCTTAGCACCTTTTGTTTCCCTTGACAAATAGGCCATGACCACTCGCATGTATCTGACGGGTCAGTGTCCCACAGGCCTTGCACCCGACGGCGTGACACCAGTACAGCTGCCATGTCCCGAGGCCTGGGGTGCGTTCCTCGGCACCTGTATGCTCTGCTCCCTCATCGAAATTCTTCTCTCCTTCCTCCCACCCAGGATCATGAAGAATCTCTTCCCACCAGTCGTCACCGGAGTCACCGTCTTCTTGATTGGCGCAAAGCTGATCGGAACAGGACTGACCCAATGGGCCGGTGGTTCCGGCCCCTGTAGCGCCATGCCCGCCGAGGGATTCTTTTCGGTCTGCCCGAATCTCGGCGCACCTAATGCAGCGCCCTGGGCTTCGCCTCAATGGATCGGACTTGGCTTCCTGGTGTTCATGACAATCATGTTTGTCGAGTTCTTTGGATCGCCTTTCATGCGCAACGCCCAGGTTGTCATTGGACTCGTTGTAGGATTGATTGTGGCAGCGGCAACTGGATACGCGGATGTATCGACATTGGATAGTGCCCCGACGGTGACATTTTTGTGGGTCAAGAACTTTTCAACGTTCCCCTTATCGATTTATGCGCCGGCCATTATTCCGCTTCTGGTCACTTATATCTTGACGATGGTAGAGGCTATTGGAGATGTCACGGCCTCGTGCGAGGTGTCGAGATTGGCGGTTGAGGGTCGGGAGTTCGAGTCGCGTATCCAGGGCGGTGTTTTGGCAGATGGATTGGGAGGCTTCTTATCTGCGGTCATGACCAACTCTCCCATGTCTGTCTTTGCCCAAAACAACGGTATCATTGCCTTGACTAGGTATGGTAGAATCTCTTCGTTCCTGGATTGCCTTTGTGCACCTCGCGCTCTTCTTTTTCTCATCCTTATTATCTATTTTTTTTTTGTAGATGTGCAAATGCTTCTGCAGGGTACATGTGCTGTCTGTTCCTGATTTTGATGGGTATCTTTTCAAAATTCGGCACCTTATTCCTCATGATTCCCGACTCTGTCCTCGGCGGCATGACCACCTTCTTGTTCGCCAACGTCGCCTCCTCCGGCATGCGTATCCTCGCCTTTTTGAAATGGACCCGTCGGGATCGCTTCATCGTCTCAGCCGCCATTTCCCTTGGCCTCGGTGTGTCGCTCATCCCCAACGCCCTCACGCACTTTGTCTCCTACACCGGCACCTCAACGGTTCTGCAGGGACTTGCGGACTCTGCAAACATTATTCTGTCCACTGGATTCTGTGTTGGCGCGATCATTGCGATTATTCTGAACCAGCTCTTGCCAGAGGACAGACCTGAGGCCAAGGAGGAAGAGATCGCGGAGGGAGTGCGCCAAGCGGACACAAAGATGGCTGCAAAGATCGCGGCTGAAATGGAAGAAGCTGCCAGTGGTGAAAAGGCGGATATGAAGCACTTGTAACCCAGGATGGAGAGCGCACGATTAAAATTTGTTTTTCTTTTCTTTTACAAGTAATACTTACCATTCCATCCATTACGCCGGCAAAAGCTTGAACAAAAAAAAAAAATGCCGAAAAAGCGCAAAAATGAAAGAATGATCTACGCAGGGGTCGAACCTGCAATCTCCTGATTCGTAGTCAGACGCCTTTCCATTGGGCCAGTAGACCTTTTCAGGTTAGAATGTTGCTTTCCAGTACATTTATATAGTCATGTTAGTTTACACTCGTCACGTGCCGTGACTGCTGACTTTAAAAACGCTTGTGGAGGCCCCATGGGCCCCAGGAATCGCGTCTGTAGGTGTTCTTTCAATTTAAAGACGTGCTAGATGTTAATTTCATAGTTTACGATGTATTTTAGCTAGAAGATCGCGTCAAATGCTTGATAAAATAAAACCCCCACACCAAAACCATACATTTCATTATCTATGATTTTATAACTGGCTGGCATTTCTCGCATATGTTATCAACACAGTGCTACTGCCGAAAATATTGTACCTTCTTAGTATTTATGTTCTGCCTCCGGCGACGCTCCAACAGTTGACAGGGCGTTACATGAAGATATGCAAAAGCAAGTCCAGGATGGCATCCACAACTCCCAACAGCGTCATGCACCACAATCGACTGTTTGCAGTTCGACACCTAGCTGACGTACAAGCAGAAGAGCACATCTCAACACTTTTTCTGCGTTTGAACGACAACAGCATAGTGGGACGGGCGAGTCGTGTTCGTTTATTCCAGCTCCAACAACGACAGTGCACCACCGTTTGTCCCACAAAGGCTCCAGAACGAGTGCAGGGCTTTAAGCACTGCTTGATCAGCCAGATATGCAAAATTATGGCGGACCGACAGATCACCTTCGACGTTACGATGGCATCGGAGATGGACCTTTCCCAGCATGCGATTACTATTGAGGATTGGATTGGTGATAGACTGACCGAAGAGATCAGAATAGGGCTTGGAGCTATTGGAGTATTTTTTGTTGATCAGATTCTGAACACTACTCACACAGAATTAGCAAGTTGGCAAACGTTTAGACAGCGGTTCAACGTGCGAACGGTAGCCTCTCCGCCTTGGTTCCAGGAATTGCAGGCGATCGTGCACGGGGGCGATTATGTCCAGGAAGCTACTGCACAATGGATTGATGAGCTACTGGAGGAATTACCATCCGATCTGGAAGAGCCACAGGCGCCAAATTGCTTGGACGAAGATGAGCAGCCCGCCGCTGTGCATCCAGCACCAGTTGACAATTTAGACAGGGCGATATCACCTCTACCTGTAGGGGACACTGCGACTGCCGACGATGACAGCGTGCCCGACGAAGCTGCGAGTGAGGAGGAAAGGTCCGAAGGCGGAGGAGATAACAATGCAGAACAACCGATGGATCAACCACCACTGGAGGAAGACAATGGAGAGCAGAACAACGGTTTGCTGTCGTCTCAGGAAATTCTCAACTTGGATCCGGAAACTGCGCTCTTCACACCGCGAGTCCAAGAGACGCTCAGCCAGCGTAGCGTAAGGAAGCAGGAATACATTCGACGTGCTATGGTAAACATGACAGGCAATCGACTGCGTAATCAAGACGACTTGGACCGTGCTTTCGACAGAGAAGAGCACAGACTCGATCAACAATGGATTAAACAGAAGCGGGCACAACTGAAAGTAGTACAGAGGCACCTTCGGCAACAAATGCAGCAGGCAGAACAGCAAACACGGGAACAACAGCGACAATTGGAAGAGGAGCGGCGGCGGGCAGAACAGCAAGAGAGTGACCGACAGCGGAAGCTGGAAGAGGAGCGGCAGCAGGAGAAGCAACAGCAGGAGGAGCAACGACGCCTGCGGGACATCGAGAGACGGGCTCGATACAGAGAAGAACGACGAAGACGACGCCATTTATATCGTAGATATATGAATGTGGATGCAGAGGCGTGTATAGACCACTTGCATGAGGATGCGCACAAGGCGGTGGACAATATGACGACACCTGTTCGCCAACCATTGCCGGCAGTATCAGATGAAATTGAGCGAGATCTACTGGGATTGGCGCTCCAGGTACCAACAATCCAGCAAATTCGGACAGCTAGGAGACGTTTACAAACACATCGAAGGCTTCACTTCTGCTCGGATGGGTCAGTGATTCACAACGGCACAGAGCAGGTCAGTGCAGCATTCGGAGTTGTCGTTTCTGTGGATGGTGGTCCCTACACAACGGCGTTCAGTGGACGGGTCGGGGGATACGCGTCGTCAACAATTGCAGAGATGTGTGGGCTCTTGGCAACAATTCTTATCAGCCCAAGGGAAGAGAACGTCGACATCTACATCGACAATCTCACAGTCGTCAACAATTTCAAGGAGTTGGTGCAGCAGCGGGATTCAGCAACAGCAAGGCAGCGATTGAGATCTGCAGATGCACAGTGGTGGGCGATGGTGCATTATGCCTTCTTGCAACAAGGACAAGGTATATCTGTGCATTGGGTACGAGGACATGCTGGACACCGTGGCAACGAGGCTGCAGACACTGTTGCCAAGGCAGCACATGGGATCGATACAGGACTATGGAGGCTAGACGCAACGCAGCACCATGATTTGAAATGCCACGCACAGTTTGCAACACACAGTGCAGACCTGGACTTGAGGAGGATACTGAAGCTGCAGTCCGCGGTACGGCACCATTATCAGTGGACATTGCAGCATCGAACGAGGACCTACATCAAGGATTGGCGGTCGGTAGCATGGGCGCCCACGCTGCGGATCTTACACGATAACAACCCACCAAAGCGCTTATACACCAGCCAGGAAGACTGTCGTTTACGTTCGCACAGGATCAAGAAGTTGCATGGAGATTTGCCGACATTGCAGGCGATGAAGAAACGACATCCAGATACCTACCAAACGGACATATGTCGTAGGTGTGAGAGGGAACCAGAGACGAACGATCATCTTTGGCGTTGTTCAGCTACCTTGTGCGACCAGCGACAAGAGTGGAGGGACGCGGTGGAGGAAGTGGAGTTGAATGGATATCGTGCATGGAGACAGGCAGTGCGAAAATGGGAACAGGAGAGAGAGGAGGCCGAACGGAAGGACAAGCCCTTCACTGCGACTTGTCCCAACTTCTCGGCAACAGGAACGAAGGCTATCTGGGAGTCAATGCAGTGGATTCAGGGGACGGCGGAAAGGCGAGGGACATATCGGGTTGCGGAAGGAGAGGAGCCGGAGAGTGAGGCAGATTGGGAGGTCAAGGACTTATACCGAGGTTTGGTGCCAACGGGACTCATTGAGACCTGGAAGCAGCTATTTACCACCACCAAGTGGATTGCGACGATCATGGTGACAAAGTTCGTGAGCAGGATCGAAGAGTTTGGCAGGACCAAGGTATGGAACAAACGATGCGAGGACACTGTCGCCTGGGAAAAGTCAGTTGGAATCACCTTCATGAGCAAACGCGCCGGAGGACGCAACGGTGATCGGGGACACCAACGTAGTGTTGGTGATTTCTCTGATTTGAAAGGGAGACGGTTACTTGCAGCGGAGATCCAGGAAGGTAGACGGACCGCGGATTATAGGGTGCTACAGCATTGCTTGGGGCGAGGGAAGTTGGACATAATGGAGGGGTTATTCGTGTATCGCGCAACAGGTCACGCAGGAGTTAGGTTAGGCTAGCTATGCGACATGGGTTATGAATTTGACGCCTCAAGCCAACATAGTTGGTAGGGGATGCGGCTCTGCCGTGCATGGAAGGCATCTATGGCTTCAAGGCCTTTGCGGACCATGCGTCTTGTGCTCATGGGGATTTATGTTAATAAAAAAAAAAAAAAAAAAAAAAAAAAAAAATTCTCTCCTCTCTTTCACTCATGAGGATTTATGTTAATAAAAAAAAAATTCTCTCCTCTCTTTCACTCTCCGCCTTGGCTCCAGGGCTTGCAGGTCATTGTGCACGGAGGTGATTATGTCCAGGGTGCTACTGCACAATGGATTGATGAGCTATTGGAGGAACTACTATGCTTATTGTCGCATATTCCAGTGTATTTTATTTAGTTTAAAAATGTACCTTAACCTCACTATTAGGTTTTATACAAAAAATACCCAATCGGTGTGGTGCGTGGAGCTACATCTTTTTCAATTTTCCAATAATATCTTATTTATTCAGAGTCAGAGTGACCTTTTCTAAGCAAGGCGGGATAAAGCAAGAGAGGGTGATATGGTTTCTAGGAAGCAAAGCCGGAGGAAGCGTAGGAGTGTATTCAAGTTGCTAGATGGGAATAAACGGATACAGTGCAATGTTTTACCCTTATATCTACTTACAGACAATATGTCAACGAGACAAGAGAGGGATCTTTATTTCCTGGGCAGACGGCCCCTTATAAAGCACTACCCGTCTGCACCACGTTAAGAGTACTTGTCTCTGCTCGTACGTACTACATAGGTCAATATAGTGCATACAGAACTATGGAATATATGTAGGTATCATATTTGTCTTTGTGCAATGATCGCACGCGTTGCCAAGTGTTGATCGGTCATGCCGTGGTACGCGACAGTCACGGTTTGTCTGAAATGCTCTTTGGGGTATTCGAGAGAATGGTCAACAAGTCAACCAAGTTCACTCCTGCCCACTTGCTCTACGGATTTGAGCTACGCACGCCCGCCATCTGGCAACCCGGCCCTGGTCGAGTCCTCGACGAGCCACTTGAGGAAACTGTTCACTACCGCATCCAAGAAATGAACGTAAATATTCAGGAGCTCCGAGAACAAGCAGCCGAAACCCCTAGTCGCAGTCAGGAACGTCAGTCAGCTCGGTATAACCTCACAGTCGTACCACGCGTTTACAACGGGAACAACTTGATGTTGCTTCGTGTCGAGCAGCCAACGTCGATCTCGCAGAGCGCCAAGTTCTCCCAGTTGTACGAAGGGCCTTACACCATCGTACGGCCTCTGCTAAACGGGATTTACCTCCTCAAGGACAGTGCTGGCGCCCAGGATATCGTCCATTTGGATCGACTAAAGCCATACAATGCGCATACGCAGATGATTCCCGAAGTAGTGTCTACGAGCAAGCCGTTGAAGCTGACGTTATGGCGGTTCCGGTTGAATTAGGGTGCGTGGACGATGCACCCAATTTTTCCTTTTCTTTTTACCTCATATTTCACCAGAGTCCAATGTATTTTTTTAGTTTAATAAGTGTACCTCCAGCTCACTATTAGATTTTATACAAATTCTCACTTATCTTCAATCCCAAAAATATCTATTTCGCCTTCCACATCCTACTTCGCCCATCATTTGGTCAATTTTCACAATTTTATTAGATCTATCTACTCTCACTACATGTACGTGCCGTACAATGTCTTTTAGATCCGTTGGAACCGCCTCAGTGCCCGCTCCGAGCCCCGCTTCTGTATAGAAAACGTGAAGGATATCATGAATAATAAAGCGGTTCCGAACACCCAGAGATATAGTACCCTTTGCGACTTGACTGTAGTTATTCCCTTCTTGCCCCCCTATTACCTCCACTCTGATCACTATCATCCTATCTAACCACCTTACCCTTTCTTACACTTACCTTACCTACCCTACTCGCTCATTGCCTTCCCCTATATATCTTGCCTTGATCCTGATTACCCGTAGCATGAAATGTTGCCTTCCAGAATTTTTTTTTTTTTTTTTATTGACGCCAGATCCTCCTCTCTTTCATAAAAAAAAAAAAAATAGAAAGTTTCATCAAGCGAGAGAATTTTTTGCTTCTTACGGTTTCTTGCTGCTTAAAGGAGGCGGTGCGGGAAGAAGGTAGAGTGTGTATTATTGCTTATTTTATTTTTGAAATGAATGATTTTTGGTATAGATGATATTAGTTCTGTAATTAGGATTACTACTCCTTCATGCTGCGGGCATAGCGGCCCTCGATACTCAGAACGGAAATCAGTTCGCGATGTGCCTCAACCTGATAAGGGACATAGGGTGTGTGCTCGCCATCCATGGAGACATAGCCTGTTCGCTCCTGTGGGGTCACACGGAATGCCTTGACCTTCATATAGCGGACCTATGTGGAGTAAGGTGGGCAAAAGAAAGAGAAGATCAGTTTCCGACACGCGATACATCTTTCTCCGGTGCGATTGCTGTTGATGTTTACTCACCTTCTCATTGTAAACGTGCTCACCAGTCTCGACACCAACCATGATCTTCAGTCCAGCAACGCGCCCAAGCCCCTTAGGGAACACTAAGAGATCGACCAGTCCATCGTTGGGTTGTGCTGCTGGGTGAGAGACAGATCCCTTTGAAATCCAGGGCAATTTAGCGCCAACCACAGTCGCGAAATGGTCCTTCTCCACGATCCAGCCATCCGATTCTTTGATCGGGTCCGTAACACGGCCATATCGATCCACGATAGTTGGATGGTTCCCGTCCAGCTCATCGTGCGTCTGATCTGCCCAGACTACAGGCTGACGTCGACGTTCATTGTACTGAGTCCTGATCTTTTCGATGCTGGTCTCCTCTGGAATGTAAGCGAGCTCGCATGGATATGTGACCTGGGACATTAGCTTGCTCAATGCAGACACCGTAAACCGAGCTTCGCCCATCCAACGCAAGTGTTCTGATCCCAAGTCTACATCCGCGATCAGGCCAAAGGACTGGAGGACGAACGAAAAGAACCTGTTATCGCCTTGAGTGACCGAGCACAGATCGACCGGCATAGCCCTTCCTTTGATGATGCCCAGGACAGCGTTGCCGACATGGCTTCCATGGTCCTCGCCTAGGAGAGAGAACGACAGGGCGTTTCCAGATCCTATGTTTAACGAAAATGCGGGTTGATTAATCCTAAATTCTTTTTGTGGTATGGACTAAGTGAAAAAAAGTCAATGTACCTCCAGGAATAGCCCCCAACGGAAGCTTGTGGGCTACGATGGCGTCGGGACGCTCCATGAGTCCATTGATGACCTCGTGCAGGACTCCATCACCACTGACCGAGACAATGGCGTCATATGCTTTAATGTCCAAATCTTTTGCAATCTCCTTGGCATGGTACCGGTGAGTTGTATCTACCATGTTCAAGGACCAAGTCACAGTTAGTCTCGAGTGAAGTTTTGAGTGGTATCCTGGACTAAAATCGAAAGAGAGGACTCACAGGTGAGGTCGTAGGTGCATGCTGCGGCTTTAAATAAGGGCTCCGCTGTATGTTCCCAGATCCTTTTGGCATGTCCTTGGCCACCAAATGGGTTCACCAAGACCTTAAAGTGTCGTCCTCTCTTAAGACCTAATGAAAAAGAATAGATAAGATTATTAAACCAAGAACAGGCATAAAAAGGCTAAGCTAAATGTGAATCCAGTAAAGTTTATAACTGACGCGTTCAGGCACGTACCTTTGTAGACATGAACCAGGACATTGAACTGCCATTCTGTTGCCAAGGCTCGGTCCTTAATTTGGAATTCGAATAGCTCCAGCCCAGCTTCCTTCTTGGGCCCGTGTCTGGATGTACAGGCCGAGATGATAAGGGAGTGCTCCTGCTCAATGGTGATGTTCAGGATCTCGACTGTCTTGATAGAACGAAGACCTAGATAGTTAGATATGGAAAAGACAAAAGGGGACGTATGAAATGTGAGCCGCTGAACGTGTGAGGAAGGACCACTGACATCTGGCTCCGCTTTCGATCATAATCCGCGCAATTAAAAACTCGCGTGCGAAAAATAAATTAAAAAAAAAATGTAAAACTGGTTTTATAAATGTACCACTTGGAGTAGGACCGCAGGGAAGACAACTGGCCGACTGCTTGGACTCTAATTTGATCGCCAAAACGGTAGAACGGTAACGAGGGTAAGTAGGGATGTTTTGGATACGCTGTATTATGTCGAGACAGACTAGCATCATACGGAATATATACCTTCGGCATCAGGGATATCAAATTCGAGAGACTGGCCAGTGTACTTGAGCTCGAGCTGGCAGTGGCCCTTGTTGACCTGGAGGATGAATGGGAAGGAGGACATGCCGCGTGGAGAAGATTGGACCGTGTAGTGAGAGGTAGGCGTAGAAAGTGATGAGCCAGGAACACTGCGTGGAGGAGAAGAATGAATGGAGTGGATGTGAGCGAGATGGAAGTGGGGTTGATGAGAGACGATGAGACGAAGGAAGGGCCGTGAAGGGAGAAAGAGAGAAAGGGAGAGTATGCTCTTGAGGGGAGGGGAACAAGCGGGCGGGCGAGGCAAAGAGGTGGTGGATAGAGAAAGAAAGGGCGTGAAAGGAACAAACCAGGCCAGACCGGGTTTGTTATCAAGAGTTCTGCCGCTCTCTTTCATCTCCAAACATACACGATTCATTTGAAACCTTCTTTTGTGTCCGTTGCTGAGCTCTCCCCCCTCAGTGGCTTCCCTTGCAGAGCGCAGGAACAGCCTTCTGCTTGCTTGACTTGCTTGACTTGCTTGACACAGGATCATCGATGCCATCGCACACTTGATCAAACTACGGTCACTACTCATCACATTCCTGCCTCCGCCAAACGCCCTCAATGCCGACCTATACCCCTGTGCCTTCCTCCTTCACTACTTTGTCCCACCGTGCCAAGGCTCTCTTCCTCTACAGACACATCCTCAGAGAGGGAGCAAAGTTCTTTGACGAGCGCACAAGGTACATACCCAGTTCATTATCAGCTAACCGGCATCGCAACCTCGTTAATCCATTGTTGTCTCTCAAGAGACTGATCGGTTCCCTCTAGCCGTTGGGTCAAATTTAGGGCCCAAGAGGCCTTTAGGAAGAATAAATATCAGGCAGACCGGGAAAGAGCCGAAAAATGCATGAGCGACGCGCGCAAAGTACAGTAGCAAAGATCCTCAGGCCTGTTTGTGAGTACTTTTTTTTATGTTACAACTTCACAAGCATAGCCGTGTCTGACATTGGCATTCGCTCTCCATTTTCGCAAGGCTCTTCGACTGCTTGAACGGGCTAATCAGGTGGACCTCAAGGCCTCGATGCGTCTCCTGAGACTATCATACGGAATCCTCGGCAAGGAGCGACGAGCACTACTCCAGCCTTTTCTGGACTCGGCCCGCCAACGCACCATGTCCCCCGAAAAGCTCTCCACTGCAATCTCACGCTCCACATCCAACGGCTCAAAGACAACTGCGATTTCTTCGTTATCAACACCTTTAGATTCAGCCTCATCTCAAGTGCATATTTCAACGATGCATCTTGCGGACGTGCTTTTGCAGGCAACCGAGCCACCAGAGCCATTGCATTATCACAATCCCAGGACTGTGCCACCCATTTTGTCGCCTCCAGTCGTATCACTCATTAAAAGTGTCACCGGGAAGAGCGTCGAGCCAACACTGCCGGAACCGTTGTTCAAGCCCTTGCATGGAAAACGAGAGGCGAATCTGCGATGGCGTTTCTTTACCAAACAGTTTGGGAAAATAACACCGCCTCTCCCTAGTGAGATTCGACAGGAAATGGAGTGGAAGTCGCGTGTTGGATTACCTGGATCAAGAAAAGACAGTGCATTGACAACTGGCACCTTACAATCCTCGACTAATTGGGATACATGGGAGCAGCGGATTCTGGACACAATCAGAGCATGGAACATGAATGGGGAGGAGCAAAAAGAGAAGCGCCATGAGACTGGGCGATTTCACCCCAGTATTGGCGGGAAACCTGCGAAACCTAATACATTGACGCCGAGACTTTACAGGAGGATGTGGCAACACCTGCTTGATGAAGTTCCGGTCATGGACGTCCATCTGAAAAGCCTAACATCTGGCTCAAATAAGTTACCTTCTGTACCACCATCAGCCAAGCCCACATTTTCGGTCTCAAAAAGTCCATTGTCGTATCAGGCACGGTCCACTGTCAACTTGAAGCTGCAGGCAGTCGTCAATAGTTTTGACCGGATAGGACTGAGCGAACAAAGTGCTCCAACAACAACAACAACAACAACAAAAAAGAACAGGAGTGATAGAGTTACGAACAATAAATCCACTGGGGAAAGTCTGTAGTCAATTGCATATCAACTGGCAACGCAGGGTATTATTATTTTTATTCGTGTAATATAACATATGTATGAGGGAGAAAAGAGGTACGACTTGCATTGATCACAATGACATTTAAACATCGACAGCAGCACGTGCAGGATCGACTCCTCCAATATCGCGACGTCCGTTCCTTGAGCCGGATTGATTTGCTCCTCCGTTGTATCCATACTGGAAGGTATTGATGACATGCTTTCCTGCGTTCAGAACATCCTCTGAGAATTCCACCTCCTGTTTAATAGAGACAATGGATAAAAAATAAGGCAGATTAGTTTCTGGACAACAGCATGAAAATGCTCAAAATTAAAAAAGAAAAGAAAAAGACATACACGCTTGTCCGCTAACTTGGGTCCCAAAATCTAAATGTCCAATGCAGGATGAGAGCACGCCATGGTTGTGTTAGTGAGAGCCGAAAATATCTTCAACTAACCAGCCAGTCAGCAAGAAAAAGAAGAAAAATCCTTCCAAAAACAGAGTTCTTACGGGGACATCGCATCCGGACTTGGCGGCATGGCGCGACAGTGAATAGATGGCATCGACGACCTGTCCTGGGTTCTTGTTCTCATAGAGATCGATCGTCTGAAACAGATCATGCTTGGGGCAGCCCAACTTCTCGCATCCCTGCAAGAACTTGGCAATGTTCTCCATCTAAGTTACAAAGATTAAAGGAAAAAAGTAAAGAAAAGTTAGATCAGCGAGAAAAGACAATGTACGTTATAACAAATGATCCACTCAAAGAGTGCTTACATGAACAAAGGGCATCTTGGAGGGCTTAATCTTGACAAATCCAGGGATGAGGACGTTTATCAGTCTGGTTTCAGTGATAAACAAAAGAGCAGGAGGCGATGTGTTAACAAAATTGACACTTTTCAGTCGACTGCCATTCCTAACAGGCCCTTGTTCGAGATTGAACGTACTTGCAGAGGATAACGCCGTCTTTGAGAGAGAGCTGGAACTCTGGGTAAGGAAATGGCTCCCCAACAACGGTCTCAATCCACTGACGTGCCTATAACGATGGATACACAAATAATAATGACGTTCATTAGCTCTGTACGCTCTTATCCCTGTCCATGTTGCACGGATGGAGACTCCCCAACACCAGAAAAATGCGTTTCATCCTGTCAGAAGCGTACCTCGGCCTCTCGTTGAACATCGTACTTGGCAGCCAGCTTGGCGGCGATTTCTATTTGCAAGAATGGGGTGGGCAGATTAGTCTTCGAACTCATATACACGCAGTGAACCAGGACAGTGCGATGACCCCATCCAGGACTGATGAGATGATTGAATGGTCGACCATGAGGCACTCAAACTTTAAATATATCAATGGTGATATAAAAGAGATCCGGAGTAATTATTCAGTTGTTATTACCTCTGTCGATACCGTATTTTCTTGGGGCGCTCATGGTTGCCGTGATGAGTGTAGATGGGATGGAAAGAGGTTGATGAAAGTTGATGAGTTCAACGGCTCTTTTTGGTGCTTTGCCATGGTCCAGTCCACATCACGTGTGACGCACACTTGGTTTGCTCAGGGCACCTTTTTTAATTAACTGTTGACCCAATAGCTTTCGGACCCATGCTGATGCAAATTAGACGTAGCAGGAGTAGAAACAAAAGAAATCCCCGCCCTGTCATGGAGGCAGATAGCTATTTATACGACTGCTAGATGCTGAGCGAAAATGATCGGCAACCATACGGAGGAAAAAAAAAAAAAGAAGAGTGAGCCCTGGTCTTCCCAGTAGGATGGGACCCTCAATGGTTCATGAAACATGGCATTGTAAAAGAAGATTTGAACACAGTGGAGTACCATCGTCAGCTGCTGATTGAGAACCGGTCAAAGCGATATGTGTACACTTTTGCTATGCACCTCACAACAAAAACATGGTGGGCATGATAACGAAGTATCTTTTGATATCTTTGAGGAGGACCACGGTCGGAAGCAGAGATGTCTTTAATGGGGCGCTCAGCCCAGAATGAATTCAAGGTTTGCGATAACTCCTCGACGCAACTCTAAGTAAGGCGCGATGGAATGAATACCTTTGTAGGCAAGAATAAAAATGAAAGTAACCGAATGCATGTGGTCGATATTGCTACGCACAGCATGGTGCAACGACCACATTTCCTATTTCTCGTTCATTCCTCCTCACAGTTTTGATACCTATTGCCGCAGCATTGCCAAATCGAATCCAGCGTTAGCAAGAGTCTCAAGCGAGCGAGGGAGAAATCAGATGAGACGCGTCTCTAGACGTCTTTAGAAAATGGAGAAAAAATGGGTCAAGCAATGCTCGGTAAATCATGAGGTGAATGAAGTATGTGGTGGTTGTTCGCTTTAAAGTGGTTTTTTGCGTAGAACAGGCTGACTGATGTTGTATTACCCATTCCCGGAATAAAGAGAGTCTATCCCGCTAATTGATGGTTACACAGCGCCACAAATGGCACCCGAAGCGACGGAGGACGCATGTCGTTCTTCTTGTTGTTCTTTGTTCTGGATGTGGAGGAGGGCGCACTGTAGTCTAAACGTTTTGCTGACTACCGCTTCGACCTGGACGAACTTTCTTGGTGTGTGCAGGTGTAACTCCTCTTTTTTCTCGCCCTTCCCCTCTTCCACACCTTTCCTTTGCATGTCTCCATCCTCCTCTTCCTTCTCCAACCATTTCACCAACCTGCCGCGTTTCCCTTCATCTTTCGCTTTAGCTCATCCCTCTCCTGCAACAATGAATTCGTATGTCCTGTTTGCCACCAAATTTAATCCAAGTTGACATGTAAACTGTACCTGTCAGATGGTGGGTTGCTTTTACTGACTGCCCCCTTCTTCCCCATGCCTCTTCTCTTTTACTCCAGCTTCGAATTCGACTTGCATTCCCAGATCCTGTCGAGCCTTGCTTCGGCCCTCGCAAAGGACTCGACAACATCCACTGACGAAGTGCACAGGCTGCTCAGGGCTGGTCCCTCCCTGCGCTCTTCTACTCAGCCATCAACACCCAAACCACAGCCCAATGGAACCACAGCAGATGCAGTTACAGATGCAGTTACAGCCGCAGCTGCCACTGCCGACAGTATCCTCACCGAAGGAGGACTCATGGTAACCAGTGCTTCTTCACTGCTGGGCGCCGTTTATTTTTTGCTGATGTAGAAACCAAATGTTGCCATTTAACACAAGGCTCTCTTCCGCCCGATACCAATCAGACTATGCGTCACCAGCATGCCCTTATGGCCCAAGCAAAATTCGCAGCCGAGTCCTCGGGCCAGTTCGACCATGAACTCATCCCTCGCCTGAGCGGATACCTTCATTCGTTGCCAAACTACAAGTTTGGTGATGGATACGGCCTTCGAGGTATATACTGCTGAGAAATGTGCTCAATTGAATGTTGAATGTCTTAATGCCATCCTCCAAATACTGACACAGAGATACTTCGCTCAGGCAAATCCCCCGCCGACAGTCTGACCTTCAGTCTTGTTACGCATCTCCTCACAATCGCAAGCAAGAGACCCACTGGGCGTCAAGAGATCCTCGACCCCATCTGGGCCTATCTCGATAAACTGTCCGCCCTGGTGAAGTCTGATAATGGCACGTGCAGGAAAAAGAAGGCAACTCTTTGTCAAATTAAACCATATGCATGCGACCGTCGCTAATCCCATTCACTTTCATGTGTACATTTGTATTTGCATTCTTGGTGCCACAACACTACAGCTGCCAAAGTGTGCGAATTTGTTCTGCCTTCTTTAAATGGCCTTTTGACGGCTCTCGAGACCTCATCGTTTGAGTTTGAAACTCGCGACTTTGCGGCCCTTGTTTCTCATTCGGGCGCGTTCCTCTCGAACGAGACTTCCGATCACATCAGGAAGGCCACAGACACTATCAAGCAGGACAGTGCCAACTCCTATGCCCGGCGAGTCCTCGTCAAGTATGCCCGCGAAAGCATAATCTTGAGCTCCAACCGAGTTGTTCTGCAGGTGCTCACCGTGAAGCGAAACATGATCGCTCGTCTGATCAAATCCTCTTCGGCCAAGGCGCAGGATACCAACGGAGACGTTGAAGAGCTGGGAGTCAAAACAAGACGACACATGCCCGAGTACAGCTGTGACGATGAGGAGCCGACCATCGCCCGCACTGAGATCAAACACCAGATCCCCAGCCCAGCGTCGTTTGATGAAATCTGGACATCGCTTCTGTCAGCGCCTGCCAAGAAGATTGCAGCTGGTGCAGCACAGTTCGACTTGACAAAGGTCATGCGTGCAGAGTACATCATGTCTATGCAGTTCTTTGCCGACATGCGCGTATTTGCCAACGACCTGCTCGCTACAGGAAATGTGTCGCATGAGTTTTACTACAGTGAGATCATGGGCATTTCTCTGGTAAAGAACAGCTCTTCATGTTGAATGGCAACGCCAAAAGATATGGCTGGGAAATATTTATATATCATCACTACTTCTTCTTGATGTCTTTAGCAACTAGCCTCGTTGGCAAGCGTGTACATTCACGAGCTGGATGATGTCCTTCCTTCCCACATCTCTAACTGCTTATTCAATCAAGTTCGTAAGGAGGAATTCTGGATCCATGCTGCAGCTCTCGACTGTTCTGCCGTCTTGGGCATTAAGTAAATGGGTGATCAATGCGAGCGAAAGGCAACGATTTTTGTCAAAAGCACCAAATATTGTCTTACTGACTCGCCATTTTATGGTTGCAGCTTTAACGATGCTAGTAAAGAAATGACTGCACTACTGCAGCAATTCTTGACAACTGCCTCGCCAGTCTTTGAAGGGCGTGATGCTGCTCCTGTGCAGCAACGCGCGGTCGAGCGCTTGGCCCAGACGCTGAAGCAATCTACAGTCGGAGACGAGGTTGCCATGTCGACCGTCTACGCCTTGCTCAACATCCTCTACAGTCACAACTCCAAAGACAAGCTGCTTGCCCATGAACAGTCGATTATCATTCAGGAGAACGTGATTGCCGCGATTGCCAAAATTGCTTACATCTACGAAAGCGAAAAGGTAAGGCCTCCTTCTATAGAATGGTTATAAATACGAGGTACCCGTGTTCATTTGTTAACACAAGCGTTTTCATACTTCACTTAGGTCACTTCCTTGGTCCTGTCGATGATGGCTCAACAACTTCGCCACCACAGCACCCGTCTGGACTGTGTCATTATTCAGCGCTTGACAGACATGGCCCTTACAGGATCCCTGGCATCCTTTAACGATATCACACAGATTTTCTCTGGACTCGCAAAGCAATCCACTGCATCTCACCACAAAGTGGCCCCCAAGGAACTGTCTGAAACCGTAAGTGGGCAATCTGAACAATCCAAATAACAGAAAAGCATGGCTGTATGAGCAAAAATATAACCTGGGCTTGCGATCTATTAGGTATATGCCAGCCTGCGGCGTCTGGCAACGACAATTAATACGCGACCTGAGTTCTATCATTCGTACATGGTGACTCTGCTCAAGCTCTTTGTCGACCAAGGAATCCATATCCAGTCCGCCAATCATTCGCACAAGCGTGGACATAACAAAGTTAACACACTCTCTGCGATTCTCGGAGGCCTCCTGCCAATTTTGGCAGAACTTCTCTCGCATAAGGACTTTGAGCCCCATGTCACTCCAACAAATGAGGACGTCAAGCTTTTCCGCGATGTCTGGTTCCACTGCATTCTATTCGAGTTCGTGAAGGACTCTCATTGGTCGAAGGAATGGAACAGCGCCATGTTGACTATCGCACGCAAGACCCCAGCGTTTGTCTCTGGCGACCATGGCGCAAACGCCTACTTGGAAGGAGATCTGGAGTACAATACTGTGCTTCCGAGAGGCACCATGGATAGCGAGAAGGCGGCGATGAGAGCCACTTTGACCAGTTACTTGCCTGGACAGGCTATGGTTATCAAGAATCTGAGCTCCGCCAAGGTGGTTTTCCTGCTATCGGTTTATCACGTCGAGACCATGCGTAGCCGTCAAGGAAATTGCTCGCATATCCTACAATACTTCATGAACACTGGTGTCAACGACGGAGGACTCTCCGCCTGCCTAGAGTCGATTGCGGACCAAGTTGTCAGCGTGTTCATTTCCGAGACCCAGAGCCTGGCACTCGCCCATAGCTTGGACGAGGACGTTCGAGAGCAGGTCCGTAACTTGGTCGTGGGCTGCGCTCATCGCCTGAAGCGAGTAAGCACCTTGGCTACCAAGTGGGTCCACCGTATGATCGCTTCCTTCCCACAGCTCATGTGCGACAAGAGCCTGTTGACCTTGGTGCTTGAGGTGAGCGAGCTCCTCTGGTTGAGCTGCGAGAACGAACTGACAGATGAGTACTGCCCCATCTACAGCTTCACATCGTCCATGGTCGACGTCACCGTCAGCCTTCCAGATTCTTATCCTTACCGGAGAGAGGTGTTAACCAAGTTTGTGGACCTAGCCCGCAAGTGGATTGCTGCTGCTATGGCCAACTCACCTCAAGAAGTCGATGCCCTGCTACAGAATTACCTTGCTGAATCTGAAAAGATTCATACAGGAATCAGTCGTGTTCACATGGGCCGAACCCTTGCTGCTCGCGCAGGCAAGGATCTCGTCAAAAACCATAACAGCTTCGACACTCTTGCCAACATCCCTTCAGCCTTGATCGACAATTCGTCTGTCTTCTTCCAGGAATTTTCAGCTCGTCGCCGGTACCAGGGAGAGATTGGAGGTATGGAGACCTTCTCTGCAGCGTTTACGCCCCAGTCTGGCTCAGTCATCAAGAGCCAGCTACCTGCCCTCCGTGAAAATCTCCGGACCATGCTGCAGAAGGTCAAGGACGACCAGTTTATCCCCAACAAGGACCTTGCGAACGCCCTTCACCGCGCTGTCAGTGCGTTGGTGACCCTAGACAAGGGTGAGGAGGATCTGGTCAAGATGGTCGTCTGGATTCCTATTTACTTGTTCACCCCTGACAGCATGAAGATCGGTACATCTGTCTGGAACTGGTTGATCACGGAGAAGCCTGCTGTGGAAAAGCGACTCATGTCTGAGGTTGCGTCTGGCTGGGAATGGGCTTTCCAGCACCAAAAGGGTCTCTTCTCCTCCTTGCTCAACTCTGAGGATCCCTTCCGCGTGCGCATGGAATATGCCCCAACCGACAAGAAGGCACGCCAGAAGAGCTACAAGATCGCGTCGTACCTGTTTGCACCCCATACTATTTGGATCGAGTTTCTCTCAAGTCGGTTCCAGGCAACCCGCTACAGAAACCGTGATATGGTCGACATTTTTACGCGCCTGCTTCAACTGACTTTCGGAAATGAGCACAGGATGAGTACTCATCCCTTGGCAAGAGAGGGTCGCTTCCTGCTCCTTATCCTCGGTCTTCAGCTGCTTCAGAGCAACAATATGGAGGCATTGATTGAGTACAAGCTCCGTTCTGTGCTGTATCTCTCGGCCTTGTCTTGGTTTGAACTCTCTCCTCGATGGTCCTTTGGAGGCAATAAGATGCTAAGCAAGACCGAGACTCGTATCATGAAGGAGTTTGGTGTCGCGCTCGAAAAAGACAAGATTTTGCTGGACACCATCTTATCGAGTATTCAGGCAGGAGCTAGTGGTGCTGACTACATTTTCACAGAAAAATTGACCCGCGATGCCATTGTTCGCAAGCACACTCAGTGTCGTCGTCTCTTGTCGCTGCTAACCGAGAACGAACTGAGCCGATTGGGTGTCTGGAGCACGCCTTTGGTCCTGAACGGTGCCATCTCCGTGGTGAATACCCAGGAGAAGAGTTTCTCGGAGGAGGCATGGCGCACCATGGTTCGATTCGCATGGAGCGTCTCGCCTAGCCTTGCCCTCCAGTTGATGACCCGTTTCAAGAACAGCGCCATCCCTAGCGAAATCGGCCGACTTTTGGCCAGCAACCCCTTTGCGGCGGTCCAAGACGCGGATGCGATCCAGATCTTGTTGGGCGAGGGTACGTTCCGCTACACTTCCGCGCAACTCAAGTATCTTCTGTTCTGGCAGCCAGTTCCGTCTATCACGGCCATTTCGTACTTCCAGCCTGCGTTCCACAACAATCCTATGGTTTTGCAGTATGCAATGCGCTCGCTGGAGCACTCTCCAGTCGAGGTAGTCTTCTTTTACGTCCCCCAGATTGTACAGGCGCTTCGACATGATGATCTGGGCTATGTTGAAAAGTACATTATGAGAGCAGCGCGCGTCTCGCAGCTGTTTGCCCATCAGATTATCTGGAACATGAAGGCCAACATGTACAAGGACAACAAGTGCGAGGTCCCTGATGCACTCAAGCCCACGCTCGACAGGATCATCGACAATATCGTGAACGGACTTTCGGGTGAGGATAAAAGCTTTTATGAGCGCGAATTTGCCTTCTTCAACCAGGTTACATCGATCTCAGGAACGCTGATGCCTTTGGTCAAGAGACCCAAGCCAGAGAAGAAAAAGAAAATTGACGAGGAAATGGCCAAGATTGTGGTCGATGTCGGGGTATACCTGCCCAGTAACCCCGAGGGTGTTGTGGTCGATATTGACAAGCACTCGGGACGACCGCTGCAGAGTCACGCCAAGACGCCCTTCATGGCCACGTTCAAGGTCCGCAAGACTCGTGAAGAGTCCGCCCTTGACAAGGCAATCATGAAGAGATCTGAGGAGGAAGAAAAAGAGGATGTCCCGAAGACTTATGATGTCTGGCAATCGGCTATTTTCAAGGTCGGAGATGACTGTCGTCAGGATGTGCTGGCGATCCAGCTGATCGCGGTCTTTAAGAACATCTTCACCAACGTTGGACTAGATCTATATCTTTTCCCCTACCGCATTGTTGCCACGGCACCCGGATGCGGTATGATCGATGTGATCCCCAACTCGATCTCGCGCGATCAGCTCGGTCGCGAGAAGGTGAATAACCTGCAGGACTACTTCGTGACCAAGTACGGTGGTGTAGACTCGATCAAGTACCAGATGGCGCGTAACAACTTCATCCAGTCCGTGGCCTCGTACAGTGTGATCTCGTACCTGCTCCAGTTCAAGGATCGTCATAACGGTAACATCATGATCGACGACGAGGGCCATGTTATCCATATCGATTTCGGATTTATCCTCGACATCTCACCCGGAGGTAACATCAACTTCGAGTCGTCACCGTTTAAGCTGACGTCGGAGATGATCCAGATCATGGGATCGAGTGTTGAGGATCAGGGATACCGATGGTTCTGTGAGTTGTGCGTCAAAGCTTTCTTGGCGTCGCGTCCATATGCGGAACAGATCATCCAGCTGGTCGCGCTGATGCTCGAGTCTGGATTGCCTTGCTTCCGCGGTGAGACCATTAAGCGCATGCGATCGAGATTCCAGTTGGATCGATCGGAGAGATCTGCGGCGGAGTTTATCTTGGAGCGCGTGGATGAGTCGTACCTGAACAAGCGCACGGTGCTTTATGATTCCTTCCAGAAGGCGACCAATGGCATTCCTTATTAATGAAATCCCCTTAATGAAACCGCAATGTCGGTTTTTGAAGACTGACTTTTATGAATGAACACAGAAATAAATAAAAAAAAGGTTGCGAGTATGAAAGTATGAATGATGTGTGCATTAGATATATTTTATTCCGTTGTTGACGCGCAACTAATTAAACTTATTCTGTTGGACGCGACAGCAATCAAACGTTCGCGCTGCAAACATGGCAACTCGATCCTATCATAGGGATGGGACCAGGACCAGTGCTGTGGATATGGCCAACCATGGTGCCCAGAATGATTCTCTACTGGAGATCACCACTGCCGCACACACACGTTGTGGTATATGTCTATCGATTGATCACCATTCATTCAAGGAGCCACTACAAACAGCTTTTTTTTTTGTGCAATTCTATCGCTTTCACGCACCGGTCTTTTTTGTTTCCATACTTTCTTCTGCATCCAACTCCTCATCCGTACGCGTACATGACGCGCACATTTATTTATCACAAAAGAAGGAATCCAGCATCGACGCTCAATGTCTGAGGGATAGACGCCTGGATGACATCCTTGCCAGCATTGTATGTATGTATGTATGTATGTATGTATGTATGTATGTATGTATGTATGTATGTATGTATGTATGTATGTATGTATGTGTGGTTTATGCCAGGTCGGAATTATGGGATCCTCGTCTTTAAAGATAGTAAGTACATGGGTCATCGGTCTATTGAATGAAAGTCAGAGTAGGGCTTGCCAGAGTGCTCTGCCCTTCGGTTGCGTCTTTGGGCTGAGGGATCGATGTGCTTGGCAAAAAACTAAAATGGGCTATGGGCGTCTAACAATTTTTTTTTTTTTTTTTTTGGGTAAAAAAGAGATCTGGTATGCATCTGCTCTTCGCCTAATTCTCATCTCACCGATCGACATGCAAACGAACGAGCAAGGGGATGAACCGAGCTACGAGGTTGGGCAGGAGCAGTTAGATGCTGTTGACCGGATGCTTGAGGAACTTGATCTGGATGAGCGATTCGACAGAGGTAACGCCGGCATCGTGGCAGTGGCCAGCACTGTTCTCGCCAGCAAGCTTTTACGCATCGCCAATACTGAGGGGTGGTTTTTTTTTTTTTTTTGCATAGTACCGGCCGCATTCCGGATAGTGGAACGTTTTGAGCAACTTCAGCAACTTCAGCAGGAGCAACTTCAGCGGGATCTCAATGGCGAGCAATCGCACGGTATGATGGACGACAATACCATTAATGGATACAATGGCGAGCAAGAGCGGCATAGAGACGCGAATGGTGGCACGGGACCAGAGACGAGTTTAGACTCGGGAGAAAGTGACGAGGATGATGCGGAGCCCTTTGGGTACATCCCACTTGACCAAGGAAACAGCATCGACATGGATGAGGACGATAACAGCGAAGATGACCAAGAATGCGAGGACGCAGGTTACGGTCAGATGTTTAGCGACGGAGAGGGCGATCAGGACGACTTCCAGGACGATGACGATGACGATGAGAGTCAAGGATACGACGGGTATCTTCGCACGGCTGGCCGCGATGGAATAATACCTGTACCGGTGATCCCACAGGCGGTCGAGATTGAACTGGAGGACGATGAACGGGCGGTAGAAGAGATCCCAGAAGAGGATCTGAAGACGATTGCGATGGTGATGAAGTCGTTCTCGCTACCGGCTCCCGACTGGGCAAAGTCGATTCCGGAGGAACGTTGGCTGCCGAGGGTTGTGCAGCAAGCTGAGGCTGGCAGGACGCCGTCTTCCTCAGGAGCTGGATCCAGCTCTGGACAGTCTCTCGATGGAGCAGAACCGCTGCCATAGACGGCATGTAGTGTCCATCACGCACAGGATAAAAATACAATCAACATTCCCCCTCTGACAAATGTGTATTTGGTGGCAACCAGTGATGGAGCTCCTGATTTGAAGGCCGCATTCTGAGTTATTTTGTTTGTGCGTCCGTCTGGATGTTGTTTTTGCCGGCTTCCCGTCCCAAGGCAGATACGTTTACTCGCATGCAGAGCTTGAACTATTTTATTTTATCGCTCGTTGTCCTGCCCTTGAGGGCCCATCCTTGGTCATGCTCAACGTTATTTTTTTTTATCCTTTGATCCCTACCACTGGCTGGCTCAAGTGAGCGATTTTCCTAAAAAAGCGTTTTTTTCCTTTTCCTTTTCCTTTTTTTTTAAAATAGCCTGCGAGGGCGAGAGCGGGTACCGTTGAGATACCTGAAGAGCTAGTTAGCTTCAACCATGCTCTGGGAATACATCTGGGTAACATCCGGATGAGATTCGCTTAAGGCCGCGCGATGAACGACGATGGCAGCAGCAGAGAAGGAGGAATATTCTGCTTCATTCGCTTCATTCCCTTCATTCCCTTCATTCCCATTTATAGTATCGGCCGTCCATTATGTCTCGCTCGGTGACAACAAAGGCAGCGGGTCGGTCTGAGTGTCTTATGAATGTCTGCGCAAATGGATTTGCCGTGACGAGCACTTTCATTCGCTGCCAGCTGTTGGTATTCCTGGCGGGGTGTCGGGATGCCAGCGACCACGGACTGGGATTGGGGGACCAGAAAGAGAGTTTTTTTTTCTTTTGCTTTTTGCGTGGCAGAGGAGGGTGAACTCTGTAGCACCGGGATTACCGACTATCCGTGTGCCATCATCAGGACAGCCATAAGCACGACCATGGCCAGGACGCTCATGCGTGCAGGCAAGTCCGGTGCATTGCTGCCAAAGGCGGCTCTCCCAGCTCATCCCAAAAAAAAGAAAAAAAACGCAGCGCGAACCACCAAACCTTATTCATTTTACTCATAAAGGGCGTTCATTTCCTCTTTCACACCCACTCGCTACTCTCTTTACTTCGCTCCCCTCCTCCTTCGAACCGGGTCTATTCTCATCAGCTCTCGTCTCTCGTTCAAAAATACATTCCGCCGCTCTGTGTATCCTGTTCTTCGCACACCTCGCCTTTCTCTTTCTTCTCTTACATATCCATCCTCCACCATTCCACCCTCAAACAGCACTCCCTTCACCGCCTACCCCACAGTTTCACCATGCAGGCATTGACACCACTCCTCTTCTCCATGCTGTTCCCGCGCTTCAGCACCAAGACCACAACCGACAGGGACCCCAACTTTGAGGGCGACTATTCGCACGAGTCCTTGCTCTCGTTCCAGGATGGTCATGCGGTCTACGAACAACGCCATAGCCAGGAACTTGCTCCCGTCAAGACTCGTCGGCATCGCAGCACCGGTGCAGATGGCATCCGTCGCAGTGCGTCAGACCCCACTCCCAATAGTAGTCTCAACCGCAGTAACACATTCCCTCCAAGCCGCAGGACGGGTCGTCCAAAGCGCCTCTCGCTTGATCATGCAGCATTCATGGCAACCTATCCCATGCTCGATGGACTGGGCGACACTAGCAATCGCCAAACGAGCAATGCTTTCGCTTCAAGATCCTCGACGGTGCGCAAACAGCGTTCGCAAGATACGATGTCTGCATCGCGGCCGTCGATTTCTTCGATCTCTTCGATGGTCTCGGATGCTTCGTCTTCGTCTTCGTTGTCGTCTGCTTCTCCAGTCCAAGAACCCCTCACGCCCACGACCAATTCACCAAACTATCGCAAGAGCTTGAAGATGGATCAGTCTGGAAAGTCGTCCGCCAAGGACCTGATCAACCTTCACAGCTTTGACGAGAGCATGGGACAGGTGTGCGTCTCCCCACAATCAAACAACTTTTTCGAGGAGGCAGGTCTTCACCATCATCAACAACACCAGAGCAACGTCGTACCAGGATCGATAACGGGCCACAAGGCTGTTGTCGGAGCGCGTGGTCAGAGACAACTCATTGCGCATTAGTTGCACAATACACGCAGACAGAAATACGGTTCTCGGCATGGGCTAAAACGGATAGGGGCTGTCGCTTGTCTTTTACATGACCAATGTAAATTGGCGCGGGCTCGACGCTGCGCTGTAATTCTCGGCACCCAAATTTCAGCTGTGTATGCATGCACTTTATTTTTACTCTTTACAGTCGTTGAGAGTCTCTCTATCCGGTGTCGATTGAGCCTCTCCTTGGCATTCTTGGCAAACCCGGGTATCCTCTAGCAAGGGACCAGAAAGCCATGCTCCTCATTGTCCTTGTACCATAGTTCCCTTATACCCTCTCCTAACACACTCTTCTGGCACGCATTCCAGCACGTTTTTTTCTTACTTCCGTGTGCCTCTCTTTTAGGTTTGGTTTGCCATACTCTAATTCTCATTCCCACTCCCCCCCCTTCCTTCTGTACGTGCCTCTCACTCCGTGCTTTTTCTCGATCCTTTACTCCCTTTTTTTAGGCCATGTACTTTTATTTCGTTTCCATTCTAGACTACAATGCTTCCTCGTAATAAACATAATAATAACAAAAACAACAGCATCGGCCGCATGAACTGAATGAAGACTGAAAGTCATAAAGGATTCCATGTACGCTTATTTGTCAACTATGGTGCGTAGTTCTTGTGTGTAACGAAGAGAAACTACTCTAGAAACGTCGTACAACAGCCGCGATGTACTTATGATTCTATGATTCTCATGAACGCGTGTTTCTATGCCGCCTATATTCTGATCATGATTTCCAACTGTATAATGATTCTCTAGATGGCAACTATTGCCATCACAGCACCTTCACCATGTTTCCCTTCTTTGTGTGGATATAGTAAAAAGCACCAAGGCGAGGTCGTGTGGAAACTGTCCATAATGAACCTTCTCTACATGATCCATGGATCTGCCTGCTACCACGGCTCATTTCCACCGTCTGAGGATTACCTGCAAAAAAAAAAAAAAAAAAAAAAAGTCTTTTTTCAGCTTGCAATATCCTTTTGTTCCTCAGCATCTTCCAACACCAAGAACATTGCCCTTTACAACTACGCATACACACACTATCAACCTCTCCTCATGAAACCAACAAGGTCGAGGAGTGAGGAGGAGTTGGAAGAAGAGGAGGGAGCCACTTGGCCAAGTGGTACTGCTAGGGAATCTGACGTCTCGATACCCCCATCCATAGCGACAAGGACAGCATATCCACAAACCGACTCGGACCGAACAGAAACGAGCTCTAGCAATGGGTTTGATAGCCAAGAGTTCGGCGTCACATTGTTCGAACTGTACACCTATGTCCCTTCCTCCAGTGAGGATAATGATGTGAGCAGTGTCGGGGCCGAAACTGAGGCTGAAAACGATTTTAGAGAACCGACTGACGACGCCGTCATAGAAAGAGTTCAAGGAGAAGGTGCTGCAGAGACTCCGCCCATTATTGTCATCCATACCGTCGAGGAGACATCGGTTCTAGGAACTGATCTTCACATGAGAGCCGAGGTGACCGTTACAACCGTCTGCAAGGAGGAAATAACGGAGCAACGTGAATCTCAGGACGGAGAAACAGATCTTATTGGACCACATCAACCGTTTGTAGAATCACGGAGTTCGACAACCAGCAGCGTGCAGCTCCGACAGCAACAGCGTCGGTTCGCAAAGGTCCCGGTCGTGTCTGAATATTCAAATCCGAAATACGCAGAGTTGGATGTAGATGAATCGGTCGAATGTGGGCAGGAGAGGTCATCGAGGGGGAGTAGATCGTCCTTGCAAGGTGCGGCTTTGGATCAAGAACTTGACTTGGACATGGCAAGGCGTCGTATACGTGGTAGAACTGATGAAAATGAGGATAGGAGTGTCCGAGGCGGCTCTGCATCTTCTCAGTCCATTCCCTCGCGCCGAGAAGGCGATGGTGTTGAAGGGAATCGAGATGGAGGCCGCAAGCAAGGAGAACAAGAGGAGGATATATGGACGAGACGCCTCCGACGGCTGCAGAAACTAAAGAATCATACGCGTCAATCTAAAGATGTCCTCTATCCTCCTCTCCCTCGCGATGACGAGGTTGAACCGGTAGAAGATCCAAGTCGTAACCATCATCATCAACATCAAGCGGAGGGAAATTGCCACATCCCACGAGCTGCCCCCCGTCAATCCTCCTTTGTGATGGTCGACACGACCAGCAATCAGATTCTCACTGACCCCTTCATCTCGACATCGCCACCCTCGCCCTACACCGCCTCTGCAACGCTTCCAGGCCCAAACCCACCACCCCTCCCACCTTCGAAATCCAGCACCTCCTACGACCCTGATGGGGTCATGCATCTTGCAGAAGCTGTTCGCCTCTACGGCATACACGGTACCCAGGCGACGCAGCCGCCACGCAGCTATCCAACACATCCAATATCGACCACATTCGCCCCAACTGGGGCCTCAGGGAGGGCGTCGCATTCAGTCGTACCGTCATATGAGCGGTTTGTTCATGGACCTGTTGATGGTTTTGCTGGGCGAGAGAATACGGCTCTTGAGCAAGATCTGCGACCAAGAAGTGTGACTGAGCGACTGTGGACGACACTGTGGGGACGGGAGTCCTTCTGGGAGAGAATGCAGCAGCAGCAGCGGCAACAGCAACAGCAGCTCCAGCAACAACAACAACAGCGGCAGGGAGAGATGGAACTGGCGAGCCGCCGACCTACTTTACACCTTGCGCCCCCACCGCCTACAACCCCACCATCACACATCGTCCCACGAGTAGTCTCTACGCCATCGACAGCTCTCTCGTCGACGATAATGACTGCCACAGTTTCTTCAGTGCCATCCTCACCCTCATCATCACCATCTTCGTCATCTTCATCAACCGCATCACGACAGAGAACTACGATATCAAGGCCATCCCTTCCACGCACGGACGCTAGAGGCTGTAAGGGGTTTATCATGCCTTTTTTATCCCGAATGCTGTGCGGCTGCGGCGGTCAGGACACACACGGATTTCCATTGGTGCACTCAAACGAGCCCGTTCAGCTGACGGAACAGAATCTCCAGAACCTTGAGAACAATGACATTAACCACGACGCAAGCGGACAAATCTCAGCCGGGACACCAACAGCTACTCCATTCACTCAAGTCATACAGATGCCTCCATCGTCGAGCGCGATAGCGAGCGGTTCTCACTACTCCGAGTCGGTGCTGACGGGCCCCACAGCGGCACCATCGGTGATACATCCTGATCATGGGATTAACAGCAATAGTGGCTACAGCAACATCATGAGAAACATCGATGCCAGAAACAGTATTGTGCACCAACACCGGTTGTTCTCGCATGAGCGACCACTGTCCTTCGTGCCGGCGAGGACCACGAGCGCAGGACTGGAGTCATCGAGATCACGCACAGCCATGGAGATCACGACGATATCAGTGCCTGGAACCGCAGTGGCGAATCCATCTTGGCTGGATACGGCCATTTCTCCACTACACCATCGCAATGTTGAGGAGCCGCGATATGATTCCATGGGGCCTGGTACAGCACTCCAATTGAACCAGCCATGTTCTCTGAATAGTTCAACCCAACATTAAATTCTATTTTATTAGTATTATTATTATTTTTTTTTTTGGGATGGTATCATAGAACGGAGATGTTCAATCGATCTCCAAGACGCGTCCTCCGGTACTGAAGGTCGAGTTTGGAAGCTCGCGCGACTCGCGCATAATCTGAGGTTTGAGACCCTTGTCAAAGTTGCGGTAACAGACGGCCGCATTGGAGATGGTAACTAGGATGGTTACTAGACATAATGCGGCTACATGTAAAAAAAAAAAAAAAAAAAAAAAAAAAAAAAGCATCAGTTCAACTGTCGCGCTACACGTTTTCATCCATGAAATATATATACATAGATCCAATGCATGTTGTTCTTGTCCCCTTACCAAACAACGTCAGAAACTTGTTGACTCCGTTATAATTCTTCTGCTTGTCGCCGACATACATCCGGATCACCTTGAACACAAAGTAGGCAACACCACAGAGCATCGCCACAATGAATGTCGACATCCATCTTCTACTCTCATGTCGGACCGCATACAGAGCGATGTAAAGGATCATGGGCGTCAATGGTAGCACAATGATCGTCAGCCAGTATTCTGGATCGGTCGTTCGCTTGGTCAAGGTCAGGTAAATGAACTGGATCGAGAATCCGACGAAGAAGAACAGGTCGACCTTGATCAGAACCAGATAGATTTGATAGGCACGATACATTTCTAAAAAATTAAAAAAAGCAGAGGGGGATATATACATGGTTTGTTCATTAGTTAACACAAGTTCCTCTAGGACGTCGTTCTCCCCGTGGTTGTTACTTTATACCATCACAAGCTTACTCTTCATGTTGGGATCCGCGCCAATCTTTTTGTAAATCTTCCATCCGAATTCCTGGAAAAGCTGGTAGGCCAGCCAGGTGACGATGCACTGGGTCAAGCAGATCACGACGGCCACGACGATCAAGAATGGCTTTAGTGAATTCAACAGGTCCTCTGCTGTCCATTCGGGGACCAAGAACGCGCTGCTCGTATCCAGCGAGGTCTTGGTCTGACTGATTTCAAAGACCGAGTAGGCGAAACAGCAGAAATTGAAGATGACAATGGCAATCATCTCGATCGTGTTTTGTGCTCGGACCTAGAGAGGACACGGCCGGATAACAAGACAGAGTATGGATTAGAAGGAGCTAACTTGCAGCCGAACACGTGGGATGCGTTTGTGCGTGTGTGTCGGGCCGGGTCCCTGCGAGGGAACATGTAGAGCACCAAGAGCATTTGAAGGAACGTGTATGATAGTGCATATATATAGACAAATAGACAATAAGGAAATAAGCTGAGCGTTACAAAAAAAAAAAAAAAAAAATGAACCGACGCTGAGAGCCATGCTCAAGTGAGTAATGAAGGTTTAGATGAGGTTCTGCGATGACGGTCGACGACAGCAAGAACGACGGCAACAGGGCAATATAATGCTCCGTGTCATATTTGATCCTCCTCTTTGAGCCATTCGAAGACCCTTTTTTTTGAAAGGGAAACAGGCACTTGTCGCAATCAAAATAAATAGAAAAAAGGGGCGGGAGACAGCCCAACTGCTATCACGCGCCAATGGGCAGTCGGATAGGTGAACCAAAATAAAAAAACAAACGACCTTGGAGTGTGGAGTGTGGAGTGTGGCCTTACCGCATCCCATGCTAGGAGAAGCTGAAAAAGTTGGGCGAATACAAAGACCATCAGATACGCAGGAATCGAGCGAGACTGGTTCCTGGAATCGAGGTGGGGTGGTTGTGGTTCATCGCCGGGCTCGGGCAACAGAGGCGTGTCCCGCAGGGCATGGAAATATTTGACGACGATAACGACCTGCATTATGATAACAAGCAACGCCTCGAGCGCAATGACGAGCATCAGCGCCTTTCCGTAGGTTGAGCAGGGGAAGTTGAACAAATTGGTGAAGCGTGTCTTCAGAGACGGAAGCTGCTCCTCGTCCAGAGAGGTCAACGAGGCATTGGGCTGTGGTGGATACGCATAGTAGTTGGGAGGTTTATTTTCAGATACACGCTGATCCTGGACTGAAGCGGCCGCGGCGGGCCGAGCAACACGATGCTGTTGCATCCGGATAGAGTCCTCAGTTTGAATCTGTTCCTGTAGTCGTTCCTGGTGCTGCCTCTGAAGCTGCAACTGCTCTATCTGCTGGGGGGTGGCATTATGGAAGCCAGAGGGCTGGTGATAAGTAGGGGTTTGGTTGGCCTGGGTCTGGCTGTAGTCGTTATGAGAAGGGCTGAAAGAGTTATCGTGTGAGAATGAGTCCTGATAGTAGGTGGAGTTGAGGGGGTGATCCTGTTCGTTGTCGTAGTGTTGCATGGCTATGAAGGTGAATGTCTTCCTGGCAAAGTCCAGGTGCAGATGTGAATTGGCGATGTGTGAAAAGTGCCAGCCGTTGGTTCAGGGAGGAAGGGGGAGTGCAGCCTTTCGGAGTGAGGGTGAGGATGGAGATGCCGATGATGACGGGAGAAGTAGATCTGGATACGATGGATGCAAGGAGAGATGATTTTCGCGGAGACTGATTATTGTTCAGGGCCAGCTGGACAAGATGACAAAAAATGAGATGAAAGAGCAGAAAAAAGGTGAATGTGTGTTTTCTATGGAGATATATAATTTTTTTTTTTTCAGGAACCAAACCCAATTGTAACTAATTTAATTTAATTTAATTTAAGAAGCATTTATGGCACAACCGGACTTGGAGACACAGAAACCACACACGTCCGAGAAGCCACACCGATCAACTGCATTCTTCTATCAGGCAGTAGTCTACATGAGCTGCGGCAATTTGGACGCTGTTGCAGGGATGCGCAGATGCATGTACGGATATCTCCTTGCACGGTGGTGGTGATGAGAGGCATTATAAAATTAGAGAGGTCAAATAGCCACGAAATCTGATAGACCTGACAGGCGCAACTGGAACGAGTGGATGTGTCAGTCACTCTTCATCTGTCCATACCACACATCACACAGCCATGAGCTCAAGGGACCTGATCAAGACCAACGACAATGCCATCACCCCATATACTACGACAAGGACAAAATACAAGTCCAATGTGCCACCGCCACCACCACAGCAGGTTCTAGAGGAGGATGAGTACATTGAGGCCCTCAGTAAGATCATCGAAAGAGATTTCTTCCCAGACCTTGCCAAGCTGAAGCGACAGCATGCATACCTGGACGCAGTCGATATGAACGACATTGAGCGGATAAGGGCCACCGCCAAAGATATCACCGGCAATGACACTCCATTGGGAAAGCGGAGACTCAGGACACCAGGTAAGGAGAGTTCGTATATTATGTCGTGCTTTGGTCAGCAGCTTTTTTTTTTTTTGAAGTTAAAGTATCAGCAACTCACGAAGAATTGATTCATATAATAGCTGCAACGCCAAGAATCCAAAAAGCAGGATTGCCGGATCAGTCATGGACACCTGCCCGAGTAGACATCGGAAATGCCACCCCGACTTGGGGCGATGACAACAAAACATCAACAGCTGGTCTGGGCGCAGCAGATACGCCCCTGATCGAAACACCCTCGACCACCAACCGGAAACGACGAACCGGGGATTCAGGATCCGATGCAGAAAAGGATGTTGTCGATACGTCATTATCATTGGACCAGTTTCAAGCGCGATATACCAGCGAGGACAATGCTTCTTTCAACGACATCGTGGAAAAGATAAACGCGCAAAAGCGAGAGAAGTATCGCTGGATGTATGAGCAAGAAAAAAAAAGCCAGCGACTAATCGAGAATAAGGACGATCCGAATCAGAAGCTGTTGACTCAAGCTGGCGAGGTCGAAAATGGAGGAGTGGATGCCTCAGCCAGTAATGAATCTCAGGACGAAGACTCCAAGCTCGCACTGATTATCGCAACTGACAAGAGATCAGGAGTCATTCCTACATGGGAGTACAAGGTGTGGTTGCGGACAAAATTGCTTTGACATACTCTATCACTCTACTAGCAATCTATCATGAGACTGAAATCTGAGGTCGTTCGCCTTCTAATCGATGTGACTAGGCCAAAAACGCATTGATGTATTATCCTGAGGGTCTAGGCACCCATCTTGATGAGGAAACCATCCGGGCAAGTCCAAAGGAAATTGCGCACAGGAATACAGGATTCCAAGGGCGCGACTTGTTGATGGTCAACCAAGCAGCTGCAGCCAAGATCGATCCAACGTCATGTAAGCTTTCACACGATCGTGATATGGACCATGTCCTTGGAGATGTGCATCATGTTGAAACGGCCTTACTGAGTCTCTCTGTTCCAGATCTGAAAGGAAACTCTACGGACTCGCCCAAGGTTGCAGGCTATGGCTTTGTTTCGTCGACTCCCACGCCAAGCATGTCGCAAATGGGAGATGATCCGGAAATGATGACCTGGGGAACTATCGAGGACGAGCCATTGCTCATCAGCTCTGGTGTTAGCGACTCTGGTACGTATCTTTACATTTATTTCTACCTGTTACAGAAAGTGGTTGCATGAGCTATCTGTTTACCATTGCTCCATGCATTCTATTCTTTAATATATCTAGGTCCATCTCCTTTTAAACTTCCGCCGACATCACGTCGTGAATTGATCGCTCAAAGACTCACGGAAAAGGCGTCGAAGAGCTTTAGGGAAAACTCGTCATTGAAGGCCAAGGTTTTTGCTTCTCCGTCATTGTCGGCACTTTCCGAGTACCAGCGTGCCGTTGGAGGCAGCACACCTACCCCACGATTCAATGCACCCTACAATGCGGTATCCACGCCAGGGAGAGAAACTCCGGGGGGTCGAAACTCACGGTCTAGTGCACGCATGTCCAGTCCAAATCCGAGAGCCAGGGCTGATATGCTGTCGCCAGCAGGAAAAAGACTGCTCGATAAGGCCAGGAGCAGCAGCAGTCGTGGAGCGGATCATCAGCTCAGATCATCGTATGGTAGTGTCACTCCTCGTGCAGTGGCTACCCCAACGCCTGGCGATCGACACACACCCGTGACACCTTCTCCGTTAACGAAACGACAGTAGATAGGATGGTCCTTTTGGCGTTCAGATCCATTGTACATAAGAAATCTCTATTATCTGAATACAAGGACTCGTGGTTTTAGTGGCGAAACCATTGCATATCGCCATAAAGTCACTTGACAGGCAATGAGTGTAAAGAGAAGGATTGAAGAAAACTCTCTTCACCTCCACATCTCCTGTTCCCGCTCTCCATTCCTAGAGGCAATCATGCTCAAATACATCCACTGTAATAAATGCTTTCGGATGGACCCAGTTGCGGAGGCCCGTTACCTCCTCACGCACTGCGGCCATGTTCTCTGCCAGAACTGTCTCGATCATGCGTCAGCCCAAAACAATGATAAAAACAGCGGGAAACCCGATATCAAACAACGCTCAACACAGCATCCGACAAGAACTAACGAAACAGGGGCAGGTCTGCGTATTCACCTCGCTAATGCAGCAGGAGCATGAAAAACCGAATAGTTGGTCGATGACTGGCCTGGTGATTAAAATTCGTATCGACACGGCCCTCTGTCAACTCTTTGCCACCAAAATTTAGGCATTCCTGACACTATCTGCGCCATATGCAAGATTCCTTGTGAATGCATGCGTGTCACCCAGAACCTAGTATGAATCAACGTTGAAGTCGACCATTATACGATTCAGCATATTCCGGAAATTTGACTATGCGGTCTGTCTTATCCCGTCCTAGGATGACCTTCCACCTCGAATACAGCCATTCTTTCGCTCACTGGAGGCAATATGTTATGATAGCATGGATGTTTGGAAGGTATAGGCTCAGTTTGCAAGTGATAGTCATCGCCTCACAACTGGAAATGGGTTGCTGAGTTAGCTCTCATCGTTATTTTTTCCTAGTTTCACGAAGATAATTTGTCAGGCTTGATCGACCATCTCCAGAATAAGACGAACAGACAGCATCAAATTCTTGTCAAGGCTCGAGCAGAACTGGTGAATATGAAGTCCATAAAGAGGTATATAGCGACACCGTTAATAGTGCACTCCTTGTATTCGTATTTGACAGCAATGGGAAGAAATAACCATTACCCTTTAAATTAGTGAGATCCGCGAGCTGAAGGCGGAGAACGAGAGGTTGAAAACAAGGTTACACGAGCGAGAGAACGACAAGAGCCACGAAAAGCCGGCGAGTCAGGGAAAAAGGCCATCGGAGAGCCATGATAGTACAAATACACCTCGAAAAGCGCCAGCGAACGAAGAAATAAAGGTTCAGGAGGCGCCGGCGGCGTCCAAGAAAAACAGTGCTCACACACGCACTACGGGCGCACGAGAATCCAGGCAGGAAAAGGTTATGGGGTAAGTCTCGATTTCTGAGGGGGACAAAGTACATCTACTTCCACTACCACAAGTTGAGATTGCGCCTGATCGCTTTCATCCTTCTTCCTAGAGCACGCTCGGCAATATCCAACGCTAGTAGTATCAAGTCATGCCGCATGGTATGCCCTCATTCATTCTTTCAGAACAGATGACACTCCAGTCCAGTAGCTATGTCAGGATAATAATACATAATCCCGCGTTCGCAATAGGTTCCTGCACCAAGGACACCGCAGCCCCCGGCACGTTTGTCGCTTGCTTCACATCCACCAGGAGGGTCGCCGAGATTCCACCTGCCTCAATCGCCAGCAAACAGCAGCTTACGGCGCTCCACTCAATACACACCCCTTCCGTTTGCTCCAACAGGAGCTACTGTAGCCTACCAATTACCTTCGAATCCAAACGTTACTCCAATGATGCAGGTGCCTTATGCTGGAAATGCGCCTGCAGTTATACCCCTAGGACATGGATACCAACGGACACCGCTGCCAGGAGTCATACCCGCCAGCACTTGCAATATGGCACCAGCACATACCATGCCTCCTCCACCGCCACCGCCCTTTCAGTCACAGCGACAGCAGCCCGAATATCTCAAAAGACCGATACCTCAGGCGTATCCTCCGCTTAATGCCGCATACACAACCAGGGTCATGGCATCTGTCGGTCAGCCACCAGGTCAAGTGAGAATGCTGCCTATCAGTGATAGCTCTGTTGAGCAGGATCATTTAATCCGCTCTAGGAGCTCGGCGTCCTCGGCCAGAACCACGTGGCAGCAGCAAAAGCAGCAACAGATGTATCAACAGCAGCAATATTATCCAACTGCTGTCGCACCGCCTTACCTTGGACCCAGTACACTGTCCGGCATCGCGGTGCCCACCATAATACGGCCTCCAGTAACTGGTCGTTCTCGCTGAAAATAAAGACGAGAAAGAATAATGATTGACGTTCCACCTTGACGAGCCCTTCACATTCATTGGATCTTCATGGTTTACACTCCTCTTTATTTATTGTAATTGAGGCATAAAAATATGAACATTCACTATGTTGTATGAAGAACTTCAACGGAGCTCAACTTTCATACGATCGACAACCTGTTCACGTAGCTTTTCCTGGATTTCATTGATCTCGGCGTTGGTTACATTACGGTCCATTGAGCGGTAGTTGATTCTGTAACACACGCTGCGCTTCTTTGTCTTTGGATGTGTGAATTCGTCGATCTACGGTACAATCGAAGAAAAATCCGGATGTCAGCGTTACAGAAGCATTCAAGCGTAAAAACTGTGTGAATTCAAAGATGTAAGATGCGAAAAACTGCTTACCATTTCAACAGTCTCGGCAATATCACCGGCGACGTCTCTGACAATCTCGCAGAAGTTGTTCTCGTGAAAGTCGCTGTTGGTCCAGAAAGAGATGTCCTTGATGCAGGGAGGGTACTTTGAGAAGTGCTTAAACTTTTGGATCTTGGAGGGCTCGAACTGACGCAAGAAGCGCTCGTCCTGGGACCAGAACAGGCGAATATCAGGGATACCAAAAAGTACGAGGGCCAGTCTCTCGAGACCCAATCCGAAAGCCCAACCGATCTTATCGGGCTTGCCTGTTCATTAAAGTCGGTAAGATAAACCACATTAGTCCATAATTCCATGTGTTGAATAACAATGTCGTGATGGCCATATTGTATAACAGAAAAGATGACAGTACCTGCGCGGTTCAAAATATCCTGCCTGATGACTCCGCATCCGAGAACTTCGAGCCATTTTCCTTGATACAGAATCTCCATCTCCCAGCTTGGACTTGTGAACGGGAACTGAGCATCGATCCACCGGACCTGCAGGTCTTTTTCGTGCGAAAACAGCTTCCGTACCATCATATTCAATGAATGCTTCAAGTGATCAGCTGTCGCCAGCATGGCAGCCTCGTCATGGCAATCCTGCTTTGGATTCTGGGAAGTGATTACAGTCGTGTCGGTCGTATGAATCGATCCAAATTGCGCAGTCGAATCGGCCGCAATTGCCTTACGGATGTCTTCCACTGCAGTCTTGGCATCAAACAGCTGTGCACCCTCCATTTGATGGAAAACAGGGTAATGGCTCGCATCGATTTCGTCCCTCCGATACACGTCCGCGGTGACGAGAACCTTATCCGCCTCGGTCATGACCTGAAGTTGGTGAGCCGAGGTGTGTGTCCGTAGCATAATCTTCTCATTCAGGTAGTATGTGTCCGTAGCAGCGCGACCGGGGTGGTCGCTTGTAAAGCAGAGATCATCAAAATTTTCCTTGGTCGTGACCACGGGCGAGAAGGTTTCGTAGTGCTTGAAATCGGGGAACGCGGAGGCGATCAGATCCTTGATGATGGCAACCGGGTGTGTAGGGATACGGTGCAATTGGCGGGTTGTCTTTTCGAGGATTGTAGGAGTAACATTGGTGAGATGGTCTGTCTCGTAAGTCTTGCCGCCGACCGTGATGCTTTCCTTGGTGATTGTCGGTGGTTCCTTGAGAGGGTTTGATCCTGGAAAATCGCGATGTAATTGAAGAATGTTAACGTCGATGCGATCTAGGGCCTAGACCGTGGCGGGAGTAGATCGGTTAAGCTTTCAAAAACTCCATGAACCATGCTTATCGAAGGGTACCTGAATCTGATGTCGACCGGAAGGGTGAGGAGTGGAAAGAGGCACAGAGAACTGGCCGAAGTGTGCGCTGCAGCTGTCCGGTTGTCAGGGTGGTGCTTTTATTCAAGGCCTGACCGAAAAGCATAGTCCTGATTTTGGGCGAAGCCCCGACGCGCAGAGCGCGGCCGTGCCAATGCTGGGAGGCTGCTCTGAACATTCCTGTAGCCATGGTGTGTTAAGGTGATGCCGATGTCGGTGCTGTGTCCCAGAGAAAAGGAAGCGCTTCGTTCCGTGCCTGAAACTGGTCGGGGCTATTCGTCGTCCAAGAAAGGAAATCGATGGAGCATGGGGCAGTCACTGTGTTTGGCTCAGCCACACTGGTAGACCGTCAGTGAAAAGAGAAGAGTCCGCGCTTCGCGATAGTGCCCCTGGCTTTAGTTTCTCGTTTCTCAGAAGCATGCAAGGAACCATGCACCGACAGTTGATGTCCCTCTCGAGGGTCACCCTCCGTAGACCTACACCCCATCCTACTCTTCTCCGTCACGGTGCACAATGCCGTTCAACGCTATTGCTGCAGCGCAACTTTCACGCCTCCAGGCAGACGCTCGCGTCTTCTCAGCAGTCTTCAACTCAGAGCAAGCAGGGATCCTATGCCAGTATGTCCGTTTATTTGGTTTCGCGCGGGTGGTATTTCTGTGAAGTCAGTGTAAAGGTTTAACACGGTTGTCTGCTATCCTTCGCAATATGACAGGTCGAGTAAAGAAGGCATGGAATGATACACCCATCAAATGGTCGCCTATCCCAATCGGACTGGGTCTCGCTTTTATCACGTTTTTGCAGTATAGGAAGGTCATGGAGCGCGAGGCAGGACGGGACCCAAATGTCACTAAAGCCGTTATTGTTGGTCCTTGGCATGTAAGTCTATGCAAAATCGACAGTTCTGGTATGCTCAAGGCTGTTGAAGGTACTAAGAATGTTTGCATTCTTTCTCCTCTAGGTCCATGTGATCAGCGAGCTGCCACTGAAGACGATATCTAGAGCGTGGGGTGCATTCAACAGCATCACCCTGCCAATGTGGTTCCGTGAACCAGGATTTAAATTTTACAGTTGGATCTTTGGATGTAACCTGGACGAGATGAAGGATCCCGATTTGAAGCATTATAAGAACCTGAGCGAGTTCTTTTATCGGGAACTGAAGGATGGCGTTAGACCTATCGATTATGATGCAGCATTGGTATGATATGTGCTTCATTCCTCAAGCCTCGCAACAACACTATTTTCGTTCTTCATCGTATCTAATGCTTCGTTATCGCTTTCACTAGGCATCACCCTCGGATGGAAGAGTATTCCATTTTGGATTGGTGGACGGCTCAAAGGTAGAGCAGATCAAAGGCATGTCGTATTCTCTAGACCAATTCTTGGGAGCACAAAAGGCGAGCGATACTGCTGAGATTATCAAAGCGACGCATTCTGCCAACATTGTCGACGAGGAGGAGTTCGCAGAGGTCAACGGAATCAGCTATACACTGGACAGTTTGCTCGGACATGACCAGCAGACCACGATGGAGCACAAGAAGGAAGATCTGCTTGGTAATGTTGTCCCGGATGAGGAGGCCGACCAAAAATCAAAGTCGAGCGATAGCCAGGAGCAATTGAAGTTGCGTCCCGGGAACGCGCTTTTCTTCTGCGTTATTTATCTGGCCCCTGGCGACTACCATCGCTTCCACTCGCCCACGAACTGGGTCGCGGAGACGAGGCGTCATTTCTCGGGAGAATTATATTCAGTCTCGCCCTGGATGGTTAAGCAGTTGCAGGATCTCTTTGTGTTGAACGAGCGCGTGGTGTTGCTGGGCAAGTGGCGCTATGGATTCTTCTCGATGGTGCCCGTTGGAGCGACGAACGTTGGAAGCATTGTCCTCAACTTTGATAAGGTACGGCAGTTTTCAGGGATCGTCATTTATGGTCAATAGCGGCGTTTTTTTTTTTTTTTTTATTCCTGCTCGACATTGCTTTTATTCACAAATTGCAATAATGTCTATTGATATCTTTCTCTAGGAGCTCCGCACTAACACGAGAGAGGACAGACACAGGCGTGGCTATGGTGAGCTCCTGTACAGTGGTGTTAGTCGCCTGTTGAATGGTCAGCCGCTGCATACCGGAATGGAGATGGGAGGATTCAAGTTGGGATCGACGGTTGTACTCGTGTTTGAGGCGCCAAAGAACTTCAAGTTTGTGATTGAAGCGGGCCAGCGAGTCAAGATGGGTCAGGCTCTTGGGCAGCTTGAATAGACACAATTGCAGAAATAAACGGCCCTCTCAAATTGAAACAACTTTGTCTGTCCAACCGTCCTGGACTTTAGATCTTACATCCTTCTTCCAACACCCGACACGCTCGACGCAGCATTCTTCTTTTGCATCAACATGGCAGGAGCAACATGGATGCGGACCATTATGCAGTGGTCGACATTCCTCTTCATCGCACTATGTGCTGCGCTCTTGCTCGTCTACACGATCGTAATGACGTACTGCAATGCAAGGATCCTCCAAGGTTTCAAGGCTAACAGGAGACGAGTTTTCCAGCAACAGGTGGAAGAGAAGGCTAAGAGGGGCGGTCAAGAGCAATCCAAGGAAACAGCCGCAGGTATAGGCACTCAAAGCGAGCAGGATCAAAAGAGTGCACCATATCTCATTGCAGGATTCTTTCACCCTTACTGGTAACAGAACACGTTTGCACTTTGTTCAGCCGACAACAATCAGCTTCGTCTTCCATCCACCGGTCCATATGCTGACCAAATACTCATCATTCATTTTACTAGCAACGCTGGCGGTGGTGGGGAGCGTGTGCTATGGACAGCAATTCGTGATATCCAGCAAAAATACCCACATGTGATATCAGTCGTTTACACAGGAGATACGGATGTCGACAAGGAGTCAATTCTGGAAAGGGTCCGTACTCGGTTCAACATCGAGCTGGATCCCGCCCTGGTCGGATTCGAATTCCTGAAGAAACGCTCCTGGGTGGAGAATGCGACGTGGCCTCGGTTTACGTTGATTGGACAGAGCATTGGTTCGATCGTCTTGGGATGGGAGGCTCTTCAGTGCGTCGTACCTGATATCTGGATCGGTAGGGATTATCACGGGTCACCGTACCAAGGCACCAAAGTTGTCCTCAGCAGTGGGCTGATTTGATCTAATGTTCTTTTTTCTTTTATGCTACATAACTAGACACAATGGGATATGCGTTCACGTACCCAGCAGCAAGGATGTTTGGCGGATGCCAGGTCGTTGCATACGTTCACTACCCAACGATCAGCTCCGACATGATCGGCCGTGTGGCCAGTCGAGAGAGCGGCCATAACAATGCGGCCGAGGTCGCATCCAGCTCACTCTATACGATTCTGAAACTTGTCTATTACCGCTGCTTTGCATTCCTCTACGCAATTATCGGTGCACTAGCTCATGTTGTAATGGTTAATTCCTCCTGGACCAAGGCCCACATTGATTCATTGTGGAAGATCAAGTCCACGGTCGTGTATCCGCCTTGTGATACAGAGGCGTTCAAAGGTTTCTCTCTCAAGGATCGGAAACGGATCGTGGTCAGTGTGGCACAGTTCCGGCCGGAGAAGGGACATGGCCTACAGTTGGAGGCGATGGCACAACTGTTGAAAGATCATCCGGAATATCGTCAAACTGCGGAGGGGGATAAGAACCCAAAGGCGGTGCAGCTTGTCATGCTCGGAAGCGCTCGCAATGAAGGTGACCAGGCCAGGATAAAGCAGCTGAAGAAGAAGGCTGCCGACCTTGAGATTTCTGTAAGTTTGTATAAGATGAAGAAGACGCTGCCTTTGTTTCTCAGACCGGATATTCACCCCACCTCTCGATTTTAGGACAATGTCACGTTTGTCGTAAACGCACCTTTCAGTGATCTCCAGGCATGGCTGGCGCGCTCTAAGATTGGCATCCATGCCATGCTGGATGAGCACTTTGGTATTGGCGTTGTCGAGTATATGGTAAACTTGATGTTCAAAATGATGGTTATTAAATTTGCATCGCATTGACGTTCTATACTGACCATCGTCGCTGTATATTAATCTTGATTTTCAGGCTGCAGGATTAATACCAGTTGCTCACAACTCTGCAGGTCCAAAAATGGATATTGTGCAGCCATATCACAACGAACCTACGGGATACTTGGCAATTACCGCAAAAGAATTTGCGGACGCGATCGAAAAGGTGCTATCGGCCGAGGAAGGATCGCTTTTAGATATGCAGCTTCGCGCTCGGGATAGTGTTCAGGAACGGTTCTCGGAGAAGGTCTTTGGGGAGCAATTGCAGAAGTGTATGCACGAAGTGCTGTCGCTCGAGAAGGTCACTATCTATGGACGCAAGCTGATCGATCCGCCGGTGGAGGAGGCCAGGTAGAGAAAATGAAACAAAGTACATTTGGGAATAAAAAACGAGGACATGCATAAAATGCGACTCGATTTCTTTATATGAATGCGCATTTTGGGAATAGGTACCAAGAAAGCGTTGTTCTGATCCTTAATGGATGCTGGACAACTGGTGGCGATAATCGCTCCTTGACTGCAAAGGCGTCGTCCTGGTTGACCTCTTACTCAATCGCCTTGGATTCTGCTACCATTGACAGCAATACCTAATATTGACTCTCGCCCAAGTCTGAGCATTACCTGGCCAGAAACAGCACAACTACACGCTCCTTGGCAGAGATGGACAGACGTAGGAGGCACATTTAGTCATTGATGCACTGCAAGCTTTGGCTTCCATACAACCTGATGCCGTGTTTGTGTTTCTGACCACCCACAACACTGACAGCATTGCCAGGGAACCAGAACTGATGTTTAGTATGAAACTGTTTGCCACATCCACGAGCATTGTAATGTATCGCTATTTCGCCAGAGATGAAAAGAAGTGTTATAAATCTCTAACAGAGATCGCACCCCATGGCACATTTCTCGTCCGAATCAAAAGAAAGAGGTCGAACAGATTGCGACATTCAACACTGAACGACAGAGCTACAGGACGCCTTGAAGCATTGACGACATTTATGTCAGCGTTTATGTTCATTGTTTTTGCTAAATTTTGGGCGAAGTCGAAGCGCGGATCGAAAGACAGTACCAATGGCAGTAGAAATACAAGCTGGTTATCTGGGCTTCAATCTTCGCTTACTCAGCGATAGAGCTAGTCTAGGAATCGATCTGGTCTTTGAAAGCAGATATTGCAGAGGTCTTGGCTCAGCGGCTCTTTTTCATTAAGCCGACTATATTTATGCATACATGCGGCAAGTGCGCGGCAACATAGGGAAGAGATGTATGCGATATAGCGTAGACTTATTAGGTCGACAAAGGACTCTCTCGGATGATGACGACTCCCACGGGAGCCCTCAGCCGGTAGGTGGACCTCTGAAGAGGCATCAATAAGTTCTTCAATGCCCAAAAAATAAAAAATAAATGCATTCAGTAAAAATCACAATGAGCAGCATCGACTCATCCTGGGAGCTGATCGCACCGAATGATGCAGCGCCCAGATCTTTGTTAACGAGATGTTGCTGTCTTTGCGTGAGAACGCAGCTATAGTATATGGTATCTGGGTGTTAGGGCAGACTCCAGGACCCTACTGTCAGTTCGTGGCACAGGCGGTGATTGGGCGAAGCATGAAGGACATTGCACACCATGTGTATCTTTGTTGTTGCAGTCGACACAACAATAATAAAAATGCCTAGCACTGCAAACAGTGGTATCCATGCGGCTCAGTCCCATTGCTGTGGTCTTGGTCTGCCATACCATCCGCTGAGGACACTAGCAAAATTAGACTCTGGCCGCTGAGCGTGTAAGCTGTCCGCTATATCGCCATATCCACAAGCATTTAAAACGATATGAGCAGGACCATCTTAGCTGCTGGCGATTAAAGTATTGCAAGCATTGTGAACATGGCCATCAAAACTATGGCCTTGAAAGAATGTGTCGATCTGAAGGGGATCATCGTAGCTACACGCCTCGTAGCCAAATGCATCGCCCGTCAACCACTCGCAGCATCTCTTGGAGCACTGTCAACAGCCGCTACGGCGCATCCCTCGCTTCTTAAGGTTGTCCTTCTCTTGTTCTTTGCTCTTTTGGACCCTACTCTTCTCTGTAAGATGAGTTACGAACAGGTTGACGACATCTCTGGCTCCACTTGAGATATGTGATGTTCACAAAAAACGAAACACGCATCCACATCGGTTGGACTCTCACCCGTCTAACAATAAAAAAAAAAAAAAAAAAAAAAATCATACATGGGTGCTAGCGACTTGAAAAACGTTCAAAGGCATGGGAGTCTTGGTGAGCGCTATGTCCTGCAGACGAAGGTTGTATGTTGTCCCTAATCCATGGGTCACCTTTTAGAGTTAATATCGCGTATGTTCAGCTTCGAAGATCCTCTCTGCTGAAGGTTCTGCGCCGGCGGCGAAAGGGCTAACGCCGTCGGCTATACTCGAGCAGTATCGTTCGCAAACCCTCATTTCTCACGGTCCTCCAGCAGCACACCTCATCTCTCTCGTTCTCTCATCTCATTCCATTTCATCAGCAATGGCACATCCGCAAAAGACAACTTACAAGGTCAACATCCTCGGCGCGGGCGTCTCGGGCCTGTCGACGGCCCTGGCGCTCCTGGAAAAGGGTGGCTACAGCGTTAAGGTTCTTGCCACTCACATTCCCTCGGATCTCAACATCGACTACACTTCTCCCTGGTATAACATATCCCTCATATCGCAGGAGCTCGGCATTGGCGACGATCTCCTTTTTTTACTGATGATGTTGCTGACATGACCTCCATTTGGTCGATTGATCGATCGATCAATATCATTCTAGGGCTGGCGCGCATTGGAGGTCCTATGCAGATATTGCCGATCTTAAGCAGCAAGGTATGAATTTTCTATACTTTTTTCAATTGCAGCACCGGACTCCATTACATAACTTTTTTTGTTCCGAGCTCATAAAAATAATAATAATGATCTTCCATAGAGATCGACACGGCAACATACAAGCGGTTCGAATACCTAGCCGAGAACGAACCCAAGGCCGGAATCATGTTCTTGGTCGGACATGATTATTGGGAGGTCAAGCCCAAGGATTTTGTGGACCCTTGGTTCAAGCGCATCCTCAAGGATGTAAGGTCCCATGACTTTGGTCGTTTTCATTCGGCGAGACATGATAGTGAACTTTCAAATGGTCGCTGAACCTCGCATAATTTTTTTTTTTTTTGGAAACGAATGCAGTATCGACACATCTCCAAGTCAGAGTTGCCGCCAGGAATGGATTTCGGCATCACTTACAGAACTGGTATGTTACTGGCTGGTACTTGAAGTAGCCTTTTAATTTCCAGTGACTCACGCGATAACAAAAAAAAAAATCTAGTCGCAATGAATGCTCCCAAGTACCTGCTCTACCTTCAAGAACAAGTCCTTGCACGCGGTGGAACCATCGAACGCCTGACAGTGTCGAGTCTCAAGGCAGTTGCCCAGATCCCACATGGTACCGGTACTGACGCCAGACCGGATATCATCGTCAACTGCTCCGGACTGGGAAGCCGCAACCTCGGCGGCGTGTTGGATCACCAGATGTTCCCGACGCGTGGACAGATCGTCGTAGTCAAGGTCCCGGATGAGCTGTGGCCGATCGCGAAGAATTTTACGATGGAAAGGTATGCTGAAGGAGCGGCGATGGGTGTGGGAACGATTACTTATGTCATCCCGAGAGATAACGGCGAGATCATCCTTGGCGGCACCATGGAGCACTGGAACATGTAAGTGCCTTGCCCTTTTCTTGTCTATGCAATTTTTTTTTATAGTTTATATTTTGTTATTCACTATCATTCTACTTGCTCCTCGGCACTGCACATGAAATAGCCAAGGAACTCCTTCGGAAGAGACCACCAAGGCAATCATGGAGCGCGTCCTGCAAATACGTCCTGATTTGTTCAGCAAAGCGACCATCCTGCGGAGCTGCGTTGGCCTGCGTCCCAACCGCCGTGGGGGTGTCCGTGTCTCTGCGGCCGTCGAGCAACTGGACTGGAACGAAGGATGGGACAAGTCCGTGTTGGTGGTCGCCCATAACTATGGACATGGTGGATTCGGCTTCCAGGCGAGTGTGGGATGTGCGCAAAAGACGGTCGAGAACATTGAGCAATGCCTGAAGGAGTTGCAGGGTGCTAGGAGCCAGGCTAGAACCATGGCGAAGCTTTGAGATAGATACCTGCACAATTAAAGAAAAAAGGGAATTGACCGTACGCGCAAAGGCTCTGTTTGAATAGAGGTTTAAGGTTCTGAGCGACTTTGCGCGAACAGGTCGCCGGCGGCTCTTCCAACAATGGAAATAAAGGCCTCGATGCCACTCCCACTGCTTTCATCATTTTTTCGTTGTTTTTTTTAAAGCACATTTATTGATCTCTACAAGGAATGCTTGGCACGGCCATGCTATTTCCCGAGTGTATGCAAATATATATTTCTACAGGCAAGAATAATCTAGGATCCAGTCCTATGAATGATATCTACCCATCTCTCATCGAGCACAGCTCAAAAAAGAGTCCATCTGGAGGGAGGAATAGGGATGGCCGTATTTAGTCCATGCGGTAAAGACGGCGGCGGAGGGAGGCAGTGCAAGCAGCGCCCTTGGTCCAGACCGAGCCAGAGCCGGGAGCCTCACCCTGAGTCCACCACTGAGCAGTGTAGACAAAGCCGTTGTACGAGACCTTAGCACCGCCAGAGTAGGAGGCCGAGGTAGACCAGGCGCTAACACCAGCGCAGCCGCCAGGGGTGCTGGTGACGGTGGCGGTAGGGGTGGTGGAGGTGGCAGTGGGACCAGTGCCGCAGGCACCCTTGTCAGTCCAAGGGCCACCAGCGGTAGGGATGTTGTTCTGGGACCACCACTGAGCGGTGTAGAGACGGCCATTGTACGAGACCTGGGCGCCGGATTGGTAGGTGGCAGAAGCAGACCAGGCAGCGACAGAGCAGCTAGCGCCCTGGGTGGTGGTGGTGGTGGTGGTAGGGGCAGTGGTCGAGGAAGAAGCGGAGGTCGAGGTGGCGGTGACGGTGGCAGAGGACGAGGGGGACGAGCCGTCAGCTGCGGGAATGACACCGGAGCAGCGAGGAGTGGTGGCACCGAGAGCAGCCTTGCAGATCTGCTGGGCAGCGCTGGTGACATCGACGTTAGCGGTGGTACCGGCAGGCTTATAGAGCTCCCAGAAGAAACCGCCCTTGGAGCCCTGGACGGCGAGGATGGCGCTCAGCTCGGTCTGGGTGAGGGGCAGCTGGTGAGCGGCGTCGTGGTCCGAGGCGGGGTAGGCAGGGATACCGATCTCATAACCGACATGGGCGGTCATACCGTTGTCGGCATAGGACTTCATGTAGTAGTTGACCTGCTGGGAGAGCGAGCAGGTGTTGTCATCGGGGCACTCGTGGAACTGCTGGTTGTTGGAAAGGTCGTAGGTCATGACGTTGACACCACCGCCGTTGGTGCCGGTGGCCATGAAGTTGTAGACCTCAGGGTACCACTTGTAAAGATAGTACCAAATGTTCTTGAGGTTACCGCCCCACCAGTTGCTCGAGAGACCGCCAGCGGCCGAGGCAGCGGTAGCAAGCATCAAAGAGGGCTTGATGGCCTGAATGTTGAGCTGGACATCGCGCATGATGGCTGCGTACTTGTAGACAGTCTGGTGAGAAGTCCAGGGTCCGGTCGAGGGACCGACCCTGAAGTAATCGGCGTGCCACATCTCTTCGTAATCGATATCAACACCGGCAAGACCGAGATCCTTGGCCAGGTAGACGAGATCCTGGTAAGGGTCGCGGTTGACCTTGGCAAAGTAGTTGCTTCCAGGGACCAAGTTGGTGATCTTGGTGACGGGGTCAGTCCACGTGCTGCCAGGGGCGATCTCGGGGTGGAAGACTGGGGCAGAGCCACCGGCCTGAGCAGTGACGTACTGCTGGGCCGCCTGCCAGGTCGACGAGTTCGAGGGCTCGGGGAAGATGTCGAAGTCGGCGAGGACGGTGCCCTCGCTCTTGGGCTCGCAGGTGTAGCACCACATGTTAGCCTCCGTACAGGCGCCGAGCGATCCACCGTTCTCCAAGATCTTGTAGTAGTTAGGGGTGGTGGTACCGTAGCCTCCAACCGAGTAGTAAGTGTAGAGGTACTATTTTCGGAAAGGGAAACACAATAAATGTGGTTTAGTGATCTGGAACCGATTCAGCTGTTGAAATATAAAAAAATGGCGACCGAATACACACTTACAGGGAAGCATCCGTAGTTCCATCCTCCGACGGACAGGAAGACCTCAACACCCTTGGACTGGAGGGTGGTGATCTTGGCCTTGAGATCAGCGAAACCGAAGTCGGCGGTGTTAGCGTAGTTCAAGCCAACGTGCTCGAGGGTGTTGGAGTTGGGGACATAGACCATGCCAGGACGAGCGAAGGAAAGGAAGATGCGGTTGATGGGGATGTTGTCAGCGTTGTCAGCCAGGGCCTTGAGCTTGGCAGGGCCGTTGGTGGGGTTGAGGAGAAGGTATCCAGCGACGACGGGGGCAGCCTCGACCTGCGAGCATGCCATGACCAAGGCCGAGGCGATGGTAATGAGAGCAGTAGACAAACGCATTGTGGTTTTCAGATTCTTTTTTTTTTTCCTGTAAGGAGGAGGGGTGAGGAGAATGAGGGGAGAAGGAGGAGGAGAAAGGCGAGTGTGAGGATGAGGTAGAAAAGAGGGGAGGGATGAGAGTCTTCTCCGACGTATTTATATATGTGCAAGAGGTGGGCACCAGAGGGCACCATGGGAGCTACTTCAGAGAACAGGATGCAGATGGATGAGTGTGCATGGTAAGGATCTACTGCACTGTCCTGAATTGCATATCGGTTGTAATTCAATTGATTCAAAAAGAATAGACCAGATTGGAGCCATTGCAATCTTGATCTCCCGCTCGCTCTCCATTCGATAACAAATGTGCATTAGTAGTCAACATATGTAAACTGGACCATGCATGGCTCCCTTGTTGATGTCCATTATGGTTACAATACTTCTTTTGAATTATCGGTCGCCGATGTCTCGTGGACAGTGGTTCCTTATTACAAAATTCGTGCTCGATTTGGTATGCCCACGGATAGGGATCGATGGCGACAACACAAACACCTCTTGAGAGCCGCCGCTTTTCAATAGCAGCCCTATTCACTTGTGGGCTAACCGCAAGGGCACGTTAACAATAATGATGTCGGCGCAACGCTGCACTCCTTGTGCGATTGTGTCCCTCGTTAGAGTTATCTCACTCCAACCCAACTTGTACTCCTGCACAATAGATTTCATTTTTGCTAGTCTAATAATCTCTACCGCCTTTTTTTTATTATCAATATTCTGTCGTGTGCATCTCGTATCGACCGCTATGTGCCTCACAGCGCATCTTCTTTAACAAGGAACATTAGCATCAGTACTGATGATAGCCAAAAGATGATATCGATGGCGGTCGCGATACTCTCGTCATGGAGGGAACCCCAAACCGTGGTATTCTCTTGCTCAAAGAAGACTAGTTAACTGTCTGATCTACCCAACTCGGGTCCAAGTCGTCCTTACGTCAACAGCCGCGACAACGGATTTTCGCTCCGCCCTCAATAAATTGTTGTTGATACAGGCTTGCCTAGAAAGATTCGGCGCGTTTGTTTGTTACATGTTACATTCGTCCCCTGGAAGGAAGGGGTCTGGATCGCCATCCGTCCTCTATGTCTATAAACTTCCATCCTGCCTTTTTGTTGTTGACGATATCTCATCATGGATAAGATAATGCGAGATTGTGCAGTGGGATACGCGAAGGAGACGTGTGTAAAGAAACAGCGGAATAATTCGAACCTCTGATAGCCTGTCATCGTACTCCGTCCTTCTTGTTGTTGTCGATCTCAGGCGTTCGATCGAATGGTGAGGGATACTATGTAAAATTTTCTAATTTTTATTTATTTTGGAGTAGCTGGAATGGCTTTTTGAAGCTGTGATATTTTCATACTGAAGCATCCTAACAATATCGTTTTTTTTTTTTTTTTGTCCAGATGGGATAGTCATCCATGCTCTAGATTTGTTCAGAGCCATTCCATTCCCACAAAGAGTTCCACTTCAAGCGGGCAATGCTAGTATGCTGAGAATGGAAGGATCGCAGCAGAAGACGAGGCTGACCAAAACCCAATACCTTTCCTAGGCTTCTGTCGCGCTTTGTAACATATCAAATATGGATTAATTGCACACGATGTAACTAAGGAAAAGGAAGAAATCTGCAATCCTATCATCAAGACTGTACCTACAATCTCGCATACTTGTATATATCGCCCATCTGCATGTGTGGAAGTGATGGTTGGGAAAAGGAGGGGAAGGCTGAGACAGGATGGCTACCCTCAATAGATAACGTCGGTTGATACATCCAAAAGCCCGTGGACTATTCAGTCGTTGAAGTTATTGAGGGCGACCTGAAATGTAATCACACGCGCGTGTGTAACGTCCAGTAAACTCAGGTCCCAGCCAATCAGCGGCGTGCGATGTGGGATGGACAAACAAGATTACATTTTCACGGACTACATCTGAACCTAAAAAATATCCCTCCCCCCACCCCCTGGTTTGATAAAATTCGATTCTACTGGCATGCTTCAACGGCGCTTACCTCGTTTAGTCATGCTCTGTCCCGCCAGTAAGCCCAGCACTGTACTTATACTCAAGGTTCCGCTCTCTTCTGGAAATACATGTCCATATATCAACGGATGCAGAATCACTCAATACCTGATGATGAACCATCTTGAAGGATTGGGACAGACTTGACCCTGGCGAGAAACCTTACGATCAACGGCTCAGAAACAGATAGACAAGGTCAAAGGCCCAAGGACTAGGGTTAGGGGCTAGATGCAAGAGCCCTTACTTATCAACATATATCGAACGCTAGGAATTGGTCTGAGATAAATTACCATTTGCACTCTATAGGGAGAAGGTCGCGCCTAGTACCGATCATTATTCATTACCTCAACTGTGTATATAACAAATCGAAAAGCAACAACAGCTCACTTCCAAAATGAATAACTTGTAGTCTATGGTTTTCTATGGAAAGTACATGGGTAGGAAGACTAAGACGGACAGGAACTCTATAGCCAAAGTATAAATCCTTAATCAGGCCATGGCTCTTCTCATCGCCAGGCATCCATTGGTTAGATATCCTTTTGAGGCTGCATATGTACCTCCATATGACCCTTGATCGCAGCCTTAAGTTCTTCTTTGTCCCGTTCAAGCGAAAAGGATAGGGTTAAAATGTCTGCATCGAAATCGATGCTGCCATGTCGCATCATTGCCGTAATTTTTTTATGGGCATGCAGGCACAAATGCCACTACTATCGCGTGCAGCGGTCGTAGTCGACATAGGGCTGTGACGTCCTGTTGGAAAAAAAGGGCGCAAGAGAAATTCACCAGAAGACCGTAAGGTAGAAATAACTCTGGCAGAAGACAGGGAGACAATAAGCCGTTATCACTAGCTGTCAGGTCGCACTATATCAAGGGTGGTTGTTAACGAATCTCGGGTCAAGAGAAAAACACTGTTGTTATCTCACCTTGTTCGCTGCAGATGGATAAGATATCAGGCAATGGACCATTCCTTGTGAAATGTTCAGCAACAAACAGTGCTGCAATGGAAGTTTTTTTTTTGTTTTTTGTCCTCTAACAGTAACATTCTTGGAACAAAAAAAAAAAAAAAAATGTAGACGATCGACCATTGACAACTCTTGGTTGTGTTCTTGTTTTCCCTCGGTCTCCACCACTTCGCTAGCTCACGGATGCCAAACGGAGGGCCAGGAAACAATTTAAGCGAACGGCCGAAAATTTCCCTCTCTCTCTTGATCGATGATGTTTACCACAAGAAACACAAACGATTGTTGTGCATACACGGGAATCGCGGCCCACATCTTGCTCCTTCTTGTTGTCGTCTGAGGATGAGGACCGATGATGCTAGTCAGGGTTAATGCTACACGAGTATCAACAACAATAATAACACTAACGACAGCAATAACAAATACTCGGCATCCATCCATGCAAGGGTCAAATGATGAAGAGTGGATGAACTTTGATAAAAAACAAAACCCTATTCGCGTTACACGTACTGAATGAGTATTAGCCAACTCAGTCCTCCGACTCTGTTGCGTGTGTCCATGCCATCTAGTGGAGCAAGGTACGGATGAGAGCCGTTCGGGCGCTGACTAACGGGGACCCTGATACGGACAGAGCCGTCGCTCAGACGCATGACCTCAATGAGCATTCGCTGCAAATCATCCTTCCCTCGAGATCTTTAGAGCATCAGTAGGGTCCTCTTCATCTGCTCAAGCACCACCAATTTGTTCTGTCCTCGCCTGTCTATCCGGAATAGCTATCCCTCTCACGCAAAACAGCCGATGGTTATTTGTATGTAAATGCGTTTATTTGGAGATAATGGACATTAAGGATGCTACAGGGGGGTGTTTGCGCGTCTTGATGAATCTAGAGACCTCTCTTCACGCGTCTTTCTTTTTTTTTTTTTCTTCTCTCTATGTATAAATCTCTATGAGATCATCTAAAGGACCTTCCATCCAAGGTCATAAATAACAAACGGATATTTCTCGTCGCGACCGCTGACCAGCCTCATAAACCTGAATCCCAGGGGCTCATGGACCACGAATTTGCACTGGGTCCTCCAGCCATAATCCTCATAGTAGGACATAACCGGTTTCTTCACATGATCATCATCATCGTTGTATCCTAGCCGCTCCAGCTCCTTGGAATCAAAAATGTGGTGATCCAAAGGCTGGTTCAAGAACTCACGTAGGACAGCGTTCGAGACCCTGCCGCTATAGTTGGGGTTCTTGACCTCTTTACAGTTGTAGGCGAAAGGGATCTTTTTCTGTTGAGGGGGTCATGGACGAAGGATTGGGAGAGAATATAATGCCTTGATCAGTCGACATGCCCTTGCATTCACATTGTGTATAATCGCTCCATAACAATTTTTTTTTTTTCAAAGGCTACTTACGTAAACCGCATCGCTGCCAGCGATCTCAAGCCTTGCGTTTTGGATCCATTGGTCTCCCATTTGGTGCAGGAGACTGTACTCGATTTTACGTTCTACTGCAAGCAGCATGTCGATACCGATATAGTCGCCCTGGACGATCGGCTGAGTGCTCTTATAGGCGGTGTCGTCCATGCCGTCGACAGCCTTGCTGAAAGGGAAGCGGATGTACGTCGTGGGATCTTCATAGTGCGTATGGATTAGTTCGCTCTCTTCGATATCGATGTAGGGGCGGTATTTAAACATCCTGACATCGGGAAATGGATGCTTGTTCGAGATTATCAAGCAGCGGTCGTCTGCACAGGGTGAGCGCACGTCACGTTCTAGGTACGTCGGATGCAGTTCCTCCCGCTCAAAGGCCGGGTCTTTCCTCTTCAACGCGTCCCAAACCTTTTGTGCTGCCTTGTGCTATTATTTCGCGATGGAGTATAAGACAGTGCATCGTTAGTATCCGCGATTAGATCCAGTTTTGCTTACCCCACAGTATATTGAGGATGGGGAGGGGGCATTTCCTGGATCGATACGTACCATGTACAGTTTATTCCTGGTCTTGCCCTCCGAACCTTTACTGAACGCAACGACATCCTTGGCAGGATCGACCAGCTCCATCAAATAATTTTCCAGCTGATAGGGAACCTGGTTTTGGAAGGTCGAGAAGTACATGTCTCCGTAGGCGAATTCAAGTGGATCCATTTCCGCGACCGATGCCTGCTTCAAGAACTTGACAACCATTTCCCGTGTAGCCATCGCACCAGTCCCAAGCCAAGAAAAGCACGCGTGCATGTTCACCTCTACATGAAGAGGAAGAAAAAAGAAAAAATCGGGGTGCAGAAATAAGTACTTGCTCAGCTGATAACGCATATTGACGTGAACGAGGCGATTATTAATTTACCATCCTCAAAGAAGCACCAGCGCCAGTTGGTAAGCGACCATACATCCGAGTTGGTGTCCGTATGCAGGAATTGTGGGAAGCGCAAGAAGTTGGCGTACATGGCTCGGAGATAGAAGATCTTCCAGTCGTCGTCCTGGAAGTAGCAATATGGGGACGAGGCCATGGCGCAGGCCATATAGCGGGCGACGAAAAACATGTTGCTGGGGGAGTTGAAGACGCGCACCTTGGGGCATGAGAACATCTATCGCGATCAGCATGAGAGAGGGTTGGTGAGAAGAGCGCGCAATTGAGCATGGGCCACCCAGCCTCACTAGACTTGTTTATCTGAATATAGTCCGTCCGTCAGGGTCCACACTGCGCTTGTTTCAGATGCGAAGTGACGAGCAGTCCAATGCATTATTGGCCCTGATCCTGTCTGTTCCCCTGTGGTACATGTGCAGCAGTATGGCTGTTGCCGGGCGAAGGCTGTCTGTGGCACATGTCATCCATCCAAACGCATCCCCACAGCAAATGCGCATAGCCAATTGCTCCTGCACAAAGTCGCCTTTTCCCTGTTCTTCCCTCCTGCATAGTCGGATCATCCCGAGTCACCAAAGTCGAGCCCCTCTCCTCCATCGCCTTACCTTTTCCTCTAGATGAACATCGACCTTGTTATTCCAGATCATCACCTCCTTGAACATCACATGCGGACACAGGTGGTCGACAATCTCCCTGAGTGAATCGAGTCTCGACCAGTTCAACAGGATCGCCGTCATCATGTCCGCGCCGTCCGTTGGCCGCAAGTCCAGACCGGTAATGTCGCCTCGATCGATCCATCTCGGCGGCTGTACAGGCTCGTTGGGGTTTATCCTGTTGTCCCTGGGTCCAAAGACCAGCCTGAACAGGAACGAGTTCACGACGTAGACAAGCCATAATATAAGGACGACCGATGGCAGGAGGATGCCGAAACGAACACGGCGAGTTGTCCCTGATGCCTGACGGAACATGCCATTCGAACGAAAGAACCGCCTGGTCCGCGCAGAGAAGGACCGCGCGAGGTGAGTGAGATGATGACTATGTTGGCGTAGTTGGGTCTTGAACGAGGGCAGAGTGTTGGAATCAAAGAATCTTGACCCAATGTCACTTAGGCCGCCTTTTTCCTCTACTCCTGCTCCAATCATTCCCACTGACGGTACGCCCGGTGGAGGGGGCGCTGTAGGAAGGTGACCACTATGAGGATGGTGGACAAGGGAGATAGACCTGGCCCGAGATCTCTTTCCGGTGTCTGTACTGGTGGTAGTGCTGGTTGGAGTGTCGTTGCTGCTGCTATGAGTGGTAGAGCTGTGTTGGTGCTGATGCTGATATTGATGATGCACATGGCCATTGGTGGTGGTAGCGAAGTGGGTGCTGGTGCTGGTGCTGGTGCTGGTGCTAATGCTTGAGTTCAGGTGGTGCGACAGTTTTGGCCCAAGGCCCCGTTCTGGATCCATGAGGACAGGTCCCGAGTCTTGAGAGAAGATCCAAGGAAAAAGGGCGACCAAGAGGATCGAGGAGCTGCAAGTGACGGAGATGAGAGATCAGAACGAGAACGAGGCTGGAGATGATGCTGAGGATGAAGACGAGCAGATGATGATGGGGATGACAATAATAATGATGATGATGATGGAGTTGGGGAAGGAGGTGTCAGACAACAGCCAGGAACAGACACTCTGAGCGATAGAACAAAACGTAGAGTACCTCAGGGCCTTGAAAAACTGCCTATTGGTGCAGTACACATGGATCAAGTCCGCCTCAGTCTCCCTCGCACCATCAAGACATCCCTTTTATTTCCCCCCTTCTCCCCTTGGTGCCTTATCCGGACTAGCGCAGCCATGGACATGCACCTCCACTACGCTCGCTACCACCCCGGAACCGATACAGCCCTCAGCCTTCGCTTCGCTGCGTCGAAGAACCGTATTTGGAGCAGGCAGCAGAGGCACAGGGGCAAAGATGCAGGCAGGGTAGCTGGACATTTTTCGCTTTGATTCAGTCTGCCTCTGCAAGAACAAGGTTATCACCAATAGACCAATAGGAACGTCGCCAGATATATTCTTGCAGCGTGGTCGAATGAACGCGTGCGCGATTGTCAAGTAACTATTGGAGTGTAACTAGAGATAGGTCTATGGGTGGGTATGTGTACACGCGTATGGCTATGGCTAAAGGTATAGGGATGTGCTCTAATAAGGCGATAACATGGTCTGTCGACATCTTCTGGTCCACGCTGGGTACCAAAGTCGATCCACCCTCCTCCTGCTGTAACCGCTACTACTACTGCTACTACTGCTACTACTGCTGCCGGTTCTGCTCCTGCATCTGACTCAGAACCATGCTCTCTTCCTGCATATCCTTCTCATACTGTGCCTGATCACGCAACTTCTGGGCCTTGCCTCCCGTGTACAGGAACACCATGGGTAGCGTCAATACCGTCACTACTCCGATCAACACACACGTCCACAACATACTCGTCTCCTGATAGATGACCGATCCCAGCAGCGGTCCCACCACCATCCCCAGCGAAAAGACCATGTTGAAGAGCGCAAAGGCCCTCGCAAACCCATCTCCTTCGCCCGTAACCCGGACCACGGCCGAGATCTCGCCCAGCACTGGGGTAATGTACACCGCACAGGTGGCGCCCACTCCGACCAGGAAGAGGATGATCGCCCACAGAGGCAGTCCTGGGATGCCAATCACGACCACAAACACGCCACAAATCGCGATCGCAGCCCCGGACATGACCTTGGCACCGTGCTTGTCAGAGTACCAGCCAGCAACCGGTGCGACAAAGGACGGGATACTGATCGCAAGGAAAATGACACCGATCTGGGTCTTGGAAATTCCGAAATCCGCGAGATAGAGTGGCAGCACGGGTTCCAGCGCTATAGAGATAAGGACAGAGTGGTGCTATTATTATTATATAATTCAAAGAATAGATCTAAAGCGCAAGAGACAAATGACAAAGACATACCAGCGATGAGGAAAGCGTTGATGAAACTGACGAACAAAGCCGTGACCAAACGCTTGTTCGTCAATAAACCTTTTAGAGTCGACATCTCACTAGTGGCCTGTGCCTTGGCCGGAGTCGGGGCTCCCTCAAGAGTGTCGATATTCTTTTCAATCCCGAGCGATTGCTCCCCTTGCCCTTGTCCTTCTTGTGTTTGGTTCTGTCGTTTTTGGAATTCTCTGATTGCCTTGACCTTGGCGCTCCGGGGCTCAATGATCAACAGGCGAGCTGCCAGATCTACACCGATGAGGATGATGCAGAACACATAGGGCGCCTTGACACCGACATGGTCTTGCAAAATCCCACCCATTGGTGGTCCGACCATCAGTCCAAGGGTCTGTCCAATCATGACCTTGCCCATCTCGGCACCCAGCTGGTTGGCTGGATATGTGTCCGAGAGCAGAGCGAAGCCAAGAGTCATCATCGTTCCACCGGCCAAACCAGCCGAAAAACGAGCAAGTAGTAGGAGCTATCGTAATGTACGCGTGTGAAATACTGCGTGTTAGGAACAGCTTTCAGTGTTCTCCAGCTGGGCTCGAACGACGAGCCACTTACCCAAAAGTGATCCAGGCCTTCCATGAACAGAACCGTGGAGAGCAACAGGGCCATCAATCCAGCGACCATAGGAACCCGACGGTTCGCCATCCTATCGGAGATGATGCCCGCCACAGGAGAAGAGATCAGCAAACCGACGGCATAACATGCAATCAATGCACCGTTGGCTGTCGACCCAAGACCTAGTCTCTCGACGATGAAGGGCGTCAGGGGCATGATGATGCCATAACAGAGCAGGTCCACAAAGACAGCGAGTCCGACTGTGAACGAGATAAAGTGGTTTGAACTGCGAAAGCGGGTGAAGCGACTTGTACCAAGGATGTCGTCCACATTGTTTAGGGTTGCACACCGACCCATGTCGAGTTGGCTACTACTACTGTCGTTCAGACCATGTTCGAGATCGGCGGACTTTTTGTCGAGATTTGTTGAGGACTGGAGCGGATCTATGGATGTCGTGGTGGTATTGGTATTGGTATCGGTGGCGATGTTGTCCGGCTAGTAGCGCAAGCAATTGAGATTTTTTTTTTGTCAGTCATTGGGTTTCAGGGGGTAAGGGATCGAACCGTTGGATCTGATAACGAGCTTGTTAGAAATAAAATGTTACATTTTTTTGAGGGGAGCTAGCAGAAGGAGGAGACATTGGACACTTTTTCAGGGGAAGGATGTATAGTAGTGCAGTATGCCGGAGTTAAGATGAGGCGAGAGAGGGGAAGTTGATGTCGATCAGGATCGGGATCAGAATCAGAATCTGGATGAGGGGATCTGCAATCGGATGCAGTTCAGTTCAGTAAGGGCAACGGGTGAGGAACAGCTGCACTGGCGACAACGAACAACGTGCGATTGAGAGAAGAGAAGAGGAAGAGGGAGTGGAAGGAGCCGTCGGTATTAAAGGAAAGTTGCCCATTGGGCGCCGGGCGCACCTTTTTCCAGTGCTCTGCTGCTACCGAGCTGTGGAGGGCGCACACTCTGGGTCGTACGATGCTGTGCGTACTCTAAGCCAAACGGAGTCATGGCTACGCTGGATCAGGGATGGTCCCCCCTGTTGGACCCCAGGGAGCAAACGGAGAAGTTGATTCGCCAAAGAATTTCCTGGGCTTCCTTTTTCTTTTCCTTTTGTATTTAAAAGTGATCGACGCTTTATTTGTATCCGATCCCATACCGAAAACTCTACAGCGATCGGTGCTCCTTTTGGCTATTAAAGTTCCCCCTCTCTCCTTCTCAAGGACAAATGTACCAAACAAGCACAGCAATATTCTGTGTTCTTCCGACCTACACCGTACATACATCCCCAAGCGCGCTCTGGCAGATTCCATTTGCGCTGGAATCCATCTTCTTCCTCGTCCTATTTGTTCTTTGCAACGCTGCAGGGCCATACGCGCCGTGGGGATGACAAACACACTGCGCATTCTACACTGTATGCGCCATCTGCACTATACAAAAGATCTTTATCCAAACTACATGTACACCACAAACGATCTAAAAAAAAAGGTGCGCACCCGTGCAATCGTATCACTGTTATGGAACAAAGTAAAAGCATCCTTTGCTCCAACCGCTACATCGACTTTGACCCCTTCAGTCCCCCAAATGCATCATTCGACATGAACCCCAACTCTGCGCCCTACATACCCTCATGCTTCTGTAGCTCTCTCAGGGTCTTCTCCTCCTCTATCCGGTCCCTCTCATACTGGTCCTGGTCCACTCACTTCTGCGTCTTTCCGCCTATAAACAGCCCCACTATCGACACTATCGACACTATCGCCATAACCACCCCCGCTAGCATCACACGCAACTATAGCAATCCCACTCTCTGACACACCATCGAACCAAGCAAAGGTCCTGCAACCATACCGATCGAGAAGACCATGTTGAACAACGCGAGCGCCTTTGCGAACCCATCTCTTTCTCCCGTCATCCCAATCACGGCAGAGATCTCTCCCAGGACCGAGGTGATGTAAACTGCCAGCAGGTACCGATCAAGACCAGGATAACAACCATAGCTCATAGAGTATGTTGGGGAGAACGAGGACGATGACAAAGATCGCACAGAGAATGATGGCGGAGCTCGACATGACCCTGGCGCCGCGGTGATCAGAGATCCAACCGGCGATGGGGAGGATGAACGTCGGGATGCTGAGAGCGAGGAAGCAGAGATTGATCTGGGTCTCGGAAAAATGGAACCGGCGCTCGAAGACGAGAGGAAAGACTAATTCGAGCGCTAGGTAGGTACAAAGACATGATAATGTGGTTGCAGATGGTCAGTAAATAGGGTTGAAATGAAGAATGGGGGGCGGGAGGGGACGATCGTGAATCATTAACAAACACATAGCTTACCAGATACAAGAAACGCGTCCAAAAAACTGATGCACAGTGCCGTAAGCAACAGCTTGTTCGTTAAAAGGCCCTTCACAGTCGGCAGCGCCGTGGACTTGACCACAGCCATAGCCGTCACCGGTGTTGACGGTCTTTTGTTGTTGAGCATCACCCGTCTTCTCCTGATCCTGGTTCTAGTCCTACAGAAGGCCTTGAGGTGGACCAGTCATCATTCCAAACGTATGGCTGATCATGACCTTCCCCATCTGGATACTCAGTTGGTTGGCCAGGTAGGTGTCTGAGAGCAGCACGAACCCGAGCGTCATCATCGTTCCTGCGACGAAGAGCGCAGTTAGTAACAGCTATGTTGCGAAATGTATATGTGTATATAGTAATATAAAAATAAAGTGCCAAAGGACATAAAACACGATGTCATGCCATGCCATGCCGTGTTGGAATATCAGATAGAGTCCGCGACACAAAACAAAAGACCAGTGATAGTGCACTCAAAGCTTCAGCCTAGCCCAAAGCCGGCTATATTCGCTTTAGATAGGTTCAATAGAATGCTATTCACCTTGTCACGCTTTCACCATGACAACATCAAAGAACTTACGCCTGCAGATCCTCGATTTTATACGAACACCCCGTGCATTCTAGTTCAGGCCAGATTGACCTATAATTTCACTGTACTTGTACGTAGATAGACATGATAATAAATTGGTCCTTCAAAGGACATCTCATATCTTGGTTCTTATCGCTACTAATGTTAAACGTTAGTGTAACAAGGTCCATCGATTCCTCGAACTGCTTCCGCCCGAGCTGACGCGTCGCCTTGGCTCCCACACGCGCAAGCGACTGGCTAAGGTTGCTGGCGTATCAAATTTAGCGGCAGGGAGGGTCATTCGTTGCTATGAGAGCGAGGATAGTTTTGAAGACGATGAACCCCCAGACCCAATAGTGCCATCACCAATACAAGGTCAACCTCAAAAACAACTGGAGCCTCGATATAGGGAGGCATTGACGGAAATCGTGACGAAGTTCAACAACACTGGAGCAAGGAACACCTCCAGGACAATTGTACAATAATCAAGCTCACGCTTTGATATGGACGCGTGGCAGTGCACAGTAACACGCGACGTGAAATTACTTGGGTTGCACTGGGGGCGAAGCACTCGACTGAACAAGCAGCATGATTTTGAGGCCAATATCAAATACCGAGCGTCAAATGTACAAAAGCGCCTCGCCAACCTCGAATCTACCAAGGGCGAATATATACCGATGCGGCTTGTGGTATCTTTGGATGAATCTTACTATTTCAACCATTAGTTGACCAAGAGATGGGTTGGGTTCCGACTGCAAAAAATAGGCTGAAACTAACCCGGCTCACGACGGTTTAAGTCCAGCCCACGTTCACTATTTGTGGGTGGACAATCCAACATTTACTAAATTCTGCTTCAGTATGCCGGGCGCGTTGTTGGCTGTAAATCTGGTGTTGGTCGCAGCGGTGGTGCTGGTGGTATTGGCCAGGGTCGGTGAAGGATGTTGGGACGATACTCTCCGCAGGGGGTTGTTTAGAACCGGGAGTGTATGTTTCTCTTGCGAGTATTACTTAAGACATCGGGTTGCCATGGCCAACGTTCACGGGCGCACAATACACCGAGACCCTAGCTTGATCTCTTCATTGTTCATCGTTTTCTCCCGCTCTTTGGTTTTTATAACCCATTGAGTGATTTAGTTTGTGCTCTTGACTACCACTTTTAAGTTGTGAACTTGTCATGGACAAAGGTTGTTCTGTATATTGTCTTCAGAAAGCGCAATCTATGTGCTAAAACACTGGCAATGGGTAAAGATCAAGGCACCGTTGCTAACTTCCTATTTGCATCAGCTTCACCTTTCAAGCATGAGAAAAGACATTTGCCGAATCGACCGGCTTCGCTGACTGTACAGCGAGAGAATCGGTCGTGGCAATGGAATCCATCGTACTGTGGTTTGACGGCACCTTGAGTTTATGCGCCACGGACGCCATGGTCATTAGCTTTCTGCTTGCCTCGCGAAAGCCCAAAGGTGGAATCGGCTTGCCCACAGTGCCACGTTGTTCTAATAGCCGCATATTTATCCTGCTTAAGCCTTGCACGTTTTGGATAGAGGTAGCTGACACGGTAAGTCTGTCATGCATCGAAATCCAATGCAGGCGCACCTGATAGCGACTCGCCTCTTCTATGACCTGCCACATGCGAACAGACTTATAGACACAGCCAGTTGCGAAATAGGTGCCGTTTGGAGTAGCGTTCCAGGCGATGCTTGCGATAAATCCATGGAAACCTTCAGCAACTGCCAAACACTGACCCAAATTCACATCCCACAGTCGCACCGTCTTGTCCCAACTCCCTGAGGCGATCTGCTGGCCGCTGGGCGAATACACCACACTCGTAACCCAGTCGGTATAGCCGCTTAAGATGGGACTAGGTGCACCGGTTTGCGGGTCCCACAGTCGCACAGTCTTATCCCCACTTCCAGAGGCGATCTGCTGGCCGCTGGGTGAATACATCACGCTCTCAACTGAGTCGGTGTGACCACGCAAGGTGTGGGCTTTTGCCCAAGTCGAAGTGTCATATACGCTTGCCGTGCCATCGTAGAGGCCTACCGCACAGAACTTCCTATCTGGCGAATACGCGCAGGATCTCACCTCGCTTTCTTCTAAGAGGTACGGCCATTCGCCAAACTGCACGCCCCCCATCTGTGCGTTGCTTAAATTGGCCTGACGCAGCCAAATATTGCGGAGATTGACTTTTCTCAAATCTACCCCTTGCAGCTGTGCAGAATCAAATTGGCCCCCACTCAGGTCCGCTCCTGGAATCTGGATGCCTTTCAGATCTGCACCGTTGAACTGGATCCCGGCTTTGATCAATATCGTGGTTGCATTGGCCGCCGCCTTGCGTGCCTCTTTGTTGATTTTGGAGCATTCGATCGATGCGAGCAGCTGTTACTTGAAGAGAGGTTCCTGTTGGACACGCTCTGCTAAAAATTGAAGAATCGACGGCTCACCCACAAAGCTTCTCCGTGCCAAAGGCGAGTTGAGCATCGCCTGTGCAATGGCTGCCACGGGTTCCTCTACAGTAGCCTGGTCTTCGAAGCTCATGACCGAATCGACGCTCCCTCGACGTGGCAGAGTTTGAGGTAAGGCCGCGCGACTCGCGCTCTCTCCGTCTCGCGGCTAGAACACCGCTCGGGCCAAGCAGTATTCCAGCAGTGATTTATGGATAAACCGGTACTGATTGCCACTGCGCGTCAGAGAACACGCCTCACGCAAGAGCTGTTGCTTCTCGTTCTCCCGGCTAAAGAAGCTTTCTTTCCATGTCCCTTGATCGCGAAATGGCGAGTACTCGACCACCGGATTGCCCGCTTGCTCCTCGTATATCGCTACCGCTAGCGCTTTCAGAAAGCCAACTCCGTTCTGTGCAAAACCATCGTCGTACAAGTTCTCGAACACCTTCTTCTCTTGATAGCTCAAGTCCTTCTTCTCAACGAGTCGCTTCTTGCCTCGCTCCAACCATTGCTCCACAAACTGGTCATACAACGCAACTCTCGTCACCCGAACAGCCGAGAGGCCTTGTCCTGGATCCACCATGCGCGGCAGTACCTCCAAGGACAGCGTCAACATAAAGGGGTTCTTGACCAGGTCCTGCAGGCTGGGAATCAGATTAAGGGCATTCAAGTAGTCCGTCACTTGCCAGAGCGGCCTCGTTGCGGAGACATATTTCCTTATGTGTTCTTGAATTTGATCCATAAAGAATGGCGCAATGACCGCCTCTTGAAATGCTGGCTCTGCTTGGTGATTGTGATCTGCTGGCTGGAACCGATCCCGATAATCGAGTCCAAGGTACTCGCTGCCGCAGCTAATGACCATCTGAGCCCTCCATCCTCCCACCTGATTCAGTCGGTTGCTCGTGTACAGGTTATGTGTCTGCTGGCTTTCATCATATCCATCACAGATCAAGATGAATCTGTGGTGGTCTTTCAGTTCTCGGATCTGGGACTCGGTAAACTCTGCCTTCCGTAGATGTTTGGCAATCAGATCCTGTTCTGGCTTGTCGATTGCGGGTAAGCTGATAAAGAGCGGAATCCTGCCTTCCTTTTCCTTATAGGCATCCCACAAGTCGCACTCGAGCTGCCGGTTAAAGGTCGACTTGCCTCCACCTGAATCACCTAGGTCGAACAGCTTGTCATCGGGCGCTTGCAGGTTAGCCTTGGCTTGAGGGGGGATGTACACGGCTCCGCCTCGTTCCTTCAATTGTTGCTTTCTCAGTCGTCTCAAGTCGGTTTCAACATCGGGCTTGTTCTGGACAAGGTCAAGCAATGATGGAGATCCGACGGTTGGTAAGGCGACCTGCAGAGGATGTAAGCTTCGGGTTCCCTTTCGGCAATCCTGATAAAGAATCCTCTTCGTCTCATCGCCATTCGATTCCAGCTCCTGCAACAAAGACTCGACACCTACACCATATATCGCGTAGATCACAATAGAATAACGTACAGCTATTAGTACCTGCTAGGCCGTGAACTTCATACGTCATACTAAGTCGACAGCCTCTCACATATCCGTTCATCATACATACTTGGCATAGCTGAGCCAAATGTCGAAGCCAGCTGCATAAGAATGTGAAGGATCCATTGCTTGACGAGGGCTTGCTGGCCCCATACTGCATCGTTTCGGTACATCTCGTCCAGAAACGCAACAGCGCCTTGGCGAGACTCGATGTCCCATAGTGGATTGGCAGCAAGGTCCCTCAGCCGCTGGCATACTCCTAATTGAAAGGCTAGATCACGCCGGCAAGGTGCTTCGCAGACCAGGGTCTTGAACTTGGCGAGTTGACCGTCCCGAAGCAGTGTGTCTGTCCCGCGCAGTGCTGTATACCAGACACGTTTCTGGCTGAAGCTGAGACCGACCTTGAGAGATTCCAGCAGTCCTTGTCCACTTTCGACCAGTGCGCTCACACCTTCATACCCGATTTTCGCTACCTGGATCACCTCTCCCAGTCCCTCCTGCAGATGTCCGAGTCCTGTGATGAAGCCATTGACGTCCAGGCCTTTTACTGCGCTAACTAGCCCCGAGACACCCCTCAAAACAATTCCAGTGCGCCGCATCGTTGCTTGCCAGGGTGATTCATTGTCTGGGACGCACTGCAGTGCTTGGAAGGCGTAGGCAGCCTGGTACACTAAGTAAGGGTCGCTGCTGCCTTGCAACTCATTCAAATAGGCAGAGAGTGGCTCGTGCAGCTCTACACGCTTTAAGCCTGAGACCTTGGTATCGGCCATGGCATCCAGGACATTGGACACTGCGAGTGTCAGATGGTAGATATGAGCCGGAGACTGATTGTGAGTATCTTGTAGGCGGGTATTGAGGATACGCAAGATCGTGACTAGGTCATCAGCGTCGAGATAGCCTGGAAAAGCGCCTTGGATCAGTTGCGCCAGCCCCTCGAGGGACTGCACATCCAGCAGGCTGGACTGTTCGATGCCATTGACAAAGAGCATGAGCAAATGTTGAAAATCGTCCTTCTCGAGAACTGGGCCCAGGCATATGGCTTCTGCGACGGCCTTGGCATCCTTGAGTTCGTCGCGAGTGAATGCTCGGATCACATCTGTTGCCAGTGTCCTGAGTCTCTCCTTCTCCTCTGCATTCTTTTCTGTAGATTCCACCCAACTTCCTGCAGCTGGTTCAAAGACCTCTTCGGGCGACGGCGTCACTTGCAAAAGACTGAGGCAGTAGGCGAGCTGGGAAGTATCACTGAGTCGCTCATCTGCCTCTGGTAACGCGATCTTGACGGTGGGCTGACGCATGTCATCGGGAAAGATATCCTCAGAGACCCGTACCATGTCGCGGTGGGCACTGTCGGTGGCAGAGGAAATTACAGGACCTGGATCTTTTGTAGGACGCACATGGCTGTTGAAGTCAGAGGACAGTCAGCAAAGTGAGAGATGCGTTAGGTACGACACACGAAGTAGCCGGCCAATGCGAACAAGTAAAGAGCAGGTACCTGGCGCTTACCCCCACCTTTCTGCCCTCTTGTAGCTGACCTGTGCCATTTCGCTATATCCTAGGCTCTCCAATAGGTTGGCGTGCTCGAGACAGACGCCGGCGAATCCATCATGAAGGGCTTGATCCTCGACGGATAGGGGAACTGTAAGAGTCTTTTTCGCAGCTCTTTTCATCCGGGATAATGTGGCCTCGGCGTCGTCGCACAACACTAAAGCACGCATTCTCCACGTAAACCTTGGCGAGCTTCAGTTCCTTTTGTGGCGAGAGAGTCTTTCGTGATGACGAAAAAGTTCTGTCAAACATGTTGCGTCTCTGAGAGGGTTTCTCCTGTTATCCTGTTATGATAGAGCAGATGGCGGTGATATTAGTGACCTTGTGGTCGGTTGATATACTTGTGCGAGTAGCCAGTATACGTACTTATAGTTGACAGACACTTCAGTAACGCAATGGGGACCAATAAGTCGCAATGGGCTGGCATACTATAGACGTAGTGGTAACAGAATGAGCTATTGTAAATAAAGACATTAATATCCATAGTAGCTGCATGAACCAGATCACATGTGGCTGCTCGGCCAAGTGATGGCGCCCTACCACAAAAGTGTTTATTCGACCCTTGTTTCCTTTGGTTGGATGCAGAGGTCGTCCTGAAGATTTGTCCTCTTTGTGCCTCTTACCAGCGATACCAGCTGCCCATCGTGAAGCATGCAGGGTTAATAACCTTAAAATATGTCTATAGACTACTGTCGAGTGACAAGAAACAGTGCCTCACCTCAACAGGAGTCTGTTTCTAGAATTCTTTCACCAGCCGAGGAGATGGTCCGTCCCTGTGCAATGTTCTCTATTCCAACTCTTTGTTTAAGACGGTCTGCACACGAACAAGGCGGTCGAGTGGAGTGATATTCGCTTCCTCTCGTCACTTCTAGCAGAGATTCCTGTGGTCATGAAAGGAGGGAATATTATTCATTGCACATGAATGGCTTGTTCTCTTGATCTCGGCCACTCTAGCAGTAGCACTCTTGGCTCGATTGTGGTTGTTCAGGCACATTCAGAGATGGTACTTTGGCAGATAAACTGTGTCTTTGTTACCAATGAGTCGGAGTCGCCGCTGGGCTGTGCTTATTAAGATCGAGCAGATACGTACGAGAGACGTACTTTAGACAGACAGGAGAGCGAGAAAAGATGAGAAAGATAAGAGACAGTTCCTGATGGATTGAAGAAGGGTGAATGTGGGAAGAAGGGAAAGTGGGGAAGTGGGAAAAGAGGGGAAAAGAGTGCAAAGACACACATCCATCGCTGCAGCATTCGCCAAACGGAGCCATGCTTGTAGTCAGATTACTCCTCTCGCCCTCGTGTAACGTGTAGTGGGGCTCTCGGATGCTAAAGAGAAAAGGAAAATAACAGACAGCTTCAACCACCAGAAATGAAATTTACATCTATGGACAGTGCGTTGTATCATGTTCGTTCCAGCGACAAGTCGCCCAACAAACAAGCTCGGAGGTATGTGATGAGACAGTGGCTGGAAGATCACGACATAGTGAGCTCAGTAGACAATCCGACAAAGACCCAATTCTACGCAATGATCCAGGAGGCGACAAAGGACGAACAGCCGGCCTCTAACACGTGCGCTATTGCGGGGATGCTTGGCCACCAGATCCTTAAAACACCTTCCTACCATTGAGAACTTCAGCCCATACGAGGAAAACTGGGGTATAGTGAAACAGGAGCAAGCTACCGATTATAGTGGCGAAGAAACAGTGCTTTCTGCCCGCTGCAAGATGAATCGCATTTTCTCATAAATTCTATTGATAGTTCGGTGGCTATTTATTGACCTGTCGGAGATGATGCCCGCCACAGGAGAGGAGATCAGCAAACCGATGGCATAACATGCAATCAGATGCACCGTTGACTGTCGACCCGAGACCCAAATTCTCGACGATGAAGGGTGTCAAAGGCATGATGATGCTGTAGCACAGTGGATCCACGAACAAGGCCAACGCGGCCGTGAATGACAGGAAATGGTCCTAGCTACGGAAGAGACTGAATTGGGTGCTCGTGTCCAGGGCCCGGTCGACAGATCTAGGTGGACCTCGTGCCATGGCAGACGAGGTCGTCAAAGAGGATCGGGGGCTTTTCTCGGTGACGAAGGATGGTTCAAGGTAGTGGTTCAAGGTGACGGAGCAAGTGATTACGGATTGACTGGGTTCCACCATACCTCGTTCGATGTCAATGGCTTTCAGAACAGGACCTGAACACATGGGCGAAAATGAGTCTGTGGCCGTGGCGGAGGGGCTATCCCGAAATTCGAGGTTTTCAGATATCGAAACAGCATTGTATTTCTACAAAAGGAAGGGGCAGCAGAAGCACAGGGCATGGTGTAAACAGACAATGGTTCTTTTCACGAGACGAGTGATCATCTTTAATGGGGATGGAAGGACATGGTTATCGGTACTACAGATTTAATTCGCTATGCGAGACAAACAAAAAGAAAGAGATGGCAGTGTATATGAACTAGAAACGCTATTGAACTTGAAGAACTAAAGTGTCGATGGAGGACACTTCCTTCCTTCCTCTCCGTACCTATCTATCATCATGAAGTCCGTTACCGGGTATAGGTTCCACCCCTGGATTGGGGCTCAAGCACTTCTTGCATGGTAATTAAGGACCACAGTCAGTGCCTGTGTCTCTGTTGGACCTGGGAGACTTCCTTTTCCGCTGTCCTGGGACTCGTTTGAACAGCCAGTGAATAGCCCTGCAGCAGCGAACTCAATTGCTCTCCTCCTCGTTCGGGTGAAGACCCTTCGCCCAGCAGCCAATGACGCATGTCCCATAACCTTAAAAAACACTCCGATTCAGGCAGCATTTATCCCTTTTGACACAAAGCGGGTTTCAGGACAGCATTCGGTTCCTCTTATGGGGTCCATCCTGATCCTCCGCGAGAACGACATGGACATCAATGCTCCTTTTGGGGTCCATGGGCCACTGCGGGATGCGTGCACAGCAGCTGAAGAGTAGCGGAAGCAGGCTAGGCTAGGTTAGGCTAGACAAGGCCCAAGCAGACTGGGCCGACTAATCTTCATCCGTGTCACTCTGACTATCTCGATTATGGGACAACGGTAGTGGACCCTGCAGATCACTTTTAGTCCTTTTTTGTGATGCTGGACCAACGTTGATCCAAAAGGAGTGCAGGGTAGTATGCACAAAAGTGTCTTGGGATGAAGCTTATTCATTTCGTCTATCTATCTACACGTATCTAAAAGACTGATGCTACCATCAACAACATCAACAACAACAACAACAGCCAAAAAAAAAAAAAAAAAAACCGCACTCATGCATGCTCCACAAAGCAATTCGTCAAATGGTCGAGCTCGATCGTATATCCCGAAATAACGTCCACAATCCGAATCCCTCCAATCTTTTGCACCCCACTCGTCAACGGGAACCAGTCCAAACGCACGCGTACCTCTCCTCCCACCGGAACCGCTCCCAGCTGCCGACTGTTCGGTCCGCTCAAAAGAACCGATCCCATCTTTTGCTTGACACCCGTCAGCATCAACTTCATAGAGTTCTGATCCTGAGATATACTCGAGGGCTGTTGCTGCTGTTGCTGCTGGTTCGACGGTAATGAAGGGCTGTCCAGCGGTCGGTTAGGCGGGACAACACCCCCTCTTGCGACCGCGGCTGGGGGTCGTGCCAATACCCCTCCGAGTGGTGGTTGGCCAGGAAACTGTGAAGAACTGGACTGGCGCGTGGGTTGATTAGGTTGGCTGCTGTAACTTTGTTGCTGCGGCTGCTGTGGCGGTTGTTGTTGCTGTTGCTGTTGCTGTTGTCCTGATGCGGATCCCCCAAGGACTGGTTCTTGATAACGATATCGATCGAAAAGACCTCTTCCAGCCGAATCCTCTCCGGCACCTTGACCACCTGCACAGCAATCTCATCCAGCGGGGAAGGTTTGCGCGTCAACTGGCTGGTCTGTAGCCGCCCTGTCTCGCCAAACTGCGACCTCCAGAGGATATCCATCTTGCCAAGGACGTTCGTTGTCTTTGCCAAAAGTTCCTTCCCTGGTTTCGGAGTCAGTACATAAAGATATTGTCGAACATCGTTGGGTGCAAAGTAGTCGTGTTTGCCGAAAATGCTCACTGGACCGCCTCGTTTGCTCTCCGTCGTGATTTTTGTGTCCCCGTCCTCGTCCTCGTCCTCGATCACGACGTTCAGATCTTTGACCGTGAATGCATCGGCAACTTCGAACCGCATCCGCTCCATCCACATCGTGACCCCAGAGACATTCTGCACCATTGCCTCTAACAGAACCAATCCGCCCGTGGACACATTCGCTACCGAGACTGGGGCGCCGCCGTTACCGTCCTGGGTCGAGACTGTTGTGGCTGGAGGATGGTTGACCTTGGTCTTGACCGAGAGCGGGTTCATTACCTGGAACTTATAAAACTTCCTGAATGATTTCTGTTGCCCATCTAATGTCGTGTACTGGATCGAGCAGACCAGAATATGGATTCCCAGCTCTTTGATTTCGTGCGATACAATCATCTCGTTGGTCTTTCCGGACTCCAGGAGTTGGATATGCCCGCCCGTGGCGGGTGAGGGCGGTACTTCCGATGGTGATCTTCCTGGCACATGTTGGCGCTGTCCAGCGAGGGTATCTGAGAGTGCAAACCGCAAGGTCGAGGTCTGGAGCTCTGCCTTGAGGATCACGTCTCTGACTGGGTGGGCTGATTCGTTGTTGGCGCAGATGTAGGATGTGAATGTCTCGCCAAGATAGATATTTCCAAAGGACGCAGGCATGGTAAGGAGCTCCGAGACCCCGAAATCGCCCATGTCCAGTGCTTCGACCTCATTGCTACTGCTATTGCCAGCATGCGCTTCATAATCGTTGGTAGGATGCACTTTAGCTGGTGGATGGACCCGTTCCAGCTGGGTGAGCGACAGGTCCGAGAGCGCTTCCGTCAAGATGGATGTCATATTCGGTCGCTCTCCCACGGGTGATGCCGTGGTAGCAGCAGCAGCTTCCGAGACGTTGGGAGATGTCGCAGCGTGAGGTGCTCCAAAGAAGAGGCCATGACCTGTAACGAGCGAAGGACGTGAGAGGCGCATGACCTTGAGAGAGATGAGATGGCTCTCACGTTGCTGGTCCTGTCCACCTGCAGCCATGATGGTTGCCTGGGTCGTGTGATGGGTATGTGTCCGTTCTGGGAGTCCGAGATGTAGTCCGTGCAAGTCGCGTCGCGTCTCTTGGCGGCAGAGTGAGGGGCGATGGTGATGGAATCGGTCTGCACTTGGAAGCAGGTTTTCGTACAAGATGGTTGCGTTCACGTACAGTCGAGCCCATTCTGTCCTCTACTTCTACCATGCCCAAAACAACGCGCTCTGGTCACACAGCCCCAGCCCCTAGTCCAAATCATACAAATCTCGAAAGAAGCACACTCTTTACGATAAGTGTCAATTCTTTTCAAAGTATCGTGCAAAGCAACAGCATAACCCATTTGTATCCATGTCGCTATATCAAGAATGTTGGATATGCACCCCTACACAGCCACCCGCATACTCAAGGAGCAACGGCGACACGGCCGCTTTCGGTGACAAAAGCGATTGTACACACCATACGAAGACCAACAGAGATTGTGGAAGTGGTCTTCTATGCCTGCAGGAGCCTTTAGGTACCGAAGTCAATTTTTGCCAGCTTCTTAAGCACACTCCTAATCTATATATTTTAACAGGCATCAACGTGCCTGATTATCGTCTGAAAGGAACTGCTGTGGTGATATGGATCCTCCTGAAGGGTTACTTTCGTCTTGAGTATCTGCCAAAGCCGATTGGCTTTTCGAATGGCTAGCTTTGAAACTTCAAGAAACAGAAAGGATTCAAGAGATACATCGGCCATGGGTGAAAGCGGGTCAGTCGACTTGAGTCTCTACCAGACCCAAATCGGAACATCCAAATGACGCTCGAGGATTTTGACCCAGACAACATCTAAAATTGCGATGAAACGGGTCTCTTTCTAAAGGCTATGTCAAACAAGACTATTGCCGCCGGTCCTATCCGCGGCAAGAAGATTGCTTGAATTGCTCGAGTGTCAATTTTATTGTGCTGCAATGCCATGGGCACAGACAAGCGCAAGCCTTATATTCTTTCTAAGTAATGAAGCATTATCCAAAGACTATGACAGTGGAGTTGAAAAAGGTAGCTTGCTTATTGATATTGATATTGATTTTTTTCTTTTGATCTGCAGCTAAGCACCGTCCAAACGGGTTGGCCAAACGACGTTGATGGAAATGGATGCTGAATTTCAAGGAAGCGGTTACATGACACACGACCTGTTCGCCGACAGGCTCTGGGAATTAGACTGGGACATGCACAGGAAGAGACGCAAGATCGCTTTGCTGATCGACAACGCACCAAGGCATGGCAAATATGAAAATCTAGGTCTTCCCAATGTCGCCATCATGCGGCTACCACGAAATACAACATCCATGACCCAACCACTTGACGCTGGTACCACCCGACCTTTCAAGGTCTTCTATAGTCAAGAGATGCTTGAGGTTGTCTGCGGTCGTCGTGCTCAAAAAAAGATTATCTACGGCAACGGTTCCGAATGGGAGGCTCTGGGCATATCTGTTTTGTCCAGGTTCCAACCCTGTCTGAGTACCATAAGATTCATTTATAGGCTTTGGGAGTCAATACAAAGGCGGATCAAATCAATCGCCTTCAGGAAGAGCTCATGGAACGGTATACAGGAAACGAGGAAGACATTGCCAGTCAGAACCTTCTCTGTCCTGAACTACCTCAGTATGATTCATAGTGAAGGGCCCTTACAAGCAATCCTCGGACTCGTCCTTCAGATAATGGGTCGCGAGGAATACAAGGAAACGTTCTGATCACTCAAGGAGAATGATTTCGCGGATGAGGATAGTTTCGATAATGATATGTTGAATGACGATGACGACTCTGATACTGATTGCGAGGACACCAAACCAGTTACCGATCGTCAAGAGATGCAGGTAGTCAAAACTGCTCTCCACGGTCGCACTGTGGATAAGATGGTTCCCATCGAGGGTTTCTCTTCACCACCTTCAAGTCCTATCCAGATGAGGACTATTCTCGAGAATCTTTCCAAGAGATTGTAAACGGGTTCATGAATACTGACGCCGATCAGCTGAATCACAATTGCGATGTTATATTGAGAGCTAACCTTCGGGCAGCTCTTGATATGATGGAATTGCTTATTGATTCGCATGGGCTAAGGAATATATAAACATGAACATGCCTAAATAGATTATTATGTATTTTTCAATTGGACTAAATACTTGGCTGCTTCTCCAACGCAAGATGCAAAGTAGAACTTGCGTTGGAGTGCGACTGTGTTCGCGCTTTCCATCCAACTTCTAGCCTCAGCCCTCCACTGAAGGCGGTAGCATCGAACTCTGCGCCAGGACAATTATTCATTATGCATACGCGCATGGGGTTTTCGTGAAGTATGTCTGTATCGTGCACCACCAGTCTGTGGATGAGTCCGTTGTGTTTTAAGGGATTTGTAGCTAAAATGATATGCGACCATAGAGAGATCGCCTTAATAAAGACCTCCTCGGCGGCGCTTTGGTGAGTTTTTGGGCGTAGATAGAGTGCGGGCATGGGCTGGTGGAGTAGAAGAGCGAGCTGATCCTGACATCATATCCTTGAGTCCATTGACATCAGTATTGGACCAATCCTCTATAAGCCTTGCCATTGCTTCCATACGATTCCTGAGCAGCAAGAAATCTGTCACAACCCCTAAGATTGTGCCAGCAGTTTTGTCTGTCCATTTCAATGGAACTGAAATACTCTGCTCTCGTGTCAGGCGGTAGAAACGACCTTCCATATACCGCAGGGAGACCATTTCGGCCCGCATTCCAGATACAAGAAGACCATAGACTTGTAGATCTTTCTTGACTTCACCTGCCCTTCGACAATGACAATGGCTAACAATGGTGTCGAGCATGTCTTTCAAAACCTTTGCCAGTTTCCTTCCATCACTCAAAACCTTGGTTCCTGAAGAGCCTTCATCTATCCTCCCCATTTCCACTGCACCAATCTCATACTTTCCTTCTCCGCAAGTGATCAGTCCATCGGTCTTGCGACCTTGGGCCTGACGGGTATCAAGCTCACGGCCCTTTCACTTACGTAGAGATGAGGCATTCGAGCACACCTCACCAGGTTGAAACTCCAAGTCCTCACTACCCCACTCTAAAACTTCAAAAAAAATCGACCAGACTTTCATAGCATACCAGGACTCAGACATCGAATTCGGTAGCTTGTTCCCATGTTTCTCATAAAGAGAGGACAGACGTAATATCACACGATACAGCATTAAACGGAAGTCATCAACCTCACGCTCGTCGACTGTGGTAGGCAAAGCATTCTGGCCAGAATGTTTCCATCCACAACTCAATTGCTCCCGCAATGCTCCTGGCGCCAACGAGTACCGTAAAATGTCCTCTTGCATCCACTGTGGCAATGCCGGTCGCGGCGTGGAGTCGTGTCGCCTGACAAAATCCTTGAAAAGGACTCGATCTCCTTCTTCAAAGCAATACACAACCGATCCTGTTTGGTCCAACACAAAGGAGTGCAAGGCTGACTCTACATCCAACGTCATTACATGCTGATAGAGAGTATCATCGGCATTGGTCCCAGTTGATAACAGCCATGGCGCTCCCTGGTAATCATTGAAAGCAGTTGAAAAATCGGTCCTCATACGAGACAGCGCCCCAGGAGTAAGGATGCCGCCGGACACGGACGAGAAAGACTCTGGTGATGAATCCGAGATTGGTGACGACAATGTCGGTGGCTGCACAGGTGAGGATTGCTCCGAAGCAGAGCCTACATTCAGGTACATAGCCACAAAGTATTGAATACATTATTTAGCGATTGTAAAGATATTCAACAAAACACAAAACAATCCCTTACATTGCATAATGAGCTGCCTGACTTCCTTCACGGACAGTTTTGATGCCCGCAGAGCTGCAGCCTCCCAATCGCCACTACACCGTATAAGATCCCGCAACTAAGTATCCCATTCTTTGCTGACAACTTCTGGCGTACAAATAGCATTCGCTGCACGAAAGACAACATAGTCTTCAACCGAGAGGTCGGCAGGACGAGACAACTCCATAAAATATTGGGCGCCTGCCCTGTTTGATTTGAGAAGCCTGTTAACTGACGTTTGGTCTTTGGCACCGGTGCCTGATGTATTGTCACCTGCATTGCGAACTGGCGTTTTCTCACCGCCAGTGCTCTTGGTCATCGCTAAAAAAAAAAGGTAAAGAGTATAATGGTTAATGACAGCGTCAGCATCAGGCATCTTGTGTACCACAAAAAGAAAGCCATGCCCGAGAGAAGGTTTGCCGGTATGCAAGAATAGAGTCGAGCACTGCTCTAAAAGCATGGACAGCCCAAGAAGGTTGTGGACCCTTGTTGAACTGGTCATCGGCGTCGTGTACTGAGTGCCAGGCCACCTCCGCACCATACACAACAAAGTGGGGAGATGGGGAACCCTGACAGGTCAAACACCGCCTTGCTCGTTCTCAAGTCAGATAACTAAAGCATATCATCACCATTACCTTGTTTGTCCGATGAATATTTGTCGATGACTATAATAAGGAAGTACCAGCGCAGAGGATGAAAGCAAGCACACCAGAAGAAAAAGAAAAAGAAAAAGAAAAAGAAAAAGAAAAAAAAAAAAAAAAGGAAGCCGATGCTGTGGAAGCAGAACGTGTAATGTTGAGGTCGAGAGATATCTGCAAACAACTGGAGTGTCAGTTTGTCAGTTGATAAAAGAGAGCGGTAGAGCAAGCTCTGAAGGGCTGTTGATGAATCCAAGGATAGTCGTTAACGGAGCCTTTTTTTTTTCTGAAGGAAGGATCATCAACTGGACGGATGTAACTCGCTACAAGAGAGGGAAAAGGGAAGGAGAGTTAGAGACAAGATTTTGACAGTCCTGCTCTACGTTCAATAGCGTTCCTCCAGGCATTGTATCAAACAGAACGATGACATGCCGCACAAGAGAGCAAGGCCATGCAGAACCCTTCTGAAGGTCATCAATGTCGCAGCCACTCCTCCGCTCAGCAGAGCCCGTAGCATCTCTGCTGAAACGAAAGAAGCGGGGCCACTCATCACATGGTGTTTCTGGGCGGGATAACATCAGGGTTGGTGAATTACCTTTCAGTCGACAGAAGAGACTGGGAAAGTAAACGCGCTTGGAAGTGCTGTAGAGTGAACTAAAGAGCTGGTGGGAAAACGACCAAGTGAGATAATAGAGAGCTGAGCGAATGAGGTGATGGAGAGGTGAGCAAGGGAGGTGATGAGAGGTGGGTAAGCGAGTTAATGAGGATAAATGGGGCAAATGAGAGTCACTTTCATTTGATCTCACGACGTAATTAGGGGGACTCTCGTACGCGTGCAATACAAAAAGTATTTTATTCAATTCACTCGTCCGATATGTTTCTACAGGGAGGGCTTGAGGCCGCGCTTCTTTTGCAGGTTCTCTGCGAGACGATCCAAGAACTCGAACGTGTTGAGATAGTGTCCACGCTTCAGGTCCTTGCCATGGATAATCAGCGCCAGATCCTTGGTCATCTCTCCGGCTTCAATGGTATCGATACAGACGCACTCAAGCTGCTGAGCAAAGTCCCGCAGTGCCGCGTTGTTATCCAGCTTGGCACGGAACTCGAGACCCCGGGTCCAGGCAAAGATGGACGCAATTGGGTTGGTCGACGTCTCACGGCCGCGTTGGTGCTCGCGATAGTGGCGTGTCACCGTTCCGTGGGCAGCCTCGGCCTCGCAGCACTGACCGTCGGGCGTTAAAAGAACCGAGGTCATCAAGCCGAGGGACCCGTATCCCTGGGCTACGATATCTGACTGCACATCACCATCATAGTTCTTGCAGGCCCAAACGAAGCCTCCAGAAGACTTGAGCATCTGTGCGACCATATCGTCAATCAGGCGGTGCTCGTACCAGATCTTTTTGGCCTCGAATTGTGCCTTGTAGTCCCGTTCATAGATTTCTTGGAAGATGTCCTTGAATCGGCCATCGTACTTTTTGAGGATGGTGTTCTTTGTTGACATGTACAGAGGGTAGTTCTTGTCCAGGGCGACCTTGAAGCAGGAGTGCGCGAATCCTTTGATCGACTGATGTTTTGCAGGGTCAAAGATATGTATCAACATTGAAACGTTGGCAATGAAATAGTCCATATCGATCGACAAACACATTTTAAGCATGACAATGATCCATATCCTACCTCGTCGTGGTTGTACATGCCCATGGCCACACCAGGGCCCTCAAAGTCGTATACAACATAGCTCTTCTTCTCCGAACCATCTTTTGGCGTGAACACGAGTTCCAAGCGGCCGGGGCCATTGACGACCAAGTCCGTAGCCTTGTACTGATCGCCGAAGGCGTGGCGTCCCAAGATGATGGGCTGAGTCCAGCCAGGAACCAGTCTGGGAATGTTTTTGCAAAGAATAGGTTCACGGAACACAGTACCGCCGAGGATGTTGCGGATCGTGCCCTACAATGCCGCAGCGAGTTCAGGAATAAGTAAGGTCGTATCTCTCAAGACGCTAGCGAGGATGGCGATCATCATCGAGTCGGCAGCTTACGTTGGGCGACTTCCACATCTGCTTCAGCTTGAACTCCTCGACACGGGCCTCATCCGGGGTAATGGTAGCGCACTTGATGCCGACTTTGTACCTCTTGATCGCCTCGGCGGCATCGATCGTGACTGTGGAGACAATGAACGCGTTGTAGCGAATCCAGAAAAGGACCGTAGACGATCGCATTAGAAAAAAGAAAAAACCATAATGGCCAAAATGGGGGGAGGGATCAGAGGACGGAGAAAGATCATCCGGTAAACTCTTTTCAAGATGCAATATGCACGATAATACATATAGCATTTCAGAGCACACATCTTGGGGTCCGGTCGATCTTGACGCGATACAGGTGGATCTTCTCGCTTCACCGATCACTGCTATTCTTCTAACTGTTATCCGGTTCGTCTTATACCTTGGTCATCGGTCTTGTCACGGTGCTCGATTCCGAGGTCAAAGAACTTGATGTCAAGGTTGACGTAGGGGAGGATGAGCTATTGCAGCATCAAAGTTGTTATGGGCCAAGTAGTGATGAGTGCCTACTTTGCTTGCATCTATGCCAGAGATTCAACTTCTCGTACCGCACTTTGGGACGCATACCTTGTCTCTGATGACATCCCAAATGATGCGAGTCATTTCGTCGCCCTGTATGAGGATGCCATTTCAACAGCCGTTGTTAGTAAAGGTTCTCTCGGTCGATAACTGGCTGCCGGCTGGGGGGATTTTGTTTTTGGATGAACCGGTAAGCTACCTGCATTTCGACGACAGTACCGCCTGGGAAAGTGGAATAAAAATAGTTGCCGTGTTACAAAGAAGAGGATGACCAGCTGCATCAGATATACCCGATACATTCATAACTCTGAGTGTTAAGTATGCGTACCGTGGATCCTGTTATGAGCGGTCATTGGTGAATGATATCTGATAGTAGCAGAAAAGCGGGTGGGGGGATAAGTCGAGTGTGTTGATAGAGTGGAGAAAAGAGACGGGGATTGGGAAACGGACAAAGACGCAAGTAGGAAGGGGTGACGACCCTTTTATAGCAAACCTTCCCGAAAAAAGTGATCGGCTTTCGTCTAGGCCGCAATTCTTCTTTACACGAACGTTGTGGAGACAATTGGACCATCGTATAACGCTCATTTGGAAATAACCTGCCCAATGCTCCCACGCTGTCAACACTTGCTACAGAGCGACTACCTTCAGCCGCTAGCCATCGAAATGATTTAGACAAGTGGAGCCTCCATAACCTACGATGAGGTTAGGTCCATAAAGGTATAGAAATAAAGTTGCAACTGAGACGATTCATGACGCAGCTCCGAGAACGTACAGGCAAGATGAGAGTAGAATATATACAAAAACACTTTTATTTTTTTCGTCAACGTCTGATAGTGGAGTGTGTATCGAGAGCTGCTTGTGCAAGTCCTGCGATTATGGTTGTTCTAGCGAGAAAATGGTGTTTGGTGTAAGAAAAAAATGTCGTCGGGAGGATGCCGTACGCGTGTACATGCTGCGATGTCAGGTAGCGCTACCACATCCTTGAACATCGCCCTCCGTTTTCGAGTGTCCCGTCTAGTGCTTCTGCTGAGAGTGCTCGAGCTCGTGGAGCTGCTTCACGTCCGCTGGACTGCCCTCGTTCTCGATCTTCCGGATGGCTGCGGGGTGCAGGTCCCACTCGTTCTTGCCACATTGACAGGGACTGTCCGTCTTTTGCTGCTGTACTTGGCCTTGTTGGCTGTGGTCATGGTGATGTGAGTGCTGCAGGTCGTCCTTTGCATCGTTGTTCTCGAGCGCCCGGTTGGCGTTGGGGTGAAGGTCCCAGTCGGCTCTCCTTTCTGCGCAGGTGCAATCGGTCTTGGCTGTCTGTGTGTTCATGGTTGTGCGGTGTGAATCTGTGGTGGTGGTGGTGGCGGTGGTGGGTGTGGAAGTTGGTTGTATGAAGATGTGTGGGAAAGGAGGATGTGCTACGTCGATCTTTTATAGGTGCAGTCGAGACATAATTTCTGGCGTCTCTGCAATGATGATGCATGGGTGCGCCTTATTTGGGGGCATAGTGAAACCTAGCCAACAATTGCTCGCCGAAATAGCGCCCTCAAAGAGGCATCTCGCCCGAGTCCCGAGCACCAAGACACACCCCCTCCGCGCTGTTTCCCAACACCCCTCCACTGCACTCTGGGCAACTCAAACTCACTTTGGCTTCTGTGGACAGACCCTCTTCCTCCAACACTGTACACTGCCACTTTGTATTCCGCCGTATACCATCGATTGTCCGGTCTGCAGCGAGTGGGATCAGATGATGCCATCGAAGGCGTTCATCGCGCGCCGTAATGCGACTCTCTCTTCTAAACGGGCTTTTCTGCCTGCCTCGTCATGTCCGTTCCTTGTTTGGCTGAGACTTGTCGGCTCCGTCTGCATCGCTATCCGAGGAGGCCACAGGCCCACCGCCAGACCCAGAATGGGCATCCCATGGCGGAGTCTCCTCCCAGCTCCGTTAACGACATTATTGAACTAATACACTCAACCATCCTATGAAAGAGTATCAGCACGCTCATCACTATTCTTGACCAGCGATCCATGGATCCCCTCCCCCTTTTTTTTAACCTCTTGATATTTATGAGTGAAGCCTACAGAGTTGGACCCTAAAGAAAACACTAAGAGCATTTCTTCAATTTCGACTTTGCCCAAAAGAGCATTAAATACACACTCGTCATGTTCATAAAGACCGTCTAAGCATCCCATCAAAGTTCCAAGCTGGCGGCATAACAAAGAAAGCAGCTCGAAACCAATACATCCTTAAACCCCCGGCAAAGATATCATCAATGCGTCAAGACATCTATCTCCCATCTCTTCAGTGCTGGCGCTAGATCTTATTAATGCTATATAGTAAATGTGCTTGTTATAAAATGGAAAGGAATCAGACGCAAAAGAAAGTAGGTTGTAGGAGAAAGCGCAAGAGGCGTTGAAACGGTTCTTGCCAGAACGACATCTCTTTCTATTCGTCTTCTTTTGCAGTGCATCAATGGCTGAATGTGGTCCGTGCGGTTGTGCCATGAAGCTATCTCTTTTTAGTCAGGGTATGAACTGGTATCGAGGATTGCCCTTGGGGAAATCGTATTCTCAAACAAAAGGTTTCTACAGGTGAACAGGCGCACATCTTCATTATGAACCGTTTACTCCTTATTTTTTAGTCCCTCCACGCAACAAAGACCTCGTCCGTCCGGAACCGCTGTGTGCACCACGTCTTCTCCAGCGGTGTCGTATACCCAGTCTGGTACGCCAGAATCCCCGCCTGCGCAATCATGATCCCATTGTCGATACAGAACCTTTCGTCCGTCGCAAATACCTTTCCGCCTCGTTGACTCGCCATCTGCGCCATCATCCCCTGCAGTCGCATATTGCATCCAACTCCGCCGACGATCAGTACTTCCCTCGACCCAATATGTGCCATCGCCCGCTCCGTCGTCTCCACAAGCATCGCAAACAGGGTCTCCTGTAACGAGAAACACAGATCGGCTTCGGTATATTCGCCAGAGGCCAGGAGTGCGGGTGCGTTGGTTTCGATATAGGTCAACACACCACTGAACGAGACATCCATGCCCTTGACCGTATACGGGAGATCGATCAATTTACTGCCCCTGTAGCCACGAAAAGTGTGTAAAAAAATAAAAAAGATCAATCTCGGTCAGCGTTTCGACTGTCCTGTCGCGTTATCTTCTTCTTCCTCCCATATCCGTCATGCATTCCTTTTTTTTTTTTTTGACATTACTTTTTGGCAAGTTGTTCGACATTATATCCCGGTGCCGGATCATTCGGCAGATTGAGAACCCTCGCGAACCGATCGATACAATTGCCCACCGCAATATCCAGCGCCTCGCCAAAGATCCTGTACCGCTTCTCCGCATACGCGATCACTTGTGTGTTTCCTCCAGAGACATAAAGCACCACCGGATTCTCCGCTCCTGTGATCTGCCGTCCCATCTCGATGTCTAGTAGTCGCGAACCAACCATGCAATTAAGAAACATAAATGTTAGGAACGCACCCACATTCATCATTCCCCCTTCCCCCCCTCTCTCCTTCCCCCTACCCGGCAAGAAATAAAAAAAAAAAAAAAAAACCTTCCCCTTGCAAATGAAAATTGCTTTGTTAATGGACCAGGTGTCCCAGACAAGAGCACTTACGTCCTACGCAGTGATTCACGCCCACCAATTCCTTCTTCCACATCAACGCCAATGTCCTCGCCACAGTCGCCACACTCGTCAGCGGTCCTCCCATGCCCGGTCCCTTTGTGAAGCAAATGACACTGATATCCTTCGGTGTGATCTTGGCCTCCGTCATGGCGTCCTTGATCAGCTCCAGGATATGACTGCGGTGGTGCTGAGCTGTGTCCTTTGGCAAGAAGCCCTCGCCTGGTGGTGGGTGATACGTGTGTCGGACGTTGGAGAGGATCGTCACCGTGGGTGGTGTTGTGCTCATGTCATGGCGAATCAGTCCTATGCCCAGCTTGTTGGCGCTTCCTTCGAGTCCTAGTGCAATCATGATTCTTTGGGGGTCGGCTGTTGGTATAGTGTATTGATCGAGACTCATTAATACATCGTGCTCAAGGTCTACCACGACTTTGCCTTCGAGATCTTGAGACGAGCTCAGTTGCGACTCCAAGCCACCATTTCTTGGGGAAACGATAATTGCGTATAAAGTCCAGGCAGGGAGCGCAGCAGAAAGTGGTTACAATCAAAACGCGCACGTTTATTACCAAGCTAAATAGGAAAAAACAGTAGGGTGGGGGTTTACTTATGAACTATGCGCTTATCGAGCGTGGTCTCAACGTGTTGCAATCTGGACAAAGCTGAACAGCTGTGAAAGGTCCACATAACGACGCGCATTCTTGTCGATATACTTGTCCGCACATGCCTTCATCTGCCGGATCAGCTCCCTGTTCTGCTCAATTTGAACACGCACTGCGCCATTCTTGTCAAAATCAATCTTCTCCAGTGCCTTGTTGACGTCAAAAATATGACTAAAGAACGACAGCTGGGTATAAAGGGCTCCGTCGGAATACTATCACAAGAAAATTATAGTCAATTAATAAGTTATCTAAATGCATAGTTGTGTACAGCAGCCACGAACCGACTGACACTTACTTCGCTGCGCATGCTGCCTCGGCATCCCTCGACAAGGCACCGGCGACCCACAACACTGACCATCCTCGTCCGGTTGCGGCAGCCCTGATCGTCGCAAACCACCCATCCTTGATAGTATCTCTGAATATACTTCCGGATCGCCCCTGTTAGCTGCACGCTTGCGGATGCTGGTTGAGCGATCGACTTACAGTTGGGACATTGAAGGCCAAAGTAGCCTGTCGAGTTCTAATCAATAAAATAAGTTGTCGGGTTATTAACAGCACAGGCAATAACACCCATAACAGTCTCAGTGTTTGTCAATGTTCATGATCGATACGTACTGTCTCCATCAAGAGTGCGGAGCAGGCATATGTTGCTTGGCAAGCTCGACACCGCAGTTCCAGGGGTGCAGCATCCTTGAAACGCTCCGCATCAGATAATTGAGACGCCAGCGTCTGCAACTCCTCCTCCTGTGCAGTTGCCCGAACTGCCGATCTGAACTTTGACGTATCCAAGCCAAGGCATTCCGCCAATCGCGTTGCATCCGTGCCCTCGATAGGGTCACACAGACGTTCCAGGGGTGGATGGATCTGCTGGTTCAAGTAATACTCGTAATCTATGAAGACAGAAATGAAAGTTGGTGTTACTTTGCCGTCGCTGTGTTCCTTCATCCGGAAATGTTCTGTCGTCGTGATCGAATAAACACTTACCAATAGTAAGGCCTGATCCTGGTTCCAACACTTCTTCCGGATGATAAGCCCGTTCTGCATAGCTTCCTTTGTGCGTTGGCGAGTTCTCGTCTATGCAGATAACGTATGGAACGGTATCGCCTGCTCTGATACTAACGCCCTTGCGTTTAAGTCTGAGTGCGACCTGGACATGCGGCTGCGACTTGGCGTCAGCATAGTCTTCGGGTGCTTTAGTTAGACCCTAAAATAGATATTTTTTTGTACAGTTGCTTGTTAGTTCGTATTCAGCAGAGGCGCGGCAAGCAAGCGCTTTTGAGGTCCTTAAAATGGGTACCTTGTTGACAATGAACATATCCATAGGAATAAGACCCTTCCGAGTCTCCTCGCCGACTTTGCGAAGGTAGCTATGAATATTCTCAATAACTTGTTCTTGGTCCTGATCGTTGCTCGAGAGGATCTCTGTCAAAACGTACCTATATTATGAAAAATGACACCGGCCAGCATTAACCTCTTGACCAAGCCAACATCACGCGGAGCAGTTGCCAAGTACTACTTACTCAGAGACATCCCGACTCAGTGCACACCAGTCTCGACGAACCATATCCAAACCCTTTCTCTCCTGAATGGTCTCGTACTTGCCATTCTTCTCAACGACCATCAGGGCTGCATACTTCTTCTTCTTCAAAAGTAGCATCCGCTGGTACATCCCATCCATTTCGATCTCCAGCAGTTTATACCGAGTATTGACAATCTTTTTCAAACCCTCAGCGATCGGTTTGACCTCCTCGACCTTCCTTGTGTTCGTATTAATCATGATTGAATCCGTGTCTCCATAAATGACCTATAGGATAACAGTGTACATGGCGGTCAGACACCTTGAGCATTTCAAATCGCCAGCTCAGCTTATCAAAGAAAGCGGCAGATAAACTTACATCGAGTCCGCTTTCCGTGGCAAGGTCGACTGTATTTTGCAGAATCTCTCGTCCTCTTGATGTAATCAACATGGCAAGCGGCTTCGCGTAAAATCTCGAATAAGCAGCTCCAAGACAACCGTACATCGAATTAGCTGTCAGCTTGAGACCCTTCTGACGAATGTCGTACTGAAAATGTGATCGGCAAAAAAGGGTATCATCATAGTTAAGATCAGTTTGTCAAGAAAAAGACATGATACGTTCCCGATAACAAAAAGAGTTGCACGTAAAATACACGTACCTCTTCGTATTTAACACCTGTAGCGGTCTTCATCAGCTTCTTGACTTCTCTTCTGCGCTCGACCAGATTCGCAAGAAGCTTTGGTAGAATTCCCTGTGGCAGACCCTCCTCTGGATAATCCGGAAGCGCATCATCATCCTATAGTAGAAAAAAAGTGAGTAGTTAGAGCACTGCAAGAAAAGCAAGACGCAGCTCAGAACCTGCTGCTGACTACTCTAAAAACGCAAATGCCTACCTTTTCCTTGTCATGCTTGACCGTCGTAAAGCAGATGTTGTACTCCTGGATAATCGAGGGATACAAACTGTTGAAATCCAACAGCAACACAAAATGGTCGTAGAACCCCTTCTTGGGTTCCAGGACCAAACCTCCCGAGTACTGGGGTTTGCGTCTCGTTCCCTTCTTCGGTGCAGTCGCATCATCCTGATCGTCCACATCCATTCCATTGACCATTGGTGGTGCCTCCTTGTCTTTGTAAAAGGACTTGTCTGGACAGATGTACTTGTTTCGATGGAACTCGTGTAACAGAAGATACTCATTTCGCACAGCACGGCCAGCAGTCAGCGTCATCGACCATAGGTTTCCCGAAAGCGACGTCAGTTGTTTTGAAAGGGGCAGTAGCTGCAGTGAAAACATGAGTTCTGCGCAAAGGTATGTGTCGAAATCAATATGGCGTAACATCTTCTCGAGCTCCTCCGCACGACTAAACTGCGACGGGATTTTCTCGTAGTTGACATCCTCGCGGTTGATTTTTAGTTGAATCGACACTAGATTCGTCAAGCTGTAACTCTTCGCACGAACATGTTCCTTCGCTCCAATGTAGGTGTCGCACATAAGTCGTCCCGACATGATGTTCTTCTCCTGCGCTGTCGTATCTCCCATTCCTCCTGCGCCTGCTTGAAGCTTGGGCCAACTATTGCCGACCATTCGAAAATATCGTTACCACAACTACATCTTCCATCATATAATAAAGAATATTCATGACAAGGGTAAAGTCCCTACATTGTACGGCGAAGTCTTCCAATACTGGACCAATGGTCAGCTTTCGTATGCTTCATGCGGTGGAGCAGCACATCGAGATCGAACCCCACAAAGTTGTGCCCGACAATAACATCGGGATCAGAGCTGCGGATGCGAGCGAGCAACAGGTTCAGCAGCGATCGTTCAGACGCCTGCTTCACAATCTTGACCTTGCTCTTCTTGATAACATCGTCAAACATCGGCGGGAATGGGGAAGTTTCCAGCTTGCGAATATATGTCTGTTTCGACACAATCCTCCTATTGTTCTCCACGGGCTCATCCAAGCGAACTAAAATTTTGGCAGGAAATGTATGTCGTGATGAGTACCAATTGTATCTCCACTTATCGCAGATATTAGAATACGTCCTAGCTTCACTTCACGAACCTTCATGGTAGACAGAGGTGCTCGCAGCAACGACCTCGTTCGACTTGTCCTTGGGGTTGAGAACCGTTCTCAAACTGAGCGACATGACACACAAGGGTGGTGGCGGGAGATCGGACGAGTCATTCAGTGGTTTAATGTCCTTTGGATTGCCTACTGTAAACTCGCTCTTACACCATGAAACCTACAAATTTGGTACATTCTATTAGTACATACACTCTGAAAATATAACATACCCCCGAGTGCCAATTCACAATTACAATTGTTTACCTTGGTATTGTTCATCTTTGCCTGTTTGATTTCCAGCCACGATGGACCCATCAAGTTGCGCTTGATTATAAAGTGCTCCAGAGCGCTTGTATTCGCACCAAAAACATGGCTGAAAGTCTCGCCTTTGAGATCCGTTGGCAGACTTGGCACTATAGGAACCATAGCAGGCGATAGCAAGGAGTTAATACTTAACAATTAAGGCGGCTCCGATACGATTTTAGATCATCCAGCAGGGAGATGCCACCTACAGGAATAATTATAAACGACCTTGAGATACTCAGCAGAGGACGGAATCCCTGGTAAATCAAAGGCGTATTTCCTCTCCACTTGTTTTGCGGCCCATGTCGTGACCTTGTACGATTGTAGGATCTCCCCAAATTCCGTGTAGACGTCCTCCATACCGACATCAATTTCGGTCTCATTGCCTTGCTTGTCGACCCGTTTAGCACGGGGCAGGAGAAAAATATTGCGCTCCATATTGTGTACCGCAACACAACAGCTGATGTGGGTGTTTGATGCTCTTTGTAAAACCTAGAAATCCCGAATTGATGGTGTACTTTAGTACTAGCTTTGAGAAAGCATCCAAATGATCGCTCCATGTCATCTTGAAATGAATACGATGAGGCATACCTTTCCAAACAGATAGATAATACCACGAACTTCACATGCGTCAATCCAGTACATCCTCAGCGTGCCGTCCTCCTCCTTGATGCTAGCTTCCTGAATATCAGTGGCGCTGTCCGTCTCGACCTTGGTCTCTGCATGCACCTGATTGAGAGAGTCGTCGACAGTCATCCAGTCCTGACGAGAGTAGCTCTCGAGCTGCTTGATAACAGTTGCCTTTTCCTTCTTACTCGTGTCGTTCACCAACTTCATAGGTGCTCTGGATTCCTTGACCGCAATATTCTTCACCGCCAGCGGTGTATAGTCCTCGTCGTTGACCTGGAAGGGGTTGTGCTCGGTCTCCCACTTGATTTCCCTCTTCACTGCGATCTCGGGTGGTGGTGTTTCCTCCACAACATCATAGGCGTCATAGATATCATCCTGTTCAAACGCCTCCATTCTCGAAGCCAGGCTCCGTGGGATATCGTCAAACTCCTCGTCCTTGATCTTTAGAGGACCCATTTTCGAAATGAGAACCCGCTATTTGATGCCATAGACGAGAAGAAAAAAAAAAGATTAGGCAAGGATCAGGTCATAATCTTTGAAACGATGCAAGCAAAGAGACTATATGCTTACCGTAGGGGTCTGGAGTACGGCTTTTTTGCTAGGCAGGAGCGGCTTCTTCGTAGGAGTGGTATCGACCGGGTCATCCAAGTCCTGAAGAAGCGAAGCTACGAAATTATCATCGGCTGCGGATTGTTTGGTCTATTGAGAGCGGAAATGAATCGGTAGCATTAGTCATAGCCTAAATCAGGGTAGGGTTATACGGCCTAAACCTCAACTCGATCCATTTATCATACCTGTACAGGTCTCGCGACTCTAGGTCGTGATTCGGCCTTCATGAATGCATCCAAGATGTTCTCCTTTGCTTTGGGTTTCGGAGCATCTTTGTGAGAGCTTTTTCCCTTTCCATTCTTCTTGGATCCTATGTGTCATAACGTTGCGGATGAAAAGGATGTCTGTGAGAAAGAAAACAAGAATATTGACCAACCAAGAAGCCTCGAGCATAGTGTTCAAAGTGGCATAGATACCTTTGGTTGATGTTTCTCCATCCGGGTATTCGTCAGAGTAGTATCCCCGCTCTCCATCATCGTCATCGTCCTCATAAACATAACCTCGACCATCATCATCCTCTACAAAGTCGTCATGATCCTGCCGCAGCCTCTTATTCAGCCTGTCGTCGGCAATTTCGTCGTACAGATCCTCCGCCTCGGCAACCTATCAAGATGAAAAAATAAAATAAAATACCGACGGCTTAGTAAATAGTGCGGAGAAAGAGCTGGTTGGCATGGCTTAAGTGCCAAATAGATGTAGCCGAGATTGCATCTCACAGTGTCCCGTACCTCGTATTGATGAATGCGCGACACGCCTGCCTCTTTTGCTGCTCTAGCGGCCTTGAGCTGAGCAATGGCCGAGCTGCTTGACCGTTCCGTGGCCCTGCGTTTTATCCTGCCGCTCATGTTGGGGAGGTGTGGGGAGGAGATGAAGGAAAGTGCCGAACAGAGAAACGACTAGGGATAAACAAAAAACGCGCTTGGAACAGACACACAGAGAAAATCAGAAATCACGGCCAAGATAAACAAAAACACTGAACGCGCTTTTTAATTTGACTGCTTTTGGATCGCCGCGATTTTGCACCACTGGAAAAAGAGGCCCAGCTGAATATCTGCCACTGAAAAAAAAAAAAAATCCATCGTAACCGTATCCTAGTCGCAGCATGTTTCAGTGGATAATGTTTGCTCCACATTACCGAGGAGATTGAGGGGGAGGGGAGGTAAAAAGCAAAAATCAATATCAGTTGCTGGACCACACGTAACCAAGAAGCAGGTAGACCATTCCAGTTGTGGCGAGGGCCGTTCCTGAATTGGAGAAACAGCCATGCAGTTGAAGAGCGGTGTAACGGTTTTTGCAGTTACGGAAAGCTGGATGACCAATAGCAACTGAGCAACGAGGTCTAAGATATTGGTGTGCTCCAGCCCAATATGGTTATCCTCGACAAGTCCATGTAGAGCATCATCTCTTTCGTTCTCCTTCTAAAAGACCCATCAACATCAGCAGGCATCAACACCAGGATCGGCGCAGAAGACGCTCATACGATTTCGTCGTTGAATTAGTCTTGTCATCGGATTCAGCTGGATCAGTCCAGGGGCAAACAGATCATTACTGGACAAACGCACTAGCCCGTGCGCATTGCTCTCTTTGGGCATACACACATACCTCAGGAAACAGCGTTCTTTTGTCCGCCCCTGCTTTTGATACTCACCAGTACGCACGAACTGTCTGCCTTCTTCATTGCCATTATCACAACCATTCAAGATGCCACCTGTAAGATACTATACGACTCGGCTATATTTTTTGTATTTTACCTCTGATATTTTCTCTATGGTGCTGGATCTCACACGCATGCATTGATTCAATGTTTCAATATCTCTAGTTACGACCGCCGATCTACTCGGCGCGGGACATGCCAACGCCATACTTGAAGCTCAGTCGAGGACTCCGGGTGTTATGTCTTTGCCCAGCAGTATGGGGTATCTACATCCATCTTCAACAGGCAAATGCTATTCAGGGTCGAGATGCTCGTGCCTTGATGATGATGAAGAGCTCTGCCCTCGATAACTATGTCGGCATCTTATGGGTGAGTGGCATTCATTTCTTTTTACTTTTTCTTTTCATTTTAGCGGACCAAATGAATCCAGGGACCAGGAATGAAAGCCATTGGGCAATACGGACATTTTCCACACTATGACCTGACTAAATGACCTATTCTCTTACTTTTATTGTCGTATTTATTTCTTTTATTAGTGTACGCTGGGTGGTCTTTGGAGCTTCTGGTTGACGAACAATTTGATCCGCCGCTGGTTCACCCACTACGAACCTCGCCCAGCCATGATCCGACTCTTCACCCTCGCCGTCATCTTCTGGTTCTCGGTCGTGTCCTTCGTCAGCTACTTTGGGGCCGACGAACCGATCTGGCCCTGGATGGCTATCTGTGCCATCCTCGCCGTCGCCCAGATCATCCAAACCATCCACTTTCGCTTCCGTGGCGTCTACCGCCTCGACCCCCAGCGCAACCCCCGTGGCGTCGACCCTCGCATGATCATCCTTCGAACCGTTCTCATCCCAGGAGGCGTCGTATCCTTTATCACCATGATGATGCTCCTCCATCAGAATAACACCCGACCCTCCTCCGCCGAGACTCTTGCCTCCACAGGGGCTACGGCCATTGCTGCGATTAACGCTGCAAAGCAGATCATGGGATCCGCACAAACCCAGGTCATGATCCTGATCTTGACATCGTGGACAGAAAAAGGATTTCACAAACGGCAAACCTTTCGAGGGACGACACTTCGGCTCCTGCCCCCAGCATCCGCTCAGTTCGCGTTCACTTACAAGTTCATTTTAGGAGAGGCGCCGAGTCCGAGGGCGAGAGAGTCCATGGGACCCAGGATCAGGGAGGAGCAGGAAGAACACGACGATCTCTTGATCCTGCCAGTCTCGGACACGTACGAGGATTTGAGTTATAAAGTCTTCAAGGCACTGGAGTGGAGCAACAAATTCAAGTTTGATTTCCTTTGCAAGACGGACGATGATATTTTCGTGCGATGGGATGTGGTCGCTCGAGAGTTAATAGAACTGGGACCGACACACTATTACTGGCGGGGGCTGGGATACTGGGACATTCCACCGATCACGAACCCGGACAACAAAAACATCGACAACCAATTCAAACTCGGAGTCTTCCCGCCCTTTGTCGCCGGATCACTTTACATCTTCTCGAGAGACGTCGTCACCCTGCTCACCTATCCCGGACCACGGTTCTTCACCAAAAATGAAGACCAGAACGTCGGAATCTGGCTGTACTCCTACAACATCAAACCCATCCACGACAAACGCATCCAACAGTGGGACGTATGCGAGAACGACATGATCGCTAAACACTTCAGCGACGCCTTCACCCCTGTCGAATCCATGCATGAGATGTATCGGAACGTGATCGAACGTCGTCCTCTCTGCGAGGGCTTCCGACAAGTGTATTGTGCTGCATGCTATTCATGCCTCGGTCGGAGCAACCACTGGAAAGACTGGGGCGTCGCCTGTGACAGTGTCAAAGGAATCACCAACCTTCAGAAAAATGGACTCTACCAAGGAAAGCTTACCGTCGATATCAAGGATCCCATGCCGACTCTCGGCGCAAGGGACGAATGGATCCTGCCAGGACTCTTGACAGACACCAGCAGTATCTATTCGGATTCAGACGACTGGGCAAGGCTGCACTGGGCGATTTGGACTACGGATCCGGTGACGACATGGCAGCCACGACACTTCCAGGCCATCGAGACGCTCTTTGTCCACAACCCGAATGCCGTCCTCATCATCTTGTCGAATACCCTGTCCGCGGATTTCTTCGTGGACTATACCCGGCAAGGATATCGGATTCACATCCTCGCCTTCTCCAAGGACCTACTCTTAAGGCGTAAGTGGTTCTTCAGCCCCAATACCGAAGATTGGCTCAAACGATGGGACGAGTGGGCCGATGCTGGCAAGTTCTTCCCCGTACACCTGGCGGACTACTTGCGATTGGTAGCCTTGTACAAGTACGGAGGGCTTTACATGGACATGGATGCACTGTGGGTACGTGCCCCAGGGGATGGCATGACCGAGTTCATTGGCGCAGATATGTCTGATTACGATGGCGATCGAGTTTGGACCTTGGACGACAAGAACACCTATCTGGCCAACGGCGTCATGCGGTTCCAGCGCGGCCGATCCATGTTCCGACACATTGCCGACAGCTACTTTACGCTGACGAACTATGACCCCGAGTGCTTCAACTGTGGTGGTCCCAAGGCCTTTACAATGTACGTGAAGGCACATCGTGCCACACTCGAGAACAATGGCCTGAGGATTCTACCACGCGAGGCGCTCTATCCGTACAACTGGAAGGAGATCGAGGCCGCGCTCAGGCCATCCAAAAATCCAGAGGAGGAGATCCAACGGGTAGAGCAGCATGGCATTGGGCTGCACCTCTACGGTAAGGTCACGAGCAAGAAGGCAATTGAGGACGGGAGCGTCGTCGCAGCGGCCCTCAAGGTCTGGAACCTGGATATCTTTCCCAACGCGCCGCTGTCCTCACCAACCCTTCAAGGGCCCGATACACTGTACTACCCTGTTACTTCTGCGTCTTCTTCCTCGCCCCCATCACTGTTGGTGGCGCCCCAGGGCTCGCTTCTCGAAAAGGAACCCGGCACATTCCGTGGCATCGACGCTGTATTTATTAGAGGCATTCATCGGTCTGCTTCCTCCTCGAACGCTCCTATCACCAAAAAAGCGGCTGTTATCATCACCGTGCAAGAGGGCTTCATTATCTCGGATGTCTCTGCGGCTGGCGCTCGGAGGATCGAGATGGATCTGGGCGAGAACGTGACCATGGCACAACTGAACACGGCTCTGTCGAGGATACGATATGTGCCTCCATCAAGTTCATCTCGCATTTGGGATGGATCCGATCAAGTCAGGATCCAGGTATCATTCGGCGATATGCAGCGAGAACTAACTATCCCGGTCGTCCGGAGGACGATCAAGGCGTAATAGGAACAGCACCCTTCCCCTCCCCCCCTGTACAATAAATCTCATATTTATTTATTTTGGACACATAGTAACTGCAGTCTACCTGCACGATGATGGCGTCGATGAACAAATGGCGCAGAAAGCTCTATTATGCGGCCCATATAGTAAGGGGGTTGTTCTCGGTCTGACGGACTCAGACTGCACCTCAGACAATTCGGTGGCTTGTCGCTGCTGCTGCAATCGAAACGACCGCCAGCAACGGTGAGCTGGTCCAGGGCTCGTCGTACATCAATTAAAAAGCGGTCAGCGAGAAAAACAGAAACCCAAACGCAGGCCAGCACAACCCTGTTAATTCGACACATTAGTAAAAACGCAACGTAAAAACACATTCAAACAACAACTGCTTCGTTCTGGTGAGGCAACCAGACCAGGCGAAAGTGCCCTGAGTAAATAGATGACATTTTTTCAAGCCAGCTGTGAAAAAGTCGAGCTTTAGTGTTTGAAGTGTGTCTAATTTACAAGAACGAAGGAACAGAAGATGACTTGATGCTTCACAACGATTCGGGGTCGCCGAATGGACGGGTGTATGTTTTAAAAGATGTGCTTCAAAAATAGCCCTCTGGAATCCAGACTGTGCAGGCGAATTTGGACTGCCCTTCAGACCTGGAACGACCCCCTAAGTATACCCGTTGCGGGAAGCTCTGAATCCCTCAGTCACTGTTAAGGGGGAACCGTGGTCATCCCAACATGTGGTTGATTCTGAGCTTGCGATGGTTGTGTGGGGGGCATATCAAAGAACCCGGCCGAGGACCTGACGGGATGAAAGTCTTGAGCTAGCCGTGCGATTTTTGTACGCGCCATCAAAGGTCCCTGTGAGGGGTACGATGGCAGGTGGCGCGAATCGAAAAAAAAAAAAAACAAAAAAAAAAGCGCAACGCAGTACTCGCGGCATGCTCCAAGATATTATTCTAGCCTCCTGCATCACCGAAAAAGGGTCTTGTTTTTATTTTTATGTGCCTACATTTCCTGGTTCTGCGTGCCAAGTACTGTACTTTTTTTTTTTTTTTATGGCATGATGCGAGTGGGTAGCACCGTACAAATACAAAAGCAAATGAACAATGGGAAGCAAATATACAAAGGGAAATGGAGCCAGCGAGTGACAAAGACAACATTAGAATAAAAAGAACAAATCCATGCCTGTTCTTTATTCGCGCACTCTACATTGGACTGGGCGGTCAGAGTAGCGTGTGTGTGACTAGGCCCATGCCTTAAACCAATCTCAATCCAGGCAGCCAACAGGTGAAATTAAGAATCGATGACTGAATTTTGGATCTATTGTACAAACTATACAGAGTGGAACGAGAAGAGCACGATACTATAACAATGGCAGCCTATTGCTGTAAGACGGGAGGCCAACGAAGAGGAGAGAGGGCGGGTAATCATGAACTGAATGTGCAAGTATGAACAGGAAACAAGTGAATAAGAAAAGACAAGAAAAAGAAAAAGAAAAATATCATCCGAATCATCATCATCATCGGCCTTCCTTACTCCCAAACATCCTTCCAAAGCTCGTCTTCCTCCTTCAGCCATTCCTGGGACACGGTCCCGTCGCCGCCATTCTGGTCCCAGATATCGCGAAAGATCATCATCAAGTTCTTGAGGCCCAAAAGATAGCCCTTGTCCGGCTCATCAGGGTGCATCGGCGGGTATGGTGGCATGTTTCCCTGGTTGTAAATCCCCGCTGTGCAGTGCGCAAAGTCGATGACTTTGAGATCAGTGCGAGGCCGATCCTGAAGCCTCCTGTGAGGATGGAGAGGCCGTTTAGGATGCTGCTGTTGCTGTTGCTGAGGTAGCTGAGGTACAGTCGTGTCTGTGTGCGATACTGATGCCTCAGCCGATGCTGCATTCTGCTGACCCACTGGTGGTACAGTCGAAACATCAGTATCCGTCGTGTTCAAGCCGGATTCCTCAGTGCAACCGCGACCAGTAGCTACGCCCTGAAGTGGTGACTTTGAAGGTCCGCTATCGCCATCGTAGTAGATCAACAAGCTGCTAGCGTAGAAGCGATAGCCATTGAGGCTCTTGATGATCTTGGCAAGGTCTTTCAACTTTCTTTGCAATATCGGTATATGGCTCAGATCCACCTCGCGTCCGTTGTAGAAGAATTCGCGCAACGTGAGCGGGAGGGTCTCTTTGGTCAACTTTCGGCCATAGTACTTATTTTGGAACAGGAAGCGACGCGTGATAACATTGTAAGCCTGCATAAGAAATAGTATTAGATGTGCTGATTTGATCAGGAATCAGGGTCGAAGAAAATATAGATCAATCCAAATACGAACACATTACCTGCATGCCACAGATCCTGATGCCAGTCTCATAACTGGTCGTCTTTTGGCACTTGCGCATCTGACCTCTCATCTTCTTCTCGTTAGCCCAGATTCCATACTGTCGGGTACCCATTTTGATGTCAAGGATACATGGCGCCTTGAGACCGTCGGTCAGATCCTCCAGGAGAATGTACTTTCCCGGCACGGCATCGGAAGGCAGTAATTCCCGTTTGAACTGCTCCATTTTGTCGGTTTGGGGGGCATCTCCACTCTTGATAAGGTTCGGCTGGGAATCAGATCTAAGGCCAGGTCGTCCACGACCAGCGTTGTCGACGATCCATTCATTGCGACCGACAGGAATGACGACAGGATTCTTGTCCTCTGGTTGTGTAGCGCCCTGTTGTTCATTCGATTGAGCCTTGAGCATTGTCTCGGAAACCTCCAAGTCGTCCATCTGGAATAGGTCGTTGTTCATGTCACTCAGGTCCATGGCTGCTGATTCGCCCTCTCCCCTAAACCTCTGTGTGGTTGCTTGCTCCAAAACGCAATCTGATGGTGATTTGTGGTCGGTGCTGTCGGCTGAATACTTTTCAGCACCGCTGGAAAAGCGCGGTCCTGAATCAGAGTCGTAATGGCCAGCATCTGACAACTCCCGTCTCTTGTGCTCCTCGCGCGAAGCCATGGCCAGATTCAGATTCGAGAGCGAATGTCGGCGTGGTACCTGTTTGACCATTTCTTCACAGCCTTCATCTGGAGAATCGTGAGAACGAGAACAGAGCTCATTGCGTGACCTTGACGTGAACCCAAAGTGTTGTCGGAAAGCCTTAGCGCGAGCCTTTAGGGAATGAGGAGAAAGTACTTCCCGCAAAACCTTCTCCTTCAGCGCTAGATTGATCCTTGTAAGGCCTCTGATCTTTGTGAGGCTGGTAGGGCTCGATATGGACGATGGGATGGGAAGACTGGAGTGAGTTGGAACCGAATTTGATCCCATAAAAGAGCTCAAGTAGCGATTCTGACCATTGATAGAACGACTGTCGAGCGACCGACCCTCATCCATGATGTCAACGGTCGATCCAGGGAATCTGCCGGGGGTCGAGGGCCATTTCCAGGACTTTTTCATTTTTTCCAGCATAGCATCCGTGACGATATGGCGATTCTTTTCCAGCACAACTTCGGGGACGAGCTCTCCTGGACGGCCTCCATCCTCTGGGTTGGGCAGTTGACGATAAGTGACGTTCAGGACGCCCAGATAGGCAGGGATGAAGGGTAGCACTTCTGGGTGGTGTGCCTCAAGATACTCGTAAAAGACCTGCTCGTTCTCAGAGACAGGTTTGCAGATTGCTTTGTTGGAAAAGCGCAAGAATGATGCATGGCCCCCCACTTGGTTCGTGAACGGCACCAGAGGCAATGCGGGTGAGTCCGAATGATATGCACTTGTTTCTCCACCAAAGTCCTCGTCAGCAGAGTGCCATGAGTCATCGCCGTCGTCCTCGTCCTCAGCTTCATCATTATCCATGTCGTCCTCTGCATCAGCGTCGTTTGCGAAGCTGTGGTCGTCCGGATCGATGTTCGATGCTGTATCGTGATAGTTGTCGAGATCCACATCCGCGATATCACTGTCCAAGTGGTGCTCCGGTGTGTCGGATGATGACCAAAATGAGTGTTGGATCTGTGCGGATATGGCTGAAGGTGACTGGACTCGCGGACTAGTGGGAATGTACAACTTTTTTCCGGACAACTCTGGAGTGGGCAGGGCGGCGAAGGAGGGAGAAGTCTTTTGGAAGGTGTTCTTGGCTCGAAAGGTTGGCGAGAGGACTTCAGGGCGCGAAGTAGAGGTGGAACTGCTGGCACTGTTGATAATGATGTTATTGCTGTTACTGCTCGCGGCAAGGGTGTTGGCGGCCAAGAGTGCTCCCAAGGACTTGCGCTTGTTCAGAGCCGACAGAGGGGAGCGAGTCGAGTCGTTTAAAAGATCTGCCTCGTCTGGGCCAGACATGGGTGAGTCTGGGACAGAGTCTTCAGAGCAGATTGAGGTACCTGGCGAGTTTTGTCCACTGGAGGTATAGTGGATGTTGGAGGAGGACGCGCTGTTGATCGCTGGCTGGATCCTGCCATGGCCATGGGAGTATAGATCGCTCTTGAGTCGTGCTGGAGGGTTGGGTCGCTGCTTAAGAGAGGGGGGCAGTGAGGAGCTGAAGGAGATGACTGTCTGGTTTGGTCTGGTGTTGGATAGACCAGACGCGTTGTCGGTATAGTCGACTGCTTCAACTGAAGCGGTGGCATCGCTACTGCTGTAATTACCGCTGTCGGCGTTGTTGTCGTGGTCGTTATCGTTTCTGTTGCTGTCGTTGATGGTGAGGTCGAGAGGGTGGAGTTCCTCTGCTGTGTGAAAGGACATGGTGGGCTCCTGCTGCTTCCTGGAGGAGTTTTTTTCGGTGGTTGTTGTAAAGGATGTCACGGATGTAGGCAGCGAAGGCTGGTCATTTGCAACAGCAATAAAGCGATGCAAGTTCAAGAGTAGGGAGTGCGGTGTATTTGGGCTGAGGTGTTTGTTGGCCCACGATGGGAGGGGGAGAGGAGGAGAATGAGGCAAGGAAAGAGGAGAGAAGGATGGAATGGTGGCAAAAAAAGGATTGATCAAACAATCAAATCTGATCAAAAAAAAAAAAGAAAGAAAGGAAAGGGAAGGGGAATAAGGTTGATGGGCCGCTTGACTGCGGTCTTTATTGTCTTGTCTGTGGAATAAAAGAGGGCCAAAGCAAGGGAGGAGGATGCGATGGGTGTGTGTGTGTGAGAGAGTGAGAGAGAGAGCGTGGGGAAAAGAGAATGAGACGGGGACAGGGACAGGACTAGGACCAAGGGAATGGGGAGGAGTGGGGAGTGGTCAAGGCCCGGTGGAAGAAGGAAAAGGAATGAAATGAGATGAAAGAGGGGAAAGGGGAAAAGAAGAGAAAAGAGAAGAGAGAAAAGAGAAGAGAGAAAAGAGAAGAGAGGAAAGAGAAGAGAGGAAAGAAGAAGAAGGAAGAGGAGAATAGAAAGAGAAAAGAAATAAGAAATAAGGAAAAAGGAAAAAGGTCCTGGCGCTTTTGAAATTGCTCGCGGGGCTATGACGACGTCGAAAAGAAAGCGTAAAGTGTAGTTTAATGCGAAATACTGAATACGCGGGTTTGAATTGCAATTGCCCAGCTGCACCTTGCCCTTCCCCCTCTCTTTCCTCGGGGGAACAGGGGACAGGGAAACAAACGGGAACAGCCACTTGTTCGGTGGGACTTCGACACCTGCTTCGCTTTGCTTAGCTTGCTAGCCTCGCCAGCCAACCCCCGGGAGGCATACCACACATACCCGCCAGGAGCAGTTCAGGATCCAATGGAGGGCAGAAAGCAATGGGCGCCGTTGTCCCTTCCCGACCACTGCCACTCCACCCATCAGTCCATACACCTCACCATCCTAGACCAGGCTCCATTGTGGACACAGCAGCCGACAGCGACATGAACATGGGCTGCCATCACTACCATCGACCATTGCCTCGACAAGCACACAGAACGGTCAAAGCACAAAGTATTATATCCTGTCTTGTCCTGACTTTGTTTCCCTCTCATTATCTTCAGCTTCAATTGCCTTGCTGCAGGAATGAAGCTCTCAACTAAATAAAGAGAACAATATATTTGCCACGGATAGGATTTCTGCTTACACAAAGCACATGAAATGAAGAACGACCTGCCCTTTGTCCGCATTTGATAGATTATGAGGAAATCGGCCCCTCCCTTCGAAGATCAAAAATGAACACATGCGTACGCACGTATGAACGCCCGAACATACGAGCAAACAACCTGCGCGTCTAATTCAGCACACAACACACAACAGATCCCAAAGCGCTTGTTTGTATGCCCACTCCGATCTACAGCAAAGTAATAATCGCTGTCCAATCAAGCTGTGCCATGCTTGCGACCCAATTGCTGTTTACCTCTGTCGCCAATTAAACAAATTCACAGATGGTCAAATGAACAATTGCTTCAATTACTTCAATTGCTGCAAGTGCTCATTACGGAAACACTTTTTGCTGTCTATTACTCTCTGATTTCTCGGGTATCAACAGAACGCTGTAAAAAAAAAAAGGAGGATAAACAGAGACAACCATGGATCGTTCTACTGCTGCCCTTTGTTTTACTGCTGTTGTTACACGTTTCGCATTGTTCATGTCAATGCTGCTCACTATGACAATATTAGCACGGCAGCCATCAGGACCGGTGGAGACACTTGGATGGTCTTCCCTCTCCTCGCTTGTCAGATCGAGCACAGACACCACGTCCTTAAGATGTCAACGGGGATTGGATGTCACTTCACAAAGTTCAAAACCCTCGACTACGAGGAGTGGCACTAATGCCTTTCTAGCAGACGATTCGTCAACAGAAAATACGAACAGATTGTTGGAGCGAGCATTCGTGTATTCCTTTGCCTATTCCAGCAACGGCTCGTGGAAAGCAAATCAAAGGTCAGGGCAACCGCTACGGTTCATTAATGTCGGACTGATAAAAATTCATGGGCCAACCAGATGTTGCACATGGTGGGTGCGTGGATGTCAACATACGTGGAAATGCAAGCTATATCAGATTCAGAATGGTGCGCTAGGCGAGAAATAAAAATCGGTTCATTTCTATGCTGGCGTTGTTGTTTGTAAGTCTAGAGTTGAGAGCGTGCATGCATCCATTGGCTGTGATGCTTCCTCATGGTCGCTCTGCCAGTCGCACGGCAGGCAAAGTCATGCACCTCCCCACAATTATCTCCTCTGCTCATTGGTCGATACGATGTATGTCATTCTCATAAGTGAGGCGAAGCTTGCATGCAACGAACCATCTTTCAAAAGTAACTTTGGTTGGACGGGTGCTCTTTTTTTTTTTTCAATCGACTTGGCCTGACCGCAGCGCAGATCTGTAATTTCGGACTTTGATCCAATCTGCTTCGCCCCTTGCAAGCTGGGGGGAGCTTCCCATAATTGCAAGGTAAGCAATGCACACATCTTTTGCTCATTTGCTCATCATCAGGCTGAAAAGATCTTTCTTCCATCATCCACCTTCCTCGCACCATGTCCACTCGCCACGCCCGTACTGCGGACAAGTCCGCCAACGACAAACACACCCGCATCCTCAAGGCTCTCCTGCAGAAGCCTGACAACAAGTTCTGTGTTGACTGTCGCAAAAAAGGTACCAACCAACCAACGCTGCTCTTCAGCTGTTGTCTCGATCGAAATATCCGCCTGCTTGCTCTTCGTATATCTTTCACTTCCCCCCATGCCCTCATACTGAAATTCAATTGCTTTTTCTTTTTTCTTTCCTCTATTTGAACCACCATAGATCCTCGCTGGGCCAGGTGAGGACTGATTTTCTATGGATTACCTTGGATTTGTAGCAGACTTTAGGGCGCACGACATCGTTGACTGACAAATGACCTTGGAGTTTCTTAGCTTCAACCTCGGATGCTTCATGTGCATCCGATGCTCGGGCGTCCATCGCTCCATGGGAACGCACATCAGCAAAGGTAGCCTTCATTTCTATGGCATTGATGTGTCTCTTTTGGTCTGGTAAGTCCCATTTCAGCAATTAATCTCATTATTCTTCGAAATCGTAGTAAAATCCGTGGACTTGGACAGCTGGACAGTAGAGCAAGTGGAAAATATGATCAAATGGGGTAATGAAAAGGCAAACATGTACTGGGAGGCGCGCCTGCCAGAGAGCAGTATCCCTAACGAAAAGTAAGTCAGTCCCAGGATTGTTAGGATGACATCCCCAATTTTTCGTAACAATCGATGCTCATTGTATGGACCAAATGCCTTTTACGATAGTACCTCTGGAATTGATCCTTGGATCCGAACAAAGTATGAGCACAAGCAGTTCGCCAGGAAGGGATCACTCCCCGATCCATCCGAATTGGGGCCCATTGATGAAGCGATGCTCATGCAGCTGGTAACGAGTCGGACCACAATGCGGCGAAATATGCAAGGCGATTTTCTTATGCATGCGGATCAAATTATTGACAAGCCATTCTTCGTGCTTCTTCTATTTATAACGGCTAATAGTATGGAAAGTCAGAGTCGAACTCCAGGCCCCAGGCACAGATGAATCGTTCAGCAGGATCTTCTGGGTCATTCGCAGCCCTTGCTCCTCCACCTGCCAACCCCGTTAGATCCTCGACCCCCAAAAAGTCCACCTCGTCCTCAGGTCTCCAGGGCGCCGATCTTTTTTCCATTGGACAGAAACCTACCTCTACAAAGACCTCTCAAGCATCCGCAGCTCCAGTCGACTTTTTTGGCCTGAATGACCCTACACCAGCGTCGCCTCAGTCAATGCAATCACCTAAGCCTGCAGTGAACACTGCAGTCCAGGATCTTTTCTTGATGAATGCACCTACAACATCTCCAGCACCATCCTCCAGCGGCATACAGGCTCCAGCTGCGAAGGCGGCCAATGCGGACTGGAAGAACTCTATCATGTCCTTGTACGGAAATCAATCTTCAGCACCCAAGCCCAGCACCGCCAGTGCATTTGGAATGGGTCAGCCTGCTGCGCCATTTGGACAGTTACAAGGAATGGATGCATTTGGATTCGGACAAGCATCAGTTCAGCAGCAACAGCAGCAACAACCGCAGCAGCACAATCCATGGGGCAATGACGACGCATTTGGCGCTATGCAGCAGGCTTCAGCACCTACCTCGTCATTCGATAGCTTTGGTATGACCTCCAACAATAACAATGGCTTTGGTGCCACTAACGGCGGTCAGAGCAACGGTGGCAGCAATGGTGTTCCTCAAGGAGGCGATTTCTTTAGTATGATCGCAGGCGCCGCACGATCGCCCACTACAAGTTCACCACAGAGCAACAACAAGAATAACGGGTATAACACCAAGACTTGTGCACATTTGGCGTATTCTACTGCTGCACCGTGATTATGTATTGACATTTACTTTATTCTTTTGACGATAGGGCCTTTGGAGACCTCACTTGGAACTAAAGAGCTATACCATGGAGAGGCGGCATGGCGGCGTTGGCCCGCGAGTGTAGAGCGTCTTGATACTCCTATTACTTCCATAATAAAGCGTAATGTTCACTAATCATGCCTACAACTCTGCACCAAAGGAAATAAAATGGGCCACACGGCGTGCATGATGCTACCTTGGAGAGTTGGGACGCCTTTTCCCCCCCCTTTTCCCACACGCTTTTCACCACTCCGTTTGCTTCATTTCCACTTCCCTCCATTCTACGTCTGTCCCCCACTCCGGTCCTGCACGAACAATCGACTCCCCTTCCAGGACCATGGGCACGGAAACACCACCGCCAGCTCCGACTGAGCATAGCATCATGTCCAGGAGGAGACCTCCGTCGCTCGAGAGTCTGCCGCTCGAATGCATCCAGACGATTCTCGAGAACCTCGCCCTCGACTGCCATGCTCTCTACAGCCTCCTCCTCATGAACCGGTCCTGGTTCCAGATGGTGATCCCCTTCCTTTACCGGAGTCCCATGGCCCTCATTGACGCCACCTGGCCAAAGCTCTCGTCGTACTCTCAGATCCTCAAAAAGGATTTGCCACCACCGCCCACCCCTGCTTCGCCCTCACTCTCTCCTGCCGCTGTCGTCGCCACAGACTCGCAGCAGTTATCGAAACCCATAACGGATGAACTGCAGACCAGCTCTCAGACAGGATCTTCCTCGGATGCGATAGATTCAGGATCTCGCCCTGGAAGAAGCCTCAGTAGCATCCGACGGACCAGCACCACATCTTCCAACGGCGGTGGAGGCGGTAATGGAGGCGCAGGATACGGATTCGGATACGCGTTTCGGACACCCAGTCGAAGCAGCAGTCATAGTAGCACCAGGTCCTGGGTCGGAGATGCATTTTACTATGGCAGGAACGATGCCGTCCTCCAGAAGGATCAGCGCGAACGACTCGTCAAGCGGAAAAAGATGCAGGTCCTCTGGGTACTCCTCAACTGCACCCTCTCCGAGGACGAACACGAGGCTTGCTTGGCTGTCGCGTCCACCACTACTACTACTACCACAAGGGGTGAAACTGACGATGACAACAATGATCAACATGAAAAACACCGCAAGACCATCGCATCATCAACCATACTTTCTCAGGATTTGAACCAGGACCTCGATATCGACCTCGAATACTTCCGCCCTATGATCGATTACCTCACCTACTACACACATTTCCACCATCCAGGACTTCGCTTCATCATCTGGAAACTCTTTCCCAACATTGATGACGCCTTCACAATTGAATGGCGTCTCATTAACCACTGCCCGGAGCGCATTCGAGAGCTCTTTCTCGAAAGTGTTCAGCTTCAGGATATGGTCCCCCTGGTTTCGAAACTGAAAACACTCCACCGGATCAAGGCCTGTCACGAATCTTGGGATGTGAATCGGTCGATCGAGTTTATGAGGCGACACAACCAGCTCTTTGGCACGGTCCGAATGCTCGAATTAGAGGCCTATTTGCCGGACAAGCACGACACGGTCATGGACGATAACCTGAGTGATCTCATCTCTCAAGTCGAACATTTGAAAATTCTGGAGCTTGCGGGATTCGAGTCGTTACGGGCGCAGTTGGATCTGATACCTCGGGAGAACTTGAAGGTCTTAAGACTGAACTGTGGGACTCTAAGCCCTGAGTTTGCGCCCAACCCTATGGGCTTCGAGCCACCACATGCAGCGGCGGAATCACAAGGCGAGACATCAGGACCAGATTCGAATAAGGAGAGCAGGATGTCCGTGAATACGTTCTTAAGTCAGTGTCGTCAACTGGAAGAGCTGCTACTCGATCCGGTCGACGAGAACATGCTGGAATGGGCGGTGAAAGAGCGCAGGGATTTTGAGGTACGATATATTTTTTTTATTTTATTTTATTTTGCAGAAAAGATCATCAATATTATGAATACGTTTTGCTCATGGCTTTGTAGTGAAAAAACTCACAACCCCGATACTAATTTAGGCCGGCCTGCTGTCCTCAGTCCCAAGCTCCCCGTCGGTCTCCAACAATCTTGCCCACAGCCCGATGCCCTCTCTAGTCCCACTTAAGATCCTCGAACTCTCCGGATCCGACAGCGAACATGTCGCCACCACAATCTCTCAAGCAGCTGAGGCCTTTCAAGACACACTCGAGGTCATCAAGGCCAACTCCTTCTCCTACAAGACCAACCGCACCCTCCGAAACCTCTCCTGGAGATGTCCCATGCCTCGGTTACGCGTCCTCAAGGTCGTAGGGCGATCGAACCTGCCGCTTGATTTCCGGTCGCTTCAATACTGTCCAGCACTCCGTGTCCTAGACCTATCAAAATATTCGGGGATGCGCGCCTGTTCTGAGGCGCTGCTGTTGAACTTAAAGTACTTGACTCAGCTTGAGTACCTGGGACTCTCTAGCTTTGATCATTTGACGGATTCAACCTTGAGGACGATATTGGGATGCATGCCGAGACTGAAGCACTTGAGGCTCGCGATCGGGGACTCGAGCGTATCGTCATCATCGGCTTTGGCGTCCAGTTCCATTTCATCCGCAGCATCTCCGTCCTATAATAACACTGCTAATAACAGTACAACAGTCGAGGGTAACAAAACTTTGGGAAGCCCATGGAGATCATCAGGCGTGTTGGGTCCTGGTTCAGGAGCCGGTAGCAGGAGTAGCACAAGCGCCAGTGGTAGTGGCAGCAGTAGCAGTGCAGACATGTTTCCCCGTTCGCCCTTCGCAGCGTTGTCGCTCTCCTCGTCCTCAACCGCGCCATCGACAACCTCTCCGGCGACCAGTTCATCTGCGGTCTCTCCAATCCTCTCCGCACAGCAGCAACAGCAGCAACAAGCCCCACAACAGTCTTCAGGCTCCATGTACATCATCACCGGCCAGATCCAGAACCAGTATTCCCAATACAGCTACCACCACCCGCCGCCTCCACTGCCATCGACCTCAACAGCTCCCTACAGTGGCAACCTCATTAACAACAGCCACAGCACCACCAGCCTGGGCGGTCTTGGCGACATGGCCTCCTCCGCAAGATCGACTTCCTCCCTCATGGATCGGTTCTATATGGAGAACAATTATCTTTCGCTCGAAGGCATTCTCGATGCGATCGATGGACTGTCGTCGGACTCAAAGTGTCAGCTCGAGAAGCTCTCGATCGTCTTGGGCAAACTCGAATTCGAAGAGCATTATCGACGACTGGAGTTGTATAATCAGCAGCATCAGGATCTTGAGATTACAGTATACCGATATGCGCATGCTGTTTGAACATACTTTTCTTTGTAATAAACGAGATCGACACGTCGTCCACTCTCTATGGACCTTTCTTTGTTTCTATATTTTATTTATTTTATTTTCTCAGATACTAGTGATTCCTTCCTTGCCCATTGTTGATTAATTAATAATACTATTCAACAAGAACAAGATGCACGCAGGCGAGGAAACAAAAGAAAATAGGCTGTCAGTCAACACATTCATATCGACATTCAATCAAAGAACAAGCAATAAAAATCTCGAGATAAGAAACATACCAAACTGGCCGCAAAGACGATATCGCGTTTGATGGCCTGGCCAGCCAACTCCATCTTCGTGTACAGGGCCGCATCTCCAATCATCCTCGCCGCGTTTCTCACTTCGCTACACGTCTCGTCCAGCCGATGGATCGTCCTCACGATCGAACCTATTCAAATTGAGTAGTAAAAAAAAAAAAAAAAAAGCAGATACAAAGGTAGATGAGTATTTTCAAGTCCAACAAAAAGAAGAGCCCGCACAACCATTTCCACCCGAGCTGTGCCAGTAAACTATACGTACCCTCCTGAACATCTGTCAGCTCCGTGATCTGCTTGAACGTCATCCCCCTCGCCCACTCATACACCACCTCCGCCAGTCCAAACCTCAATGCCGACGTCCCCGGTGCCGTCGCAGACTCCAGCCCATGTGCCTTCTGCACCTCTGCCATCCTCATTTCGATGGCCAAGATCATCTCCTTGCCCTTCGCTAACTGCGGTGTCAACACCGGCTCCGACGCATTCTTCTCCTGACAGACGAAACACGACAACAGCGCCACGATCTCCTCTGGCTCGAATTCTGATAGCATGTTATCCAGGATCAGCTCTGTCAGGATCAATTCGTCTGCGGTGTTGATCTCACAGGCCACACGACCCTTCAGTTGAACAGTCGAGTTTTCGGGATCGAGATAATTCAGTTCTTTGAGAATTGCGACTCTTTGGTGGTAGTCCGGCAGCAGCTCGAGGTTCTGATCAGAGATTGTCCGCTGCAACTCCTCCAGTTTGTACTGCAGCTCTCGCTCCTGATGGATCATTGCATACTGTTATCAAATTGGAGACATAAAAAAAAAAAAAAAAATAGTATCGAGTTTAGTGGATGGATAAAAAAATAACATAAAATAAAAAGTCTCTTTCAACCCACTTGAACCTCCATCCAACAACAAACAAGCGCTTGGTAACTTACATGAGCCTTCAGATCCGGACACTTATTACACTGGCACTGCAGGATCTTTCCGAACAACGCCTGCTTCTGAGCCAGATACTCTCGGAATTCCAGATCCTTGATCTTGCTCCAGTTAAACTCTGTTACCAGGCCCGCCTGTCGTTCCTCAATTTCTTCCACATAGCGGATCAAATCCCTCCGGACCTTCGTCACCGCCTGAACATCCTTTCGCATGATCGCTTCCACATCTACCTGTAGACTCGTGTCCGTGATAGTAAAGATGTCATGGTATGCTACGGCCTCGACCACCTGGCTGCTCTCCTGCTCACTCGGCGTCTTCAGCTGCGTAACCGGAACAAGAACGTCCTTGTCCACACCGGGTTTATCTATAAAACGATCAGCGCGCATGAACGTTGAAGCTCATTTAGCGACCACCCCACTTCGAAAGCACTCGACGAATGCTTAAAGAGCCATTGAAATGCAATCTCATACCTTGTTTTGGTTCAGTAAGGATACAGCACCAGAACGATTTGGATTGCTTGGCCGCCATGTCCGCCTCCGCCACCGTCTTTAGAATAACAGCAAGAGTATTTCTATGGAACTGTCCGCCAAAAATGAATGAAATTCAAAACGTTTCGTTAAATAACAGATTCCCGAGGCATAGATTCACAAACACATTCGGAGTCCTAAAAAAAAGTGCCGCTTACACTGCTATTCAAAACGACCACACGGCCGGCGCTCAGAGCCTTGAGACCGAATGTTTGCCTCACAATCCGGTCCATCAATTGGTGATTGATGATTACCATCCTGGAGGACATGTTATAGAATTCATCAATGTCCTTGTTGCATATAAAGCAATCCAGTTTCTTGAGAATTTCCATTGACTTGGCGCTCTATTTAGAGTATAATTTTTTTAATGCCCAAGATATGTAGACGACCACAACAAATGCAAGAACTTTTTTTTTTAAAAAAAAAAAAAAAAAAAAAAAAACCTACCTCAGCAAATAGCTTCTCCTTCTCGGGCATGGCCTTTTGAGCCGTGTTCTCTGAGAAACTGCGCTTAATCATCTCCTCGACTCGAAGCGCCTCCACGCGAAGCAAGTTTAAAATCATGTTGTACGTCAATCGGAACTGCGATAACAACTTTGTGGCCTTGCCCAACAACATCTCTTGCAGCTCGGTTGCCTAATATAAACAATACACCTCAATATTAGAATTTAAAATTCCATTGAACAATAAGAAAATACTTTTTTTTTTTCGCGAATCGCGATATTATCTTACCTCTGGCGGATCTCCATTGCATGCGATAATAACCAATCCTGTTGAGTCCAGACCACGTCTTCCAGCACGACCCGACATTTGGGTATACTCACCTATTTCCAAACAGAAAAAATAAATAAATAATTGAATATGATGTTTAGTAAACGTGTATACGACCAGCCTGCGTCTAGAAAGTGCTCAAAACAGAGGCTCTTGTTACCTGGCAAGAGATTGCGAAAACTACGTCCGTCATGCTTGCGGATACCCGAAAACACGACAGTACGGGCAGGCATGTTCACACCCTATGACAGTTTATCAAAATTCCAAAAAAAAAAAAAAAAAAAAAAGTATCAATGGGACCGTAGAGATGCTCCTTCCATACTTCGTGCTTCTCCAAAAAACCCCACTTACCATCGCAAAGGTTTCAGTAGCGAACAAAACCTTTACCAATCCGCGCGCAAACAGGATTTCGACCATCTAAAAGGTTCATTTAACCAAAACACCATGTCAATAAAACCATATCTCATTGCGCCCACAACAAAATCTCGATAAACCCCCTTCCAAGAAAAGGAAAAAAAAAAAAACGAACCTCCTTGATGATCGGCAAGAGTCCAGAATGATGGACCGCGATACCTCTGCTCAATAGATCCCGCATTCTCTGAATCTGTGGTAACTCGCGATCGGTGCCGTGCAATCTCACGAGCGACTTTTCAAAGAACACATGCACCTCACTCTTCTGCGACGAGGTCATCAGATCTGTGCTCGAAAGTCCCGACGCATTTTCCTCACACTTCTTCTTCGAGAATGTGAACACAACCACGGGCAACAACTGCTTCTTGTTCAGGTATCCAACCAAATGTGTAAACAGGTTCTTGTCCTGCTTGTCGTTCCTCCAGCCACCACCACCTCCTCCGGTATTCCCTCCACGCCCTCCACCACCACCGCGTCCTACACCTCCGCCTCCGCGACCTCCTCGCAGTGCCAATTTTGTGTCGGCCTCCTTCTTTGAGAGGGCATCGACTGCGTTCTTGTAGCCGAGATTGAGCCAGGTCTGCTTCGCGTCGACAATCTTGTAGACCTCCCGGTTGGCGAACAAGTGGTGCTCGAGCGGGACAGGACGCTTCGGAGTGCTGATCACATAGATATCCTTCTTCTTTGTCCGTCCGACCCAGTCTGCAAACTCCTTGGTGTTGGGTACTGTGGCCGAGAGCAAGATCAGGGTAACATGTGCCGGCAGCATGATAATAACCTCTTCCCAGACAACTCCACGCTCCAGATCGTTCACATAGTGGACCTCGTCAAAGATCACAAACTCGACATCGCGGATCAAATCCGCACCTCGATACAGCATGCTCCTTAAAATCTCCGTCGTCATAATCAGACACGACGCCTCCGGGTTGATCTGCACGTCTCCTGTTAGGATACCAACCTCCTCGAACGTGCCCTTGAAGTCCCGGAACTTCTGATTCGAAAGCGCCTTGATGGGTGAGGTATAGATGGCCTTGGTCATGTGCTTGGCCGCCAACGCGATTGCATATTCTGCCACGACGGTCTTTCCGGCACTGGTGTGGGCCGCCACAAAGACACATTCGCCCTTTTCCAGATGGTAGACCGCTCGCTTCTGGAAGGTGTCGAGTTCGAATGGGAAGGGATGTGCCATCTCCGGTACGAGCGTGTGGAAGTCGTCAAAGGATTCATTCACATCCACAACATGTGCCCACTCGCGACTCTTAGTCTGCGCTGCAGTGATGGTCCGCTTGGGTGCTGCTACTGGGATAACAGTGTCAAGGATGGCGTCCACCTCGTCTGAGGTCTCTGTCTTTGGTTCAGTCTGCGGTTGCGTCGTCTCGTTTGCTGTCATTGTTGCGGTCATTGCCTCAGGCTCTTCCTGGGCTGGACGCGGAACTGGGTCCATCAATGCCTCAAAGTCGGCCTCCTCATCCATATCTTGCTCTGCGAGGATATCTGCAATGTTGAACATGGCTCCGTCCTTGCCCATCTCTGCCTCCATCTTGTCATCTGCATCTTGATCTGAGAATAATCCTCTGCTGAACCCTGGTGGTTTAGTCAACAAGCCCTCGGATCCCAAAGACAAGTCTTCAACAATCGCCCGTGCGATATCCACGTCATCCATTCCAAGCGCCTCCTTCTCTTTTTCCAAGACACTGGCGCCCTTGATCTCTTCCGGATCCAATCCACCAGGCGTAAAGGGAAAATACCCAGCTTTTCCTCTGACAAAATCGGCTCTCTTGCCTGGTGCACGCGAGAAACTGGTCGAGTTCTTAGCGGTCATGATCGATGTCGAGGCCACAGTATTGGTGCCGGCCAGATGTGTCGTCCGCAGGTCCTTTTCGTAATATCCCGCACGCTCGCCATAGACATTGTGGGGTTCCAGGGCAATGGTTGATTCCGCGGGTGAGGGGTCGAGCGAGAGAAGGGTCGTGAACTCTTGGTCGCGATCAAAGACCTCCTGACATTTGTTGAGCCATTCGGTCGAGAAGGTGTTGCTTGGGAAGAGGTGTTCTCGCTCGATGTCCTGTTTGATTTTGTCGAATGTTTGAGGTCCAATGATCGACTCTGGTAACTATCATAGCAGACGGAATCCGTACTTGGTTAGAAGATACTATGGTGTTGATCGCATTTCATTGCACGGTATGGAACAGTGCCAGTGCATCCCATACCTCGAACTTTTCGGGCAGGTTCTCTGTGGGCACGCCAGGGAAGGCTGCGGATTTGAGACGCGCCAGCAGATCCAAGGTATCTACGTGATCGTGTCGCATGACGAGGGAAATCCCAGAAGAGTTAATGAAAAGCTGCTTATGATGAAACAACGAGCCTGGCATCGTGTCTGAAAGGCGATTCTGTTTCCTGTCTGTACCTTGTGAGGGCATGTTTAGCTGGTGTGGTGTGGTCTGGTCTGGCCCCTGTCGCTCCTGGAAGGATCGTTTGGTCTCTTCAGCATTAACCCATCGCAACGCCCTCAGAAAAATGCGTCTCTGCGCTGCAAAAATCGGACTGCTTACAGCTCCCACCATCCACCAAATTCATCGTCCCTGAGTGAACGCGTCCCATAGAGTAAACGCCCACGCTTAGAAAGCTTATCTTCTGATGCTGTCTGCCTCAATGTTGATACCGAGGCTATAGTCTACCAGTCAACATTGTCCACCATCCCGGAGCATCCCCGTATGTTTACGGTGTGTACAAACCAGGGCATGTTTGGCTGGCCTGGTCTGGTTTGGGCGCAAGGGAAATCGGGTGTGGGGTGCCTTACCCCACGCCGCGTGACAAGCAAAGCACCAACCCAACCTTATGGACCATCGCCGGAAAATGCCCGTCTTTTTTTATTATAAAGCTTCTTTCTCACACTCCTTCGGCATCACTCTCCACTCCTCCACGCTGTCTTCCCTCATTCGTCCATTCTCTCTTCCACGCACTCGACCCATCAACCGAACAAACACTCTCTCCAGTCATGTCTGCCCTTCGCAACGTCGGTCGTGTCCACCAAAAGTCCACTGCGTTCTTTCTCTGTGATATCCAAGAGAAGTTCCGCACCCACATCTTCCAATACCCCTCCGTCGTTGCCACCGCCCAGAAAATGGTACAACCTCTCGCTCTGCATCGTATTACCTCCCTCATGGAGCTTTTGAAGACCGAATTGATCGAGTAACCGACGGCTGGCTGTATCGCTCGTTTGCCTCCATAGATTGCCGCCCACAAGATCCTTGACATCCCTTTGATCGTTACGGAGCAGGTTCGTGAGAAAAATTATTACGCCTCCAATGAACACAATATCAAATGCTCAATTGCCACGCACACACACACTCTCTCCTCCTTTCTTAAATAGAACCCCAAGGCGTTGGGCGCCACTGCGAACGAACTGGATCTCTCTCAGGCAAAGATCAATATTCCCAAGACAAAGTTCTCCATGTTCGTGCCTGAGGTCGAGAAGGAGCTCAAGGGTATCAAGTCTGTTGTCCTCTTTGGCATTGAAGTATGTCATTCTCTTTGTTCTCTGGTATACTTGATTGAAGACCAATGATTTTGGGAACAATACTAACACCTTCCTCATCTCTTCCCGAACTATGAACCACGCTAGTCGCATGTGTGTGTGCTGCAGACAGCATTGGACTTGCTGGAGAATAACTACGATGTCCATGTGCTTGCAGACGGAGTGTCGAGCATGAACAGCTTCGAGATCGAGCACGCTCTGAACGTAAGTTGATATATATTTTAAAATTTTCGATTTTCCACATGTGTGTCCAATGGCTCATCAGAGCTAATCATTCTCTGCCTCATACACTCTCATCATCATAAACTACAGCGCGTCAAATCGGCAGGCGGATATGTGACAACAAGCGAGTCGATCCTCTTCCAGTTGATGGGAGACTCGAAGCACGAAAAGTTTAGATCGATCTCGAGCCTCGTCAAGGAGACCAAGGATGCAACCGCAGGCAACAAGCTCTTCATCAAAAGCAACATTTAAAAAGCAACCTCAATGCACCGTGTAGATCGCAACAAAATAAAACCTGTTCCGCATGTGAAGTACATTGAGCATGAAAGAAAAGGAATGGACAATGGTTAGGCCCAGAGGACAATGATCTACTGGCGAATCCATGGTCAAGATCCAAGCCCATCCTAGCCAGGAGAAGGCAAATAAAAAAATAAAAAAATAAAAAAAAGAGAGGGGTAGCGCCATGCTCCAAAGTGTGCGCAGGATGAGTATGCAGGAGAACAGGTCGTGCTCGTTAGAGCACGAAGGACTCCTTTTTCTCATTTATATCCGCATGGCTCTTTGAGTAGTACCGTCGACTCCAGTCAAGTACGGAAGGCATGAGAGAATGTCTCTTGAAGTGAGCTATTGCTCCTCCACATTCGCTATTCTTGGGTTGATCTTCATGAGAAGAGAACAGACAATGAAGTAAAGAGACAGAGAACGATCAGGACTGGAGTGTTCAGTGTTTTCTTTGCAATACGAGCAGACCAGTGTATTTTTAAAAGGGCGAGAGCAGGGATGGAAACAAAAAAAAGGCACAACTGAGAGAGCAAGGGACATGTACGATGGCATAAATGGTCGAGCAGGATTTGCCCATGTAACCAGCTTGAGAGTGTCCACAATTTTGATATCCCTTTGACAAGAAGACTGAAGAACAAAGGAGGTGGGTAGGGTGTTTCCTGGGTTCATATTTAATAGCCATGGTTGTCTACACCCATTTACAACATTCAAACACTCATTCGACACCCCCAAAGCAGACGCGACAAAGAAAATGGGTATCCCCATCAACTTCGGGTCGCCTCCTCCGTCCTTCAGTCCGACTCAATCTGCCATGCCCTCCTGGCCCAGTCATCCTTCTCCGACCTCTTCCTCTTCCCCGGAGCATTATGGCCACCACAGCAACAGCACCCAACCTCCTCCTCCTTCCACAGGGGGTTCCTCCTCTTCTGCCTCCACTGGTGTGAGATCGATCACTTCCACAGCAGCGATCGATACCACCACCAGAACCAGAACCAGCCTCACAACTACCACAGCTAGCCGGGCAGTTGCCCGTCCACACCCAGAACGGCGCAGAATCAGCCGTGTCCCCGCCTTCACGACCACTTCCTCATCTCCACCCGACAATCACAGCAATCCAACCGGATCAGGGTCACCGCAAGCAGCAGCAGCAGCAGCAGGCTCAGGAGCCAATATCGATCCCACCTCTGCGTCAACCTACCCTTCTACCAATACCATAACACCATCACCACCAGCCTCACAAGGACCCCACCCAGTCTGGCATCCTTCCTCTTCACTCCTCACACTATACCTTACTCGCCCGTCTCCACATTCTCCTCTAGTAGCACCATCACATCACCCCTCTCAAGGACCCAGTTCATTATGGAGCCGCCGCCTCATAAACACCAACCACATCGACAACCAACACCGCCTCGATTCCCAAGGGAGAACTGTATACAATACTAACAGATACAACCACGATGACTATCACCATCAACATCGTCCATACCACGACCAACCATACATGCCTAACGGACCCTCCACAAACTCCACCCTCCCCTCCACAACAACGATACTGGACGAATATAACACCAACGTTCACTCGAACGATACCTCTCTTCCATCCTTCCTCCAGGGTCTTCCCTCAAGCGCGCGCGCCATCGTCCGAGCACATCCGATCTACCAAGGCGCCATCCACATCTATCCAGAGAACCACGAGCCCATTTACATGTATGGCCGACCCATCCTCTCCTCTCCCTCCTCGGCCTCGTAATACTTTTGTAAAAAGAAAAAAGAACAAAAGAAATCTCGGTCAATAGTAGTAATAATAATAAAAAAATCATCCAACAATTTCAGATCCATAGATCTTCTTGCAGATACGTGCTTTGTGCTGTGTTACTCAGCCCAATGCTATGCTCATGCTCTCGAAACTTGATCTCCCCCCCTGTTTTTACTTCTACGGCTTTGTTATTTGATCGTCATGAGGAAAAAAAAAATGACAATGCACTGCTTTGCATCAGGATCAAACGGGTCCGTAACTCCCTCAATACCCACACACACACGCGCGCACGCGTCGCTGTTTTTTTTTGTTTCTTTTCAGTAACTAGCGTTTTCTATGTATATGTATCTATCGCCTTATATACATATAAATATATAAACAGATATATAGACTACACACCAAGGACTTTAGGATCCTGATGAATTTCAAACCCCACTCTATCTGATCTCCGTTCCAGCCGCGAAGATCCAAGGTCCGTAGTCTAACATGTTGTACGTGTTTCTGCATAATCAACCAAACTCTGCGCTGGTTCCGATTTCAGGGTCCGCATAAAAAATAAAAACCAGCGTGGGAAACCTACCACATGCCTAGACCACAGAGCGGGAAAAAAATAATCTTACTATTGCTTTCTATATAATAAAAAACGAGAACATGGACACAACATGCAACCCAAGCGTATGTGAAGTGTGCCATTGTTTACTTTTTACATCGACATTGGTCCTCATGCTGACCTGGCACGAATTTATCGAATCTATAGCCCCTGCTGCTGGACCTGTCCGAGCACCTCGGACATGCATATGCGGTCAAACTGGCCAGTCCAGAATCACCTCCAGGGACTGCCCTGAGAACCCCAGTAACGCGCCCGAAAGGCAAATTCATTTTTAATGGGGGTGGATTTACAGATAGTCTGAACTAACTGCTGATGTACTTCTCACCAAACGCGTCGATTTAATTGCCGCTTACAATCGCCGGCATAGCGCATTGGATTTAGATGCGCTATTCGTCGGCCGAATGCACTACGCGGTCTCAAACTTTGCGAGCAGCGTGGATCGTGATCGTTACTGCTTCCGTCTTTTGCTCCTGCATGTCAGAGGAGCGACCAGCTTCAGACACTGGCGAGCTTTATACCGCTTACTGCGAGGCCGCCAATGCGCGTGGATTGCTGGAGGATGACTCTGAATCGCACCGGTGTCTTCAGGAGGTTGCAGGCCACCCAAAGCCCTGCGGGCCTTACGCCATCTTTTCGCCCATGGCTCTGCATCTATGCAGCCCATCCAATCCTCTCAAATGATGAGAAACGTTCGCTGAGGATCTATCTCAGGCAGTGACTTTCTGTACGTTGCTGGAAATCGCTCGAATGATGAAGAGGATGCCAAGAGCACTGCGCTGTTCCACGTCAACAAGCTTTTGAAAGGAGCCGGGACCAGTCTGGCGCTCTATGAAGAGATGCCTCGAGACTTTCACAACCTCATCGATCGTCAACCCGACAGTGACGAAGCGCTTGTGGTTGCTCGTTACAGTATATCGTACTGTATATATTTTTTGCCAGTGCAGTGCTTCTGTTCACTAAAAATCGCCACAGACGCTTTTGACGAATGGGACCTTATTTCTTAAATGTCTCAGTGCTTGAGCAAAAGGCTCACCATCAACGCTGGGGAAGTAGAAGCTGTATGGTAGCACAATCAACAACTGGGGAAGCATGATCCAAATAATGGAAAGTCCATTGCGCTGTTCTGTCGACTTTAACGATATAAGTGCTGTGCTCAGATCCTCACAGTACACATATATATAAAGGCCTGAATTTCCTTTCTCAAGTAATCGCCAGCATCAATTCCTTGACAAAAACTGCAAAGAGTGAATCTCTGCTCGCTTCTAGTTCCGTACCCGCCCCTCGATCCCCGCCGCGCCCTTGCTCTCATTCTCGACCCCCCGCCGCGTCTTTGCTCCTCGCTCTCGATCCTCGCCGCATCCTTGCTCCTCGATTCCTGCCTCCTCCGGTTCTGAGTTACATACATCGTGCTGCCATCACCATCGTTGTGCTGAATTATACACTCGATTTAGCACCGACCGCACTTGCAGTCGTACCAACATCAGAGACCACGCATCCACCGGCACTGTTTGATAGAGGCGCTGCCACCAGTTTTAACTATTACGGATAGTCTGTAGCGTGACCATGGAGGAATGGCTAAGGTTATGCTTAATGTTCTTGTTCATTTTTACGGTGTCTTGGATATCAGCAATGATTCACAAACGTTTTAATTATTTAACCGATAGAGGACAATGTGTAATACAAGTCAACGTTTTAATAAATACCATGATGCAGTCGTCGGGTCTACATCTAGTTCTCCCCCTTGGCTACCAACCCTCAGGTTGATCAGATCGATCTCCGAAATACATAAACTTCTGATCACTCAAACTAGTAACGGATTGTACCTGCGATACACATAACCCCCAACCCCGCTTGCAGCCAAAGTGCAACAGCACCATGGCTCAGTCTGCATACGAGAAAAAATAGAAGGAGCATTTCCATGCTCCGCTTCTAGTATTATATAAGCGAAATACAGTTTCTTTATTGTAGCACTTGGGAGCATATTGTTACAGAACGAAAAAAAAAAAAAAAAAATGCAAATGGAAAGAGGGTATCAATCAGAAGGAAGAATAAAGAAGATCAGGGTGTTGGGAACCCTTCAGACTGGTGTACACGAATTGGATGATGGGAAATGAAAAGAAATATCCGCGAAATGAAATTTTTGCGGCGGACCCAGCTCTATAGCTCCTTTCCTGTCCCATACGTGGCACGTATACAACAGCACCACAAGAAACAAGGGAACAAGGGAACGGTTGGACAAAAATCCGTTTTGGCTTTTTCTTTGGGCGTCCGCAACATTTTTCCCTCTCTTCCCAAAAAACTGGTCAGGGTCCTCCTGCTGCTGCTGTGCCCAAAAAGAAAAAGGGAAGGAAAAGAAAAGAAAAAAATGAATCATCTCCACAGGAAAGAAGCAAAACTCAGCTGCATGCATGCATGCATAGATCCAAAAAAGGACTCGAGGGGATAAGAAGGATAGGAGCTAGAGCGAATTAGACGCTGAGCAGACCTCGCTCGCACCCTGCCTGACTCAAACACTGAGAAAGGAGAGGATTCAGAATGGGAGGGGAGGTAAGCGGTGTGGCAGGGGCATATAGGAGAAAAATGCTCAAGTGCTAAGCATACAAGCTCGTCCGCCCAAGCGGAATTGGAAAAGCGCTGGCCGGGGTGGATTCCTGTACGCGCACGGATTATTCAAACCCCTCGTCGTCGGCAGTGGCGTACCCAGAAGAGGAGACCGAAAGGAAAGAGTCTGCCGACAGAACCGAGCTCCAGGAACCGACGAATAGCGGGTGGTAATCCTCTTCTTCCGATGATGTCTCCATAGACATCGACACCGACATCGAGGATTTCACTAATTGATAGTAGGATTCAGACACATGTTATTATAGTGCCCTTTTCCTTGGTCTTAGCTCGGTCTGCCTTCGTCATCGCCAGAAATCGCCATCATCATCATAGGAAACATAGCATGGAGGGGAATGCAGACAACATCATTTTGATACAGCGTCCAAAACGTGCAAAGGCTTACCATGATGGAACACATCTTTGCGACGGGGAAGGTATCCTCGAGGCCTCAAGGGTGCAATCAGCTTTCGCGACCGAATCATCCCCAATTCACAGGCCATCATCCTCAGATAGTCCGTGTTCGAACGTGTCTCTCGCCCAGCCAAATGGCGAGGCAGCGGCAACTCGTCAACAACACTCGTCACTGTCGATACCACATTCGAATGGCCACTGCGGCAACCAGCCGGCAGCTTTGGCATGCTGCGCTTCACTAAAGGAGGCGTAGTCTGACTCTCCTTTGCCGATACTGTGGTCTTGGTTGTGGTTGTCGTGGCAATAGGAGCCGCAGGCCGCGAGGGCCTCTTAGCCTCGACCACAAGTGTTTCGCGGTAGGTGAAGGTCTTGAGCGGAATGATATCTGATCGCATGACCTTGAATTTGTCCATCGCCGCAACAGATACCGGGTATGAGCCCGAGAAAATACCTTCGTTGCTGGTGGTGGTGGTGGTGGTACTACTGTCGTTGCTTGTAGTGGCATGGATGTTGGGTAATGATAGTAGAGCATCGTCCGTCAGGTTCGAGGAGCTGGTGACCAAGGGCCTCGCATCCAAAGTGACCACCGGAGAGCTGTTCGAGACCATCAGAGCAATTGGGGGTGCAAAATCGCGTCCATGACAACTGGTGGTTGAACGACGGCTCATTGCCTTCCTACTGCAACTGCCAGAGGTCTTGTTGCTGTCGCCCTTGCTGTTGCTGGAAACCCATGAGGGCAGGTGGTGGTGTGCGGTGGCGAGGTACTGGGCCTTGAGACTGGCCCAGAAGCCGGGGCGGCAGGAAAGAGGGGTATCAGAGAACATGAGGTTCTGGAGGGACTGGAAGAGGGATTCGTGCTCCATGCTGGTGCTGTTGGATGTGTTATGGCTGTTGAGGGTCGGTAAGAGCTCTAAAGAGGGTGGTAAAGAGGAGGAGGAACGAGCTCGTCCACGGGCGGGGCTGTGCTTGCGGCGAGGGGGGATGATGCCGTAGGGCTGCGGGGCGTTGTGTGCAGGTGAGAGACGCATGGATGGAGGCACCGACGAGGGCTGTAAGCAGGGGGAGGACGATGGGTGTATGACGGAGAGCATGTTGGGAAGTGTGCTGGGGAGTGCAGAGGCTACGGGTATGAGGAATGGGATATGCTCCTGAGCGAGAGAAAAGGACAAGAGAAAAGGACGAGAAAGGACGAGAGAAAGGGACGAGCGAAAGAGAGGTGTGATCTATTAGAAGAGAATTTGGAGGGAAGGGCAGACAGGGGAGAGATATGAATATATATATATATATCGGGTGCGATCTGGAGTGACTGACCAGTAGGGGGATATAATATAATCTATCTCGATATCTCACACATCCACATCCACTCACACTCACTCACCTTTTTTTTTTTTGGTCCGCATGCTATATTGGGCTCCAGTAGCGTGTCTTACCTCCTCGCAAGGCATGTCTCTTGATTGGGGAGCTGGGATAGCAGCAGAAACCATATCCACTCTCATGTCCATGTCCATGTTCACTCCCATGTTCATATTCATCTTCATTTCAGCCTGCCCTGTCTGCTTCACATGGCTAGCGAGAAAAGGAAGTTGCCTCTCCGTAGCATCTCGGGATAGCAAGTGAAAAAACAACAACAAACAACAAACAACAACCCCACATGAGATCGTCCTTTTGCTTTTAGAATGTGATTGTCACCATCGATCTGAAGTGAACGTGCAGTTAGTTGTGTGCACACCACTTATCTCTCCATCCCCCTCCTCTGCTTCGTGTAACCTTCTCTCCGCCATCGGATATCGGATGAACACGCGAGCACACGATCTTCTGGCAAGACAGATAAACGACATATCGCACCTGCATCCTCACCCTTCCTTCCCTCCATAGTCTATCAAATCACATCCTACCATATCCATATCCATATCCATCGATATTGTCACACATCTCATCCGATGTTCGGGACCCTTAAATATCCTCTACATACACATACACATGCACACCCCTCACCGCCATCCCGTACTCGGTTCTAGCTTCTCATTCGCTATGCTTTTTCTAATCCCTATGACATACATAAATCCTCAGGGGGACCATAAGCTTATTTCCTCTTTTTTTTTTTTTTTTTTTTTTGGTCAAAACTGAACAGGCGGGGGGTCGCCGAACCCGATTTAACGGACTCGGTCCCAATTTTCCACAGCGGTCTATGAAAAAAGCAAATAAAAAAAAACGTGGCCTACTTGATTGATTACAATATGCAACTACGTCCCACGACTAAACCCTGTAGATGGACCCAGAACAGTTCATTTACGAATCTAGAACCATACGCAAGATCCTCGACAACAAAAGACAGAAAAGAAAAGAGGAAAAAAAGCTGTTCTTGTTTGTGTCAAAATACATGTTGTTTTTTTAATAGGAGTATCAAAGACACTACTTGTCTCGTCTTACTGCACGCCCCACGACAGCTCAAGCTCATGCTCGTCGTTCGACAAAAATGGCTGGTCAATCGTCTTGATCATCAGCTCACCGCAGAGTAGGCACTCCGATGCCACCAAGTCGTCCAGCTCATCCCGCAGCAGTTCCAGTCTTGGTACAACAACTGCCATATCATCTCCGCCTCCTGTTCCTTGGCCTGCTCCACCTGCTCCTCCACCAAGACCCAGGCCCAGTCCCGCCCCATCCTTGCCATCTGCAAAGATCACATCCTTGAACACCCCTGCTGCCGTCCCTGCCGCTGTGCCAACGATTGCCACACCTCCATTCACCATCATCTTGCCACCCGCACCAATGGCTCCGCCAATGGCCATCACTGCCGCTCCTGTATGTCCGATCAACTGGTTGGGTAAATGACTGAGTCCAGCATGTGAGCTGCCCTGTGCATCAACGCCTTTCAAGTTCGAATTGCTAACAGAAAGTGGCTGAAGTGTATGACCGGTATTCATCAGCATCATCTTTTGCTGGTTCTGCATCTCACTCTGGATTTGCTCCTGCAACTCGTCCAAATGCTTCAGCTGCCTCGTAGACAAGAACGGTGTCAGTTTCTTGATTAGACAATCTGCATGGAATGTGTGCTGACACGGAAAGATATAGAACTGTCGTGTCAACAGCGGGTAATCGCAGGCAGTGCACCGCTCTGTCGAGGCCACAACCGCGAAACGTGATCGGAGTTCGCGGACATCAATGCGGATATTCTCTGCACTCTTGGTCGCCTCGTCCATCTCCGTTTTAAGCTCGTCAATATGAAGGTTGTATTCCTCAAGCGCCTTGCAAATCTCTTCCTTGAAATCGTCAATGAGCACAAAGTCTGGGAAAAACGGTAGGATGTCCTCGATTTTCAAGAGATCGGAATTCGACAGGAATTCCATTGCTGCCTTGATATCTTTCCTTTCCTTGACAACATGGCGAGCAATCTTGAGCCAGAGTGACTTGCGCAGCATCTCATCATCCTCCGGCTTGTCTGCATTGATCTGCGCCAGCTCGAGATCATTGTGCTACAGTGAACGTAACAAAAAGGATAGCCAGGTTGATTTTTAGCAAATGGACGTCCCACAATATGAAACGCTCAACAGCATATGCATTTCTATATCCACGCAGGAGAACACACCCTCAAGGCCAGATCGACGGCTTCACCATAGAGACCCATGCTGCTGAAAATATTGACACAGCTTTGGATCCTGTTGTTCTGGGTACAGATTCTTAATGCATAATCGAGGTTGTAATGCATAGCTCGACCCTATATGGCAATGGTTCAGAATACAGCTTTAGCTACCTCAGGAATAAGTTGCCAATATCTTCGATCGCTTGAAATCATACCAACACCTACCTCAGTGGCCAAAAACGACAAAAGCGAGGATTCATCGCGTGTGGGCTGTATAGCGTAGAGGGTAAGCAAAAAGTTGTGGATCGCAGGGTCGGTGTTCTCCAGATTGGTAACCACATAGGACAAGTAACGGATCGCCTGATTCTGCGCTCCCGCCTCCAGTGACTTGTGGTCGTACTTCAAAAGCGCAGGGATGAGGTTTCTGGGATTAAGGTTGGGCTGTCGCATCCAGGCGCTCACAGTCTCGTATGGTGCGTTTTCCATGAGCACAGGCGAGAAGCGGTAATAGGTGTCGAGCGATTCCTGCTTGCTCAAGACCTCAAGCGCATTCCTGTAGTTCTTTTGCTGGATCCAATGGGATATCACGCGTTCATAGTCCCCAATCAAAATGGCGTAGAAAAGCAACTGTTCAGTCCGACCATGAGAAGCCAGTAACTTGTAGGTCGTCTTTTTATCGAGGTACATCTAATCAAAGGAAGGATGTTAAATTCAAACATCTTAGTTACGCCTCACAGCTCATATGCGCAGATAGTGAGTAATAAGCATAACCCACTGTACCTTGTTGGTTTCTAAGAATCCCTTGAATTCATCTTCCAACACACTTTGCTCCGCTTGCAGGTTCTGGACATTGGATTCTGCTGCTGACGATGCGGCCTGGTCCTCCAGCTGATTCATTTTGCTGAGGTATATCTCGACAAGCCATGTGCAAACGATCGTTTTTTGAGTGATATCCTATCATAAACATTCGCACGAGAACCACTGTCAACTCGATAAAACTATTTGAAGTAAGGCTCTTCAAACACAGTCAAACACTGGCACCTCTACAACTCACCTGTTTTCGCAGCTTATCGATTTTGGCGAGGAGATAGCTTCGGAGGGCATCTCTTTCGTCACGCTCCACAAACTTGAGCGCCACTTCCTCAAAAGGAACTGTTGACTGGGCATAGTACTTGGCAGAAAGCATGTAGCGGCTTCCGGAAAAATAGTTATCTGCTTGCAGTGTAAACACGCGGTCTCTTTGAATGGGGTTCTATTTGTACGATGACCGGTGGTATGGCAATGGAAATGTTAGTCTACTTCCAATAACCCATGAGCAATCTGCCGAGGATATACATGACAATTGGCATTTTCCTCGTACCTTGGTATATTGAAGAGCAAGGTCATACTGCTTCTTCTCGAGATAAAGGGTCCATACATCCCGATCCTCCTTGGTGATAAGCAGTTCAAAGAGCGACAGGCCGGTATAGATCCAGAATGTGTTTTTGCTCGTATCCACTGACATTCCTAGCACTTCCTCTTTTGCTCTCTATATTGAAATAGACAGTCGAACGCACATAGTGTCAGTTTAAGGCTCGAGAATCCATAAAAATGCCGCCCCATAGTCTCGAAGCGCTTCACGTACTAAGGGAATCAGTTCGTCAAAGACGAGCTGATCGTTGAGTTGGTTGACAGCTCTCACACGCTCCTTGTAGAGCAAAATGAAATGAAACTCTGTCAAGGCAATGGCAATCGGGACCTCTACTGCGGCAGAGGCGTCGGGTTCGAGCCGCGTGGCGGGATACGGAAGCAGCTGGGGTGTGTCGATCACAGATTCCCCAGCATTTTGTGATCCAAATACGAGATTTCCATGATATACTCCTGGTCCTGTCAGCCATGCAAATGTCTTGGCCACGCCCTGATACTGAAGGTCCTGGAACGGACTGAAAAAGTGTAGCTCACTGTATGGCAGGTCACCCGGCAACTCCGAGAATCCTAATGAAGATGATAAAAACATCAATCTTTGCGTTTTTGTAAAGCCAAGAGTCACCCCCGTTTCCTCAGAAAATACGGTCCTGACGCCATACCTGGATTGACCTCGTATTTGGAAAAAAGGTTCTCAAACAGGGCCTTGTCCTCTGAGCCTCCAATTATTCCGCCAGAGCTGCTTGGTGTGACAGAGCCAATGAACTGGTAGATGCGTGTGGGCGTTACTGCTACCACGACATATTTCCGCAGACTAGCTGGAAACTGCTCCATCCGAAGGCCACTGATAGGCATGTTGGATCCAATAGAATACACTTGCTTAAAGTATCGTTCCTCTTTTTTGAACAACTCGGCTGTTGGCTCCAGTTCTGCTTCAAAGATAAGTCCGTTCCTGGTTCCAATCAAAAACTCCTTTGTTGAAGACTCGGTAGGTCGGTCCGATGAGCGGTTCCATGCAATGGATTCAATCACAATGCCCTACAGTTTTACAAACAGGAAGATGGAGGATTTCCTTATTTCAAATAAGCACATCATGAGAGGCATTCAAGCAAGACCAAGATACTGTGTGATATAGTAGGTTGAGAACATCGTACCTTGATTTTCGACAGGAGCTTTGCCTTCTTCCACTTTGCAAAGAGGTAATAGTTATCGCCCGTCTCTGTCGTGATGATCAAATGCCGCCCTGTCGGGTCGAAGAACATCTTGTAAATCCTGCCCTCTGTTGGTTTCCGCGGAATCTCGATATCTATACGTTATAACGTTTAAAGCAATGTCAGCATCATGCATGGAGCTTTCATGGACAGTCTGTCAAGACTAGCAAACGGTGCTCGAAAAAAAGTATGAATTCCTGTACCCTCTACTTCATATGCCTTGTCAAGGTCGATACGCAGCAGATGCATGCTTTCCATGGCCATAAAAAGAATGTTGTTGGAGACAGCCAGGGCTGAGAGTCGACTCGGAATCTGGCAGTCGACCGGGTCGAGCATGAAGATGCGGGACTCATCTTCGATAAGTCCAGTGCTCACGTAGCCGCTCTCGAGCTATGTTAATCACAAGCAGCAGGGTCAGGTCAAGGATGCGCTTTGAGAGGGAGAGAGGCGGATATATGTTGTGCACTCAAAGCGCGACAAGTAGTACCAGGACGAGGTTGTTGGGCTCCCATCCTTGAGAAGCCTGGGTGATGATGCCGCCATTCGACGAGCCGAGGTGTCCCGAGGCCTGGTTGCTGTCGAGATGCTGCTCAATGATCTCGTCCAAGTTCATGACGAATCACTCGCGTTCCCTCAGTGTGGTTGTTGGAATGTTTTTGTGAATTCTCGAAAAGGACAAAAGAGAGGAAGAATACAACGGAAAGTGGGTCTAGGACGAGATTAGCATGGTCACTCGCACGTCACGTTGCCAAGAAAGCACGAAACGCGTTCCCCGCAAACGTGTCTTCTTTTCCGCACGTCTGAACGCCTGCACGCCTGGGGGGATCTGGCGTCAATAAAAAAAAAACGTATCTTCTTTTCATAGGTTTTGGTTCCTCATTTTGCATTAGTTTAGCGGGGGCCTTTTTTGGCTATCATTTGGTAACTATCGGCCGGCTGACAGTCCAAGCCGAGGCTTGGCCTGTGGCACGCCTGCACGCCTGGGAAGACCTGGCGTCAAATCCCTCCGATGGGGCAGGAGCATGCTCGAAAGCATTTTTATATCCTTCAACGCCATTGACCTATCCCACAACACCCTGTTTGGCGTGGGGATTTATCTGTTCCTCAAGTGCAGCGCTATGTGAGGAAACAGTAGAAATATAAGCATATTTGTGGTCGGAAAAACGGAGATAACTTTTGAACGAAGAATGCTTTATCAACTTGTAGAGAAATATAACTGTACGCGATCGTATCTTCTGGCTACTTCTCGATTTCCTCGTCGTCCATGATTATTTTACCCTCCCAGAGATCCCGCAAACCGGACATCTCAACTTTCTTTGCATGGATCTCTGCTACAGTCAGTAGGCCGGTTTCGAGCGCCATTGTCGCCACGTGAATGATCGGTGGGATATCTTCCTTCTTGAATCCCAAGTGCCCGAGAGGCAAAGGTGTATTTGGCAAGACGTCCAGCGCAGGCTTGAATACAATCTGCTCGCGCGCCTGGAACGTCAATTGAGCTCCTTTACTGGCCTCTGCTGGCTGACCCGACTGATTTAAGGTTGTTGCTTGGGATGCACCAGTGAAGTCTCTATCTGCGCTTGTTCCTGCAGCGTCGTCTCCGTTTCCTGTCTCTAATCCTCCTCCAGATCCAGATCCAGATCCAGCACTACTGACACTGGGCTGTATAACTGCAGGCCCACCCGCTCCGCCATCGATCTTGATATTGGTCTGGGCGGAAGGTGTAGATGACTTTGAGGACACTGTGGTTACTGGGACTTCGTTCAGTATGGGCGAAGAGGGTGAGAGGGTCAAGAGAGGCTCTCCATACACTGCACCTTCTAGTACTGTCGTCGTTCCGCTCACGGCTGAGGTTGCTTCACTCTTGCTAATACCAGAAGATGCACCAGGAATGATAACGTCGAGCGAATTGGATACCGAGGCTTGCCCTAAACCGTTAGCGATGGCCAGTGTAGGGTCATGACTGTTCACTCTCGATAGGGGTTGAGTCCCTCTCAGCTGTTCTGTTACCACGTCTACTCCTGCCATCACGTTCGCTGCTCCGACCGGAGTATCGCCTGTAGTCGCGCCGACAGTTGGTACGACAGCATCATCGGCCAGGTTCTTCATATCGATGAAATTTCTAATGCTCAGCTCCTCCAAGAACCTCTGGAAATTCTTCTCGACGCCTCGAAACAATCGGTAGTCAGTCGTGATATCGATGAGTCCTCCAAAGTCCGTCTTGCAAATGTGTTCGATTACATGACTATCCAGAGCCTGCCAGGACTCCATGATCTGTGTGGTCCTGGGTACCTTGGCAATCGTGGTGGAGCTCGGATTGCGGATACGATCGAACCATTGCTCCAACGTAAACGAGTTCGTCGCACTCTGATCAATAACCTGAAGTATATACTTTTGAAGGCTCAAAAGCCCCAGCTCTATAGTGGTTCTGCGATGAATCACCGGCTTGTCGTTCTCGGGGTAACTCAAGTCTCTTTCAAGTCTTGTCTTTACACCTTGGATGCTGGCATGGGTGCACTCTTTGTCGGACAAAAAGTACGGGAAGAAGGACAGGTTGAGATCGCCGATGGATATCTGCACTCGGCCAACGGTATTCCAGGCTGGGTGGACATGGCCCTGTAAATCGGCCAGATTCGGCTCAGATATTGATGGATGTATATCAGCGGAAGCACTTGGCTGGAGCGTAGATGCTGAAGGCAGTGGCTTCTTGAGCTCCTGCTCGGCAGCTGAAACCTTTTGTTCCATGGTGCTCGTCAGGCGAGACACCAGGTTCTTGAACACGGGAACAGTTTTCGCTCCTGCTAGTAACCGAAGGCCGTCAAGGTGCGCTATTATCACCTGCGATACATCCCGCTCCATATTGGGGCTCTTCCAGTCATCCTGCAAGACCAACCGAGCTGGTTCAACTGCTAGGATGAAGAACTTCTTGTAGTCATAGGACAGAATGGATGTCATCCGTTTCGTCTGCAGAACAATCTCCACGATAGAGCACGGGAAGGTCGGGTGTCGGTTCACCTTTGAAAGAGTCTCCAGGGTGATGCCCTCCATGATCACGTATCCTTCCAGCCAGCCACGATCCATGGGCAAGAATTGGAGATCAAGCGGACCTATAGAGATAGATGCCGATCTCGGGTGGAAAGGGCGAAGCTTCGTACGAAGTCGAACCTCGTCCAGTTTAAAGTCCATCTTGCCGATCTGCGACCCAAGATCGCCCGTGATCTTCATCTGTTGCAAGCGCGCCACAACAAAGACGTTATATCCAAGAAAGCTCGACTCGCGCTTTTCGGATACCAATACCGCTCCTGTTGCAGGTTCAGCAGCTCCAGTGCTCGTAGAAGGGCCGGCAAATCCTCCTGGGGAAGGTTGAGACAGGGAAGACGCTTCAAATCCTTGAGAACCGCTGGTAGATCGACTCGCAGTTAGTCCATCACGAATAAGATAGTTCGCCTGATCCATCCAGATCATCTTCATCAGCACAAGGATCTCCGCTTGTCGCAAATCAAAGTCCACGGCTATCTGTCTGAAGTCGACCGTTACAGATAAAGCCTTCTTGTTAACGACGGCCTGCCTCTTAGTCTCTGCGACGGCATTGAAGATCATTCCTTTGGTTATAAGGCGGAACCCCTTGTCCTGTGAAAAGATGTGGTGTGTATCGGAAGACGCGCCCTCGAATGTACCTGCGATTGTAGTCGAAGAGTTTCCTGCTCTGTCAGAGTTATAGCTCATCAAGATATTGCCTTGCTCAAGAGTCAAAACTGACATGACCTTGGCCATGGGCTGGCAGTTGAACTCGATCCTAGTTTTCTCAATAAAGAGGTAGCAAGTAACGACCAGCTCCTGTCGCTTGCCCATCATCTGCTGGAGAGCGTTGCTATCCTGTCCTGAAGACGAGGGTGCAACCAAGGCGAGCTCATCTCCTGAATTGCCGGAAACATGCGCCGTCGATGATACAATGGGTACGACCATCTCCGGCTTTGAGTATTGTCGCTGCTGTCGAATCCCAACCTTAAGGCCAGACACGACGTCCTGAAAGAAAGGTACCAGCGATGGGTAAAAGGTGTTCTCGCAAGAGTGAATGTTCACCTCGGCGTGTACTCTAGGGGGGCCTGCTGCCTCGAGTTCCAAAAGGTTATCCCCCAAAGGAATACGAAGACTTGTCCAGAGGGAAAGACCAGGAATAATAAACCGATCCACTCCCGATACCTCTGCTCCCACATGAGCAACGTTGGGTTCCGAGTCCATAAACTTGGATGCCTTGGGGAGCTTGGAAACGTAGCTTTTGGGATAGAAGCGGCAGACACTAGTCTTGCATTGGAATGTATTCTCGATCTTCCAGATAACGTTGCTTGAGGTCTGCGGTGTGGGCACTTCACCCTTGACAATATTCGGCGTGTTCGTCGACAAGGCTCCTTCGGATTTGGTAGTCGGCACTGCAGAGGCGGCCTGCTCGACTGCCAACGATGTGACAAGCCCCTTGCTGTTGTCGTAGACATCGCTGAGTGTGTTGATGTACCGAACAATGTTAGGATCGATATCGAGTTCAAATCCAGAGACGGTAGCCTTGGATGAAACCTTCTGATGCCCTGGAGAGTCCTTGGTCGCTTCGACTTGACAAGCTATACCGGGGAAGAGCAGACGGTTCATCTTGGGATGACTTCGTGACCGAAAGTGCTCGTCCTTACTCTGGTCGAACCTTGGCACGAACTGGGCACACAGTTGATTCAGCTCTCCCTCTGACGTTTCACCGCTTTTCGTCAGGATCGTAATAGAGGTGGCAGAGACCATGAAAGCTTCGACTAGTCTCTCGCTGCTGTCCATAATGTCCTCGCGCCGGTCCAGTGGAATCGCAACCGCCACGTCGTCAATGCTCAGAGTGATCTCAGTGGCCTCGAGTATGGAGCGCGTGTTATCCTTGTAGGTGGGAACCTCAACTTCAAGCGTTTTGATGATCCGCTTGGTATTGTCAGCCAACTTTGCCATGTCCGATGCCTTCAGTTCCTTCCGTCGTTCCAATTCGTGAGTGTAGTAAGAGTAGAGCCCAATGATTCTGCTCACGGATTGAGGCTGCATTAGGGCATGAACCTTCAGAAAACTCACGTAAAACGAGTTGACAGATGTCTGCACCACATGGTCCTGATTTGATACTTTGGGTCTGAAGTTCTGTACGTTGAGTCGGATGGTGATATACGCCAGTCGGAGCTTCCGGGCGCGGATATCCTCCGCTCGCGATCCCATCCGGATGTTCCCAACATGGTGGTTCAAGGACAACGTGATGCTCTGAGCGTACAGCTGCCAGGCCAGCTTATTTTTGACGATTTCCGAGGTGGGAGATATAACCGACGCAGGGGCAGGATTGGGGTTGTTGGTGATGAAACCTTTGAGTAGATCTGATTCGAAATAAAGAACAGCAGAAGGACTGACAGCAGCGATACTGAGTCCTACCAGTGACACATTAACAGAATACAGAAGAGTGGAATCACTCGGAGTGGGGGTTATCGCCGGTGAAGTTGGCCCAGGGCCTGTTTTCGATCCCTTCGACAGGATGTCGATGAGTTCATTTGCCTCTGCACCCAGGAGTGATTGTGCCGTCAAGATATGGTCCAGCATGTTGACATTCAAGGTCATTTCCACAAAGTCGAAGGACATTGAAGATTCCAGTTTCTTGGGGTGGCGTGCTCCGCGAGCAAGCGCAGAAATCGACGCACGCCTTGTACGAACAGGAGTAGCGGAGTCGACAACGTTCATTACGCTGCCGGAGGCGCGGATAACAGGCAGCGAGAAGCTAGCGGCATGCTTGTCCTCCTGAAGCCTCAGACGGTCACCTCCCCTCGTCTTTGGCTGGTTCGCAATAAAGTCCACGGACTGTCGGAGCAGTTGCGCAGTGTATGTGAGCCGAGGCACGGAGTACTGGAGCCCTGGGGGAACGTCGTGAAACATCACCATCAAGTCGCCGGCTTCGTACTGGAAGAGGAGTGACGGCAGCATGTGAGATTCGAGCGTAAGGGTCTTGAGAACAATCTGGACCTTCAACTCCCGTAGCGTAGAGGGCGTCACCGTCTTGGGCTGCCGCTTTCGATCAGCCTCCAGCTCGTTCATGACTCCCTGGAACAAGAAATCGAAGCTCTGCATGTTCTCCTCTCGCCAATCCTTCGCGAATAAATACAGCTTCAGGATGCTGCGTGGTAGGGCAATGTTCACTTGTTTGAATGTTACCAGAAGGTTGATAACCTCGCGAGGAACGCTGGCCTTGGTTTGCTTGGGCCGTTTCGCGGGCGTGAACTGACTGAGAGTAGCCTCTGAGTTTATTCCGACGATCCCGAACTGCAGGAGCTCCTTGGTCGGCATTGGGCCCGCATGGTCCTTGGAGTACACTCGTTCCTTGAGCGAGGAGTTAATGCTGCTGATGTTGGTGGCGATGGAAGCGATCAGTTTGTTGTATCCCGATCTCACTATCGGAGATCCATCTGGATTGGACCCAGAGCTTTTTGCCACAGAAATGCCTTCAATATCCTGGTTCGGGAATGTACGCTGTTTTGCGAAGTTAAGTGCAGAGAGTTGAATCTGCGAGAAAATGATTTGGGCCGATAGATTGTGCGCCGTTAATGTGATCCGAATAGTCTCAACGACTGCCATGCCGTTGAACACGACGTCAAATCTGTTGATAACCTGCAGAATGGTTGGCCCATCGTCTGCATTGGAGACTGCCGTTGTCTCGCGAGGCAAGTGGATGGACTGGCGAGGGGATGAAGGATCTAGTTCAGATACAGACAGTGCGCATGTTATTTAGTATTTTTCAGCGACAATTGTACTCTTGCACATTGAGGCCCCATCGATGATGGTATGCCATGACAACTTACTCTCAAAAGACCTGCGCACATCTAGGGGACGCTTGTCAATCGCGGATTCGAGAATCTTGTTAACCTGGGGCGTGAAAATGCGCTCGATCCTTAAAATATGCCTTGTGAATGCGATGATAACAGGGTTTAGATCGACTTCCGCACTCTTAAAGCCCGTCTTGACCGCAATATCGAGGAAGCCTGTATTAAGCCGATTTGTCTCATCCGAAATGGGGACTCCTGGGAATAGCCCTGCCTGAGCAAGCACATCGGCCTTGTATCGTGACTCGAATATGAGCTCAAGGCCAGTGATTCTTGTCCGGTTCTCCTGTTGTTCGTCGTAGATAGCCGCCTCTAGCTCACCTAGACTCAACTGTATCGAATTAGCGGAATATCGCAGTAGCTCGTACATCCAGGACTCTTTCATTGTTGCCGCGCTGTCCGCATCCAACACACGCTTTCTCTCGAAGACATCCGAAAACAGTCGACAATGTCGGAGGTCGTCCATTTCCCAGCTACGCCATTTAGAAAACACAGCGATCACAATGTCGTACATCGTATCCGTGCTAAACGACTCTAATTCGGGCTTCTTCAATGCCTCCTGCAATGTATTCGAGAGAGTCGGTGGCATCAGGCGCATGCAATGCCGAATATGCGCAAGCAGTTTCCAGCCATCATCATTTCGGTAGATCATCGTTCCCAGGCGTAGCGTTGTCGATGGTCTGGTCAAGAATACAGGGTCGGTATTGATCGCCTTTTGAGCCGAGAAGCGAGCGATTTCTGAAAACAGAGTCTGCAGCTGCTTGGATCGACGAAGCTGAAATCGGTTAAGAATAGTCTTAAGATCCTTTACAAAAGTCAACCAAGAGCAAATCGACCCGGCGACGATTTCAGCAGACTGGTTGATAAAAAGCACCGATAACTTCTCCAGGTTCGCTGAAAAGTAGTTGGGATTAGCGGTCCGAATCAGTCGTAGCTGAAACCGCTCGAACGAAATGTCGGCAATGACGGGCTCCTTCAGGTAGCTAAGATGATTGATACCAAGATGAGAGAACTGATGTCGTGCGTCCGGGATACCAAAAATCCTGGCTGTCGAGGCGGAGACAAAGCGGGCATTTAGCTTGAACCTTGAAAAGTCCACATTCGCTCTTGACTCGACCACCTTAAAGGACGCGATATGGATCTTCCCTGGCTCGAACTTCTCGAACTCCTCGTCCTCGTACTTCACTGCGGCAATGATAGCAGCGTCATCCAGAACAATGTCAATCGCGCATAGATTGGCACCAGACAGCTCATATCGCGTCTTGATCATGTTGATATCGTCAGCCCCATTGAGCGCGTCGGGCATCATCACGTCCTGAATAAAGCGGAGGTGAACACGGGGTACGTTGACCATAAACTGCTGAGAGTGCATTTTGCTGGGCTGCATGCGCGTCAGGAGTTCGACATACTCCATCTGAGTGACGTCCAGCATGGTCTCTAAATCCCATTCCTGAAAGAAGAACAGCGAAATCGTCAGAGATTGTTGCGCGTATGCGATGTAGTCCCGCCCATCAAAGGCATCATACCTCCGCATTGATTGCTTCGAGAAACTCCTGGATAATCTTGAGCAGGATGGGGGTCAGCAGGATTTTAACGTCCTGAGTCGCCTCAACAATAATTGTTGTCCGTTTTTCATCGGACTTTTCGTTTCCTTTCGGCTGAGCGGATGAAATCGAGCCGTGGTAATCTCCTTTGATACCAAACGCCTCATCAAAGTTGGCACGCGGATGATGTCTTGGCACGTCTTCCAAGATCTCCCCTGACTATGCACATGAATATTGTGGAGAAGACAATGCGGTTAGTCTTTCATATACGTTATCACGCGATGATCGAGAGCAAAGAACAACGCAAGACGCGGTACCTGTGATTGAGTGAACCTGACTCTGGGCGGGGGCAGATACGGTTGTCGGTGGTAAGCTGCTCGGGTGCTTGACACAGTATACCTCTTGAGATAGCTGCTGTATGGAATTGATCTCGCGGGGACTGTGGATGAGTTTTTAATCTCATCTGCCTCTGGGCCTACTATATTTCATAGATTGAGTGAGAACGGTGACTCCAATGTCAATAATTGCGCTGTCCAGGGGCAATTCACTAACCTTGCAGGATCTCTGTGTAGTCATATTCACTCTCTGAGTCTCCCTCCTCGCTGGAGTACCGAAGTTCGAGGTCGTCAGAGTCGATATCGGGCCAGTCACGATCGTTAGAGCCGTGAGACTCACTTTCGCTTCCGGAGTCGCTCTCTGCAGACGCACCAATAGAAAACGAAGAAGTGGACCTATATCGCATTTGATTAATTTGTTAGTGTCGTATACACAACCTAGCTGCCAGCCGCCATTTTCAAATCAACAGCTTTTTTCAACTATACCTGCGCACCGATAACCTCGGACCTGAAGATGCTGAGCTCGCATTTGAAGCGTACTCAAACATAGATCCATCCTCGCTTGGCACTTCTACAATCGAGTCACTGCTGCCTATCGTATCACCTTTCATGGCTAGGAGGATATTAGCTGAACTGTTCGTTTCACTTGTCTAGCGACATTTAAAACTTCAAACATACCTGCTGGGTCGGATGTAAGGGGCGGCACATAAATGGTTCCGAAATGGTTTCCCTTCAGGTTGGGATGCGGTAATACTACCACGCGAAAAATAACATTAATTTTTGAACACGAACAGAAATGTCAAGCAACTGTACAGGAGTTTTGTATTTCAATCCGCAATACCTTTTCTTGACTCTTGTCCTTTCCTGCTGTATATGTAAGGGCACCGCAGCGTTTCCCTGTCCTGCTCCCGAACGAAAGCTTGCTGCTTCTCGCGTCTTTCTCTCCAGTCACCGGCTCCTTGATACACCGTGACATCGAACGCACAATTCAAACTAGCGATCTCCACCCAGGGTGCATGATCTTGGTGCGACTGTGAAAAGTTTGCGCCGTTAGTCAACAAGTATTTGGGTTTCGTAGAGTTTGACATGGATGTCGCCATTGGACCTACCGGGTCTGGTTCTCCCTTATGGTCATCTTTGCTAGCGTCAGTCAACGCCATTGAGCGAACGAGCAAAGACTGCATTTTCACCACCACTCGCCCCATATATCGCTCATTGATAACGTCGTCGAATTGCACGATGATGCCGTCCTTCAACAAGATCTGACTGACAACATCTTCGCCCCAGATAGAAATATCAACTTCCTTGACACTAAGGTCGACGAACGTAATATCAGGCGGTATGACAGTCGCGTATTCGGGTGGAAAGGCATTATCTCCATCCTTTAGATTGTATACAAATGACTTGGCAAAGGAGGATACGCCCAGAAGGAATGAAGGCTTAATCTGGCCGTATATTGACCCTATATCTAGGGTCCAATTCGCAACGTACGTCGTCGTTTTGGGCAGCGGTCCAAAGAGTCGATGTGCATAGATTGAAATCCCTACATAGCACAGTTTTACAGAAGACAATACCCGTTCAGCACTATTTCCTCTGGAAAATACTGCAATAGAGGCCTCTTGTGAGAACTTACCATCAACGAAAAGGTAGTTATGATCGCCAGCGGACGGCTTTACTTCGGGGCTTCCAGCGTCCCTGATATCTCTACTCCATGTCAATGGACTCACGTTCACATGCATATCTATTGTTTGTCCGAAAAGTGGCAGTGGCAAAGTCAATTCGTTTGCTCAGCTTTTTTTCTCAGCTTGAAACGAATGAGTACAGAAACACAAGTATTACCCATATAGACATCCAGGTTCCTAAGATCGAGCTGCAATTCGGCGCAAGTAATCTGTGAAAAGTTTTCGCTGCTGTAAAGGTTTTCTGGCAGCATGAGTGTGGTGTCTGTGATAAGAAAATGAACGTAGACCTCAAAGGCATCGCTGGGTGGCTAAGGATAATGAATGTGAAACACAGGTGTTATTCAACTACGCCTTTAACCATGTTTTACTTGCGACTGATGCCCGGTATCGTTGCATACTTTGGCATCGGCTTGCTTTTGCTCCGCCTTTTCCGTTCCTACAGCATCAATTCGCTTCTTCCGGTACTCTTCCATTGTAACAAAGTTAAGATACAATCCCGCGTAGTTATCCATCAAGATGAGGATGTAGCGAACAACGTTTCCAAACATCTTGATCGTCACTCCGTGGCCCTAATATCGAGATTGAGTCACCAGATAAGTACATAAATTTCCGTATTGCGTGGTGAAACTGGCGCTTAAACAAAGTAGGTACCTTAACATCGAGATTCAATGATTCGAGATGGCTGGGGTCCACGAAATCGTAGTACTCGTATGTTCCTTTGATAGCAACAGACGGTATAGTTGCAAACTTCTTTGAGTCGGCTGTCGAGAACTCTCCAAGCGTGTGGGCGAGCGGCAACTGGATCTCGAGACCACCATTGCGAATCTGAGAAAAGGAAACGTGTTAGGGCGGAGAATCCAACGCCGCGTTTGGTGGACTGCAAAACAATACTCTCAATAGGCTTAATTACCTCCACATCAAATGTGATGGTAGTAATTTCGGGGCTGTATTGCACAAAGGGTAGGACGACCTTGCAGTCAAGGGCCTGTCCGGCCGCGATGATGAACGCTATCGATAGTAGAGAGGAAGCGTTGAATCTTACCGAGCGGCACTATAGAAAACTTAAAAATTCTCGGCTTTATCGCCAGAAGTCGTACCATTTTCGTCAATCTCAGTCGGCTCATTGATGATGTTATGCTCGTTCACGTAAGTATATAGCTGGAAATTTGGTAACTTGATATCGAATTCATACTTGAACGGCACAAAATGAGCCATGTCGATGGGTGGTCCTGATGTCCAGTCTTTGGAGAGATCCTGAATGAGCGTAATATGGTCGCGAAGAATAAAGATCTTTGGCGTATCGAGCGTGATTTCAAAGTCCCAATCTCTCTGAGCATTCCAGACCAACGGGTTCTGAAGCTGGCATACCATCTATCAATGATCCGATAATGCCATTATTAGATGCGGACTGACATGCGTAGATCTTGTGTTCAACTTGGACTTGCCTTCAGTTCCTTGAGATTAATGACAGGAGCGTAGTTGACACTAGATGTCACGACAAGATTCTGTAGATCGACAAGAACGACATTCTTGTAGCCATCAGCACCATAAACCATGGGGATGTCGACGGAGATCATAGAGCCATGCGCAGCCTTCAACTCAAGCCAACCGTACGGTCGCATTGACTTTCCTCCTTGCACAGCTTGGAACTCAGGGTCGGTGTACTTCCAGTCCTGTTTTTAAATTGAGAAATATGCGGGTTATTCTCTGCACACATTTATATAAAGATGATGAAAAGAAAATACCGACATTCACGTAAAGACACTTGCTTTTGATTTCTCTTGCGTTGGAATTTTGATGGTAACAGAAGAGCTGAAGGTCACCATGATCTGCAGGGCGGCATGAATACGGTCTTGGCCGGGCATGGCCTCCACCATTGGGCTCAAAGTTCGATAGGCATTTGGAAAATAAAAGTTTTGAATCTCTGAGCGCTGTCTATCTGCCCAAGGACCGTACGAGATCACTGCTTCGTCTATGATTAGCTCCATCCCCCATTCTGGCGGAAGATCATACTCAGCATGAGGGCTATTTTGAGAGGACTCGGGCACAGTTCCTAACAGAAATACAGACCATTAGCACTCGGATCAAATTATTGCAATACATGAATCGACAACAATGTTGCTCAGCCTACCCGCGATGTCTGTGTAGTACCGCAATCCCAGCTCATTACATTGTAATACATTGCGGACCATTGCGTACTCGCTGAAGCTGTTTTCCTTTAAATTTTCGTAGGATACATTCTGGTTGTAGCGTGGTAGACCATGCCACTCTTCTGCTACTTCCCGTGATACTCCAAAATACGAAGTCCACGTAGCCTTCAGTGGCCGAATAATTTGTTGAAGTCGGCTTGGTCCGCTCGGAGGTCTGTTTTGAGTGTCATCCATGAAAGAAGAGTTGGTATTAGAGCCAATTCAAACACGCAACAGGAATAGTTTACTGTGCCTAGATTTTTGAGCTTACAAACGAGTGATATCTGGAATATCGGTTCCCATATGTCTTCCAGCGATCCCAGTATTATAATCCGCGTTTGGTTTAAAATCAATCGACGGCGTTTCAAAGGTGACCAGAAGAACCGTCTTGTATTTATCCAGCGACGAGCGCGTCTGCAGCATGCGAGAACAAGTCAATGAATGTCAGACAGAGACAGGGCTATATTTCATATTAGATATCCTCAGTATAACATGTACCTTTGTAGCAGAGTACATTCCATGCGCGGACGGAAAGGAAGCGACAAGAAGCGATGGCAAATGAGCATTGCCCATAATGATGGCGCCAGTTTCACAGACAATTTTGACCGGCAAGCAACGTCGGAACCAAGAGTCTGCTGGCTCGTCATCCTGTTTTTCAGTGTCCATATTTACTAGAATATCAGATAAAAAAGGGAAAAGAACCGTCAATGACAAGTCTGCTTTTGATAAATGTTTAATGACGCTACATGTTGTCCTGCAAGCTTACCAGAGACACTTGGGTTCGCAGCGTCCGGAGTGGTGTCAAGCGGCATCCCATCCGGATTTAAGCCAAGAGTTGTGGCGAGCACGTCGTATGCTGGCGTCCGGTTGTACATAAACCATTCAAGGCCAACAAGATGACAAGTGATCCTGCAGTTGTCCTCGTCTGTTGTGCCTATCGAAATCATATAGACGAGTGAGCTTGTTGCGTTTTTGTGTTAACATCATGAGTTTGAGCTGTCAGCATTGTCGCTTCGCCATACCAGCACCAGCCTCCTTTGATCCGGTAGAATCCTCGGGTATGGGGTCATCTTCGGTCCTTACATTCCACAGCCAGTATCGAAAGGAGACGAATCCGTGCAAGACTGTGATAGATTGGTTTCTTGAATGATAGCGAAAGTTTTTGAATAGAATTCTGCCGCCTAAAGGCGCAATCTGCAAAGACTCTACAAAGATAAGAACCAATATTAGTATGAAGCCTTTTTGATGGTCAGTCGTGTTCCCACATCCATAGTGCCCCTCTCAGCACTTTGTAAGAGAACACTAAACTGAACAAAGGATATTACACCGCCTTTTAGGCCTTAACAAAAACAGTGCTGGTCAACTGTGCCCCTGCTGATATATGATTATCTTTATCCAAACGGATTCAATGAACATAAACATCAACAACTACACCATCTCTGTAGAACTGACGCATCCATATTTTTGTCATATCTTGGTGTACTGTACAAAATGCATGTAATATAGAACGTAAAGGGATTCCACGGTACCAAATTCAATGTAAGCCTGCAAATGTCGCCAGGTGAACCATCTGATGAGCTTGGATAGAAGCTGGGCGAAGACTCGACTTGCATAGAAAAGGAAGAAAACCGCGACGAATATCACAACGAGGCAGTAGATCAAAAAGGTCCAGAAGGCCGTGGTCGTGTTATAGTCCACCAGGTTGATAGCACTTCCTGCCATGGTGCGTGAGACAGGTGAGGTCTTGGATGCTTAAAGAACAGCTAACGGTTATAGTTGGTCTAGCATATAGCAGGACGCGGTGGTCTGTGAAGGATACTGCGGGTTGAAGTTGGTTTGTCGTCCTGCTAACGGAAAAATACAGACTTCGACTGTTCTGGATAAAAGAGCAAGCGTGGAAGGTAAGAGAGGGGAAAGAGAGCAGAGAATGCCCTCTGTAGAAGGGGATGGGTTGAATGCGAGAATACGATTACACACTGTTGGAGGGTTGTGTGTGCGAGTAAGCGATGGTAGCTGAGGTGATGCTAATGAGGATGATGGTGGATCGATGAATGCGTTGCCAGCTCACACTTAGACGGAAATTAGTTGAGCGTGGAGCTCAAGGGGGTACAGAACATTTGAACGCGTCGCCTACGCTTTGTGGGTGCACTCTCCAGCCAAACGAAAATCAATACACAGCGCATGCCTCGATAAATAGACACTTCCACGCGAGGGAAGAGGATGTGGCTGAAGATGTCTCGCTGACTACGACCTCCAAGTGGAATGTCTACATGCGCATCTAGGTCGGTTGCCACTCAAGGTCGCTCTAGACAGCATCACACAGGGATAGCTATGCAAAACTGCACATGCAATCTCGTAGAAGTGTCCGCCTAGTATTGGTCAAACCATCGTGTCTGGTGCCTATCTAGACTGCACACTCCCGGCAAACTGCACTGATACACCAGTACTTTTACTGTAATTGCTGCTATAGTACTCATTCCTCGTAGCAATGTTTGTAATAAGGATGGCTCCAAGGCATGTGCCTTCTGCTTGGAAAGAACGGCGGCACTCAAAAAGGGAGGCTTTACAAGAGCAATTGACAATACAGCCTAGTACTCTTGAGCGCTACAGTGGTGAGTTCATGCAACTTCAAGCGACCAAAACTTACTTACACGGATCTCTCAATGGAGCACGCTGAAGAGTATCTGTCTTCAACTGGAAGTCTACCATGTTATCCTATGCCTTTTTAAGTCTTTATCTTCACACGATCGTGGTTTTATGTGGCGCATTTTTTTTTTTTGACTGCCTGCGAACTTCAACGATGCTCCGCCGCTTACTTGTGCACCGTCTTGTGAAAGAGCCAGCTGTAACAAAATTCTAAATTCTAAAAACTGCTCTACAATAAAAAACATGAGCAGACGCCTAATAAAAATGATGCATGACATCGTTGTGTGCATATTGCGAAAACGTGGAACACGACGACGACAGGTCGGAATTTTTTTAATAGCATTTCCGGGATTGCCGCAAAAAGAGATTTCGGATACGAAAGAAAACTATGCTGAAAAAAAGAGACCAAAGGAGTTGTTGTTATTCTAGGCTTACTGAGTGCATGGGTATAGTAAAGCCTCTGTTCGATCTGTCCTTGTCGACGATTTTTTTCATGAGGGATCCTCCTGGACGCGCTCAAACCAACTATAGGTCATAATAATAACGATATATCCTGCCATTAAGCGTATTGGAGGATTGTCTCAATATAATTTACGTATTGCGGTCGTTTCAGGTACGGTTTCAGACACGTCTTATTTGGAGTGCAACAATCCAGTTGACCATTTATTCGTTCTTTCGATTTCCCGCGCTGTCCTGCTGTACTATCGAATCACTTGCTGATGGGAACCACAAGAATCTAGCTAGTATTGCGAAGCTCTGCAAGGGAACTACTTTAACCAATCATCCGATGCAACTAAAGAAGCTACTCGAATAGAGAAATGAGCAGTGGGAGTGTCCGTAGACGGCACTCGGCTTGTCTAAATTAATTTTCTCGGGATTGTCGGGCCCGCAAAAAACTAGCATCATAGCCACAAACAGTATTTACGGCGCCATGAAAATAATGTCATGCTCATGCGTGCGAGTGCCGTAGTCGTGTACGATCCAAAAAGGGGGCTCTCCTCAGGCAATCCGTGCTTGGACACTCGATGTCATAGCTTTACACGAAAATGCTGACCGCGCATTGACAATCGGCAAGATCGTAAGGAGAAAATATTATTCGGCATAGAATCAGCATCATGGTCCTAATTACCCGACATACAAAGGCGTTTACTATTTTGCTCATAGATCCCGTCAGTGATTCACTTGCGTCAGGTGTTAAGGATTAGAGACGGGCATTCAAAACGCTTGATAGTAGTGCCCTGTGCTTTGAAGCATTTCTCTGAAGCGCAGTAGTTCAATTTGGACTTTGGGGTTGTCTTCACAAAAATAGAAAACGATAGCCACACGGAACATTAACTCGCATGGCTGGCGATGAGGCGACAAGAGAGAGGGAGGAAAAAAAAAAAAAAAAAAAAAAAAAAAGAGAGACGTTATAGCGCTGGGTGTGGAGCCACGCATGAAAACGAGCCAAGATGGGCACTTCACTGAACACTCTGGGCTGTAGCCGAGGCCGTGCATACCGTAATGTGTGTATGCAGTGCAATTGATTGCCTAGAACGGCAAAAAATAGATTCTGGGTTGCCGAGCAATCCTTCTCCAAAGAATACATGGTCAATGTTATTTCATGGAAAATTTACGAATAACAAAAGAAAAGCCAAGCATTCTCCCTGGTCTTGGTCGGCGAATACTGGAGCGTCGACTTTACCAAAGAAGCATAGACATTCCATTGCTGATTTTTATGGCTGGAAGCAGCGAAGATATACAAGATCTAGGCTTTCTGAGCACCCTGATTCCCTTTCGATTAGATGCATACAGGATGCGTGTTTGTTCTTGGCGCCCAGGACCAAAAGTTAATGCAGTCGACCTTGACGGGGGAGGTGCAGCAGACTCGATCATATATAGGGTTGCATTAGGATTTTGAGCAGTGTGCCTGTTTACAGGATGGCCCGTGAGGGTCATCCATTAGACACTTGACACAGGGGAAACCGCAGAAAATAGCCATTTTGAGGAGCAATACAAATCAGGCAAATCACTCGGGCGAGGTCGGTGTGGAGGGAACGACGCTGGAAAACACGGCCATGAGCGCGCGCAATGACGATCGATTGCTTCCTCATTTGTACATTGATTATTATTAGTAGCTGTCTATTTAATTGCACTTTCGTCTGAGGATGACACGTAATAGAGTAAGGGTGCTGTAATACAGTTAAAAGTGCTCTGTGCTTAATCTGACAGACATCAACACCTGCGAGGAAGGCTCGCAAACAGGAGCCGAACTATGCTGGCCAAGAAAGGCAATTGCCAAGGAGATACCCGATGGGATTTTGAAAATCCCCTATTCTGTGCGGAATCGCAGGCCGAATGATATTAGACCCATGGGAGCAATTAGGAGGCGGCGGAGTCTGTTTGTCCGTCCTCCGGACGCGCCGCCTGTATTTTCATCCAAAACGGGTTTGCGAAGGCGTCCTTTGCCTTTCTGGATGGGGCCTGCGTGCCTGGGTTGATCGCCGAGAGTATCCATGGCCTCGTTCGTGTTATACGGGACCTCAGCATTTGCTCGAGTGCGTGCTGTCCCTCAGATTACTCATCCATGTCGCTTTGCTGCAACATCGTATCCTAATCTTATCGAACATAAACTCGTATGCTCCGCATTGAGTAAAATAGATACAGTTGACGAAAAGAAATTGACAGACATACGTGCGAAGACACTTCCGCCCACCAGTCTACTGTACCTTCGAAAATGGCGGTGCAGTCTTGATTTTAAATCAAATGGGACGCGGTAGTTGACGCCGCGGGCCACCTTGTTCTTTTGTTTATTTAAAGAATGAGTAGTGACAATAGAGACACACGTTTGCTGGCTGACGATCGATTGAATAGAGCGACCATTCATTCAATGAACCACCTAATTGTCTGCTGTACACGGAGGAACTCGAGGTGTTGCTCATTTGACGCTGCTCTTTAGCTTTACAGGCCTGACAATCCTTGACTCGACATGACAGTCGAAAACTATATAAGTCGGCGCAGACTCCGCAACGTCCTTTACTCATCTTGACTCTCTCAATCCAACCAGTTAAACAACCAATTCGACAGCGAAACCAACCAAAAGTACCACCTCTTCTTATCACCCTACCCCTTTCTTCTGAACGTTCACATTCGCTCGCAAAGCACGCATCTACGAAAACATCACCCAGAGCTAGTTCACAGAAACTCTTTCCTGCAACGACTCGCTTTTTGTAGAACATCAGCACTATAACACTCATGTAAGTACTCCAAAACACCTAATCCATTGCAGTTCTTCCTACCACACATTCGGGATCTTGGTCTTTTTTCCTTTCAGTCTATCCAGGGATCCGTTCAAATATGCTCACCTTTGCCCGAAGTAAAATAAAAGAAGAGAAAGTTGTTCTAGCCGGGGTTAGATCTCAAGTAGACACCGCACGCTAGCCACGCTGGCTCTACGTCCAACGAATATGTTTGCCCTGCATCCTGCGGGGTTTCACATTAATTCGTACATGCGGCTCCCTTTTATTATTATTTTGAGTGTGTGTATGTGTCTGAACCTCGCGTCTCCGTAGCGCACCCTTCCTTCTCGTTTGGCATCAGCTGGAAACAGCTGCCGCTACTCTTTGGACGCGATTTCCTCAGTCTGAAGCACTCTTGTAAAAAGAGCCAAGTCCGCAGATGAACGGCGCTGCATCGACTGGACCCTTCAGGATGCAAAGTCGAGGATCGACGCGGTGCTTGGTATGGTCTGCGGAGCGTGGAACGACACACTCGCTTCTCTTACTCCTTCGGAGCCTGTAGGCATAAAAAACTATGTGGTACAAATTATAACAGAATCTGCTCCTTCCCAATCTGCTTCGCTCTATTCCTTCTGACGTGCTCATGTTCATAGCACCTCCTCTCCTGCAACGTTCGTTCCTGATTTTTCTTGCCACTTCACGTATCCGCCCTTGTTCAATCCTACTTTCTGCCTCCACGCCGATATCTCTCCTTCCTCATACATCCCTATCAGCAAATCGCCACTTGTTTGGATCAAGATTACGCGTATTGCTACGATCCAGAACATGTATGAAACTCAGCTGAAGCGTGCCTCGACAATAGCTGAACGTACTCCATTTATTCCAACACGGTGCATCAGATGAAATAAAGCATCTCCGTTACAACGTTACAAGGACACTTCTTTACTCACATATCCCATCTCTTCTTAATCCTTTTCTCTTCCGAACGTCATTAGGCAATTTACAGCATTTCACACTCCTCCCTCGAGTGCCCCTTCCTCGTCCACAACTTCCTCCTGTGCATCCTCCCCCTTCTCCTCTCCGGAATCTGGAGCCGAAATGGATATTCTGGACATGCCTATGTCCATGTTCTTTTCAAGCGAGCTGCCTGCTTCCGTCTCTATTCCTTCACCTATGCCCGTTGCCTATCCTCATAATCTGCTGGGTGTCGATAGCTCGCAAGATGAACTTCTGCTGATGCATCATCACGAACGACTGCAACTCCTGCAGCTTCAACAGCTCCAACAATATCAACACCAACAGAGGCAGCAGGAACAACTCCTGCGCGACATGGCGCAAATCGACCTCAGCAGCCTCTCCAGCTCACTCTCCGACTCAACTTCCGCCTACAAGCAGGAGATCCAACAAGGTCAGAACGCGCAAGCGATCGATCTTATGGGCACTTCTCTTGGCTCGTCGTCTGTTTCTTTGATCCCGCAGAACTGCAGTGCTTCTTCTCAAAATCAACTACAGCAGCACCCGCAGCCGCAGCCGCAGCCCATGGCATCATCTTCGTGCCCTGACCGCTCTCCGTCCAAAATTTCTGCCTCAAACAACACTGAACACCCCTTTGGTCCTGACGATTCCTTCGCCATGAACCACATCACCTCTTCAATGCCAGATAATATCCAGTCAATGATGTACTTCAACTCGGACGATCGCACTCCCCTGTTGGCTACGAAAAGGGACGCAAGCACCAACACAGGCTCACCTCTTCTTATCCCAGACACGATCAAGCGCGAAATCCCATCTCCAATAGCTCCAACGGTCACCCCGACGGAGCTACCGCACACGTGCAATTGCTCTGACATGTTCCCAAGCGACGACCAAAACCAAGCAGCCATTGCAAGTACTGCTTCCCCATACCAAGCTCTTTGCGATTACGAAGATCCTACAGAATCGCCAACTAGCCCTGGCCGCCACGATAGTCAAAAATGCCAGTCGAGGCATTCATATGGCCGGCTCAATGACATGCAGGATTCGTGGTCGGCATACCATAATCCTTCACATCCATCGAGGGCTCGACCAAGGTCTTTGATTATCCCATCATCTTTTGCAACTTCGTCGCTGCTCTCGTCCCCATTATCGACTCAACCTTACGCTTCGCCATTTCACAAGGATTCTATATCTATACCCGCCTCACCACTGGCAACAGACTTTCAACTGCATAACGACCGTAGTCGACCGTCTCCTGGGACATTATTCGCCTACCGCTCTGCCAACTCTGCTTTACCATCCCATTCGCCCTATGCCTATGCTGCTGATCATCTTCGTTATGATCTTTCGCAGTTCCGGCAACCAGGTCCGTCTCATGAGAGTCAAAATCAACATCAGCAGCAGCAGCAGCAAAGGTCGCAGATTCAACACTATCCACAGCAACTTCACTTTCAGCACCTACTTGATCCATCCGAAGTCCCTGAGATAACAGATACCCATGTCTGTCCGGTGTGCCAGCGAAGATTCACACGGCCATTCAATCTGCGCTCGCACATCTTGACCCATACAACAGCAAGACCCTTCCCCTGCGACGAGTGCCATTGGAAATTCACAAGGCATCATGATCTAATGCGACACAAGAGAGCTAAACACCCGGGTTCCGTGCCTCCATTGCCGCCCAAGGCCCCCAAAGCCAAGGCAGACTCGTAATGAGCACATAGAAAGAGATAAACAGAGTGGAGCGGCTTTCATTCTCGTTGAGCGAGAGACTTTGCGACTTATTCTACTATCATACATATAACTTACATATTTACTGGCCTATTTCCATAAAGATAATCATCTCCAAAGCGCGTAAACTATTTTCTTTTCTATCATGAGCCGCGCTAATCAAGATAAACTGTTCATTCCTGAAGCGCACTTTTATATGGCCTCCTTTCAGTAAACAGCGCCTTTTATGGCCTTCGCAGCCTGCCCTAGGAACAAAAAAATAAATAAATAAATAGCTATCTTTGCAAGACGCCGTCGGTCTCAAGGATGGGCACGATAATAAATAGATCGAAAATCTACAGCACAGTATATCAAACGTCTTGTTATAGCCGTTCCACAAGTACCTCAAGCAAGTGCTTGAAAGCTTTTTATCGTCAAGAAAGAGAACTGGCGTTCTAATATATAAAAATGCGCGAAGCAGCAGCGCGTTTTTTATGCAAAGGTGCTGACAACCCTGTAAGCTGAGACATCTCAATATACAATAATTGGTTAAAGAATCATTGAGTTCCATGGCAGGAGGGACAAAGCGATGGTAAAGATGATTTGTGAATCGGAATGAATCCTCAGTAAGAATTGCTTCTTGGTTCCCCCTTGCAAACAATAGCTTTTCCTTCTGAAAGGGGCCTTGGGATTAGTGCAGGGTGTGCATGGGAGCATGCGAGGCTGCCTGGTAAAACTACATTAAAAAAAAAAAAAAAAAAGAACCCTTTCCTCCCTTTCTTTCTTGTCCCACCATCCACGTCTTCCCCTCTTGCCTCGCCCCATCAAAGTCCACGCATCCACGCGTCCGTACCACGCCTGGCCCTCGCTCTAGCGAACCTGAAATACGCTGCAACACAAGCACAGCCGCGTTCTTTGTCGCCATTTCGCTCGTTTTCTATTGGACACTGCTCCTACCTCCTAAGATCGTTTCAATACCCTCACCTAGGGCTTTCAAGTAGCGTCTTCAGATTGCATGGCATGCACGCGAAAGAACGCAAAAAAATAAAATAAATAAATTCATCAAGTGCAGGCATTGGATGGGATCGAGGGAGGGAGAAGGTCGTTTATCAATTCCTTCTTTGTAGTATACCTCCACCTCCTTTCTAATCATCCACAGCTATTAAGATCGCGAGAATTCATCGCTCTCGCGCAACAACAACAAAAAAGTTTCTTTGATCGAGTTTTTCTTGATCGATAGACTTTTGATCAGTGGCATGTTGAAGCATGATACGTCTTTTCTAATCACAATGATCACCCTATGATAGATTACAGAAACGGATCATTGGTGAAAGTCCCAGCTGGAGGAGCCTATTATACACATCAATCAAAGTGATCGATAAGCGTTGGATGCTTTCTTCTTGTTGCCATTCCTCTCGCCACCACCAATACCAACTCCATGCCATCTAGACAGAGTTTGCCTTCACCTTCCTCCCGAGCGTCAGCAGGTATGATTCACATCTTGGACATTGCGCTCGCACCCATGTTATCAGTCATGACTTTAGTGAGGAGCACGTCGCTAAATGAGTTCTGTTACATCTCCTAGGGTGCGCATCACCGACTTCTTCAGTACTCGGGGCATGAAGCCTGTTCCATTCGACACGTAGGGTATCGCAAACGACATAGTGGATGCACTATATCGACTTATATAGTACGTACGAGCAGAGAAGAGTACCTTTACGTGGTGCAGATGGGAGGGAGCAGGACTTTTCAGCGCCACCACGGCATCGGTCCAGGCAGGAGGCACTCCTACTCGAAAAAAAAGATCGAAATCTAGTATGACCCAGGAGAACCGCCCAAGAAAGATGGCCAGAGAACTTTAGCATTTTGTTAGTTTCGACGGGAACCACTTTATAAGGTGTCCGTCTGCCCTGGAGATAAAGATCCCTCTCTAGTATTGCTGACTTCATTGTAAGCGATAGAATATCGCAGTGAAAATCGATCTGATAGGGTGCTTTTGGCCAAGGATATAAGCACTTCCCGCGGATGGAATACACATGGCTACATACCTTGAAAGCCATTTCAACGGTATAGGCGCGGAGTGAAAAGAAAAGTGGAGCCTAACAAAACACTCAACAGCCGCTCGCACGAAATTCATGTAAATGTCAGTCAGTCAAAATCTTTTTGTCTGCTGAGTTGGTTGCAGCCCACTTTAAAACGATCCAAGGATCGCTGTTCAAAAGTTCGCGATGAGCAGCATCTACTCATCCGAGGAGCTGATCGCTTCAAGCAACGAGTTTTAAGCTGTTTTGGGACTAAGACTTGGGGCCCAAGGTTTCCAAATGCCCAGGGAGGCACGTGGCCGAATGCTTCGGATTGCCGCGTTGCTGAACGCGCTTAGCCCAGTTTGCATCAACCTCGCTGCTGTCTTTTCTCTGCACACTCACTCATTTACATCGCATCCCTCTTGCAATGGAGCCCTCACATGTTTTTGCAGCACAGCTCCTGGGAACATTGCCGGAGTCAGAGATCGCAGAGATTCAGCGACGCCAGAATGAAATGTAACATGCTCGCGTCCACCCAGTTTAATTTTCCATACCATATCCCCCACCCTCCCTTTTGCCCTTCCAGGTCCATGGTTCAAGAATCGCAGACCGACCGTTCGAAATTGTCCATTGCTAATTAAAATGTATTGCTCTATCTCTTTGTAGGAGTCTATCTCTTCAAAAGGCTAATTCATCACTCTCGGCCTTGAACGAGTTTTCGACGGTCAAGTGGGCGGACCTGCATCCCAAGTTCGAAGCGCACACGAAACTGATCAAGGAGCTGCAGACGGATTTGGATCATGTCTTCCGCAAGATACGGACGATTAAAACTAAGCTCAACCTGCCCAACAATGATGAGGAAGAAGGGGAGGAGGAAGAACAAGGAAGTGCACCCGAAGGAGCAAGCGACCTGCAGGCAGCAGTCTGAAAAAATAAAAAGTAAAATAAAATAGGAAATTGGTGGCAAAAGGCGTTCTGTTTTCTGTTCACTTCAACTCTGCACCATACCATACCGGCGTCAAAAGCATTGAACAATCAGTAGCAGTGGAATCAAGCTGGGACATGCAATGAATGAACTTGGTGGGCGCGTAGGTAATGGAAATGAACCGACATTCAACTTTGTCAGTCATGTTCATCATAGTGGAAGCATCGGAAAGAGACTGAAAGTGCTCACCTTTTTTGCTTTCTGTCTATGAATCTTTTTGTAGTTCTGGCGGATGTCATGAGCGAGTTCCGTAAGCGTTGATGGCCTATGAGTGTATAGATTAAATACATCAATTCTCTCTGCCGATCCTCGATATTCTTTTTTATTAACGTCGTCCGCTGTCCATTGCCCGACAAAAAGTTGAGGTCGCCATCCATTTGATACTCTTTGTACGCGGCATTTATCCACCAGGTAAACCAACGCCGTATCGTGTTTGCCTTGCTCTCTCTATTCATCGCTGACTCGTTTTCAATATGTTGGCCATAGAGCTCTTTGAGTCGACGCAGAAATATGGATGTCCTCTCAAGACCGCGAGACATCCCGGCCTTGTCTCATACATTCAGCAGATCGTCCGATCCATTCGTATGGAATTGCACAAGGTCGGTACTGAGAAATATCCTGCATTGACACCTTCAGCTCGAGCAGTTGCGAACACAGTTAATAATACGCGTTTTTGTGCTGTAATGTAATATAGGATACGGTTCATCGGATATGCATCGTGACATTAGACCCGACCGGCAAAGCGATCGACCGTTTCGTCTTTGAAATGAGCATGCTAAGAGCCTTTGATGACAGCATCCTGGACCAAATAACTGACCATGGCAGCAAAAGTACATATTATCAATCACAGAACGATACTAGTTCAGATGGCGACCTCAAAGGAAAGGGCAGAGTCATTGAAGGCCCAGGAGACCTAAATCGCCCTATGAGCGACAAAGAGAGAACTGACTCGCATAAAGAGTACTACGGGAATGGCGTGGATACTGGAAATGATGCGGATGACGAGCCCCTGTATCCAAATCCTTCGCGCGGGAAAGCGAACATGCAAAAGGAGCAGCATAATCATTATCATAATTCGGAGTCAGCGAGGGAGGCGCCAAGATTTGGCGGTTCGATAGCTCTAACTACAGATGTACAGTGGATGTTGAGGGCCATGTTGCTGAAGATCAGCGTCTGCGACTCGTACTTGAAGCCACTCGCAGATGGTAAGCACTATCGAGGTGACTTGTTATCCGATTGTATTACGAGGAGAGTAAAGGCTCACCAAAGACCTCTGCTGCCTGCGACTTTTTCTGTTCTCTTTGGAAGTAGACTGCTCATTTACAGTCGTGATTGAGATGAAAGCGGCAGGGTCTGGTCCAGATGCAAAGGTATTGTTGCATGTTTCCTCTGATACCAGAGTGGCGGATACATAATTTGCCCCGCATCCTGATTGCCCTACTAATCGTGAGCCGGATACTCAATCTCTAATTTGTGTACCATCGCAATAGCCTAATTTTCCATGGGCACCGATCAGTGCTGCCGCGACTACAGAGAGATCAAAGCTTTCAGCGTCTGCGGCTCAACCTTCTCCAGACCGAAAGATTATACCCGTCAAGACTATAGACATCGCTGATATACAGGTACTTCGAATCTTGCCAGTATTGGAGAAAAAAAAAATGTGAACTGTTAGTCGCTCTGACGATAGTATTAACTTGCTGTGATTTATTCACCAATGTAGGTGGAGCTCTATATCGAAGAGTTTAGCAGCCCTCAGAATTAGATCGTCTCTTTGAAACGGATATAAACACAGTCAAGCCTCGTTTCTGCCAACGCGGTCTAATAGAATACAGATCAGTGTGAGGCACCGGGTATGCGTATATTGTATTGTGTTCCTGATAGACTGCAGCGAGAAATCGTTCTTTTGATTGCAATGCTGTTTAATGCGGATCGTGGTAACCCTCTGCATGTTCCTATTCTACAAAAAGTGGGTGGGGCAATTCCTTTGCCGGCTCCTTGACAGGCTCTGGAACGGAACTCTCCGTTCCTGCCGCAATTCCACTGGCGGGTAAGATCGTTGCCAGATCGGGCGATGGCGATCGGGGTGTCCGTGTCCCTGTAGACGGAGAGGTTGTGTTGCCTGTTTGATGTGTACTGGAGATCCCCTTCGAGGATGAAGATGGGGAGGAGACTGTTGAAGGCGACGTTCCGTTTGGCAAAGACTTGATACTGGCACCCCCAGCGCCCAATGGATCCCTCTCTTTTCCAAGGTACGGGTAATTTTGGTTCAATTCGTGCTCTAGCGTCAGATCTGCCAGACTGTGCTTCGGACTCGACGACGCGCTATGAGTTTGAAGACCGACCGTTGGCATGCCCGAGATCGATTTCAGTTCCCTGTCCACCGGGGGTCGGCGTCGATTACTATTGCTGCGACCAAGGGTAGCTGACCGAGGTTGAGGACCTGCAGAGCTCGATCGCAAGTCTCTGAATACGGAGCCCTCTTCGAATGAGGTGGTCGATGAAGAACCGGTGCCTGTTGACGAATACCAGGTCGTAAGTCGACTGAAGGAATCAACGAACGCTCCCGACAGAGCTGCAGGCAACTTGGAGGTAAGAATGTCCGCACCCTTTTGCCAAGAGTCGTCAGTCTCTGGGGTCAATCTGGGGCTGTTCGATACGCCTCCAAACCCATTGTTCGCTTTAGACCCCGAACGTGGTCGAGGCACGGTTGGACTGGAGCCGATACCCAACGGGTCATAATTGCTGCGCTGATCTGTCGAATATTCTACGTCTGTAGATGATATTGATTCGGCATAGTTTGGTCCAAATCCCAGCATCTCTGGAGTCATACGCTCGTTCAAGGGGTTGCTGATGTTCATGTTGTCATCGAGCGTATTGAGTTCGTCATCCGTCCTCCCAAAGAGCTTCGCCCAGTACCTGATTGACTTTGCATCCGGGAACAAAACACCACCGTCGCCGCCGCGCGCCTTGTCAGCGCTCGGTTCGTAATCCTTGCTCAAATAGGTCTCCTTGTCCGAGTTGATAAAGTCCCATATGGAAGCGAACCTTGTGTTGGCCATATACTGTCGTCGCTCCCTTTCGCAGTTGAATAAAAAATTGCCGAATTGACAAGAATACACGTGGTAGTGCAGCTGAGTCAAAAAGTACTCGTTGAACTCGAACCGAGTAGGATTCTGATGCATGATCTGAAAAACACAGTCCAGAAATTGTTGAAAGACAGGGCTGGTTTCCCGAATGTGTTTGTTGTTATAGAACTTGTTCTGGACGTTGGCAAAGGTGTTGGCAGCAGCATTGGTGGCAGATAGAGCGACAAAGTTCTTGTCATTGGAGAGATGGCCACAACGGTCCAGAAACTTGAATCCGAACGAACACCACTCCTTTTCGATCAGGACCTGGAAGCCTCGTAGCGTCCGGTAGAAAGGGTCAAGGCAAATCTGCGCGACTGACGTCAACTGGGCAGTGCGATCCCAGCCATCGGAGCAGTGTACCAACACGTGTGAGTTGCAGACGTGAATATTCTTAACAATCATAAGTGCGCCCTCCATGATCGCAGCAATATGCTTCAGCCAGCCAGACTTCTGTAGCGCGACTTTAGAAACGGATCCTTTAGTGTCAATCTCCTGTAGTGCTGTGGGTGGATAAAGGAGAGTCGATGAGTTAGCGGTGAGGTCCACAGGTACATATGATAAGAGTAAGAAGAACGGGCGTCTGCAAACCCATGCAGGGGTTTTACCTTCGACCAATTTGTTTAAACTGTCGCGCATGACGTGAATGTTGTCAATCCCAGAGTACACCTTCTTGCAGTTCCTATAGTTCTCCATATTTTCCGTCCCTGCGCCGACGGCAGTGTTCGCGACGGCGTTCGCAGTGGGCCGAGCGTCAATGATGAGATTTGTCGCAGTACTTCCGTATATTGGATTTCCGGTAGAAGATTGAGGCACATTGCTCATAAAAATGGCCTCGATGAGCTTTTCGTCCTGGATAGAGCGATTTTGCTTAAGACCAACCATCGGTTGGCTCGATCTAGTGATGGACGCCTTCTTGGAGGCAAAAGTCGATACTTAGCCACACGATTATAGAAGCAGATCCGTTGCCTGCAGGAGGACGTCTCAAAACACGACGTTTTGGCTCACCATATTGTTCCAGTGGAGATAACTCAATGCTGGGATTCTGGCCTTGCTCCGGTGCTTGGCGGCATAAGTCAAGACAGCGTCGCTGATCTTTTGAGGTACTACGAGATACTGCGGATACGTTGGCGAAAACTGCAAGGGTGCGAATGTATAGGAAAAAATATGAATTAATTGCAGCCAACAAACGGTTTTGCCAAAAGAAGTGCAGACACGAGAGTAACTTACAGCGAAGGATTCATTCAGATCTGAAATACGCCAGTAGATATTCTTGGATCCGACGCCCATACGTCTGTATTCAACTTGCGGACTATAAATCTCCCAGCCGTCCGTTGTCGTGAATGGGGGTTTGGGCTCGTAGAAAAATGCGTATAGTTGCTCGACCGAGCCTATGGCCGAAGAGCGATTGCGATTGATGATGGTCAGCCCACGTAGAAATGGTGAACCACAGCCAGGAACGAGCCACTGATCAACGTTGTTCCTCAATGCCACTGCAGGCTAGCTTCCTGGCGATAATCGAGGCAGGCTAGAGCTTAATGATGCATTAGAGGGAATGGTCACTTACTGACGCAGGTCAACTTTTGTATGCTCTCATACACATCCGTGACATCTTTTTCCGACTGGAAGAGAAGGGTGACAAAGACAAAGTTGTAGCACCGGACATGGAGTGGCCAGGCATTGAAGACCGTCGGCAGGCCCTTCTCGACCGAGTGGATAGTATGATATGAAATCTAGTGCATGCAGTTTAGGTTCTCGGCGTTAATTGATAGGCAACCCCCAAAAGCGTAGGATAGATAGAGGGCCTGCGATATGCACGCATGGCTGTAAAATACGCGACTTCTTCTCCAGCATGTTGACACTGTGTCAAGGTCGCTGTGCTTACCCAGATCTCCAGGTCTGGTGCGCCATCAAAGATCAAGTGA